ATAAGTGAGTGACGCCCATAGTATCACATGCAACAAGTTTTGTGCCATCGGGAGAGAATTTACAGCACGTTATTCCATCGTCTGTCTCAAACCCTTGGAAGCAAAAAAGCAGGTGAGCTATGCGAGAGAGTAAGACTGTATTCAGGGATACAGGACACTCACGAGCAACTATTGTTCCGCGAATGATATCCCACAGAATTAACGTGCCATCATATGACCCACTGACCATAACGCTAGGGCATGTTGGATGGCAATCGAGAGCAAACACTTCTCGAGTGTGAGACGCAAGCGTATGAGTGATTTCACCAGATCTGGCATCGACAACCTAATACAGTAGTGAGAAAATGAATCAGATGGAAAAGCAGTTCTACCCAATCAAACTGTAAAGATCAGCCTTACCCTCAAGACATTGTCAGAGGACGAGACCAAGACAAAAGTATCTGTCTGGTTGAACATGACACAAGCGATTTCCACAGCTTTTGAGACATGAGGGACTTGCGGATCTGGGGGTGGTGGTGCTGGCGATGCACGAGCAGTATCATCATCATTTCTAATATTTTGAGCTGGAGGTCTGGCTGGAAGAGTAGGGTGCCGCGACTCTGGCGGAGAGGTAGGAGCAGTAGGTAGATGCGCTGCATCACCTTCACTCAATCCAGCATCATCTGCTAATGTTCTAATTCCTAATTCTGCAGCTATGTTTGATGAAGTTGCTGGTGTTGGATCTGGTAATAGAAGATTTATTACTCTGACACCCTCTGTATTGTCATCATTGGTTGTTGGTCTTGTAGTAGATACACCCGATTGAACTGACATTCTTGCCAATGTTCCAGATTGTAAGGCCGGAAATGTCTCAGTCCTTTGGGCAGTAGCACGTACTGACTCTTTTCGAGTCTGTTCCTCCTGTTTAGCAATCTCCCGTATGTTGACTATGAATGACAAGTTCAACGAAGGTTGGAAACACTCCTGGCCTCCTCCAAGCAAACCAAATCTGATACAATCAACATACCTGGTTCACTACCCCAACCATTAATGGCTTTCCTAAACGACCATATATGTATACAACCGTCTTTACCACCAGATACAAAGGCATCACCACGGTGACTGAACAAGACATCAGTCAAACGACCTTTATGAGCATTCAACTCGGCTAAAAGCTTTGGCTGGACGACGTGCGGCGTGACTTCTGCCAGAGTGCGTTCTTGGTTGGACAGAACAGCTAACTCTGGAGGCAAGAGTGAATAAAGGTGCACTTTACCATTATCAGCGCCCATTACAAACTGAGTGCCCGTCCGATTGAAACTGATACAAGTCACTTTATCTCGCAGACTGGTTCCGCATTCAATCTCGATTGCCTATAAGGGAGTGCAGAAAAAATGATAATTAGATCTCGCAAAAACAAACTGGATAGAGATTGCTGCAAAACATACATCCTGTTTGTACCGTTGCCTCTCATCATCCCACATATACACTCGAGCTCGAAAATCATGACATACGATTATCAAGCACTTATTTGCGTCCAGGCATGATGGAGAAAATGCAATCAAGGATATATGTTTTGCCTATGTAAGCAAAGAAAACGTCAGCATCACACTACACAGCAGGATTTGCTGCTATTCTTACTGGCTTCAAAGTTCCTAGCGGCTGGAATGTATCCATATCCCATAGCCTGACAGTCATATCTGACGATGCTGTAGCGAGAATGGTATTGTCTTCGTTGACTGCCATGTCTTGAATGACACCTTGAGCCTAGTCAGGCGGAAGCAAAAGTAAAAATCAAAGCGGACAATCATAGTTCTATAGCTTACGCCAGATTCTAGCTGAGTCCGATGTCCTCGTATAGAGTGGATGAGCCATCCTGTCTCAGCACACCACACCTTCACTAGCTGATCATCACCACCCTATGATTATATTTGAGAGTGTCAAGGTCTCAGCCTTATCAAAATATAGTTGTGTTACCACAAGGCTTACTGTGAATATTCGTTTTCCAGACCTATCAAACAAGCAACTGTACACCGCAACCAAATGACCTTTGACAGAGATCAACTATTAGGAGTATCCAGTGTTATGTATCTTTTTTGTCGAGTTTGGAGAAACACACATACCTTCTTAAACCTATTCTTCAAGACACTCAGCATGCGTGAATCCCATCGTATTCCAATCTCTGTTCGAGCAATTCCAATAACTAAAGACAAGGGGGAAACATTAGGTGGAAGGCGGGCAAAGAAAAGATAGAATACAGGCATACCAGGATTGATCAATACACGACCCGGATTCATGCCTAGTATACCATCCATTCCAGTTCTGGATTCTTTCTTAGAACTAGTAATGGCAGCTACACCCAACCCCAAGATCTCCTTGTCAACGTGTATATTATTGGGCTGATTTGGGTTGCGTTCATTTTCACGTTCCAAGAGTCTGGCGAGTAGTTGCTGGAGATGATTTGGTGGTACATGGCCGAATCTTGAGTTCTAAGTATGTCGTAGTGTGTTTAATTGGGTTGAAGTCAAGAAATAACAGGTGAGTAATTTGAAGCCAAGTCAAGAATACCTGCGCCTTCAAAATCTTACCAAATCATCGTAAGAAAGAGCGTGCGATGCACCAGTCCAATCGACTCTGGTAGGCAAGACTCTGGTTGATTCTTCGTATTGTTGTATTTCTCGCAGCAATGTGGCAAATGTTTGCTGGAATGGAGATCCAGAGAGATATCTACTAACAAGATATAATACATCTACATAAGAAGAACGAATTCATTGTCGTGGTCAGTTATACTGCTTGATTCGAATCAGCGCCGTCGTGCTGTTTGTTACCTTGTTCGTTAACTTGCGAAGAAGACTCGTTGGTTGGGCGAAGATGTCTAGGTATGAGAGCGGAGGGAGGAGCTCGACTTTGCGTACGTCCATGGCTACTACTGCCTCCTGCACCAAATCCGTCCATAGAAAAATCACTCTCTCTTTCTGTGTGTCAACTTAATGTCTGGGGATAGAAAGTTGCTAAACACGACTTGGACGCAGACGATCTTGCAAACAAATCAGCTAGTTTGAAAATGTATTTGACGCGACATAAATAACGGAGGAATTTTCTACCTGTTCAAAACCAAGACCAATCCAAAACCAACACTGCGAGGAAACAACCTCAACTATAGTCGATACAAGCTAGCTTGTTATTGCGATGCTTAACTTTAATATACAACAACAGATCTATTGGCCGAAAATACAAATCATCATTCTTCATTTCTTGGATGACGATGATGACCCTTTTGGCTTGTCGGACGACGAGGAAGGTTTGCTCTTCTCGGAAGTCTTTGCCTTCTTGAGAGGTGGTTCTTTTTCTGAAATTTGAGAAAAATGTATAGTCAGCAAATGGGAAACTTAGTTTTTCTTGCTGGAAATACATTCCACTCTTGCGAGGCTTTCCATCACCTTTTTCTTCTCCACCCTCTTCATCACTTGTTTTATGCTCTTCATCAAATTCCTCTGCAACATCAGATTCTGAATCGGCCTTGTAGTCTTCGTCCTCTAAAGGTGGTTTCAAAAGAAACCTGTGAGTACCAGATGCCATGGATTGGGACGCCATATCAAGTTTTACCTGATTCGTCGTCGTCTTCCTCTCCAGCAGCAGCTCCAGCAGCTCGCACTTCTTCTGCTCTCTTTCGTTTACGATCGGCGCGATCATCCTCATCCTCTTCATCAGTATCCGAGTCTGGGCCTCCAAAGTCTGGTTTGGCTTCAGAGACAATCGAAACGGATAGACCTTTGTTCTTGCAATACTGATTTAGACCTGAGAATTCCTCTCTACGAAGAATATTTAAGAATTGTTATGCACAAACCTCGTTGCTGAAAGCGCAAAACAGCCAAAAACCGGATCGGTCTCAGAGCTTGGTTTCCATTTTGCCTTCCCTCTCTTCTAAAGCCTCTGTCTGTTTGCCCTCCCTCTCTACTAAAGCCTCTGTCTGGGTAATGACTCTAACTTACTTTGCAATATTACTAAAGTGATACTCTTGACCAGTCCTCATATTAAGCTTCATTTCGAATGTCCGAGAACTGGTATTCTTGTCCACTCGTAAGAATTGGACTTTGGAGATATCGTCATGAGGAATGAAAGTAGGTGGCTTTGGTACAAACATGAAGTACTTTGTCAGTGGGAAGAGGAAGGATTCGCTAGCTTTTAAAGAGCATTTGACTGATCGATTCTTGTCATCGTGACTATAACACAGTAGTGTGAGCAAAAAACGGATACTCAAGCATTAATCGATCATCGTAGTGGAAGACTGGCCAGCCCGCACCTCTTGAAAGTGTCATCGGCTCGGATGATACGCTTATTCGTCATTCCTTGAAAGACTTCGCCAATAATGTCACTCATTCGACCCTCATACGACTTCTTCAAACGACCATTGTATTTCTCTGCAATTTCCTCTCTGTTTCAGAAAGAATCACTTAGAATCCATTTCAAGACCCCAAATATTCATATATCGTGGGCATGGTTGCCTGGCCCGCACTTACTCTGAGGGTTTGGCCACAGCATTATGCCAGTCTTCATCAGAGCTATGGATCTGGAAGACCAAGAAGTAGTATAGAGTCTGGCCTTGATGAATGGGTGGATCCAATGGCAAGACCAGGAGGTCAGACAAGTCTCGTCGTAAACAAAAGAGACGTTTGACTGATCCATATTGGATTTTGTAATCGTTGGATTTACCACGTAGACGGAAGAAGTCGGCATATAAATCGATATCGAATCGACCTCTGCGCAAAACACCAAGATAGAGATAATTGAGATTTCGATTTCGTTGGACGCAAAAAAAAACTACTGAAAAGGATTTACCTCGGAAACAGGCACAGCAAATCACGGAATGTCATCAAACTGTCCCCTTGAAGTGATCCAGCATCCACATTCTGTTTGATGGTTTCATAAAACATTCGAGCAGCTGATACAGCTTCACCCTCTTCATTAATGTACTCTTCTTCGTCTGATGACTTGACTTCACCATCCTCGAGTCCTTCCTTGGCAAGTCCATCTGCTTCAGCTTTATCTTTGTATCTCTTCTTGCCACCACGACCTTCAGCAACTTGTGAGGCAGCAGCATTACCAGGTAGATAAAATCGAATTTCCGTCAATGTATCTTCTTTAATACGTTTAGGACGTTCACCAGGCGCTGGAGCTGGAGGTTCCGGAAGAGCAAATTCTACAGATACTTCAGCTTTTTGTTCAGTAGTATTGCTGACTTCTGACATTGGGACTTCAAAGGCAGGACGGTTTCCGACGACAAAGGACATGTAATTATTTATGAATTCTACAGAGCCCCAATTGTAGCCACGTACAGAAGCTTCCTTGACTTCAATTGAAAGGCCAAATAGATTCTTTGTCATTTGGTTCAAGACATCATAAGACTATGGACGAGTAATCGGTCAATATATCGACTCCTAATAATAGATACGAGCGATTTGGCGCCTTGTGGATCCAAATGTTTCCAAGAGACTCGATATGATTGTACTGCAGCGCAGCATGCAGCCTCCCTCAATACTCCTGTCCTTCATACTAGCAGCTCACCTCTTTTGCAAATCCGAAATACTTGTGTATTCCATCACGACATTGTATACGTAATTCATAACCCTTTCCAGAGTGCATCCAAGACAGTTTGCGAATATTGTCATCTTTTGCACGAATCATGACAGTTTCTTTCGTAGCCGAGTTCTGCCAACCAATACCACCAGTAGCCATCTTCATTTTGCCCGAAGCCTATCATATCATTTAGATTAGAATTGGATTAATTTGAACTGGAGGACGAACAAACGTTGTTTTTTCAAACAGATCATGTTTTGTTGCTTGCTGATTGACTTACTGGAGGACCTTGTTTTCCGCCCAGATATATCTGATCGAATGTCGTATTGTTGTCTACTCCTGCTACAGTTGCCATCATTGTTTGTGTTTTATAGCTAGTGTCTGCTTTGTTGACGTGTTGGGGTTTTGACGAAGTGTTGAAGTTGTAAAGCTGGACGACCCAAGAGGGTCAAACTGCTCCAAATACGTATATATCGTGATTCAGTCGATTTTTAGAATTCTCTGATTGCGATTACACCGGCTTGACACGTAAACTATCCAAGGCATAATAGCTTATTTCGCCTTCAGCGAGAAAGACACGTTTGACGCTATCATTCAGCCTTTAAGACATTATCTTAAGTTATATTTCCTCATCGAATATTCGTGTTGGTCGATATAATCGCCTTCACTCTTTCCTACAGGAGATTTTAACGACTCACCAAGGGCTGACACCACGTGGCAACTGAGTCTGTTTTCACTGAAGGAGCCGAGTGATATCGCGAACAGAAGCTAAAAATGGCAGCATCTCTGAAAAATGCCACGTATGCCATTCAAAGAGGTCTCGCACAAGTGGGCTCACGTCGCAATGAAGCTGTGAAATTGTTTCGTGAAATTCACGGCGAAGGGCAGCAAAAGGCAAGGATTGCGGAACGCTGTAAAGAAGATCATGAACTCATTATTCTGAAATATATAGGTTTTATTTATCACGGTCAGTGAATTAACCTTTGGAAGGGAGATTATTTTCAATTTGCGTGCTGTGCTCGAAAATCTCAAACATTGTTAGGGCTGGGCAGGCTCATGTGACAACTGGAAGTACCAAACTGAGTTCTTTGGTGGCCACAGAGACTACCAAGTCTGCATTTATGAGAACAGAGGAAGTGGGTTCTCAGACGCACCTGCCAAAAATTACCAAATGTCGGATATGGCAAAGGACGCTTTGGAGCTTCTAGGACAGCTAGGATGGGATAATAAGAGTGTTCATGTGGTTGGAGTCTCAATGGGGTAAGAATGATGTCTCGTCACTTATACCCTTGTTGTTGTTCATCATTTTATATGGTTTAGCGGTATGATTGCTCAAGAACTAGCCCTTTTGGCACCGAAAACAATGCAATCGCTGACTCTGGCGTCAACTCACGCTGGTGGAGGCCTCCCGCCCATAAGACAAATCCCATTCATTCTTACAGCACTGTCTCGTATTGCTCTTGGGCTCGAATCACTCTCTGAATCGGTACCTCATCTACTATATTCTCGTCACTGGCTCAAAGAAATGAAGTGGCCCGGAGTAACCAATCTCGAAGCCATTAAACGCTTTCATAAGGATCGAGTTGATGGCAGACCACCACAAAGTATCACAGCTGCGATGAAGCAGTTGTGGGGCATCATACGGTGCGTGTACGATTTCATAATCGCTTTCTCCTTTCACAAGTATTCACCTCTTCTAAATCACTGGCCCCCTCTGCTCTCTAAATTTCAAACTTGCGAATCATTGGGTTTAGGCATCGTGTGGAGGAAGAACGTCTGCAAGGATTGGGCGAGACTCTGCAAAAGGCTGGGGTTCCATCGATGGTTGTCCACGGTTCAGAAGATGCCTTGGTGCATATAAGGAACTCTCTCCATGTTGCAAGAAACCTCAAATCCAAACTCGTTTTCTTCGAAGGTATGAGTGTTTCTTCAAAACCATCTACACCAAAAGCCTCTGACACTCAAATCCAACAGGTCGTGGACATGCCTTAAACCATGAAGACGTGTCTGGGTTCAATAGCTTATTATTGAGGCACTTTGAGTCGTCTAGCGTTCGACAACATTCGACCAGCAACGCCACCAGTGTGATTGCAACCACACCACAAGGAACATTTACATCGAATTCTTCGTTGCGTAATATGTTGGGACTGGGGGAAATAGAGCTGGAAGTGGTGAAAAAGTGCCACAGATCGCCTTCGTATAGATGAAGATTTGATCCAATGTGAATATACTGTACCCGGATTTTAACTCCCAATTCATATCTATTAATAGAGCATAATTTAGAATTATTGTAAATTGAAGACTAGTCGTTACAATTCGTTGTTGACCTGACAGGTGTAGTGGTCACGTCCTCCAACTAACCTTTCGAAAAATTGCTTTTGCTCGCAACGAGCCACCAAAGCAGACAACGAATGAGACTCACAAGTTTGATAATCTTTGTATGCCTCCTCTTTGTAGCGAGCATCGTCCGTGCTGACGAAGCAGACGAAAGGCTGATCGACCAAACGAAACGAGAACATTCAAACTGTGAGTGGTTTCAACATTTGAACCAAGTCTTGCAAATCCTAACTTTCGAAGGATCTAGATGGAGATTTCAGACGTGTAGTGAGGTTAGACTCCCTCGTTTTTCGCCATATTCGCCTGAACATTTCGTCAACATTCAACATCGCGAATAACTGAATGTAGAGAAATGAAGGACAATCTGGACGATGCCGCCAAACGAACAAAGCACAGGAAAATATTACCCAAAAACGATGATCTCTACCTCTTTTTCGGCATTGCTGACCTCAACCACGATGGGTACTTGGACGGTCATGAGCTACGAGTCGCCTTTGTACGTGAAATGGAACCTGCTGCTCGGGAACGTGTTCAGCTACCTGAACTAGAAGAAATGTAAGACGAACCGTTGCATGTGCCTCTCAGAAGATTGCTGATCAATTGCCTTCACGTTGAATGTTAGGATTGATCATGTCATAGAGGAAGATGGTATGATGAAGCCGCATGCATGGCGCATGCTTGTCTCAACTACCATTTACCTATATCTCTTTTCGCATTCTTTTAGACAAGGATGGTGATGCTCTCATTTCATGGCAAGAATATTTGGAGTCCCAGCTGTATCATGATGCTAATTGAAACGTTTTTGACAATAAAAAACGTTTTTTAAAGCATGCGCCAAACATCAGCACTAGTCTTAGAACGATATTAAATCTTTCTCCGTAAGATTCTTCATCCGTCCCCCTCACCTTGGTAATCTTCCTCCTGCTCAACGGAGTCCATCCCTTCCTCATCTTCAATTTGCGTACCAACATCACTACTACTGCTGACGTCCAAGAGTATGCTCGGATTACTGAGGAATGCTTACTGGAGTATCTCCGTCACAAGACCACCATTCTTGAGCAGCAACGACACATGGAAGCTGCCACACCATCCAAAAACGGGTTGGAAAGACCACAGACCACCAGTGGGAAATCTTCTGAAATATTATTCTCCCAACGATGCTATTGCCACACCTGACTGCACCGCATTGCTTTGACGGTTGCTGATATGCTGAAGGCGGCACTGATGCGCAACCTTAAGTTGATGAATTGTCGAATGGAATTAACCAAACCCGAATCTTGATCGTGTTTGGAGCTTCAATCATTGGAGCCAAATGTTTGATGATAACCAATCCAACAAGAATGTAAGAAGCTACAGATAGTCACGGGTCCTTGTTTTAGCTTCGTCTAAACGTGGTATCTCAACAAAAGCATCTTGCGGATTCGACGTTTATGATCGTGTCGTCAGCAAAAGTCATGTTGGAATCGGTGTCTATGTATGTCAATGATAGCTGTCTCATACCACCGTGAACGATGTCCAAGAATACCGATCAACGAATGGTGAGGAAGGCGAGCATCCATCCTTTCCACAATGACCTCTGCGTCTCCACACTATTCTGGGAAGTTTAATTGATTGGGAAAAAAATGTCAAGTTTTCAATAACGAGGTTTGATGAAACGCCGCATCAATAGCAGCAGAAACCCCATTAGAAGAAGGAAGAAGAGATAACAGCCGACATAGCGGCACATCGCGTTCAATTCCCAAAGTTTGAGTCAGAAACAAACAAAGTGCACAAGGTGTCAAGACGTTCGGTTAACTTAATGAATTTATATTCAAGAGGTTTTGCGGAAAGAAATAAACAATTACGTGAAGAATGGTACAACTGAAAACTATAAAAAAGCGGTGGATCCAAAAATACAAAAATAGTGCCAGAGTAGGCTTGGCAGTTTATATAGAGTAATGTACTTAGATCTTGAGCCAGTTCAAGGCAACAAACCAGTCGTACAGCTTTCCACTAGTAGAAGTAAGATGACAATGACACTCTTAGCATAACAGACCCAAAGGATATCAACCACAACGTGCAGGGACCAAAAAAACTTACACTTTGTTCACATCGACACGACAAACAGATTGAGCTTCTCGCTTCTTGAGCGGACGCCCGTTATGTATAAGTAGAGTTTCCTTAATTTTCATATAGGCCATTGGAGTCAATCGTAGAGTAGAGCATGTAGTAATCTCTTGTGGAGCCAACAGTTCAATTCCTTCACTGTTTTGTGGTAAATCCATTGGCAAACCTAGCATCAAAATAGATCAAAAGATCAATTAGAAAATGATTCCTCTTCTTCCTTTGGTGCCTAAAGCGCAGGGAATGCAAAGAAAGCAACAATCACGTGACGTACTCTTCGACCAAGTTATAGGCGCAACGCCCTCAAAGTCGGCATCTGTCAGGTCGTGGAAAGGATCAAATCCTTCAGGCACAGTTCGTACAGGTTTTACAGATTCCAGACGAGCAGAGGAAGCATTGTTTGGCTTTCCACTACGTTTTTTTGCTGGCCTACCAGGAGGACGACCCACAGGACGACGTATATTCATGTTTGGCAGATATATAATAGGATCGGGTGATTGAGATGCACGAGATGTTGGTGGAGGTGATACTGAACTATACAAGTTGTCGTCATCGTTTAGTGTCGAGTAAGGGTTGTACCTCATGCTGTATTTGCGGTATTTGCGTCGAGGCTGTAAAAGAGATGATGGGTCGTTTATATCTAGATCAGATATAGTATAGTGTTAGATGGATGTATATTGCTGTGTTTTGTCCAGATGTAGGAAAGATGATCGGTGCACACCCCAACCACCTAACTCAATCAGTCATATACTCACATGACATAAAAACGTCCAATTGGAAGACTCCCTGAGATCGTTTGTCGTCATCGGATAGGTTACTAGTGATGCTCCTGACTGGATTAGCAACTTTCCTCCTGTTGTTTGAGATGATCGTTGAATGCACTTGTTCCTCATGATGTGTGCGAGAAGTTGGGGAAGATGATCGAGAGGGGATGGTAAGAGCGGGAGACGGGAATGGATTAATCTGAAGTATCGATCGTGGAGGTGATGAGAACAAGCTGGCATCCTTGTTTGATGACTCTCTAAATGGTTCGGCAATTGGCATTGTTGTGCTGAAGATTTCAAAGCGATGCGTTAGTCAAAAGGGAATGCATTGAGTGCGATCGGTCATTAGATGCATCATGTATAGTGCAATGGATCAGTGCATACATACCTTGAAGGTCTGTCTACTAGTTGCGGTTTGGTTGCGTTGAAACTTTTGAAAATGTGAGTGGTTATGTAAGCAAACCAGTGACCACGTTTATGCTCTTGAACTCTACGGCCTTCTTCGAAAGTATAACGACGAACGATGATGCAGAAAGAAGGAACGACGGCAGATGATGCTTGCGCTGAAAGGCAACACGTGAATGTTGAATCGGGTTGGGGCTCAATCAAGGTTTCGTCGAGGAACTTCCACAACCCGAAAGAAAGCCTATTAACTCTAGCGTATCCCGTCGTATATAAAATATATGTATGTAGATGATGCATGATGCAAAAGTGGCGGTAAGATAATAATTACAAGATTTGTTATATTAAATAGTAGTGTGAGATCTCAGAGACCAACGCTTTCCAAGAATGATACCTTGGTTTTGATGCATGGATGATATCTTGCTCTACGTAGTAAGACACCATCTGGTATCCAAACTGTCTATATATGACATTATGTCATCTCTCTACCACAGCCATGGAGACAGTGAATGTTTTGACGGCGATATCCACAATGGAGAGCTAAAATCTATATAGCATCGCCCACCAAGTCCTGACACTCCACCTGAGAAGTTACAACTTGACGCGAAAACTCCCAGAATTACCAAAGTACTATTTTTAACAAGATGTCAGTATCAATGTGGGATTGCTCGGTTCAAACAAGGATGTAACGCACCAATATACACATGGCCTATGTACGATGAATAGTAATATTACAAAGCTTATCACGAATAGGGTGGGTGCACTGGGGAATGGTAACAGTAACAACAACAGAAAAAGCTAACAAGAAATACACGAAAGCTTAATAAGACATGGCAAAGTGATAGAGAATCAAAAGTAACCATACCACCATACCTGAGCACAATACATGCTTCTTGTCTCGTCCAACTTTCCGTTCCGAGCCTCAAAGCTTTGTCTCCACGTCCTCAAAACGATTTTCTTGAAAAGTTGACGACGAGGACGAGAACTAAAACGGTCAATATAGCCATGGCGTTCGTCAATGAACGATACAATATTTTGCTCAGTGCTATAGTTAAAACCCAATACGATAACTCTCCGGAGGATGCCAGTGTCGAGGGCAACAACCTGCAAAGTATCAAGACTTTACCAACGGACGTGACAATTGTGGGCCAATCACTCAGTGCAGCTGACGAGCTGCCTGATATAGATGATGCTATCAAATTCCTGGACGCCAATCGCGTCAATGTTATAGGAACGATGGACAAGCACGCAACATTAACTGCTGTTGTGACTTTGGCAACCACGTCGGCAAAGCTATATTGTCATAGTTTGAAACGGCTTTTGGACTCTGTACTGAATCTTAGATCCTCCATTTCTTGTAAGAACAAGCTCCTGGCTCTCCACAACTGATACAGAGCTTAACACTTTCTCCGTGTCTCCGTAGATTGGGAAAGTTTGAAACATTCACGATGGAATCAATCTTACTACGTGCTTCAAACACTCCCGATATATATACGGCACCTCGTGACGACGGCCGCTTCGAGTAGATCCATCACAATGAACCAGCTTCCACAACTTGGACTGCAGCTGTACAATCGAATCATAAGCCACCCACTTCAACGCGAAATCCACCGCCATATGAATATATTACAGCACGATCAGCAAGTATTAGCGTCTTGGTTGGGCGGCCTTGCAGACTTGCCCAACAAGGAAGAACTGGCCAGTTTAGCAGACATTCAACGTATGGCATCTACATTGCATTGTGCTGCATCGGTCATGCAAGCTATAGATAGGACAGACGAGGTGGACAAGCAAACAGCCTTTGATGCTCGACTGATAGCTGCGGACGACGACAGTACTGATGTGGAGACTATAGTAATAAAACTAATGGAGGTATACCAGATGCTCATCCACATCGACACCAAACTACCACGCTTGATGGCACGTCACGGTCCTCCAACGCGACTAGTCCAAGATTGGCCTCTCGCAGTCGCAGGGCTATACACATTCAACTCTATAGCTAGGCACCTCACCCTCTCAAACTACCACCTACTCGTCGAATCTAGCCAAGATGCCATAAACACGTTACGGGCCTTTGGTATAGATTGGATCTTCCAACCGCTAGCTGGAATATACAAAACTATTCGGCATCGTGAACCACAATTGGCAGCTCTAGGTTCGAAAGCACTCGAGACAGATATGGAGTCCTTATCCAGGATGGTTTCCGACTTTGCCCAAGATCATTCTGTTTTGCAAGACGATATTCCGAAACTGGTTGAGCAGGCTAGACTAGGTGATATCAGTATCGTGCTCCAGAGATATGAAGATGCTATTAGGCATCCTGTTAGAGGAGCTGTTACAGGTGAAGTCGTCGGCCATCGATAGCCTAAAGGGTACTCCTGTATGCTCACACTCTCTCGTCATAGGTGGTTTGGTCAGATCTCTTCTGATTCAAGTTCAGCAAGCCAAAGTTCAATTAGAGGTGGCCATGAGTGCGCTAGACAAGCTGCTCAAAAGCAATGAGCTGAACTTTGCCTTCTTGGCCGTTATACCTTCTTTACTGATATCGTATTTCGTTGGATCGTATATCAACGATTTGGTGAATGGTAGGCAGTTACGGTCATGGAAACAGACTCGAACTTTACTACATCGGAATTTGCGGTAATTGGTATTGGGTTCTTTTTCGTCTTGTTACTCAGCTGATATCTCTTTCGTCAATTGCATAGTAACATTGAACGTATTCTTAACACGGCGGATGCCTCAAATACTCACTTAAGACCAGAGGCTCAAGGAATGCTGCTTGTACATATGACTGAACTAAGGAAGTTGGCATCGTCTGTGCCGAGAAGGGATGGCTTACGTTTGTCGTTTGTAGAAGACGTGCGAGACGTTGAAAACGGCGGCTTCTCGATAACCCAGAGACTGCGAACTGTTGAGAGAATGTGGAGAATGTACAGCTGATCTTGCTGAACTTTGTAAACGCTTCTAAAGAGCATAAAAGCTGCCTTATAAACGCTACCAGCACTGTTAGATAAATCAAATAGAGTTATATGGCCCATTCCTATGTGGTATTTTGTTGAATTACAATCATTTTGAGGGTTATTTACGTATATCATCAAGACCGTCAAGTGGACTGTTTAAAATTATCAAGTATTCTCAGCCACACGCTATTGAGTCAAATCAGCCTCTGATGTTGGTGATGCTACTACTCCTTCGAATGTTTCTCCCATCCAATGTCGAGCGAAAGAGCTCGCTCTCATTAATTTTTTGCTAGTATATTTTCTGTAGACAGCATCAAGAGGAGTGGGCACACTCAAAGAGTCTACCATGAGATTTACACAGTTGCCAAGTTGTTGTTCGGTATAGCCAGAGTAATGGATCAAGGTGGCATCCTGTAGAAGTGTAATGCGATAAGTATCTTGAAGCCACTTGCGGAAAGTCCAAAGGAGTCCATCGAACGTACTCACCCATTCACCACGTTGAAGCATACGTCGAGCAAGGTATAATCCAGCGGCTGCGATCTCAGATGGTGGACAGATAAGGAATCTCTCATCAACTATAGTTATTTCCATCAAATACTTTGCGAGCATGCGGCTTGCTGGATCGTATGAATCAGCCTTCGATCCCCTTCTCAGGAAGCTCATCGGGCTCTGATAATTTACTGAAAATTCAAGGGCAGACAGTATGTATCTCTCAGCTTGTATTATTTCTACTTGAGTGTATCCGTTGTCGACCTAGAAATAAAATCATGTTGATATGTCAGCCTAGTGCACTGTGCCTGGTGAATGAATGTCTAAAATAAAATACCATATAGAGCAGATTCTAATGACATAGGTCTCAAATGTTAGGAGAATTATTCTATACTAGATATTTTGCTACTCACGTGGATGCTTGGACTAATGGTCTCCTCATATTTACATGCAATCATTAAAGACGTGATTCCAACCAATTGCAGTTTGGCCAAGGAGACAATACGAGCGGACAAAAATCGATCAATGATGTTGACGGTAAGATAAAGAGTTTCTGGTAAGAGTCGGAAAGCCCAATGTACATCGACAATCCAATCAATCAGGGTGTTGCGTCGTGTCCAGCACAGCTCTTCGTGGTAATCTATATAGTTCGGCATTGCCAACGTCCGAAGCTGAAAAAAAGCAAATTATATTTTATTTGCAAATTGACATTCAAAAGTCAAGGAGAAAATCGCAAACCTCAATCCGTCTCATATGCTCAAAGATTTCAACGACATATTCAGAGACCATTATAGTATCACCGGCGTCATCAGCATCCAAATCTTGCCAGTGATCATTTGGAGCTGCTGCCGCATTTGGTGTTTGTGCGTCGGGAAAGAGCACGGGAGATGGACAGTCTGGCTCCCAGGTTTCTACTGTTTCTGTTGTTATTGGTTTTACAGACTTGGATTTAGACCCAGGCACTTTTGGTGTTGTTGATATTACTTTGACTGGCGTGTTCAAGAAGGGTTGAGCAGCTTGATGTTCTTGCTTGTTGTCTGATAAGTTGTCGACCCTGACTGTTCCTGTTGCTAACTGCAAAAGAGCAACAAAAGTAGCTTCCACAAATGGTGATTCCGTTGTTGTTTCTTTTATAGAATGGTTTTCGTGATGTGAGGAGAAGGGACTCTTAAGTTTTTCAAGTTTCGCGAGAGGGGTTGTTGCCTTTCTGCAGAGTTTGGTATTGGCAGCCTATCCAGATTTGAAAAAAAAAAGCTGAGGAGCTGGTGTCTCGTTGTTAAATCGAAATGTCCATATGTTGTGCACTTACATCTTTGATATGATGTAGAGCAGAGTTGCCTTCCTTGAATGGTCTTCGAAGAGGCTGCTTTTGTGGGGAGTTTATGACCTCACTCACTGCTACCATCACCAGGTCTTCAGTCACCGCAGTTTCATCCAATAGTTTAGCCAAGCTTGATAGCTGCGAAAGAGCGGGAGAGCAATATGCGGGATTCTCCTTTTCAGCTTCACAGTTGGTCTCGATATTGGTATTGCGTTCGGGTCCCTGTAGATGAGAAGGTGGGGGTTGGTCTCAGTCCATATCATGCAAAAACATTAGCATTCAACAAGTGATAAATTGAATCACTCTTGTTCATACGACACTGAGAATGCACTCTGAGTGCTTAACAGATGTCGGCCGTTCCAAGATCAAGTAACAGACATGACAATCTTACCATGGCGTCATACGATAGATGCGTTATGCCGAGTGCACTAATGAGCAATATATCGTTAGTTCTATTCGAAATTGATAATGGATATGTAGGTCTCATCCCCCAAAGCATCTCCTTCATTGCCCGTTATCAACTCCAACATGTTTGTTGCGACATCAGCTTCGCACAAATCTCGCATTCGAGGTCTAATGCAGTCCAATACTACTTTGATAGATGGTATATATCGATATTCCATGCATCTCGTACCTCATCTCTCTTGTGCGTCCCTCAATTGGCGTTCGAGCTGAGTATGAATTTGTTTTTTAGGGGCCAGAAGGAAAACACAGTCATAACCCAAGAGCGGAGAACCAATTCACAGAGGCAATGTGGAGACAAAGGACAGGTCAAATGAAGACTGGTGTCGTATCAACGTATAAAAGTGTTATACATTTGAAGACGCGAAAATCACGTTTCTGTAAAAGCAACAAGCATCCTTTTACATTGGACAGTTTACGTTCTCAATTAGAATATACAAGGATCATCATCGATTCTAATTGTCCTTCTACTCGTCAATAGATTACCAGGGTCCTTTCTGACCTCCAACGTTGTAAAAACCAGTTGGGCTTCCCAACTCCCTTCACCCTCTGGCAGTGTAACACCAAACGTATATAAATCATTATATGCCGAATCGGGGACTCCCTTGTGCTTCCAAGTTAGACTATAACTCTCTCCGGGGATTGTTGGAATTCTAGAGGTCGTTGAATAAGTGGGTGGATAGAGCTGGTGAAAAGCAAACAATTAGTTCTTACCTGTATTGCGCCAGTGGCACAGCCGAGAGTTTGATTTGCATCGTGTGGTTACCAGTGCATATGGATGTGATAGAGTCAATTAAAGAAATCCTGGCGAGAAAGTCCATCCAGAGACCCTCTTGACACACTTTACAAAAGTGATTGAGACTCATATCACGCATTAAACATCCTTCATTCGTCGGTCTAGTTTAAAAGTTGAAGGTAATGAGCATTTTTGTCTATCAGACCACCAAAAAACAACCATTCAATCTCACCTGTAAACCTTCTTGTCCTCAATTGAATAAGTCGGATACGCAGAAATCCAAGAATTGTTCATATGGAATTCAGGCTCACCCTTGAATTCATGCAACGACACAGAACATAACTGCATTATGGGCCGTTTCTTCTTTTTAAATTCACCATCCACATCCTTCTTATCGTTCACACGGTATTGCACTGAATGCTGGCCAGATGCAAACCCGGTATCTCCTACTACGTCGTAAAACGACCTGTCCAAGGTCTTGAGTGATGTCCATTTAACCTTCTTGCCGTCAAAGATAATGTCCATGTCGGACGTCTTATCAACGCCAGATATAGAAAATCGTAGTAGCCATCGGGAATAGTTGCCCGCGGATGTAAAGTTGAGAGTGTATGGGCCTTTTGCCATGTCGTACCATGGATAAGCTTGTATGAGTTGAGCATTCAATTCCTAATTGAAAATCAAGTCAGACTGATATAAGATATTCGAGGAAATAAATAGACTCATGCCTCATGGACCACACCATCAGACAACCTAGCCGGAGAAGGGGTCAAGACCATCACTCTATATGGATAAGCACATATGTTCCTACCAATGCGACCACTTCAGATCCTTCTTCAAATCCTTGGCCGAGTTACAGCCAGAATACACATAGCCGCCGTCTAAAGGAGAGCAAATGTTCATGAGGAGAAGCGCTTCGACCATATTAATCAAAGACATCACTCACCGTATTCTTCTCCCACTTCAACAAAATTATGGCCCTAGGTGAGAAGACACTTAGTCTAGAAACTTCCAAGGACGTAATTCATTCGACCTCTACACACCATTTCATGCCTCAGGACAACAGTTCCGCTTGTTTTGCTACAAAGACGAGTTGAAAGAAGTTAAACATCAGGCTACCGCTCTTTGGACGCTCAATTTCTCTCACCTTCGTGTAGAGATCGTAAACTCTCCACCCAGTCCACCATAGAAATTGTCGTTTGCTATAAGCGACGGAAAGTCACACGCGTTTTGTCCCGTCAATTTACACGCCTCCCTAGCATTGCCAGGTTTGGAACAATAAATCCCTCGAAGTTCAGTTCCGTCTCTATAGAGTCCAAACGGACTGCCAGACAAGGGCGTTCCACCTACACCAATACCAGACTCTTGACTAGGGATATAAACTGCCCAGACGTTGAATAACGGCCTTGTCGATGCAAACGTTGTGTCTCTCCACATTTCTTTTACCAGACGATCAATGTCTTTGAAGAATCGTTTCTCCTCTCTTTTGGTATATCCATCCTGTGACAGAAAGAAGGCAAAAGATCAGTTTTAGGAATTGCTGGTTAGCTTCAGACTGATAACCCAAATACAATACAGTGTGGAAGTTGCAGCGCAACAGTGCGGAGTCAAGACCAAATAGCAGACAATTAAAATGAATTTTTTAAATGTATTTCAATTGACCTACCCCCATAAACACGACATCAATCCGATTCGAGCTTGGCCCTGACGTTATGACCTCCTTAACCACAGCTCCAGCCGGTAAAGTCGACTTAAGCGACTCTTTATACGATTTACAAATACTAGCGACCGTATCTTCCACATCTAAAAGGGACCAGCCCGTGATTTCGTAGAGTTGCCTTCCAAGGTTTGATGACGATGGTGTTTGGTCGTGAATCTCCCATCGTTTAGAGACATGCAGAGGATAATCGTCTCTTAATCTACGATCAATTTGCGTTGGTCCTGGTAGCTGAATGATTTCACAGTTTCCTTCATTGTCGACGAGAAACTTGCTCCCAAAAGTTGCATCTATTTGGAATTGTGACCCTACTTCTAAGGTGATTTGGTCACAGCGAGCTGCCTGCCAATACATACTTAATAAAAGAAGATGATAATGGACCTTCATTGTCTGCAAAGTATGAGAATGCGATATTTGAAGAAAAGATGTATTTGGTTATGGTCATTATGCTAGCATTACTAATTTGATATTTACTACCGCTATGACGGTTCCATGTAACCACCAGAGGGATTTTGGTCCAACTCACAATTTAAATTTAATCCGTGGCCTCGATTTTGGTCGGGATGTCACCTGTAAGATCGTTTTGTATGTCCCATAGAAAGACGGACGATAGCAACACCGTTGGCTCCGGTCCCCATCCAGACATCTAATAGGGAACATTGGAGTATCAAAAGCTTTGAGAATCGTCAATTTGGCCAAAATTCAAACGAGGGCGACGAGAGTAGAGCGATATCCTGCTAAACCAACCGATTCAAGGGTCCTACCTGAGTCAAATCAGCGGGAGGAGGTGGCAATTTGTTGAGAAACTCTTCATAAGCTCGTGCAATTTTGGCTTCCAATGGATCCTCCTGACGTCGACGATTTGAGCTGGCTGACGACGACGATACCGATTCCTCACGTTTTGGATTGTTGGAAGCTTCGCTAAATCCTGGTAGCTTCATTTGCTTATTACTTCCCGATGCAAGTTGGTATGCAGACACAATATTTGGTTGGAAGGGAGGCTGAGAGGTTATCCATGCTCCTGGATTCTAGAGGAACGAAACCAACAAGAGTTGGAACAGTTTTTGCGGTAAAAAAGCATAAAATAAACTTTGTGGAAAACAAATGACTGGTCAAGTTACCATGGCTATAGATAGTACAGATGGTAGAGTAAGTGGCATAGGAGGTACAAATGAAGAATTTGGTGTTGGCAGGGCTATTGGGAAGGACGGCACCCAAGCTGAGCCATTCCATGTCATGGTAATTGATATTTGTTCCGTCATTGGAGTTGAGTATGGGCTGTCCTGAGGCAATGATGGTAAATATGGAAATGGTATGGGAGTAGATACTGCGATTGGAGGTTGTTGCTGTTGTAATTGGTGAAGCTGTTGTAGTTGTTGCTGTTGTGGTGGTTGTGATTGCAGATCTCTTCTGATACGGTCATCCTTGTAATCTCTACTGTACCGATCTTGATCACGATCATTGCGATAGACCACACCTCGATCAATAGTACGATGACCTATGTCACGGTCGTTGGTACGATCCACGCCACGATCAATGCGCGAATCAACTCCACGATCAATACGTGGTTCAACTCCACGATCAATACGTGGATCAACTCCACGATCAATGATACGAGGTTCTACTCCGCGGTCAACGCGACGACCTACGCCGTGATCAATACGACGACTTATATCACGGCCTCTACGGTCGTATCCGTCAGGACTTCTTGCTCGTTTGGTACCACTGACAATGTTGTCCTGTGGGGTGTCTCGAGTATCACGATAGTTACGGTCGTCACGACTGCGATCCACCTTGTCATATTCTGATAATGAATAGTTTGTGTATGAGTCTTCCGATTGTAGTAAACAACCAATGTCGTCCATTTTTTTTACCTCGATGATATTCAAGCGTTCTCAATCGTGCATACTCTCGTTCTCGCTCTTTGCTGTCTCTGTCTCTGTCCAGATCCCTGCTGCTGCGTGGACTAGGTCGTTGAGTATTACTTCGTGGACTATCATCCCGTCTGTCATCAAGACGTCGTTTTGGTAATAGGTCTCGAACCTCATAGGTGTCTGGATAGGACGATTTTGAATACTCTGAGCGGTATGAAGATTGGTCTATGTCTGATTCACGACGTCGAGAATATCCGCCAGCGGCCCCTGAGCGGTATTCGTCGTCGTAAGTACTGTACGCCTCGTACGTCCCAGACGTTTGATGTACAGGAGAATCCCATGAAGACATCTGATCTATCTTGCTGCCACTGTATGTAGAGATGTAAATGTTATATGTCAGATGCCGCAGAAATGATTTCCAGGATGTCGACTTGTTTAACAAGACCGCAATTCGCAGTGTGTGTGAATGCAATCTTTCCACAGAAGAAACCCAACGACACATCCAATATTCAATCCTAGTGCAGGTGTCGAGGGCTTTACCTGATGTGTATCTGCAGAGAAGCAGCCTCTTGAGGACTCCCTTCGCTCTCAAAACGTGTTGTCCTCCAACACTTTTGCAAAGGGAAGAGGAAAACTAGGCGGATCACGAGAAGCAAGACTAAGGAGCTGGCTCATTTTGGACCTCATTTTGGAACTCATTTTGGAATTTCTGTTGGAACTTTTGAAGTTATCTGTTATGTGAGTTAATTTACGCGTACTGAAGTGCCAGAGAGTACAACTACAACACCACACCATCAAGAAAACAGTTGTAATAACACCAATTTCGTTTTTACCAGGCTCGCTTTTCTGGTTCCAAGTACTCAAGGCCCAATATATCAAAGATTTCCTTTTCACTGTTGACTTGAATCTTTGGGCCGAGTTTTTCACCTTCAAGCTTCTTGTAAAGACCATATTCGTTCTGTCAACAAACAAGATACGCGTCAGACACACCCCACCACTGGTCAAATATGATCTCTAGGCATTTTCTTACCAAGGTATAACCTCTTGTAAGAGCCTCGCTACGAACATGGCGATTGTATTGCTCAGATCCAGTAAAATATTGAAGACCGAAGTAGTATTCATCATAAGGAATCAGTCGCAAGTCAATACGGCGATGAGTGCGAGCCGTTCCGTCCTCAGCAGCAGGCAGAATGCAAACCCCGTTGTACTTGCTATCGCCAGAAGCCAGATCATCAGTGATGAAGCCTGAGGCTTTCAATGAATCAATGATGGGTTGAAGATATGCGGTTGCTGCCTTCTTTCCCTTCTTGTCAGTAGATGAGAGAAGCTATCGGAAAAATGAGCATTCTTGGTTCTTCTATTCAAACAAGTCATGTTACAAACCTTGTTATGAGTGACCAAGAAATCAACATCACCACAATCAGCAGCTCCACGGCGACTGTTGTGATTGTTAGTCCAATAACCACGTTAATTAAAGTGAATTCTTCAATTATACTCACTAACTGCCACAAATTGTAAGTTCGTAGTCATGATCAATCTTGGCAGCTACATCTTTAACCAATCGTTCCCAGACTTCAACTTCTCCTCGTGGAATGCGCTTCTCAAATTCATAAACGTATTTTAAGCCAACTTGTTGATGATGATTCAATTGGTCCTTGACTTTCTGCAAGTCTTTGATACTCTCGATCCCAGCTTCGACGAACTTTTTGGCTGCAACAGACCTGATAATGAACGTTGTGAGCTGAGACAGCAACATGCATTTCAACTGAGAAAATAGAAATGTACCCGATTCCAGACACACGCTCAAGTTCTTTAATAGCATTCAGATGAGGATCCTTCCTGTCACGTTCGAGACGTTGAAGCTTTCCAGTTGCAAGTATTTCGTCAATCTATAAGTAGTCCCGTAGTCAAAAAAGTATATTAGCGAGTTCACAAAGATTACGTTTCCTACCTTGTTGCTAATCTTGGGTCCAACACCTTCAAGTTTTGAGGCTTCCTTGCCAGAGTTCAAGACTTGGCCATAAGCAGCAATATTTCGGCTTGCTTTGGTGTATGCAATCTTCTTGTAGGGGTCGCCTCCAGCAGCCTCGTTTTTGGCAAGCTCTAATGGAAACAACGACTGAACGTCAATGCGTCTTCTGGGGGTGACAATACAAAATTCCAGATTTGATCAACAGTGACATATCGTTTTATGATACGGGAAAATCATGGGAAACACTGAATCTGAAGCACTACCTGACGCCTGAATACGTCAGTCACTTTTGACACTTCGTTGATGTTGACATTGCAACACACTGAAGCTGAATGAAAAGCAAAAGTGACAACCAGAAACTCACCATCAAGTGCATCAGTAATGTTTTTATTCAAATTCGGACCACCTTTCGTAGGAGTAATCTTTGCTGAGGCTTTCTTTGGTTTTTTGGGTGTTTCCGAGGATCCAGTGCCTGCATCTTTACGTTTAGGTGGCATGGTCGTAGCAGTATAAGCAGCTGGAGCTCTTGATAGTCTTGTTCCTGTAGTACTCAAGTTTAGTCTCAATGAAACCCACACGTTTGCGCTTTGTTGAACATGAGGAAGTTGACACAGATTTTAAAATTCAAACGATTATACTCTAGCGAGTCGTTTACCAATTCTTTTCGTATTCTAGCTGAAGAGTCTCTCGTGTCATGGCTGGACGACAGCTCGAAACAACCAAAGTTTGCAATCGATTTCGCGCTGTGTAGACAGTGTGTTAATTAAACTTTTACTTTCAAACGTAGAATCGACTACCTGATTGTAGATGTACGTGAACCAGCAGATTATACAACAGCTCATATAAAAACTGCCATCAACATTCCATCAACCGTGATGTTGGGAAACAATGCACCATCATTCTTTGGATCACTATTGGCTCAACAACTGCTCCATCCTATAAATAATGAATTCAGAATACCGAAGAATCTAGTGTTTCACTGCCAGTTGAGTTTGATACGTGGGCCCAATTCTGCAGCTAGACTCATTCAATTGCTGGACGAAGAGAAGAGGAGGAGACAACGAACTGCACCAGATTCCGTCAAAGAACTAGAGCCTACTGATATATATGTGCTCGATGGTGGCTTTAAAGGCTGGAGTAAGGCATTTGCAGGGATTAGGCCAGAACTTATTGAAGGAATTGGTAAAAAGTAGCAGCTATGTACTTTTGGACGACGAGCCCATCAAATGCTATTAGTTTAAGTTTTTGATTTGTTTATGAAGGTGTGCTACAATTTCTAATAATATATATACTGTAAACTAACTACTGTGACCTCTTTACTTAAAGACAGTTCCTGTAAGCCATAACTTCAAGGCCCAAGTAAGCCCACCATGAGACAACACCCAGCCACTAAAGAAGAACATTATATTAGTCAAGGTGTGCTTCTAAACGTATCTAGTATCTGCAAACAAACGTACCAAACCGGCAACCATAGCACAGAGAGTACTGAAACTAACATTCAACGATGCCAAACCATCGTAACAAGATAACCATCCCCTAGCTTTGGAAGATGCACAAGCTGTTGATAGACCACCAGTTGCATCAATGGCTCCAGCCAAGAAGAAGACTAGACAATGAGGTTATTAGACTCAAGGACGGTACTGAATAGCATTCAAACGATAAAAAATTACTTGACATAACGGCAGCTATGACCGCGAATGCGAAAATCACATTACGGTTTCGTCCACCACGGCCTTGAGTTGTGCTGAAAAAGTAATAATTGGCCCCGATTAAGATCAATGAGGAGATGGACCCCAGGATTCCACAAGCCAGAACAAAGTCACAGTTGGTAGTGGGAGGGATGACTTGGTTAGCTCCCCATAGCAAACAAATGTGATAGAGTGTTCCAGATGTCAGATCTTGCCAATAATAATAGGCCTGTGATGATGTGGACGCAGCAACCAATAACGACCATAGCTAATCGCAAATACAGAGTTGTAAGCATCTCTGCAGTTCAATATCAATTCGACATGACAATTTCTGCCTCAGAATTGATGCCGTGATGCCATCTTGACATGTAATGGAATAAGATCATCTCAAACGAAATGTGCATTGAAACTTACAGAGCAGAAAAACAAGAATGTGTAGAAGACTTTGGAGCTCAGATATGTTGGCTGCTTGGCCCTGGCTATTGTGTCCATGTCTTGATACGGCGATCGATATAAAACGAGGGTAAAATTCCTGTTGACAGTCTTGATGAGGAGGACTTGACTTTGTTGAACTTGCAATGTTGATATTGGTATTGCTCTTGCCTTCTAAAAGAAAGGCTTATATTGACGACACAAGGAAGTGTTTCTTTCCTTTCCTCTCACCAATCAACTTGGTTGTAAGCGAAAAAGTGAAGTCAAGGTAGCCGAAAGGAACGCCAATTGGTCACAAGCTGCTTAATCTGGTTGAATACATTCAGGGACTTCGCTTGGCATATAACTTCGCCGCGTTCATTCTGTCTTCTATTACCTTCGCGACTTTTTCTAATACTATTGTTGCAGGTCTATTCTAATACTCTATACACACGGCTTTCTACTTTTCTAATTTAAAATAATGAAAATACATTGTCAGGAAACCTTTCGTTTATCTCGCACTTGACACCAGCAGCGCTCAAAATATAGCGACGCCAGAATCCTCCAACCCCACCAGCAACACCATCATCGCGACCAACTTCTAGTAATTGAAACTCGGGAAGAATGTTCAAGTACCTATTCAATAGAAAGAATCCCATGTCAAGTTGTGGTTCCAGCATGTAAAACAAGAAGTGTCCTTCAAACAAACCTAAACAATTGACCAATTCCAACACCATCTTCTTCCACGAGCTTCAGATATGCAGGATCATAGATAGAGACAGTGCTGGTTGCTCGACAGCATGTGTACTTGTTGACTTTGATATCTACTGAGCGATTAAACATGATGCAGTTCTCAGTTGATCCAGCAATTTTTTCGTTGAATAGTATATCGACAGTGACTGGTGCGTTGTAGTATGCACTAGAACGAGAACGAGGGTATTAGCATCGCTGATGGTGGGGACTCTGAGCTGATTGCAATGTCGATGGTGGTCGACTTGATGTGTAGCAAAAGGGAACAGCGATTCAAGCAGCAATAGCAGATAACAATCCAACTCACCTCAAGATCCTTTGAACATTACCATTGGCAGTGAGTAAGATCCTTTGCATTGGTGTAAACTCATCCGACAAACTCACAAAGGTTTCCCTTGAGCTCATCACGTCCCCAAGGTGGGCTGGAATGGATTTAGATATCATTTGCAACACCGATTCCTTGTCTGCAGCCTCTTTATCGTCCATTTTTGACTGTCGTGAGAAGAGCTTTGCGGCAAAAATCCGACAACTTTCCTAATTCTAAAGTTTTGCAAGAATGAGGAGATTGAACTGCCACGAGGGTCGCATTCACGTGTTGCTTGCGTTGTAAGCTACAACTAAAAAGCTACGGTAATGAATGATTTCATGCCATGTATTTATTTACGTGATTTAAATGGTATCATGGTGCCTTTTTGAACTTGTATGCTTCAAGGACAACCGATGATGATTACTTTATTTACGCGAGGCTGGTCTGATTGCCAGCAAGTCAGAGAAATCCAATCCTTGGTTTGTTGGCTAACAACGCAAAACGTTAGAAACGACATCGATTGCGATGAAGGACAATCTTCGGATCTCTACCTGAACGTGCTCAGCCATTTTCTCCTTGAATGCATCAAAATCGACCAATGTAGCTAAAAAGTCGAACACGTCTCCTTCGAGTTGTGGGTGAGACCTGATTTGAGTTAATAGGCTAGCATTCTAGTTGCAACTCCATGTGCCCCTGCTGCAGTGTTGACTCACTTGAGAGATAATAGAAACTCTTCCATATCAAACCATGATAAGGTAGCAGTGACTTGTGGTGTCAAGAAGTCACTGACTTGCTCCTTCTATAAATTGTTCGGTGTCAGTTTGACTTGATCCACATATTTGATAATAAGCGATACTAACCCATATAGCAAATGCATCACTTTGAGCAGTCGTTCGTTTAGCTCCCTTGAAGGGCGATGCGTAGGATTTGCAAAAAGTTGCATCAAACTTGGCGAACTCATCACCTATACACATATTGAGATCAGACTCGAGCTGATCTGCGACTTCAAACCTAGTATCATCCACGTACTGACTAGAACGTCCTCCAATTCACCAATAATGGCATCAAATCGTTCATCTTCCACAGTCTGTCTGATTTGATGATTGTGTTAGTTCGGGTAGATCCAATATAGAATGGCTGGAATTGTGATATAGGATACCTTCCAGCAATGAAATCTTCTTCGTTCGAACTGCTTGCTCCAGGGCTGCTGGTGATGTCCAAGATGGTCGCGCCTGTTTCATTAAACGGGGCTAATTAAAGGAGCGATCACCAGTTTGTTAATATGTAACAGGTACTACAACGATGCGTACCTGCATTGGCCTTCTTGACCATAGATGGGACCTTCACGGATTCGTTGTTGCTGGGCTGGTTCTTCAACATAGTTGTTTCGTGCTTTTTTGGTGTTAGTAGTGTGTATACAGTTTGGGTGTTTGTGGTGCAAGGGAGCAAAGAACAAGACCTGCTTGTGTACTATTAAGATTGAAGACGGTGATTGTAAAGTGCACGTGAGTTTGCAGAGATCTCTAAACCACTTTAAGTTGTCTCTTTTACTGACTAGTCTGTTTTTCGAAATAGGAATGAACTTGTCAAAACCATTACTACTGCGGCTGATCCGCCCAACACGACAGTTACAATCATCAATACCTTTAATATCATGTTCACGCCCGGAGAGTCTCCAATTTCGATCTCTTCAGACTGCAAATCTGAACATTAAACTCCAGCAACCTTGGAACAGGCTTCACATACCACCACTCAATGTATCGCATTTACAGAAACGCTTTCTTGAGACAGAAAAGCCACGATACCCAACTTCGGTCTCTGATACTGTCGGGGAAATGATGGAACGGGAAAGTAAAGAGTACAACAACAAGACTATAGCTGCTCCAATACTGTTTTCTGCTTTGGTGGTCGTGGTTTCCTTCGTTGTTGCTGCCAGTCTTAGAGAAGAGAAGGTAATTGCTGAATCTGTATAGGCAAAGTATCACGATGAAACAGTATTGTACCTTCAGGGTCACCTTGTTCCAAGCTCTTCTACGTAACTGACATCATCTGCAATAGGAATACCAGCAATCTAAGAAACTATTACAAAGTCTGACCACTAAAATGTCGGACGTTTGGGCCGTATGGACTGGAGGACGACAAACTGTAGATTTAGCTTCGATGGGAGATCCAATAAGTAGAACTGCAGGCGGATGGAAAGTTGGTGGTGTCTTTGATCGTTACGCACCATTTGAACTGAAACGAATGGTGACGGTAGTCCGCACTGAATGGTTGAATTACGGCGCATCGCGCCAACTGGTGTATGAAATAATAGCGCTCAATGCATTGGTCTTTTTAGCGTGGCAGGTAAGGCTACCATGTCGCGTGCGTCCGGTTGATTTTGTATGTGCTCACATGTTTCTTCTTCCTTGAATTTCCTCGAATAGGTCAGGCCGTTGCAGCCCTTCATGATTAGGCATTTTATGCATCATCCTCATTCAGGAAGGCTGCATACTTTAGTGACGTCTGCGTTCTCCCATCAGAATGTCTTTCATTTTGGGTTCAATATGGTAAAGTGTCGCCCTCTCCGACCAGTTGAACCGGGAATCGTCAATTGACTCCATTTTGCATAGATGGCACTCGCTTCATTCGGTCCGGCTGTTGTATATAACGATCTGGGCTCTCGTGAACACTGGCTGGCTTTCTATATATCGGCTGCTGTACTATCAGGCTTAGGGTCTCACCTTTACACAATCCTCGGAGCTCGTGCCGCACTACCTAGTCTTGGAGCATCTGGGGCTATATTCGGTTTATTTGCTGGCACGGCATATCTCAAACCAGAAATGGGAGTCAGAGTCGCCTTCTTGCCGTACAGGTTTGAACTAGGAGATGTGCTTCCAGTACTGGTACTTCTAGACGCTGTTGGACTGGTGCGGGGCTGGGCATTCTTTGATCATGCGGCGCATCTCTCCGGTGCAGCCTTCGGATTCTGGTATTTCTCGAGTGGGAAGAAGCATTGGGATGAACTCATGGATGAACTTCGTTATAGACGCGAAAGAAGATTGAAAAATGACCTCTGATCATGCAAGATCCGATCTTTTAAACTGTAACTGTAGACACGCCTCTGTAAAATAAAACAACACGTCATAAGATCTAAGTTGCGTCGAAAGAGTTTGCTCTGTTTCTTCAAAAACACCAGAGTTTTGGACAAGCTGGAGAAGCTACTGAAGCAATAGAATGAAGGCACGCCAAGCTTGCCAATGTAGTAAATCCGTTCTCGAACTGACTGCTAAAGCCCGTCCCTTTTCGCAATCACAGAGTCGACACTTTTTGGTCGATTCGTTGCTCCACAGGAGCAAACTGAATGAACATTCAGAACGTGTCTTACTAGGGTGACGCTCATTGAAAATCTTGAAGATTTGATCCACTCACTGACAACTTCGCAACATTAGGTATTCAGCACGCCAACTATACTCGATCGTCTCAGATGTATCTTCGTATCGCCATTTCGTGCCGTGGTGTGTCTCATCACGGGTAATATCGTCTCGAGAAGTCGCATATCAGCCAGTATCGCCAATACCTGGTGTAGTAGGCCGTCGTGAAACAACCGCAGCAGGAGGATGGAAAAAGAATCTGTTACGAGCTGAAGTTGGTGTTGGATTTGATGCATTTAATGAGACTTATATAAGTGATGTTACGTGTTTACCGTATTGGAAGGTTGAGGTAAATCACTATTTGATTCTCTTTGAACGTTTTTGGGTGCTTACACAAACCACGAATAGGCAGTGTCATCAGACTCAACGCTATTCAAAACACTGAACACGACATGGAGATTCACATCTGCTACACCATATACATCGCCGTCCACACTACCATTACCTTCTAATAGCAAGGCATTTGCACCACTTCCCCGTGATAATACTCCACACGACTATCCAGCATGTTGGGTAGATTTTTATATCGCATTTGAATTCACATCGCCGTTATACGCAACTATAGCCATGGCCTTTTTTGATGATGCTTGTAAGAAGATGGTTAAGGCCTTTGAGAAGAGGGCTGAGGAAAAGTATGGAGAAGCTTCAAAGCTGGCTAGATAGATTAATTTGCCTCGTATCTGTGTCCCTCTAGCTACAAATTGTTGTGTGAATAGAGGACTTGTCTGTAAATTAAACACACTAAAATTTATACAATAGATGAGGTCTGTTACTATAACTAAATAATAGAAGAATATTAATCAATTACGACGACTGAGTTTGATGGGCACCCCTATAACCATTAGATTCAAAAGTTCTTGGGAGTCTGATTTATTAACAGGTGCCGTACGATCGTCTTCAACCTCGTCATCATATTCGTAGTTTGGTGTAGACTTGACCGGCAAGTGCATCATAGAACCAGATATCATATCGAGTGGATTGGCAAAGTATTTGCTCTCCAGTCCCTGAAGAAGATATAAGTGAAAAAAACCATTGCAAGTGGTGTATTGTCGGAACATACCTCTTTAGCTGACATGCGTTGTTGTCCTGAATACTTGATAAAGCCTTCAAGCAATTCAATAGCATCATGAGAAGCTTGAAGAACTAGCGTTTCCATCTTCACTTCTTCTACTGTAGTGAATTCGAGTTTCCCATGATCTGGAAGAGTTGCAAGTTCCTGTAAAGATTAATTCAATGTTAGTGAACAAAAAACTTGTATTGGAAACGATACAATATGCTTGCAGGCCATGTAGTAGAATTCGGTGTCCCCAGTGCAGAATGAACTAGCATCAATTGTTCTATATCCGATCTACCAGGAAACAATGGAGTTCCTCGAATCATTTCGGCCATAATACAACCTGCAGCCCACATGTCTACTCCAAAATCATAATGACGAGCTCCGTATAAGAGTTCTGGGGCTCGATACCACCTATGTTGTTGCGACTTGATTAAACTGCTTGTTGCGGTGAATCCAGAGCGTGTCTTCATACTCATGCCTTGAGGCAACTTGATTGGAGTATGGCCGTGGCTCATCAGCATCATCAGGATGCTTTGTAACAGGATGAACCTGTCTAGCTAATCCGAAATCACCAATACGAATAGAACCATCACCAGCAATCAACAGATTGGATGGTTTGATATCGCGATGCATCCAACCCAGAGAATGAATATAATCAAGACCCTCCAACATCATGTGCGTGTATGACTTGACGTGGTCTGGCGGCAATGGGCCATGTGCAGTGATGATGTCTGACAAGTCACCAAGACAGCATTCAAACACCATTGTTGACCAATAAGGGATTGTGAAGTGCGATAGGAGGTCGACGACCTGCAGTCAAACAAACGGCGGTTTGAGCGAGATCCAACTGCCAATAGAGTATATGCAGTCCTTACATGTCGTGATCTACATGCTTGTAAGGCAGCTACCTCTCTAGACACAGTTTCAGGGGTTTGATCGTCTTTTAATGGCACCTTTTTAATAGCTACTTTTTGTTTCGTTATCGTATGAGTAGCACTCAACACCACTCCTACATCATATAAATATAGTAAATCGAAATAGAAACACGGATTCATTAAGCTCAAATCCACAAAACTAACAGAACTTGCCATGAGCCCCTTCACCAATTGTACCGTTGACCTGGTATAGATTGAGCTGCGAGGAAGATAGATCTACACCGATGTCTGAGAAGAGAGACCGTGCTGTATCTGGTCTTGCATCCATACTTGATTAAAAAGCCAAATTCTCTCACATTTGTTAGCTAGCTGTTGCTTTTGGGACGAAGGCATCAAACACGACCGTTTGAAGACATTTAACATCAATATATTATCTCTCTGACGCGTAATTTTCATTATAGCACGTTTAGCAGTACAGAAAACATGGTTTGCTTCCCAAGTAAGATTCACATTTTCTTTCGCACTGCATATCATACAGATTCTGTGGCTAGTTTCTACGAAGGATGAGATGCGATTACGCTGCTTCAATTCAACTTGCAATCATACATTGATACTATCTAGGACTCTCGAGTTCAAACTATCCTTAAAAGTGAAGAACGTCGCTTGGAGCTCGACGGAAGTAACTGAAACAGGTCAAGATGTACCATCCGCGTCCGTAGATCCATTACAAAGGTACTTTTTTGATGTTTGCTATCGTCTTTCTCCCTCTTGGACGCTCTATTGATGTGAAAAGCTCTGACATTGACAATGCGTTTAGCAAAATGACGCCAACCACTATTCATCACCACCATACACGTCGAAAGCTGGCTCGTACATCACCTCATATATCATCGCCACGAGAATCGACCAATGTGGTCCTCATTGCTGCAACCAGTCCAGAGATATGGTTTAGAAAACCTGTGAATGACGACAGAGACCAAGCATCAGACGATGCGGCATATAGGGAAGCAACGATAGAAGTAGTTCAGTCGCTTATCAACGCAGCTCCGAGAGGAACAGCTCGTGATCGAGCCAGAGTTCTCCTTCAGAGATTGGAAAAAGCAACCGATGGGCTAAAGCGACCTGAGAAACGGGTACGAAGACAGCGGGCTCGTGGTTTATCGGATCCTGCGAGTAGCAGTAGCATAGAACCTGTCAATGTAGAACAATTGGAGAAGGATCGACCAGCTGAAGGTCATTGGACGGAACAGGTTCATGTAAATCATCTGCAATTGTCGTGGATACGAGAGCATGCTAGACGTGCTGTGAATATCGCAGAGTCGATAGCACTGACAGAGAATGTGACGACCAAGTTTGTGGCTGAGCTGCTAGAAAAGCCAACCCGTAAACCTCGTCAAGCTGAGCTTGCCTGTGTCAAGAACCCCCATCGCAAGTCGAGAGTGTCTTCGGCTATTCTAATTAAAGCAGCTGATGCGCCTGGCTCAGAGCAAACTTTAAGGCTTGAACCAACGGAAGTTGGTGTCACTTCGCCGATACTGAATACAGCTGTAAACACCCACTCAATACAGGTCGGCTCCTTGAACATAGGTGGTGGAGAACACAGGATTGCTTATGCATATATAAAATCAGACGAAAAGGACGACATCTGGACTGTATACCTCCAACTTCGTAACGACCCATCAGCAGAAAGAATTCTGCCCTTCACGACGTTTGAATCCCTATTATTATCTGCATATAGTCATGCTCTCTGTATACCATCACCAGAACTAGCATATGAGCGTACGATTATGGTCATCCAGGACTGTCATCGTTATGGAATACGCCTCTCTCCCAAAGATTGGGGTCTCTTTATAGAATCGTTACAGGGTTGGAATCGTTTACATACTGTATTTGACCTGATTCCTACCTGGGGTAGAGCATTCACGCTGGAAGGGTTACGAGTCTTGCTACAGATCTGTGGCAAGCTTCGAGACGAGTATGCTGCGGTATCGTGTCTCGACATTGTGATGAAAAGAGTGCAAATTGATAAAGAAGATGTAAACGTCGGTGATCTGGCACAGATGCTGAAAGTTTGCCAGGTCTTTGGACTTGTAGAACGTGCTATAACGATATGGGATGTGCTCGTCACACCTAGAATTCATAATCTATATGGGCCGAGTGTCTTGCTAGTAGAGTACTTTAAGTGCTTGTGTCAGTATAGAAACGAGAATGTAGAGGCTGAGACTGACCCACGTAAACATTCAGATCTGCCACGTCAACATCTGAAGTTGCCACAGATTGATATTCTCGAGGTTGCTAGACGAGCCTTGAGTTCTTTGCCATCAGACGTTACAGAGGGTCGGAAAGTGTATTGGCAGTACCTTCGTGTATTGTTGTTAACGAACGAATGGACTACCGCTGCTCAAGCTATCCAGGGTAATATTCCAGACGACCTTCGACCTGTAACTCGATCCATATATATTCTACTTGCTACAATACTTTCTCGTGGGGTCTATGGCACTCGCGTACCACCATCACACTTACCACCCAGCACCAGAGCCGACCGAAATAACCAAGTATCTATAAATGACGAAGGTAGATATCGAGCTGCCGAGATAGTATCGAGATTAGGTCTGCTACGTCGAGGATTACCAATAGCCAGATACGAAGCTTACGAAGCCATCCAACCAATCCATCTGGAACTATTCAAGATGTATATGAGATGTGGTGAATTTGCCAAAGCCTTTGAATACTTTTACACGAATCGCCAATTGATTGCAAATAACAAAAAATCGGAACTTGTGGGTATAAACGATGCTACAGCACACGAAATAATCCAAATATTTGCCACAAACAAGCAATACATCCGTACTGTAATGGCATACAAGACTGCTGCAGGATACTCGACCATTGAAGAGAATGCGACAACATGGACATGGTATAGACCCGACATATTGACTCGAGCCACTCTAGCTCATGCTATCCGTGAATTATATCGTAGTCCTAGGCTTCGTAATAGACCTTCACTGACTGGTCTCAACCGTAACCATTGGAATCATCAGATTCAGACAGTGCAAAATCGTATTAGTTGGGGGTTGACTGAACGACGGTTTGCCGTGTTGGGACAGCAAAAAGTGAATGATTTGAGTGCTATAATGATAGCACCCTGTTACGTAGATTATATGGATCCACTGTAAATAGGTATATAGGTATATAACAGTCCAGAGTCCAGGCTTGTAAATATTAAATTAACCTCATATTGAAAACACTGAAATCGCGTCTCTGAAAGGTTGAAGGGTTATTACGGACGCGTTATAACGCGTTTTCAAATTGGTATGTCCTGCAACCCTGTTGACGTAGAGAGGCGGCACTCGGGTCGAGACTTAGAGGAAGCTATTCCAACATTCTCTGTTGACGTCGCTGCTTCGTTAAAACATAAAACACATTCGAGCGACAACATGGCCAATGAAGCAAATTCCATGATGGACTTGCTTAATGAGATTCTATATCAGATTTTAGTCCCTCGGGACAAAACAAAGAACCCAAATGGTAAGATCTCGTCTTATGATATGTTTCTTTCACATTGACGTCTGCGCAGCGTTTTTGGCTATCTAAAGCTCAATGAAAACAATGGAGCAGATGCTTGAAATTTCCTCAATCCACTACAATGCATCCACCATTTCATCACTGATGCGTATATCCCTCTTCGTAGTATCTCTGATTGAGCTATACAATCTGACATTAATCAACAAGCGGTTCAATGGGCTCTTGCTTCCAGATATATTTAGAACTGTGGCTGCTAAGAGCAAAAGCCAAATCATTCTCATGAATGCACTCAATGCTATGGCTATGCCGTCCAGCAAAAAATCCATGTATCGTCAATCGGCATTGGGTCGTATCAAAGAGCTGACTGTCGACTTTGACTTAACACACTTGGCAAAATGCACTGCATTGGAGCCTTTGACTGTTGGTCAGCCGTACATAGATATATTGTTGAACATGCCTGCGAACGTGGACTTGAATCGCTTGCAAGTCAACAATTGCTTTTCAATCCATCGTTCAAGACAACCTCATCCCCAGCCTCCCCGTGACGTCATAGTATGCAAGAATGTAGATTTGAGAATCCCATATGTAGAACAGGTGTTACCGAGCTGGATTTATATGCAGAGCTGCCTCCCTGTGAACTCTTCTCGATGCTCTCGGAGTGGAGGCTTGGGTATACCAGGCTCATTGTCAACAGAGTATTGGAAAAGTCAGCTGCATCTCTGGAAACTCTGGATCTATGTGTCTGGACTGTTATGAGTACATCTCAGAATTGGCTGTCTAGGTTGGAGCGGCTGAAGGACCTCTCGCTCAAACTAGTGACATTGGAACCTTTGGTGCTTCGACAAGATTTTGGGGGTATCGCTCGTGATCAAGCAAATGGAAAAAGAAACGCCTGTAACTGAAAACAAAATCTTAATAGTTGGACTTTCGTATTCATTGCACTGGCATGACGCTCGTCACTGCACAGACATTGTCATGAACGCCAGTCCAACCTTGAAGTCCATGGAATTCAGTGATATGCTAGCTCGCCCAGTATTGGCTTTTCTGCATTCCCTGCACTTGAAGTTTTGACTTTGTCATGCCGAGCCATACCTTCTTCTGGCTGTTCCAATTGGCTGAAGTCTCATGGAGGAGGCACTTGAAAAATCTTCATCTCGAAGCAGAGATTGACGATGACTTTGATTTCAGTGCCTTGTCACATTGCACAAGTCTGGAATCCTTCTTTATGTATGATGAATTCTTTGAAGGTAGTAAAATTGTGATCATTATCTGAATATTTCATTGAAAAAAGAAACCATATGTGACCCTTTTGACCAAAACCTTTTTCGCTTTTGTAGAAGGAGCGATTCGTCATGTGGTTATGATTCCAAGCCCCCATTTGATTCGACTGAGGATTGAGTGGGGTGTCTATAGCTATATCTGCTCAGGAACTGGCCGACGAAATCAAGCAGCAAAATTGTCGAGATCTCAGGGTGAAGTTTGAGCCACGAAACGGAGACGTGCCAGTATGTCTTGGATGGGAAGATATCTTAGACGACAATCTCAAAGCGTATGAAAACTTTCGTCGTCTTGTCCAGATTTGTAACTAGCTCGAATTGTTTCCGTAAGGGAAGTAGGTGTTGTCATCGCATTGATCCAGTTATTATTTAGCGTTCAGATTGTGTTTCAATATATACATATAGCTGTGAATTGGTACTTGGCTTAGTGTTTGGAGCTTTGTCCTTTGAGTTTTCGCCGCAGATACTTTCGTTCCCACCGTGGCTTAGCATCTATCGAGTTGAGTGCGTAGTGACGAGTCGAAACGCCCATTGATGCAGTCCGCAAATGTCTTGTTCGATCCAATCTCGCATTTGCAAAGTTCCAAATACCGCCACACGCTCAAACACATTCCTCCAATTGAAACACTGGCAACCATATTGGATCTGCCAGATGAGGACTTGATGCAGGTGAAAGCTTCTCCAGCCAAGACGATGAAGCCAAATCATGAGTCAAGTTGCAGCCCTGTGTTTTTGGCAGTGTTGAAACTTCACAGGTTTCAATCAAGGCTTGACGAACAGGAGCGAAAGAGCAAAGGACTTGTATTATTTTACATATCGTTAATGATGTACAGCAGCTCACTTCTTTGGGGTACGAGGCTTTGTTCCGACTTTTGGACAAAGGTCTTTGGCAGGACACTCTGTACATTTGGGACCAATAGGTCGACATAATGTCTGCCCAAAACCAACCAATAGAGGATTGAGTTGAGCCCAATAGTCAGAAGGCAACCACGATTCTAGTTCCTGAATATACAAAAAAGAGGCGACAGTTTTACTTAAAGCTCTTTTGGAAAGACTCGTAACTCTTACCAGACGCGTGTATTCTGGATCCTTCTCAGCAGTTTTCACCCAGCCCAAGCGATTACTGATACGATGAACATGAGTATCAACTCCAACACCATCATTCTTATTCCATGCGCACTGCATACACAAATAAGCCATCTTTGGCCCGACACCTGGTAATTCCATCAGTTTCTCGACGGTTGGCGGTATGTCGCCGTCATAGTCATCCTGTATTATTTGAGCAGCTTGCTTTATATAAATGGTTTTGCGATTGTGGAATCCCACTTTGCAGATGTATCCGTCCAGTTGTCTGTCGTCCATTGCTAGCACAGTTTCGACCGTTAAACCGCCCGGTTGATGAGATTTTAGGTTGGCCATGGCTGCTGCGGTTGTTTCATCCTTGGTTTGCGACGATAGCATTAATGCGATTAGAGTCTGGAAACGAAAGACCTATGGGCAAAGGTGAGATTGGAGGCTCAGACAATATTCTAGTTTGTGCGATTTCAAGACACATACCTTTTCGGACTGGGTGTCATCACCCAGACGTTCACAGCCCATAGTATCAACTACAGCTGGATTTGCGTCTCTAAATACCTTGATTAAGTCGTAGATTTCCTTCCAGTTCTAGCAAATAGACGAATGGTCGTCAGGTTCAGAACGAGCTGAACGATGATGATGGCTTCGAGCTCTTGAAACAGAATCAGATCAAATACCTTTCCTTACATCAGGAGGATTCCTCTTTACGGGTGTCTTTATAGGAGTTCGTTTCTTTGGGGTTGATGTCTTGGCCTTCTTTGGTGTTGCAGGCATCTCTTGCGAGCTTGGTGTTGCAGGTACCGATAGAGAAGGTACTAAAGCAGCTGGAATTACGTCGACTTCCACCTCGATGTGTCTTCTCTTTCTCGTTGACACCATTTTGTTACGTGCAATAGCGATTCTGTGACTTTTAGGCAAGACTGGAGCTAGTCTAATAAAAGGAAGACGAGAAAGGCGGGACAAATATAAGAATCTTGAATAAGACGCCAGCTGAACTCCTGTAAGTCAGTCTGGTCGTGTTTTGAGCTTTTGCAATTTAAAGTGGAATTTGCATTCGCAGCAGTATTTCACGATCGATCGCTCATTGCTTTGTTATATCTGTACCTGCTTACATTAGCAGATGCTGCTGTTAACAGGTCCTCCCTTTGTGATTAACTTCAAGGACGATGGATCCAGCGAAAACAGATTGAACATCGGATCGACCCACACCATTCTCACCGAGCCAGCAGATTCAGAGACGGTAGACACGTCAGGCTTATCTCATGAAGTAGCGACCTGCTATTCGTGCTGGGCTGGTGCAATTGTCATGGCCAAATTCCTGGAGAAGCACGCAATACTTCAGGCGTCAAAAGCTGCTTCCACAGGATTCATGACGGATCCAACATCGCTATATAACGTATCTGGCTGCCGTGTCTTGGAACTAGGGGCAGGACGTGGGGTCGTTGGTATCAGTGCAGCCATACTTGGAGCGAACGTCACATTGTCGGATGTTGCGCAAGATAGCTTGAACTTATTGAAGGCAGTCGAGCTGAATGGACTTACTCCTGTGTCTGGTCGTCGTCCTGCAAATAGTACAGAAGTGGAAGTTATGACTCTGGACTGGACCAATTTGCCGAGGTATCGTTGGTCAATCTCGAAGTTTCATCGTTGTTGTTAGCTTTAGTTGTCCTTTTTCCCTTTTGTTGACTTTACTTGTGCTTTTCCCTAACAATAGCGAGTCTGCAGAATATGACGTGATACTGGCTAGCGATGTTGTTTGGGTACCATCATTGGTGGTACCTCTCGTATCAGCTTTATCGAAATACTCGAATCCAAACACCAGAATCATTCTGGCGCATCAAACAAGATCCAATATCACCGACAAGCTCTTCTTTGACGAATTAGAAAAATCAAACTTTGAATATAGCATCGTGGATACCTCATATTTAGATCCTGAATGGATTGTGCCCGATATCAACATCTTCACAATCGCTCGAAAAGCTCCCTCAGTAAGCCATACAGAAGAAGGACCAGTCGCCATCACCAGTCTGGCCGTAGAGCTTCTCCTCAACATATTCACATATCTTCGTCCGCAAGAAGTGTTACGTGTTGGTGAAACTTGTCGAGGTTTCCAAAACACAACTTCAGATGATACGTTGTGGCTCCCATGGTGTGAAGCAGAACTGGGCAGTGAATTGACTGCTAATCTGAGAGCTGGAATGCCTATTATATCGTGCTACAAGCAACTTTATACAGCTGTCATCGCTCCATTTGGTTCAAGCTTTGGATTGTATCAGCGCGATTTTCCAAACCATGGCACAAAGGTATTTGTTGAAGCTTTTGTCTGTGTTGCCATTTGACTCAACAGTGTCACGAAAATCGCTTATTAGATATTGAGAGTCGGGCCGCTTGACAAACCAAATACAATTATTGGAGCTTCAGTATCTTGCGAGAATGATTTACCGCGGAATGGTAAGAGGCGCACTTTTATGCAAGAGGTTTTGCATATTCAGCTGCTGAAACCAACTTTTCGTCAACAGAGCAAGACACCGAATTGTCAATTGACCCACGATACAACATGGCCAAACTAGTACCTCGTCTCACATACGAAAAGGAGTTCGAAATCGAGCTGGAATCCACCGCTAATGGATTGATAACATATAAAAGTCAGTGTAGTCGATGTGGGGTAGCTTCAGAAAATTTATTCTGGCTGATAGCATGTTGGGACAACACTCATCTGACAATGCGAGAGCGCTTGTCGTATCCAATAACAGGTGGCGGATTATGGGGTGAAAATGATAGTAAGACTCACGATATGGAGGTCTCAAGGGGTGACGGATATCCGCTGAAACGAGGCCTGGATTTCATATCTCCTGAATTTTTGATGATGCAGTGTCTCACGAATGACTGCCACACATATTCATATGGTCGGTCAGGGAGTCTTCGAAACCCAACCAAATCAACCTACAGTCCAGTATACAGTAAAATCGAAATACCAAACCTTCAACCTGTCGATGATGTTATATTAAACCATGAATCGTATAAAGAGCTAAATATAAAGCCTAATCAAGGTGTTTTTGCTGGAACATATGGAGGGCATGGTATTGAGTTGATATTGATCTCGTTTACTATCGTGCCGTCAATGGCTGCTGATGGTCGTCCGGACCACGATCGGGTGTTTCTCGAAGCTCGAAAGATCACAGGAGGTACGTCAGCCCTTCACGATGCTGGAGATGTCATCATAGAGCAGTTTTGCTAACCAACGAATTTTTTTTGCTTGTGCCAGACACGAACGTGCCACGCTCGAAACGAACATGGATGGCCGATTTGAGTGTGCCATACTCTGAAATCGGACCTCTAGTCGGTGACGGACACACTCATCAACTCTCTTCCGTACCTGAATTCCGTGATACTCCAGTGTGTTATAACGGTCTAGCACTTGTCGCGCAGGAACATCACCGCTCACCTCAACGAATCCCATGTAATGTAATCATAGAAACCCCAGACAGGATTCGTGTCCTTTGGCCCCTGCTAGGAAACATATCTGTCTTCCAACGTGTAGATCTTTTATGAAAAAACATATGCATCGCTTCTTGCTTGCAAATCAGTTCTAGTAATGTACAACTTGAATAATATACTTAGTATCAAGGCTCATGTGCTAATAGTAAAGGCTCAACTTCTTCATCTTGTGATTGTTGTTCGACGTCTCGTGCGAAGGCCGACGCAGTCATCCCGCCATACTCTTCGCTTTCGTCGTCTCTGCACTGGAAGACCAATAGCAAGAGGAGTGTAAATACGGGCATCTAAGAGGTATGAGTAGAGATCGTTGAGTGTTTTGGTGCATCACGTTTTATCTCTCCAACAAACAAACAACCACAACACCCCCAAAGCAGCATGCAAAGCAGCGAAGGTGACTTACCAACCAAACAGTAAACAACCAAACCAACACTGGAAACGAAAACAAGAGCACCCTCAAACCAATTGTATGACAAAGTGCAGCCCTATTGATCATAGAGGCAGCAATATGCACATTGCTGGCAATCCGTTCCTTGACTTTCCGATTACAGTCCCGTGGTGCAATAGTCGTGATAAAGAATGTCAAGTGTTTCAAGTATCGCATTACTTCCAAAAAGGATATGAATGCACCAATGAAACATGTGATGAGGCATGCTAATATATGTGACGTAGTGATGAAGAAGAGTTAGAATTTGAAAGTTTGGAAGAGCGATCGAGAAGTACAAAACACACCGATCTTCATCCTGAATAACCAGCCCCAACCAGACAGAAATGCAATTTCACCATCTTCTCTGGTCCTTGATAGCGTTGCTACGAGCGCCATGATACCAACACTCAATGATATAGCGACACTTCCTAGCTGTACGAAATAGTTAAAACAAAATCACGTTTGTGGTATCATAGAAGAGAGAGCGAGTGGGACAAGAAGCTAGAATAAGTAACTGGAAATGAATCTTACGTACCATTGAAGCAGCCATAAGCCAGTTCCTGAGAGTCTGCACAGCAATGATTGCATAGTTTTGGTCACTTGCGATTCCGTACACCCAGTCTCGACGAGCACGCCTATTTTTGCAAAAGCACTTTAGTGTAAGGGTCACTATAGCTTAAATGGAAAGTAATCTAAAGTCATATGTTGATTTACCTTGTAATACCAATGACTGTTGTTTCTGGTTTTCGGTACACTCGTCTCGCAAGCAAGAGATGATAGACAACGTACATCAACAAACAGGATGGAGCTACCACTAGATCGGTAAGGTATGATGGATCTCTGCCGTTTACGTCGCTGGTCATTGTTGCTTTTGGTGCAGTGCAAGTTCGCGTTTTTTTGCGAAGCGCCTGTGAGGTTCATTGGCTTTGCTCGATCGCGTCAAACACAACAACGTAAACGAATCAACCAACCATACGTATTTAGAACCGTACAAACAATGCTATGATCATGATTATATGTGTGCGACGAATTAGATACACAAAGCAGCGTGTTAAACAACAATTCAGCCATCTCCTGCACCGGCTTGGATGATAGCCTTGTAGGCCTTGCCGATGTTGATGGTGGATTTATCTCAATCTCATCGTCTAGAGAGCTCTCGCAGCCGTCGTTGCATTTGCCGAATTTCTGCAACAGACACTCTTTGCTACATACAAAACACATGATGATTATGAATTTACTGATCTTATAAACATTGGTTACAAAATTGAGAAACAAAGCAGTGTGTGCGCAAGAAACAATGGCTGCGATTTATTCAATTGTTCACCCTAGTACCCAAGTCCGATTCAGCCATCTCCTTCCCCACATTGGCATCTAAACGGGTAGGTCTTGATTCTGTTGATAGTGGATTTATCTCCATCTCCTCATCTTGAGATTCTCCCAATCGACGTTGGAGCAGCCTAATTTCTGATGCCTTGCGACCACCAAATCCTTCAGCGTTTTCTTCGTCTAGGACGTAGCACATGACGAGTAAGAGGACTGTTGTGACTAGTAAGGCCCACGGAGAGAACAACCAGCTGAGTACTGGGAAGGCGTACAGTAAGAAACGGATTCCAAACTAATCGTGACGAGAATGTTAATCAGAAGAGAATTCACCTATTCACATATACAAGTGGAAAAAAATTACAGTATGAAACAAAGCACCCCGATTAACCATCCTCGTAGCCAGCAGCACCATAGCCTTTGCCTTGTCCGGCCTCACCAACGACCTCTCAGAGCCAGGTTGTTTCGGAGGGACAGTCGTAATAATAAATCCCGTGTGATTCATATACCGCATAGATTCCAAAAAGCATACAAAGGCACAGACAAAGGTGGCAATTAGAATGGCAATGTTGATTTTGAACACGTCACTGAAACCGGACAGGAAGGTCATAGTTCCTTCTGATGATTTGCCAGATAGGGAGCCTACGACTGCCATGATTGCTACACTCAATGTTATTGCTACAGATCCCATCTAAAGCGTTTCAAGAGGAGAGGAAGGAAGATAAGTTCGTTGTCTTTACGACAAGTGGAGGGAGTGGAAGATAAGTCTGGTGTCTTCACTACTTGTTGACCAACACCAAGTATGAGCTTCTTATTACCGCTGAGGATATCATCAAGTAGTTGCGTAAGGTCTGAATTGCTAGCACGCCGAGGCTTCCGTCCTGTTTAGACATGATTCCGGCAATCCAGTTTGCTCTGGCCTTCCTATTTGAACGATGCTGAAGTATCAATATTTGGAATTTGATGTGATCAAGTTTGACTTTTTGAAAACAGAAGGGATCTCATTCCAAGACCACAAAGAACAAGATAATTATGTAAGTTTGGCGTGGTATTAAACTCACCGCGTGATTCCAATGACTGTCAATTCAGGTTTCGTAAAGACATTAAACAGTAAGAATGCATGGTATCCGATGTAAGCAGTAATTGATAGCGCCACAATAGGAGCATCCGGTAGCGCCGACATCCTTCTATGGTATGCCTTGGCTCACCTTTGACTGTCGTAAAAGGTCAAAAACTCGAATTTGTGGGTGGATTTGAGGTCTTTTTGGAGGTGAGAGAATTTGCAGAGTCGGCGGACGTGATCTCGATGTGAAACATAGTAGAGAATCCAGTCCTTCCAGCTTTTTCAACTCGAGCTGTGAGGACTGCTCACGAAAACACGCTTTGACGAATATGTTCATCTCGAAGGGCCGTTGATAACCACCAACAACAGTAAACCATATCAAACTTGCACACCGAGTTAATGATTTCAATGAATTTATGTGTTTTTTTTTGTGTCTGAATATGTGGTTGTGTGTGTTTGAGCAATAAACAAGTAGTGATAGACTTAAGCATAGGGCGATCAGCATATATCTATGTGTCGAAGCATAGTATTCAGCCCACATATCATTTAGGACACTTGCAGCGTTCTTCAGCAGGTACATCCTTTAATGCACTTTCGATATGTTTGCCACTAAATCGAAAAAGATTGTGTTGGTTGATGTTGAATTCCCAAATGATGCTTAACAAAAGCAAAGAGGCTAAGAGAACAAGGTGTCAACGATTTACCAGCCGGCCCATGTGGGCTTTCCACAAGTCGAACAGGTTACTTTGTAGCACACTATGGTGAAGGCTGGATGAGATTTCAAAGTTACCAAATGGCACTTGCACACCGCCAACAGGAAACTCACTAGCTTTGTATATGAGTCGACTGAAGAAACAGGTTAGTTTTGAAGCCTTTTAAGATTCCTCTTGTTTTGCAAGGTGTCGAACGGTGCTCTTGCTTGGTTTTGTGTCGTGAATTTCAAATTTCATTTTTCTGGAAGGAAAAGTTTCAGTTGAGCGAGTTAAAATACAAATCACTATTTTGGTAAGCACAACCCCCTCAAATCAAGCCCTACCAATGTACCAAGTCATAGAGCATTCAACGCGGCAATCAGCAAGAATCCACGTCTTCATATGGCGTCTAACTCCGATTCACGTGTTTTTCTTTCACTGTCTGTAAAGTTGACGCAAATGGCGAAAGACAATCAACAAGACATCCACTGATAGTCTAAGAAATCTTGTCACTATCCTCCGTGACTTGAGCTCCATCAAAGCGTATGAAAGCCTTGTTCTCAAACCGTGATGAAAATTGAAACCATCTAAATCACACGAAACGAAAATCTTTTTGAGACAAGGGACAAATCTTTCTATTATAGTCGTTACTTTAGTTGAGGTTCTAAATCTTTCAACATTCTCAATATTGGCTTCTCAGGCTACCACAGACATCAATTGCATGGCAAAGCTAGCAAGAATCCCAGCTCCAAATATACTGCAAACTACTAGTAGAGAGCTCGGTTGCAAGAACGCCATTCCTGGATTATGAGAGGTGATGAGTATAGTGAGCGCGACAACCCGACGGAAACCACACTCACCACTAACACCGTGGCCTGAAGTACAACCTGCAGCGATCCTCGCGCCAAGTAGTACCGCCACACCACCTGTGAATGCTACTACGGGGTTATTGATGCCAATTACAGTCATATGGCTCATATTTACAGTCAATGAAGCGCTGATTAGAGCACCCACTAGCCATGATAATTTTGGCACACATTTAGTTAGCCACATACGTGGTTGACACTTTTCAGGCAGTATCGAGTGTGGGAATAGAGGAGTTACTAGTGAGGCAAGGGCGACGGTTACAGTCGATGCTCCCAGGGATTCGTGACTTAGCAGCCATGATGGAATTTGTGCCAATCCCAGACCGAAACCTACAGGTAAACGTTGATTCCTTGATAGATCCACGATACAAGTGATGCTTTCAAGCTCCAAACCTCACCTGCAACATAAGGCAGCCAAGCACCCTGTCCCAACGGCGAATGTGGTAGATATGTATACGCGAGATACGAGAATGTGCCGAATATTATGGAAGATGGGATGGCATATTTGGGATAATTTTCCATTATAGGATCAGATTTGGGAGCAGGTGCAGAGATAGTCCATGGTTTGATGGTGTCTTCGATCATCCCGTATATGAGCGAACCTGCTATTCCACCTAACAACACTGCTGGGCCTCCCGCTGCTCCAGATCCGATTTGCGGAATCATTGTTCCTGGGCCTATCAATGAACCAAGAATCAGTTTGAATCGTCGAAGATTCCTCTGATCTTGCTTACAACTGCCTGCATATCCCATTCCAATGCCTAGGACACTACCACCAAGAAGAGCAGCCCTCCATCCTCGTTTCCGTCCTTGCCTTGAATCCGTTAAAGCAGGTCGCATCGAGGGGATCAGATTGTAGAGCAAGACATTCGAGATCTGGGAGGCAGAGATGGCTGAGAGCATAAAACTCATCATTGTAAAGTCTAGATTGTACCAAGTATGTGAGAAACTGATTAATATAAATGGTTTGGAGCAGTTTTGGAAGTGGGTATTGGCGTTCATTTCATTGCATTTTTAAAGCCGCGTCCAAAATGTTCAATGGTGCATTGAAGGACTTGAAGCTCAATGCATACCTCTGAGTTGGAATTGAGCCTGTATGATGGTCGGTTCGAATACTCGACCTTTCACTAGGACGAAGGCGAACACACCTCCCATTATAGCGTGATTTATCAAGTCCATTCTGTTACTAGGCGATGTCAAGCTATAAAAGTGGAGTGGTGGCGAGTTGTAAAGGACGGATCTGGATTACTCAGACTGTCTGTCAAGTGTTATGTGTCGCTTCCTTTCCTTCTCCTTCTCCTTGATGTGGGGCCGACCAATGAACGTCTTTGTCAGAAAGTCCCTCACTTTTTGACTCACTACGACCTACTCGTGGCGAGCGAATTTTTCTCTTACAACGCGAACATTTCCGCAATTAAAAATCCTCTCTCATAAATAGGAACTGCATCTTTGTCCAGATATAATTAAATGCTACTCCACAGACTCGCATCAACTTCTGCTCCTAAACGTAAGTCTGACTGCTAACATACTAATGCACAGAGGATCCAAAGCTAACCACATCTACACAACTAGTCCTATACTCTACTTCTATCAGGAATCGTAAGTTGAACAGCGCTTTCATCTCTTACATCTTGTCCAATCTATCTGCAATGCACAACGCAGACACAAAGTTTCGCTGAATTGATCAACCCAACTCTGCATTGCACAATTCTTACGTGTACAAATTTTGCTCATCTCGGTATAGCCATTGACTCACTGTCAACTTTTTCATTGTTTGCCCATAGAAATTCTCTACATGAATTCTCGCGCAATGTCCAACCTGAAATCTCTAGAACTCAACGGCAAACAATGCAAAACATACGCCATCTGGGATCCCAAATCAAAAGAAGCTCTTCTCTTGGATCCATTAAAAGAATCTACACCTTTACTTCTCTCCTTCTTGGCCTACCACGGTCTCAAGCTCAACTATGTCGTCGACACACACTCCCATGCTGATCATATCACGGCTTGCTTCAAACTCAAGACTCTGACTGGTGCTAAATACACCATGAGTCAGAATGCTCCTGCTCCTGGAATCGATCTTCATGTTGTTGATGGTGATAAATTGAAGCTGGGTGATGAGGTCGTGCAGGTTATTGCTACTCCTGGTAATGCTTGTGATGCATTGTTTGTTTTTCGCCGTTGGTTGTTTGCTGGGGTTTCACTACGTTGTGACAAACAACTTCACTCACTCTTACACATTATTCATATTTTCGCTAATTTGTCATAAACTCTTTCACTCACTCTACAAATTATTCTCATAGGACACACTCAAGACTGGTAAACAGATCTGTCATAGCTCGAAATTTCATGCGGTTTTGCATGTGTGGGGGGTTTTCCCCGCACTTATATGAGTACTGACTCAACCCCCATCTCGCCGTATAGTATCTCTCTCTACACTGGCTCTGAAGTCTTCTCTGGTGACGCCCTATTCGTTGGCGGTTGCGGTCGCACGGATTTTGCGGGAGGTGACCCTTCTCAGGCATACGATTCCATCATGAAACTCTTTGCCTTGCCAGACGACACTATTCTCTTCCCCGGACACGATTATAGATTCAACACTCAGTCCACTATTGGTATTGAGAAGAAGACCAATCCTCGTGCAGGTGCTGGAAAAACGCGTGAACAGTAAGATCAAACGTACCATCTATTTGTAGCTGCCGCAACTTTTGTGGCTGACTGAACGAACATGTCATGTCTGTAATAGGTTTGTGGAGATTATGAACAATCTTGTAAGTAATCTTTCGTGCACTCCTTCTCATTTTCTTGGAAGACCAAAAAAAAACTTCTTCTTCGCAAAGCTAATCATCTAACCTCTGTCGTTTTTAGAATCTCCCACTTCCCGACAAGATCATGGAAGCGCTTCAAATGAACACTTCTGCTCTGGAAGACAACCAAATCAACCTGCCAACGTACCCACAACTAGCGGCAGTAAGGCAGCTCGCACCGCAAGAGCTCAAAGCTTTGATTACGGCGCCAGGAGGTGACAAACCGCTCGTCATTGACGTTCGTGAAACATCTGAATTCATGTCTTCAGGTAACAGCACAAAAGCTCTACGAATTGCCAATGCAGTGTTTTACTCACATTACGCTATACCGTGTAGGAGAAGAAGCAGCCGTACCTGGCTCAATAAACATCCCAGTCAAGCAGCTCGCATCTCGTATCAGTGAGATCGAAAATCGTAAAAGGGATTTGATTGTCTGTGTCTGCCGGGTCGGGATGCGATCATCAACTGCATCGTCAATCCTCATTGGCATGCATTTTGAAAATGTATGTTCTCTGAAAGGTGGCGTGTTGAACTACAACAAAAGCATGTAGTAAAGGACTCACTGTATCGGGCAATTTTGTATTAAGAATCAAAAAATGTAACATTTTAATATTTTTCAACGAAAAACAAATGTTCTAGCTTATGAGTTGGTTTGTGGTATATGTTCTGATGCTTAATCTCAGAGTTGCTGCGTCATCTTGTCGTTCCCTTCGTCCATACGCCATGAGCTGTCTCATTAGCAAAGTAAGTAATATTTTGTAGCATTAAATCTGTCATGCTTGCTGGAGGAAGGCATTGCAATATCATATCTGTTTAAGGGATGTGAAACGAAGGTGAGCAACGATGGGTGGAGGCGACAAAGAAGACTGGCGCAAGAAACGTGCAGCAAGACACACCAGTGAACATCATCTGCGTCACATCCAAACCAGCACTGTGCATAATAAGCAATCCTAAGGAGACAAGATAGTTCCCAGCATCTGCTCTAGACACATTAACAGCACCATCAGCAATTGGTGTTCTGATAGTAGGTGATCCAAGCACCGTGTATAGCGGCGTTGATGTCGCGTTTGCTGAGGTTTGTGCTGTTACCGTGAATCTTCAGTTTAGGAAGAGAAAACATGTGAGCCAAGAGGTTGTAAATGCAGGCAAACGAGCACATGGATTGGCACTTTGAACTTACGCCATCTGCATCTGAATGGAACTACCAACGAGAGTACTGTCGAATGGCATTGACGAGTTGGCTGTGAAGAGCATATGAGTGACAGATGCATTGAGGTCTAAGGGCGTTGTAAAACTTGTGAGAACACGTAGCAACGAGGTTTTTTTTGTTGGAGTGCAAAGTGGTAACATCACAAAACCAAAAACAGAAGCAATGACTAACAATCTTTAGTCGAACTTACTTCCACTCGCTCCAGAAGGCATTTCATAATCTAAAACCAACATTCCACGTGCGTTATCATATGCAGTCAAGTCAATCTGATTCGTGACATTCACAAGGAGAAAATCTGTCGAATTATCTATTCCATTCGGATCTGAAATCGAAGATTTGTCAGGTTAGCCTTCTTTGCTCTGGAAAATTTTGAAATTTCGACTTTATGTCGGGTTTTCAGGTTTCTATTTGGCAACAGTACAAAAGCAGCAACAGCAAACTCACCAGAAAAGTTATGTGGTAAGAATGCAGCATTTGCAAGACTGATATTCACCGGTGGAGCACCACAAAATGGAATAATAAACGGGTGTGCAGCGTCCTGACCGATTGGAGCTCCAGCTATAGTACCATTCTGTGCTTTCACCAAGTTGAAAAGGACTATTATGGAGGCCAGAAAGCAAGGTCTGGTAATGGTGTTCGAGTGTCTGGTCATTTCGGTTTGTCTCGTTGGATTTCGGGTTGTAGTGTCTTTCATTTATCAGAAAAGCACAGAGATCGTATCTTCTACAAGGTTCGAAAGCACTGTTTCGACTGTTTCGAGGTTCCTGTGATCCCTTTTAAGGCTTTTTGTTGTTTGTGAACGCAGAAAGTTGTGTATGGCGTAAAAATTCTTTGACACCAACTTCTTGCACACCAACTCCAGTGTAAGCCACACACCAGCTAAAGTTCAGGCAATTAGGATCCATGTATTAACAAACAAGTTCTCGATAGGATACATAAACCTAATTCCTGTATTCATCCCCACAGTCGCCAATTATTGAAAACATCTAAGGCACAAAAAAATGTCAATCTTCAAAGTCAGCTCAAGCACTTATTCAAAGGCACGCACGCAGCAAGCTTACCTGTATCCTCTTTGACTTTTTTTGAACACTCTCAATATCAGCCAAATCTTGTTCCGTCAGCGTAAAAGAATACACCTTCAAATTATCTTGAATGTTTTGGGAGACACCCAATCGAGCTCCAATTATCACGCCCCCCACATACGGCTTCTCAACCACGTAGCGAGTTGCTACATTAGCAATGCTCACGCCATGCTTGTCACCAATTTTCTTTAATGTCGACAAGAGCTCCTGGAATAAAATCCAACCACCCCATGCATTAATCATTTGGAAATATTTGTTCATGGAGGGCGTCATTGGAGTAGATCGAGTTGGCTCTGGTTTGCCTAACCATTTGTCTGCGAGGAAGCCTCCACACTATAAAAGAAGCGCAATTTCGTTGGCACGATCAAAAGATGACCGAACGAGTGCAAAATACATACGAGAGTTCCATATGTCAGTAGCTTGACATTATGCTTGAGACAAACGTCTTTCATCTTGACTTCAGGTCTTGTGTCGATCAATGAGTACTGGACCTGGTTTGACACAATTGGGATTCCTGAAGAGTAAAGAAGTTTCAGTTGCGTTGCCGATTCAGAAATGCGACTAAAAGGTCTGTATTACCAGCGGATATGATTTCCTCAACCCGAACAGAATCAAAATTCGTGAGAGCGATGTTTTTTATTATTCCTTCCGATTGCAAATCCTTCATAATCTTCAAGGCGCTTATAAACTCCTTGTCCGCGTAGTCCCACCAATGGAACTACCATCGTTGAAAGTTTCAGCGTAACGGTAAGTCTTTTGATTAACCACTCTTTACCTGGATCATATCCAACGATTCGACTCCCATCCTTGACAGCCTCTGCTTGATGGCAGGTTCAACCACAGATCTCGACATTTTTCCACCGCGAGGCACCCATTTAGTAAGTCCCAATAACTCATTCCTCTGGTTTGCTGGCAAGCTCTTTCGAAAATCAGCCTGTTTGGCAACGAGGTTACAACACAATTTAAGAAAATGGATCGGTGGACCTGCAAGGTACATACGTAAATCAATTCGGCATCTCCATAATGGTCCGCAAAGTCTGGTGGTGGACTGGTCAGTCAAAGATGCGGCAGAAAAATACATTCCACTGTTTCTCACCAAATGTTTTGAACCCAGCGTCAAAGTGCTCCTTCATCGAGCTGACACGGGCTTCACGAGGAGCGGCGCCCCACGAGGAGGACGAGACTTGCCATAGACCAATTAGCAGCTTGTTGATCTCAAGCGTTCCAACAGTAGTTGTTGTCGATGACATTTTGGCAGTAGCAGGAACGGTACTGAGATTCTCAGCGTGTACAGAAGATAGAATTCCAAATGCTGCGAGCCTAGTTAGCTTTCTTCGAGTGCTTCTCCTGATGAAACTGGACAACAGCGTTTGCATTGAAAAGTCAGGAATTGTGAGACGGCTCTCCGATACAGTACGCGCTTATAACTCAAAAATGCGAGACTTCAGTGTTCAGTTCAATTCTCTTTCGTTTGACGCGTCAAAGAAGCTCAAACAGTATGCAGTCTTACCTCCTCCTGCTACTACCAAACCTCAGATTTGAACTATGGACGACGAAGAAGTGGAGACTCTTGATGATATGCCAGACGAGATCTTGCTACAGATTCTGGATCCTGGAGGCGCGACGATGAAGCCAAATATTGTGTAAATGTCTACTAGTTGTCATCCTAGAATCAATCTTTTGTGACGCGAAAGTTCCTCTCTAGTCAGTCTGAAACCGAAGGAAACAGGACGAAGCATACAGTTCAAGCACTTCCAATATTCGCTAATGGTTTCAGAGTATTAAAGAGCAACTGTTTATATTTACAACTAGTGAAGAAAACGTCCCAAAAAACGTTTAATAAATCAATCAATACTCCTACTTTTATGCAGAGGGTTCCTTTTCCAATGCGAGCTTTAGCACTCTCCACCATTGAGCGTGGAAAAGAAGTACGAGACCTGTAGCCACTATGCAGGCCTTTGCTGCTAATATAAACTCATGTGGCTTCCAATACATTACGACCCAGTCAGAGTCGAGAGCTAGAAACATGGTGGTCAAACCACACCAAACTGTGCAGTAGCCTAATGAAAATATTTAAGCAAGACCAGATTCTGGAGGAAAAAAGTAGTGGACCTACCAGCAAGTCGATGCATGGCGACGATTCGCTGATACCGCATTCCTACAGCAGCCCAAACCCATGACTTTCTCGATAGACCAAAAGCGCCTTGCAATATGGCAAGCACGAATGTCGTTAAGCCAAACTGTCCATGTAGCGATGTAAAGTGGTCTGCCTTGTGCTGGATCTTGTTATATAAGATGATGCAAAATCCCACAATAAGACTGAGGAGAGCCAGAATCTGCATCCTCCAGTGAACCGAGAAAGCGTCCCTCCGTGATAAGTTCGAGGTGGCCTGAAGAATGAGTTGTGAATTTGACGATGCAAATCTTGCGGACAATGGCATGAAGGTCGTTGTGCCCGAAACACGTCTTGAGCGATTTGCAACATACCTGTTGCAATGCGAGAACAGCCGATACCGATAAAAAGACAAAGGAGCTCATGGCACTCGGATGCCATGTGAAGACAGACATGCCATGGTTCCAAGCAAAGAACCAAGATAGCACCACTACAAACAGCAACAGCAGCTCTGCGATTATTGAGACTGTCCTCCTCCACATTGGCGGTTTGGGAGCTTCGTAGACTGCGGGCTATTGAATCGACGTGTGTCAGCAAATCTGGTGTGTGTTTGGTGCTAGTTTTCTAGCTGTCAGACTGGTCAAAACCCGCTATCACTAAAAAGCGCTGGAAGAAATGGTTTGTTGCAGGACTGGGCCATACCTCTCCAAGTAAAGGAGTAGTCTCGGTGTCATCAGGCCTCGTTATAGTCGTCACGGCTCCTGGTGCTCGACTGGTGTCCATTCTTTGCGGCAAGGCCAAAGTGCAAACGGTTTTGAGCTAGTCCACGATTTTCGGACGACGTTGGATCTCCATTAGGTGTACCCAATGCACCATGACGTGCCGCGTCGCATCTTTGTTGTATTAAATGATTTACGAGTGGCCTTTGTCTCCCTGGTCTTGACATCTGTGATATTTTGGAAACTCTATCATTTGGCTGAATATGATGTGTCAGGCAATGCCAAAGGTGCAGATATTAAGCCAGATACGGTCTCAAATCGATGGAAGAATGATCTTCCCTGGGACGAGGGCGCTGATCAGTTATTTACGTTTGTGCAGGTTACTCTTTTCGGTCAATTCTACGGCGTTCGTCAGTTGATCGTCGCCAGGTCGCTTAATTTGGCTATAAAATACTGTTATTCACACAGTTCTCTCCTAGATCTCGGACCTCCACCTCTCGAAATTTCGAACACACTCTACTGCAACCTTCAATCAATTCGTTTCTGTAATACTTCCACGTATCGCTCCTGCTTTTGTCGTTGTAACTGGTGATCTCACGGATGCAAAGGACCAGCATCTACTTGGATCCGAGCAGTATCGTGAAGAGTGGTTATCGTATCACGACACTCTCGCCAAAAACCACATACTCGCGTCACCAAACTTTTGGTGGGACATGAGAGGGAATCATGACTGCTTTAATGTTGAAGATACGGAGACAAGCATGTACAATACGTGGGGTGTAGTCAAGACGGAAGGATGGTTGTTTGATTACTCGACAGACTTCGGACGCTATAAGTTTATTGCTCTAGACGCTTGGTAGGACGTGTTTTGATTTCGTAGTTCCCTTTTAAGGTTGTCCCTCATCTTCTGGTTTCCTTAGCCCATATGGTTCGGCTCGACCGTTTAATTTCTTCGGGACTCTGACGCGCTCTGATTTGGACTTTTTAGAGCAATCGTTATCCGATCATAGGAGCAGCAACCATACGTTCATACTATCGCATTACCCAACCTCAACAACATGGAGTGGTCTGTCATCATCAGGAAGGACGTTCGCAACTCTAGCTTCTGAAGCATCAATCTATTTGTGTGGCCACCTACACAAATTCGTAGCAGATCTGTTTCCCGATATGTACACGCTTCACGCTGCTGGGTTTTTGGAGTTGGAACTAGGAGACATGAAACATAATGATCTTTTTCGTATAATCGCAGTAGATCATGACTTGGTTTCTTTCGTGGATGCGCAGATTTATGTGGACATGGCTCCCATACTTGTTATCACGAATCCACGAGACTCACGATTCGCCATTCCAGGTCGAGAACCGTCGCATAGGATTTCGACGTCAACACATATAAGGATACTTGCATATGGCGAGAATGTCAAGCAGGTTTCAGTCACTATTGACGATACTATGGAGATAGAGTGTAAATGTAGTAGTAGTGGGAAAGCTATAGAAGTTGGTAGCAATTATCTGCCTCTGTGGACTTGTCCTTGGAAGCCAGACGATTTTAACGACAACGCAGTGCATCGAATCGAAGCTACTGCTGTAGATGGGCAGAATAGAGTCGGTACATCATCGAAACACATGTTTAGAGTAGATGGGCAACGGACGGCGTATGCTTGGACTGGAACGTTTTTACTACAGACACCATTTCCTGTTGTGGTGAGTTGTGGCAAATTGTACTCGAGCAACTGTTTCAATCTGAGACCCCGTATCTTGCATCAGTTTAGGACCCTGTTTTCTTTGGTTTACATTATTCTTCTTATCGCTATCCTGGCTCCAAAATATTTCGTATGGAGGCTCGTCGCCATTCGTCGTTACGAGACTTGGAGACAAGAGCAATCGTCTGCATTGATCGCTCAGGATGGCATTCTGATACGTGGGAATTCAACAGATTCACAGCTCTTTGGATTCAGGTCGCTACTGAAAGGACTGTGGTTCAGAATGTGTGAATCCACTCAACATGAGCAATTGTGGTAACGTATCTAATACTTTGCGAGCTGTGGACTGTTGCTAACGCTACTTTCACTAGGTCCGCAACGTACTACAACCATCTATACATGCTCATTGGACCGTGGTTTGTTGGCGAGCTGATACCGAATGCTGTCAACATATATGAGCGCTGGGGCGCCTTCTTTATCGTCGGACTGAGATCCTTTGCAGGCCGCTCTGTGTCGATCACGGATACATATGCATACGCATTCTTTAACCTGACATTCACTTTCTTCCCATTAATGCTGTGTCTGGTCTGCTTCAGCACGGATCCAGACTTGTTGTATTGTAGAGCCAATTCACGTCGAAGTCGACCGATTCGTAATCGTTGGTATGTCAAACTGGTGAGTGAACATACGGAGAGCGGTTATTGAAGAGTTAAAGTTCAATGATCATTTTTTGTAGGTCATCGGCATGTACATCTTTTGGGCAATTTATAGTGTATACCTGCTTTCATATTCGTATGGCTGGTGGTCGTTCGTCTTGTCTCACAAGACTTGGTATTTGGTGGTGATAGCTAGATGTCTCATGACAGAAACGGATTTAAATCACGCTACGAGTAATGGGGAATCGATTAAGATAAAGCTACGGCCTCGAACGAGAACTCAGAAAGAAAAGAGCTAGGTTTTACATATGTTATTCTGTAACTACAAGTAGACCCATATAAACACGCATACAAAAGATAGGTATCAAAATTTGCAGTGACCAATGACTGTTGATTCACCCAAATAGCTTAGAGAGCGGAGCAATTATTCCAGGAATACGTGCGACGTGTTCCCGCAATCCAGGAATGCGGTCGATATGCTCCTTGATTGTGTTGATCGACGGATCACTCCCAACCTTCTCAACAACAAGGGGAGCAAGTTCCTGAAGCTTATTGACAGCACTCCGAATGGTCTATATAGCCAGGGTGTTAAATGAGCATGCAACACTGCTTCCGACAACAAATCAAAACCAATACCTCCTTGGCCTTTTCCAGTTCATGCACAACGGCATCTGCTGGACCTTTGCCCTTGTCTTTACTGTTGTCCACGGTAGACTCGACGGTGGTTTCTTCTTTGACTACAATAGTCATTGATGGCGTGTCTAATTTGCAAAAGCTTCAGGAAACCACTCTTCCATTTAAATCAATCGTCATGCACTACCTGACGATGACGAAGAGCCAGCAACGTCTTGACTCGATGACGATGCTGCTTCTTCCTTGATAATTGGTTCATCCTGACACACTTCTGACTCGCCCTTGTCGTTTCCGGCACTAACCAATACGCAATGATTTTAGCATTCAAAGATATAAGAAAGTTGGAGCAATAACACACACCTTTCCACGCGTTTCTTGTCATCATACTTTACCCGCCTTCCCTCGAATTGTATAATCACGTTATTAACGTGATGTTGCAAAACAGTAAAATACGAAGGGGGAGGGAGAGAGTCTATGACTACAGGTCTCTTGAAAACTCTAGGACCCAAATAATCCAGCAATCAGTTACTGTACAGTATGGAGTGAGTGCGATGACACATACCTTAGTTGCCAAAATATTCGACATCCAATTGTCATCAGATAGTCCCGAAGCATGGAAGGATTGGAATAAGTAAACAAATGTCTAAACGGTTCAGCTAACGTTGGACCAGTATTTAAAAAATGCGCCATACTGCCACTTCTCTGCTTTCAAAAGGAGACGCTGTTGAGATTCCAAAACCTACACAATCTTTTCCGAAACAATTGTGTGACACTTACCCTGTCAACAAAGGTTTCGAATTGTGGTGAGAATCCAAACGCCAAGACTTGCAAGAAATCATGAAGATTGTTTTCCAATTCCAGAATTGCAGGGAGTAAGTTGGTTTCATATTTTTCTAGGAAGCTATTCCATCTTCCTCGAGGCTAGTGTGCCGTAAGAATTAGAACATTTTTGGTCAAAGTGATTGAGCGATACTTACAACTCCGCGAAGATAGAAATGAGCATCATGAATGAGTGCAACACAATCCGTAGCAGAGAGGTATCCGAGATCCTTACTGGCTGAAGCCCATATACCGCGTTTGCTTTCGTAGATGCGCTCTAACGGTACAGGGGAGCCAGCCTGAAGTGGAGGAGTTGTTCTGTCTTCATGATACTTGAGAAACGCGCGGGACTCGTCCTTTGACTACAAAAACGGTGAGTCAGATTGATAATCAGATAATCAGAATGTATTGGGTGTTGATTTTCGACTTACGCTCATGAAATGAATCCAGTCTGGCTCATCAGGAGGAGAGTCGCGATGCAAAACATGGTCCATATCGGCCGTTTGTGCATTATGAATAACATCTGCATTTTAATGGAGAATTTGAGCCGTTTACGATTGATGTTCACTGTAAGAACTGAATACCTGGAGTGGAAGTGCTTTGTGAGGAAATTGGTGAGTGTGGTTGGGAATATGACAGTGGACGTGAAGGAGTAGCAGGAGAACTGATAGATGCTGGTGGATATTGACCCATATAATGACCATTTGCGTTACCAGCAACTAGGAAGAAAATAGTGAATTTAGAAAGAGTCAAAATCAAAAATAGCAACATGAATTACATCCTGGATGCATCAATATGGGCCACTCTTGCACCGTAATTGCACTGTCAGCATACGTTGAGACTATTGAAACATAGGATGAGTAAGAAATCGCCTTTTGGTATATGCCGGGAAAGCCCACCAGAGTCGTCAATAATATCATATTGGTCTTCTAGGTTTAATACGACAGTTAGAACATTTTGCATGTTTGTGATAGTATTAGGATAAGGGTGTACCTGATGGGATGCTTGGACTTTGTCCAGAAATGGAGTCAAGGTATTCTGGTGTGGTAGTCTCCGATGACGAATCCTGACTGTCATAGTGTTCTAAGTTGTTTTAGTGTGTGAGCTGGCTTATCTTATTACCACAGCAATACAGGGTACTGGTCTTACCAGCATCTGCTGGGTTAGTGGCAAAGACGGCTTCGGGAGTAGCAAAGTGTAGTCTAACGTGTCTCTTTACATTATAAGACCTGTCTAAGAAGCAACGCAAGAATGAGGGTTTTGTCCACACAACCTTTTGCATCGTTTGGAGTACTTACAGACGGATAACTCCTCCAAAGTATTGTAATTTTGCTGCCAAGTTCTGTTGAAGTCTGTTCGGTTTTGATTGGCAAGTTGCTTGGAGACCCAATAAGTGAGGCAGTAAAGACATTTGGCGACAACACGGAAATCACCACCAGATGCATCGCTCTGCTTTCCATGCCATGGAGGGTAGCGTTCCATACCCGGAACGCCAAGCGTTGGTTCGTATTTGCAGCCAAAAGGGTCACGAACGCCCATGTCAGATAATATATCAACTAGATGATATAATCAAAAGGTCAAATTGGTTGTTGCTTAAATGTGCTCGAACGGTGTCAAATGTAACGCCTTCATTTTGACGCCACACGCAGTTATGGCCGATTACGGCATCAGACAGGTGCATTCTTAAGCGCATTCGTGTTCCAAATAAACCAAATATTTCGATGTAATCACCAGTAAGTTTTGTCTTGCATTGTCTCAACAAAGCTTGCAAATTTCTAAAAACATCAGTTGACACTTACCTAGCACGGAGAGACAATAGGGCAACTTGATACAGTGAGGCTATACACCAATGGCAGAGTGAAACTGCAAATTTTCGTGCAAGAATGGCTGGCACAATTCCACTCCCTCGTAAGCTCTGTGCTACATAGTGAGGAGGGGAGCGAGGAGGGGTGAGGAGGGCAGTGAGGTCTAGAGCTCAAGCGAGGGACAAAGGAAGACGTAAAATGGTTGCAATTTCAAGTTCAAGTTTTCCCGAACAAGAAAGTATCTGTTTTCCAACACCACTTGCAACACAAACACACACATCAGACACACATCATGGTAAGATGATTTTGATCTAAGCCTTTCGTGATAAATCGCTCTTTTCAACCCATTTTATATGTAGAATTCCGACGAGCTGTTGCAGCTTTGCTTTGCCGACAATGTAAGAATCTAATCGATTTCCTTGCCTCGAGTTTGGACACTGATCTTATTGATTTCTTCAATAGAATGATATTGGGTGGAACGTGCCCCATCTTACTTGTCCGGCGCTAGAAACCATGGTGCCCGTTTGGCCTGTTTCTTACATGGAATGGTACGTCGCAAATAGTAACCTGGAACCTTTCAACCACGTTTCCAAGCTTACACCTCGATTCTTCACTCCCAGGGACGCCTTCAACAAATTGGAGGTACCTACTGTTCATCCTCAGAACGAACTTGACCTCGAACTCGACCTTGCTATGGAGCAAATGCGACAGCTAGGTGATCTAGCTATTATGCTTCAAGACGAGTAAGATTGCACAGTTTATATGCCAAGATCGATTGAATGAAGGTGGAATTCATGATCGTTGCTCGTTTCTAGGTTGCATCGCTGTCAAATGGATGAATTTGTTGATCTCTTGCATGTTCCAGCATGGCCCACCCCAGCTGAATCGGTGCCCGTCCCTAGTATCTTAGACTCCGCTGGTACTAAAGCTCTGGACAAGAAGGGATTCTCTGGACGCTTAAAAGCCAAGAAACCCAAAACGTAAGCCTAGCATTCAAGGTATGATATGGTAACAAACTAGTTGATCTAAACCTTTGACTCCATTCGCTTAGCATTCACTTTTGCGATGTCTGCTGCAAATTCTTTGGCCGAAACTCGGACTTGCAACGCCATTTTAGAACGGCTCTTGTACACTCGTCGGCAAGCTTTACCTGTAGAACTTGTGGCAGAGGATATACCAGATCTGACAACATGGCCAAGCACATTGCTGACACCCACAAAAAGATGTGGTAAAGCCTTGGATCTATGACTGTTCTTTGTCTGTATGTCTGTATGATTGTAATTCTAAACATTTTCTCAAATGGATGATCTGTTCTTACGCAAATAAAGTACAAATATTCGTGAAATTTCACATACACCTCTGTGCTTCCGTGTCGCCCATGCCGTGGTAGATCTGTTGTTGCAGCAATAAGTTCGACGTGCAACACAATTTTCTACACTGCCAGCGAGTACTTTAGCCAGATCGTTAGGAATATAAATAGAAGCCATCGAAAAATTAGTTACCTGTAATTATGGATTCGCCGTATACTCCAACAGCAGCTGAATTCGAGCAATTTGTGAGAGGGGTTAGTGATGATAATTTGTCCAGCGAGATCGAAGCTCTTATGAAGAGATCTTCACCACATCAAAACCAAACCAAGTCTGCCTGGCCACCATCTCCTACACGACTGAAGAACGACCATTTAAACCACTACATCAACCAGGAACGACCAGATCATCCTCAAACAGCAACATATCGGTTTCTGGGTACTAGACCTATATCGAATATCGAAAATGACACCATCACAGACTTTTCTCTTGCAGAAGAAGAGTTATTGAGACAAACGTATGCTCAAATAGCCCCATTGAAAGATTTCGAGGGCAGGCATTCTACGAATAGTCCACGGTTTAAAGTTCCTCCAGTAACATTTTGGCCCGATATTGGCAACATAAGTGCTATTACAGGAAATTCAGCTGCTGTTGATACGACTGCTGATGTTGGAAGTAATAGTGTGCCAGGAATGACTAAAGTAAATGATGGACCCACAGCGTGGATGGACAAGCTATTAAATACCAAGGCTTTTGAACATGAGGCACAGCCATTTGTTTATATTTTCTCCTTGTTTCAGCATTGCTTACGAAAATCTATATAGTTGGATGTGATTAGTGGCCATATCTCGCTCATTCACGATAAAGGAGCGGCTGAAGCTGTCGCCAAACGTCTTGAAGGCGTCAAGAATGATTTGGAGAGTCTCCGCAAGGATCTGGATCTACATAGATCTCTCACGCCGACACCTTCTCGGGATTTCGCATCCGGAGCATCAACAAATTTGAGTATACAGGCTATAATGAAAGCCGAGCTACTGAGCTTTGAAGCTCAAATAATGTCGGAACGAATCATGCCGCTAATACGTGACGAACGCAAGCGAACTGTCGAAATGGTAATTGATATGCTGCAACGAGCAGGTTTAAGCATGGACAACAATAGAATACCAATACCAGCCGAACCGCCTATAATCATGCAAGCAGTAACCCCTCCAGCAGTCAAGAGATCACCGTCTCCTACATGGCGAGTCGCAAGGCCTGTCACCAAGCTTGTCGAGGTTTCTCCATATCGAGAGCCTTCACCAACAAAACGAGCAGTGCATGGTGATGATCCCGATATGAAACAGGTGCTAATGGGATTAAAGAAGAAACTGGATGTCAAACTACACAAGAACGAGCCTGTGGCAGTCAAACCAGCTGAAAAGAAGGCCACTAGAGGTACGTTGTTTTCGTGCCTTTCAAAGGTAGCACCTCTAAACTTTTCATGATTCTAGAAACTCGAACGAGACCAAAGCTGCCGGATCCGCGGCTTCATGTGCCGGTAGTGCGACCTCTGTCACCATCCCGTAGACAGGCACCTAGTAGCAAAGTGTTGTCGGCAACCAACAGCAAACCTCCTATAGCGCCCACCACCACCGTTCCAAAGTGGAGTCAGCAGCGGCTTAAACGTAAATCCTATCACCTGCCGACAGAAGCAAGCAGAAGTAAAGGTGCTGATAAAGGGACGGTGAAGGGAGGGAAGTGAAACCAGGCTACGTGTCATATCTGAAGCCAGGAAACATTGAGTAGCCTGTATTTCGTTGATTGTCCAATATATATTGAAGGAAGATATTGGACGCAATTTCAGCGAGGTCCGTCGTTATGATTTCTTACGTGCGCACACTCAGAATTCAGAATCAAGTCATATAGGAGTACCCTGGCCCGTACGTGAAAGTGAGCTGCAAATCTAACTCTCCTTTGTCGAATGTATGTCGCTTGCGTCAATTTGAACTTTTTTGGGGTGCAGTTCATCAAAGGAGTTAGTAGGGTACAACTTTATTCGTTCACCCTTTCAAACGATCACAGTAGACCATTTTAAAGCTCTTCCCCATCAACACACTAATTTAGGCTACAACTTTTATTTTACCAAGGGCAGCCAGACGCACAACGCTGGCACCATGGCGATGATAGAGGAGGCAACTAAATTGAAGATTCTGTCCAATGAAACGTGCTGCACATTCTGATCCACTCCTGTTAAGGACTTTGGGCGAAGGCCTATGAACACGAACTTTCGTCAAACAAGACCAGGATATACACAGATATTTTTGGGACAGATTTCATTGTTCTTGTTTTGAATTGTGATAAAAATTTCTATTGAATTTTGCTGGGAGACTTTTGTGTCTCTGATTCATTTTTAGAAGCTTGATTCTCCTTTGTACTTTACTTTTGAGCAGCAGCCAAAGCTGGAGATAGCACATACTTTCCAGGGCTAATGGAACAAGTTCGACTCAGTTTGAATACATACGTTTGAAACCCTTGGCCCAAGAAACAGCCACAACAACAAGGCCACCAACAGCACAACAAAAGATACCTAGTCTCCTTCTTCCAGTAAGTAATGTTTTGATCAGCCAATTCAGTTTCAGTAGGTGCTGGCAAGCAAGTGAGATATACATCCGAGAAGAAGATTTCGCTGACATTGACCTGAGGTCCAACAGAGAGCATGTAGCCTAGTTCAACCATGTAGTTTCCGGCATCCTTGGAAGTCATTGGGGCGGTTTCGTTTACAGAGTCTGGCAATGGCATTCTGACGAATGGACTGGTGATGCAGGCATAGACACTGTTGGCGTCGGTAGAGTTGAATTCAGAAATGAAGGAGAATCTACAAGAGGAAAGGGCAGTGTGAGTTACAAGCTGAGAAACACCTCCTATCGAAAAGAAGATTGCAAAAAAAGCAATCGACGTAACTTACGCCATTTGCATGACTACTTTGTTAGAAGGGTCAGTGGACAACAAGTTCTGGCTGTCAAACTTCTCGCTAGAGTTGGCAGTGAAGAGCAATCCAGTAATGTTGAGGTTGTTGGCTACAAGAGTGGATGGATTCGAGTTAGACGTGTTTCACAATTTATAGAAGTAAGGAAAAGTGCTTGAAACACAACATACCCCATTCAGGATGAGAGTCAGGCATTTGCAAGTCAATGATGAGAGCACCCAAAGCGTTGTTGTAAGGTTCCAAGTCAACGGGAGTGTCGAGATCAACCATCAAGACGTGAACATTGTCAGGGAGAGTAGCGTTGCCTGAATTGGAGGTTGAGGAAGTTCAGTCAGTTTACACAGCTCTCAAAGTCGAGAAGATATTTTTGAAATCCATCAAAGCTTCAAAGCAATCATGTCAACATGACCTCCATTCATCGTATTCCATCCCTCCCAATACCCCATCACACATAAAGAAACACAAAGCAAACAATGATACTGTCAAGCTCTGATCAGGTCTAACGCTTGACGAGCTGCATCAAATCTTGCAAGGCAATCATGTCAATGTCACCTCCATCCATCATATTCCATAACTCTTTTCACCCCTTCACATATTATCAAACACCTCCGAAACAAGATGAAACACCACTTGCATCCTGTCAAAATCTGAAACACATACCTTGGGAGTCAGATTGTGGTAAGAAGCCGGCATTCTCAGCCGAGATATTCTTGGATTCTCCAGCACAGTACGGAATAATGTAAGGATGATCCTTGTCCTTTCCAAGATGGTCCATGGTATCTTTTAGTAGCGCAACAGGGTCAACAGCTTCCTTTGCAGCAACTGATGGTGCTAGAGAAGCGTATGCGGGAGGTGCACAGTGCACTTGGCTGAAGGCGGCCAATACGAAGAGAGCAGTGATGTACTTGGACATGTTAGAGCCTTTTTAGATGAAAGAAAAATGGTTTTGGCGTCTGCTATCAGTAGAAGGTGTCAAAAAGATAACAGTGCTTTCTAGTGTCGATCTATGGATGGATGCGACTCGTTTGACTTACTTTGACTTATTATTTGGGTGTTCTTTCTTGGTCACTTCGTCTGAAGTTCTGTCGGTGTGCGTGTTGGAAGTTGTGTTTGAAGTTTTTTGCTGAGACCATCCAAAATCTGAAACACGTCACGGTTAAACCGTACCGTGCAAATTATAAAGGATGAAGGGGAGAAAACACCAGATTCATCTCATAGAGAGTTAAATCACGTCCAGAGCCAGATTGTATCATCAAAAACATAGTGGTGTTTAGGGGTGTTTGGATTGGCCAAATGTTGAGCACTTCTCATCGAAAGAGACGTAGAAGCCATGTGCGAAGGGTACGAACGGCCCAAGTAGACGTGTGATATCTTGTAATTCGTCCTTCCAAAGTACCAAAGAGTCCAAGAAAGGTGCAGTTGAGCAGAATCGAAGTCTGGCGAAGGTGTTTGAACTTGCAGAGTATCGTCAACTAGCGTAGGAAGGAACTCTTTCGGTCTTCAAAGTATCAAGAACATACATAAATCCCGCAAATACCGTCTTGGAGGGCTTCTCCTTCCGCTTGTGAATGAGTTCTGTCCAGTATATATGCTGCACAAAAAAGTGCGAAGGACGCATCACGAAAAAACTCGTTTAAAATCCAGCAGCGTGCTAGCAGTTCGCGTCTGCATACGTCTACGTCAAATAGACCGTTTCGATTCGATGATAGTTTGCGTCAAGACCAAGAAATTCGGGACGAAAAAAATGTGATGGCCAACCGAGCAATGACAGTAGTAAGTCTAATTCAATTGACTTTATTAAAAGCAAACACGAGACGAAAATGATGTCTTCTCAAATCTAGAGTTTAGAGAAGGTAACCTGCTTCTTTTGGAGGGAAGCAATACCAGCTTTAGCCAAATCAGCAGTTTGTAAAGCGAATGCATTCCAGGTAGCAACATATTGCAAACTAGATAATTTTTTGCAATGTTAGAGTCTTGTTACTTTTGAGCAGAGAAAATGACGCGAGGTCATACCCTTCTTCAACAGTGTGGTCTCGCGAGTAGTTCAAGACTTGCTTGGTGGAGACGATAGCAACAGGTGATTTGCTGGCAATCAATTTAGCAGTTTCGAAGGCTGTGTTTCCAAAGTCGAGGTTAGCAAGCCATTTCACCCGGAAAAAAGCAGGCATCAAAAGGGCTAGATATACCTGCAGCCAAAGCGGCTTCCTTGGTATCGCAGACCTTGCTGATCAAACCGACAGACATGGCTTCGGCAGAAGAAGCGTTTCTGGCAGTTAGACACATTTCACGGACCCAAGAGTCGTTTCCGACAATCTTTGGGAGTCTTTGAAGAGTTCCGACGTCAGCTGCGAGGGCGACACTAAAAAATTGTCATTGTCAATATGTTGAATATGACGACGATTTGATGTGGCCAAGACGTACTCGACTTCCTTGATACAGAAGTAAGCCTGGGCGGAAAAAAACATGTCAGTACTGCCATGCATGAGATCTTTTCAGCAAAATGAAGGCTTACATCCTTGGAGCAGTAACGGATATCAGCAGCGCTGATGAGGTCAACACCACCGCCGATACAAGCACCGTGAACGACAGCAATAGATGCTTTTTGGCAAGTGGCCTAATAGACCGACAACGGAGAGATTCAGTGACCTTGGCAATCTAAATCATTTGCTTTTCAAATTGTTCGTTACCTGTGCAGTGAAGGCAGCTTGAGTCTTCAACAAACTGTGGTACATGGAGATACCACGACGTCCAGCGTCAACTTCGACCTTGCTACCAACGCCAATACCGCCAGAGACTACGAGGAAAAGAAGGTACAGGCATAAGCACGACTGCACAGGCAGCGGCCTGTTGCGACACCGGAAAACTTACTGTCCAAACCAGCGGTGAAGATACGGGCATTTGAGGAAACAATAATAACTCGGACTTCAGGGTCTTGAGCAGCGATATCGAATACTTTCTTGTATTCAACCCAGAAACTAGTGGAGCGTAACAGGGTCAGTTGGTTGGAACAAAGACATCGTTCTTGTTGCTAGCTGTGGTAGATAAAGCACACTCCTTACACTGAATTCATAGCATTGAGCTTAGTGGGTCTGTTTAGCTCAACGTGCAAGATTGTGTCTTGAAGGGTGCATCGTAGGGTTTCCAAATTTGCATAAGCTTGAGGGCCAGACACAACTTCAGCTTCGGCTACCATCTGTCAGGATGAGAGGAACAGATGGTTAGAACAAGGATATCGTTCTTGCTGCTGTGTCTAGCTGTCGTCGGTAAAACACTGAATTCACAGCATTGTTATTTGCGTCATTTGTTTCCAAGAGTCAGTAGAGTACAGTCGGCAACGCTAAAGAGTCAAGCTACAATATGAGATGAGTCTCCTGCTTACCTTGTATTTGCTTTTGAACTTGATATAAGGGTTTGTTGAAGCGATTGGTTTTCTGAAAGAGAAAGATAGATTGAGCGAAAGTCGGTGACGAGTGTTGGACATCTCAAAAATTCAAACGTTTTCTGGTAGATCGTACTATTTTAGTTCAAATACTCGCGCCACCGGCCTGCATTTACGATACTACACGTATTCGGCACGTCGCGAGGATAAAACCGTGTTCGAGTCATTGGGCTGCATTAAGCTTACGAGACTTTCCAATACGATTTAACGCAAAATGAAGATCAAGATCACTCTAAAGTTGAATTAAGCACCATTTTCATTTTCTGTGATGTAGAGCTTTGATGATTGCCACATTATACATCTCGTCTGTCGCTACTTTGCACAATCTCTCATACCTCGATTCCAGGCAAACTGACCGAGTATGGCACTAAGACTAGCCTCCACTGTAAGTTCTCATCTATCGATCTATCCTTCGTTTGGCTCTTTTAACAAGCAGTCATCTCAATATTGAAGCAACCAATTTTTTTGTTTCCGTCAACCATGTAGAGACTGTTTCGTCCACTTCTTGCTCCAACCTTGAATTCTCGAATTCTATTCCAAAGATCACTATCTGATGATACAAAGTCGAGAATAGAAAAGGTTTGTGTGCTGTCTTGTCATCAACATCAAACTTTCGTATCCAACCCCATGCGTCAGTCCAATGTGAGCTGACACTCAATTCTTTTCTCCAAATACAGGCTGTCAAGGCAGCAGACGTCGTAGTGTTTATGAAGGGTACCAAGTCGGCCCCACAGGTTTGTCGCAATGGTTTTGGTTGATTTCGAATCGAATCGCTCACATTTCTCTGGTCACAGTGCGGATTTAGTCGTGCTGTGGTGCAAATCTTGGAATTACAAGGTACCAAGTCAACTTCCGCTCGCTCGCGTGTTGCTTACAAACCTTGCAAACATCTCAGGAGCGCCATTCGAATCAGTCAATATACTAGCTGACGAGGAAATCAGACAGGGAATCAAGGAATTCACGTATGTTGCCTTGCTCGTTCCATCGATCAACCTCTTCGAAAGTGTCGCTCATGGCTTTTGCCACAATATAGATCATGGCCAACCATCCCACAAGTCTTTGTAAAGAATGAATTCGTTGGTGGATGTGATATATTGCTTCAAATGCATCAAAACGGAAGCTTGGAAGAGTTACTCATCAAAGAAGGAGTCATAGCGCCCCAAGAGGCCGAGACACCACCTGCATCAACGGCATCGCAATAAACATGTTTCGCGTGTTATCACTCCTATCTTTATTGTTGTTTTGCTCTTTCATAATATACAGCTTTTGATCAAGATAATTTTGGGGCAAAGAATGTGTTTATGACCTATGACCTATCTATTGTTTGTTTATGGGGGTTTCTATTCTGAGTGATTCTTGGAGACTGATGAAGAAGACGCACTTCCGAATAACGACATGTTTGACGACAGTGTTGGTGGCATCATCCCAAGTGGAAATGAGTTCACCATATCGGAGGTCAATGTCATCGGTGACAAGGCTTGTGAGAGAGAGGAGCGATGATTGTCCCATAATGTAGCTCTTTTTATTATTTCCTTTACCAAATCATCAGGCGTCGTTCCAGTCAATCGAATAGCATGCTTTGGGTTGGTTATAGTCATACTGTCGGGATTTATATCAGCTGCTTTAAGTGCCTCGGTGATTTCCTCCTTGCTGAATGCAGTTACATCCTTCTTCTTCAATAGATGCGTAAAGGCTAGTATGTATGCATTCATTAGCTTTACCTCTGGATGCTTCTAATAATCCGGAAGGTATTTCAAGTACCTGATTTCAATTTCGTGTTTTCGTCCAATTCAATCTCACATTCCTTTTTGAGGGTTTCGACAATCAACATGATTTCTTGTCGTTCCTGAGCCCATAATAGCATTTCCCTATTACGCAAGTCTCGTTCCTTGCTTATGCGATCGGTGAGTGCTGGCACATCGTTGAGTTTCTTTTCGAGATCTGCCGTGTGTAAGAGACGAGCTTCGAGACCTGCGACTTTTGTTTCAAGTTCTTGGATGTATTTTGCTTTACGTTCTCGGAAGCTCTGTATACATAGACAAGGATAAGTGTGTGAGTACGGGTAATGGGGTAGGGCTGGTGCGAGGTTGACGGATGGCAGATCATCCAGTGGCTGAATCATTGTCATCATGGTATTGTAATTGATCATTCAGTATCTGAATAATCATTCCAATGCTTTATCACACATCAATGTTTCAGTAACACCCAAACGATCGCCGAATGGCATTAGCAGCGACGAGTCATTGCAAAAGGTTCAAACACGAAGGCAAATGGAGCTAGCCAGACGACACCAATACAAAGATGATCACCTACCCTTTGAGCAGTTCGATTCTGTTCAGCTCTTCGTTGCTTCTTTGCAGAATCATCGAGTACTTCTTCAGTCTCATTTTCAGGGTCTCTTTCTCGTTTATGGCCATTCGGAGGCGTTGCATATGGAAATTGATCCATTTGTAAGTGGCTGTACTATGTGTTTGGACGATGTATGACGGTGTGTGGTCCTAATGTTTTGAATTTGTTATTCCGAATGTTAGAATGTCGTCAGATACAGTGAATATAGTGTATAACTAGACGGCTACGACCACTTGCTTTGTCTGAGTCTATAAGGGATGCAATGGGAAACTCTTGCTGCGTCTATCCACTATTGTCGCCTCTGCTATGATAAGTCTTTGTCACTGCTGATGAATCTCGAAACTTGCTGAAGAAAACCCCCAAGAAATCAAACGCAGGACCTGTTAGCGGCTCTTACCTGTAGATGGACGGGCTCGAGGATGTCGACAAGGCGTGGCTTCTGAAGACAGTTAACCTGGAAGTGGTATGTTTTTCGCCTGTTTGTCCCAATTTCGAATTGCTGACTTTGTTTCGAACGGGTGCTATAATAGGAACGACTAAGACGCTCTGGAACGAAGCCTATACTATTATCGGTATGTCGCGAGTCGAATACCGCTACCAAACATCACCCATTTGCATCTTCCACTGAACGCATCCGCCAAACATCATTTTGACACACGGTCTTTTCATCCACCATTACTGTAGACCAAGAACTTTGTCATGACTGTCGAGGAAGGAACTCCATCGCGGATCGTAAACAAGATTGAACTCGATACTGGTTTTGATTTTGACAAGATCACTCAAGTAAGTCATCTCAGAGGCTCGTTCAACAAGGAAACACAATCTCACGCGCTCTTGTATAGATTTTGGTGTCGGATCCAATACCGTATCCCGGGGACACGTCATGGGAATACGCGAACGTGTTGCTCATCACCACAAATGCACAGTTTCCAATGATACTGCCATACCTGTATCGACCATCTATGATAACCGATGTTTCAGACTCATCATCGTCTGAACCAACAACAGCAGAAGTGTCTAAAAAGAAGAAACGTGGCAAGGCTGATAGGCCTACTATACTGAGAAACTCACTGACGGATTGGATATTCGTCAATAATAGTGGCAAGCAGTCTCGACACGTCGTCCACGAATTCGTCAGTCAGTAATTGTTTATAATACATACAAACGACAACAATATATATCATGTAACAAGAAACGTTTTTGTATAAAGCTTTAGAAGAAGGGGGCGCCTCATAAATACACAGTCGTTAAGAAACAATCATTATTATATAAGTGTTGAGGGTGTTTGGCTTATTGAATCACACATCCACCTTTCTTTTGGCTCTCGGCACCTTCAGGATACACTTTGTTACTGGTAGCCTGTATCTTTCTCACCGTCTTGAGCTTTTCATCACTATTCTGTAGCAGTTTGCTTGCATCTTGCCGGGCTTCAGTACTGCCGCTGATGAATATCAGTCTTGCCAAATCATTCACAAGACTCTCGAGTTTTTCCTGGTATGCCCTTCCACTTTCCAGCGTTTTGGCAGTCTCTTGGTCTCCTTGGACTATTGTAAGGAGCAAGAGGAGCTGGTTAGACGATGAAAGCAAAGCAAAAAAGCCTTCATTTAAAAGAGAGCATAGATCTTTTTCGATCCGACTGATGCCTTCACTTACTTTGAGCTAGTCGGTTCTCCAATTCTTCCACGCGTTTAGTCGCCAATTCCAACGCCTTTTGCAAATGAGATTCAGTGACGGATCCAGGAGACGGTGGTTGTATCGGCACAGCAGTTTGTACAGGTTCAGGTTTAACTTCTTCCGCAATCTTCTTGTCACCAGATTTACCTCCTTTAGGAGCAGGTTTCTTGGATTTGGGATCTGATGGCTTGACAACAGTACTGCTTCTTTTAACAGACACTGGTGGATCATTTGAAATAAGACCCAACGATATCTGATACAGCTTGACATCTTTCAACGCAGCATCCAACTTGACTTGGCATTCAGTTAGATTTCCTCGCAGATCTGCCATCATGGCTTGGTTTTCTGCTCCAATTTGCGTTTCGAAAGCAAGAGATCGTGTCTTGTCAATTAATTGTTGTGATAGTCGGTCTTGCTGTGCCTTGTTTTCGGCTGCTCGTTCTTCCATTGTTTGATTAAGTTTGGATAGTGTATGTTCCAGTTCATCGTATCGGGTCTTTTGAGCCTTAACTTCATTCTCAATTCGATCTACATTGTTCATGGCTCTGTCGTAACGAATCTTGGCGTTTGCTGCATCTTCTTCAGATACTCGAGATAGACGTCCGCCGCCAGGAGCACCTGACTTGGATTTGGTGCGATGTGCAGCATTGCCAGTACCAGGTCTAGAATCAAGCATGGCTACTCGGGTGCTGCGTATTTGTTGCATGATTTTCTCATCGTACTTTCCATATATGTTGATTTTCAGTGGTGTTGTCTTCATGTACTCTATGAACTCTTCGGTTATAGAGTCTATGCGAATAGTGCACACGTCGTTGAATGGTGGATTTGGGGACGTTATGACTTTGGTCTGGCGGCGGGTGCTGTTCTTCCAGAACTGGTATGAGCAGTAGACACCACCTAAAAAGGTTGGATTAGAAAAAAAAGACTGTCATAGAGTTTGTTATGGTATCTAACCTTTGCTCCATCTCAAACCCATAGCCTGCTGAACCGTTATCTTGATACTCATAGGTTTGCCCAAGAGCTGTGAAGGATCGGTGCCAAAGAATTGTGACCCCTTCTTGTTGTTTTGTTGAAAGTCTCCCTCGACTTGAATTCTCAGAATGCCTTCATTGGCACCATCTGAACCAGTCACCATTGCTGTGTCAGCGACGTCGATGATATAAAGCAAAGGCTTTACATCGACACTTGCACTTCCAATCAACCAATCTTCCGGAACCATTGTGAATGGATCGCGGTCTGCTGGTATTTCACTTAGTGCTTTGTCTCCTCCGAGTGAGAAGGCAGAGTACATGTCCTAGTTCAGAAGGGATTCAGCAAAACACATGAATCACTGAGAGCCAACAACCGAGGCATTCAAGTCACCTGTACTAGCTGACGATGAGCCATAAATTTCGCCTTGTCCATAACCCATTTACAATGCATGGTATAATCCGAGACCTTGATACCAATCATGTCCTTCCTCTCAGCTTCAGATGCATCAGCTCGTATTGTCTTGATCAACATTTGGTACTGTTTTGGTTCACCCAACTCCTCTGCAATAGCATTGCACTCGCGTACAGCTGGTAGTATCTCAGAAATATCGTGGTAAAGCGCTGCCATCTGATCGGTTCCGTCCTTCTTGTATCCAGATTCACGAGCAATCTACAACACATGAAAATGAGTTTAGAACACTCGAATGCTCACAAACAAAAACCAGATTTCAGTACTTCATTTTGAGCATCCAACCACGTAGCTTCACGATCTTCAGCCATCGATAATCGTCGTCCATTAGTGTCTTGCGGCAGTTTCAGCAAAAAGAGGTGCTGAGTACCAATCAATATACGAGCATTATGTTTCAACGGAACTCCTTTGATCGTATCAGTCAATTCCACACCGTTAACTCGCACTTTGGCTGAATTTTCATATGGTCGAATGGTGATTGCTCCAGGTCGTTTATCACCACTGTTGCTGATGACGGCATGTCGTGCGAGTATGCTTAGACCGGTTAATTGTAGTGCAACACTCTTGTCTTCAGACTTTCGGCCGATGGTGTGTTCACCTGCGAAAGAAACAGTAGTCAGTAACAAAAAAACCTTCATCAAGCTGGGCATATGCTGCTCAACTAAGCTTTTTTGATACATACCTGGTGGAACAAACAGAAGTAACATTCCAGTAAGGAATTGATCTTCATTAATATTCTTCATATACGGCATACTCCTCATCCTCTGTTTCAGCATCTCAGTCTCATTATTCGCAAGTGCCTGATGCGCTTCCTTCAACTTGGTCTCCCACCCTTTGCTAACTTCGGCTAAAACTTTCTCTTGGTCTGCTATCTGAGACCGCAAACCGTCAACATCTTCACCACCTTTGCCATCCGTAAGTCTCTTTTTCAGGTTCTCGTTCTCTTCTTTGAGTTCTCGAATCAGCTTGCCCATAGGATCTTCATTGACGACAGCTGATGTCTTGATAGCTTTAGCTCTATCCATAAAACGCAGTGTTGATAAAGTTTCTTCATAGTTGATGTCTGCTGGTGAAAGTGCGGCCATCTATAGAAACGCTGATTAGAGCCAGGACATCTTGCCGCCAAAAAAGGATGCACCCATGAGCAACAGACCATGATTGTCTTTGAATTTCCTCCTAAGGCATTCTGTAACAACCTTGTCAACACAGAGTCTCTATAAGGCACGACGACTCCCTTCTTTCCATTCTGCACTTGCACCAGTGCTGCAATAACATTTCCCAACACACTCAATGACTAGAATAAAGGGATGATGTCAGACGAAGACATCAACGTGGATAATAAACCTGTGGTTTCTACATACGGAATTGATGTTTGACCCTTCTTTGAGAGTTTTCCCTGTAGCACCAGTGGAATCTGCACGCTCACTTCCAGCCAAATCGACCAGATTCATAACACTACGTTTCTCTGTATCATCAGCTTTAAACTGCTGTACAAAAGTTAACGTGACGATAGAATGTGATCTTGATGAGGTAGCGTTCATCGTAGTAGCGGCCATCGTTCGTTTCCTCGTACCCATATCCATCAGCGACTCAATTTCCTTATAGTTCTGCACAGGTAGGGATTTCAGCCCTTCGACATAAAAGCCGAGTTTTGGATGTTGTCGCACTGGTAGGTTGTTTGCTGTATCAGGACCAAGCAAATCTCGGACTCTCTCCTGGTAGATTTCGAGCATGCTCAAAGTCAATTGATAGGAAACGTTTGGGTCCTTGTTTGCTGACATCCTCTTGAAGATGTCTTCACAGACTTGAGGCACTATGCCTCTGTTTGGACCAAACCCAAACATTGAGTACGTCTAAAACGTCGAAGTGCATGTAAGTCATCAGTCCTTGATTTGGCACTCCCAAAACTAGATCTACTGACTTTTCCTGACCCAGTTTGACCATATGCTAGCATTGTCGTGTTGTATCCCTTGAAACTGTTGTCCAGCATCGTGGTTCCAAAATCCTCAAAGACTTTGGCTTGATCTGTATATGGTGGTGGTGCCTTGTTGTTTTGCGGTGTGAAAAATCCAACATCGTTCTCGTTATATCCGTCATGACTCCAATACGATTTATCAAAGGTGAAACTCTTCCTTTCTTCTGGTTGATCATTGACGGCAGGTTTAATAATTGTCGTTATGTTGTCCTTCATTTCAATGACACATTTTGCATCCCGTTCAATTTCTCTCGAGTTAAAGGGCCGGACACGTACAGCGATTTTGATGCTGTCTGCCATTACGACGCTTTGGTACTATGTTTCAACTGGGAAGCGTGACTGTGTGGTGCCTTCCAAGCTTGAAGGCGATGATTCCGTATAATGCCGATCTGTAAATATTTGTAACGTCAAAAAATATGAGAGCTGTCCACCTGTGCTCTAAGCCAGCTTCCTGCTTTGCTTTTTGCCTGACTTTGCCGATGTGTTCTCGATCCTCGATAACCCACATCCGATACTTAACTGCGTGTAAATAAGCTCCCGAAGGTTGCGAGCGTTCAAAAAATCTAAAATGAGTGCAATAAAGGCATGAGCATCGATTCTCTCCTTCTCAGAACTTGACTTAGTGTACAAAGCTTGACGTTTGATGGTGCACGGTTTTGCCAATTAATCACAATTTTACTACGCGATCACTACGAGGACTGAGGAGTTACGTGATGCGTCATGATATTTCCATGAGTGCACCTCCACTCTTGGGGCAAAGGATCTGTCCCTTTAATGTTCGAGGCTTGTTCATGTAGCTGTTTTACATTGGTGTCGATGTATTGACTGCCCGAAGGGTGAAAGGAGCCATCTTGAATTTCTACAAGGCCCTCGGATGTAGCGATGCGCTACGTAGGTTTCCGTTGGGTGGCTATAGTCGTATTGCTGTCTCTATATTATTCTGAAGCTGCAGACGTCAAAAATCCAAGACTACGTGGTGTTCCCAAATCAAGTAAGCTATTTACCTGCCATTATCTGCTTCAACGAGTTCAGATTCCTTTTTTTCGTGTTATATATTGGTTTGGTCCAGGCTTCACATTCATCAAATGCTGACATTGGATCTCTATGTAATTTAGAACGCGACTTATACCGACAAGCCGGGCCAAACAACTCTTGGAAATGCCTGAATGGCATAGGAATCATCAGCTATGATGCGGTGAACGATGACTACTGTGACTGCAGTGGTAAGACAATTGGACCACAAGGAATTTGGTCCACAGTTTCGTTCACTTACATTTACTTTCAAAGACGGGTCTGATGAACCTGGAACTTCAGCTTGTGAATATACCTTCTTCACCTGTAAAAACCACCACCACAGACCGGCACGTATAAAAAGCTCCAGTGTCAACGATGGCGTCTGTGACCCAGATTGCTGTGATGGTTCCGATGAGTCTACTTCGGGAGTTACATGTCCGAATCAATGTAAAGAAGCTGCTATTGAAGCAGCGCTGGCACAAGTCGCTGAAACTCGTGAACTTGCAGAGGGTCTGAAGATTAAGGAGCGTGAATATACTCGATACAATCAAATAAAGCTAGATGAGCTAAGAGGGAAACTAGACGACGAGTATAAGAAGGATCCGGTAAGTCGTCCAGATATCGAAAAGATTAGTGATGAGATAGACAAGATGGAAAAACGGGGTGGGGATGAAAAGTATGGTGTTGGAAGTGTGTTTGAAAAGTATCAGGATCATTGGCTGATTCTAGACACAGTCGAGTAAGTGCCCGTTTGTCCCAACTGCATGTACAAGGTTCTGACTCGTTACCAAATAGGTATACTTATGAGCTAGTCGTTTTTGCTGACCTGACGCAGATTCGAAAGGACACTAATTCGAGAACAAAGCTGGGAACCTTCAAGTCATGGTTAACACCAAACTCCATCACGTACGATAGTGGTGACTTTTGTAACGGTGTAGCACGGACCGCCAAAGTCATCTTCTCATGTGGACCCGTGGAGACTTTCAAAGATATCAAGGAGCCCGCAACCTGCTACTATGAGGCATTCGTCACTACGCCAGCCGCATGTGAAAAGCAAGCGCAGCACGAAAAAGACGAACTATAAGTACTTGCTCTTACATCTATATATAATTATTCACTCTAACCACAAGGGACCTTTTACTTTTAAATACATCAAATCAATTCTAGTTTAGTGTGCGAAATACTCTGTGCCATCAAAGTTTTTACGTAGAAGCAGAGTCACTTCTGTTCCTTCGTTCTCTTTTGAAACCACCCACAGGTTGCCTGTGAAGTAGCTCAGATACAATCGACTCAGTGGAAGCCCATAACCGAAGCCTGCTAGCGGTGCGTTGCTATCAATGGAATTCTGTATGTTAGAATTCTCATGTATCGAGTAATCTTTGACTGGGCAATCTTCCAAATAAGAACTCACACTTCATCGCCACTGAAATGCTCATCTATTCTGACCGGCTTGGCTGTTGTGAAGGCATACGTGAATAGCCTGGAAAGATTTTGAGCAGGTATCCCAATTCCCTGATCTGATATCCGTATCTGTACCTGTTGGTCTGTGGGACTTTCTATAGTAACTATTATCGGCGGCATATCGGATCGTTCCGCATTTCCGTCACCGACCCTCCTCTCTTCCTTCTCTATCACTGCCCTCATTGCATTCTTGAGCACCTCAAACAGCACATGATGTAGGTGAGAAGGCACAAAAGTCATTTCAGGGCAACCACCTGGAGGACACCTAATTTCAACAAGTGGAGCCACTCCCAGAGCAGCTTCACACACCTCGGCTGCATCTACTGCTGCATCAGACGCCACCGCTCCAGGATCCATTTTAGTCGACACTATGCCAACGTGATTCGGCAGATGGGTTTTTTGAAGGGCTAGTGATGCATGATGTCCTATTAATATTCGTATTGCTATCCTATTCCCATGGAAGCGATCCAGAAACTTTTGCAAAGCGTCAGGCTGCTCAAAGATTTGGGGATGCGTAGTCCGCAATTCACGGACTGCTAAAGCTACTGTCAGTACAGCTGGGTTCTAGAGGCGATAGAGCATCAGAGTATGTGTTGGCTTGCTTGAAGCGTGTTGAAACGAGGCGCCTTCAAATGTCTTTAAATCTTACATGCCGTTCCACTATTCCTTTCAGAATCATGGCGAAATGTTCATTATATTTGTGAGCATGTTTCAAAACATGTGGCTCCGTTATACTACCAAAGTAGGGCCTAAGGGTCAAGACAATGTCGAAAATTGTTAAAAATCACACAAGTCCGAAAAAACAAGAAAGACTGCTTTCATTTACCGTTTAACTTGAGGTACAGGAGTACCATTCGCAAGCGCCCAGGCAGAGAGTGGTGGCAAGCTTCCTTCAGATTTTGAGCTAAACATTCTCGACAAGAGACCACCGGTATTCTCACCAGGACCAGCATGATCAGGATTGAGTCTCTTCATCTCTAGTTCTTCTCCATACTCGACCAGCTCCTTGAAGCTCTCCGCATACCAATTTCGAATCTTCTTCACTACATCGAGTTCGCCAATACCATAGGGCAGATTCCCTAGTTCAACATAACTAAAAGAAATGTTAGAGTGAGTAAACAGACTGGAAGTGAAGATATTGGTGAGGCAATTACCGATGAGCTAGCCTTATTGGTATCTCGTCCGACAAGAACTGCGAGCTGATTTGGAGGAAGGAAAACAATATGGGTGAGCACTCAGGCCATCAGAGTCAATGTACACTAGCACACAAAATCAAGCTTGCTGATCATCCAACCTTGCAAGGAGTTCGGATTGTCTCGGTTTTGCACCTGTTGATGAAACAAATCGGAGTTGGTAAACAGATCGGATGCCGACAGTTATGAAGCGAGAAGCATACCAAACCGTAGCATATCAGAGAACTTTATAGCAGTAGGCCTTTCATTCTTTGCATATTGAATGATTCGTTCAGAAACCCAACTTGGAATTCTATTGGGCATGATGCAGGCAGCAAACAAGAGGCCGGCGTAAATGGCTGAATTAGAGCTGATGGCGAGTTTCCACGTGCTAATTAATTCTTATCTTGCCATATGGACATGAACCAATGCGAGTTGTTTACAAGCACGAGGGATTGTAAGCTGCTGCGATGGATTGTGACACCGACAACGAGAACAGCCAAAGCACGTTGAGGTAGCCGCTAGTTTTGATGCATTCCAATGTTTGTCACATGCAAACTACTGGTTATCTTCAAATTAATGTCATCTCTTCACAAAAAACACGGTAATAATCTTCAACGTAACTCTTCTTGAGGTCGTTTCGTCTTAGAAAATAACGCTCTAGTGAAGCATCATGTGAAATTTATAGTCTAGAATAACCGAAAACACGGTGCATAACCAAAGTCGACTTGTGGGAGGGAGTAGTGCTTCTGTGGTGACTGTGAGAGGAAAACACGATTCTGACTTGCAACTGTTCGCGTCAACAAGAGGGTAGATCTGAGGCGCACACGAAACAGTCGTAAGGACCTCTACATACAGAATCACTTCTTGTATTCGATGCTGGGTTCGGTCAAACGAACATTTTGCCACATCACAAACACATAATCACTTGGTTGACCGGGGTTTCAGACCTTGTTGGTATCGGTCGCTCAATGTCAGAACATCGGAAAACTTATCCACTCCAATAAGATTCAATCCCAGTCGATGCGGTTCTTCCTTGATGGCCATTGAGTATGCTGTTCAAGAGTCCGTGCTTTTTCGTATAGCTTGCTAAATTTCCTTACTCGCGCCAGCAAACTGCATCTCGAGCAAGATTTAATTCTCTCCTGGTCACTCTTCCATACGCACAAGAACAGAAACTGAGTTTCTGGAAGTTTCACAACCCTAAATCCTGCCCTGATTGTGTCTGGCTGCCTCCGACGATTAGCGTTTCGCAAACAATCACACACCACAAAAGCAAACAATCGAATCTCACTCTCGTAATAAACTAGTCTCTAATATTCTAATGGCCTCTCAAAACTGCAACTCTTGCTCCAAGACTGTAAGTTGATCGTGATAGCACGCAGCTTTGGAATTTAGCTTGACCTGCTGATCAACAACATCGTATTCTAACGCGTCCGCTTATGACACCTAGGTCTACCCAACTGAACGTATCGATGCTGCTGGCAGCCAATATCACAAGGCAGGTCAAACGTTTCTCTGTTCTTTGAATGAACCCTTGGTTTGGCAAGTGTCACTAAGCGATCGCTCACTTCTGATAGGGCTGCTTCAAATGTCACGAAGAAACCTGCAAAATCCAATTGTCCTTGAAGACATTCAAGGCTGCTGAAGGCCAGGTTTGGTGTGAAAAGCACCTACCAAAACCAAAGGCCACTGCCATTGCTGACTCGGTCTCTGTCATGCATGCTATGCGTAAGTAAAAATTTTAGAGTTTAAAAACGGATAAGCATGTTGTCGTCTGCTTTCTGATTCGAAGATGAGATGGGAAATTGGAGACTAGTGCCTGTTGAAAGTTTGATGCCTCATTGAATCGTTTTTTAATCCGAATAGACGCACCAAAGAAGGTCACCGAAGGTCTCCATACCATCAAGGTTGGTACCGGTGAAGTACCTAGCTACGGTTTGGACACTGTCTCTAACCAACATGCTTTGAGTAAGTTTTCTACGAATGACCGTTTCAGCACCTACTGATTGTCTTTCGCTCACTACCTCATTCGCACTTTAGACGCACCCAAGAAGCCAATTGAGAACCTCGGTAACGTCCAAAAGGGTGACTATTCCAAGGAACAATCTGGAGTTGCCTCCCAATAAATTATAACTGCCACCCAACCCTATTCATGCTTAAAAACCATTTTTAAATGTCATTTGTTGTATTTGAAAGGATGGTGAAAAGTAGTACTAGTTTACAACACAGCAATATATCAAAAATACCAATCTATTCCTTCTTCTTGGATTTTGTCGCTGCTTTAGTTATTGCTTCTAATCTCTCAACAAGTGGAGGATGTCTATATGAATGTTTGTTAGTTAACTTTCCAGCCAAAAGTCGTGCAAGGCTTTGGCATCCAATGAGATCATTAACAACAACTTACGAGTAGTGCCAAGCGGAGTAATATGAGTCTGTTCTTAATGATCCCAAGTTTTTCAAATGTATTTTTTGAAGCCCTGTCTTGAGTTTTGCAGCATGTCCTAGTGTCACTGCATACAAATCAGCCTAAAGTGCCAAAAAAAGTCAGCTTATGATCGACATTGATTACATTGTCTCATTTCCAGACCTGGAATTCAAAAGCCCTTGACAACACATTCATAATGAACCCCATCAGAGCCTCAGCAGGTGAGTAAATGAACTGAAACAACATAAATCCAATCAGTATTGGATGTGTGGTGAATTTGAATGAGGTATATAACGGTCCAAAGTGGATTGCTTGGCCAAAGAGCCAAAACAGGATGAATAAATGAGCTTGTGCAATGATTAGATTCTGTAGGGTGTGAGAATGATGCCAATGACCAATCTCGTGAGCTAGATTTGGAGGGACATTAAATACGAATCTCGTTTGTCTTGGTTCAACGTTTAAGATAAGATCGTACCAACGACAGCGAGCGTTTCCTCATGGCTGGTTTGTTCCAAAAGGGTATCGAATAAGACTAGTTGCTAGAAGAGAAAATGACACACCATAATCATATGAGCATAGTGTCAGACAGCTGGAACAAGGTACATTTGAACAAAGACGTACCTTGTTGTTGAAGAATCCGTACAAATATGCGTTTGAATGAGCACTTCGTCTGCTACCATCGATAATGAACATCTTCTTTAAAGGGAATTTGACTGTTTTGGCCAATGCATCAATCTTGTCCTTTAGTTCTCCTTCTGGTAACGGATCAAATTTGCTATGAACGATAAGCGTATCAGTTCAGGCCAATCCGACTCTTCCAATCATAGGTTAAACATACTTGAACAAGGGCTGTATAAAAGTTGGATATATAGTGACCATGACTAGCTGGAAAACCATTCTATTCACCGATTAACAGTTAGTTCTGGGATTTGGACTGGAGCGAAACTACGACAGCACTTACACAAACAGCCATAGATAAACATGAAAGTTTTCAAATATCTGTACAATGTACAAGACAGCAGCAATGACTGGAAATCCTATAAAAGCTCCTAGAGCCAGAGATTTGACGAGATCCGAGAAGAATAAGGCTAAAGTTTGCTTGTTGAAGCCATAGTGTTCTTCAATGACAAAGGTAAAGTATAACGAGAATGGCAGATTCGTTATCGTTGAAGCCAAGTTCGTTACAGTAACGAATATGAGAGATTGAAGAATCTAGAAATTGGTGGTGCAAACAAGCGTGTGTGAGTAAAGGTAGGGGTTTCGGCAATCATTCTCAACATTACCTCATTGTCAGCCCATGATGGCGAAATAGTCGACAAAATATTTTTACTAGCCGTCCAAAACCATGGTAGAAGGTCGTAATAGAAGATCAAGACCGTTTCGCATTGACTCCAGATTGATGAGATTATACCGAAATTTAACTTGGCAAGACTGTAGCGACGCGCCTTTTCATAGTTCTCTACTGAAGTCAAGTGAGCGTATGCTTTGGGAGCCTCCTTTATTTGAAGCACTTTGTATTGTCGCCAGCTATGGCGTAAAAGAGATCGTTAGTGTCAACAGACGTATTACGACCAGCGGACATATAAACACTATTCGTTACTTGAGTATACTCTCAAATCCCCAGAGCGCAAAGCTGAATCCAAGCACTAATTCCTTATACGGCAACGATTCAATCGTCCAGTTTGACATTTTGTAGATTGTTGGGGAGCGAGGTGTGAGTCTGTCATTCACGCCGATGACGACCGCAACGCGAAACTTAAAAGCTGTGAACTATGTCAGCAAGTATCTAGTGCATCGAATATAACTCGATTTATTTTTATAAACAGTTGCGAAAATGACTATATGCTCCTTTATTGAGATGCAGACCAGACACTAAGGAAAAGAAGTTGCAGTTAGCAAAGAAGTTCTTTGTTTATCTACAAGAGCTGGCTCGATGGGCAGAGAGACGTGACGTGATGCGTGTGTGGTGCTGATGGCAAATATGTGCGTGGTCAAGAGCTTGACACTTTGAAGCTCTTCCTCATCAAATCGTTCAAGAGTCGATACGTCCAGTCCCTGCATAAAATTGACGTCGGGCTTCTCCTTGTTTCGAGCAATCTTGACTGATAATAACCTTTGCAAACACGCACAAAAGTCATCCCCATCATTCGACCACATCCAAGCTCCATTGACTATTTCCTAACACTGGATATCTTTTCAAAATACTTACTTTCGCAAGTATCCATCGGTGGTAGCCAATCTGTTGATTGAGTCGTCGGATTCGCCCATACTCCTGATGAAACCACAAACGGCATATGTTTTGGCAGTGCCAGTCAATCGTCCTGAAGCATCCACATCACCAATGTTGATTTGTACGGCTGCATGGTCTTTGGCTGCAATTAGTCGGCCACTTGCAGAGCTGTCATGTTGCCAAAATGTTAGCGTTTTTCGTGTTAAAAAATATGAACGACAATCCAGGCTTCTTTATACCATTTTCGTGGAATGTAGAGATCCACTATGACACCTCGATCGTTTTCCATGATGATTTTTTTATTGGATTCAGCTTCTGTTTACTGGGTTATGAGTAGTAAAGTAGCTCTTTCTGAACGTTTTGCAAAAAGTGTGTGGTGTGGCTTGTACACATTTTGCAACAACACGAACAACAACAACAAGGGTTTACTGACGCTCTCAGCAACGAACAGCGGGCGTATTGCTGATCTTTCATATGCTCTCATTTTTCACTTACACAGTCTTCCTGGCGATACTCGCAAAAGGGAAGAAGACAAACGACACCAGACAGGGACTTTTTAGAGCGGATTTATTGGATCACTCAGTCAAACTGGCATTCACATGTCATCATATTGATTTAATGCAAGGAATCATTTTCATGTTGTCAGAAAACTGCAGCTGTGCTATCCAGTCGAGGCTTGAAAGATACTCAGGCAACTACCAACTAATACTCACTTTTGCACTTATCAGTCTGACCACTTACCAGCGTGACCAGTATAGCAGAATCATTTCTAACAGTCTTTACTACAAAGGACTTGAAACAAACGGCATAGACATTTGACAGACCAGCATTCGACCAATACAGATGGAGCGAGATATGTTAGACGTTTCATTTCAATACAATAACCGTTGAGCAAATTTCGTTGTTGCCAGCAGGTATGAAACAAGAGCCTGCCGTCGAAAGTTTTCTGGCGTCCACGTTGAAATTCAAACTCCATATCTCCAATAAAGGATGGACACAAGCGTACGAATTCCATTCAGATCTTATCGAACTGGGGCTGCCAGTCTTGTCCTCTTCACTCCCAGACGAATGGCGACAGAAACCAAGCACAGGGACGGTTTGATGAAAATGTGCTTGATGCTTTCGCTCCTGTAGCAAAAGCTCAAGAATATCTTACAACTGCTTCTAGTTAGAGGCATTCTCTAGCCAGTTCTTGTCCTGAATCCCATTGACCACTCTCTGGCAAATCACCTAGATGTAAATTCAAACAAAGTGCTGACGCTTAGCTTTTGGCAGAGAGTATAAGGAGCACCAATTGTGGACCAGATCCAGTTAGCGGAATGCATGCCTCAGACAGAGTCGGCCTTAACTAGACCTGACCCAATGGAGAAACCAATTTGGGAAGTTCAGTCGCTGTCGTCGAGATTTCTAGATCTATACATCTCTCGACTGGATTGACTTCATAATCCTTACTTGTACGATGAATGCACGTACTTCCTACGCTGTAGCTATCCTTCTTCTCTCTAAACCGCTTGTTTTGGGAATCATTGGTTTCTTTGGTGGTGTGAAGGTGTCAGCTAGTGACACTGCAATCAAGGCGCAATGGAGAAAGAATTGCAGGTTGGTTGTAGGTATTGTGACACTAGGCTGACGTGCTAACTTGTTGGAACAATCGCAATCAAGGCGATTCCTAAGTGTTGCTGCATCAATAAGTATATTTTAGTTGGGTCTCGGCACAATGGCATAATAGCACTGCTCTTCTAACTACGACATCATCACAAATATCATGAAAAAAACGACCAACACAGCAAAGATCCTAATCATGAGCCACCTATTAGATGATATACTCGTATAATACTTCATCAATTGACCATGTGCTCCTTCCACATTCATTTCAACATCCTGCACATTATCATCAATCCTCTGCACCATTTCACGTTGGCCAGCGAGTATCGTAGCAAAGTTTTGATAGATTTGGCCCAATTCAGCGATTGTTGATTCTATGGATTCTATAGCCTGAGATCGTGACTCTATGTATTCGTGCGTGACATTATTATACACTAGTTGCGATTGCTGTTGTGATGATTGCTGGACATTGGTGGGTGGTAGTGATGAAAAGTCAATCACGATGTCCGAGTCCTTGTTCCCGTCATTTTGGTTACTTATAGGTGCTCGTTGACGAAGCTGATCAGGGTGGTATAAAGATGAATCCCCGTTCGGCCTTTGAATGCTATTACTGTTGCCACCACCAGTGCTTCCTGCGACGGGTGCAGGACTAAAAGAATATTGTGCACGACGATCCTTTTGCTCAACCATATTCTGACTCCGTATTTCCAAGATACCCTTGAATTCATGTGATGTATTGGCTAGTCGTGACTGCAAACTCTTTATGACTAGATCAGAGTGCTCTTCAACCTGTTTGTTGTTGGCTCCTAAAATCGGTTGGTTGCCATTGACATGTCCATTACTATTACTACTTCCACCATTATCTCTACTAGCACTAGTATTATGACCCTTTTTGGCACCATCGAGATACTTTTGTAGACCAGATATTTGATTCGAGACTTTGCCTATATCCTGTTTGATGACATGAATCAATTCGTTGATTTCTACAGGCCGATCGTCAAAGAGAGACTTTTTCTTGGCTAAAGCAGCTAGTCTCGATAGTTTGGCAGCTGTAGTCGATATCTCTCGTCCAACAGCAGACGCTGCTCGTGCAAATTCTGACTTTGATAATCTTGCGGTGGATGATGTGGAGAGTAATCTGACATTGTCTAATCCTGGCTTTCGAGAATGTATAGACTCTACTATCGCATGGAACTCGTTCGTCCTGTCCTTGAGCATGTTTCCACTTTTTGGCCTCCTATAGTTGATTCAGTGGAAGTGTACGTGTTTTGGATTTTTGAGGACAGCGGGTCAGAATGTGCTTGTTTAAAGGCACGAATTGTAGCGAATGCAGCTGTATTTATAGCATCTATTTACAAACTATAATTTGCCACTGCAACTACACGTCCATCCTTAAGATCGTAACATCTTTTCTCGAACGAGCTTCAAGAGTTCATCACTATACTTCTCTAGAAGGTCTCGATCTTCTTGTCGACGCGTTCCAGAAGAGGGTAATGCATCAACACTACTTTGCAGTGCATCATTCATTAAATCTCTAACTTGACCCAACACTTCTTTCGACCGTGACAAGAGACGAGCTTCAGCAGGCGTCGGATTGACTAGTTGTGATAGCTGCGCATGTGCCTTTGTTGCCCTCTGAGCACTGTCTCTAAAGTTATCTAATGTCGACTTCACATCTGAGTAGTGGTTGTGTTAGCTACGCTGGAGACACTTTCAGCAACAAGCTCCTAGTCTACCTTGAGAGTCTAGAGGCAAATCCTCCTCTATAGCATCACCAGTATCTTCGGCGTCTGTTACAATTCCATCATTGTCGTCATCATCGTCAACAATGTCCTCCAAACCTGATCCAACATTACTGTGTCTCCGGTCCTCCAAAACAGGTGACGGATTACTAGTAGCTTTATCAAAGGTCCCATCGATAACAGCAGCAATAATCACATCACGGCCAGATGCACTCGTTGGCGTTCTCGGTCTACTATAGTTCTCTCTGATGGGCGATTTCGGTATCGGGGATATAGGTCGATCGTCATCGTCGTCAATAGCACTATTTAGATTACTATGCACTATTTCAATCTTTTCAGCCATTTCACCATTCTCATTATCACTCGGTGACAAGATTACACCACTCTCATCAGGACCAGCACTACCACTCTTCCACACTATACCCAATGTAGCGAGACGTTGTCGAACCTTGTCTACTTCACGGGCTGTCTGTTCCTTACGTTTCTTCAACGGGCTGTCTGTGTTGACACTGGTATTGATACTATCACGTTTAAGTACGAAATCTAAAATTCGTGTGCCGACCCCTCGAGGCTGTGGTTGCGATGTTGGAATAGTAGTTCGACTGGATATGTGTTTGGCTGATAGCGATTGTCGATTTTCACCACCATGGTTGTTTGTAGTAGCAGCATCACCAAAATATGGATCAAAATCGAGATTTTCACCATCAGGTAGCTTTTCTGGCTCCTCCTCCTCTTCGTCCACAACTATTTCCTCTTCAACAGGAGGTGATCCAGTTTCAGTTGATGGCGCTATTTCCGAAGGTGTATCTATAATCTTTTCTTCAGCAATAACAAACGTTGAACCCGTCACGGGTTCTTCGTTATCAGCTGGATCAACATAGACGGTGTCCATAATGTCTAGACCACCATCATCTTCTTCACTCTCTAAGTCGTCCAATGCGAGAGCTGGTGATGCTGATCCATCGGTTTCTGCTACATCTTCAATTACAAGATCTTCCTGCTTCGGCATTACGGTTGGTATTATAGGCGGTCTAGTTTCATCTGGCATACGTGGTAAACTGCTTTCCCCTACTATGGGAGGAGTAACAGGCGAGATGCCTGATGAGCGGGGACCATCAGCCTCAAGCCCAGTCTCGAGGGAGTATCGACGCTCATATACATCTGCCCATTTGGCAACAGGATTGGAAATTTCTGGTGTTTCAGAGTACAATGATATACCATCTTCATCGACTCTCTGTTGATATGACATGAATATTGTGAGAACCGAGAAGCAAAAAAAATAATCTTCCATCCTCGTGGGCGAAATTGGCAACTTACTTGAGCCCATCTTCCTTTGGTTCGAGCAGTGGCGGTGCTTGGTCTACTCCCACCACTCTCCGACACTTTACTTTCTATATCACTTTCTGTATCTCGCTCTCTAGCCCAAGCGGGAAGAGCAGTCTCAGTAAACGAAAATGTGAATGGCCTCTGAATTTCTGCTCGTTTAGCAAAAGACTGCATGCCAGTTCCAGTTTCGGGTGTGGAATCAAAGTCTACACTCTCATTATCAAAATCTCGTGTTATAGGCGACATTTGTTGTTGATGCAATACATGCGATAGTGCACCTCCAAATCTCCAAATAAAGATGCAACCATCACCACTTGTTGAAATTATACGTGTGCCATCTAGTGCGAATTTGACACTAGTGATTAACTCAGAATGACCCGTCCCTCTTGCTACTACGATTCCGGTAGCCAAGTCAAATACTCGTAGTACTCGATCCGTTCCTGCTACAACTGCAAAACTTCCTGTAGGAGACATGGCTACTTTGATAAAGCCACCAGAGTCTGATGGAGGGTCATTTACAAGATCTGGTTTATACATTCGAACAGGTTTGCCTATTTGCAAGAATGTCAGAGCAAAAAACGCGGCAATAGAACCCAACGGCCGAGTTAACTGAGGCCTCAACTATGGCCTTACCGGTTTCAATGCTGAACACAGTCAACTTCTTGTCTTGAGTAACGCCAGCCACCACTTTATTCGATGGATCCACATCCAAATCGTAAACTGTTGCTCGTCCAGACGAATTGTGATATGTCACATACTCCGGATACGGGCCTCCTTGTAAAGCGCGAAAGATGATTGACTTGTCAGCCGCACAGCTCACGAGTTCTCGTCCTTGTCGAGCAAATCGAACTGCCGTTATAGAGGCAGAGTGGTCATCCAAAGTTTGGATGAGGTTCAAATTACGTGAGATATCAAAGATATGAATGAGACGGTCTCGTGATGCAGTTGATAGAAAGTAGGGAGAACCTAATTTAGAGTACTCAGTTTTAGCTCTATTTCGTGTTGGTAAACACACTCCTTCGTACCTTGTTCACGTTCTCCTGAGAAATCCATTGTGAGAATCTCAGCCTCGTGGGCCTCAAGGTATGTTCTTTCCTCGAACGTAGAAAGGTCGTGTATTCTTTAAATAAGGAGAAGTTGTTTAATTCCGCTACAATAAATCAACAGCGAAGTGCCCTTCCTGAGTACCTTAAATTACCAGACCGATCTCCAGAGGCCAGAAGATCACCATCTGGACTGATTCGGATCGACTTTATACCACCTCGTTCATTCGTGTTGTCGTTGGATCCATCTAGCAAAAAAACCTCAGATACTCAATTATGTCGTTTGTTGAGCAGTCGTACCATCTATCGCACTAAGCTTTGACAGAGCCGTCTTATCCAAATATAACACTTTGATCAACTCGCGAGAATAAAGATTTCGTCCCAAAAATCCAGACGATGATGTATGGCCATCGTGAGCAGCAATTTCCAGATTCCAAAAGCGAATTGTTCCATCAGCAGAACAAGTGACAAATGTACCAGGTGGAAGATGTCTTCCAGTTGGCGTAGGTGGAGGCCGTGAATCTCCTGGTGACTCTAGTGCAGAAGGAAGTGGAGATGGCTCTGGTGGTAGTGTAAATTGCGACGGTACCATCTAAAGTGGTGTAGGGTCAACAAAAACAAAGAATTGCATTAAAATCATATCAGACTGACCTCAACACCCCATATGCAATCACTGTGATTTAAGAAGCTTCGATATTTACCGACGTGTTTTGGATCCTTGACATCCCAAATAAACATGCTTCGATCAGAGTACATTGCTACCACCTTTTCATTCGCATGGTCAACCTTGACAGCTACAACACTGGCATACACGGCGTTTTGAATATTAGGTGATCGGTAACTAATGAAATTGCGGTCAGTATAGCGCAACAAAAAAAATGTCATCACGTCTCCCCTTACCTGGATCCCACACTTGTTGCTACATCGACTCCAACTGGGTGCGGCTTTGGTAGTGTCATTATATACTTTAATGTGAATGGCTCGAAAATACGTATAATGCCGTCTGTACATCCACAAACAACGTATTTATCAGAGACATCTACAGAAAAGCCCTTCCGAACCTAGACCACGAGTGTGAGCAGCATAAACACTACTAGTATATATAAAAGACTAACTGACCTTCAGGTCGACCCATTTCTCCATAACATGGCCTTCACCAAATAAGACCAACAATCCAGCTTCAGTTATACCATATGTATGCTGAGACAGCGTACCGATTCCACAAGCAACATCACTAAAGGAGCTATTCTTGTGTTCACCCAATACACCGAATTTTCCTTCAATGTTTGGTACTGGTGGTGTTTTGCCAGCTGGATTTGAAGAGACAGCTGGACTAGCCTTTATTGAGTCCATAAACCAGAATTTGATGTGTCTGGTCCCTCCCGTCACGAAAAAGGACGCATCTTGCGAGAATGAGAGGGAGCTAATTGGCGTTGTAACTCTAGCTGTCGCTAGTTTTTGACCCGTCTTCCAATTCCACACAAAGATACATCCATCGTGTTGGTATCCTACAGACACTAAATTCCGTCCGTTTGGGCTGAAGCGCATGGCTAGCACTCCAAACTTGTGGCCATGCAACTCTGATACAACGAGAGTATGGGCATGATCCCAGATCATGATGCGCGGTTGATGGCCCGACTAAATGAGAGCAAGACGTAAAATTCAACTTTAGAATTTTGTGCAAGAGCACATAGTTTGAAAGGGATCTATCTTGCCTCTCCAACAGCCAGCACTTGTCCATCCGGTGAGAATTCAACACAGCTAACAGGTCTGGTACCAGCACCATTGACGGCGTTTCCAGTTTTTAAGCTTTTGACAGGAGCAGGGAGCAAGAATCCAGTCTGTCTATTCCGTCGATGATTGTACAAAGTCACAACGCATCCAGTTGGAATTGCAATGATGGGGCATTTAGATGCATTTGGGTGCAACGACAAGGAAGACGAGCGATTACACGATGATATTCCAAGTGTTCTTTCAAGGATCATCTGTATCAAAATGAATTGTGGTTGGCAATGATCAGTTAAATAAAACAGTTCCAGCATATTTACAACGGGCTGATCTGGCTTGCTCCCTCGACGTTCCAGCTTCCTCTTGGATGTGCTTAGAGTATGCATAGCAGGCAATATTAGTCAGTTATCTATTCGTTCGTTCTGGTCAGTTCTGGGCCTGTTCTTTGCAGTAGAACTCTTTATACGTAAAGATACTGTGAAGAAAAGAAAGATGAGTTTACAGTCTTGGATGTCAGCACGAGGCCAATCGCCAAATGGATCTAATAGTATCAGTACTAGTTCTCAACGTGCCAAGAGTCAACAACAACATCGACAATCAACAACCAACGTTTCGCCAACACCCGCCACTACACGACAATCTGCTACACCTGCTCCATCGATAACACGGACAAATCATAGTTATAACGATTATAATGCTCCAGAACCAACCTATACGCACTCATATGAGGATTATTCGGCAGGCGCGCACACATTTGACGACATAAACGCCTCAACTGGATACAGCAATTACGTTGCAACAAGTGATTATACTGATTCAGTCTTCGCTAAAAAGAATGTTGATGTATATGATGCTAGCTCGTGGTTTGCTCATACTGCTGCTGATGTTTCATACGATAAAACCGGCACATACATACCGCCAGCACTCAAGACACCTATGAGCACCTCCTCATCAAAGAGTGATATGAAGTCGGAAAGGGTGAGCCAGTAACTCAGATTGCACTGTGTGGGGTTCGGGAAGCTGATCTGAGTTACCAACTGTTTTAGAGCGCCGCTTCTACGTCAAAGGCTGACCAAGCTCGAAGCTCGGATCTACAAAGGATTGAAGCAGAAATGGTTGCACTGAAGGAGGCCTTCCTAAGGTCCATGTCTGATGCCACTTTGAGTGACGACCGAGTTAGAAGAATAGAAAGTGCATTGGAACGACTGGAATCTTCGTCAAACCAGATCGCTTCACGTATGAGATTAGATCCATCGTCCTCTTTTCCAGCAGCTGAACCTGCGGTCGGGACAGCTATAGGTGATAAACCTATAGGACTACGAGATATAGAAACGTTGTTAGTGGATCTCACGGATTCCATGGAGATGCGAACGTCACGAATAGCAAAAATGGTGCACGAAGTACAGACTCGCAATGATCCTAAGGAAGTCTTGCAAGCATTGAGTGATATAGAAGCGAAACTGGTGCCTCAACCCATATCAACTGAAAAGATCGAGGATATCAAACAGCATATAAAGACCACGATAGAAGAGTCACGACGAAACAAGGACCCAGTGCAGTTGCACAGCATGTCTACTCTAAAATCTGATGTGTCTCATCTCCAAGAATCTGTCGAGAGAATGACTACAGAGCTTAAGAGCATTGACGAAACCATGGATATAGTCGCACAAGCTCAACAAAGCCTAGCAACCCTATGCGACGAAAGATTCCCGACGAAAACGAGTCGTGAGTCACCTAGATGCTTGACTGATGATATAAAGCCATTAATGGAGCAAGTCGAATCATCTCGAACAGTGCTAAAAGAGCTCAAGACAGTTTGTGAAGACAGTAGAAACGATATCACAGTATTACGACAACGTATGGATGACATGATTAGAAAAGTAGATTGTCCATCTCCATCTCGAGCGTCAGTCAACTCTCCATTCGCTGAGAGGTTAGCTCGTTTGACTGAAGCCTGTACTGAGATCCAGCAAGGCCAGACTCTCCTTGTTAAACGAGTCGAAGAAGTCACGAAATCTGTATTGCACGATATGCTCTTGGCAAGGCCTAGAGGAAATCCTGAAGAAGCAATCAATGTCACGAAATCCATATCTGAATTGAAGTCGTGTATATCTGACCTGGAGGGCAAATTATCGTTAATGTCAAAGGAAAGCCAGACGGGTCGTGACATCAATGAAGGAAATATGACTCGAATATCCGAGGGGATGAAGAGACTACAACGAGTTGTGGGTGACTTTGTAGTATCGGAACGTAATCCAAATATCGAGAATGTCAAGGACGCTCTCAAGTCAGAACTGACTGGAAAGATGGATGTGATTTTGGATGCGATTGAAATGGTGAAGCGAATCACACAAGAACGAAACGTAAATCACGTCGGTCACGAACGTAACATAAATGACAAGTCTTCGTCTGATCGGGTACTGTCTCTTCTCGAGAGCACCCATAACACCATAGTGTCGTATCTGCCCGTAAATCTAGAGCAACAACTAGAAGCCATTCAAAATAGTCTTGCCCATCTCACCACCACTACATCGTCACGCTATGACCCATCTTCAACATCATCATCACCTCAACGAACGATAAAAAAAGACGTATCAGGCTCAATCTTGGCCCATTTCGAGGATCAAGCTAGGAGAGAACGTCAGTCGGCCGAAAGCTTAGACTCTATTCAACACACTTTATCAAGACTCGTCGAATGGACAGACCTGAATGGCATCAATAGTAATAGCAAATCGTCATCTCCAAACAGAAGGGCAGCCTCAGTCCCTGTCTCGACACAGCAAGTCACGGAAATAGTACCCGATACAATATCAACCGAGTTGAACCATTTACGCCGAGTGCTACTTGAATCCAACTCTGTTATAGATTTAGAGAAACGTAGGGCTGACTTGACGCTGGAAATTTCCAACTTGCTAGCTACGAAATCGCAATTGGTCGAACAAGTTGGTAAACTAGAGGCTCAAGCTCGTGCCTTTGTCGGCATTGATGCAGAAACACCACCACAATCATTTGCTACTTCAAAATCAACGTCTCCAGCTCGTGATCGTGATACATCGGCACCAGTAACGCCAAAGCCCAGGGCCGCGACCAATAATTATAGTGATGTGGATAGCACAAACTCAAGTGCAGCTGCATCAGGATGGACCATTCGTTCCTTTTTAGGGGGCAACATAGGCAAATCAGACGAGTAACATACATCACAGAATGAGTTTCAGACCATAAAATAGCTATAAAATTTAATCACTTTGTCTATGTGTATCAGTTTGCATTATTCAAATATATAGCTTTAAATGTACATGTATATGAACAATGGTGTACCCCTATGCTTTAGTTCCTTTGTTCTTAAACCCCAGAAAATTCATCACAGAACCTTTCAGCTTGACACCCTTCGTTCCCTTTGACGCACCACCGTCCAACAACCACTGTAACTGCTTCTTATTCAGCGCCCCTCTTCTATGTTTCCGTATCACTGTTGCGACTTCAACAGGATCTAATCCATCATCTACGAGTGCACATGCTACAAGTACAGGTGCTCTCCCCAACCCAGATATGCAATGCACAGCAATAGCGTTTTCACCCGGTGATGAAGCAACTGTTTTGACAAGCCGCCTAAAGTCGTCTAGTATAGCAGGCGACGGTACAGACCCGTCCTCGAATTCCATGTCGTATACTTTTATACCATACGACTTTTCCAATGCTGCGCCGTCGTACGATGATGCATTACATGCTCTAACTACATTCTTTATGCCGTGGCCGAGCAAGTAGTCTGCGTATTGTGCCAGATCATTGTCTGATGGGCAGTCTGTGATGACAAATGTGAAGGGAGTGTTTGGTGTTGTTATGACGGCGGCCCTACAATAGGTAGAAATCAGCTAAAGGAACTGAGTTTGCTTGGATTTTGATATGCCTTCTGGGTACAATAGATGCTGTTTGCAGTCGCAAAAACTTCAGGAATGTTGAGCTACACAGCTCCGTGGAAAACGATTCCAAGTTCACGGAAGTTGATCGATGCCATGATAGGCAGCTATCAAACTGGTCTGTAAGCTCAAACTTACCTTCTCTCAAAGGATCTTGGTGTTGTCGACATTCTGTAAATTTTCAATGACAAACAACTATCAATTGCGAAAGAAAACGTTATAGTTCTGTAGCTTGGGAAAGATGCTTTGGAGTCTGCAGAGCTTTTGAGATTCTTACCTGTACCGTTTTGGTTCAAATCTGATAGTGACGCTCTTCTAATGCGGCAGTGGAAAAAGTTAAACAGATTGTAGGTTTGATCTCAGAGTTTGTTAGTTTGTTGGACAGCATAGGTGGGAGCTCTATGATACATGATATGCTCACAATGCTCACGCAACACTATGACATTTTAGAATCGTTGCTCGACAGGTCCTAATCGGGAATAGCGTTCCAGACCAAGTACATTGATTTTGAGACATGTCAACAGCAGAGTATAATGAGTTCAGCTTATTCTTACACGATATGAAACTAACACCAAAAACTCCATCTATATCCTCGAGTCAGCTCCTCTTTTGAATGCAATAACAGCAAACAGTGGGTCACTATTGATGATATAGCGTGTCAGATCTTATATTTCAGTGCGTCTTCTGCTTACCTAGTGGACCCATCAAGAATCGTCCTTCCTTCAACACGCTCAAACCTTCCAGTGGTCTCAAAATATCTTTTGACCAGTTCAATGTGATCCTCATCACTTCCAATCCTCCACGCAGCAATAGCCTTGGTCGGGAAGCACCGATTCGAAAAGGTCACTATAGTGGTTTCATTCAGTTAGCATTCATTATATTTTTCATGTCCTACTTCATCATAAGTACCTATACAAGCGCCTCCGGGTTTGAGCACACGGCCAACTTCCATGAATACTGAGACCGGTCGCTGCATGTACTGAACAGACACTTTTGGTAGCATGTCGGTGAGTCGTTCCCTTTCAAAACGTAACAGTCTGTCTTACCACAACATGCCACTCCATCAAAAGTATCATCCTTAAAGGGCAGCGCTTGAGTCTCGTTCAGGTTTTGAACAAAATAATCATCCAACCTTGGATTTTTCGATAGCTCTTCTTCATTCATTCCGTGACCCGACACATGCTTGTAGCTCACCTCAGAAGGCAGATGTGACACCCAGGAGCTCATAAGATCTAGTATATGACCATTGGCTGGAAAGTACGTACGATATAATGACGTTACAGCCGCTATAGCGTCGTCGTCGATATGTGTTACTAGACGTGGAACGGAGTAAAAGTGGGAATCTGGCGACCCATCTGGTTTTTGAAAGAAGAAATCGGGTAGACCAGCCGGCATCTTGGAAGGCATTGTTGCGGTTGACCTCTTGGTGGTGTTGAGGCGAAGAAACGGGTTTACAGTTATACACGTGTTTAATGTTAATGCGGAAAACGGTCTCCAGAGAGCTTGCTGTGGTGACTTTCCAGTGCGAATTACTAGAAATTACGGGTTAAGATTCGTTGCATATCCTCACACAGCACCGATCACAGTGTGTTTTTCGTCGATTGCAAGTTCTGACATCAAGTTCAAAAAACATCTGCAAGCACTTGCAAGAACCAAACACAAATCAAAAATCGGAGAACTGTAACATTAGTAACTCACCTCTACGTAATAACAGGCTCCGTATCGGACTGCTCATAAACTTTCCCCGTATTGCTTGGATTTATTCAAACCACTTGGTCCTGGTCAAGCATACAGATCGCACTATGCCGTCCCTAAGAACTAGAACTACTATCAAACGCCCGGCAACTATATATGACAAGGCCGTAGTGCCGGCAACATTTCTAAAAGTACGTGATCTCGCGTACATCAAACTCAAGTCAATGCAACGGATCTAACACCTCCACAACAGGACGAGGAAGCTACTGCTGAGGAAATACCAATCCAAATACCCGTCGTATATACGAAGCCGCTTCCAATTCGTAAAGCCAACGGTGATCTACATTTTCCTGATTTCCCACACTTTAAGCCAAACTTGACGCCAGAACAAGTAATCAATCTTGGTTCTTTTGGTGGTGGTAAATGAAACTCAAAAGCCAATTTTTTGATTGGGATGTTCCGCTGTCCGCTGACATTTCATCTCCTTGTACTTAGGATATTACCGAAAGATCTACTCATCAGTTATCAAAGCAACCCTCAAAGACGACTGGAAGGACGATATTCCCACATCCTGGATAACGTCTCTCCCATCTACATCCAAATACTTGACACAATTGAAATACGATGCCAGTGTGAATCGCTTTGGTGTTAAATGTGGCCAGACACTAGAAGCTTGGGAGACCTCGAACTGGATTACAGCATATGACCCGCGTGGATGGTTCCAGTGGTACATTAGGTTCTATAGAGGAAGAAGAACTCCTGATGGTAGGCCTTACGCGTATGTCATGGAAAGTCAAGAGTATCGACACTTTTCATCATTCTCCATATTGTGTAGATGATAGGCAAATAGGCCGTTGGATTGCGTGTGCTGATGAACGCTCTGGGAGGTGGCTCAGAGTTTACTTAGGGTAAAAAAATGTGCCCTGGATTTGACAAATTTGTGCCTGGATTTGACAATTTTTCAATTGTGATAGAAAACTCATGAAAGCCGGTCTCAAGCAACTGCCTCCTCCTGAGGACGAGGTTACATCTCCAGTGATTCGTCAAGTCCTGCAGCATTGGGGACTGGACGTCACTCAGGCAGTTTATAGCAGATTTTTGAAAGAAAAGTTGTGATGTAGAAAGCCGTGTTGGATATCTATGTATACTTTTCCCTCTCTCGCTCGCTCGCTCCTTCACACAATATAATTATTTATAAAGGACAAGGCCTCAATCTCAGATATGGTGCAAATTCTCCAGACCAACAGTCTTTGATTGTTGAAGTCCTCCAGAACAATTGCTCTTTTGTCGACTAATTCCTTGTGTATATTCAAACAAGAATGGGCAAGAATTGCAGTGGTAACGGGGTTTACTCGATAACAAGAAGTATATGAAAGACATCTAGGATTGCGTAGACCCAAAGATTCTATGTGCTGGTTCACAGTGGCACGAGTCACTGTCCAAGTCCATCAGGTAGTATATAAAGCAAGCATCCACACTGTGGCAGAAAAACGTAATGAGTCTGAGAACGTACGTTTAAAACTGTCAGTGTCACCCACGTATGCTGCACAATGGAAGAGAGGAAATTAACTACAAAGTAGGGTATGATTGCCCCTACAACTCCAACCACCCATGCGTAAGGTGAGTTCATGCCTATTCAGAAGCGAAAGTTCGTCAAAAGAACTGACAAAAAAAGTCGAAAACTGCGATCGCAAGACAGCATGGTCAAGCCCCTACCACGACTAGCATAGAAGAAGGCCCATGTCCCAGTTCCAAGGGCAATTGAACCTACTCCTAAGCCCAATACTAGCCGAGTGACCGTGCTAGTGACGAGCCCCAATACAAGATTCCTCCTGAATAGCCTCGTACATGTAAGAGCTGCCTCACAAAAGGAGGAAGCAGTCAAGGCACAATACACGAGAGAATAGGAGTTTAGATTCTCAGTTAGTGTGCTGATGGTGGTCAACATCGAGTCCACATATACTAGCCACGAAGAAGCGACTCGATCCATTTTCTGTGTCCGCCTTCTTATGAATCTAACTATAGCTTGACTGGTGGATACGATCGCCATAATCATACTTGCAAAAGCAATAGATCCGAATGAGGTAGTGACTGCTACTGTAAGTGCTCGTTTCGTTTTATCCGATGAAGTATCCGAGTCACCACCTAACAAGTCGTCTCCTCCATTGATGTGATGTATGACTCTCCTTCTACCACTTGGATTAAAGTACCATTGGGCGACTACTCCTGCGATCATGGTTTTCTCTACATTGTGGAAGATACTTGACGACCAAAAGTACATGAATAGGAAGAATATGATGGCGATTGGTGAAGCGTTGTTTCCAAATCCAGCGCCATTGACGCCATTGATTAGCCATAATCGACTGAAGAAGATGAGCCACACAATCGAGAAGACTACAAATCCACCCATTAGGCCGAGAGAGTAGAGGAATACACTCGGATTTGCTTGAAGTACATCACAGGCCAACTAGTATAAGACAGAAATTGTTATCTTCGAGTCGCTTGTTTTTCTTTTTGCGCATTCGTCAACTTGCCTCGATGATATAAATAGTCTGATCTATTTGCCTCCTCTTCTGAAGCAAAAGGTACCCAGACACAGCTGAGATGGCCAGAGTGACGAGCGATACTACAATGGAGCCCGAGTATTGAGGAGACAAGTCGGGAGAATCATTGACTATCCCCACAATCGAATTTGTAAACAAGACAGCAAATAGACTAAGAGACGATAAGGGTATAGCAACTACAGTCAAGTACACGATGGGCTAGAAATAATTATTTCAAATAAGCGAAAGAGCCCAAAAACTGAGACCTAGACGTCAATGACTCACGCGAACGAAACGCTTCATAGTCCAAATCCAAAGAGCCCCGACTCCAATGGCCAACGTTGTTAGCATTGTCAACAATCCTGAGGATTTGTATAATGTTCCATACACAGATCCTGGCACAATAGAGGAGAAAGGGACTGAGCTCGTGGTGAAGAGTAACACTATTCCTGTAATAAACATGGCAGCAAATGATATGATGAATAGTATTCCAAACAATGGGTCTGCGTATGGGCGATCTGATGGATTAGCATATGGATTTGGCTAAAGACGAGGGGTGTTACAACAAATTGAGTTTTGACTGTTTCGCGATTTGTGATCTTTTGCGAAACGGTTGTGGAAGATCGGCCTTGCTACAGTAAGCCGCCATAGATCACTTACTTGATCATCTAGATCTGCATCTGGTAGCAGCTTGTCAAATAATGGATTTGATTTACTTGGCACTGTCCTTCCAAATCCCTTTGAGAATACACCAGATGGACCCCAAGCACCCGGGACAGTACTTGCAGCCATACTTGATGATCCGTCATAGTCTAAATCGTCATCATCGCTTTCAAATGCATTATCCTGATGATCAAACCGTTTGTCGTTTGGGCTAACTCGCATAAATGACCCCGTTGACAGAGTTGGGCGAATTGGAGGACCTAGTTCCTCATCGAAAAATTGTGGAGTAAAGAGACCACTGGCTGATGATGTCGTTGAAGCTTCCATGTTGTTGGTGTTGTTTCGGTTATTTGATGTTGGCCCATATAAGGAGTTGGAGACAAGAGCAGAAGCCGAGAGCGGCTTGTATCCTTTCGACATTGTTCAATAACGTTATCGGATAGTGTTTCTATATGTCAAGAACTGTAAGTGACTAGTTTTGAATGTGCTGAAAAACTCAACACAACTAAAACGAACGTGCAGTGGCTTGTGATAAGCCCAACGGGGCGGCTAGCTGATAGTATAGTAGATAATGACTCAGGCAAGAGAGGGACCGTTCTGAAATCGTTCTATTATGGCAACTCTCTTACGGCCGTAGCGTTGTTGGTGTTAACGGATGAATCACGTGGAAATGTTTTGTTTGTAATCGAACTTTGAATGTAAATTTTATCAAGTTAAGCTATCACTTGCTGCGATTCTCCGTGTCCTTTCTCCGTTCCTTTCTCGTGTTTGTCGCTCTCGACTCTTGACGTTTCTCGCAAAATCGACAACTAGGTAGTCAGCAAAAAGGTATGTACTCTAGAAACTACTTGTATGCTTTATTGTATTCATATGCAGTATATGCTGCTGTCTCCCTCTTTTCTGTCCTTTCCCGCTGTTTAAGCATCGTCCTCATCCTCCAATTAACTAATTTCGCATTCTGATTGAATCTGAATTTAGAATTTCTGAGTGAAATCCTATGGAGCAATCTGACAAGGTCTCGCCAACTCAGCCTCTGTCGCAAATGTCGGCGGCCACTCTAACGAACGAAAGCAATGCTCCCAAAAAGATCCCTGAACTGGCGTTGCACATTTGTCGAGAGAATGTCTTGCATGGTGAAGGTATGTCTTGAGTACATCTTTGCTTTGATCTTCGAATGTTCATGTATCAAGTGTTCGCAATTTCTTGCCATTGGTGTCCTATTTTTTCAACTTCTTGTGAGCATGACCGTACTGGAACGGTGCATGTGCTTGAACCAAACAGCACATTGTTTCTCTCAGCACATTGTTTCTCTCATTTGCTAACATGTTCTCATTCATTCTGAAGGCACGCCAATGTATTCTATAAGCCGTGAAGGCCTCAACACAAGAAGCTTATACATAACAGACGTACGACAAGGCACTGAAGTCTTCAAAATCAAGTTATTGGACCGACTCGGATTCTTGAAACGCAAGAATTATGCTATTCTTGCAAGGTACTTGAGTGATTATGTTTTCCCCCCTTTCGTATAACCAACGACACTTCTCATGCCCTGCACAGAGTCGATGGTGTCTTCTTGAACCGCGCATTGGTGAAATGGACTGCTCCAGGCAGATACCTCATAGAATCAGATCCATGGCATTCTGTAGTTATAGAAGCTACAGGAGAAAACTATACAATCACAACAACAGGACAGGAACCAGTCGAGATTGGAATGCTGAAATTAGGTCTAGCAGACTGGTCACAAACAGAGAATGAGGAAGATGCAGAAGACGGTACAAAGTCGAAACGAAGGAGACGAGTGTCGGTCTTCAATCCAACTGGAACGCTTCACGGATATAACTTGTCAATGGAGACCTTCTACCGCTCCAAATTAGGGTCCCTCCACCTTGATGTATTGATCGCCGCAATCATTGCAGTTTTGGATTCTCAAGCCCACGCGTCTTGGTGGCAAGATACTTCTGCAAAGATGGGTGCTCATAAATTCACAAACCTCACTAAAAGTCTGGTAAAGGTTGATTCTGAAACTGTAGAATAGTTGCATGTGCGAACATATATTACATATTTAAGTACGTGGACGGACTATGGAAAGAGATGAAATGTCCTTCTCTTGCGTGCATGCATTCATTCTTGTTCTTGTGATATCGTGTTACGCAAATATTCAAAGCGATATTCAACAGCCTCTCGACCTCTTCGTCCCTTCAAAGCTTCATACTCTGCCTTATCAATCGTACTCTTATAACCTAAAATAACAGCAGAACGAGCACGTCCATCAACTATTTCCCCATCGAAATCACCATCTACCCAAACCCACTTCCGTGCATCCTCATCCATTTCATCTACATTCATTCCTACTCGTATATATGCTTCAGCAGCAAGGAATAAACCAGAGCATCGCCTCAAAGCATCAGCACATAAATCAATACAAGAAGACTTGTTTGCTCCATAATCAAGTGTATCAAGACCTAAGAGAACTAGTTCTGCGAATTTATAGGATGGGTTGCGTATATCTGGTGGAGCATCTGGTCTCAACCACGGATTGGTAGCTACGGGTAAAGCAATGATGTCGTCGTCTGATTCTGTACCATCATCCATATGCTCTGGTTCTTTAATAGGTTTTGGCTCAGCAACAGCTGTTTCTTTGACGGCTACATCAGGTCCTTGTACATCCTCATCATCGTCAAGGATGATGACGTCGCCTGCAATCACACCACCTTGATTGTTATTGAGTTGAGGTCCTTCTGCTACATGGCTCTGTTCGGAATTTACTGCTAGGCTGCTCTTTCCAGCAGGAGGTACTATTAATAATTGGGAAGATGGTAATGATTGTTGGTTGGTCTGATCTACGACGTTGGTCAATGGATTACGTTTACTATCGTTATTGCTACTGGTACGGGAGAGACTCTGCATGATGGGTGGTGGTTGGATCTTTCTGGATGCTGAGTCTGTGTTTTTTAACGACGTGGTAGAGACAGATCTTCCGACTACTTCTGGTTGAGCTCCCTCTGGCTGTGGAGTATTGGATTCCTTTGGTACCTGTGATACAATGTCGTCAAATCCTTCTTGATCCCAGTTTATGTCCAAGTTGTCTTTCGGCGATGCAGGACTAAATGCAGGGTCATCCAACACTTCAGCCTCCACAAGCTTATCCACCATATCACGACCGACCATCACATAATCCTCGTCGTCTTCCTTTGGCAGCGAATTATCATCTCCTTGCTCTACATGAATATTGTCGTCTTCCTTTGGCAAGGCATTATGATGATCTTCTGGCTCTACAAGCATCTCGTCGTCGTCCGTTGGCAAAGCATCATCATCTTGCCCTATGTACATATCATCGTCTTCTTTTGGCAAGGCCTCATCATCTGCTTCTTGCTCTAAAAGCATATCGTCCCTTTCCTTTGGCAAGGCCTCATCATCTGCTTCTTGCTCTGCAGGCATATCGTCGTCTTGCTTTAGTATGGCATGACCGTCATTTTCTTCTTGCTCTACCTGCACATCATTATTGTTGCGTGTCGACGACTCGTCCAGTGTGTTATGAACAACTTCGTCTTCGTCGTCATAAAAAGCCAACCGAGCCTTCTTGCTTGGTAGCTGGGTTTGAAATGGAGACGAGCTACGTCTTCTATTATATGTTGGCGATAGTTGTGTCTGTTGTTCTGGCTCATCTTGTACATTTTGTGTTTGCAAGAGCATCTGAGTCGAAAAAAGCGTTTGAGTCGAGGAGGCCAGTTGAGTCGAGAAGAGCATTCCACGTAATGGTGGCTGTTGTGTCTGGAATGGCATTGACAGTCCACCTTCACCGATTTCGGCTTCTTCATCGTCACCCAAATCAAATAAAACCTTTTGACGCCTGGCTTCTGGCGATTCATATCTATATGCTGATGGTGTAGCAGTAGGCGAACCTATTAAAGATCTATTGAGTTTTCTAGGCGTCACTGGCGCAATTATTTTTCGATTGCCTTCTACATTTTGATCATCTTCTTGGGCAGTGTCATCTTCCATCACGCTATCTTCCTTTTCTATTTGTTTCACACCAGAGTCACTGTTCATGGTCAGTCCTTGTGACACTACAAGTGGCTGACTTTGAGCTTGACTTTGCGGTTGGCTTCGAGGTGGGCTCTTTTGACTTTGGAAAGGCAGTTCATTGTCGCCGCCACTGTCATGTTTGACTGACGGGCTAGACGACAAAAATTCTCGTCTTCTGTGTAAAGGCTTACTATGCATAGGCTCATCTTCTACGTGCTTGGGAGGTTCTGCGTCTTCACTACTACGATTTCGTTGATCATCAGGTACCGGAGTCTCTTGGGCTGTCTCTGGCTCCTGGACATGCTCTTGAGAAGCAGGTTCATTCTCTTCTCGGTTCGTCTCTACTTGACTAGTTTTACGTTCTACTGGAGGTGGTGTGTGATCTCGTCTAGATTCATCAGCTTCTTTGTCACATTCTTTTTTGATATCGACATTGGTACGAGTTCTACGTAGCTGCGACGATGGACCAGGTCGAGGCACTGAGCCAGTACTTGACACGCCTGTACCATTGGCAGCTGAGTTCTGACTGGGCTTTTGCTTCTGACTCAGATGCTCTTTCTTGTACTCTATACGTTCTTCGAGACGTTTCTTCTCTCGCTCTTGAAGGGTCTTTTTGTGAGTTGGGATGATGTGCTTTTGTGCTCTTGCACGCCAGGACTGCCAAGGATGTCTAGGATGCTAAATAAAGGACGACAGAATCAGCATAATCGTGCTCCGATTACGGAGAATGCGAATGGGAGTGCGACAAACCGCTTTAGCAATCTCCTTGTAAACCTCGTTTCCACCAGATTTGACGTTAGGCCTTTCAAGCATGGCATAAATAACATCATCGTCTTCTTTAGTGAATTCAGTCCTTCCACTAAATAGATAGAGACGTTTCAGCGGGCGACTTGACGACTTTTGTCGAGGTGAAGCACTCACACAGTCGCTCGACCAATGGCCTTTCCCTCAGCCCTGTATTTAACCGGGTCTAGAAACTCTCCTTCCTTGACAGAATCAGATATTAGCAGATGGCTGAGAGCCTTTGGATCTGTTGAAGCAATGGTTGGATCAACCAGATAATAGTCGTGTGGTTGACCAGTTGGAACCACTAGGCCACCGTTGGTCTACGTCGATAGATGTCAGCTTAGTATTCAACCCCATTGTAATCAACTAGTCAGATAAACCAAAGATTAAGAAGCCATGCCTCGATTTGTCGTTTGAGCAGCTGGGCCAGTTTATGATTTCTGACAATGACAAACTTGTATGGAGTTCGATCAGGCTTTTCGAATATCCTGATAGGTCTCTGTGGAGCTGCACTTGACGATGATGGACCAGCAGCAGGCACTTGTTTGTTGGGCTGACCATCGCTAGCTGATACGCTTGATGTTGCTTCGCCTGACGATGCAAGGTTTCCTTTTGGAGCTTGCTTTGGCAATACAGGCTGAATAGGCTTCAGTCCAGACAGTCTCGCTATGTCTTCCCATGGATCTTCCATTATTTGAAGATTTGTTCATGTATGTTTCGTAAATCGGAACAGTTGCTGATTGTTTGAACTAATGCTACTTTGACGAATCTTCACACTTCTGACGCGTTATATCATTCTAAGTTCCTGAATACAGCTAGGATAAAGCTGATCCTGATAGAAAACACGTTCTTACTGGGAACTCTGTGTGTTGTCGACTGCTGTCAATTTACGCAACGTTTCTCTCCTTCCAAAGTGGCAATTGGGAGTTAACAGGCAGGATAGGACAAAGAGTCGTCATTGTCATTCATCTCCATCGAAATGACTCGGATCAACATGGTCATCGGTAGCTTTCTTCTGATTTGTGCAATTGCCATCATAACCACTGGTGTTGAATGCCAAAAGCTCGTTGATCTGACGGGATTTCACAAGGGTGCATATCCTCCAATGGATAAGATACCTCCTGTCGATCCAACTATTCTTGCAAAGTATGATCTATCCAAGGTATGCTGTATGTTTCATCAACACATTGCTCATTCTCCATTGATTTTATTTGGTGCTATCTATGCAAATTCCTATATGTTTTTTAACTAACATTGAGCAATTCCATATACAGGTGCCAAACTATCCTCCAAGGGAGCGGGATCGAACAACTGGCGATCTTGTAACAAATCTAGCCTCATTCCTTCTACTGCTTCATAGTCACTGATCACATATTCATCTCTAGTTATGTCCTACCAGTAACATTAGCTGTGCAAGTATCATTACATGATCTCGCTCATTGACGTTGAACTCAAATGTTTCTCCTTCAGTCGTACAGTTGCTCTGGATGCACACGTTCAACAGACATAACTCTTTGCAAGAGTATGCCGTGCTCCAATTGATACTAATGCTTATTTGGTGCTCACTTTCTTTGAAAAATAGCAAAAGGAGTCTGGGGGCTTTCGTTTGGTGAGTTAATGTACATTTCACACAATTACTAGGCAAGGTGATGACGTGTCACTCACTAAATTTTTTGATCCATGCTTCCTAACAGATGATGGACCGGGACCGTATACCACTGGACTACTTGACTTTCTGGATGCGGTTAGCGTCAAGGTCTCTGTTTGTACTTTCTTGGTCTAAATCATCTTTAATCTCTCTGCACCCCGTGGCCGTCAAATGTTTCTCTCTTTATGATTCTTGGCTCAACCTATCACTTCACATCGTATTTAGAGCATGTTCTTTGTCATCGGATCACGAGTATCAGAGAGGCCAGACCTCCTTTTGCGAGAATTTCAGTCTGGCCACGTCATTGCGTACGTGCTTTTAACCCATTTTGCGCACACCTGATCACTAAATAAACTCATTCCTGATCGTTTTAGCGCACACAGTTGGAGCCATCCTGGATGTCGTTCAGAATTTACAAACAAAAGCAACATCCTGTCTCATACTTGTCTCTATTTTAGATGCTCACTGGTGTATCAACTGAACAAATTGTCATGGAGATGCATTATTCTGTGCTAGCCATTGAACAAGTCACTGGTACGCGACCAAAGTACGCTAGGCCACCTTTAGGAGACTCAGGTAATTCGTTAGTGGTACTTGTTCTACGTCAGTATTGCTCAAGTAGCAAACAGGGATCTCAGTCCTTTCATCAACTAGATGATCGTGTTCGTGCTATATTTGCTGCAATGAATCTTACTTGCGTGATATGGGATCGAGATACATATGACTGTCAGTGCAATCAATCGTCCCTCAAAGTGTCGCCTTCTTTTGTTGAAACCATTGAGTACAAATGAGCTTTGCATTCATAGGGACTTCCAACGATCCATCACGCCACTTTCAACCTCAATGGATTACAAACAACTTTACCCAATGGATTTCTGCCGCAGAAAATGAAACTACTGGTCATATCTCCCTGGAGCATGATCTGTAAGTGACTACACAGTTGTAAAAGTATCGTAATCGCGCTACCAGTTGAATCTTGACACTTTGCTTTACATTTTAGTGTTCCGATTGCCGCGACCGAAGCACCAGCTGCTTTAAAGCTTTTGCTTCGAGCGGGTTTCCGTGTCCAATCACCTGCAGAATGCATTGGTGATATGAGACCATATACAAATCAGTCTCTGGTGATTCCTAACAGTTTGGTCAAGGGAGCAACTGGAATCGGTCTCATGCCTACAAGTGGTGCTAATCGTGCATCTAGCATAACAATATCTTTCGTCTCTGCTGTATTCCTAGTGTTTCACATTGCCTTCATCTGGTGAAGTGTGCCCATGTGGCCGCTTCTGATGTGGATTGAAAAGTCAAATGTTGTGTTTGTGTTCTCCTTATTTTCGTTTTCTTTGTACAAAATTGTTCGGAAGTGTTTAAAAGTGAAAGATATAGATGAAGAATGTGTTGAATAGCCACCCGAGACGACTTTCAGTTCAGCCCTGTTGACTTCAAACGGTTGGCAAACGATTGCGGCACTCGACACATAACTCTAAAAACATCAAAGAGGTTATGACCAAGGTCAGAATCTGTAGTCAAGACCTATTCATACAACAAGGACATGTATCTTGTGTCATTAAACCAGTAGACAACAAGTCATTGCCAGCAGAAATAATAATCATTCCTGAAATAAGACCAATGCAATCTACACTAGTCACAGTCGAAGTAGCCGGAGACTCGTTACTTGTATTTTTAGTGGTCATTGTGGTCGTTGTGTTGTTTATTGGAGCAGGTATAAGTTGGCTGGTTTGCTCTGCGGTATCAGACCTGTAGCAGACATTTTGTTGAAATTTGCATACGTATAAAAGCAGTTTATAACAACATTCATCACTTGCAATTACTGAGAATGAAATCGTTTTATTCCATTCGGCATTAGGTGCTCTGTGCTCGAAAACCCTACAACAACATCCAACAACCCGTGGCATTCGTCACCAACTTTCAATACCACCTCACGGGATATGGGCGGGCGCTTGGTACGGAATTCAACATCATAGTGATAATGAACTACCAACACCTGCTCCAAATCGAACAGCAAATGAATTGAATCGAACTACTGGAGACTCATTACCATCATATTCACCATTGGAAGAAATCATGCCTTCTCAACCAATGCCACCACCTCCATATGAAAATCATCCTGCTGCTTCTACTACTCCTGGTGGTGGAGGAAGTGAGCTATCTCAGACTCATCAGGAACATGGCCATGTTGGTAGTCCTGTAGATGATGAACGTGGTCGTGATCGAGATCGAGATTCAACTGGTAGTACGGCTGCATTGTTGATGGCTGCAGGTGCTATGGTGTAAGAGTCTTCACCCTATATCGTTATGTGGTGTCATGACACAAAAGTCGCCTGGTCTCAGCACCTGCATATCTATTTCTCTCATATTGTAAAGTCGAGATTGTTAAAAAGCCATGGTGAGCAGGCAAGTTGTATCATCAAGCTATGAATAGAAGATACCTCAACTACCAAAACGTTGGACGGCCACGATATCTATTTGAAGAACGCACTGATGCACTGATGTAGTAATCACTATGTCATCAAGGGGCCGCAATCATGTGCAAAATCAATTCTACTTCCGCACTCTGAGTCGACTATATACCCGTTTAGCCATCTCAACTGGATCTGGCCCCTTTGGGTTCAGAACAGGCAAGTCATGGCAAAACACTTACAAACAAAGAAGGTAACAATACTTCCTTTTATAGGCTTGAATTGACTTATGTTCTTCCTGTTTATTTAGGTTTGGTAGTCGAGTAAACACAATGTAGAAGCATCATGATTGCGAGAAGTGGTCGCTCAAAGGTATTTCCATCCGAGAGGCAATTTTTTCTTCAATTGTGCAAATGAAATGGTAGGTTAAGTCTGGAATGCATCATCGGATGAATCCCAACGAGCTGTGAAAATACCGCTGCCAATGATACTACTGGCCGTAGTTCACTTGGACATCTTCGGTAAGTGGTGAAAATATGCATTGAATAGCTTTTAGTGTCTGCTTAAGTTGTCCGCACCCTTTAGCGTCCCAATCGCGGCTACAGAAGCAATAACTGTTCGCTTAGAGCTGGTTTCCATGTTCAGTCACCTGCAGAATGCATTCATGATATTTGGACATATACAAATGACCGCTATGCTGTAGTGTTGCTAACACCATCGTCAAGAGAGATACTGGAATTGGTCTTCCTTCTATTAGAAGTGGTGTTGCTCGTAACTCTATCATGACATGGTGTTATGTCTCTGCTATGCACACATTGGTTCAATTGACGTCATCTGGTGAAGATTGATTATGCAGCTGCATCTGGTGCAGGTTGAGAAAGTCAAATTTTGTGTTGCGGGTTTCCTTTATTTTGCCAAACTTTTGTACAGAGTTATTGAGATATGTTTAAAATTCGCAATTGTGGTAGAAAAACTTGTTAAGATGCGAATAGAGGCCATGCGTACTTTATTCACGTTGCCTAAACGCCGTTGGCAAACGATTGCGGCAGTCACCCGACAACAGATTCCAAAACTCGAAGATGATATGACCGAGGGCTGAATCTACGGTCAAGACTCTCCTTTCATACGTCATAGTCATCCATCTCACAAGAGTATGTATCTTGTATCCTTGGGCTCCAAGTCACTGTCAGAGGACAACATCATTCAAGGACAAATCCCAATGTCGTCTATGGTCACAGTCGAAGGAGCCGCAGATTCATTCATTATATTTTTAGTAGTCATTGTCGCCATTGTATTGTGTATTGGAGCAGGTATAGCTGGTTTGGATGGCTCTGCATCAACATTGACTCGAAAACATTTGTAGCCAGCAAATTGCAAGCAACAGAGTGAAACAACATTCAGAACGCACCACTAACTATTAATGATGATTAAACATATTTCAATTAATTGATTTTAGGTGCTGAATGATGATTTAACTATTTCAATCAATTGATTTTAGGTGCCCTATGCACAACATTTCTACAACAAAGTGATACTGGCCGTGGAATGCTTCATTATTTATCGTTTATACACCCTCACGGTCTTTGGGCACCTGCCTGGTATGGAATGGAGGGCGCAGAGGATGGTCCACTACAAACTCCCAGAGCAACTCCATCAAACCAAACAGCACGAACTGGAGAACCATTACCACCATATTCAACATTGCAAGAAATGCCTGGAGAGCCAATACCACCACCTCCATATGAGAATGAACCTGCTGCTGCTGGAAGTGAGCCATTGCAAACTCATCAGGAACATCGTCATACTGGTAGTAGTACTACTATAGATGATGAGCTCCGTGCTCTTGAACGAGAACGAGATTCATCAGGAAGTACAGCTGCATTGTTGTTTGCTGCAGGTGCATTGGTGTAAAAGGGTCTACCAGCATATCATTATGTGGTGGTATATAAAAGATCATTTGGGTTCAACGCCTGTAAATCTAGAACACTATAAAAGCATGATTGTAAGCCATTGATAAGGAGGCAAGTTGTATCATCAAGCTATAAATAGACGCCCCCTCAACTGGAAATTGAAGATTTCATATTGTGATTAGTACTCAAGGCTGATTTGATTCATCTATCAATTCGAAATAGACAAATGCACAAGATGTTTTGTTTATTTGTCATTATTAGTTCGTAAACATAGAGTCTTTCGTGTTGTAATAGTCTAGTACGAGTCAGAAAGTCATCACATAAAGTAGTATATCACAGATATGAAAGCGAATACCATCATGGAAGCGGAGGATGGTATGAAGGATGAAACATCAGCACTTGAATTCACAATGTTAGCACCACCACTGCCGTCACCACCTACTGTGGTATTACTAGAAGGATTTTGTACTTTCAAACTAGAATTGGCATACACAATCTTGACACCAGAGTTATCCAAGTCGTTGAAGAAAGCATTTGTTACAACTGGGTTGGATGAATTGGTGACTTGGAAGTCTCGGAATGTGGTTTCCTATACAATCAGGACGTATTAATATCAGCCACGTAGCTCAGAATCGTTGGTACTGTGCTTACCTCTACTTTGCGAAATTCAAACAAGTTGAACAGTTTGAATCGAGGATACATTTTCAGGAAGGTTGAGTTGGTGAGAGTTTGTTGCCACCATCGTTGCTTGATGGCAAGCTCACCAGGACCTATTGCGTAACTTGTGTAAGATGATTGTAGAGGAGTGGCTACAATGATTGAACTACCTGGAGCAACATCATAAATGCCAGCAGCTTGCATAGCTGGTGTAGCCGGGAGATGGAAAGCGGCAGCATATTCTGATGCCTATTTGTCGACAACGACATTGTTCAGTTCACGGGGTAAGCAACTTGGCGTACTTGTTTTTGACACTTACAGCGAACGGCTTTGAGCGATTCACACAAAACATTTGGTAGAAGTTGAAGCTTCCATATTGGTTTGTGCTAGAACCCAAAGTAGTCGAATTCGTGCCGAATATTTCAGCAGCTGTTTGTCCAGGTACTGGCAAAACATTGTTGACCCACGGATAGCTTTGTCCATAGTAATAAATCGACAGTCCTGCGTTAAAGAGTCCATTTTCAGCATTGACGCTTGTTGAAAGGTTCAAACGCAAACTCACCAACCCAATCTACGAAACTGTCACCTGTATAAATGGAGAATGAAACTCAATCATCAAGGCTTTGAATCAAAACATAAGCAGAGCCTATTTCTGACCTGGATAATAAACTGAGTACGGGTCGTCGTTAATATCAAGAATGCCGTCTCCGTTGGTGTCCATAGCTAGGTAATCCGTGCTTCCATTTACAGGAGAATATGCACCATTTAAAAAGGGATAACCGTTTCCTGAACTTGGAGACCATACAAAAGCAACATTTTGGGCTATTGCTTTAACAGCAGGGACGACCCGTTTCCAAAATGCGATGAAACTTGAAGGGCGCTGACCCCATACGTTCCTGTGTATGTAAGAAAGTTAGGCTTTGGTGTAATTCAATCGAGCATTCGCAAAAGGTGATCTTACCAAGAACCATTCATCTCAGGTGCGAGTCGTAACTGTTTTTGTAAAAAGAAAGTTAGGACTCTTGCGCAATGCAATTATACCCTCGTAACAGACGACTTTACCATGACTCGACGACCTGCTCGATTCAGACTCTGCATTTGCAAGGCCAGTTGGTTAATGTCTGCGTCTGTAACATTCAGTCCATTGGGACCTTTAGGATAGACCGTAAGAAACAAGATTGCGTCTGAGGTGGTTGCGTCTAGCTGAGGTTGAGCAAAGTACGCAGTAGTGTCGACATAGTTTGATGAACTTGAGTTTCCAGGAATGTTTCTATGTCAAGCGAATATGAGTATGGGGAATGTTTGCAAGGTCGATTTGAAAATATTCATGTCTGCTACTCACTGTGCGAAGTGGTAAACTGAAAACAACCTGTTAGAACGATTGTTCAGCATCGCTGGAGAATCAGAAGGAAGGCCATTTACGGGAGTTCCATCAACCCATGCTCCCAAATACATGCCAGTTGGAGGTTCAAACAATGCTAGCTATATAGATCGTTGTCATAAATATGTGTTAGAAAACCGCAGTTGATATATGTTTTGGCTAGACCCAAGAAATATGATGACACTGTTACTAGGTCATATCATATAACTACACTTAGACATACCTGTGCATGAATACTGATACCACTGCTCAATACGAGAGCCGCTACCGCCAAGATGTTTTTAGTTTTTGTCATGTTTCTCGTTTGCGACGACTTTCGCTGAAGACTTGTTTAGGTGGTTGCAAACGGAAACAGACGGTGGCAGTTCTCGAAAATACAGTTTATCGAGTCGTTTCAGCAGTCGTTTTCCTTTCTGAGGCGGCAAAAAATGATTGACGAGATGTTCAGGCAAATGTCCAAGAATAGATTGCGTTGGTCGAACACGATCGCTACCACGAAGTTATAGAATCCGAGACCGGATTTCCAAGAAATGATTTTAAATATTATATCAAGTTCACATTTTTCTCCAAAATAAGTCTCGTTCGATACCGTAATTCGTGTTTTTTTAAACTGCGTCCATTCTCTCCAAAAGTAGAAAAGCATCAATTCACGAGTTCCGGAATCGACTTCGGAGTGGTGACAAGTAAAGCCATGTCGTGGCAATGCATCCAAATGTTAAAAAACAAAGCAACAAGGCATCCGGTGACATCAATAGAAGAGTTGATAAAGTTCTATGTTATTGAATGACTACAATTTTTAGCGCTAATGATTCTACTCTTGCTGCATTTGCGACAAGTACTTCTTAACCACTGGTCGTTCAGCCAACTCGTGCTGAAGGCCATATAAATGATGTAAAGCCGAGGTGAGAATATGAGTATGACCGTCTCTCAACACAGCTATGTTTTTCTGGATTTGTGTTTTATGATGATCCTCACCATGAACAACCTGCTTCACGGCAGTTGGTGGCATATTTACAATATTAGCAACTTCGTCCAAAACCGAGCCCAATTCCTGTAATCGATCTTCTATCATTTCAATCAATACAGTCCATACCCTCAAAGTGATCACCTCAAAGTGATAAAGGGTCTCAATATCATTTATGAGAGACTCTATACTGACTTCTCTATCAGCAACCATCGCTATAAGCCCATCATCTTCGTCATTCATTACACATATATACATGACCAACATGTGGTTTGCTGAGAGCAAGTTATCGACGCCGTCCCTTCGCGGCAACAGCTCAATCCACGGTCTTAATCCGAGTTCTTCAAGTAGTGGTCTTTTCAGGTCTGAGTCTTCGAAATAATATGTGGGTGGATTGAAAGCTACAGTGTCGTGAGGATTTTCCGGTACACAAAAGCCGTGTATAAAGAGTAGCTCCGAGTTTGGTTTTGATCCATAAGATATAAACAATTCGGTGTTTGAGGGGACTTCTAGTGTGATTATTGACCGAAGCTAGCAAAATATGGTATTTGAGAACTTGCTCGTGTTGAAGAGATACGAACTGGGGAGATGGTGGCCTCAACAAACCTCTATATTTGTATCATCTTCCGACATATTCAAGTGCCATCGCATTGAGGGTTCCATTGTTGAGTGGTTTGCGAAATCAACCAATGGGACTAAATTGTATTCATCGAATTCAGCACTGGCTTCAGCTGATTTGAGTGATAAGACTCTAGACCAAAATACGGCATCAGCCCATGCAAACGTATCCTGATTCAGCACTTTCGCAGAGTCTAGCTGTTCCAAGATGTCCGTCAGATTTTTCCAATCTTTTTCTAGGTGCCTCTTTTTACTCGTGACAGCACTATCAAGGTTTGTTCCAACCAGTGAATGGAGGTCTTCTGGGCCTATTCAGATTTAAATTAGTAAAAGGGCGAAAACAGTGGTGGATTAGTTTGCAGGTACCGTAGAAGACCGGTGTATCAAATCGTTCTGGCAAGATATCCAAGTACTGAAGCCAAAACTCGATATCTTCGTGTAGATCATTATTTTGGTGTTTAATAATTATAAGATATAGCAAGAAGAGGAGCACGTCAAGACGTGCAGTGAGTTCCTCATTCTCTCTATACACAGAATCGAGTGCTGGGAGATGCATTGAAGCCAATAGCCGGGCCTGAGCAGAGTTTAAAATCAATTTCTTGGCTACCTATGAGATCAATAAAGCAAGAACATTAAAGAGTTGGAGATTTTGTCGCAAACCAAATTTGTTTGATTCGTTGCAGATTAAGAGAGAAAACAGGTACAGGCTTCTGTTTTGACACGTAAATCATGCAAATTGACAAACCTTAGCTAGGACTTGCTCGTCTTGTAGCGATTGCTTTTCGTCTAAGAAGATACCAACACCCTTTGTATCTCCTGTAGCATCCGACCTGCTTACACTAAACTTCAAGTTCAGAATCCTGCAGCCATGACTAGCTAGTAGCTCTGCAAAAGCGCTCAACCGTTGATCGGAAGGCATGGTAAACGTTAGCGTCATCGACGCTTGTTTTTTAGAAAACACAAAAGATGAACACTAAAAACACCACTAACACGAGAATTCGTCGATCAAATATGCTTTTGTACTATTTTGGTTCAATAAATTATTATATTACGAGTATCACGCTATTCCTTGATGCAGCTGAGTTTCAATTCTTCGATCTGGATCGTGAGTCAGTTTGATTCTAACGTCTTCCGTTGTTGGGGAAGTGCTCGGGATGACAGGTTTCCCACGTGTGATATGGTCGTAGTGCAGCTCTGGGAAGTGAGAGTTCGCCTGCTGGCCTTTGTGACTTCATGTAGGGCCTAGTCAAATATGCGGCATTTTGAGGGGGAGTGGCAATTGGAGAGCGTGGATCCCCAGACCATTCTACAGTAGTTCATAATTAGATCACAAGCAGATATGGTTATACAAAACCACAGACTTACTCGACGATGAGGATAAAGAACTTGAAGTATTTCTTGTTAGTTGCGATAAAAGACCCGAGAATAATCCAGACTGATTGTTTGAGTGCTCTGATACTGATGCTTTTTCTAACTTGTTGCTTATTGGCAGCTCTGATGTAGCTTCAGACTTGTTATATGTCCTAAAAATCTTTCTTGCCACGAAGAATAGGAAAAGTAAACCAAAAGCACCTCCAACGACACCTAGAGCCACACAAGCTGTAGTTTCCATATACGTCCACGAAGCATCGTTGGTACTGTTGACGGAATCAGAAGTAGTAGTATTCATCACTGGGGCGGCATTGTTGGCTAATTCGACCTGCGAATCAACGGCCAAGGATCTGATCTTGACTTGATAATTAAGGCACAGCTCCGATTCACCACCGAAAACAGCTAGAGGATGGTTGACACCGAGAAGAGAGGATGCCTTGCCTTGCTCTTGACACGGCGGCATTTCACATAAAAATGTGATGGGAGAGCAAACCAACCCGGTTGGGCATTCCACCAACGAGTCTGTCAGCGGGGGTAAACATGCTTGTCCTTGATCTTGATCTTGGTCGCCATCTTGGTTTCCATTGTCGTCTCCATCATCACGTTTTCTGTTGTTGATGACATTCAACGCGGTAGTTTTAAGCAGATCCAGTCCAGATTGGGCATCGTCCATTTGCCTTTATATGAATTGGAATCAATAAATACGTCTGTAGCCTCCACACCCTCTGCTTAACGGGCGATCTGGTGGATTTGATGTGTTTGAGAAACTGGAGCGTTTCGAGCGTGCGGTCAGCAAACAAATGTGACAACTTCGCCCTTGGAAAATTACCAGTTTCATGACGGAGACACTTCAAAGGATCTGTCCCCAAGACGCAACAATTGGCAACATCACGTTCAATATTTGTGCGTTCTGCTCCACAATTCACATTGCCCTAAAGTGAGGAACGAATACCAAGGTAAGCATTACCCATGTAAACTACTTGGTCTATGCTGACGTAACATTATTTCTCAATAGATCTCGAACTGAATATGCCGTCACCAGATAGGCGAATACTTGAAGAAATTCCACTCAAAGCAATCGTACTGAATGGACGAGGAAAGGGAAAGAAGACGTTATCTGATCAAGATATTGTCATGACACAGGTTATCGCTGAGCGACTGAGATCACACCTGCCACCTCTCCCAAAGGTCTGAAGCACACCAACACATCTGACAACATTTGTCGCCTCTTGTGATCACTCGCAATACACATCTGACAGCATCTATTAGCTTTTGTTTAATACCATTTGCTGACCGGCTCTCGCTTTTTCATACAGGAATCAACAAACTGGGATCTAATATATTCAACGCAACGAGATGGAACCTCTTTGAACTCTTTATTGACGCTCTCAACGCAGCATCATCAATGTGTGGTTCTCGCAATCAAAGACGAAGAGGATTCAAAGTTTGGGGCGTTTGCAAGTGAGGCACTGTCAGTGAGGCGAGGGTTTTTCGGCAACGGATCATGGTAATAATTGTTTTGGAAGCGGTTACAGGACACCATTGATTTCATTTATCAATAGCTTTCTGTGGAAACAACACCCAAATTCTGAATGCACTGTATACAAGTCAACAGGCATTAATGACTACTACATATGTACAGAAGAGGGAGCATTAGGTTTCGGATCAGGGTAACGTTTGGAAACAGCGCAGCTTGTTATGCCCGTGCATTAACATTCCTGCATTATTAGGAAGGGAGACTTCGGCCTCTGGATACACGAGTCGTTACTGAAAGGACACTCCAAACCCTGCCCCACGTATGGAAACGATACGCTTGCGTCCAGGGTCGACTTTGAAATCTTGGTTGTGGAATTATGGGGTATTCGAATCTGAACTCTCACGACGTGAATGCATCACTAGCACGCAAAATAGTACACTACCTTCATGTATACTTTCTTTCTGTCATGTCAATATCTTATATCTTATGTAACTTACGTCTAGTCAAATCACGTTATTTAATCTTTTTTCCTTGTGGACCAGCTTGTGGAATCGCGTTCTGAGCCGAGCTCCTTGAAGTTCGATTCTTCCAACCCTACAGAATCTGGCTCTCTCAGCTTGATGAGTTCATAAACCACACTCAGACAATCTGACCTACATCAAAATAATGCCAACACCTATATCAAAACGGCCGACAAGTGCCAGCCCTGCCAAGTTGAAGACGTCGAGCACTACAACATCAGCAGCAAATCTCAATAAGTCAAACGGAATCTCTACGAACAAGCCAGGAACTCTAACCGCACCTACAGGATCAAAACGAAATTTGTCTATAAATAAGTTCCGGTCGGCTTCTTCTTCAAGATCTGTTCAAGAGCAGTCGCACGGTAATGGCAAAGACGACAATAAAACATTGCAGCATTTCTCACAATGCCTCTACGCTAGACGTTGAGCCGGGCTATGAGGACATCATCAGGCAGAACCGAGATTTACAAATCCGTTTACAGCATTTGACGTCGTTACTATCCGAACAATCTAAACTCGTATCCCAACAACCAACAACATCACCACTGTCACAATCAACATCACAAGCAACCCTCATAGACGAACTCCGATACACGATATCCCATCTCCGAAACGAATTAAATACGTGCAAAGAGGAACGAGACTCGCTGAAATCCATTGTAGATGAGTTGAAGCGACGGATACGGAGTCAGGTTATGAGTAATCCAGCTATAGATCCTGTAAATGACGAGTCGATTGCAGTATCACCTGAACTGACACATTATACAGATCGCCAGCAACCGTATATATCTAGCCGTGCATCAAACATGTTGCCAAGTGTGGACGATTCCTGGGTATTCAGTAATAGACCAGAGCCGGATACAGATACAGCGGGATTGAGGGATACGATGGAAGATCTAAGTATAAATCTGCAGGATCAAATCGCTATACAGGCCATCCGTAATGATCGTGATGAGGCTAGTTTGAATTTAGACCTGTCCGCTATAGACAACGACACGAGCAATGTGTTTGGATACTTGCCACCACTCCCGAAACCAGTATCATTATCTCCTGATCGGATATTGAATAGTCATCTTGATGGTATATCGGAAAACTATAATAGTAATACATCAGCACTTCATATTCCAAACGACGATTCTCAAGGATGGAGGAATAGAGCGCTGAAACTAGAAAGTGAACGGAATGCACTCGAAGAAGAATTGCTGGAACGATATGCTCAGCTACGAGATGCGGAAGATAGACTGCAAAGGACGGTGGAAGAACCTGATAATGCTACTTCAATGGATGACATTACAATCAGAACTGAAAAGTCATTTACGATGCCAACGTGGGCTCTACCACCTGGCGGGCATAAACGTATACACAAGCCAATCAGTACTAGATGAATTCCTTGTATTAAAGTGAGCCGAATTAACACTTATATAGAAATTTCCACAAGATTCCTTCAGGAAGTGACAGTTACTAATACGAGAGCTTTCAGACCATGGGAGTTGATTCCCGAGCTAGGTCTGATGATGGTCTAACTAATCGTTCCTTGACCTTTTTGCTCACAGATATTTCTGGAATTGGGCGTGGGTCATAGGGATTTGGTTCGCTTCCATATCTTATTGCCTCTCTTGCTTCAAGGTATCGGAGTGTCGTTAATCCCAATATCCCTATAAAAAGGAAACATGATGAGTTGGCGCATTCGTGAAACTTAGATATCCCGCATGGCCTTACATAGTTTAGAGTGGAAGCAGAGCAAGTTGACGACTGAGACACTACTAAATATAGCTAGGCATCCGTATACCAGAATACCTGTAAGTACAACATCCTGTCGAGGTGCATCGTTGGTGCTCAAGTTGAACATATATGCCACTACCCAAACAGAGGTTAGTTAGATCACATGCATGTCACACCAGATCACATCAAAAGTTCTCCCTTACCGGTAGCATCAAAGGCATCCCTCGAGTTGAAATACCACGAGAATCCCCAAAACGCAACTGCCCCATAAAATGCAGACACAACACCAGCAAGTATCAAGCAAATACAGAACGGGAAGTAGTTTCGTCTACCAATACACGTATTGAGATACCCACAATGATGATCATACCCCGACACACACTTATTGCATGGTTTGCAATGTTTGGTATCATGGTCGACTTTAACATTACAAATCCCACACATTTGAGTTTCTTGATCAATGACGGGTATTCCTGATACTTTGACATAATCTATATTGCGTGGGGTATGTGCATGTGTTACTGCTGCATCTTGCGGATCTATTAGCATGGTTGTCCACATGAAGAAGCCTTGGATTGCTGTTAGGGCTCCTGCTGCAATGTATGAGACTATGCGTAATCCGAGTGGTATGAAGAAGGATATGTAGCCAAAGTAGCCGATAGTCAATATAAACCATATTGTCATGCTTATTATTGTGAGAACTAGGTATAAAACGTGACGTGTTATGGCATTCCGCGATGAATGAAAATGCCATTGAATTGGCCATGATCGAGACATAGGCTTACTGTGGACTGGTTTTGAGAAGCCATTCCGCCTCCTCCATGCGTTAAACAGCCTGAAAAGGACCAAAAAATCATGTTAAGTTCTGTGCACAACATTCTAACACCAACATCAAGGCATCTACCGTGGTTCATAGTAATCACTACTGAAGAACATGTTGTTTGACATGGTAATCCATGGTAATTGCAATCGAGCTTCCTTCTTGGGTGGCATTGTATCCTTTTCAGGGAGAGGTGGTGGTGCTGATTGATGATGCTCAACCTTGGAGGCCTTTGTTAAAGCCGGTTCTGGTATAGCTGCCATTGATAGTGATTCAGTTTCCAATCCTACTAGTGTGCTTGATTGCCCGATTGACGAGTGAATGGATGCTGCCATTCGAACCAAAAGCGGGTTTCGAAAATGGGCCGATTCTCCAAGGAGTTTGTGTCTAGCTGGAGAGCAATAATAGCAATAGTTATAGTGAGGCTACCTATTTAGATCTTGAGATTCTTGCGATGCCCTCAAAGTTCGAAAAAAAATGTTCCGCTGATCTGTGAAAACTCGTTCATGCTGCTGAGAGTAAACAGGTTGAGGAGGCACTATATTGCTGTTTACTCTTTCTAAAACTACAATTAATTTACAACAAGCAACACGATGAGAATTTATAATACTATGTGATGTTTTATAATGAGCATGGCTCCGGTCGGTTTCTTCAAAGATTCGACTCTCCCAGATCACCAGTACCAGGTAGCGTTGGCCTCGACCGTTCTTTAGATCCTCGATTCCTAGTTTCAGTCATTTCCGGCGGTTGAGAAGCTGCAGCAGCTGCATTCGTTGCAGCAGATTCTTGAGCCATCTCGTACAGAGTCTTGTTATTATACCCGTCAGGCCGATAATTGTAGATGTTTCGTTCTTTACGTTCAGCTTGAGCTTCAAAGAATGCAACGTCCTTCCTTCTCATGGGCCGAGGTGGCAACCCGACATCATCACCACCTGCTGAATTGACTCGACTGGTTTCTCCACGTAATCTACTAAATGCTATTATACCGGCAATCAAGAGTGATGAGGCAAATAGTAATACACCGATAGCTAGAATCGTAAAGTGTGTGTTAGCCTTTTGTTGCAAAGTTGGTTTTGATGAAAAAATGTTGCGGCATTCGTCGCTCACAAATGAGGATGGCATTGACGACGGTGTGATATACATCAAAGGCTCCGTTGGATCTATAGATGAATGATTTAGAGAGGGATCTACCGGCTCCGAACTGGAAAACCTGAACTTACGACGGAACCGTTGACGGTATTGTATTTTGGCCATAAACTGTCACAAGAAGGCCGAAGGCAAAGAAGAGACACTGTGGGAGCCTCGAGCTGAAAGTCCACATGACGGTATCCCCAAGTCCTTGAAGGTGCTGTTGCTTGTTTAGAGGTTTGTTTGCGTAGGAGAAAGAAACGAAAACTCCCTGAAACGGTGTGAATATGAACGTAAGAACCAATACGTTCACGATCATGACTACGAACAGATTTACTTTTATATATTCTTACTGTCAGATTCACAAAATCACGAAAGAATTAGATTTTTCCAATTTTCCAATACTACATCTTGCTCTTAACTCTGCCCTTCTGTGGCAGTTTGGGCAACCCTTTGTATTTGGCTTCAACTCCGCTACTAGCAAACGTTACTACTCGGTTTACGACTGCATCATCCCTCAACACAAACCCATGGCCCAGACCAGTGGTTTCCATGTAGTCAGCCTTGTTCGGGAATACTTTGACGACGGCTCTAGCTTCTTCCACTGGGATCAGTGCATCCTCAGTGTCGTGAACAACTAACGTGGGGATCTTGATAGCTGCAGCAGCTTTCATAACGGAGAGGTCGTCCATATTACCACCTAAATCCGAAACAAACAAAAATCAACACCATATTTCTTGAATTGTGAATGTCTGAATTGCTCTGATTGTTGGAAAGAATCTGGAATTGTGTGTCGTAGTTCAACAAAGCCCTCACGTACCAATACGTTTCTCTACGGCAGCTCTGACTTGAGGTGCCCATTCTGGCTTGAGTTCCATTCGGGCGAGTGACCTTGCCAAACTATGGGCTTGACCAGCAGGTGGAGAGATGAGCACCATACGTTTTGTTGGAAAGCCTCTGGATACGGCTAAGGTTGTAGCAGCAGAGCCAAGAGAGTGGCCGATAACACACTGGCAACCACCAGGAAAGTACTTAAAACGAATCGCTGTTAGGAGAGTGATTTTGTGGATATATGTCTTGAACTTACCCATGCGATATGTAGAAGCGTTTGGGCGAATAACAGAGGGTTCGCCAGCTTGGGGCCATCTGGCCAGGTCTTTCCGTGACCCGGCATATCTACTGCGACAACGCGTAGCCCACGACCTGCTAGTGCTGGGCCGAATTTGCCGAGTTGCAGGGACCTTCCTTCCATACCTGCATGTGAAATAAATAAATCAGTACACTTCTGAGATTGAAATGATATGAAATCCATAAGCGTGTACCGTGAACTAGTAAGACTGCTGGGTTGCCAGCATCTCCCCACTCATAAGCGTGTAGTTCTTTCGGCAATGTAACATTGCCTGGTGGAAACTTGGAAAGCGGTGACAGAGGAGGTAGATCCATAGGTTTCAACTTGAGGTAGAAATTCTTTGGCTTCATTTCTTTGGCCCTGTGAAAATCGCTTTAGATCAAATTCAATGTTGCCCGATTTCCTTGACTTGCCATCCTAAATCCCAGGCATTTGCCGGCATTCGTCGTGCTTCCGTCATAAAGTCAGCAGCCTTTTCAATGGCTTCCTCCATTGGGAGCTGGGAGATGTCTTCACGTTGTCGAGCCATGATTCTTGTACGATCTGCTCGTACAGTACGACATGAATTGCGTGATGAGAACAGAGTGAAAGGAGAATTTGAACATCTGGGGCCTACCTTAGATCTTAAGAAATGCAGCCGTTGTCCAAGAGTTCCTGATTTCGTGCGAATCGTGGGGTGTCACGAAACTCAAAAACAACTGCGTAGGCGAATCACAACTTTTGCCGTTGCATTCCCGTTCATTGCACTCTTTAAAGTAGAAAAAACGCGTTCTTTGATTATTTTCTGCCGTCATCTGCCCTACAATTCGCATGGAATTAGACAAAGTCATCAATTCATTCGTCGCAAACTCACATCCACTCTCCGAAACAACTACATCGATTTCCATACCTGTTGCTCCTGGAAGTAATAAAAGGCGACAATCGGCTTCATCTCTACCAGACTCGATGTTTTCTTCAGCAGCCAAACCACCACTGGGTCCTGGATCATCGTCACAACGAAGGCAATCAGTGGATGGGACCCGACGACTAAACACCAGCACTTTAACCAGCAAATCACCAGCAAAAAATAATAGTCCATACTATAGAAGGAATTCTCCTACGGGCCGACAACTACTCTCTACTTCACCGACATCGAAATCACGTATACAAAAGAAATCAGCTGCAGCCAATAAAAAGCATCACCTAAATTCACCCATATTCACCGCCAATGACATGACTTTCTGGATACCCTTTGAGGTTCCGCCCAACGGAACTAGTAATAAGGCCAATAAGGCCCAATGGAACTTTTCTCCGATAAAAACTTCACCCGACACGATTCTTACTGGTTTACCGCTCGGGATGAACGTGGATCTACCAAATAATAGTAATAGTAGTAATGTAGAAAGGCCTCTAGACATGCTGTCGCGTCTTGCTCAGCGTGTTAACAACTTAGAACTATAATAAACTGCTGTGCATTGTGACTCAACTCTCCAAAATCCCAAACATGTTGTCATCTATAGCTACTGAATTCTTTGATAGCAAGACCGTACAAGATCTAATATTTGATAGGAGGACCGCCACAGAAGCCTCGACCCAACGGGCTCACTATCTTGCAACGAAATTGGGCGACAAGATTGTCCAAATTTCGCCAAATGCAACCATTGAAGATGCTCTCCAGATCATGAAGGAGGAGAAATTGCTTGGTAATTAATTGGTATCAGCCACCCTATCACTTGGTTGACTGACACTCGAAGCGAACGGGATCGTTGTTTTAAGATTGATCTTCTGACATTGCACGTTTTCAACCAAAGCATTGCCAGTCGCCGAACCACCACAGTCCACGTTGAAATTCAAGTCGCTGGTATCAATAGATACTTTATTGAAGTCGGTTTTCGCTCGTGGACTCGGTAAACGTCTGCCTGCTTCAGATTATATTGAGACGATTCTTAAGACATTCGCAATCTTACTCAAATTATCCTGCTAGGTCCTACTCAGAATGAAGATGGGTCCCCAGGGCAACGTTCACGTCTTCTCAAGGAAACTATTGCGTCACATCTCGCAACAGCAGACTCTCAACCTAAAATGGTGTATACTGATGAACCACTCAAAATACTCTTGCATCGATTGGGCACTGGCGGAGAAAAGCACGTATTGGTGACAGATCGCAGTCATATCGATGATGGTGAGTGAAACTAGCATATTTAGGTTTTGGATCCAAAGCCAACATCCTTTACCATATAGCAAACTATTATACAATCGTGTCTCAAACGGACGTGCTACACTATCTATCGCAGAACCGAGACAAGGTTCCTGGGATCAGCACTCCTGCAGCAAATGTGAAGCAATTGGTCGCGTCTGTTGGTGAACAGAAGGCACCAATCTTGGCCAGTCACAAGACAACGGCGTTGGAGATTGCAGAGAGCATGGTGGAAGGGAACTTTTCTTGTATTGGAATTACTGGTGAAAATGGAAAACTGATTGCAAATATTAGTTGTACGAGATCTCGTTGTTGTTCTTTATGAGTGCCAAACTCAACAGACCTGTTTATCGTAGGGGCCGACTATCGTGGTCTGAACTCGTCCGTGTTTGCCTCACTCGACAAGCCAGCCTTGGAATTCGCCGAACGGGTTCAAAGTGTGAATCCTCGGAGCAAACATATCATGATGGAGACCAAAACAGCTACAACACAAGAAGTTATGAAGTCTATTCTTGAAAATCACGTCCATCGAGTCTGGCTTGTCGATGACAACGCCTATGCTGATGGGATTGTCACGATTTCTGATATTATAGCCTTTTTGGGCAATGTCTGAGAACCCACAAAAAAAGTCACGTAGTTAGCACATAGTAGTATTAGCAAATTTCATTATTTTATAGCCTTGTAAATAAAACGATCATCTACTCTAAGTTGTAAGAAATGTTCATGAAGTTCCCACGAAATGGCAGAGTGAGAACTTTATGCAAGTGATTGTAGTGTGATAATATAATGACAGAACTTGCCAGAGTCGTGTTGAAAACACGTAAACGGGTGAAAGTTGGGCTTTTCTCCGCTCGCCCTTATAAGGCACCGTTGTGTGTGAAGAAGCTTTTCAGGTTTTGCACAGATCTGGAGGAGAACGAAAGGGAGAGACCATCTATCTATTGTTTCTGGTCATTGAGGTATGTAGACGCACTCCTGCTGCACTAGTTCGCTGTTTAAAGTAGTCGCGAAAAACACACCACTTTTTTGGGTTTTGACGAATTTGCAAGTTAATAGATTAACTAATACTCAATCCCATAGTTCGGTCATTGTAAAAAGTAGAAGTCTATTAAAAACCATCGATATGCTTTCAGCTTCCATTGAGCTCTTTGAGCCCTCGTCGACTGACGACCAAACATTCGAAAGCAGCAACCATGGTGCACCAGAAGACGCTACCAAACCTCAATCTTTGAAACTGAAGCTCGAACCCATCTCGGAACTATCAAATCAAAGGAGCCACTCAGAGTCCTCACAGTCAGACCAAACACCAACGATACCACCGCAACAAGACAATCCAACAGAAGTAAATCAACCCTCGGACGATGCTCAGGACGAACATGCTCCTCATGCACGAGCAGCGTCTGATCCACTACCATCTACTCAGCAACGGGAGGATCTGGCCTCTATAGGAATGAGACAACGACGTGCCAGTAATAATAACAACATGACCACTACTCGTGCTGTACCAATCACTGGCGGTCGCTCAAATGACTCGAGAAGGAGGACTCCATCTGCACAGGCTTCATCATCATCAGACCCTATTTCGTCAATGGGTGGTCCAGTATCGCCATATTCATCCAGGTCGCCACATCAATCACCACACTTGTCCAGCCACCAATACTCGTCATCAAACAATACTCCAGCATCGATTCCAATACAGCATCCAATATATAATCAATCGAAAGCCAACAATATACCACCCACGGCGGCACGTGCACCTCAGCAACCGATTGAGCCTGGATCTGGAGAAGAGTCGGCGTTATCGTATGGTTGGCCTATACTATTTGCTGTGATGCCACCTCTCATGTCTTTGATGTTTGGAAGCACGACATTGTGGGGTGAAGTCCTCCTCTTGATGTTGACTGCCTTCTACTTGTATATCATCATCAAAGGTAAAACTACCCTATCCCAGTCAGACATGCTTTTTTTGCTGGTTTACACGAAAGGCAATCGATCGTTTCTAATCCATTTCTCCTTTCGATTATAGTTCCATGGGATATGTATCATTCTGTACGTACGAGAAAGTATTTAAATAGGGTTGCCTTCACATCGCATCCACCAACCATGTCATCAGAGGCTCAGTCAACCGATAGCACCAACGCAAATACGAATACTAGTACTCCTCAACCATCTACCATGGACTTTGAATCTGTCTCAACTAGTTATCGTAATGCTGCCTACGAAGAACTACAACAATGGGAACGTTTTTATCTTTTTACAATAGGAATATCACCTTTTCTAGGAGGGCTCGGTTTACACCTAGTTCGTCACTTCCTCTCACAACCCAATCAACTTATATCAAACTTCAATGTCGCCTTGTTTGTCGTGGCTGCTGGTATAAAACCTCTACTCTTCATCATGTCTCTAGCTCGAGCAGAAGCTACCCGATTGCAAGAAGAACTCAACTATCCTACAACAGAAGTTGATTCCTTGAAAACACGAGTGATGGCTCTAGAAGGTCAAATAGCCGCAATCATGGAACAAGCCGCTACAAAAACAGACTTGTTTGCTCTACGAGAAGAACACGAGTCGTCTGTGTCTGTATTAGGTCGAAGCATACGTCGTGTAGAAAAGAGGGCAGATCAAGCTCGTGGGTTTGCTGAAGAACGTACGTTGGCACTTGAAGGTCGGCTACGTGAAGTGGGAGAAGGAGTTGAGAGGTCAGCTTGTCGGCTAGATGGAGGCGGTAACTTGGTAATATCTGATACGAGAATGACGAACGGACACTCACCTAGTAGTACAATAATAACCGCTACCCCTGGATCACAACAACCACATCAACATCATCACCCATCACATGCCACGACGCCAACATATATATATGCTCCTCCAATAGGTCGATTCAACTCGTCTTCATCACGATCCTTGTCTCAACCACGTCTCATGTCATGGACTACAGCTCTCTTTGTCTTGACTACTTGGCTGGTATCTATGGTTGGATACGTCATTACTCGATGTGCACTCTTCCCACTAAATGTGGTCGGAGGTGTCGTCGGTGGTGTCTTGAAACTCTTGCCAGCTCCCATGTATGCCACAAATCAAAAAGCCTTGACGGATAAAGCTGGTAGTGGTAATGGTAATAGTATGATGACAGGTATGATGATGAACAACAGCAACGCTAAACCATCAACATATCATCTGAATGGAGGCACTGCTGCTGCTGTACAAATGGCCAATGATAGACGTGGATCTATTACACTTCAATCAACAACAGCTGATAAGGACGGTAAAAGGTATCAACGTCGATAAAAAAGTTTTGGGTTGGAAGGCTTTCTTGGGGGTTGAGGAGGTAGATTTGCAAACGAGGTTTAGTGTATGATGACTATATATGGAAAAAAACAAAAAATGTACAAACTATGTTAGCACACAAATGCATTTAGTCGTTTTTGGGGATTTTGTAACTAAAATAACGTAAACAGTATATTCGTTGCTATTGGTGATATTGTGCAAGGAGTTTCATGGGCCTTATCGATTGCTTTCCCTTGCGATATCTGTCAAACTTCGCAAAACACTTTCGTACTTGCAAAAATATGATTATAATACCGACCATCGAGCTTCACGGACAAGGATCAGAGTCGCGAGACTGGATATTACTTGAAGTACAAGGAAGTCTTGAAATTGATGATGATACTTTACAGAATGCAGTCTTGGGAAGCATGCAACTCAACAAGGTATCGTGCACAGCTTTCAGTGTTGAGGAGTTTGATGCATTCTCGTTCGTGGCATGAAAGGACACGAAAATTATACAAAAATGAATTGATTTTCATTCTCATTCCACTCTACCACTCTCTTGATCGTCTTTCTCACCAACAATCAAAACCAGGACTGTCCAGTCTTGACTATCGGCCACCACAGACTAGAAGGCAAACGCATAACACTCTCCAAACCACTCGCACTCATCCGCAGGAAGGAAATCAAATCTATATGGTCGTCCAAAAACTCGGCTGCTGCTTCGAGATCGGCTTCTAGACCAACGTCAAGAGTCAATTCTAGAGCTTCGTCGCCTGTTAGAACGCATAACATTAGTAATGATGTTGATGGTGATGCAATGGACGTGGATCAAGGAGGAGGAGCCCAAACAATGAATAGTAGTCAGACAACAGTGTATGGTGGGATGGCTGGTAGTGCTGAAGAAGTGGATCCATTTGCTGTTACGCCTGAATGGGAAACGGTGTGCGTGATACGATACAAGTATATATTCTCGCAGAGGCCTGAGACTACGGTGCGTCAAGAGCATCGTGGCGCTGTAACTTTTAGGAAATTGGGCTAGTTCAAGAGAAATAAAAATATTCTAGTTTGAAGAATAGTCCTTGTATTTAATATAAAGCACCATCATTCTTCTTGATTTCTTCCCTTTCTAATTTGATTTTGTAAATGTACAAAGTATTTCTCATCATCGATAAACACATAGACACAACTGATATACAAACACCCTTCTTTACAATATAAGACAATATCACTCTGCACGTATTTGTAATGACGTCCACACTGCTTGAGCAACAGCCAATTGCTTTTTCAGAGCAGCTTCATCTGCCGACTGGACACTCATCATCTCACCAGTTCTCACCAATTCAACAAAGTCTGCAAGTCGAGCCATAGAAACTTGAGACCCAGAGCTAAATTATAATGACGATGATATCAGTTTCAGTTACATTAACTCTTTTGCATTCCACCATTCAACTTACCCGAGAGCCTTGACTTGACGCATGCGATGAGAGTTCTCAAACTGTGCTGCAACTTCATCTGCTCGATCAACAATTCCGTTTGGAATACCAGCCATGTGCGCGACGTTCATGCCGAAGCTCTTGGGGCAGACTCCTTCTTCAAGCTTATAGAGGAATGTGATTTCACGCCTATAATAGACAGAGGGGATGAGCGTTTCACAATTATATCTTTTAAGACAAAAAAGGGCCAGTACAACCGAAGTGGATGCTTACTTGTCTTCATCAGCAACAAAGGACATGAATCTCATGCCAACCAATGCATTGTCAGCAAATTCTGAAGTCAATGATCCATAGTGAGTTGAAAATAATCCAAGGCAGCGTACACGAATAGCCAAATGATGTAGACATGCAAAAGCGACAGCATATCCTACGAATCGATGAAAGAAACCATTAGATATGCAAATCTCAACGTCATGTAGCGGGAGCCAAAAAAATGAGAAGTCATTACGTGTAGTGACACATTCCCAGTGCCTCCATTTTCAACAACAACAACAACAAACATTACAAATACAAAACCTTACAACACTTACCATCGAAGGTACTTGTACCACGACCTAATTCATCGAGAATAACTAACGATCGAGGTGTAGCTTCTCGCAAGATTCGAGAGGTTTCAGCAAGCTATGCACGAAAGGGAGTTGGTTGAAATTCGTTAAGGCAAAAGATATGAATTTAATTTGAGTTCACACCTCAACCATGAAGGTGGATTGACCAGCCAAGATGTTGTCGTTGGCACCAATACGTGTGAATATTCGGTCAAATGGAGTCAGGACACAACTGCGAGCAGGCACATAGCAACCAAGTTGGGACATTATCGCAGCAATACAAGACTGTCTGAGTAGTGTAGATTTACCACCCTAAGATCACAAATAGAGTAATTAGGTGACTGCAGAAGGAAGTTACAAAGTTAATCCTAGGAATTTACCATATTAGGACCAGTCAGTAAGATCATAGTTGGCTCATCTCCACCTAGTTTCGTATCATTGGGAATGAAGTCTGAACCAAACCTGAGTATAGTTGCAAAAACAATGCGTCAGGTGAGAATTTTTTTGCAAACTTTGTTCCAAATTTTGCCTACCCAGGAACGACACAAGGATGGCGCAATTCGTGAACTCGGAATACACTGGGACCATCCTCTACATACTGAGGTCGACAAGAAGGCTCTAAAAGGTGGTGACATTTTGAGTTCAAATCGTCAAACGGGCAAAATCCTTTCGTACCTCCCAGTGCACTTCGGCAATTTGCTAGTGACATGAGACAGTCGATCTCTGCAAGACTGTTCACGACTTTCATCCTTTTAGTGAAAACAGTGGAATAGCTCAGATAGATTCATCAACAAAAGCGAATCAAGTAAGAGTACTTACCAGTCAGCGTAATTTTCATTAAACTTAGAGTACATACGTGATTTGACTTCTCGTATAGCAGCTTCTCGGGTTTCTTTGGCTTCTGTCATTTCTTTCACCAGCTTTTTGATTTCAGGAGAGTAGTACCGGTTGACGTCTTTGGTCTTCGACATTACGACCCAATCCTTAGGTACCTTGACTCTGGCAGGAACTTCCAGTTGATAGATCTCTTTGCCCATATCTTTGTATTTCAACCCTTTGGCTCTGTGCGCGAACATATCAGACGGTGAGTCTACTGTTGGCTATGGTAGTTTCAAATTTGTAGGTGGATTCGTGACCTTACATGATTTCCGATTCTGCTTCAGTCTTGTGTTCTTCAAACAAGGTATCAATACGTTCAACATTGGCTTCAGCATCATCGTATACAGCATCATAGCCATCGGATGGAGTGATTTTGTCCTCTTTCAACGCTTGTTCATGATCAAAGGCATCTTTGAACCACTTGATGTGTACTTTGAGAGTCGCTGGGAAGCCACTTTGAATCAAGCTAGCTAATCTGCGAGATTTGAAACTCTGTGCTGTGTCAGAGAGCTTCTGCATCTCTTCAAGCAAGGTTTCGAGGGAATCCAGGGCCCCTACAAAGTCTTTCACTTTGCACCCACCAGTATGAATCCGAGAAAGAATTCGTTCCAGATCTGGCAGCTGAGAGAACGCAGACGTCAGAGTTTCTGCAGATAGAAAGTTTTTGTAAGAGGTTGTGGGCGGACGAGAACGGAATGCTTTTTTCGGCATTGTGTCCCTTACCAAGCAACCCTTCAGTCTGCAGAAGGTCATCTGTAGCATCGAGACGGTCTTCCAAAGCTGGAATCGAACGCAACGGATGACAGACCCATCTACATCAGTTAAACGCGGGAATGAATTAATAACAAACGGCGACTGAAAACGTGGGGGTCGCATACCGTTTGAATAAACGTTTTCCAGATGGTGTGGTACCTAATACGAAGAAATGTAAGAATTCAACAACAATAATAACTTTCAATAAGATACTTGAAATCCTACATCGATTCAAGAGACGAAATAGAGTTCCAACGTCAGATCCATCGACCGAGTTTTCAAAGACTTCAAGATTAAGGAGAGTCTGGCCGTCCAATACAAGTGATGCAGCTTCTTGAACTGGATCATACGTATGGAAGTTACCCGCAGACACGAGATCCTTGTCCAATTTGAGCTGACAGGCAAAAACAAGAAGTTGGCGGCAAGAAGAACGAACTATCGCGCGATTTTAACAAACTTACTGATCGTAAATACCATATTAATCCACCCAATGCTGACATGGCCGTACTCTGCTTGGTTGTGGCTCGGATGACTCGAGGCCAAGAATCTGTTCGCAAAGGTATACCGGAATGAGCAACGAGAGTATTTCCTTACCACAGATCCATAGAAAGCTTCATACCATATTTGCCATCACTTCCGTTTTTAGCAAAGTAAGCACCACTGCAAATTTCGTCAGCTGTTGTATCTGCATCCCAGAATTCACTCTCTGGTTTCAAGTAATTAATTTGAACAGCACCACCACAACTGTTCTTTATAATCCGAGCAGTCTTGGCTGACATTGTGGATTTCTCAAGGACCAGCTCTCGTGGCTTCAGTTGAAGCAAGAGAGTTTCCAATCTTGTCCGGTCTATATCGTCATCAAAGGAGCAAATTCGAAACTCCGCAGTTGCAGTATCGACAAAGCATACTCCGAACTTTGGTCGGTTTTCACTGACAAGTTCCTCCTATAGTGATTTAAGATTTAGCCAGAGATCCCATCAAACTCACCAACTTTAAAAGAGCCTTAAGCCAAGAAAATTACCTTCAATGATAGACAATACGTTGACATATCATCAGTCAGCAATCCAGAATCGACCAGAGTACCAACAGTCAAGACAGACTTGAGCTCTCGTCGAATGACTTTCTCAGCCTAGTTTGATTAGTGAACTTAGTGCTTTGCTTTCAAAGTGGCATGCTCTCCGAAACACGACTTGCGACGCCGTCTTGAGACCCACAACGTACCTTTGAACCACTAGATTCACGTTCCCGAAGAGTCTTTCCAACTGAATTTTCGATTTGCTCTACTCTAGCTACTTTATGACCTTTGGCCAGAAATTGGGCAGCCTAGAATCAACCAGTCAGGGATACAGCGTTTGATCAGAGCACCAGTGATGAATCAACTTGACCAAGAAGAAGTCTGATGAATATCTTTTCCTCAAGTCTCCAACGTACCCAAGTATCAAAAGAGTTCTCCGGCACTCCAACCATTCTCATACCAGTTCTATCGGTGAGCTTCAAATCGAATTGTTGATGGCCAATATCAGCATCTTTTTCATACAATTCTATTTAAGAAACCCCGGAATAGGAGTTAGTGAGAGATATCAATGCTATTCGCAGTAACCCAGCATCAAGAAAAGAACACAGCCAATATTTTCCATAAACTTTTTACCATAGAATTTTCCTTTTTTGAAAAATACGACAGTGTCCCAATAGTTCTTTTTGACCTCCCAATACTGCTTCTCAAAGTCTGTAAAGGCTTCAAAGGCACTGCGAGGTACGTATATAGTTCGAGGATCATACTCTGGATCGTCTATTGTGTAGTTTGTAAAGAGAGTCAGGCCATAATCACCTCCAACTTTGCCAAACGCGAAAAGACTCGACGCAAGTAAAGCATACCAGGTGCTCTGCGCTCTGCATCCTGAATATCCTTTAAGAATCCATAACGTTTCTCGTTCTTAACGTTGAATTTTTGCAAACGGTCATTTCTTTTTTCGTCGTCATCCATGACCGACTTTTTGCTTGACGATGCAGGTCGACTACTAGAGATCTATTTGCAAAAGCGGTAATCAGATATGATCTTGGATACGACGCATATCAATCAAGCTGCCATATTTACCTTTCCTTTGGGGGTCTTGAAGCCCGAAGGTGAAGAATCAACAGATTTTGAGCTTCCAGGAATCTTGAATGCAAAGGTTTTCAAACTTCCTTTTGGTGTCTTGTATGACTTTGACGATTTCGGTTCATCATCGTCATCACCTTGATCATCTTCGTCGAGACTCATTTCGTTGGAATCTGTTTCAAATGATGAGGAGCATGATGAGTGACAACGATCAGAGGCTTGTCTACATACTGACTTCAATTACCATCTGCGCCAGGTGTAAATGCTCCTTGGTCATCATCGTCATCGTCCTCGATGACTCGTTTTCGCTTTGACTTCTTGCTTTTTGGCGTTTTCACTACATCGGTTTAACTTTATAGCACGACAGAGAAAGCAAGAGAAGCTCAACATCTTACTGGATTGCGAATCATCATCATTGTCGTCATCATCGTCATCTTCAGGGGCTCGATTTCGTTTGCCACCGGGAGTCTAAGCGTTGGACAGAGACAATTAGCGGACGAAAACAGCTGGCACGCCCTTGTTATAAATACCTTGCGAAATAATTTTCCAGGCTCATCATCTCGAACATCGACTTCCATGTCAGCAATGGCGTTTGAGGCATGTGCTAAGTAAAAACGCGTCAGGGAGCAGAACTTTGTAATATGTTGTGTTGAAACGGTAGCCTACCCTCGTCCACTTCCATGGCATTCAACGTCTCTTCGTGATCATCGAACATGTTATCCAAGTCATCACTCATCACCACCTGTTTTTTGGGAGCATTTTGCTTTTTCGTTCCAGAAGGGGTTTCGGTGATATTTGATTTGGTTGGTGCAGCACTCGATGTTGGCGAAGCTTGAGATAAAGTTCCAGCGATGGGAGGAGGCTGTTGAGATGGTGATGATGTCGAAGCTGCTGGTTTGCCGAAAAAGGACAGTAGACTCATTTGGCCTTTGACAGGACCACTTTTCTTTGCAGATTTCGGCTTTTGAGATTCAGACTAGTAAGATGATAAATTGATGATTGTCAGATCTACGTATTGGTTCAAAGGACAGCAGCGCAAACATGTAAACACGAACGAACGCTCCTAAGCAAGCTTACCATGGGTGACTGATTCTCAGCCGACATGATATTATGCCCGATAATGGATATGCACTTGTATACTTTTGCCTCGCCGGTAGTCTACCTCGTAAACCTCAATAAAACTGACTTTGCAAATGCGAAGTTTTGATTAGTTTCAAAAGTTGGACTCCGTGTGCTCTACCACATTTTTACTAGGAGAAAAAGGAGTTCTACGCAACTTGGACTGGGAACGCAAGAGTTCCATACGTGACGACACGTCGACTTTGTCTTCCATTATTGGGAAACCTTTAAATCTCATGGCGACTACCTCTTGACGCGCAGGCGATTGAAATATACGGACGTGTCGCCGTGTCGGTCCTTAAATAACAATCTCATTTATTATTATATTATTCAAGCAAGTGAAAATTGGATCGAGTAAAACATACTCGTGATATTTAATTCCATTTGAGAGATTTGAGGACGACCTGACGAAATGGACAAGTCAAGTGCGAGCTCGCTAGTAGATTTGCCTGCTATAGGAACAAGGGTCGAGGTTAATGGTAAATATATCATCCTTTTTTGCGTCTGCATTTGCATTTGATTGTAATAACTTTGGACATCTTGGAGACTGATTTCTCGACATTTGCTGATCAGGCGTCAACGGAATAGTTCGATACGCTGCAACAACCAAATTCGCAGTCGGTTTTTGGGTTGGTATCGAACTGGATGCTCCTGCTGGAAAGAATGATGGAAGTGTGATGGGTCAGCGGTACTTTGAAACAAGGCCAAATCATGGTGTCTTTGTCAGGCCTGCTCAGGTCAAGATCGTTGCTCCAACTGCGTCGGGAGGAGCTACTATAGTGAGTAATTTGGATATGTTGTGGTGGATCATCAACTTTGAAGCTGTGAAACGAGCTTTCGTTGGCCTCCTTCTTTCTGCAATTCAACCTTCGTTTGAACCCTATTCAACTGTGTTAGGCATCAAAGCATAGTTCGCCAACTAGATCAGACACTCCAGATCTATCAAAGTTTGCAAAGGCTCCTTCAACAACGACTCCCACAGGACGATCTGTGACATCTATAGCAGCGCCATCATCACCGGGAAGCGCTCCAAGCAAACCCTTGACTCCAACACGATCATTATTCCCAACAGACAGCACTTTAAAAGCTTCATCAAAAGTACCAGTCAGTCCAACATCACGATTACCATCATCACCCACCAAAACGTCGTCAGCAGCAGTGCCTTCACCATCTCGACTAAAAGCTCCGAACACAACAATGAGTGGTACTATATCCGTGAGATCGTCGACACCTGTCCAGTCTGCTATATCATCTCCCCATCGCAGTGCTGGAGAATCACCAAAAACAGTTGCGAGTGACGTATCTGCTCTGGATCTAGATGCTGAATTAGGAACAGATGGAGACAATTTGATGGTCACTCACTTAGCTGCGTCGACAGCATCGTTACTAGATGAGTTGCCACCACATGAGTTTGAAATTGATGAAGGGCCTGCAAAGAGTGGTAGCGATGATGATATACCTGCTAGACCCTCGCTGCCTACAGAACCTATTTCAAGAGAGAGTCTAGTGAAGCCAGTGAGCGCGTCGAAACCATTCAGTATAGGACAGCCAGTGGTATCACAACGAGTAAGCGAAAGTGTAGTGGCAAGCAGTGTCATTCCCTCACCAGTAGCTCCACGTGTTATGGATGTTGCTCCTTCACCACCGCATAAAATAGATACTGCTCCATCTACTCCAATCTCAACAATAACGAGTACAATACTCCCAGCACAAGAGGCCAAGTCAGTGACATCCAGCCTGCTTGATCTTGCCACTCCAAGCAAGGTGCGGGCAACGGTGGATGTACAATCGCATGCATTCCAAGCTAACTCGCTTCATATGATAGACGGTACCATTACGAGAACTTGAGGACTTGAAAATCAAGTTACGAATCCTTGAATCAAAACGCGCTGAAGACCGTGACTTGATGAAGGAACACGAACGCCTCAAAACTGAACTCGAATCTACTCAATTGATACGCGCTCGATTGTCTGAACGGCTAGAGCAAGTTCAAGAAGAAGTCAGAGAGTCCAAGAGACAGCTAAAAGAGTCTATTGAGAGACAACAAAAAGCTGAATCTCAAGTATCTGATCTATCAGAGACTTTAGAAATGATGACATTGGATAAAGAAGTTGCTGAGGAAAAGACTGAGTCACTGCAAAGCGAAGTTGAGGCGCTCAAGGAGAAGGTTGAAGAGTTGTCGTTGGATTTGGAGGTTATGAAGGAAGAAGGTAGAGTTATGTTACGTTCTTATTGCTGAGTTTCTTGCTCAACTTTATGTTTTCAAGCCTCTATGAACCCAGGAGAGCAGCCACAGCCAGCAGAAGGTGCAGACGAATCGCGTCCAACTGTAGAAATAGTCCAGTTGGAGAGACAGAATGAACGACTGAAGGAAGCTTTGGTCAAGTAGGTGTTTCAACGTATTTTCATAATCAATCCGTCTCTACTGCCTTTTTGGTGTCTCAAACGTTACTACTAGGCTTCGAGATGTGGCCACAACACAAGAATTTGAAGCTCGTGTCAAGATTCAACACCTTGAACATGAAATTATCCAGTTGTCCGATTACAAGGGTAACTTTGACCTGCTTGAACCAAAACCAAAAAGTAGCCATTATTGACTTGAATTCATGTAGACAGGTACAGCACCGCTCGTCAAGAGCTTGAGATGGCTCAAACGCAAGTTGAGGATTTGAAGATGCAACTTGATGATGCATTGGGCTCAGCAGATCTGGTAGATCAATTGACGGATAAGAATCTACAACTCAGCGAGGTATATATCTTCCTACGACCTTTTTTCGTTCAAATCACTAACAGCTCATCTTGTAGAGGGTGGAAGAACTTGCCGCTGCTGTCGAAGATTTGGAAGCACTGAAGGAACTTAATGATGAGATTGAGGAAAACCATCTCGAAACTGAAAAGCAGCTGCAAACTGACATCGGTAAGTCTTTGATGAAATAAGACGCCTATGTTGATCTGAATCTTTGCGAATCGTGTAGATTCGAAGGAAGCTTTACTTCGAGACGTTCGTCGTAAACTAGAATTACAAGACGAATCAATGGCTGACTACGAACGGACCATGTCACAATTCCGTGAATTGGTATCTAGTCAGGAAAAGGATATAGAGCAATTGAAACGCACTTCCAAAGATGATGGATCAGTCGGAGCTCTCAGTAGTCAAACACAAGCTATGATATCTCTCAATCTGCAATTACAATCATCGGCCGTCAAGGCACAAGTCAAATCCATAGAACTAGAATTACGTAAATTAGAAGCTCAGCAAGCTCTAGATCACTTGGATTTGGTATTGGTATACTTGCCTGATGTCTTCAATCGGAATGAAGCCCAACCTGTGAATACGTTATTAATGTTTCGACGGGTTGCGTTCAAGGCCAACTTGTTTGTTGAACATATATTAGAATACGTTATCCCTGAAAATGATTCCGTAATTCATGGTCAACACCTGGCAGTGTCGACACGGGTGTTTGCTGCTGAAGCTAAACAAAAGGCTAGTTTGCTGTATAATCTCGCGAATCGATTTGTGGTATATATGCAGTCATGCTCAGATGAGTCGTTTATACGTATTGGTCGAGCTCATGATGATTTAGTGGGTGTTGAAAGACGATTGAACGCTGTTGTTGATTCGTTGAAGAATCGAGACGTGGAACGTCCAGAGGTCTTGACTGAATTGCAAAGGTATGGTAATACAGCAATTTCCGCTTTGTTTCTTTTTTGCACAGAGGGTTTTTGCCTGGCATATATTTACTTATTTCGTAGATCAGTGACGTATTTGGAACACTTGGCAGAGAAGGAGGCTACTGATGAAGGGAATATGCCTGTTTGTATTCATCAACTTGCTCTCGCATTTGTTGAAGCATTAGAAGTCAATGCACAACGAATGGATGTAGAGATATCTGGACTTGAGCATGTCTTCGTTCCATCCGATCTGATTGATGGTACGCTCTCTCGGCATTGCTCCAGACCCATCAAACTTATTTTTTTGTCGCTCTAGATTCAGAACTACGTCAATCATTGACGCAATTTGGACAAGAGTTTGTTCAACCTTGGTATGATCTCAAACCACATAGTCAGTCGATTCGTGTCGTTTCGAGGTGAAGTGAATCAGATGTATCATTAGAAGCCTGTAGCAATACTCATGTACCTTTGGTTCACAGAAAACTCATCAAGCATCTACTGTCGCTCAAAGATGACTCGAAAGCTGTATCTTCAGACTTTGCAATTGAAATACGAAAGCTCTCCGATTCATTAACTCAAGCAGTTGAATGTTTAGCTCAAGTAGTGAAATCGACAAGTAGATATGTTGCAGACTACGTAGAGCAACATCAACCAATCACTTTGAATGCTTTGAATTCGGTTGCGGCTGCTTGTGTAGAATCCTGTCTTGGTACTGTTGAACGAGCAGCTGGATCTACTATATACAAGCGTTTGGAGTTGATTAGTATCAAAGTGATGGAATTGGATTCGTTGTCGGTGTCTGGTGAATTAGGTATGCTATAAACACAAACATACACTTCTTCCTGTTCTGTGTTTTCTAATGCTTCTTTTCAACTCCAGTGCCATCAACTAGAGCACCGTGGCATGTACGCGCTGAAAAAGGAAAAACGGACATGGCTTCGAGCTCGCAACTCGAAGGACAGATTGATGGCTTGAATGATGAGATAGTCTCATTGGCACTACAAATCAAGATGAAAGAACAGAATCTAGCGGAATCGGCTGTAAAGGTGGAGATTCTTGAGAAGAGAATTGAGATTCTTCAGAAACAGGTAAACTCATTCTCTCGCGATTCGATCGGCTTTTTTTTTTTGGTTCCAAGTCATTGAATAACACATTTTCAATGTATCAGACTGACAGCATATCTGAATTGGAAGAAGAGCTGTCTCGTACTCGAGAACGACAAAAAGTCAACGAAGAAGCTCTTGATAATGTGCTGGCGGATATGAAGGAGCTGGAAGAAGAGAATACGCATCTGAAAAGGCACACTCGATCTCAAGGTCACTCCTACATGAATACCGGTCAAGGGAGATCCCTTTCTCCAGTCGCTGGTGCTGGCAGTAGTAATCGTCTTGCTCGTGGTAGTCCATTGAGCAGACATGATTTGCACTCGCTTGGAGGTGATGATCTGGATGTGGGTGTCAACTCTCAGGTAGATATTCGGATCGCTTTAAAGGTGTCCTTTTGGTTAGTGCTCACCATGACCATGAAATTCTAGATTCAATCATTACAATCGGCACTACGATATCTACGGGCTGAAAACACTAGGCTCAAAACTAATGCCTCGTCATATGCTACTGCATCTCTATTTGCACCCACTGATCCTGTCATGCGTCAGCAACGTCTGCACAGTAGTAGTAGCAGAACTACTTCGCCGGAAGCAGATCGTCAATTGAAGGCTGTAGCTCTAGAAAGCAGAGTGCTGGCTAGAGATGCAGCTGATTTAGGATGTGAGCCACGACTAGTAGATGTGTCCCAAATCAAGGTTGATGATACGAACAAGAAGAAGTGGTCACCATTGCTTGGTGATCCAGCTCTACAATATTATGAACGAGTAGCCAAGTTGGAATATATTTCGAAACGAGGGAAGGAGTTACGAGAACGTGTACGGAAGATTGCTGAAGTGCATGGAATGGCTTCAGTAAGTTTGAAACCATGATTGTCTTGAGATGAATTTCGAATTGTCTTGTAAGAACTTACCGATTCCGTTTTCTTAGGACAAGTACGCTTCTGCTGAATCGAATAGTATGTTAACTTCTACACGAGCACACTTGTTGGGTCGTATATCTATTCCAATTCAAAGTGGTTTTGCGCACGATTCGTTACAACAACGGATTACTTTGACAACACATCAAGACTTTGAGAGATTGCATACTATATTTGTATCATAGGTCGCATTAACCTGTAAATGTCGATCGAAGGACGAAATTAAGGTTTTGTCCAAATTGTGCGGTTTCCACGTGTTTCGCCTATATGCACCTTGGCGCTCAATTAATTTCCCGTCCAAAACGCGACCAGACGCGTTTTTTCACACCCTCTTCGTGAGTGTCTCTTTCTTCCATAAAAAAGTGGTTCTGCTTCCAAACTTACGTCAGTGGCAAATCCATTCTAGAAGTGGTCTAGAGGCTGTGTTGCTGAATTGTGAGAGGCTAAGTTTGAATTGACCGGCTTCAAATCGACAAACACTTGTTTTTTATAACATGGGTGACACGTTTGGATTCGTTCAAGAAGCTCCAGAGCTGAAGAATGCATGGTTGGAGGATAAGGTAGTTTAAAACATCACTTTTTTACGCACAATTGCCAACAACACACGTCTTGGTAGCTGCTGCAATCAATTGTGAAGCGCTACTTGCCCCACGACATTTTCGAGAAAGTCCAACCGGATCTTCAGAGATTTGGTGATGTCGTTGTGAGTGATGAAGTATTGGAATATGGAATGTGAGCAACGATCTGATGTCATATTTGCTGCTGGTCTTTTTGCTCCTGCTTATCGAGCGAAAAGTGACTTTGCGTACTTTGTTAGGAATGCTGAACAGCACCTTCCCGCTATACAGTCTTATGACCACTGGGGAAAGAGAGTGGACATTTTGCGCACCAGTGAAGGTTGGCGAAAGCTTAAGGATCTAGCTTGCACGGAAGGTATCAACTCTATTGCTTATGAGGGAAAATATGGTGAATACGACAGAGTGTACCATTTCGCTAAATACTGGTAAGGACTGACGTTTTGAAGGTTTCTGGAGCATTGGTTCTGAATCATTTAAACATTAGGCTTTATTCGCCGTCTTCAGTAATGTTTGTCTGCCCTTTGGGGATGACTGACGGCGCCGCTCGATTAATTGAACTCTGTGATGACGACGAGCTCAAGCAGAATGCCTTTCAGCATTTGACTAGCCGAGACCCAAAACAATTTTGGACGTCGGGTCAATGGATGACAGAGAAGAGTGGAGGATCTGACATTAGCAACACTGAAACAGTTGCAACTCCTATTGATGCAGCCAATAATGTTTGGGCTCTCAATGGCTTCAAATGGTTTTGTAGCGGCTGTGACGGAGATATGGCCATGTTATTAGCTCGTCCCACTGATTCATCTGGTGGACCTGGTAGTAAAGGACTCTCGTTATACTATGCAGAAACCAAAACAAATGGCAAATCCAACGGCGTGAGGTACGAATTATAGCATTTGCGACAGAAATTTATTTTTCGTTGCTCAATTGCTCTTCCATAGGTTTCACCGTCTAAAACATAAACTCGGGACTAAGGCAGTCCCATCTGCTGAAATATTACTCGATAATATGGTCGCAAAACGAGTGGGAGCCCCAGGTCGAGGTGTAGCAACCATTTCGACGATCTTAAATATTACTCGATTGCATAACGCTGTCAGGCCAGCAGCTGCTGTATCAAGGGCCTTAGCGATTTGCCGTGACTTTGCTCGTAAACGGAATATCGGAGCAACGCCCCTGACTAAATTGTCATTACACTCTCGAACTTTGGCTCAAATTGCCTTGTCGTATCGCATTATGACACACTTCACCTTTTATGCTATACGTATCCTTGGTAAAGTAGAACACGCTTCTAGACAGCCAATAGCGCAGAGAGTAGTCGGTTGGCAAGATGATGCTGTTTTATTGAGGTTACTGACGCCAATAGCCAAAGGATTTGTCGCCAAGTTGGCGAGTGCTGCCTTGACTGAGGCTTGCGAATGTCTAGGGTATGTCTGGATGAAAAATGAGATTGAGGTGTGTGCTCATGTTATTTAATTTTAATACAGTGGAAATGGATATTCTGAAGAGACGCTTCTACCTCGTTTATTGCGAGACTCGATTGTCTCGTCGATTTGGGAGGGGACAACCAACGTTCTCGGAATGGACGTATTGAGGGCATTAAAAGATGCCAATACACTCCCTACGTACTCAGCAGCAGTACTATCGTGTTTGAAATCACCGCACCCACAACTAGCATCCTGTGCAGTAACAGTCAAAAACTACTTGTCGGATATACAGGCTCATATCGCTCAAATCAATTCCACTTTGAATCCCGAGGACGTAGATGCTTCTGCACGTGAATTGTTGATGAGTATGGGAAGGACATTGAGTTGTGCCTTGATGATTGAACACGCTACTGCCACGAATAATGAAGCCGATGTAATAGCTGCTAGACGATACGCCTCTATGGTTGAAACTGGTGTTGAACCCAGGCTTTTGAGAATGAGAAATGCCGTTGAGAGACGAGAAGGTAAGCGTCGCGTGCATATCTGTCGAGCATTTATTCACAAATGATACGTTTGTCTTTTAGATGACATTATCGCAATGGGAGAATCATCTTCGAGTGCTGCTTTCGGTCCCCCTGCTCGATTATGAGGATGAAGCAAGGTCGCTGCAAAGTGAAATGATGAAGCCGCCAAAGAAATAACAAACAAGGAAGTTTGAAGCTCAGGAGATACCTTATGTTCTATATTTTTCCATATATACGCTATAAGTTTTTATTCAGATCTCCTTTTTACTTGAAGTTTTGGGTTTTGGGCGGGCCTTGTAAAGAGCTTTGCCGTTTCTCTTGCACATTTCATCCCACTTGAAATCATTCTTTACATGCTCTGGCAGCTCTTTTGATCCTTGTAAGGAGTGCTTTTCATGGAGTCAATAATGTAAACCTTTCCTCCATACTTGATACCCTCATTCAAAAGCTGGTCAGTGATTACAGTTCTCAACCTTTTCACAATTACTTCGGAACTAACTGAGTCTCCTTCATCCTCCTTAGTATTGTTGACAGCGATAGTGGCTTTAGTTCTACAGGAAAAAAGGACAGCATGAAAATAGACGTCTCGAAACGCGTAGTGACGCGTCAACCTTCACGAGTGGCAGCGGAATTGTGATTGAGTTTTAGGTGTCATATTTTGACAGACATCGTTTTCAAGCTTGAAGAGGGGTCTGACGACGATATCTTTTCTAACGACGTCGCTAGGAAAGGATGGAGATATGAATAATAGCAATAGCATATGAAGGATATATGTTTCTGTGCAAAATATACAAAAAAAGCTCTACTGACTGGAATTCCACGGATTTCATACAACGTGAGTTCCAGACAAAGGTTATCGAATCGAGCTTGCAGCTCTGCTCATATTGTCTTTGATCGTGGCAAGACAACGACTCTTCCACGGTATCAATGAATGTGTACGCTCAAAGTTTGAGCATTCTCTAACAAACTCTCCGGCATCACCGTCGTCGTGACATTGTATCAGGCTCTAGAGCAAAAAAAAAACAATATTCAACAAGTTTCATTGGATCCTTTACCACCACAGATGTCTTACCTCTACAAATCGACATTCAGTTGAGGGTTCAAACATACTGGACGAGGCCTTGCCGTCGCCAACGAGCTTGGCCACCATCGACCAATCGTCCAATTGCAAAGCACAGAGAATGGCAGAGAATATATGCATTGGCATTGAGAACTTGAGACTCTCGACAGATCTTGATTCCTGTATCAGCTCTCTATATTTGACGATGGCCGAGCTGAATTTGCTGAATTCTGCTAGAGTCTCAGCCTCTTGAGCTTTCGCAAGCAGAGATTGACTACAAGGAAACTGAGAGTTAGGCTTCATAGTCGAGGAGCTTCTTGTAACAACCATCTCAATTTACGTTTCTCCAGGTTCGTAAAGTGACGATGCTCTTCCAAAATATTGAGCTGCTTTCTCTCCTTGTCTTTGGGCTTTGAGGTTACTAGCAGCTGACTCGTATAATCGTGCAGCTCTAGACCTTGTGCTGTCCCTATTTGAGAATCTACTTGCTGCTGCCTCCAAACAGTCCAACGCGAGCTCTACATGGGAAGAATGTGTAAGAAAAAACCGAGAGATTCAATGCTATGAATAACTGAGATTACCCGAAGATTTAGCAACTTTAAAACACTTGTACGCCTCCTCATAGCAAACAGCAGCCTCATATTCACCCAAGCTTCCTCCGCCCTCATATAACTGTGCAGCCTGCCTGTATGTTTGAGCCGCAGATCCATAAGACTTTTGAGTCTTGAGTTTCATAGCTCGTTCCTTGAGAGCTTCTGCCTGCTCTTCCTTCCCATTGCTGCTGTTGCTGTTCTGCTGAACAGGCTCTTGCCAAGCAAACCACTGGTCGAAGATTCCGAGAAATGATCTTCCATCTTCTACAGTTACGATCGAGAAGAAGACATAATTCGTGACCTATGTTGTAAATCGACAAAGTCGGTGTGGTGAATACAAAGTCGATGAGTGGTGAATAGTACAATTGCGACGAGCACGTAAGCGATCATGTAGTAGTTTGCAAAATTGAAAGATGGGGGCGTTCCGAGTTTTCACAGTCGGTAGGTGTGTTGAAAGATGAGTGAGTGCCTTCTCTCAACTTTTAATGTCGGTGTGCTTTGACGTGTAAAAACACCTTGGAGGCGGCAAGGAGCGACAAAATCCATTCAATTTGCTTACTTTAAATTCAGGAAGAGCAGGTCTTCCCGTTGTAAGCAGGGAAATACCAGTCTTAAAAACACCAGTCACGGTTGAAGGTGCTTTCTGCTCCTGTTTTGACAAGAACATCCTGAAGGAGGCTTGATCCGGGTTCGTGCGGTACGCGATCGCCAGAGCAACTATCAGAAAGATCTCTGCAATCATGTTGTGAAAGCTTGGATTTTCGTGATTTCTGAAATTGAGAATCAATCATAGAACACCAAAGAGTCAAGGCTTTACACGTAGGATCGAGCTTAGGATGCAGGCATATCTGGCCAAGAACTATCTGTCGGGCGACGCACCTACTCAAAATAAGAAGAAAAAACCCAAAAAGGTCGCAAACGCAACAACCCGTGTTGTCGACGAGGAGGTCGATGACTGGAAGACTCGGAAGCCATCTGGAGCTGATGAAGACGTTGACGAAACGGCTCCGATAATAGTAGACGATGCTCCAATACAAGATTCGCCATTCAAATCATCTAATTGGAAGAGGATTCAAGGCAATGACGATAATGATGACGAGGAGGAAGCTCAAGCTGCTCTAGACGCTCGACAGTCTGGTAGATATGAAGAAGATGACGCAGAGGATGATAGACCACGTAAACGTAGGAGGCGTCACTCGTCGGATGATGAACAAGAGGATATCCGTAGCAACCATCGTACTGCTTCATCACCAGACTCGAATAGAGGGAGGAGGAGAAGAGACTCATCTACTCCACCACCTACATCATCGCATAATAAAGCAAAAATGTCTGATGGTACATCGGCTGGCCTACAAACCTCGGCAATGGTAAAAGCTGATCTCGACAAGGCCAAACGAGAACAAGATGCCCAACTAGCTCAATTGGGCAATCGTGGAGGCCGTGACGCTGAAACTATATATCGTGACAAGACGGGTCGAAAAGTAGATGTAGTCGCTGAACGGGCTGAACTGCTAGCTCAACGACGAAAACGTGAACTCGAGGAAGAAAAGCAAATGGAATGGGGTCGTGGATTGGCTCAAACTCGGGAAAAAGAAGAAGAATCAAAGAGATTGGAAATTGAACGCCATGCTCCGCTAGCAGTGTATAAAGATGATGTGGGTTATAACGAAACATTGAAACAGCGTGACCGATGGGGTGATCCTATGGCTGGTCTGGTCAAGAAACCTGTAGCTGGAAAGAAGGAATATCCTAAATATAAAGGTCCTTGGGCTCCTAATCGATTCGGTATACCGCCTGGATATCGTTGGGATGGTGTTGATCGAGGTACTGGATTTGAAAACAAGCTCTTCCTCAGTAAGAACTCAAAAGGTGCCACAGTTGATGCAGCATACAAGTGGTCTACCGAGGTTAGTGGCTGGAGCTCTATTGAATTGTAGTTTCATTCGTCCAACGCTTACACCCTTTTATCCACATAGGACATGTAAACCAAATCTTTTTAAAGGTCTATACATAAACTTACTGCAATATATATAAATTATCTACAGAGCATGCAGGACGAGCTGAAATTCAAGAACTTTTCCAAGAACCCATTTGCATTCTCTCACGTAAGCAAGTAGGGTATTTTGACGATCCAGACCACTTTCCTTGTGCATTTAAATGACTGCAGTAGTCGTCACTTTGACTGTCATGAGCGACCGCACAGTCGAATTTCGCAACATTAAACAAGTTTGGTTTCATGTATCTGTAGGCCACAATTGATAGGGACTATGTCTTTATGTGTGGTCAGCTTGCCATGAAGGATGGCAAATTCTCGCAAGGGACGATTCAGCATGAGACGACTACTGCTATGGATATGTTTGGTAACGACTCCTAGAAGTCGTTCACTCTCCAACTACACAGGCAAACTCTAATGATTCCATACTCTTCCAGGTGCTGATCTGAAGGAGCTTGGATTAAGTTTCGCCGATGTGGTCAAGCTAAACTTGTTTGTTACATGTGTGAAGGATTTCATACCGTTTGACAAAGTACTGCCCCATGTTTTGATCGTTGCAGCTAAAGAATCCAGCTGAAGCTTTATATCTCGTATTACGTACTGAGAAGTGCTTTGAAGAAGGAAAGGCTCCAAGCTCAACTATTGTTGGTGTGAAAGCACATTGAAGGTATTCACGTCACATATGAATGCTTTGTTTTGTAACGAATGCTGAACGCCCCCACGTACATCTAAACTCGCTTCTCACTAGGCGGAAAGATCGAGATTGACCTCACAGCTAGGATTCCAAAGGGTCACAAATTATAAATATTACATTCGTCGTTGAAACTACCTCTTTAGCAGCCTTATTCTACGCGTTTTTGAATCTGGAACGGATGACACATATTAAGATATATAGGTATATAGGAAAATTGATAATACGACGCGACATTGGTGTCCTCTCTCATTCCCTCTTGCTTGAACACGTTCAACATCTTGCACGACGTTCCGAAAGCTTACTATATTCACATCCAAAACTCAAAGCTAAATAGCCATGGTTTCAAAGACTGGACTCGTGCATCGTAATTTTGGCCCAGTATCTGGATTCCCCTTCTCTCAAGTAAGTTTGGATAGGTGTTGTGGTTTGAAATCACCAAGCAACGACGTTGATGCAAGCTGCAGATGTGTCTGATGCAAAATTGTGCACCAGTATTGCATTCAAATCTGACGACGAGATAATTCCGTCGTTTCGTATCCTCTCAAACCATGTCCCTCGCAACATCTGGAAGCACATTTACAAACTGTCAATTGAATTTCAACACACGCACGAACGAACCTACATCTAAACAAACGACATGAATTACATAGGCAGTCCTAGACGGCGACTACGCCCACCTATCTGGAGTTTTATCTGCACCAGGTACTGCCAGCTCAGCAAATTGCTGAGTTTGAAAACACGTTCTCCCAACCTGAATGAAGCTAAGACTGTATCTTGTTTCTACTTTTCAGAGGGCAAAGTCACTCCAGGGACTGCTGATTTCGAAACCACTCAATGCATGAAGCAAATCGGTAACTACTTGCTTCACATTGTCTTCTATCATGTCTTTGATCTGATCCATTTCTCGTCTCGCTAGTCTTCATGCTAACAGAATTGGGCTTGACTGTGAGCGATTTGACTCGTGTTAACCTCTACATCACTGTGAGCAAAAAATCCGTCTATAAAGCCAAGAGTATTGCTCACTCAACTTCACCAATACACTCGTCTAGAATCTCGATGACTTTCAAGAAATCAACGCTGCATACATGAAATTCTTCCCCGAAAAGCTCTTCCCAGCACGTACATGTGTCGCTGTCGCCAAGCTCTTGGGAGGGACTCGAATTGAAATCGAGGCTACTGCAAGAATAATCAAGCACTCGATGTAGTGTGCGAAAAGTGTTACATATACACTCAAAGATTAAATCTACAGCTAGAATAATGAAGCACTCTATTCAGAATCTAAAAAGTGTTACATACACACTCGATTGTTGAGCAAGAGCTGCTTTTTTGTGACCGTGTTATAAGGTTTGGAAATTGATGTTTTTTACAACACGCAACATTGCGATCGCTCTCGTTTCGGCACGCCGCATGCATCATTGCTATAGTTTACATCCTTTGAGCGGTCATCTCGCGTCGTCAAAGCTTATCTCATCAAATTGTTACTTGTATCAACTTTGTTTGCCAACACGTCTTTAGCCAAATTGCCTACGATGATGTTAGTAGTCCAAAACTCGTTCAAAAACAATAGTTGCCATCTTGTGAGGAAGTAGAGAGAGAGAGAAGAGGGTCTTGGGCTCCTGCTTCCAACGGGCGAGTTCACATCGTACATAATATGATGCGGGTAACTCCATGCCGAGCCTTTGATGGTGTCACCAGCGAGCGTATCCTTTGCTATTCGTTGTTCATTGTGATAATTGTTGTTTATTCTGATACATGTGATACTTGGTGACAAATCTAATAAATGTTGTTTATTGTGATAAATGTGATACTTGGTGAAACTTGGTGAACTTGGTGATAACTGTGATAAATGTTGTATCTGTTGTACTTGGTGGTATTTCTGTCGGCTGTTGTAGCTGTAGCTGTAGCTGGCGTTGCTGTTCGTTAAATGAAAGCAGAATCAAACGGCAAAAGACAAAATAGAGACGTATCCTGTTACATCTGTTCCAACCTGAAACATCTGTTCCAACCTGAAACATCTGTTCCAACATTGTCAACTGTTCCAGCATTGTCATTTGCACCAAACTGATACATCTGTTCCAAAAGCAAGGAAGCAAAATGTCCCAAAATACGCGATAAGCGCACAAAGTTGTACAGGAGCAAATTTGGAGAGAGCTAATTAAGTATTAAATTAAGAACAGCAGGAGTGAGTATAATAATCATCAGTGCGTCATGGCCCGGGTAACGAAACTGCATAAACACACGTTTTGAGGACCAAATATTTTACCAAGCCTTTCTCAACTGGTTGTGAAAGCTCAGACAAAATGGGTTGCGTCTCCAGCAACGAAGAATCGGTGAAAAGTGCAACCTTGCTCGCCCCCTTCGAGTCCTTGGAGGGATTGTAAGTCTTCGGTTCCTTCGCCATTCTTAAATCAAGCCTAACTTTCTCCCCTGACAGACCATTAGAAAGTTTACCAAATGAGGATGGCGAAACTCTCTTTGCAGTTGAAACTCAAGGCGCCACAGCAGACATTCTTGTTTTTCGGGATCCACCAACTCTACTATCTTTCGTAGAAAATGCCACCAACGAACAACGCTTATCAATGCATCGACAGCGTCACTATGAAATGACTCGTCATCCAAAACCTCTTATGTTGCTACGAGATCGGTTGCAGCTTCTGCAAAATACATGCGTCTATGTTATGGAAAAAGTCAATCGACGAAAGTCGGATATCGATGTGATCAAGACAGTTTTTGACTTGGTACAAATCCAGCTAGTTTCAGAAAAGATCGAAAATGCCAGCAATATGATTCATGGCTTACCATATGGGGACTATGTAGCAGTATCCCATGTCTGGGGCTCAGTCAAACCAATCAAGAGTGTTTATGGAGAATTGCCCTTGTCCAGTGATAGTAAACGTGATGCCGTCGAACGGCTTCCATATGAGAAAATGTGGATGGACATTATTTCAATAGATCAATTAGATAGCAACGACAAACTAGCTCAAATAGCGTACATGGATAAGATTTACCATAATGCCAAATTGGTACACCTTCTGCTGGCCATGGATGATTTCCTTATTATATATCTGGCATATCTCAACGAAATTATGGATCTTGTGGTTCAAAATGCCACGAATGGTTGGCTACATTACAGCAAATCTAGGGATTTGAAGGACATCGTGTTATACTATCCTTGGCTGAGACAGACTGATACGAATTATCATGGACGGATGTGGACTGCTCAAGAATATACTCTTGCTCGAGATGTTGCCCTTTCAACCTTCGACGAAGATCGGTCATACAGCACAAGATCTATCAGAGATGCCGTGAACTTCATCTCAGCAAATTTAGGTGTGAATTTTAGCAGAGGCGGTTATAATGGCTATCACATGAATACTCACATACCAGGTGTGACGCCTGCCATCGAACGACTTGGACCGGGGTTGGACCATGATGTTATATGCAAAATGATTGATATGCTAGGAGGCCATCAGAGAGAATGTTTGGTAGATGTGGATTATATATATTCCGTCTCGACCTTAATGTCTTTAGGAATTCAACCTGAATATAATGTACTCATTCAGAGTAAAACTGGTGAGCTACAACAGAAGTTGCTTGAAATCGGATTGCCTTTCATAGGAAGGACGGGATCTAAGCCTTCATGGAAGGTTGAAATAGCTAATGGTAAGTGAAATGCTGCATTGGTCCAGAAGCGTTCTTTGAGTTTGAATGCTCTTTTATAGGGAAAGAAATTGCGCCACTACTGTTTGAAACCTGTCTAATCCCATGGCCCATCAACCTCAACGCAGTTATCGACGACGACAAATCGATCCTTCGCTTATCATACAATGAGAGAGTCGGGACGACGCTTGTGTCTGGAACTGGTGCTTGCTGTGCGGTACACGCCGTTTGGGACTACGTAGTTTTTACCATTCATAGCCGTAGCGAGTGGGTGTCAAAGCATTTCGTGCAATGGGCATCGGTCTTAAGTAATTTTGCAACGACAACTACCGAGAAATGTATTGAGTCTACGGAGCTAGACGATATAATTGCATTGTTACAATTTAAGATAGCTTGGGATGTCGACGGGAGGACATGGGATGAGGATCAAGTGACTGTTAGATCCTTCGTTTGCAAAAGCCGTAAAATTGGACCATATTATGTATGTCATCGGGAGCAGGAAGGGGCCGTATATGTGAAGCTTGCTGATGAGGAATCAGTATCCACTCACGTAACGTATGACCGTGCTGCCAGTCTAATCACGCCAGTATCCAGCAGCAATGTCTATCGGGTACTCAGGTCCTCCCACGTACATCAACTGACAATTGGTGATCCTACGGATTACAATGGTCAATGGCAGCGAAAGCTCGTTATATTGATATAAATCGAAGTCTTTAATGTGTGTGCGGTAGAATAGTACAAGAAGATTTTCTATAGTTGAATTGACTCGTCTGGAATCCAGCAGCCTCGTTTACCCTTTTATTAGTGTTTCGAAAAGACTTTCGGATGCGAAGTTCTAAGCATTATCCATTATTATAGCTAACATAAGCGGTCAGAAAAGGATTTGCTTCTCTCGGAAAACGTATGTTTTCCCAAACAGTCATGAAAAAGGACTACTGATATAGTTACTGATATATCGACCACTTTGCAACATCCATTTCACCAAACACCAACGCACAGCAAAATGAGACTATTAACGCACAACGTCCTATCATGTCCAGCCAAAAACTGCAGCAAACCATATCCACTACCTATACAAGACGCAGAGCTTTCAGAAACAAAGACTGACTTCAATCCAGATTTTTGTAAGAGGATGATCCCGAGATTGGATTGGAATGCGTTGATCAAGACTTCTTATTCTGTAAGTTTGTATGAGATTATGTTTGGGAGTAATGCCTTGGAGGTTCTTCGCTGTCCTATTCGCAGGCAGATCTAATTGAACTTTTTTTTGTTGGGTTTTTAGTTGGGTATGGACACTCTGCCAGAGACGTTACCGGAAGAAGGTGACATGGACGATGAATTTTTGCAAGCTTTACATCATGTCCTGATGGAGGTATGCTCAGTCAGTGCAATTTTTGGTCATGGCATAAACCTTCGATTTCCTTACGCTGATCTCTAGATTCGAGTGGTTCAAGGTCAAATGCAATGTGATGGATGTGGTCACATATACCCCATCAAGGACTCCATACCAAATATGCTACTACAAGACACGGAAGTGTAGCTACTCTCTGACCTGCTCATTTCATCCCATATGTAAACTATACAAATAATATACAATCTCATCCTTGCAACTACCGAAACTATAAATAACTATTGGCGCTCTTGGTATGAATCTACAAAGTCGAGATACCCAGCACTGTCGGGCCCACTGGACATGATTTGTTTCTCAAAGGTCTTCTCCATAAGTTGTGATAGACTGGTATCGAGAGGAGAGATAGATGGTACTCGCGGCACGGAGCTGCGAAACACTCCTGATGTTGCTCTAGCTGCAACGTATGACGGTGTCCTTCCATCAAACCTAGGGGCCAAAAAAATTAGCTAATAGTTTTAATGCCACGAGCACAACAATGGCATACCAAAACTCCATATTCCTTGGTAACTCAGGAACTTCTATTTGAGACACCGTGGAAGCATTCGGCAAACACCCTTCACCAGTCAAATCAAGCAGAGCAACCTGAACTGCTATTTCAACCAACTCTCGAATCAGCTCCGAGGTAGGTTGAGTCATGATATTCTTATCCAGCAACATGGCAAAGCCATCTGCCCATTCAGAGCATCGATCGGGCGTACCACACCCAAAATCTCCTAGTGTTTGTGTTGTGTGCGATGTATTGGCAACTCCATCAGATGAAGATGTGGATGAGACCAGAGAGAAACACAACTCCAAATCTTCAGACGCATTTCGTTTTGAAGAAAAGACTGGCGATGCGTTTCCTCGCAGTATATCTGTCGCCAGAGACATGTCGACTACAATTGAAATTCATATGTTAACAGAGAGCAAAAAATCTGGAAACCTGTCGGCAATACCTCGTTCTGGTAGCTCCTCTATACTTGGCTTACGATCAAACCCTTCTGTAAAGTCTCCATAGTGCAAGTACTGCCTATTCGGCGACAGTCGATAAAACCTCATCATCTTTTTATCTCGACCCTTTTCTCTGAATATTGGAAACCATGCACCGGCAATTAGACATCCAATTCGCTGCTGTTTTATGAATTGGTATGATTCTGCTGATAGTCGATCTCTCAGTGTTCTAGTTGAATTGTTATGAGTGAGACAACGAAAAAAAAACGCCGCCATCAAATTCAACCCACCTGACAATGGCTTTACTGCTCAGATCATCAGCATTCTCTAACTCTCGTACTTGACGCTCTCGAACGACCGAATACGGTGTCTCGAGCATGGATTTCTCAAACATATTCAAAGCATCCTTTTCTGTTCGTTTTATTCTACCAAGACACCACCATAACTGTGATCTGACGACGGCTGCAACTCGATTGGCATCATCGCCTGTACTTTGAGCCTCCATCTCAGCCCATAGCCGCACAAAACATCTGAATGTGATGGCTTGAACAGCCTCAAATGACAGTAACAGTGGTTGATATGAGGTCGACGTCGTATCTACAAGACATCAATATGATTCGATAAACTTGTTTTTCGTTGAGCCTGCATCTGATACACCTACATCCTGAACTGATCTCCCAATAGTCACACAACACTTCAATACTCTCTATCTGAGCCCGACCCCATGGGCACCTTCTCTCGACAGGACGGGCTAGCTGATCATGTATAAACTATATAGAAGTGAAATAATGAGACACAAAAATATCGAAAGGATCCAAGAAAGACAGCCAACCTTGGCGTGATAGTCCCGATCTCTCTTCACAGCAGACTGTAACAATTCCAATCCAAGTACCCCAACTCTCGAAAACTCCTTCTTGACATTCTCGGTCTGAGTTCATCAGAGATAAAAGGTGAGAAACGCCTTGTCGCGATACATCGATATGAGACTCACATTGAAACCCAGAAGCTTCCACTTCGATCCATCATTGTAAGCAGGAGCACCTAAATCTCTCCACAGCTCTCCTAATATCCTCTCATGTACACCCTGATTTGGATCAACAGGTGTACGTTTACGACGATTCATCTCCTGGATAAAGAGCCTCTGGAATTCAACCAGCTGAGCAGCCAACTCTTCCCCAGGTCTAGCATTCATAGCATTCATCAATCTAACTACAATAGCTCGAATGTTGAGCATATCCAGAGTCCGAAAGAATTCACTTCGTTTTCGATCTGGTGATGCGTATCGAAAGAGACAGTTGATGAGACTCATGGAATATAGTTGTAAGGAGTAGTCTGTGGCGTTCAGCCGCTGACAGAGTGTATGTAGTAGGGCGGGTTGTACGGATATGGCTTCTTCTACAACTGGGTATCCATAGCAGCGTACAGATCCAGTTGATGTCTTGTCTGCTACTACCAGTTTGATGATGCAGGACGTAGCAGGTCTGCATATGTTGACGAGGTTTTGCTTGACGATGATATTTACGAGCTATGTGGAATGAGTGTTAGACTGCTTTTTTGGCTATGAAAACAGAACACGACCCAAAATACCGTGCTGATGAATTCGCGACTGAATGTATCCCATCCATAGTCATTGTCCATGAGATTTTGTAGTGAGCTCAAAGCGTACGCCAGTGTGTTTCCCTGTGTTGTCTCCACAATCTTTTGCAACTTTGGGCCACCTTTTCGAGCCAAGAACTCTTCCACAAAGTCAGGTTCCTAGAGCGTCAAACAAGAAATGAATGTAAAAACATGATACCAGGGCAGATCTATACAGGAACATGAAGATTGTTTGTCAGGATACCTTGATGTACTTTTGTAAAGCGAATGTAGCCTTTTTCAAGGTTTGTTCTGAAGTTGAATCCAAATCATCAGCCAGATCTCGAGCAGTGATGGCAGGCGACCATGTCAATTTGAGAGTTATTCCATCGTCTATTCTCTTGCGTACATTCTATAGTGTCGAGGGTTGTAAGTCAGAAACATACACCAAATGTTGGATCACAATGATCTTTGACTGCAACAGACCTCATCAGTGATATGTTCTTCAGTATCGAATAGACGCAGACAGAAATTGGAAGGAGGGCCACTCTGGGCTAGATTGAAATGAGACCATAAATCCTTGATATTGGATGCCACTGATTGTGACATGTCGAAAGTGAAGTCAATCCTGTTGAGGCCATAAGTGACGGTAGTCTTGATGCCTCCATTGCCAGTTGTCCTGGCTGGAGGAATAATCGTCGAGTCTCTATCGTCCATCTCGCACTCGTTCTTCTCTCCTGTATTTTCATGTTCTGCGATACGAAGATGACGACGAACGACCACCAAAGTACGTGTATTCGACGCGTTATTCGCAATGATATTTATTCATTTGTAAGAACTGGCCAAGAACGGTTAAGATCAGCTGTTTGTTGACCGTTGACATTCTAATTTTTGTTGTCAAGGTCGGCTGCGAGAAGTAAAACCAGAACACTAGCGGGGCCAAGATGCTTGTGGCTCCTTCGTCGATGTCCTCACAACGAAAACACTTTATTTCTTATGACAACCTTCGTCAAGAGGTTTGAGATGCAACTCATTTGCGATGCGGGTCATTTTGAATGAATTAGTGCTAAAGCTTTGGTGACATTAGGGCATGCTGGCCAGTCGCAAACCATTGAATTTATTGCGGAAGGATCTTCCTCCTCTACGTTGTCGTCTTCTAAGGATTGTCAAGGATAACAACGATCATAATCAACATCAAACTCACCCACTCAGCGACACTCACATTAAGCAACAAGACGCTCACCGCAAGGCCACGAAACCTAATATCTCAGCGCGGAAGAATCGGCGGAAGGTTCACGGTGCAGCTTCGAACGCAGAGCCTTGGTCAAACAACGCGACAAGAGCATCGTCACCCACTCCACAGCCCGAAAAGCCCATCATCATCCGAACAGCAAAACGAGCTGGTCGAATACCACAGATAATAGCAAGCACTAGGGGCCATTTCTTAGCTGCTGCCACTAACGAGGACAACCAACCTCCAACGATACCACCAAGGCTTCTTGCCGTGTTTCAAGAGCTGGTTGAGATTACAGAGACTGAAGTTACATGGAGGGATGAACGTCTAGTGTTGCTGAATGACAAGGTTGAAGCTCTAATGAGTGGAACCGGTTGGACGAGACAGTTGTTAGATCATTGGATAAATCTCAGTCGAGCCAGTAGAATGACAAGTTTAACCGTTAGGCCCGGACAATAGATTGGTTGGAACAGTAAAATCTTGAGTTGATCGGCGCTTGGTTGACCAAAACCGTTGAGGCTGCCGTGATTCTAATGTGCCCTTTAGTTCGGCCCGGCGCGTCATAGCAACTCTACAGTAACTTATTGTCACTTGCAGCCTTTAGAAAACGCGAACGCGCTGTCTGGATCGCCGAAAGCGAGGTTAATCGAATCAATAAGCTCAATTTTTTTCTCGTCAAAACTCTGTAGCAAGAAAATAGGGTAGTTCCTTATAAGACATGGCAGCAGGAGCAACAGCATTCTCACCAGAGCTTCGAGCTCGTTCCGTCGCCCTGTATCGAGGCCTACTTCGTATCTCCCGAGCATGGCCAAAACAAGAACGTCGACGCATCAAGTCAGATGAAGCCATAATAAAAGGAATCAAAACAGGATTTGCATCGAAACCAAAATCTGAATCGCTACTAGCCACAGCAGTTAAAGATGGAGAGATGCAGCTGACTGCTCTCCGCAACATTTTGAATAACAAGATTGAACATCAGGTAGAATTTCAAGCTTCTTTGTTTTGTGCTAAGTGCAAGATGCTAACGCCGTAAACCACTTTATATAGTTTCCATTAGATGAGACGTCACGTATAAAGTCCTTCTTACCATCATCGAAATCGTTTTCGTTGCTGGATTCTGAATCTCAGAAAGAATTGGATCGAAAGGAGGAAGGATCATTCACGTTTTTGAAATCATATATGAGCGGTAAACGGGAACGAGGAATGCACGATAAATAGGTCTTGCAAGCTTTTAGAGTCAGATAGAAACGTAAACACATCCCACATACTCTCCTTTTCCTCACTGTATATACATTAAATTGCAGCCGAGTTATTATATAAGCGATTCATATTGTACTACTCATATACAGTCTTCGATTTGTATCTGCTTTAGTGCTTCTTCGTATGTGATTAGTTTCTTGCGATTTCTCCCAATGTAGTCCAACGTGTCCTCTAAAGTAGTGTACTTGTAACTTCGCCACCGTTTCTGACTAAATGCCTCCGGTTCTGGATCCCGTACCACTGGTTTTGAGGTCTGGCTAGACAAGTTCATGAAGTTCTGCAGCAGCTTCAAGTGACTCGACAACATGTCATTCAAGACTGCCAAGCTGGGATTTTGGTATACTGACAAGACTAGGGAAACAGATCGGTTAGTGAAGAGCTAGTGAGAGTGTATGCAAACATTGGTTTTACCTGCAGCTTCTGATTCTAACAATCCCAACTCTTCACGTTTCTGCGATCTTTCAAAGTTTCCGCTACTCATGTTGCTGCAATTACATTGACTAGTTCCAGGCCATACTGGAGGTGGTGCGAAATAGCCCCATGGTGGCATGAATGGCATCGGTGGATGAGGGTATGATGGTTGAGCAGGGAATGATATTGGGACATCCGTTTGCACAGATACAGATTCATATTCGGCGGACGTATCTCGTGGCTGTAGTTGTACAGTCGTATAATGAGCTTTTGGTTGAGATGGTTGGATGGTATGTTCTTGAAATGGCTGTTTCGAGGGTTCGGATTTTGTCTGTGGTGACGGTTGCGGTGTGGGTTGATGTATCGAGGAGATCGATTCGTCATCAAGATGGAGATCACTGATTGTCCTCAAGACTGACAGCCGAGCACCTGGTATCTCAATATCAGATATCGAATCAGCACGAGACATATCATCGTTTGAGATACCGGTGTGGATATCTGACGCAACTTCTAAATCGTCCACGGTTTTCAGTTTCGATATGGACGATGCTCTTGTTCCAATATCCTCATTAAAGTGCTCGGATCGTGAGGATTCATCTTCGTTTATGATTTCAGAGACTTCCTGTTTATTGATTGATGGTAGTTTGGGTAGTGGTGGAATCGGAGAGCTACGAAGCGAGCTGCCTGGTGAGAAATTGTGGCTCTCGGCTTTTGATAGCGACTCTCGTGAAGGTGGACGGCCATTAGCGCTGAGAGCAGGGAGAGTCTTGTTCTCACCCAACGAATGGAAACGCGTTGCTGGTAGTACTAATTCTCGTGTAGCCGCGGCTGAATATACAGTCTCAAAACCTCCTTCTTCATCAGAAGATATCAATTCATTTTCAAGGTCTCCGAGTCCTGTATACCGTATTCCGTCACTGGTCACGCCCGGTAGGGTAGCGCTATTTCTCGCAGATCCCGGTCTGGACATTGGGCCCTTTCCTGCAGAAGCTGGACGGCTTTGTCTAGTTGAACCAGCGGACACTGGCCTTGAGGATGACATTGAATTAATACCAAATGATGACGGCCTAGCAGTCAAGCTTTGTCGACCTTCTGAGCTAGGTCTGCCAGCTGAAGTCGGTCTACCAGCAGAGCTGGGTCTTGCAGAAGATGACGCAGATCCAGGTCGAGATTGTCGAAGAGGCTGGAGGTCGACATTTGTCTCCCGTCTTGGTTTTGGTTTGATAAAGTCTTCGAAATCACTTCCCACTGAGTCGTCAAAGTCTTCTTCTATTGATTCTTTGTCTCGATCATCTCGTCCGAAACTTAGTCTTCTTGCAACACTCCTCGATGGTGTCGTCGTAGTCCCTTTCAGTATAGAGGCAGGTGCCACAGCAGACGAAGAATCGTTATTACCGTTGGGGAGTGGCGTTGCGGCCTTCTTTAAATACAGAGAAGACCCAGGTTGCGACACAGTTCTCTCCCTATTTCGTGCGGGCGTCGATTCTGCGTCCATAGAGTCGGCCAGTGACCGTAAATAGCGTTGTAGTTCTACGTCTTCTCTAGTGACGGCCTTGCTGTTATCCAAGATATCTCCATCGGAATCAGCCCGTCGGTTGGAAATCAAGCTCGAATTGCGTGTTGGCGTTCCTCCCTTGAGGTAAAGTTGAGCTTTGGAAAGTGCGTTGCTTGAGGATCTTGCAGATGCTGAAGGTGGCTTAGTGTTTAACGGTTCCATAGAGATCTCTAATCTTGAATCTAAGGGCGACGTCAACCGATGCGATGAACTCTTTCCAAAGTTTCGTGAGTCCGATAGCAGCATCTCGGGCTTAGAGTCATTTAATGGCACCCGACTTCCTCTTGGTGCAGGTGGAGTCCAATTGCTTCCGAAACGTGACATTTTTGTTGGGTGGTATGGTCAAAAGGTGTGATCTTGAAATTTCATTGAGAAATGTGTTGTCAATGTAAAGACGCAAGGCTTGTTTGACGTGATCTTGGGCGTGATCTCGACATTGGAAAAATAATCTCACCTGCTAGTGCTTGGAATAAGACAGTATTAGACTAGAGGGTATGGGTCGGTTCACTCGTCCAATTGCGTTTCTTGCTTTCAAATCGCAACTTTCACACAACAGTAGCTAAAGCCGCTTAGCAAGAGGTTAATTCCATATTTAAAGATCCATTTGATACTACCACTCTACTCACAAAATGGCCGACGTCGTATGTTCAATCTTCTTGTGACAGCATTCAAGCTCGCCGTTTCCAGCAATAGCATCAAACAAACCTCACACAATTTCTTACTAGCAAACCTACAAGTTCAAAGTTGGAATGTCCTGCTCAGGCTGCAGCAACGCTGTTAATCGTGTCTTGACTAAAACTCCAGGTATGTCTCGGTCAAGAATATGTCGACATTTGGAAATCTGGGTGGTTATTTTGGGACACAAGACATTGCAAAGCTCCAAGAGAAGAGCTGGCTACAATCGCTTTCAGAACATATTCCGAAAGAGATTCCATACACACTCCATCGCAGATCAACGTCATGCTGACTCTCTGTCAATATTAGGTGTTCAGAAAGTTGACATCTCTCTGGAAAAGCAAGAAGTTCTCGTCCAGACAGATGCTAGTCTGGACCAAAATGCTGTATTCGAGGCCATCAAGAAGAGCGGCAAGCCCGTTGAGGCCTTATTGTGATCTTTTTTGACGCCTTACACTCGGACCGTAATCATTATTTTTTCTCGCCATTCTCGCATTAATAAAGTAACTACAAAATTGAAATGTCCGCCATACCCGAGTCGCGCTTGAAATAGCATTTGAACATTGTTGCCTGACACGCCTTCAGACAATACTAGCACTCACAGTTTTACGATTTTGCAACCATGGACATTGAGAAACTCATTGCTGATATACTGACGCCAGGGACCCAAGCATTCATAACAACAGCTGCTTTGTTATTCACGGTGTTGCTGTTGATAATAGCTGTCATTGCTTCAAATGTGTGTTTGACAAAAGCTCACGGAACAACCGAAAAACTCGTATTCATATGGCTGTTTTGGGTACGTCGCTTCTTTAAAATGTCTCTCAAACTTTGAATTTTACGTACTGAGCCTGCTTTCAGCGTGGGTGATATGGTGGGATCAAAAATCACTTCTGTCATTTGAAGCTAATTTAAAGGTGATCCTTTTAGGACATGCTAGTCCATTTCATAATGGAGGGATCTTTTGTGTATTTTTCTTTAACATCAACCGTCCTGAAATCGTCAGGACCTTTAGCTGCGGTGCGCATGACTGTGTGAAACTTGACGATTGTGACCACTTATACGAGCTCACATTAGATATGGAAGGACTATGCCCGAGCTGACGCTAGGTGGGGCGTGTCAGAGCCAAACATCGTTTCGATGGAGCTCTTTACCGTCTTATTTTGTGGAAATATGTGCTGGGTTGTAATGTATGGTCAAGCACACAACAAAGTCTGGAGACATTATGCTCAGCTAGTATTGTGTGTCTGCGAGCTGTATGGAGGATGGATGACTTTTGGTCCAGGTGAGCAAAAATACTGCTGGTCGAATCAAGTCTTTATTAACAAAACCTCGTTTTGCTCAGAATGGATTATTGGAAGCCCCAACCTGTGCTGCCTGGACGATCCTATGAAATTATGGTAGGCGTTGGAATCTCTAGTCATGAATTTTTCCAGCTGATTGGTCTTGTGTTTTGGACAAACTGACTCACAACACAATTTAGGGTGTTTCTGACCTTTTTCAATGGACTTTGGGTGAGAACTTAAATTACTTGGAATGAATCTTTTATTTTCGTTCTAAAGCTCCTTTGTCGTAGGTCATAATTCCACTACTGCTAATGTATCAGAGCTACCTTGTAATTGTAGACAATGCCAAACAGGCTCAAAAGACGAAGTCAGGCAAGAAGCACTAAACCGATACAATGATAGTCCTGTGACTCTTCTGGGACGACGGCTAAATAAAAAAAAACAGGGATTCGAATCAACACCCCTCGATCAGTGCCTGTTTCTTGTTAGCGCAGTAAAGGTCTTTCGATTAAGGCATTGTGCACCACAATCGCAACTGAACAAAACGATCCAACGCTCGAAATCATTGTCTCTGAACTACTAACCTTAAACAGCACATCTAACGACACAGAATATGGCCGAAGTCCAAGCTACTCCAATTCCCATTGAAGCTGTTGCTGCACCAGTCGCTGCCACAACAGCACCTACCGCCTCAACCAGTAATCTAAAGAAATCCACTGCCGACTTGAAGAAGGCCTCTCAAGCTAACCTGGCCAAGGTGTCAACCACAAACATTCCTCACGACACCACTCCTCGTAATGCAGCTCAAGGAGACGCAGCCGTCGCCAAGGCTTCTACTCACACATTGGCCAAGAAATCAACTGCTAATGTTGCTGGCTCTCAAGCGCTGAAAAAGTCTCAGGCTGCCATTGCCACCTCAGACGTCAAGAAGTCCACCAATGCCTTGGGTGGAAATTCTTTCGTAGCTGCCTCAGGTAATATCCATAATGCCGATCTTGGGCAATTGGTCCAACATGGCTAACTTGTTTTCCTCATTAGTACCTGCATTAGCTGGAAGCAAGAGCAACATTACAGCACGACCAAGTTCAGCTGCTGTTCCAGCCGCAGAAAAGAAATCACCAAGTCGAGTTGGCTCCAAGGCAACCGTTGCACCAGCACCGATCGGTGGATCCAAGGCCAATGTAGCTGCTGGTAGCAAAGCCAACGTATCTCCTTCCAAGGCTAATCTGACCAAGGGTAGCAAAGCTGCTTTGACTGCAACAACTCCTGCCCCTGCTCCTGCACCTGTTGAAGCACCTGCACCTGCTGAGGCACCTGCCGCTGCCCCCGTTGAGCCCAAAGCTTAAGACCCGAGGTCACGTTGACTCGTCTCCTCAATAAACCCTTATAAAGTAGCAAAAGATATAACAAAACAAATACCATAAAAGCAATAAACAAGTTAACCATCCAATATCCAAAATATACACACCCCACCAAAATATACACACCCCTTATCAGTTCGTGAACGGTATTGCAAGTCTAGTTTGAACAAAGTTTATATTACAGGTTTTGAGGGTATAATGAGGGGAAGTTTAGGAGCCAAAGAGCTTGGCCACCACTAACAAAAGGAGAAAGCAAGCGTCAATGCGGTTCTTTGTCAATATGCACGGTCGATTCTTACGTTTCTGTTGGTCATCCGTCAGCTTATCCGGGAAGACCACACTATATTCTACATACAACGTCCCACGATCACTTGGAAACTGATGGTGTGGCATACCTTGTCCAGGTATTACTTGCACAAAACCTAATAAGCAAAAGAGGTTACAAACCTCCGAACTGAACAAAAAACAAGACCACGAGATGATGCATACCTGGCTGGGTAACAACCCCCTTCCTTTCAATGGTAATCTCTTTACCATCTAGATGCTTGATTTGACGTTCAAACCCAAGCAATGCTTCCTTCAAATTTAGAATCTCCTTAATACGTAAATTGTCACCTTGTCGAACAAAGACAGGATGCGAATCCGTCTTGACATGGAAGTGTAGATCTCCAGCTCGATATTCAGGTGATTCGTCAGCTTCACCGTCAAATGTGATTCGATAACCGTCTGGCATTCCACGTTCGACTGATACAGAGAGTTGATGTGATCCTCTCTTGATCTTTTTGCCAGAGCAATGCGGGCATTTGGAAGAGGCTACTTTTCCTTTGCCGTTACATACATCGCATCTACGCGAAAAGAACGACGCTTCATATGTATGTTGCAATGCCAAAAGTCATGACAGACAAGTCCTTACGTTTGCTGCATTTGTTGATATATTCCAGGTCCAAGCATTTGTCGAACGACTTTGATACCAGATCCACCACATGATTTGCAGTTTGTCACATCTTCTGCTTTCTTGGCTCCAGATCCTCTACACACTGGACATATAACTTGTTTATTTATCTCGACCTAGAGTTACAGTTGAGGTGTCAATACCAAGCGATTCACAGTCGGTGTTGGGGTCAGACCTCTATAATGGTTCCAAGAAACAGTTCTTCTAGAGTGACATGAAGGTCCATGTTGATCTCTGGGCCCTTCTTTTCCATCTTGTCTAATATAGCAAATTGTGTAAGATCAGTGACTTGTGACAACAACTAATCGTTTGTGGCATACTCTGTTGAGCGAATCCGCCTCCACCAAACCCAAATCTAAGTCAACCAAAAAAGTGTCAGAGCAGTTGTCGCTTAATGATAACGGTGATCCGACGTACTGTGAGAATATGTCGAATGGGTTGTGGAAATGCTGTCCTCCTCCTTGTTGTTTGAGGCCTTCTTCTCCATATTGATCATAGATTCGTCTCTTTTCATCGTCAGTCAAAACCTCATAAGCTACAACAGAGATTGTGTTGACAATGTTAGCAAATGTAAGCGATACAGTCTGAAATCAGTGCGAGAACCTTGTGCCAATTCAATAAATTTAGCTTCTGATTCAGTGTCGCCAGGATTCTTGTCTAGATGTGAGAAATGTCGAGGAATCAGCAAATGCCTACAATTCAACGCACATGCAATGTCAAAAATCAAAATCGAAACCTGGGTGATATTTTTTAGACAGATCCTTGTAGGCTCTCTTCAGTTCCTTTTTTGATGCGCTTCTATCCAGTCCCAGAATTTGATAATAATCCTTCCCAGCAGCCAAAACACTGAGTATAAACAGCGAGAGCACGGTGAATATCAGTAATAGACACGTAAGTCGCCCCATCGTTCAATGTCAACCACGTGGAAGCTAATTCGTTAACGCTTCCTTCTCTTAAACAGATTGAAACTTTCTCAACGTTTTGGACGTGGATGAGTAGTAGCAAAACTTGGAGAGAAAGACCGGGATCAAGTTCCGGAAATGCTGTATACAAACCGAACGTGCGATCAGTGCAAAATACCACGCAGTCCCCTGTAATTGACGACTGGAACAAGACACATTCAAAGTCTGGAACTGTGTCGCTAATCTCCAGAGGAAATCCTACAAAGTAAGTGCATGGCATCCAATTCAATTTGACAGCCAATTTTGCTCACTTTTGTGATTCAATGCAGTTTGAAGAATCGGTCTGAGCAAATCAAACTGTTCGATTCTCTTATTGCTAGACCAGAGGAATTTGACAAGGAGGCTCTATTGTTTTCTTATCGTGAGTTTGTTTATCATAGGCGTGCCGTGCTGTCGGTACCTCTGTCTCATTCAAGATGAACTAGGCGGACTAAGGGAGGGAATCGTGGCCTCTGGCACTTTTGATGATTTTGCTGTGAAGATCTACGAATCCAGTGTGGATGCTGCTATTAAATATATCGCTGTGGCAGAAGCTAGACCAGAGCTGATTAGGTCTTTGAACTTTCTCACCTCCACTTGTTACGCGGAGGCATCTGCCAACAAGGTAAACGTTACGCTCAATATGAGCGACAATCCGCTTTTGTTGTCGTTTCTAATTCGTTGTCAATAGTACGAGCCGCCGAATCGAGCACGATTCACTAGCTACTTTATCCTCCACGTCATTGCAACTGAAGTGGTGTCAAGCAACACCGCCTGGGACTCTGAGTTTTGGAAGCTGTCGCAACTGATTCACAGCCTTCCAAATGATGTGGTCTCGGCCAAAGAAATGCAGTTAGCAATGACAATATGGAAGTCGATACGGTTCGATGTTGACTACTTGAGTCTGTCGCGGGCTGTAGCTCATGCGTCTGCCAGCCACATGGTGTTTATACAAGTAAGCCTCATTGTGGTTTCCATTTCTGAATCTGTGTCCAATCAACCGCTCACGTCGTGTAAAATAGGAAATGATGGGTCCTTTGAGGAAGAGAATTGTGCAGATTCTTAAAAAGGGATATTACAAACTTGACAAGGACATTGTGTCAAGTTACTTAATGTTTGGAGATGATGATGACTTGTTACTCTCGCAAGTGCTGCACGAGTCGGGTATCGTCATAGATGAGAAAAACGTTGTGCAGTTTCGGCAGCCAAAGTTGAAATTTTAAATTTTGGAATACTTTTTGTATATATGTGTAATCTTTCTGGCTAATTTTGAGCTGAAATTTGCACCAGAGTCACCAGAGTTGTTGGTGGTCGTGTGGTCGATTGCTTGCAACATGGCAACAGTACATGGGCGCCTTGTCCGTTCCACGCGTTTTACACGGGGTAAGAGAGTAGAGAAAAATCTACAGGATCTGATAGTTGTTATCTGTCAGCTGTCAGAACTGTGGGATCAGCCGTTTCGGCACTACTGCACTTCATAATTTGTCAGTTAGGACAGATCTTGAAAGATACATTGACCAAGTTATATTAGTATAGACAAAGAGGACAGCTATGTCAAAAGTTAATGATCGCCCATGGACAATAGATAGGATCTTATCAACCGTTCAGGCATGCAGACGCTTGATCTTAAATTTCAAACGTCAAATCTTTGACGATCACGGCAGATCCTTGTTTGCCATAGCTTCCATGTCGCAACTGTCTAATAATTTTTCGATTTCTGTAGGCGACTACTGGTCTAGCATTCGCTTCCTTTGCGATTCTGCATATGGGTGGTCACGCTCTAGCTCATTTCAATATCGATTTGGCCAACCATGCACTCCAGACCTCTCAAAAATACTATCGAATTCCCGCTATTGAAATTGGTGCCGTATTTGGATCACTCGCTGTGCATGCTGTATCGTCAATTGCAAGATGGTGGATTCGAAAACCAGCTGTCAAGAGTAACAACACTCCTTACGCTGTCAAGGAACGTAACTGGCATCAAACTTTGGGCTGGATTTTGCTTCCAATGGTAATTATGACACGTACTGATTTATATGGTTGGAAGCCACAAAATAATCATTGGAGGTGTTGACGGTGGTATCAATGATTTCAAACTTTACGTTTCGCATTCCAAAAACTTAATAATCAGATATGACCTTAGGTTGCTCTCCATGCCAACAGCTCGAGACTCGAACCAATATCCATCTTGGGCAAAGAAGCTGCCGATAAAATTTCCGATTACTCAATTGTTGGGATTGCTGGCGTTGCACTGCCTCCGTTCACAGGTGCTTAAAATCATTTGCAAACTTCACCAATTCTAATTGCTAAACCGTCACTATTTAGTATATTTCAGTATAATGATGGCTGCTGGACTGATTCACACGGCTTACGGAACTGGTTATGCATTGCAAACCCTTGGTATCAAGATGCCAACAGCTCCTAAAATATCTAGAGAGGCGTGGTTTTACGGATTAAGTGCTCTTGGTGTCTCCTCGTCGCTAGCAGTTTGTGGTTGGTATTATACCATGACATTCACGCCAGCTCAAATCCATATGGCTGCCAAACTACATGAACATCAGGGCTTCTTCCAAGATGCCATAGCCAAGACCTTTGGAGCTCAATACTCTCTGAAACATTAGGTTAGATTGGTGCCGATAATACAGCTTTAGAAGTGTATTATTTGTTAAAAGCTTGATACATAGATTGAAATATTTATATTTTCGAATTTCTTGGTTTGTGGCGCGCTTGCGAAACTGTAAAGTGACACTGCCTCCTCGTCAAAACGTAGCGTTGGTTTTCGAGTCATTATCAATTCAACAACCCGCAAGTTGTGTTATTCGATGGACGCAAGCCTCCGGTGACTCTCATCGGTTCGCAAATCCAAGTGATTGAACGTTTTAAGGCTGTTAATAAACAGACTGACACGTAACTCGCTCACTCGCTCGGTTTCAGCATTTCGCATTTGTCAAGCAACCTGCGCAAGGAATAAAGCAGATAACAGAAAGAGTATCACCATGTCAAAAATGGATCATCGCCCATGGACTATTGATCGAATCTTGGCTACAATTCAGGTACATCCGGCTCGCTGTCTACCTTCCATCATTGAATGTTTTGAAAAGTCATGAATCGTCTTTGATCTCAGCAAAGTTCTTAAATGAACGGAGATTCATTATTTGCTGTACTAAAAAATAATGAAATATACTAACCATTTGCGGTATCATAGGCAACGACCGGTCTTGCATTCACTTCCTTTGCCATTTTACATATTGGAGGCCACGCCCTAGTTCATTTTAACTTTGATTTAGCCAACAAAGGATTTCAGTTCGCCCAGAAATACTACCGAATCCCTTTGGTCGAGAATGTAGCGGTCTTCGGGTCGCTCTTTCTGCATGCTGTAGCATCAATAGCACGTTGGTGGATAAGGAAGCCAGTTGTGCAGAGTGCAAACCCTCCTTATGCTGTCAAGGAACGAAACTGGCATAGAACTTTGGGCTGGGTGTTGCTTCCACTGGTATGAAGACATTCACTGCATTCTCTGGGGTTTGGAAAACAGAAACTAGATTATGGGACTCCAATTACCAAGCCACAAAATGTGCTCAAACGATTCCTTCATGATAGGTTACTATTCATTTGTTTGCAGCGAGAATATTGCCAATTCTTGTATTGGGAAAAGCTGCGGCTGATAAGATCTCGGATATCTCGGCGGCTGTTCTGGGTGCTGTTGTCGCTCCCTCCCCACGTATGAAAAAAAGTTTGAGTTGGCAGTTGCTCGATTGCTAACTCTGATTGCGTATTTGTTAGTGGTGCTGGGTCCTTTGACGGCGGCTGGATTAATTCACACGGCGTATGGAACTGGTTACTCATTGCAAACATTTGGTGTAAAGATACCAGCAGCTCCGAAAATATCGAGAGAGGCATGGGTTTACGGATTAAGTGCTCTTGGTGTCTCTACCTCGTTAGCCGTTTGTGGTTGGTATTATTCCCTTCCGTTTACCCCAACTCAAATCCATATGGTTGCCAAGGTGTATCAGCATCAAGGATTCCTCCAGGATGCCATATCCAAGACTTTTGGAGCTCAATATTCCCTAAGACATTGAGCTATGTAGCAATGAGTAATTGTAGAATATTCTCTGTCATACTAGATACCGCGGAATGTATTGCCTGATACGATCTTACCGAATAGATGTTCATATATAAAGATTTCAATCCAGGATGCTCGCGAGTTTTGGGATGGTATTAGTGCTGAATTCATAGTTTCGTGTTTGTGACAGACTACTCCTCTTTTTAATTTTCGGGGCAGTTTTGGTATCGATCGCTGTAATATGGCGCTGACAATTGAAAGTTAGACTATAGTTCAGAATAATCCTTGTTTATATTCGCCTCTACATTAGCGCTTCTATACACATTTCTGCTCATAAGTCCAAAACATTTGATTTTGGCGTTTGTGTGGTTCTTAAAATTCGGAGTGGAGCAAGATCAGCAAACTTGAACAATAATTGTACGTATGGCGCAGATTTGAGAGCTAGTCCATCGCAAACGTGAAGTTGTTCGACTGTGTGATGAGTGATGTCATTGCTTACGTTGTGTCCCACATTCACCTTTCACGAGCGTCTCACTCAGCTTTTTCAAACATCAAAATCTCCCTCCACTGTCACGAAAGGTAACGTTAACTTGCTCTCTTATAAATTCATGCTACTTGCCTAATGACTCCTTGACTTTTGCTCAATAGACCTCCTTTTCCCCCAATCCCCAAAAAACTCCAAAAATGTCTGCTCCTGATTTAAGACTAACCACAATCTATGGCGGCCTCCCCGGAAAGGTACTGGATCATGCGCATTCTTGCATGTCGATCTTGGAAGCTGGAAACTACTTCATTTCGCACGAGTTTCCCATCGATCTTCACATTTCAAAACATTCAATCCCAAACACATTCTCCAATACTAAAGTGCTTCCTCCTCCTCGAAGGTGGCTGTTGTTACCGGCGGTGGTATTGGAATCGGCAAGATGATTGCTGCCACCTTTGTCCAAAACGGAATGAAGGTCTACATTGGTACAGTACTCTAATTGTCTCGTCACCACGGTTTAGAACTCATGTCAACGCATGTTCTGTCTTCATTTAGCATCCCGAAAACAATCCGTCATCGATGAAGCTGTCGCAGACCTCAACAAGATGGGAGCTGCTTCTGGTGGAAAATGTGTCGGTTTAATCGCTGACTTGACCACGAAAGCTGCCTGTCAGAAATTGGCAGACCAGATTCTGGCAAAAGAACCAAAAATTCATGTCTTGTTCAACAACTCTGGAGTTTCCTGGGGTACGCACCTTGAATATTGGTGCTGAAGTTGTCGGGCGAAACAAAAGAAAGCCCAAGTTTTTGATAGATGACATGCTAAATGCATTTACCCTAATTCTAGGTGCACCAATGACTGATTTCCCTGAAGAACAAGGTTGGGACAAGCTTTTCGCTTTGAACGTCAAGTACGTGTTTTCTCAAGTTTCTTCGACGAATGTGCAACCAATTGACGTGAATAAATCAAACCCAACAGGAGCATGTTCTATATGACTGTCGCTTTATTACCCGGTCTGAAAGCTGCTGCCAACGGAAATCAAGACCCTGCCAGAGTCATCAAGTAGGCAGAAAAAAAGCTCGTACGAATTGTAAATGCATGGTACCTTTGTGGACTGACACTTGGCATTTGTCTTCAGCATCACTTCCACTGCTGGTGTCTCGCCCATGGTTGAAAATGCATTGTCTGCTCCAGGATCAGGTAAATTGCAAACCAAGCAAAGTACACATCGCCAACATGGAATCTAACCCCACCTGCAACCACACTAGGAACTTTCTCTTACGCACCATCCAAAGCAGCTGGCAACCATTTGACACGAGTAATGGCTGCTTCTCTAGCCAAGGACTTCATAACAGTAAATGCTATCGCACCAGGAGTATTCCCAGTAAGTTCATAGGCACAGCATTCTTGATGTGTTTCCACTCGCTTAACCAAACCATTCTTTCTATCACTAGTCTCGAATGACTGCATTCGGTATCCGTGAAAACGGAGCAACCATGGTGAAAGGACAGCCTATGGGCCGAATTGGAATGACTGAAGATATGGGTGGTGTCGCCCTCTTCTTGATTTCCAAGGCTTCTGCTCACACTACTGGCATGGTCTTGCCCTTATCTGGTGGTACTGAATTAGGTAAACTAGGACATGAAAGCTGTAATGTGCCAACCACCAGTTCGACTAATGAGTTAACTGCAATTAGGTAACGCCATGGCATCTAGAATTTAGAAAAGACCTCGCACACGATTAATTCTGAGTCTTGCGCTACGTTGAGAAATAAAAATTCTGGTTGCATGTACACTCCTAGATGCAAACGACATCACCTTGTTTATGTTCAAACTGTTAATACGAGCTTTGACGCGTACCCAGGACGCGTATGTAGTTCCTTGTTCCTTTTAGGTCAATCGTAAACAAAAGTACACATCGCTTCACTCCCCTACATTACGAACTCGACGGTCGACAATGGAGACCAGCAAGGACCGAAAAGAAACCTCTAAACGGTCACAAGGTAAAGCAGTGTACACCTTTTCATCAGTTTCAACCGGTCTCTGACTGTCCTGAATCAATTCAGATATATCTGATGTCGACGATAATCCTTCAAAACACCGAAGCAAGTCCCTAGACAAAGGTACTTCTGGACTGCATTACAACCCTACAATATGTCTCTGTGGCTCAACTTTCCTTCCCTTTCTATTGGTTTAAAACCTGGACTTTTCTTGCTCAACATGAACATTTTACTTCGACGACTCGATGATTTTGATCTGAATTGCCCAAGATCGCAAACGACGAGATAGGAGTTCTAGTACCGAGATTGATGACAGAAAAGAGCGTAAAAAGTCAAAAAAGTCTAGGAAGAAGGAATCCAAGCAACAGCATCATGATTCTGATTCGGATTCTTCAAAGGATGAGAAGCGCAAGAAGCGGAAGGAGAAACGCGAAAAGAAGGATAAGGTAGGTACATCAACGTACTTTAGTGTAAATCTTTGACCAACTCCTTTCGTTATATCCAGAGAAAGAAGAAGAGGAAGAAAGAGAGCGAATCGTCTGAATCTGATTCTTCAGAAGACGACGACGACGTCAAACGCAGTGCTATAACCGGCAAAAAGCTAAAGCTCAAGGTGAAAAAGACATCTGAAGATAAAGAACGGGAAAAGAATAGGGTCGATTTGCTCAAATTCCTAAATCAAGCTTATGACTAGCTGGTGGGGAATGTAAAATTTAAGGACATGTTGTATTTAAGTGGCGGGTGCAGATATATATACATACATTCAGTAATATTTTATGATGCAGCAACGACGCCCAGACCAGCACCGATTTTCACTTCTTGCTTCATAAAGAATCGTGAAGTGGAAGAAGAGGCACCTTCAACCATTGTACCACTTTCTAGATCCTCGTTCGTCAGCTGAGAGCAGCAAAAGCCACATTTGGTGGCTTGAGAGGGTATGCTCAAGTAACAGTGAGGGCACGTTCTCATCTTCGGCCTTTGCGATCTGAAAGCTCGACCATATGCTGTATTTCAACAAGACGAAGCATTAGTTGATAGTTAACGACAAATAGCAAAATCGACATGTCTTACACTTGACGATAGCAAACACAATCAACGAAATAATCACAAAGTTCAAGAGCGTAGACAGAAACCTCCCAAAGTTCCACGTTATCATCCCAAGTGAGTTGGCAAGTCCTACAGACTTTGGACGCAAGCATGCTTCTATGATTGTTTCGTTGGTCGGATTGGTACAGGCAGGATCAGTTGGGCCACTTAATACCACGAACTGTGAAAGAAGGTTAGTTCAACTTTGGACCATGATGGTTGAAAGCATTTACCTTGTCTGGCAGTGCTTGTCCAATAGCCAGCCCAATAGGTGGCAAGACCAAATCAGTAGCGATTGAGTTGATTATAGTGATAACTGCTGATCCCATCACAATTCTACGAAGACATCTACCTCAATAAAACAATTGAATAAATCTTAGCTTGATTCAGACGTTCTCACCCAACTGCTAAATCAACTGAATCCCGTTTAACGAAAAAAGATTCAAAATCTTGAATGACTTGTCTTCCCCACGATACGACGACCCATGCTGTAGGCGTTAGAGATTCGTGATGTGGCACGGAGATTCTAAGGGATTCTGGCGTGCTCATGAGCTTGAGTCTAGCAAAAGTTGAATTGTCAAAACCTCGAGTTCCAAAATCGAAAATAACGATCTAAGAGAGAATGGGGATAGATCCGAGTAGTTCGGAATATCCAAAGCTTACGAAACAGAGGAATTTATATGGCAGGCTAGCGTCCTGTACCTGCTAATGCGGGAAAGATTTCAGAATGCGATAACTTGAAACAATAATTTCAAGAAATGTTTGAGGTTGAAGAGCAACAACCGGTGTTGGTTACGCCAGTTAATCGAATATCACGTAGCGACGCGTCAAAGGTCGAAATAGTACCGAACGAGTTCCCTTCTTGATTATGCTGCCTTCCTCTAAACGCAAATAACAATCGCAAACACGATTTACAGACCCTACGCTCTATACGCATGTAGCGCACCAACGGAATACTCACACTACTCACACCATGCAAACAATCTCTACATATTCACGTCTCTGCAAGAGTCGCACTCTGATTCTTCAAGCTTCCAAATCACAGCAAATAGCAAGACAAGCAATGACGTCGACATCTCCAAACCGCCCTAGCATAGTAGGCAGCGACTCGGGCCCATCATCACCATTCCCATTATTCTTTAAAGGCCCCGTAGTCAAGGGATTTCAGCGTGGGAGTCGTGAATTGGGCATTCCAACTGGTGAGCTTGTATGAATGTTATGAGTGGGTTTGCTTGGGTACAGTTATATTGGAGCAACCTGCATGCATCGGTTTGAAGATCTCCTGTCTCCTTTGCTTCTCTCACGCTGCCTTCCCTCGTCGACATCGACATCAATTTTCGAGGCCCGACAACACATTCTTTGAAATCATTGACTCACCCAACCCCAACTCCCCATTTTACAGCAAATCTCCCAGAATCAGAAGCCGAGATAGCAGGCAAAGTTATCGATTCCGGTATCTACTACGGTCTAGCTTCACTAGATGCTGAATCAACCGTATACCCGATGGTGATGAGTTTTGGTTGGAATCCTTATTACAAGAATGTCAAGAGGACTATGGTAAGCTGCAGCTCGGCTGGTTTGTGGTCTCATTCCGAGAATCAAGTGGCCTTACGTAGTATTTTTTTGGCATGTGCAGGAAGTGCACATAATGCACAAATTCCCTCAGGATTTCTATGATCGAGAAATGAGAATCATTATATTGGGACATATTCGGCCAGAGCAGGATTATAGTGGCATCGGTATGAAAGTCAACGTCTCATTTACAACTGCCGCCATGCTGATACACAACTCTAATACTTAGACGCCTTGTTGGAGGACATCAACTTTGATATCCAAGTCGCACACAACTGTTTAGCTCGACCTGCGTATGCTGCTTACAAGGAGAATACCTTCTTGAAGCCATCATCGAGGCTATGAAATAATAGATTCTAGAATAACTTTCCTTTCAACAAAATTGTATACATTCTTCAAAAAACACCTCATCAATTACTTTGACAACACCCGTTTACTCTCTATATGCGATATATATTTTTATCAAGTAGTTCAGAAAAAAAAAACAAATATGATACGTTTTCAGTTGTTGTAGGTGTCCTGTTGTAACTCTCTCCTCATCCTTTCTCCCTCGTTTTCTCAGTCCCTTTCATGTCCCTCCCAAAAGGATCTATTCTATATTGATGGACAGGGGAATCTAGTAAGAGACTCCATTGATGATGTGTGTAGCAGTGTCTCCAGTAACAGGGGTACGTCCATATGCACGTCTGAACTTTTCGTCAACACGTTGCAAGAAGAAGGTACCACTAAGCAAAATCAAGAAATTCGTGGTTAGCCAAAAAAAAGAGATAAAATGACAGTGAATCGTACTTACGGGAACTCGTTGGCAGTATCAATAGATGACTTGGGGTCATAAGCCTTCAGTTGGTGAGTCTCCTCTCTCAAATGCATGACAGCGTCATATTGAGCTGGAGGAACAACTGTTCTGGCAGCTAATCGTTCTCTAACAGAGAGCTTTTCGGCGATTGATGATGTATCACCCACTACAGTGAATGAGAACATGGATGAGGCCAGCCCAGATCCATACGAAAACATGACAACTCTCTTGTTTAGCTGTGGGGGAAATGAGGTAAGTCTATGAGCTTTCTTGGAGCAAAAAAACCGATAGAAGTTTAGTCCGATTGGTCGAGACATACCAGCTCGGATGATGGGACTTCAGAAAGGAGAGATGCCAAACCACCATACAAGGAACCACAATACATGTTTCCGATTTCCTTAGCACAGAGTAAAGATGGCACGACCTTCTTCTTGAATAAGTCCTTGGTGAAGTCCATGAAAGCCTTTTCAACGTCGCGGTTGGAGTAGGTGTCTTCAGGCTTGATTCCCTAATAGAAGTGATTGAAGTGTCAGTGTCAATTGCCAGTCACATAAGGATCCTTGCCTTGCGATTTTTTCAACAGATGTACGAAACTTACTTGGAATTGTGAGAATGCAGCAAACCTAGGGTCGTTTTGGTGACGGAGGAAGTCATTGAATGCCAATCGGGCAAATGACTTTTGGACGAGCTTGGTGTATGGAGAGTGGAACAAGAAGTAGCTGGCAGCAGATTCCAAGGTTGGGTCAGTTTCACCAGCCTAAACGTATTGAAATAGAGAATCAGTTATCCTTCTTCCCGCTATGATTTGCTCTACCTTTGAGCCAAGAAATCAAGCCATGTATCTCCGCATACCTTTTTCAGCTTGTCCATGTAGAGGTTGTAGCACTTGTCATTAGCACGTAAGTAGCATTCAACAGATAGCTTGCCGTCGACTTCTGGGTATTCGGAAGACAAGTCTGGTTTGAAGAAGTCCCAAGCGTGTTCCATGTAACTAGCGCGGAGACCTGACCAAAATATCGTTGATTGTCAGCGAACGATGCGACAACGAATCCATTCGTTGCTGCGCTTAAATTACATACCACGATCAAAGACAATTGGAGCGTTAGCACCCAACAAAATGGCAACACAACCAGCACCACCAGTTGGACGAGCATTTCCTTCCTTGTAGACTGCGATATCACCAGCAACGACCAAAGCGTAACGGCCATCCCAGTAAGAAGATTCAATCCAGTTCAAGGCATTGAATAAGGCAGAAGTACCACCGTAACAAGCATTAGTGGTGCTGACACCTTCAATGTTTGTGTTTCCAGAGGCTGCAAAGAGGGTCATGAGGACCGTCTTTGTTGATTTGGACTTGTCAGTGATGGTTTCAGTTCCAACTTCGAGACGTCCAATATCGGTGTAGGCAATGTTGTACTTTTCCATCAAGTTTTGGACAGCTGTGAGGTGAAGGGAGTGTTTGCGTGAGTGCGAAGTTGATGTGGATAAAGAGTACATGCGAGAATCAAGGATCATTAATGGATCAATACGAGTTCATCATAGTCGTGTCTATTAGTAGGTCTTCCCCTTCCCATCATCCAAACTTCTCTAGTCCCCACCAAAGTGGTTGACAGGCCCTCAAATTTTCAAGCATTGGAAACTAGCAGGCCTTGTAGCCGTGTAGTGCTTGCATACGTACCAGTGAGACAAATGGAGTTGATGTCTTCCCGGTCATCGCAGAAGCCCATGCGAGTTTGGCCCAATCCGATAGTGTATTTGCCTTCCGAGACCTTGTCGTGCTTTTCCAATTCAGTTTGATCCACGCACTAGACGACAGGGATAGAGGGCAGATATGATTTTTAGCTCGGTGATGATGATATAGTGCGGCAGCATTGTATCCAGATGAATGAAATTCAGAACTTGCAAATAAAGTGTGGGATTGAGCTTACCTTTTTGGGGAAGTAGATTTCTACGGCGTGGATTCCGACATTGGACGGTCTTGATTCAGATCCTTGTAGCATGACTGTATGTTGTTGCAGTTGAATTGGAAGATGTTGAATGAGCGTGGTGTGTTTAAGTGTTGATGGTGTGAGAATCAACCAAAAAATAATGAAGCGGAGACGAAAAGTTTTGATCCAACACACGCGTCATCGCGAATTTAACATGGACATCGCGTACAGGATTATTAAATGACCATTATCCTGCAATCACATTGCAGATTGGTTCCCTCTCCATCGAGAAAATGCCCAAATTACTTGTTGCTGTGGGAGTTGTGTCCAGCCAATCAGATTTTTGTCATGCCATTTTGTTAAGTAGCGAGGTACGCATAGACCATCCGCTTCAAAGCATAAAGGATACAGCACATCTACGTCATGTTGGAGTCTTGGGTCAATAGGGCTCAAAATGCAATCTCCAAAACATTTGGAAAGGAAGCTACTCCCTATGTATTGGCCTCCATTGCTGTTGGTGGTGTGGCTCTGATTGCCATACCACTGCTATCTCCAAAACAGGTACCATTCCACTTTTAATTGCTTATCTGATTCTACTTGGCACCATCTGGACTTGATTTGCATTCCAATCTATACATCAATCTTTCGCAAAATTTTATCAACCATCATGTGTGGGTCACTCTGACATTGTCCTAAATATTATAACCAATCTATTACAGAAATCAAAAGGAAATGCTCCTCCCATGATCCCTTACGTCATACCCTTTGTCGGTTCTTTACTTGACTTTGGTTTACGTCCTATTGATTTCCTGATCGAATCTTACTCAAAGGTACAGCAGCAGTTGAAGATCTTATGCATTGTTGCTTACATCGATGCAGTAATCTGCTATCGGCGTGGGCATACCAATCAAATTGTATGGATCTGACACCTGTCAAATTAGTATGGTGATTGCTTCTCCTTTGTCATGTTTGGTCGAAACATGACTTATGTCATGGGTCCAGACGGAAACAACTTCTTCTTCAACGCAAAACTCGCCGACGTCTCTGCCGAAGATGCCTACGCAAGTTTGACAATCCCCGTATTTGGAAAGGAAGTCGTCTACGATGTTGAAAACTCAATCCTCATGGAACAGAAGAGGTATGTAGCATGTCAAATTGATGCAATATAAATAGCCTTGGCTAACATACGACTTTCCTACCACAGAATGGTCAAAGATGCATTGACTACAAATGCATTCAAACTATACATTCCCATGTTTGTTGAAGAAACAATGGACTATGTCAAGAGGTGGAAGACTGAAGGATCTATCGATGTATTCATTGCCATGTCGGAGCTTACTATTATGACTGCATCACGTACTCTGATGGGCAAGGAAATTCGCTCAAAATTAGATGAGTCTGGTATGTCGTGATCCACGCGGCTCGTTATTTGCTGGCCATTAAACGTCCTGTCTCACCGAAAACATTGCTTAACTCACTTTCCTCAACTAGTTGCCGCATTATACCATGATTTAGACGGAGGTTTCCAGCCAATCAACTTTTTGTTTGAATGGCTTCCACTGCCACAATATTATGCTCGTGATGCTGCTCAAAGGAAGCTAAATGGCATATTCAAGGATATCGTTGTTGCTCGTAGAGCAAAACCTGAAACAACCAACTCGGATGTATTACAAGCCATCATGGATTCCACTTACAAGACTGGTGAAAAGGTGATTGATGTCTTCAATGTCAAATTGTCATGCTTGCTACTTTTTAATCGAGTCTGATAGGCACTGATCCTCGCTCAATATTCTTATAGATGTCTGATAACGCCATTGCTAACTTTATGATTGCTATTCTTATGGCTGGTCAACACACCAGTTCTACTACCACTACGTGGACTCTCTTATACATTGCTAGCGATCCTCAGCTTCAGTAAGGATCGTTGAGTATCTGTCACCTTTAATTCTAGCTCTGAGCCACAATCATCTCACACTCCTCCTCCTTGATAGAAAGGCACTGTTAGAAGAACAATCTAGAGTTCTTACTGGCAAACCTGATACCCCAGCTTCCCAACTACCGCCACTCACATACGATCACATAAAAAACCTAAACCTTCTCGAAATGACCATCAAGGAAACACTACGATTACGACCTCCCATCTTTCAAATAATGAGAACTGTCCTTCGAGACGTTGAATATAAAGGCTATATCATACCTAAGGGCCACACCATCTGTAGTTCTCCTGCCGTCTCTCAGCTTGACCCTGAAAAGTATCCAGATCCACTTAAATTTGATCCTACTCGTCATTTGGAGGCTGCACCATCTGGTGAATGGAAGCTCACCAACTTTGATATTGCAGAGAAGAGTGCTCGTAGTCATTATCTACCTTTTGGCGCAGGTATGTTTGGCGCACAGCTGCAGCCAGAATGTACTGTGTTTTTGCTCATGCCTTGATCATGCTTTCTCCTTCCATAGGTCGTCATCGATGCATTGGTGAAGGATTTGCATACATGCAAATAAAGTCCATCATATCCATGCTCATCCGAACATATGAACTGGAATTACCACTCAACCCAGACGGTACTCGTAAATTCCCCAAACAAGACTTTACTAGTTTGATTGTCATGCCTGAAAAGCCTACAATGCTGCTGTACAAGAAACGAACTGCATAGATAAAAGTAGATAATTTTTTGGATGTTATATCTCTCTTGCTCCACCTTGACGATGTTTTTATATGTTCGGAAAATAAACGCAATTTCTGTGATACCTTTATACTTTATATGTCTCCATTCCGTATCTGTGTCAGTGCCAATGAGAGAGATATGTGAGGTCTTCGAATGGATACGGTAAGCGCCGTCTCGAATGTCGAAGGTCTTTCGCTGTAGCCAACTGTGAGAATCAGACCACGTCTTTGCGTCCATGCTCTCTTGCTTTGTGAATTAACGTACAATTGTGCTATGTCATGATGTAGAGTTGTGGATTCGTGACGATATCTGCTATCGGATTCCGCATTCTTTGGACTCCTCTTCCCGGTCATCCTATATATACCATGTTGATGTGAAACGTAATGTGAGTTGGGCATTTGGGCCAAATCCACCTTCGCGCACACGACACACCCCAAAAGATTTCAAAGAGGAAAGAGGAGTGCTGTATTCAAAGAAATCGTTGTTGCTCGTAGAGCAAACCCTGAAACTACCAACTCCAACTCAGATGGGTTACAAGCCATCATGGATTCCACTTACAAGACTGGTGAAAAGGTGATTGTTGTGCACAGCATAATTTATCGTAGTGTTTGTTTTTTATGCATCAAGCTGGCGGGTACTGATCTTTGGACAAGGTTCACATTAGATGTCTGATAGCGCTGTTGCCAACTTATGATTGCTATTCTTATGGCCGGTCAGCACACTGGTTCTACTACCACTACATGGGCTCTCCTGTACATTGCTAGCGATCCGCAGCTGCAGTAAGCGTCATTGTGTGCAGTCCGAGTTCTTTTTCGCCTCATAGGCACGATCAACTGAACAATCGTTCTTTTCCCCAACCACAGAAAAGCACTACTAGAAGAGCAATTCAGAGTTCTGACTGGCAGGCCCGATACTCCAACCTCTCAACTCCCACCACTAACTTCCGATCATATCAAAAATCTAAACCTTCTTGAAATGACCATCAAGGAAACGCTACGATTACGACCTCCCATCTACATAATAATGAGAGCCATCCTTCAAGATCTTGAATATGAAGGATACATCATTCCGAAGGGCCACATCATCTGTAGCTCTCCTGCCGTCTCTCGTCTCGACCCTGAAAAGTATCCAGACCCACTGAGATTTGATCCTACTAGACTTTTGGAGGCTGCACCATCTGGCGAATGGAAGCTCACAAACTTTGATATTGCAGAGAAAAGTGCTTGCAGTCATTATCTACCTTTTGGCGCAGGTAAGTTAAGCACGCATTTGGCGTTAGAAAGTCCTGTTTTTTGCTCAAGTCTTCAACATACTCACTCTTCCCATAGGTCGTCATCGATGCTTTGGTGAGGGATTTGCCTACATGCAAAAATAAAGTCCATTGTATCCAGGCTCATCAGGACATATGAACTGGAACGACCACTCAACCCAGACGGTACTCGTAACTTCCCTACCAAGACTTTACAAGTTTGAGTGTCATACCTGAAAGCCTACAATGATGTTTTACAAACGACGAACTGCATAGTGTATATAATAATGTTTTGGTGTTAATATTTGTCGGCCCGTATTTTTTTGCGTCTGGAGAATAGAACCCATTTTGATATTTTCTTTCTATGTGTCTATTCATAGTGTATATTACAATATGAGGTTTTCTTACGCAGCTTCATACAAAGCTTGTGACCGTAAGACGCTGGTGCATGATCGAACAGCTTCTGCCATATCTAACTGACTCTGAAGATTTCCAGCATGTAAATTCATTCGGGATGCGTCGATTCGTTTGATTTGTTTTGTTGGTAGTGACCCTATTATTTAAGATTGTGAATTTGGGTGTGAGCATTTTGAAAGTCAGGCCAAAAAAGCCTAGACGTTGCCTCTTACTTGACACATCAGCAACCTGCCGCCTGCCAACACTAATCCTCTTTAAATCTCTTGTAAAGGCTTCCCGTCGATTCCACCTCTCATCGTCCTTTTGACGAAACCACATAGATATAGTAAAGCAACTCCATCCCAACATACTGAGTGCTCCACGCAGAATCACGAAAATCACCCACGTTGAACTGCTGAATGACGCTGGTATGCTGAATGGTCTTGTGTTGGCAGCCCATGACAAATCGTCTTCCATTGGAGTCACGAGGAGTGTGAAGAAGTATGATAATAGCATGCCTGCAAATATGTCAGATGAGAAATTGTCGTGCCAAAAAAGGAAAAGAGGGTCCTCAATGTCACTTACAAACGCAACCAACTACCTCCATCTTAACCTCAAGATTCACCGACACAATCCTCCAACTACGCCATACACTCCCCCATCCACCCGCATCACGTTTACTATGCAGCACGGCCATGACACTTCCAGTGGCGGCAATAAATCCACATATTTGAATGATCTTGGTAATGACTCCAACGAACGATGCGTATGCTTGTAAGTAATCACTTGTTAATTGCAAGGGTATGATTGTGAGGGAGATGAGACATGCGCCTGCGTATAGGCCCTGAAACATGCGGTGGACTTCGGAGATGATGCTGTTTGTTGACTAAGGGAAAAAACTAGCTGCTTTAGTAGAGAGACATAACAACTGTTTTAAGAGTTCACGTCCTTACACTCATAAATGCATATACTCGTGATTCTGGATCATCGCTATCTCCAAGTCCTCGACTTGTGGTCTGAGGTGGGTACGGGCCGACTACTCTTCTAAATCTCTTTTGCTCTACAACAAATGTATGAGGCCCTCAATTCATACTTCGCTACAAATCAGTCCTCACCAACCTTCAACAAACACAACTTCCACATCTGCTTGTCCCTGCTCAGCTTGTGCATGCACTTCGATATCCAGTGATGCTTCATCATAATCGTCATTCTCATCTTGTTCTTGGTCTTGCGGTTCATTGACAGTTTCAGGACTACTAGCTCGACGTGCCCGATTTGGAGATCCTGCTCGTGAGGTTGAACGTGATCGAGAAGGAGATTTTCGACGTGCGATAATGTCTTCTGGTGCAATTGTCACATAGTCGTCTACAGAAATGTGCAAAACACAATCATTAGCCCTGACAATAGAATTGTTTCTGAAATAATTAGCATTAGGTTATACATACCAGCAATGGGAGACTTGACTGATATTGCATCAGAATCAATCATTCGTCGTCTCGTAATTGATTGCCGAAGCAAGGGCTCCTCGATAGTTACATCCCTTGTTCGTATTTTCAATCCTTCCTTACTGTCAGGCGTTTGCGGTCTACTGCTTCGTACTCTACTAGAAATTTGTCTCCTACTAGCAGAATCTGGATCAGCATATTCATCTTGATGCAATCCATCTTGACTCTTTCTCGCCAATCGTTCTTGTGAAGCTTCTCGTGGCGTCTTCTTGTGCCGTCGTGTTGGTGATGGCTGCATCTCAATAGCATCATTTAGTGCTCGTGTTCTGTATAATGATGCACTTGCTGGTTGGTTTCGTGCGTTATCAACTAAAGTATCGTTTTCGTGGTATTCTTGATCATACTCTTGATAATTTTGATTCAATTGATCTAGAGATTCACGAGATTTTCTGGCGAGGCGTTCTCTTGATGCCTCTCGTGGCGTCCTTCTTCTTCCCCTGTGTTCTGTTTCTTGCTGCTGCTGTTGATGAAGTTGGTTTGATGAAGCAATGTCGAAATGGCGTTTCCGGGAAGACCGCTTGGAAGGTGATGGTGTCGATTCATCGTGCGAGACATTCGATTGTATTTGGTTCTGGGCCTCTGCCGGCTTTTCCTTCCTCCTTCGTTGCTTTTTGGGAGGATCGATTTGGTTAATTTGATGGAGGGAAGTATCTAAAATATAGAAAGTGTGAGAGATCTGTAGTATGCTTGAATGCGCATGGCAATTACCTATCCGGAGCCCTATTGGCGTCTTCTCTCGTCTTCTATTCGTATCGTAATCCATTTTTGCGTCCGACTTGATGATTTTCCTCGTTTTTGTGAGAAAATTTAAGCTTTGTGGAAAGGGCGAGGCAAGAAAGAGCCCTGGAATTGGACAGTGCTCTTATTTATATACTATTAATATTGTATTGCTACAAACTGACCCCCCAAATTCGTTGAAAATAGCAAGAACGAAATTACTGCTGAGATAGGCAATACTTGAAACCTACCCACAAACACTAGACTTATTTACAAGAAAGAACCCATCTATAAAAGAACAATCAGATCTAAGAAGCAGGTATAAAATACTGCATAAGGTCTAGCTCTTCTAAAGTGTCCTTAAATTTGTTGACAAAATATTCGTGTGATAGTCCAATTTCTAGCTCAAAGAGTGTAAAGGAAGCGAGAGATAGAGCTCTTGCGAAATCTTGATGGCCCAAGAGTGCGAAACTAGAAAATGATGAAATTAAGAGGATATCCTTCAAATCGGGCACAACTGGAAATGGGCATGACTTCGTACCATCTGGCAGAGTAAAAGAACGTATATAGTGCTGCCACATCGCCCACTATAGGTAATGCCTGGAAGGTAATATTTACTTCACTAGCCCCGGGTTTCACAGTTTTGATTCCACCTATAGCTTCAAAGTGCTTTTCTACATATTGCAAAACGGTTTCTAAGGCCTCCTCATTGGTTTCACCAGACACTGAAGCTTTCTGGAAATACAACCTGCTTAAATTGTGATATAGATACATTAAATGAGGCCGTTCAGACGTACTCCGGTCAAACGAATATGTGTCTTCAATGTCAGAGACTAGACCCTCCAAGGTTTTTATACATTTTTCGAGCAGACCCATTTGAGGAAGTGTTGGGTATATAGTCTTTCTTTGATGGTAAAGTTCTAAACGTTTGGCGAGGTGCTCCTTTGTCTCCTTTCGATCATCATGGCAATATGGGCATGGACATATGCCATTATTATAACGACGGGTAAAGTATCTCGATCGTTTGGATTCATCATCCAGGACGTTTACTCGTGAGATGGATATCTCGCTGCCGGATTCAATCAGACTCCTCGCCCGCACCATCAGAAAGTCACCGACAAAAAGCTTGGTTGTGTTTGGTACACAGCTATGGTTGGCAAAAGACGGGAGCAGGTATACACCGGTAGCCAAAGAGTCTTCTGTCTCATCATCGCGTGCGAGTGAGCTTCCTTCTGCCAGAGAGGTCATAGGCACGATGTCCAACGCGTTGTAGATACACAGGTTGTAGATCTGGTTACCGTCCACTGCTACAGATTCGCCTGTTATAGAATTCCGCCTAAGACAAGGGCGGCTATGGAATTGTGTTATTCTACTATTTATGTCGTCCACACGATCTTTGGTTTGATTCGGTAGTGATGCGATTATCGGTATGGTGGTCGCATCGTCAAGAAGACGAGCAATCACATTCTCGGTCAACTGATTGTATATAGGTTGGGCCGCAGTTCTATCATACCGGGAGAGAGGAGAGTCCAGATCTCGCTTTGACGGTCGAGCAAACGCAAAGGGTTTACAAGCTAGTATTAATTCTCCAACCTGAATGTCTCTTGTAGCAAATACACCACCAGACGTGTTGATCATTACCGGACCAGTATAATCTGCAACTTCAATGTCCGTCGACATGTGTTCCACTTCGGCCCATTTAGACAAACCAGAAAAGTCATATATTCCAGTGTCCCGTTCTCTTATGCGTAAATGAATCTCTGTTAAGAAATCTGGATATTGTTTGGAAGAATCAAGTTCTAGTGCCTTGACGACATGTCCTCTAGCCTCTTCGAATTGTTCCAGTCCAAAGGCAGCCTGAGCAGCTGAATATTCAGCACTAGCTTTATAAGTCCGTGATGATTCCGGATTATTTAATACAAATAGCGAATCATCGTAAGCAGCGCCATACAGCCTCATCCGTATTTTAGTTGCTGCCCGACTCAGGATAATTGGAATTCTCTCCACTTCATCTTGTGACACTTCGATACCACGACTATAGGCTTCCAGTGCTAGCACATATAGCCTGTGTTCGTAAAACCGAGCGCCTATTTCCTGCCACTCTACAGCAGTCTTGGTCCCAGATATAAATGGCATTGCACCTGATAACCAATTCACGTCGTTTAAAATTGGATGTTCCGGATTCTTGAAAAAGAAGATGTCACCAGGGGAGCCTACTCGAATGTAGTCTTGAACGTTGGAGACGGTCAAAGGTTCTACATTGAAAAACAAGAGTGGTTAGGCGATCGCTCACCTAGAGAGTCGGATGTGTCTCCAATACCTCTAACTACCACAAACAGTCCTACTGGCATGATGAAGTCCAGCTCTTCAAAATTCAAAGTGCTCAGAAAAGGATAATTGCTAAGAACGATCTTGGTGCATCCCCCGTGCTCGTCTTCCACCGGTATTATGAGATTTTTCACTCCGACTAGTAGGGAAGAGATCTGATGAGTGCGAATGCCTTTCTTAACCATAAAACACAACATACACGTCCTAGCACAAACCCGTCCCACAAAATAGGTTGAATAGTGTTTTGTCGAGGCGGACATTTCCACAATGGTGACTATAGGAACAAGCTTTAGATTTCAAGCAGATTTACAAAAGCTGTTGAATGACGTTGTAAGTATACTTCGTTTCAGCTCCTCAAAGTTTCGCGTGGAAGGCGGATTGTTGGATGAGGGTTCGTGACCATCGTCGGATACGAGATCAGCATTCAATCTGGCCTCATCGGAAGTGGGAAACGATGAACGAGCAATTGGCACCAGCGGAGATGGTGTGTCGTCACTGTGAATGGAAGTCGGTGGTCCACTTTCCGACAGCTAAAAGGCACGATGACACATGAGAATCGTGCTTTAAAAGTAATTTTACACGTCGAAATGTCGGATTTCGATTACTATACCGATGGTTTTGGATCTCCTTCATGAGCCTCGACATTGTGGATCATTGGAGGATCTAAGCAGCAGCTTATAGGAGTAAACTAATGAGAAAGAAAGAATGATACGAGCAAACCACCATAGCTGCTTAATAAATAGGTTTTGACAGTGAACCTTGTCAGTGCGACAAAGAGGAAATGCGATGTTTGGATATGTTGTTTGCAAGTAGGGTAATATTATTGCGAGGTAAGGTATGCGGAGGTGAAAGCTGACGGAGGAGTTTGCTTCTAGCAAGGTGCCTGTGCCTATCAGACGATGCCAGACGGAATTTCACGTATCGGATTTACAACAGCAGCAAACTTTTTTCCTCGGCTGGTTCCAAAGTGGCAAATCTCAGCCAAAATCTTCCGGAACAACACACTCTCAAAAAAAACTTCTTGTTTTGATAACACTTCCGCTGTCTTATCAAGCATGCAGGATGCTCTGCTGGCCATGGACGTCGGCGTAAGCAGAGATGTGAGATGTGTTGGGCACTACTTATCTTCCAAACTTCCACTTGTTGCAAGAATTGTAGGTCGTTCTGCGCAAAACTAGACAATTAGAAACTACGCATATGGTAATTCTTTGCATAAATACAAGAGTTATTTGTGACTCTGAGGATCTTTGACTCGCCACAGACGAATATTCGCTCATCTGCGTCTACCTTGTCTGGGTCCGCTATTCAGCCAAACGAGGAAAACATAACCTGGAAGTCGTCCAAGACTTGTGAATTGAAAGTATAATACGTAGAAATTTAATTCAAGAGTGCCTGGTTCTTTTCCAGCTCGTTTTGTCCAGTCAAGTCGCTGCAACAAAAATGACCAAAAACGACGGACGAGACGAGTATCGTCTTTGACGGTCCGGATAAGATACGTAAACTGCTTCGAAGGCCTGACCTACGTGAGCACAGACAACCGAATCCAGAAGAGTGGCAAGATCCGTTGTTCAGGTTTAAGTGGGAACTTGCAAATAGACTATGTAAGCTATACTTTCATTTCATCACTGATAAGAAAAGGCTCATCAAAGAATTCAATTTTTTATATACCTGTACTATGAAAATGGGCATCGCTTCTTCTCTACAAACATCAGCAGAACAAAAAACCTGTCAACATCATTCCATCGCCTCGAAAAGCCTTTTCATTTAAAAGGCTGGAAAATGCTTTAAATCTGGGCCTGGTCCGGACCCTGATAGTCTCTACAACAATATTACTGTCTTCTCGAGCGAGAACGCACGAACTGATTCTACTCGCCATCCACCATGTGCAAAGTCATTCTCACACTTGAAGAGGAGTGAGCAACTACTCTAGACTGTCGGTGAGATCGTAATCGATGGTGGCAGAGTCTTTGAGATCTGCTGGCCACACATAACTATCATCCAGCAAACTGCAATCGAGATCGTATCTTACTCAAACAACAATGAAGCACTCGATAATGGTCTCTTTATAATCCCTACACTCGTAAATCATAGTTGCTTAGGGAATGCAACAACTTCCTACTATGGAAGCTTTGTGATCTTGAAGTCCAATACTCGTATCGAAAAACTCTCAGAAATCACGACCCAATCTCTTCCTATTTTTGCTGACTATATGGAAAAGACGAGGTTTCATGATACGAATTGACGCTTCACATGTTAGATGTGTGGATGACGAGACGGACTCGATTGTCGGAAAGGCTCTTCGTACAAGGGTATTCGAAGAGAGCTTGCAGGTAGATCCACCAAATGATAAACGCAAACTCGCTGCCTTCATATCTGAATGCAAACATAAAGCTGAGGCAATCAATTCGACGTATTCCAGCTCCTGCACATCCCCTCGCCTAACTCTCGTATACGCATATAAAATGTTGGCGGAAGCATGCTTCGAATACGGGTCATTGCATGGCAAAGTCAATCCAACTATGCTGGAAGATTGTATCAAATAAGCAAAGATGCAGTTTGAAGCTTTGGGAGGTATCATGAAGATAGAAAAGAAGAAGTCTGGTGATTTAGACATGAAGATCGAAAGTGCACCTCTATTAGAAGCGTTGGTGTCTGTCTGTGTATTCATCTGTGCTGCTCGAAGGTAAGCAGGGTGGCAAGGCAGTGGGACCTTCTGATTGATTGACTTATCGCTGTTGCACACTCTAGTAACATTTTACTCGAATATCCCAACATGGCTAAAGCTTGGGTTCGGGGAGCTTACACGCTCTTCAAATTGGAGATTGTGAAAGTGAAGACTTCTTCATCGCATAGTACAAAGGTTTTTGAACCCGATGAATCTCATACATATATTTGAATCAAAACCATTTGGTGCTTGATATTCTATAGTGTGTTGTAGTATAGCACGCGAAACATAAAACTACATGCTTCAAAATCAATTTCAAGTTCATTTTCAAGTACAATTTTAACCAAATTTTAAAAATTTGTTTTCAAAATAGGACAACCGGAAGACTGAATTACAACTTTACACTCAAGGTTTCTTGCACTCGTCGTCTGCCGCCATCAATCTTCCTTCGATCTACGGTGAAGGTATCGATTTCGTCGTCGTTGGGCACTTGTACGAGATCCTTACAACACAAAGAAAGTGAGTTATAATATCCACAGTTGCATACGCATGTCATCAGACACATACCTCGACATCATCCAAATCCAGGAACTCCATCACCGAGTCAAACCCAAACGGTCTAGGAGCAACCTTGTAAAAGAATGGCGAGTGAGAGAACTTGAGAGCGGGCTTGATTAGCATCAGTTCAGCTCCTAAAAGAGTGCATGAAGTGTTTTAGAACTCTAGTGTTTCAACCAACTTTGCAAGAAAACCATACCGCCATTTGGATGATCATGAGACGTAAAGTGAGAATCCTTGATCCTGTAAAAGTGAGCTGGGTTCCAAGACGGCTTATGTGCTCTAAACAATTGTTCTTGGAATCTGATTGTGTAGGAATACGTTCCAGCACCATGAGGATCACTGAATACAGCACGTATTTTTTCTGGTTGATACCTATAAGATCGAAACGGTTAAAAATCACAACTTTACAGACTTTTCTTGGTGATTGAAGTCGTCGTTCACTCACTTGTTCCAAGCCTCTTCAACAAGCTCAGCAGGATGTGTACCATAAGATTGCAACAGAAGACCGGCTTGTAGTAGACTTGATTGCACAAGATAGGAGCCCCCATTTGCTGCTCTCAGTCGCAAAGCATGCAACATTCCCAAGAATAAAAGGTGACCACCAGATACGTCCAAGATTTGGAATGGGATCAAGCTAGGCTTGTTAGGATCCACAGGTCCTTCGTATCTGTGATGTTTGCCATGGGCAACTGCTAATCCGCACAGGGGCTGGATGATCTGATCGTATCCAGGAATGTTCATATACGCGCCTATAAACCAATTCCTTAGATTTTCAGAAAAAGACATGATAACACTGCTTCATGGAAACTGTTTCATACCTTCATGGCCTGCAGAGTTTCCTCTTACGTAGATGATGCCCTTTTTACGATTTTTGACCATATCTAACACATCGTCTAGACTCAATCCACTGCGTTCCATGACACCCGGTGAGTTATTCTCGATAATTACGTCAGCCTCCTCAACGAGCTTCCTCAAGATGTCCTTTTGGGATTTGAGGTCGATAAAGACACATCGTTTGCCTTGGTTGGAAGACCATCCGAAGTAGGTCCTAAAGCTCCAATGTCAGTAATGATTTTTTGCTTTCACCACACCACTTGCGAGAGGACTCACTCGTCCAAAGCAGCACTAGTTGCTCGAATCACATTAGCACCCATTGCGGTTGCCAATCCGCCTGATACAGGACCAAAGACGAATCGGGATAGTTCCAAGATCCTGTTTGAGAGGAATGCGTTTGCCGTCAGAAATACACACACAAACTAAACTTTCAAACTTACTTGATTCCAGCCAGCAATCCGTCCTTAGATCTCTTCAAAGGAGAGAACGGTTGAGGAGCCCATTTCTCATTTTCGGCCTTAGTAACACGTATAGGAGGCCACTTAGAAGCCAGTTGTCCATGTGACGACTGTAACAGCTCTTCCAGACTACGAAATCCGACAGCTGCGCCGACATTACTCTTGAACAAGTGCTGTTCTAGCTCATACACATTCCATGTCTCAAATTGCCTTTCAACCGCGTCCAAGTAGTTAATTTGTTCTTCTTCATCGTCAGAGATGGCCCATTCACACAACTGTTTTACTTTGTCGGCCGAGAATCCTAATGCCTGCAGAGCAATCTCTGGTGTATCGGTCAATCTGGGTGAAGTCATGATATATCCATCTTTGCATTTGAATGATGAACTCCACTGATTTGCCCATCGCGATTTGAGCTTCATTACTGGGTCAAGGTTTAGAGTCGCACGATTACGTGCGATGAGTCCAGCCATTCCGTAACCATCACAGCCGTTTATAAAGTGGTTTCCACAGGTGAGTGTAGCTTGGTCAGTGTTTATAGACACATCTTGGGTAAATCCAAGCCTGTCTCGTGAGATCAGATTGGCAATCACAGAAATGGCAATATTTAAACCTAATTTCAATAATATTTAACTTAGCGATGCGTGGAACGGTTCTCATGGATTGTTGACAAACTCACCAGTGATGTACTCGGTTACTTTAAACGGGGTAGGAAGGAAGGGCTTATCATCCGTTCCAGATATCTCGACAGCGCTGACAAGATCATTTACGTCTCGATGGTTGTAGCCCAGTTTTTTCAAAATGTCGAGAGCAATGTAACGTGATTCGTCATGTAAAGAGACCATATCTGTATAAAAGTACAAAAATGGCTGTAAGATAAAAGAAAGCTCAAGTTCGTGGCGTCTAATACGGGAAATTTGTTGGTTGCATGAATGTAACTCACTGTCACAACCAAAACACAAGAGGTCGTGGTGTTTCACAAGGGATGTATGCGACTTTCGGATGGATCCTAATATTGCAGGATACTCTAGCTCTTGAAGAATCACGTGCAGATTCTACGTATGAGCGATCGCAGACTGAAACAGCCTTGTTTTTGTGTTTGAGCAATTGTGCTGTTGTTTCTTGTCTTGAGCACAGGACCCTATGCCACCAGCCTGAAATGGTTTTGCTCAAGTTTCAGGTTGATCCAGATATCGACCGCCCAGATTTCTTTCGCGAAAGCACAGTGTTAGTAGCAAAATGAGAAGCTTTTTTTTTATTGATAAATGTCACAGAGTCTACTAATATGTTTTCTGTTGTAGTATAAAAACGTGTATGATTCACACTCATCTACACTCCCTCTCCTTACGAGAACGTGAATGACTCGCACTCCTTCTCGTAATCCTGTGGTATCATATCATTCATGACCTTGTTGAATGCTTCAAGGGTACATAGAGATGTATCACCATTGCTATGGTGATTGCCAGAAGTTTGACACTGTGGTATTTTTTGTGGTTGTCCTTGGTATAACACCCGGACGAAATGTTCTTGTGTTTTCTTCTTTTCTTCTGCAAAGAGCTCCAGAGTCATCTAAGAATCAGACATGTTAGTAATGTAAGCACGCTATGTCTGCAAGATACTGTGCGTCTTTGGCCATTAAGTCGTACCATGCAAGAGAATGGTGGGTATCGTCCATCAAAAACTCTAAACGCCGAAAGCAGGGGTCCAACTGTAGAATCGTGCCCAGAAAAGACTAACGCCGAACAGATGGTTAGAAGGGACGGGGTTCAAAACACTACACGGTATACAAACGGCATCTATTCTCACCTGCCAGCTTCACAGAATCCTTATTGTTCTGCACGTTGTCGTCAATCTTGTCCTTCAAATCCTTGACTAATCGCCCAATCGACAGTCTCGCAATATCTGGCTGCTCAAAAACGTTCCACCAATATTTAACAGTCATCTGCAACAGGATGATGGTGTTACGACAACTTTCCTGTAATGCCAAACTCCAAATTCACAGACCTGTTCCAAATCAAGCATATCTTTCTGCGATACACCTGGTGGAAGTGGAACGCCGTGGGCATCCATGCAAATGAAAGTGTCTGGGGTCAATCACAAACGGTGAGTAAAACGACATGTCGGCAAGTCGCTCTTTCAACAAACTTTACCGTAAAGCGAATGAAGGTATCGTAAATCAACGTGCTTTGAATCATCTGGAGATCCAAAACGCTCGAATCTCGACAAGAGCTTGTCAATTTCTTTGGCATCACCGAGCATCAGTTTGGTCCTGAAGTCTCTAGTCAGTTTCGAGAGATACCGACAGTCGTACATTGGATACATGTTCTCATCCGATCTCATATTCACTTTGAGATCAATATCGCCCTCTCGTTTGTCTTGTGGGTATAGACCATTCAATAAATATTGTAGAGATTCCAGGGTTCGTGCGTAATCAGTTGATCGAAGATAAATATCCTTGTAGTGTCGTGAATCGATTATAGGATTTACGAGTTTCAGCTTGTCGATATACAGTTTCCTCATATTTACACCCATAGTTTGCAAGGACATCTTGCCCGTGTCCGTTAACTTGGATTTAAAGAATATTAGGCAATTGTTTGTTTTGCGAGGCAAGGAAGACTCTACCTGTCCGTAAAAACATTGCCCGTCAGTGGTGACTTCTCCCATACTTTTGAGAGAGAAAAGAAAATTAGGCTTTTGTCCTTCAAACACCTAGATGAAAGCATTATTCATACAGGAATGAGTATAATGGCAGCACAGAACATAATTAACATGTGCTCACAATTTTCGAGAATGCTGGCAAGCTTTCATGAACTTGATGGTCCAACAGAGGAGTTTTGGTATCATTTGATTCCAGTGCATAGTACACTGCGTGAATGAATGGAGTCAAATGGCATTTTTTAAATGCGTCACTCGGCCAGTGGTCCTTGAGGTCTCTCGAAACGGGACTTCGTTCACCTAGAATGTTTGATGTGTCAGAGTTTTAGCAGATTAAAGCAAGCCAGGAAAAGGAAAACGAAAACACAACATTATGAACTCAGACTGAAAGATATCGATGGCAAAACCACCAATGGTACCCACCGTGTCTGTGGATTACTTGGACGAGCTTTAGCTTCAGTGAAGCCGGGTATAGTCTAGAGAGTTCAGCATCATCTGGTATCGGGAAGACCATTTCATGAAATGCCTGTAATTATCCAGTCGTTCTAGCCTCGTCGATTCAATCTTTGGTTCTGAATGAAAGTCTGACGTGTTTGAATGTTTGAATTGTTTGTGACTTTGACCTTGATCTTAGGGACGCGCCTGTACAAAACGAAAAATTATAGAGTGACGATCAAAAAATCACATCGCTCTCCTCGCTTCGACATATAAGCTATGTTTAGACTCAACACGTCACCAGCATCCTCCCCTTCAGTGTATGCTATATTTCATGAACAACTGTACAAAGTGTCTTTATATATGAGAATTGCAATAAATCATCTTTTCCCTTCTCGAAATAGCCTCAATCAATCATCATGGCATCGGCTAAAAGACAAACAAGTCAACACACAAATCCCAAGCCAAGTCCTTCAATTTCCACTGCTTACCCTTGTCTGGACTTTCATCAACGACACCTTCTTCTTCCTCCTCATCACCAGGTGGATCATCCTCGGTCTGCATCATCACAACACCATCAGCAGTGTCCTTCAACATGGCCTGGAAGTCATACAATGCAGCAACGGACGTGACATACTGTTTCCTCCTCAACTCCCATCTCACATCAAACACTCGAGCTTCTTCGTTCAATTCATCTATATCACGTTTGTGTTGAGCGATTCGCCTATTTGTTAGGAGTTAGTGTGTGTGAGATGTTTGGTAGGTGCTTTTTTGCGAGTACAGCTACGCGAGTATAGCTTCAACGCTTATTCTTACTTGACCATCTCATCTCGACTCTTTAGAGCTAGAGCTTGCTTGGCAAGTTCTTCATAGACGAGTTTGTTGGCTCGCAATTGTTGTGCTTCCACCAATTTCGTCTTGAGAGCCTCGATGTCACTCGTCACCTCAGCCATCTCGCGTTCTAAGTACAGTGTTCAAATAAAGATTTAAACAATCAGCGAGACTAGAGGATCAGGTTTGGCTAACTCGACATACCAATCCTGCTCTCTTCTCTGTGATATTCAGCCACCTCCTGTCGATTCATCTCATCCACGAGTTCATGTTTGTTAATATGTATCTGAAGAGCTCGCACTCCCAATTGGAATTGCAGTAGATTGTTCCTCCTAGAAAATGAGTGATGTTAATGTTGTGAAGTGTTGCAAGGGTTGACAAATACTCCAATACGTACGCAGCATCAGGAGCACTGGTTGATAGCATCTTTTGGAATTGCTTGGATGCCCTCCTCAGCGGCCTCATATCCAATATCGTTTTCATCCTCACTGCCGATTCTGTTTTGATAAAAGTCAATCAAATTATCTATTTACATTGGAACAGGCTCAAGTAAGAAGAAAGTCGTTGATTTTAGTTACCTTCTATTGCATTCTGCTGTGGCATCGTGAGAGTATTCATCGTTTGGTCCATTGTAGGTTCTTACTCGCAACTTGTTTTTTTGAAAGACTTAAGTCGAGATCTAGACCAAGGGACATACGGAACGTGACAAAAGCCACCATCAATATTATCCAAATATTTGACTTTGCAACAATATGCCTTACTTATCCTATGGAGATGTTCAGCTCAGTCGTGACGTGAGGCAACATTTGGAATGTTTTCGTGTTTCTCCACTTTGACGCTGATCGCCTCGATTTTTCTCAGGATGTTGAGCTATTGAAGGCACCCAACTGGATCAATGACTCTTTGATTGAATGTGAGCTTTTTGAGCTGACATGTGTCTTGCTACATAAAAGATCTAAACGCTTCGATGCGAAGCTAACTCTGATCTGATACTCTTTCAGTCTACTACGAATATTTGGAACGAGAACTGTTCCCAACGTCATCTGGCATCTGCTTCTTGAGACCTGCTCTCGTCCAACTAATCGCTCATCAAGAAGGTACTTCACAGATATCTGATCTTTTGCCAGTTGAGCAAAAAATCACATTCCAGAACTTTTCCTCAAATCCGCATTATCAGAATCTTTATGTGCTGGAGATATGTTCTCACTTCTATCAATAGATCCTACTCAGTTGAAACATGCTCTGCCAACTGACTTGCAACACCAGAGAGCCATATTTTGTCCCTTAACCGACGTGACAGATAATTCTGCTGGGGGCTCTCATTGGTCACTACTGGTATTCTTTCGGGACACCAACACATTCTACTATTATGACTCTTATGGAAACTACAACGTACCTTCAGCCAAGTACAAGCTCGCAAAGTTGTACGCTGCATTCACGAATGATACCTCCTCAGCACCTGCTTTTGCTGAAGTGACTACTCCTTCTCAAATCAATGGTATCATCACATTGTTTCTCCTCTTCATCAATACAGCTCATGAACAACTTTTTTTGCTTTAGGATATGATTGTGGTTGTTATGTATTAGCTATTTCGGACATTTTAGCGAAGCGTCTCCACAGTGTCTTCTCAAGCAGGAAGTCAGTTGAGGTAACTGGGAAACCGGGGGATTTAGCTCAGTGGAATATCAGTAAATTGCTGCCGCCTGAGGAGATTCATCAGTAAGTGTACTATTCGAAAAACAAAAAAGCCAATACAATAGGAACGTGGGAAGCACACTCCGTGTTGCTGAATGACTGACTTGTACTAAGTCAATCTTTTTGATTCTCATAGGTATCGAGAACGCGTTCGCCAGCTCATTGAAGAATTGCGCAACTAAAACCCCCATACTCGTATAAATTGACTCTTGCTGTAAATAGAGTGCATTTGGATACCACAAAATCTATAAATATGCTCGTCTACTGCTGTCTATCCTTCATATGAATCTCTGAGAATAGAAATTCGCAAGAGCGTAAAACCCGAACACTTCACTTTCAACAGAGTCTAGAGCATGACCCGTATCTGGAAACATCAACACCGTCACATCAACATTGCGACCTTTGAGATACTGGGACCACCGAAGTCCTTCTGATGGTGGAACGCGACGGTCTCCTTCTCCCAACAACAAAAGGACGGGTCCTTTGACATTTGCAGCTACCGACACTGGTGACTTGTTATACATAGTTGTGTAGTCTGTTGAGAGAAAAGGCAGTTATTGGCAGAAGCGCGAAAAATGGGCTCCAAAAACATTATTGATACCTGCAGATGAAAGGACGGGAGGCGTCTCAAACACAAATGATACTCCACTTTCAGCAAATGTCCAGTCCGGGATATCAGTGTTCGCGTACATGGCTGTTGAAGTAACAACAACCATATCAAGAAAATGATCAATGCAATAACATGCAATTAACACATAATTCCCACTCACCTCCGACATTGATAACGGGATTTCTCAACACTCCACATCTGTAAACGTCGGGATATAAACCAAGCAGATGAGCAGTCAAGAATCCTCCATGACTACCACCCAGCAGAGCCATCTTTCCACCCCCATCTTTGATCAAGGCTTGAGTCACTTGATGAACATCCTCAACATCCGTTTCTCCAACTTTGCCGATCAAGGCCTGAATACTCTCCTCTCCATAACCGACTGAACCTGTGTAATTCACCTGTTTGCACAATTAATTGATTGAGAAATTCTTTCTCAAAAAAAATGTCTACATTAGTGAAGCATACCAAAGCAAGAGAATATCCTAGCAAGCAGAGACAAACACAATACAAACTCCAATCTGTCGTGAATGCTGAATGTGGCCCTCCATGCGGATATACGATGGTTCCTTTCGATGTGGCTTGCTTGGGTGATACGAGTATATAGTCCAGATTTTTGTGAAGCGTCACTGTCGAAAATACGACATTTTCCAAAACATCTTGACCAGGGACACTTGGCTCTGAGAGAAGAGACCAACAAGGCTTGCTTATGACACAATCGGTAGGGCAGACGTACTAGAACCAAAAAAAAACCCGTGTTGAGGTAATTCCATGCGTACGTCAAAACGAAGTTATGTGTCGGTTCTTACAACTTTGTTTAGTGAATTGAGAGAGCTTGCAGTTGCAACCACCAATCCTTTGGACACAGTCAGCATTTGCCAGGAGTCACCTCTGCTTCCTAAAAAGTGGGGCTTAATATAAAGGCCAAAAACAAACATACAATTTGAAACATTACCTGTGTCCAGTTTTACGACTTTTCCTGATTCAACGTCAATAGCCACCATAACGAGCTGACAGCGTGCTATCGTAGTACACAACAAGTATGTCGTATCTTTGACGACAGCAAAACAGGCAGTTGACAGTTTGTCCAAATACAATCCAGGTATCTCATCAGTCAAAGGTTTCATATCCACTAATAATTGTGCTGATCCAACTTTGCCATCAACCAAATTACTTTTCATGATCCTACAAGTCGAATTGTGTGGTCCCCCGACTCGATTTGATATGTAGATTAGGTGCTTTCGATCAGGTGTTATTCGCGGGTATCGAGCATTAAAGCCGGACGGAGTCGACAGCGTCTCAATCTCTTGCGACGAGATAGATATCGTAGCAAGGTTCATAATACGATTAGTGCAAAATCGAATGCCATAGTTTATAGGTTGAGTTGGCACTTGCAAATAAAGCAGCTTGTCGTTGTCCAGAAACAGAGGCTACAATGAAATTATCAGTCATTGATCATATTAAGAAGCGTGTAGCAGCCATACTTGACCAACTGCGCATGGTGAGAGCCGAACTTGGACCTCACAAGATGGGAGAGTGATGACGACAATCACTGGAGGTGCCTTCTTTGTATATCCTTCGCCAAAATCAGGCTCGTATGCAAATTTCTGAAAGCCGTCAGTTGACCTGTTCTTCTCAGCTACATATGCGATGTGGTGCTCGTCCGGCGACCACGAGAGAGCACCAAAGGTCTCTAAATTTTCTGACGTAAGAAAAGGTAGAGCATTTGACTTGTAAATTCGCATTTCACCGTCATTGTAAAATTCTCCATGACGGTCAGTAACGTCGATTTGGTGAAGCATTGACGTCTTGTTGAAAATCTATCGTGAGGGAAGTGGATGAGACATCTTGAAAGCCAGACCGCAAGAAAATTCAAAAATTATAATTTTACCTCAATAAAGCGCTTCTTCTTAGAGTCCTTCTCGACGATACTTCGTGCGCAACACAAAAGTCCAGAAGTTGATGTTGACTCCAGCGAGACATTTTCCACATCTACCGGATATCCAGACGTGGCATTCTCGAGTTTCCCATCAGCAGAAAGTGTAGCACTGAGTACGGTTTGGAATTTCCGTTTGACTTTGCGTTCAATATCACGAATTGTCGAAGTCAAGCTTATCGTGATGCCTGATCCATTAGAATTGGTGATGACGGATGCGGCCGAATACGATGGGATGCTCGCGAATTGAGTGAAAAGCAGTACTGCTTCATCATGTTGATTGGACATGGCTGCAGTTGGAAATGTGTGTTGAAGAATCAAGACGCAGACCTGACAGCATGGTTTATTACACGGCCCAGACTTGCTGCATTTAATCGCATGTACTGGAAAATTGGAATCTAGCTTCTGATGGCTCCATTTGGAAACTTTTCAGCACTTTTCCTACGTACATTTGATCTTTTTCGTGGCATGTTGAATTTGACAGCATGAAGTCAAATGATTAGTTACTTTAAACGAGTAAAGCTTTTCATTGATTCGTTTGAAGGAGAAACTGCTCCTTCGTGGTAGTGATTGCCGACATACTCACAAAAGCCAGGCAGCTATGTATTTGAAGAAAAAAACTGGGATTGCTCATTTTCCAGCAACTGAATCTTTCAGGGCAAGTACCATAATTTTTCATTGTTGCATGTGAAATGGAATGGGATGAGGTGCTTTGTAGCCATAAGGGACGAGATACAGCTTGGTTCTCCCTATATTTTTGGTCGAGGACTCCTTTGTCATCTTGCAAGCTGATACGGAGGCGCAACCGATTGAATGACACCATACGAAAGCCTGTAGATTAATGAATCCTTTGACGCTGACTCGTCACAAAGCCTTTAGGTAAGTTTTCTCGACTGCTGTTTAAATTGTCAATTCGTTTCTAAAATGGAAAGATGCCCACTATGTCACGAGAGACTCGCTCGCGAGTCGTTGAATCGAATACTCTAAGAAGTTCTGACCTTTTGATGAAACATGCCGTTGAGAACAAAGAAAAAGACCAAAGGCCAACTTTTGACTAATACCGTTCTTTGGTTTAGGTGCGTCTTTTCGCGTCGGTTCTTGACCCTGGTTGTCCAAAACAAGGTAAGCAACAAAACTCATGAATACTGCACTTTGACGCTCGATGATGACTCCTACATCCAATCTGTCAATCACCTGAAACTAAATGTTGATAACGGAATGCCAAACGCTTCTGCTTCTGAGAGCTAATGAAAATAACTTGTCTCTAATTGATCCGAATGTCAGGAGGGCTGGTTACTGATGCAAATTGTTACTTTAGGAAGTTCTGCAAGTAGGATGGTGAGGATGATTGGTAGTTGCTTGGTAGTTGTGTTCTTGAAAGTCACAGTCATGGCTTGTACCGTACCTGTGAGCTCAAAAATAGAAAGCAATATACTTGAATAGTTGTTGATAGTTCGAGCAGCTTTTTACCTCAAGAGTCGTGGCATTCAGTTGTACGCCATGGACTTTGAATTTTTTGACGCAGATCCGTAGCGACTAAGCTTGAAAGCGAAAACACCTTCCAAGGATGAGAAGGTGCTACAATGTACCATCTAACAAAATCGAGTTCTGCGTCCTTCATATTATTTGGGTGAGATGTACTGCAGCTTTTAAGCAGATTGTCAACAATTTTAGACAAGAACAGGCCAGCTTCAATGGTGTAGGGGTATCATGCATCGTTGCCATACAATATGTGGTTAATTTCGATGCGACACGAGTTCAAATCTCGTTTGAAGCATTTTTGATAAGGCGAGAAAATCAGCTTTTGCGGTGATACTCAGCTTTTTTTAAGTGATGCAAAAAATGTATTTTAAAGCGATCTATAGCAATAATCTACACCAAAAAGCAGCACCTCTAAATTCATAGACCCCAAATAGGATCCCCCAAACGACGACGACCGACAAGTTGTCGCGCAATACCCTTCATGATACAGAATCCAACACGGCGGAAGACAAAGTTCTGAGCAACTATACCCCGAGCAGATTGCGCGTTGGAGGCATGTGGCACTTTTTTCATTTATCGTGTAGTCCTTCCGCTTAAATAGACACTACTGTCCCAACAAATTCAATGTTCCTTACATATTAGATCTTAAATATTAGATATATACTGAAGCCAATTACAAAGCAACATATATTAACTACAAAGAAAGCTAGGAATAGGAATGCCTAAACACCATTCGGAAGCAATTCCATATAAGACGAGCGCCTGACTATGTCAGCAGCAGCGTTCATCGTTTTTACGTAACAGCCAGAACCAAAGATACCCTCCCAATTGAACCACGTCATTTCGCCTATGGCTCTTCCAAGAAATCCAATCTTAAAGCCCCTCCAGTTTCTATCTTTGATTGCTTCAAACAGGTTTTCAGCATTGCAGCGAGAACCCTTTATAGTCAGTCGTTTAACATTTGGACCTGTGCATTTAATGATTTGAGTGATAGCACCAACTAAATACCAACAAAAGGCCGATTAGAAATCTCATTTAATGGCTACAAAGTATAAATGGATATACACACCTGGGATGGAAGTCATTGATAAAGTTTCGAGACTTGTACACTGCGCCAAGATGCCAAAGTCAAAACCAGCGGCCTCGCGTACATCCAGATCCAGAGCTTTTAACTGCCCTCCATGAGATTTCAACCATTTGACACACCCACAGGAAGCCGAAGCTTCTCTCAACAACGTCAAACTCTGAAGTACGGGAAATGCAGACAAAGCGAGTACAGGGCGAGTAAACAAATGTATACATAGCAATGACTTCAATGTTGTGCTAGCATTTGTGACTGTATCGGTCATTTCTTGAGACGACATAGAGCCGTCACACGAGATCTTGGTCAGTCCAACTAAAATTCACATGTGGTTCTGATTCAGACAACATCTCTCAATATCTGCTTCACTGCAAGGTACTACCTCCAAAGTTCTGTGGTATAGTCAATGGTTCCAAATTCACAGATTTCATAGAGATTTCCTTCAGTCCTTCCAACCTCGACAACCAATTGAGGGGAGCAGCAACAACCTTCCAGCTCGTTATATCTAGTGTTTCCAGAGACGTAGCTGAAGATTCCAATAAGTTGAGTATAATACAGCTGGCGAATTCTGTTGAGCCCGCGAGGCCTTTAGAGTCAAAAGTTTTGAGCTTCCATTCCGAAAGCATCGAAAAGAACTCAACAGGTGGCAAATCCTCATAATATGGGATCTGTCCATCATCAAGATTCAAGCTAAACGATACAGTTTCAATATTTGGCAATCGTCTAGCTACAGCCTTCCATACGTCAACATCACGAGCATTAGCTAGCAGATATCGTTGTGTTCCCTTTGGACGTCGGAGTGCAGAGGCGTCCCTCACCGCCAAACTTTTCAAGTTGAGGTTGGCAGGTATTTTCAATAATAAAGCAAGATATTTCAGATCGATAGTCAAAGACTGCAGTCCAGTACACCGTTCCAAGTGTTTGAAGACAAAGTCGACAACTGTCAAATTCCTGATGAGGTTGAAGGCGTTTTGACGATACATAGATTCCGTTTCAGACTCCGTAGCCATATCGTTGAGTCCATGTACTAGGAGTATTCGATTTTTATCTACAGCAGCTACATTCCTGTATAGATCCGGAAGCAAAAGGGCATTGAATCTCTTGTTGACCAATGTCAGGCTGTATAATTCAGACAGAGATACTGAATGAAGAGAAATTAAGGGAAAGTTATTAAACGTCTCAGAAGTTGAATTCGTTGATACTTTTGATTAGGGGCTGTGTCGCATTCATAAGATTTTCGACGACCAAACATTCCAAAAATTTGAATCTCGAATCTCGATATTGAAACTACCCCGAGACTTACCATCTCGCTTCATGTTCTTGCCTCGAGGAGCCAGAATCTGTAACAAGATCTCATTCGGCAGATGTAAAAGCGTCGTGTGGTCTGCCATTCTACACCTAGTCGCGAAGTACGAACGCAAGAGGTCAAATTCAAATAGTCAGTATATGCTCGTGCACCAGGCTCGTGCAAAAGATACAGGAAGCTATGAGTTTGCGTATTACGTATACCACAAGTGACAGATGAGCTAATACGCCAGCAAAGCTATAACATCAAAGTTTTCGGTCGTTTCAATACCAACAGATCAATATACTCCGGCCCGACAGCAAACATATCTTCAATCTTTGCGTCTCCGGCATATTCACCATCTGTCTCAGCATTCACAAACGCCACATAGTGCTTGGTGATGAAGCTGTCATTTCGAGCACCAGCAAACATGTCTTCAATCTTTGCGTCTCCGGCATACTCACCATCTGTCTCGGCATTCACAAATGCCAAATAGTGCTTGATGATAATGCTGTCATTTCGAGCACCAGCAAATGTGTGGTCAAAAAAGACGTTGAACGTGTACGAAGGACTGATTTCAATCGTTCGTTCAGCTACAGGAGTGGCTGCATGCTTTCCTTTTCCATTGACGTCCTCACCCAAGTATATTAACCGTGCTTTTGGGTTGACTTTAGGTCGTTTCGAGTGACAGTGTAGAAGCTGAGACTTGAGGTCATCTAGTTCGGCCCATACGATGTCACTGAGATCTGTAGTGAAATGAAAATAAGAGCAGGTCGAACGATGCAACAAAAAAATTGGGAGACGTTACCGAAAAGACGCAGGGCATCTGAACCTTCTTCCAATACCCTTGAAACCACACTCCTTTTCACTTCAAGACGAAAATGTCCTTCACCGTTATTTCTCACGTACTGGAATGCTTTGACACCAGTTTGAATCACCTCAGGATCCTTAGTAGCAAATGTCAAACAATTTTGGGAAGAATGCGTCTGTTACGAGAGATTCACCCATGTCATACCGGGAACTGATTCTTACTTGTAATGTTGCCGTAACGTCTTCAATACAGCATGCAGATCCACCTTCTGCATGTCAAAAGGCGTGATGGATGGCGGTATCAACACACCATTTTCCCATTCACTTTTGCTACGGTGATGACAGACAGTAACTCCTGATTCAGAATCCTGGTTGCAGAGCCAATGATTTCACAAGACTGCTGCTGAGATATGGTATCTGCTTCCGCAAGAGATCTTTTGCGAGCGACAATCAGTATGGATGCCAAAAATAGGTCGCATGAGTTCTTAGCTGCTATGACTTTTCATCCAATACAAACAGATGCATTACCATTTTGAGACTCAGTAAGAATCGGCGGCTGCTTGTGCTCCTCCTTTTCCACGATAATGATAGTAGCTGGCTCAACGTCAGCTGCAGATTTGCAGTCAACGACGGAATCAATGTTTCGGACACAGCACTCGAAGATGACTGCATCGATGCTTCATATACAGCATAGAGTAGCTTGACTGCTTCATGATCAGTTTAACGACGACAACCATAGCAATAAGCCAAGTCAAAACACATATTGTGGCAGTTCACTTGACAGTCCGAGCTTTAGTCGTCATGCTGCTCACCTTGAGTGTCCTTCACGCTTCTTGAAGCTGATATACCAGAGCGGGTTTCCTGTTGTGTCCTTCAAGCCCTTCTTCGAGCTCGAAATCTCGGGGTCCAAAGCCAGTTGTGCTGCCTCCTGCATGCGATGTTCAATGTGATCATATCAAGATCGGACTACTGGTTGACTTCTACTCATTGTTGGTACCTTATGGAGATAACGTATAGTTAGATTTGGATGAAACTCGGAAACATGTGTTTGATGTCAACGAGATTCCTCGACTTTCACGTAACAAGCGGATTATTCCGAGGCTGCAAAACGGTTTTGATGAATGAGAGAGAAATTTTCATTAACTAATTTACCAGCTCGGAATTCGGAATGTGATGAATTCGAGCTGGACTCGCAACTTGAAATCACCAACTTCATCACAAGATTACTAGTTAGAGGGATAAGGATGGAGCCAACTGCCATCCCGGAGATATCATCCACCGGCCTCTGAATACCCGAGATTGATGCTTCAGTTTCGTCGGAAAGGGCCTTCCAAGACAGGATGTTTGAGCTTGACGATTTTCTTATTTCCGTACAGCAAAACGCAGGCAAGATAGGGTCGCTGGAACGCATCGACGTGATGTATCATACCATATACTGGGCGCTTGGAATCCAGCTTCTGATGGCATCATTTCGAGGCCTGTCGCCATTAAGCCAAATACATTTGATTTCTTTTGGTCGCTTCGGTTCGATGAGTTACTGGAGGGCAGTTAAGCCTATTCAGTGACGCACATTGTCGAAGGATCATCTTGTTTGCATTGGTGATTTCAAACGTCTTCGTCCGACGTTTGTTACATCTCATCAGGGAAGAAAAAAAGCGGATTTCTCTCTTGCACCATCGAATCTTTCAAGGCAAGTACCAAAACGCTTCATGACTGCATGAGCAATGGAAAGGATGATGTACTTTGTAATCATAAGGGATGATGTTGCGTCGTTTTGCAACTTGGTACTCCCATTTTTGTGGTCGAGGACCATCTTGTCATCCCGCAAGTTGATGCGAAGGCGTAACTGATTCCATGAAATGATATGAAAAGTTTTTGGTTCATTAATTGACGGTGAGTCTTTGAAGCTAACCGTTCACATCCAAACTACTAGGTATGTTTTGCTTCCACTGAAATTAATCAAAGCATGGTGGGAAAGGAAAGATGCCAACTTTATCACGAGAGACTCGTTCGCGAGTCGGTGAATCGAATACTCTAAGAAGTTCTGACCTTAAATGAATTTGCTATTGCAAAAAAAAAGAAAAACTATATGGATTTCAAAATGACCTATTTCATATCATTAGTTTAGACATTTCACTCTCTTTACATTTGGATATACGCACGAGGTAAGCCAAAACTCCAACGAATATTGTTGTTATCGCTCGGTGATGACTCCTACATCCAATCTGTCAATCACCTGAAACAATATGTTGATAACGGACTGCCAAACGCTTCTGCTTCTGAGAGCAAATGAAAAAAAGATTCCGTGTCCAATGACCTGATTGTAAGGATGGTTATTGAAACAAACTTGTTTCTCCTAGGGTGTGCGCGTGCTGGAGGGACGACGCTAGTAGTTCGGCTTAAAGTCACAATTGTGACTTGTACTGTGTGAGCCCATAAATAGAAAACATAATCCTTGAATAGTCGCTGAAAGTTCGTGGTGCTTGGTTTCTTAGAGCTCTGTTGCCATTAATTTTGTGACGCAGATCTGTACAGCGACCAATCTTGAAAATGAAAACTTGTTCCAACTATGAAAAGATCCTGCGCCTAATTTGCCGTTAACGCCTGTTTTTTTGGTTTTTTTTTTGGGTGAGGCATACCACACAACTCTTATACTGAAAATTGGGTTGTAATTGTATGAACAACCTCGCTTCAATGGTGTAGGGGTATCATGCATCGTTGCCATACAATATGTGGTTAATTTCGATGCGACACGAGTTCAAATCTCGTTTGAAGCATTTTTTTATACCTTGTGAGCCCATTGATGAAAAATATGTATATCAAGGCTATTTATAGCATAATGTATACCAAAAAGCAGCACCACCACATTTCTAGATCAAACTAGGATCACCCAACGACGACGACTGACAAGTTGTTGCGAAATATCTTTCATGGTACAGAATCGACATGGCTGAAGACAAAGTTCTGAGCAAATTGCGAGTTTTTGCTTCGAGGCAACCATCAAGTACTGATTTTTTTTGGCCACATTGGAGCAAGCCATCACCTTACGTCTTACGTACATAGGGAACTCATTATTTGAAACAACCGGCAATCGACAGCAAGGACTGTGAAGAATGCATCATCAACTCAGCTTTGAGTATCAGGAGGATCCGCATAGTACAACTATATCGTTGGTTTAATACGTCGAAAATGAGTACCGCTACTCTGATATAACCCGAACGGACTGTGATTAGGTCGAATGATGCAACAAGGTTCTGATATCCTATACAGCATCGGTTTATTGTTTGTTCCACAGCATTAACATTTCATAAACGGCCATTACTGTAAACTTTCTAAATTGAGCTTCAGGGAATACGAGTGATCGAGGCCCATAAAACACCTAACAAGAAGTAACGGTTTAGATCAACGACAAAAAAAAAGACTTGCATAGATAGGCCCTCCAACATTCAAGAGTTCGAAGTCTTCAAAAAATCAAACCTTGACACTTATACATACCTCATCATCAACTTCTTCTTTCTTCCGAGGCAAACAATGCAAAAACTTCCAATTAGGTCTAGCACCACTAGCCATAGCTTCCGTAACCTGATACCCCTTGAAAGCCTTCAGCCTAGCCTCCTTTTCAGCTTCTTGGCCCATACTAATCCACGTATCAGTGACTATAACATCAGCATCTTTAACAGCGACCTGTGGACTATTCGTGAATTCTACGTTTCCTGCACCAGCCAGACTAGCATGATGCAGTGCATATTCACGTACATCAGCGTCGACCTCGTATCCCGGTGGACAGGCAGCTGATATACTGGTTCCGAGTCGAGGTAGAGCACATAAGAGATCAAAGAGGATGTTGTTTGCGTCTCCGACCCATGCGACTTTGAGTTTCGGCAGTGGTGGCAGTATGTATTGGCTGTTATTGTTACTATTAGCTACTTGCGCTAGTGCATCTGGCACGTACGCTTCGTATAGTGTAGAGATATCAGCTAGTATCTGTAGGGGGTGAAATTTAGCTGATAGGGCATTGATTACAGGTACGGTAGAGTGCTTGGCCAGTATCTCGATCTCCTCATGCCCTGCTACACGTGCTAAAAGACAATCTACCATGGATGACACCACAATGGCTGTATCTTTAAGTGGTTCACCACCGGATAACTGGACATCCTCTTTACTCAGAAACATGGGATGTCCTCCATAATAAGCCCATCCAGATTCGGCCGATACACGGGTACGAGTGCTTCGCTTGGCGAATATCATGGCGAGTGTCTTGCCATCCAGAGGTTTTTTGTTTATGGATGATGTCGATGTCGATGATGGGGGATATGTGCCTGTTTTAAAAGCAGCTTTTAGCTCTAGAGACCTTCTAATCAAGACTAGGATTTGCTCTACGCTCAAATCCTGCATGGATAACAGAGCTTTGGGGAATGGTCGGTGCTGCTGATGATAGGTTTGGTTGCTGATTGCATGCTTGAGAGCAGCGATAGCACGCGTGTGTCCTAGTCGATGTATGTGGATCATTAGGTCAAGATACTACTGTCGTCTTTACCAAGCGATTGCTACGTAGTTTGCTAAGAACGAGTGTTTGATTGTCAGAGCGTGAATTTGTGAACAAGTCATCGCAAACAAAAAATTTCCAATCACTCAAGACAAAGCGATGCAGCTCAATTGACACGACGAATGCAAGCACAGTAACATTGAAGATCAAAACTGAAAGGTGGTGGATCAAAGGTTTGATGAGGATATAAAGCGGTGTATTTCAACTATTGATAATAATCTGTGCAAAAACGTAAACTATACAATCCATAATGCTCAAGCAAATAATATAAGAGGTGGCTGCATCATTGCCTTTTCGATGTGAATGTGCTGCTGTTTTATAATAAGAGCTTGTTATATAACCAAAGGAGCAGATCCAAAGGCCATGGAGTGAAACACGTTTGGTATTATGGATAGGTTTCCAGACGATCGCTTCCTCATCGGCCTATGAGCTAGAGCCATATAGGAGACGTATGGAGATGACGGTTGTGATGTTGGCGAAGCAGATCGAATGGATGACGTGGGAGATATGGGCCTTAGTTGAGGAGATGAGTGTGGTGAGGCCTGGCCCTGGTCTATATGTCTGCAGTCGTTGCTGCAGTACAAGGTTTTCTAAGAGAGGGCGTAATATTGTGCAATCAGTAACTGATGATTCGTCCGAAAAGGCGATGCAAGATCAAGACAAGACGTTGAGGGAGGCTGATGGACGCAATGTATGAATGTGTTCTTACCTCATCTTTGGTCCAATTTCCGCAATTCAAACAAAAGTTTGCTTCCATGATGTTGGTTGTATATAGGCTTTTTGATCACCAGCGAGTAGAGATGTAACGTGGAGTTGATGCTGGCCTTGTTGAAGACTAATGAGCGATGCTTGGTAGTAAGAAGCCTTGTTGTGATGTTGTGAGCTTTTGAGAGAGCGATTTCCTAACTTTTTATAGTGTTGGTTGTTGTTGACGAAATTTGAATGACTCCGAAATGTTTCGTTTCTCAGCGTGATTAGGAATGACGCGATTTGTGATCGTAGAAACGGTGAGAGGGGCTATCACAAGAGAATCACGCATGTGAAGCGCAGTCGTAGAAGGCGACATTTATGATGACTATGACGACTTACGAGCATCCCCCGAATCAAAACAGTCTTCGCATGGATCCCAAAAAAAATCAAAATTGTACGGTAATCTCTCCTTCAATATGAATCCATTATATTATTCACACGATTGCCATGCATCCCTTTATTATTTCTCCCTCTCCTTCTTATCCACTTTTAAAGGCGTTGTTCTCAACTCTACATCTCAGCGAAAACTTGAACTTTGCAGCAACCACAACAGTCATGCAGGGCGACGAAGACGGAGGGCTAGAATGCTATATATGTGGATCAACTCATAAGCGCTTTCATTGCACAGAGTGTCTACATGACAAGTATTCACATTTCATACACATCAAAACTTCAAACCTCTAATTCTAACATATACACATGTAGGATACGATCCCAAAAGGCATTATCAGATAGCACCCAAGGAGAGAGACAACGTATATCCGACTCTATAACTTCAAAGCTATTCAATCGACCGCAAACGGGCGCATCATTTGACAAGTTGTATGAGAGCAAACAGTTACAGATAGAATCACTAGAGGCTGACATTGCTAGAGCTAGAGGTTCTATACAATCAAGTAATGTCGACCTTCAAACGTATTACCATATGATTTCAACGTCGACAAACACATACTCAAAACATAGCACGAGACAAGTTGCAGGAGCTTCGTACGAGAAGAGAGTCTAGACGGCAAACACTAGCAAACGCTGCTGCTTCTCTAGAATCAGGCAAAGCTAAATCAATTCCGAAAAAGACGTCTGATCTTAAAGAGAGACGAGACAATGCACAATCGGATTCGGATTCACTGGTGCAAAACCGACACGACATTATAAGAGAACTCGTCGCGGTATTCAGGCTACGTAAAGTCGCTGCTAGAGTTGTCGAAAATGGTCGAATTCCATACTCGAATGGTGCAACACCCGTAAATGGCAATATTGCAATGGTGCCATCACCATCATCATCGTCAACTAGTGGATCAACAAGTCCAATAACAGCTGCTACAGTATTAGCTGGTAAAGCTCCTCCGCCAGAGTACAAGATCGTAAATGTGGCATTCTCGTCGTACGGAGAGTGTCCACTTCAACAGCAGGAACGATTTAATGCTGCTATTGGATATATCATTCACATGACGATTATTCTTGCACAGTATTTGACTATAACGCTTCCGTATGAATTGGTCAATAAGGGTAGAGACTCGTATGCTCAATCTCATCATCCTGGATTATCTGCGTAAGTGCCTTGTGTTGTATTGTGCAATTGTAGTTGTGTTCCTAACTCTTTTCTTGCGCCAATAGTCAAAAGCCACTATTTTATACTCCAGAGAATGTGGAAGAGTTTACTCAAGGACTTGCAATGCTGAATTTTGATATTGCATACTTGTGCTTTACTCAGGGAAAACTCATACCATTGGATGAAGTGCCTCAGACTTTAAAGAACCTGGCTGAATGTTGTGAGGCTAGTAAACCAAGGTAATGGCACTGGAAGAGACTTGGAGCTCCGTTTGTTGCATTCACTCTAACGCGGTCCATTAGGAATCTAAATGGACGGTATAAAACAGCAAACACAACCACCACGAACAACAGTAACGGGACTACGAATGTTAATAATCACAGTAACGACACCTTCCCGCAGACCTTCCCACTAAAGTTTAGTGAAGTGCTGAGGTTTCATCAAAAGATTCGAAAAGAGCCCACTGCTGTTACTGCTACTTCGACATCTAGTAGATCTTCAGGAGGTAGTCGCCCTAGTAGTAATAGTAAAACAATTCGGCCTTCTGATGAAGCTCTAGACAGGGCCTCAATCATTGAAGATGACTTCGTGGTGGTTCCGAACTTCTGACGCGTTACGAGTGTAAAGGGTAGTAAGTAGTAGAGTAGTGAAATAGTTATTATATTTTGATGTAAATTTTTGTACAAGACAAGTCTTTTGCATGCGTAACTGCTGTTTGCCCGAAATCACGTTGTGTCAGTGACGTGTTTGCAAAAAAAGCTGGTGATTCGTGAATTTGCATTTTTAACCCAGACCCGATCCCGAACAAGGAGTGAAGTTTGGTAACTTACCAACGAAATATTTTGTGACAAAGCTAAAGCTAAAGAAACTTAATCAAGCTTGGTGGTTGCTTGACTCTCTCCAAAAAACATTTTGCAACTCAGCTACACCAGTTTTTCTCAAATGGCCACACGAACAAGAGTAGTATGGGCACCAGTGCGGTCAACCATACGACATATTGGAACTGGTGCTGGAGTCAATCCAGCTAAACAGGCCTCTGCTGCAGGTAAATTGAAATTTCCACTGTTGGTGTTTCCTAGTGGCCTCTAAGGACGCCACTATGACATCAACCTCAAATTTCACTAGAACCAGTGATCAAATAAGACCAAACTAACTCTTATACTATATTTTTATTAGCTGCTACTGCTATTGCACCTCAACCATCACATATATATCATACGCCGTCTATACAGGATGAAATACTGCTTGTCAACACACTACGGGACTATAGGATATTGCGAAATCGGTGGTTTAGGGAGGGCAAAACTGTTGGATTTGTACCTACTATGGTATGTGTCTGGTATCGTGCTTTCAGTGTGATTTTTTTGGTCACGAAGAAAAGATGACTCAAACTTGTCTACCGCCAACCATTGTCTCGAGGCCACAATCCTGTCTTTCATGATCTGACCGTTCTTCAATCATCACAACAACAGGGCGCACTACACGACGGCCACGCCTCACTAGCCGAACGAGCACGACGTGAAAACGACATTGTGGTGTCGTCCATATTTGTAAACCCTGCACAGTTTGCTCCAACTGAAGACCTAGCTAAATATCCTAGGACGCTGGAACGGGATCTAGCTATATTGGATGAAGCTGGTGTTGATGTGGCTTTTGTACCTAGCGTTGAGGAAATGTATCCTGCTGGGATAGTTTTGGATGTTGGTGCTCAGGCAGGTAGTTTTGTTGAAGTCAAGGGAAAGTCTCATCAAATGTAAGTTGGTTGTGTTGTTAAATGAATACTGGGGGTGGTGAACAATTGTCATAGTAGGACTTGTCATCTCGATGTTTCGGGTTTTTTGTGCCCGTTCCACACATGACACACTTTGAACACTCACTCTCTCATACTAAACAGGGAAGGAATGATTCGACCACACTTTTTCCGCGGCGTTGCCACTGTAGTAACCAAACTCTTCAACATGATGCAACCAACCCGCTCCTATTTCGGCCAAAAAGACATTCAGCAATGTATCGTAATCAAATCCATGATCCGCGACCTCCACATCCCAACCGATATAGTGATCGCACCCACAATCCGTGAACACGATGGACTCGCCATGTCATCACGAAACCGATACTTGAGTGCCGAGGAACGATCTGTAGCTCCCATCCTGTACCGCGCACTAGCTGAGGCCCGAGATGTATACAACCGGGGAGGATCACGCCGAGAAGATATCATTCTAGCTGCTGAGAAGGTCATTGAGGCTGATCCGCGAGCTAAATTGGAGTATCTGAGTCTGGCTAATCCCAGTAGTTTGAGAGAGGAGGAGAAGGTTACGAGACGTGAGGGTGCAATCTTGTCTGGAGCTGTTAGGATTGGAAAGACTAGGATTATTGATAATCTGTTGCTTGGGACCAGTGTTGAACGTCTGAGTTCCCAAAACTAGAAAAAAGGTTGAAACAAAGTATAGTATAGTAGTCTTACATAGTTTAGAACCTACCACCAACCACAATAGGGGAGTTTAAACCTCATTTGGTCAAAAATATTTCATATAGGACAAGTTTTGTTAAAATAAAATTGCATGTTCATTTTGTGTTAACACTGTGTGTTTGTTTGGAACGCGTTTCATACTATGATACTTGTCGCGTAATTGGAGCTCTGAGTCGTGTTCTAGTGCCGTAGCTCATGTGTGAGGACGTGAATTTGTATGGATCGTTTTGACCATCGCTTCAAATACGACTTTTGCCCGATCTTTCGAAGGAGGTATTAACAGAGCTCTAGGTCAAGCGCCTACATTCAGAATCTGTCAATCTGATACATTGTGTACTTGAAATAGTGAACTCTCTTTGGATGGCAGAAGCCAGCTCCTCCAAAGCTTCTGGTTCAGCAGGCGAAGGCCCAGACACGATTGATGCTCGAGAACATGAGCGTCTGCTACCTATAGCCAATGTAGCAAGAATCATGAAGAGAGCTCTACCTGAAAATGCTAAAATCGCCAAGGACGGGAAGGAATGTGTTCAAGAATGTGTATCTGAATTCATTTCGTTTATTACATCTGAAGGTAAATTGAGAGTAATATAGGAAGCCACGCACACTGTTTATGCAATCTAAACTCATACTATCTCTTTCTATGCTGCGTAGCTGCTGATCGATGTCAACAAGAAAAGCGCAAGACAATCAATGGGGATGATGTGTTGTGGGCCATGCAGTCATTAGGATTTGAGAATTATCGAGAGACTTTGTCGATATATTTGCACAAGTATCGTGAGGTAAGTGTCTGATGTTGTGTTAAAAGGTGGCAGTTTAACGCATGCTAACAGTCACGTCTCTTGAACACATTAGTCTGCTAAAATTGAAAAGGCAGCAACAGCTGCTCCACCAGCCAATATGACACCACCGCCTCAAATACAACAGCACGATCCACATTATCAACTGCAGGAGAATGAAGTCTTTTATGAATGATTTCGTTTGATCGCGGCCATGTACATATAAAACTAGCACGGTTTGTATGAAAATAAACGTTGCATATAGTCTAAGATCGAGAATTGTTATGTAAAGCTTACTCCGAAACAGTTTTATGTTCGAGCAGAACGAAAGAAACTTCCACACAAGAAAACTTGCAGTGCCGACATTAGTTAATAGAGGCCAGAGAGGCCGGCTACGAGGGACGAGCTTGCTAGAAATGAGCAACGATCTTAGCAAGAGGGAAGCTAGTCTTCGGCCTGTAACGATGATGCCCCCAAGTGTTCCTCCCTCCTTCGAAGTTCCGTATAGGAGCCAGCCATTAAGATCGTATACAGGAGTCCCACAAATGGCAGCTGCTAATACTACATCTACGGATCCATTTGCCAACAACGATAATCCTTATGGCGATGAAGAGGTCGACATTACAGATGTAGTGAACTATAACAGAGAAAACCAACCACCATTACCACCGACCAGACAGCAGCAACTAGGAAAGCCTCCTGCCGCCCCCACAAATGCAAATCTACGTAGAAGAGCTGCCTCCGATTTCCCTGATTCATCACCACAACCGACATCATCACCACCACCTAGTAGAAACAATAGTCGCTACCGAAACAACCTCACACCACAACAATTCCAGGCTCAATATATACAACGGGTTAGATCTCGTCGTCAAGACCGCCCGCTTCCTCCAACACCCGAATCCGCGCGAGGATCTACGCCAATGACACAAAGTAGCAACTCGACTCTAGTAAATGACATTGGTGGTACTGCATCTGATCCTGCTACTACCGGTACATCAGCACCACAGCAGCAGCTACTGCAATCATCACCACAAATGAACGCAACAGCATCTTTCTTACGAGTGCCAAGTCTAACAGGTGCATTCCAGTATCGTAACATGGCACAATCGATGGTCGATTATCATTATTATAGAAAGGGTGGAAGTAGTATACATTCTGAAAATCAGTTTATACAGAGCTTTACGCAGAGTATTGCAAAGACTTCATTCAATTCGAGAATGTCGGAAAAGAATAGGAGGAATTATTGGAGGTTTGGGAAGGAAAAGATCTTATTCTTGTGTGTCAATGCATTGGTATGTGTGGATCTTTTGTATTTACGATGGTGGAGGGACGAAGGACCACGCTCATATATCACTTTTATCACCGACTTTTTCCCCCTCGTTTAAGCATACTAACATTATAATTCTTCGCACCCCTAGTTTACGCTGGCAGGAGCATGCATATTCGTCCTAACAATGTTTAGTTGGTCGGACGCCAACTGGTATGGCCCACTAGCCCGCATAGCACAACCAGATGTGCTAGCCTTCTCAACAGCACTAGGCATCCTCATTCTCGGAATGGGTCTAATAGGATTTATCGGTGCCTTCTCACACAACAAGACCATGGTTGGATTTTATACACTGGTGACAGTCCCGACTTTTATATTCATATTGGTCAACCTGTATGTCAGTTTCAAGTGGATTAATGATCCAAGATGGGAGACAGATTTCGCTATGAGGTATACGACAGAGTATTCCAATTCGACGAGGTTGCTGATACAGGATAAGGTACTGCCATTTGAACGCGTGGCCTCTCTTTTTTCGTTCATATCATAACTCCTACTTTTCCTAGTTCTCATGTTGTGGATTCTACGCAGCCGCAGATGAATCAGTAGTATATGATGGCATACGATGTGTGCAAGGTGCTCAGTTGACTCTAGATCCAACACTAGGCCCCAACCAATTCTCAGACAATGTATTGAGTCTGCCATGCTATCAGCCCTTTAACGATTTCTGCCATGCATATCTCCACTTTGTATACATTGTATGTATCGGCATGCTCCCGTTAAATCTTGCTGCTTTTATAGCGGGTATCTTGGCTACAAACCATATCTATGATTAGGAAAATGTGGGTTGGGAAGTGGTAGTTTTTTGTTGATTGTATACACACACAGAGTAGTTTGGAAACGGAAGAAAAAACCTCTTTAGGACACAACCCTTTAATTATATTTTTCATATTGCTCCTTGCTCAAAACACAGTATCAGTAAAAAACAAAAGCATAATCATAATTTCTGTTTTGGCTCACGATTACTATGTGTCTGTGTTTTTGTTGTGAATGCGAGTGTACAAACGAGACATATCTATCTGCAATTACCAAGAATCAAAATTTCCAAATCCACTTGATTTGTTCTTTGGTTTCTTTTCTGCGCTACCTTCAGCGACATCACCATCCCATATACTAGGTCTCTTTAGCGATGTGGTTTCTGAAGATGTAGTTGCTGTTGATGCACTTGGAAGATATTTACCAATCCCACCACCTGATGACGGTACTGGTGACGGAGCAGCAGGAATCTGACGAGGCATAGATCGTGCCTAGAATATTTCAAAGAAAAGAATGTGAAAAAAACCTATACACCGGAGGCTTTGGACCGATATGGAATCGAATTGCATTTAGGCACTGAGTTCGATGTGAACATATTTGATTTTTACCTTTTGAGCGGCAGCTTTGTGTTCCTCTGCTTGAGCCTGTTGGTCCAATTCAGCTTGAAACTCTGCAAAAGGGTCGACTAGTATGACCACATCCTTCATTTTGATTGTTTCCTGCAGGAATGAGAGAGACATAATATCAGATTTTTGTTGCATGCGCTGGAAACTTGGAAGAAAGACGGTTACCATTGGCTTGTCCTTGTCATCAGTTGGAACCCTTTCTATCTTGGATAATGTTTCAAGACCACCGACAACTTTACCAAATACGGTATGCTTGTTGTCAAGGTGTGTACAAGATTTGTATGTGATGAAACTATGAAGTTCAAGGAGTTAGTGTTTTAAACAGAAAAAGAGACCATCACAAACGTGTCAACGATTTGTTCCTTACAATTGTGAAGAGTTGGTGTCCTTTCCTCTATTTGCCATACTCAGGACCCCACGACCACTATGGCTCAACGTAGCTGACTTGCACTCTAACCACGAGAAAGCTGAAGCGAACATCCCAGGAAAGACAAAAGAAGTATCAGGATCTTACCATCTGGAAAGTCCTTCTTCCACCATGAACTTCCTCCTTTTCCTGTTCCAGTGGGATCGCCACCTTGGAGCATAAAGTTCTTGATTGACCTATGAAACACGACGTTCTTGTAGTATCCTACAAATGATTTTAGTATGATGTCAGCTCCCGACTCGAAGCCAAAAAAAGGTTAACGACGGACAGAGCATTACCTGATTTGGCCAGCATTATGAAATTGTAACTTGTCATGGCTACCTCTGACGCAAACAACTCAATATTGATGTCACCCATGTTTGTCTGTATCACTGCAAATGCATTCTTTTTGATTTTGCCAAACATGTAGTACTCTTTATCAATCACTGCGGGTACGTTTTTGAATTGCGGCGTGAGAGCTGTCGATGTTAAACTGCTACTGGCAGCGTTTGTTGAATAATGAGCTTCATTATATGCCTTCTTTGGTTTGGAAACGTATGATGGCGTGAGAGTAACGGGTGTAGTGGATTTCGTGCCAGAGCTGCTGCCACTGGAACTAGCTTTACTGACTTGAGCTAACACTCGTGATAATGAGCCTTTGCCTTCGACGTTAATCTTACTGTTACTCTGTTGAGTGTCTTCGTCGTCGTCTTCATCGTCGTTAGACGCTCCTCCTTCTTTTGCAAGAGGCTTCAAATCGTTTTTGATATAATGAAATTCGTTGATATTCCTGTTTGTCGCTATATTATGTGGATCCTGTATGGTGTACGGCTGATTAGATCTCATGGATGTACAGAGCAAGAACAAGTAAAACTGAGCTCTATATGCACACCTGTATGGTGATTATATCCTTTCGAGTGAATGGCTCGTCAGTGAGTAGGTCCTTGAAGTTCTTTGTTTTGAGATTCAGCGAATCGACTGCCTCATATGAGTAGACGTTTCCAGAAGTTCTAATAGCCACGATATGTGTATGTTCGTTGAATACTTTGAATGTGATAGGACAGTGGTATTCGCCAGAATCAGAACTCTTGGTGAAATTGAGCGCCTTCAAGTCTTTGGTTTCGAGTTTTTCACCAGTCACTGGGTTAGTGCCGTTCTTCTTAATCCACGGTATGATGTTCCTATTATGTTGTGCGTGTGTGTGAGCTGGCTAGCGTTGTCCTTTCTGTATGGACGGATGTGAGAATTGAAAACAATGAATCTTACACCAGATCAAAGATGGTGCCATCAGCAGTGCACACGGGATGTTCGAATGGTGTCAGCGTCAAGGAGCAGCAAGAGAATGGCAATTTCTTGAATTCACCATTGACTCGTTTCTCTTTGGCACCACCGCTTTCTGCCCATTCGGCCGAGGTTACGTAGAGCTTATCACGCTTCCTCTGACGACCCATCCTTTTATAATAATATCTTACGATACGAAAGTTTGATCAGAGTCTACCGCACAGATCTCTTAAAGTGATCAAAACTTTGATTTTGCTGTTGATGTTGAGCAAACCACACTAGATAGGAAGGAGAGAGTGAGGAAATAAGCTGAATTCAGGAGATCCAAGCAAACGCGATAAACATGTGAGTTGTCGTTTGGAATTTTGTTTGGCTCTACGTCAATATTAAAAGTTGCCCATCGTTAACAACTGTTCAAATCGACACTTACCCTTTAGAGTTATGAGCGGATCTCGCCAATTTGGAAATTCTGCGGCTGACCAGAGTGTCGCAGTACCTATCCAGGCTCCTACTACCTTATTCAGCTCTTTCAAAAAGCGACGAGAAGGTTCAACATCAACTCCAACCAACGTCGCAGCAGCAGCACCACCACCATCATCTACTATAGAGCCTACAGAGAATGACCCTTTATTGCCTTCGCAAAATAATGACGAAGAAGCAAATGCCAGAAAAGCTCAACGATCATCTTGTTCCAAATTCGCAATCATAATAACCATATTGATCCTGTTGTTGGGTGCAGCTGCTGGAGTTTATTATGCATTATACGTCAGATCAAGAGGATCACCAGATATGCCACCTGTTCCGTCTCCTGATCCTGAACTGCCTCTAGAAAATCGACTGCCAAGCTGGCTCGTCCCATATCAATACGATCTCGACTTACACGTAAATGTTGCCAAAAAAGTATACTCTGGTACCGTGGCCATTCAAGCTACGATATTGAAAGACACGTCAGAGGTCTTCTTCCATTCTGTGGATTTGGCAATCACAACAGCACCACGAGTAATCAGCCACGCCTCAGTATTCGAAGCCTTGTCTGTGGAACACAATAGTGACAATAACATAAATTCGCTGCAGCTGGGATCTACCTTGAAGCCCGCGAACTATACGATACTTATAGAGTACACGGGCAAAGTCTTGGACACGTATAATGGATTCTTTGTAAAGGAGTACATGGACGCGTCTAATAGGACTCATGTAATAGCTGCTACTCATTTCGAGACTGTTGGTGCAAGGTATGGTCGTTACCATTCTAGAACCTAGTTGGTTGAACCTAGTTGGTTCCCGTTTGACATGTTCTCCCTTTTAAAAGATACACTTTTCCGTGCATGGATGAACCAGCTTTAAAAGCACGCTTCAATATAAGCATCACAACTGACGCTAGATACACCGTACTATCCAACGCTAACAAGCTTCATAGTGAGAAAGCTAGTGGTGATCTCATGAAGCATGTATTTGCAACGACACCTCCAATATCGACCTACCTCGCGGCTTGGGTTGTGGGTGAATTTGATCGTGTCCAGGCAGAAACAAATGCAACAAACCCTGTTTTAATCACAGTATACTCTGAAATCGGCCGAGCATATGAAGGGGCTTATGCTTTACGTGTCGCTCTAGACTCGTTACAATACTTTGAAATCACACTGAAGATGCCATATCCATTACCGAAACTGGATCTTGTATCTGTGCCTGGTTTCCCATACGAAGGAATGGAGAATCTAGGATGCATGGTGTTTGATAGCGAGCTTTTGATGGTTAATGGGAAGTATTTAGGCACTGCTGAAGCCGAGTTACACAAGCAAACAACAGCTCTGCTCGTTGCTCATGAGATTGCTCATCAGTACTTTGGTGATATCTCGACTATGCAGTGGTGGGATATGATCTTCTTAGCAGAAGGATTTGCTGAATACTATCAGGTGCTTCGATTTTGAGCTTGAATCTCGTATGGATGGTATGACTTTAATTCATTTTTCTAGTTCAAGGGAGCTGGCACAGATGACTCATTATCAGCCATGTCTCAGTTCTTCGAATACGAACATCTAACAGCCCTAAAAGCTGACGCAACGAAATTCAGTCATCCACTCGTATCCAACACGCCAACCACAATTCCTGTATACTCTTTTGATGACATTACGTATGATAAAGGAGCTTCTATGCTGTATATGCTTGAATCTTGGCTTGATGAGGACGACAAGAAGGCCTGTTGTGGAGTCTTTTGTCGTGGCATTCAAACATATTTAAGTGGACCAACTGTCAAGAGTGTTGGCGATCTGTGGACGTCGTTGGAGAGTGCACGAAGAAGCAATGCGGGTTCTGCTTCTGTGGCTGATATTATGGACTCATGGACCAGTCAGCCAAATGTTCCCTGTAAGTGCGTTCTAAATGCGCCTCCCTATTTATTCTCTAATCATCTCCCCTCTCTTTCAAATGATCAGTGCTTGCTGTATCAACTACAAGTAACTCCATATTGCTTGTCAGTCAAACGCCATTAGTACCCGACTTGGATGAAGAACCGGCATCGAAGTGGACTGTCCCTATAGAATATAGTTATCTGGACAGCAAAGCACGCACCAATCATAAAGCCATCCTATTACCAGATAGCACGTTAGACCTGAAGGCTGACGTGAAGGGCCTAGTTTTACTGAATACGAATCGTACAGGTCTCTATCGAGTCAACTATACACCAGAGATGTGGCAAACTCTTGCCAAACACTTGTCTGATACACCACATATATTTAGCGCATCGGAGAGGGCTGGTTTAGTTTCGGATGCATTGTATCTGCTGAATACTAGGAGGCTTGACGCGACTGCTGCTCTAGACACGACGCTATTCTTACAAAATAGTTTGGACTCGGGAGTATGGGATAGTGCCATGCAGGGGCTGTGGGATTTGGATGCATCCCTTGGTGTTCATCCATCAACCATACTCTTGAAAGGTTATATTCAAGGTCTAGTAGCTGGACCAACGAAGGAGCTGAAATGGTTTGAACGCACGAACTCTACACCGAAGGAAGTGCATCAGAGAGCTCTGACTCGAGGAATTGTATTTAAATTGGCTGCTTGTGTAGGAGAACCTCAAGTATTAAATGATGCTTTGGGATACTTTTATACATTAGCCAATTCAAGCCTCAGTAAAGTGTTGGACTTGCCACCGTATAATGATGGAGTGATTCTGGACGCTATATATACAGCCGTTGTGCGATATGGTGGACCTAAAGTATTTGAATTGTTGTGGAAGAATTATACAACACCAGTAACAGTAAATCCAGCAATCCTACCTGGTGATTTACTATCCTCTATGGCATGGACTCCCGATGAGACGAATAAAGTCAGAGTAGTGTCTCTTTTGCCGCACAAACCTCTCTCAACACAAATCAGAGTCCTCAGAGTATTAAACCATGCTTCGATACTCGGCCATGCACTCGTATGGGAATATATAAAATCAGAACTAGCACTATTCTCAGTAAATAGTAAATCCATTATAAGTCTTGCTGAGCAAGTTGTAAGTCGCTTCTCACCTGGATTGGTGAATGAAGCTATACGGCTTGTGGAACAGCAATCTGGTCGTGCCTGGAATGATTTTGTATGGGATAGTCCGAAAGAAACTGCATTATTGTATGGTATACGACGTGGTATTGAAAAATCTCTTGTCGCTGCCAAATTCCGGGATGAGAAGAGGGCCGATGTACTGAATTGGCTTGCAAAACATACCCTCATCACCTGAATCGTAGAAATTATAGCATCTTGTAGGACTTTGCAAGAGAATGGAACTTGTGTGCCATGTATATGAGAGTTTATATGAATATAAGAAAGCTGCTCACAATAATATACTATCTATTCGTTTGCCATACATAGTTGAGGAGTGCTAGCGCTCCTGCTCTACCGCCAAAAGCCGCTCCGTTGGCAGGAAACGCTCTAAGGAGTGCTGGCTTCAACCCTTTATACAACGACCTCACTCCATTTTCAGCAAGTACCTTTCTATAAGCGTCAATAGTTCCTTTATATGTGCCGTCTGGAGCAGCTTGGATGCGTGATTTCACTACATCCGCAGGTATACCAATGCTCCAGAATGCAAGACCTGCACAACCGCCTGCAATTAATATTGATGACACAGATGGTGGATGACCTGGAGCGTTTAGTGCTCTTAGTACGAACTCGTTTGTGCCAAAGTAGCCCATTGCGCCTGAAAAGAGCACAAATGATTAGTTATGACCAACACGAGCTATGAACGGCGTGTCATCAATCTTTTCTGACCTGGAATATCACGACATAGACACGGTATGGTTCCTTTATATAATCCACGTATCACACCTTCAGTCTTCACAATATGTGATATGGCATCAAACATTGACGTATATCGCTTCACAGACTTCAGCCCACCGACCTGGTCCTGCGTTTGCAGTGCAATCTTAATTCTTTCCTGAGGGACTGTTATAAAAGTCGGTGCAAGTGCAGCAAAAGCTCCACATCCAACAACTTCAGGAAGCGATAGCTTTTTGGGACGATCCGGGTTTATAGAAAACATAATTTTCTGGGCTAGGTCAAAGCCCCAGAACCGTATGGCGTACATTGGTGTCAAGCCTAATAAGGGCAGTGTGACGCCACGGTAGAAGCCTCGTATTCCTTCATTTCGCGCTGTGATTCGAGCACAGTCCATTGCTGACTTGTAGGCGTTTGAGGTTTGCAGCCCTAAATTAAGTAGAAGGGTGGCCGTTAAAGCTAAGTAATGTCAAGACTACGTGATGCTTTTACAGAAGGGCTGGTAAGACTGAGCGATGATAAGACTGCGTGATGTTGTTACAGGAGTTCCTTGATCAAGGAAAAAATGACAAGACATTTGAGAATCGTTGCCAACACTGTGACTGAACTTACTAGTTTTGATGACATCGAGAGGATGGCCTACTAGAGTGGCAGATACACCAGCACAAGTGCCTGCAATTGCACTCTTGATCAGGTTCAAGTCCTTGTTCTCCATGGTTGTCAAACAACAGTAGTGACGGCCAACGTAGCAATTTCACGACTTGATCCAGATTTAATGGATGGAGTCAAGAAGAAATGAAGCGTTGAATATGGCCTGGCGAGGAACTAGGAAATGTAACAACATGACAGTCTGAGTTTCAAATGTTGAAGCGTAGTACTGGCATGTTGACCAAGAAACTCACTTCAGAGGTAAGTTCTACGATCTATGATGATGAGAAATTTGTAAAGTAAGAAAATCATTGTGGATAACTTGCTGTATTGTTGAGGTTTGCATTCACGCTTGGTGACGCACGAGAACTCACATATAAAAACGGGTACTTTCACGTATTCCCACTTACTTTGCAGTAATATTACACGTAATAGTCTCCGTGTCTCTATCGGATTAGTCTGTTTTCCGCACACAAGCTCCTTCAAGTGTTTTTGACATTTTACATAGCAAAGTGCTAGAGCATCATGAGCCGCGCTTCGTTGACAAGAAGCATGCTCCAGTCATTGCGTACATCGGGCAGCCGCAATGCATCGTCTCGATTGAGTTATCATACTAGCAGCAAGCTCACGACAAACATATTGCCATCATCAACTAGCATTGCACTCTCGCATCATGGACGAGGAGCAAAGAAACTCGCAAAGACGAAAATCATGCATCCTGAAACATTCGGAGTATCCACAAAGGTATAGGGGATATATTGCTCTGTTCATATGTGCTGGATACATTCAACATTTGGCGGATGAAATCATCTTGAACCAACATCTTTACTCGTCTCTTAGTGGTTTGTTCCTCCAAAAGTGAGACAGAGTGTACCTTATGTCGGTATGTAACCACGATTATATTTATGCGGTTTGAAGCTTTTACGCGACAGAACTACGTTGACACACAAAACACCCCTCAAACAAATACTAAAATACACACATACACAAACAGAGGTGCCTGATGTCGAAGCAGAAGCCACTAAATTGGAGACATTCACAATCAACTTTGGTCCACAACATCCGGCTGCTCACGGTGTATTACGTCTCATCCTGGAAATGAAGGGTGAAATCATTGTCAGGGCTGACCCTCATATCGGTCTATTGCATCGTGGTACCGAAAAGCTTATTGAATACAAGACCTATCTACAAGCTCTGCCCTACTTTGATCGGTTGGACTATGTATCCATGATGGTATGCGAGACTGGTTGATTACTTGGTGGTCTTGTAGCATGTTATGGAGAGCTTTTTTGGCCTCTGTCCAAATGTATCAAACGCTGTATCCCTGCTTCAACCACTCAATCATCACATCATCAATAATATAGGTGAACGAGCAATGCTACTCAATGGCTGTCGAAAAGTTACTAAACATTGACGTACCAATCCGTGCCAAATACATAAGAACCCTCTTTGCAGAAATCACTCGTATCAAAAACCACATCATGGCTGTAACCACCCACGCCCTCGATGTCGGCGCATTGACTCCCTTCTTATGGATGTTCGAAGAACGTGAGAAACTAATGGAATTCTACGAACGTGTATCCGGTGCTAGAATGCACGCCGCTTATGTCCGTCCAGGTGGTGTCTCTCTCGACATGCCAATCGGTCTGATGGAAGATATCTATAAATGGGCCCTCCAATTCGGATCGCGTGTAGACGAACTCGAAGAAGCTCTCACACTCAATCGTGTATGGAAGAACCGTTTGATTGATGTCGGTAAAATCCCTCTAGATGTAGCTATCGCAAACTCCATGTCTGGTGTCATGTTACGTGGATCTGGTATGCCTTGGGATTTAAGAAAGGAGAGCCCATATGATGCTTATGAACACGTTGAATTCGATATACCCGTTGGTACTAATGGTGATTGCTATGACCGATATCTATGTCGTGTGGAAGAAATGAGACAGTCATTGAGGATTATTGGACAATGTCTAAACCAGATGCCTTCTGGACCCATCAAAATTGATGACAACAAGATTGTACCTCCTCCACGAGCTACCATGAAGGAATCTATGGAGGCTCTCATCCATCACTTTAAACTCTACTCGGAGGGATTTTCAGTTCCTCCTGGCGAGGTAGAGTTTGATGTTTCATGTTCTTAATGGACCAAAAAAAGCCTGAACGTGAGAGCTGGAATTGAATAGTTCTAAGCGTATCTCTCCCTGACATTATAGACATATGTGGCTGTTGAAGCTCCAAAGGGAGAATTTGGTGTTTACATTGTGTCTGATGGTACCAGTCGACCTTACCGATGCAAAATCAGAGCACCCGTGAGTTCTGTTTAATTCGATACACGTATTCCATGGTTTTTGTTGTTTGAAATCGTATGAGATGTTCATTGCTCTACATTTGATAATAGGGATTTGCTCACTTGGCTGGATTGGATTTGATTGCTAGAGGTGCTTTTGTTGTTCGTTGTTCACGTTAGTCATGTTGATATTCCACGTGCTCATCGCACTCCTTTCTTCTTCAGGTGCCTTCTTGGCTGATACTGTCACTATTATCGGAACATGTGATGTCGTGTTTGGTAAGATTTTGATTTGGAGGGATAATGGGGTGTCGCTTCTGAGATGGACTTCCTCACTTACACTGGATTTTGTTTTTGTGATTTTAGGTGAAGTCGACAGATAAAAGAACGGTCTGCCCTTTCCAAACATCAAACTACTATAGTTTTTCCCTTTCCTCTTTTGACGGTAGAGGCTCTTAAGTTGACTGCTATACATAAGAAAAGTATCACAAATCAATTTTTATTTAGCGTTGGTTTGTCTCGTTGGGTTTTCTAGTCTTGTGAAACGTGTAGCGATGTGTTTTGAAGGAATCACGATTTCATGGCGGAGGACATCTTAGGACAAATCTCGATGGTGTTATTCCATCTTCTTGGCTTGTCAACTGCTCTTATTTTGCTACCTCGTTTTTATGTATTTCGAGACAAAAAGCTATAGATTGCAATTTGCAAATCTCTTCTTTATATATTCAACGACAAAGAAACACAGAAAATCGTCCCTTCTCTTTATAAAAAGCAACCCCAACTATCCAGCACGCACAAATATATAAAGCTCTACACCACCTCCTTAGGATCAACATCCATTGCCGATGACGACGATGCAACAACACTACTACTACCCTCATTAGCATTTTCAGCAGCAGGAGTAACCACAACTTGCGGCTGCGGCTGTTGTTTCACTTGCTCTACATTACTAACAACAGGAGCAGTGGCAGCAGCAGCTGCTGCAGCAGCAACCCTCTCCAACTCTTTAGCCCTACTACTCTCAACAACCTTCACCTCCTCATCAATCCGTTTTCGTCTCGCCGCAAGCCAAGAGTTAAACCGTCCGGATCGTATCCCTTGTGCCCGTGTAGCAGCACCATCCCCATTCTCAACACCGCCAGATAACAGTCCAATTAATTCCTTTTGTGATTCAGATAATGTTGCAGATCTCGTCTCTCGTGGCCGATAAAAGACATCCTCGGTCGGTGCTGCATACCATATTTTAAACGTGTTTACACAAATCTTGAGTTCGAGGTTGGATTTGGATATGTAGCCTAGTGACGATATCGAGACGTCCGGGATGTTGGCTGGTGATGGGAGTAGACGTTTGAGGAAGGGGCGTTTTACCAGGTAGAGTTTATACGCCGAGTCTGTTGGTGATGCTTGGATGTATCGGTCTACGTACAAGGACCAGCGTTGTTCTGATGATGTCACATCGTGTTCTTTGGCTTCGTCGTTTGACACTAGTTGGATTGTCAAGACCTTTTCAGCTACAAACTAGAGGACAGAGTGTAAGATATTAGGAAAGGATTTACGTACATGCTTAGGTTGTGCAGAATATGAGAAGTTTCATTGGGGCGCCCATCGGCGAGACAGCAAAAAAGTGAATTTGTAAATAAAGATTGTACCTACATATTCAAGCCGATACATATTCTCCCCCTCAAGCATAATACCAGAAGCAGCTAGTTTATACATTCCTTCCTGCTTCGTACTAGTAGTCGAGTTCTCCTGATCACGATAATATAAGCTGACGAGATCTATAGTCCTTGGATCTGATGCCATAAGTTGTATCTGAGGAAAAAGGAGCAAAAAAAGTTTCGTTAGCAAACAGCCATGTGTCCTTTTACCAGGAACATCACATTCTTTTCTCAATGCCATACCTGCTTGACAACAGCATGCAAAACTTTATCAATAGTAAACATGAGGTACGCAGAAGTACCATACATGCTCCTCGCTCGTTCTTCAAACTCGGGTTGATCCATCTTGCCTTCTACAAGCTCATGAGCTATCCGTATCAACTCTCCATACCGATTCTTGTCTGCGAAAGCTCGCATGGCTTCCGCACCACCTCGTGTATAAAGACCTAATTCAATAGCCGTTGGATTGATTTTACCAACTCGTGAGGGATTTTTAGCTAATTCATCAGAGAGTTCCTTCATTTTGGCTATTCTCGCATATGCCAGCTGAAGAATTAGAGAATTTGTTAGTTGAAAGTAACGAATTTTGCTGTCAAGTTTAATGTGCAAGAAAATTCAATCAACTGATAATGGCCTACTTCAAAGAGACGGAAGAATCCATACAACGCATTATTAGCATACAAGGTGTACGTAGGTCGTGTAGGATGGATAGGCCGTACGTACGAAACCTTTTGTGACGACGGTGACAACATGGGTATCACCACATTACCAGGTGTTGAATGGGTGGCGGATGCATCGGACTCTGCTCCAGCTGCTTCACTACGAGCATCATTAGACGACGCACCATCATCTTCTACTTCCACCTCCTCATCGCCACCCTTCTTAACATTACTAGTCTTTTGTTTCTTGGCAAGAGGTGCTCGACGAGTCAATACATTACGTCGTAAACTGGATTTACCCTTCTTGTCCTTAACAGCATTCTGTGCGGGCTCGTCAATATCCATATTGTTATCATGGCCATTCTCTAGTCCATTTGTTGTTGCTCCAGTTCCATCAAATCCAAGTCCACGATCATGAGAATCAGTGACTTTAGCCAAGAGGAAGAATTGGGGTATAAATAAGCTTAAAAAGCTTCTCACTCGTTCTTGATCCAATTCTGTATACATGTGCGATGCTCTCATGAGTGAAATCATCAGTCTGCGCATATCTTCAAAGACTTGGCCATATCGAAAGGCGAAATCATATTGGTATTGGATGGTGAGATTGGATTTCCTGTATCGCTGCTCACGATTAATGGTCTCAATCTCGTGTATAAGGTATTTAATGGAGATGGCCTTCTTGTCAGTGGTTTTGAAGGTGACACCTTGATGGTCGAGAGACTTGTAAAAGTTCTTCATGTCGATGTCTCTCCACACCTTGTTCCATTCACGCTATTTAAAAAGGAATGCGTGAGCATAATGTTGCAGGGGATACGAGAAGAGACCAAGTCGAAGTTCTTATTGGACTCATTCGCCGGTCATAACGTAGTCGGTTTTTTGTCTTTACCTGAGCACGCTTCCATTCTTCATCTTTTTGTTTCAAGCGTTTCAGTACCACTGGGACAGCTATAGCTGGTTTCTCATGAAGAGCTTCAATGACTTCCAATCCACGTTCCTTTTCGTAAACCTTCTTGATGACACGTTGATAGATTCGTTGCGACTCTCCAGCTAATCCAAAAAAGTATGAATATCAGGCATTTGACATCAGAACACACAGATCTCACTCAAACACAAACGAAACCAGAGCCAACTTTTCATAACTATAACTTACGAGCAAGACCAGGAGCAAGTTTAAACTTGGCCTTTTCCTCTGGAGTCATTATTTGAATCTTGGCAGCAATAGGTTCCAAAATGGCAATAGTATGTAGATTGGCCTCGATATTAATATCGAATTCATATCTTTCCGATTCGACATTGTAAATGGCTTCTTCGTATACTGTCTTTTTGTGATGACCGAATTCACCTGATTCTGACATGTACACTGGTGTTGAAATCCAGTCATCATTCAAGACTTCACGACACAAGTCATCACGACCTGAACATACTGGTCGAGGAGTCTAAAGATTGAGGAGAAATAGAGTTGAGTTTGATGTGCGAAAAAAAACCATGTGGCTGATTGTCAATAAACGTACGTCTGGAGGCAACTGTCGATAACTTCTACCGGTCCGACGAGCAGTCACCAAATCAAGTCCTCGAGAAGGCCCTTCCACATTGTCTATAACGAGGTACGAGTGGGTTAACAAAAGAGCACAGAGAGACGTCGAGTAAATGACACTTACGAATGACATCATCCTCTTCATACTTGACAAACTTCTTAAACCAATCAAACAGATCTGGGGTCCAGCCTAAAAACGGTTCTACTCTCTCCACAAGAGTCTTTATATCTATAAGCTCTTGACTGAAGAGATTCAAGACTTTTAAGAACTCGTTATACGTAGACTTGTTTCCAATGGATCGTTTGGCTCGTTCAAAGAACTCTAGTTCTTCGTCAGGCCCGCCAGTCAGTGGTGGCACATTATTGTTATTTGGATGACTCGGTGGCGGTTGTCTGACTGGAGCTGCATTCCTCTTTTTACTACTTTGTCTATTATACGATGATTGTTGAGGTTGATACATGTGATCGTCTTGATGCTGTTGTATCTGACGTTGAAGCTGTTCGCGCTGCTGTTGTTGATGTTGCTGATGTTGTTGCTGCTGATGCTGGAGTCTTTGCTGTTGTTGAGCTGGTGGAGCAGGTAAAGGTGGCGGAGGAATCATGGGCGTTGCTGCAGCTGATGATGCAGCTGATGCATTACTGTTTCCTGAATTGGGACGTTTCTGTTTTTTGGCTGCAATGGGGCGTTTGGTATCATGTGCTGCAGCAGCAAACCCACGCATAGCTAAACCTATAAAATCATGTGAGCGACAGGTGCAAAAAAAACTTGTAAGTTGGAATCCGTGAATACTAGCCATTAGCAGCTTGAGCATTGCGATTATTTGGGACTGTCTCAGGCAAAAACAGTTTAAACTCATCTAGCAAGTCCTTATGATCCTTGAACAAGATAGCAATCTGTTGATAGACCTATTGTTCGATGAAAAAAAACGTCTGAGCTCAAAGCGAAAATATCAATGAAGGGACACCAGATCTTTTCAATCACATACCTCTTGAATGGGCTTTTGTTCCTTTTGATACGTCTGCAGAATTTCCAAGAACTGCTTGTACGTCTCTCGCTCACCAGCAAATCGATTCTAATATAACATGCAAAAACATTAGCTACTACGTCCCAAAACCGCTCAAACGGACAAATCTCACATACCATAATCTTGTTGACATAGGTGATTGCATGATTGAATTCCATAGGAGCTCTTCCAGGGACATTTGCACCGATAGGAGGAGCCGGTATTGTTATAGCAGTTGCTCCACTAATACCCAACAAGTTTCGAGGTGGTGGATGTGCGGGAGCTATTGCTGGTAACGGATGAGACTGAGCAGGAGGAGCTACAGATGGTGGTGCTGCCACAACTTGTACAGGCTGTGGTGGAGGTGGAGGAGGTACGACACTACTATTACTATTATTCGGTATAGTTGCATATGCACCCCAAGCCGTTGCTGGAGCTGACGATGGTGTATAGTACGTTGTAGGAGCACCGCTACTTGGTACTGCTGTTGTTGACGATGTGGATGATGCATGAGGCATCATTCCATACATGAGTGCTTCACTATCTGGTGGCGTCGTGACACGGATTGGATTTAGGGGATCGTTTGTTGCTTCTATACGATATCCCGGCGGTAGGAAGGTATTAAATCCCGTTATCAAGTTTGGATGGCCTCTAAATAGAGTGGATACACGATTGATGACGCCAGGTGTATCGATTCTAGTGACAGTTTTTGAGAAGTTTTGAATCGTAGTTAGCATACGCTATTGAGTCACCGCGTGAGAAAATTTGAAAAATATAAAGGACGTACGACTGTGATTTAAATTCCTTCATAATATCCAGAAATCGGTTGTAGACGTCGGGCTGATCACCAAACTGATTCTTTACTTGATCCAGGTATGACAGTGCGTCCTTGACATTTAGGGGTCGATACTGAGTAGATCCGGTAGCAAAATCCATTCCCGCAGAAGTGGGTGGAGCACTAGCTAATAATGCAGCAGTGGCGGCAGTAGAAGCAGCGGTAGTAGATGGGATGGCTGGTGCGATCATTGTTGAAGTTGGATGAGGTTGGATTGATGGTTGTGTTGCAGGAGAAGGTTCGTTTTGTATGGTGGATGTCGTGGAAGACATCAGTGGATGAGAAGGAGCAGTTGCGGGAGGTATAACAGGAGAAGGGGTGGAGCCATTCGCACCAGCAGCCGTCATGATGTTGGATCCGTTTGATGAGGGAATCAAGCTTGGTACGGATACAAGCGATGTCGTTGGCGGTATTGGCAGTGATTTAGTCGCTGAATTATTTAGATTGGCTCCTTCGGCAGAAGTAGGACTGTGTTCCTTCTGCGGATTAGGTTCCATTTTGAAGATTTTGCACTTGTCTCAGCAAGTTCCTAGCAACAAACACCACAATCTGATTAGCTAGAGGTATAGTAGACCCCGACAACAATCACAAGTTGCTGCCCACTTGCTGTTATATGCCTGTCTTGCGAAGTTTCGCTTTAAATGAAGGGAGTTGGATGTTCTGCAAAAAGATGTCAAAGCCATCAATTAACCCTTCAATTTCTGTCTTGTGAAAACACAGAATGGACGTGTTTCACTCTATCGAGCATTGCTAGATCGACGGCCTGAATTTGTTAAATTAGTTCTGGGGACGCCCTGTAAGTGATGTATTTGATATCCGTCTTCAAACGACATCTCCTGCTCTCCAAACATCCAACAATGCATCGTCCTCCGATATTCTATATAGATGAAACATGCTAAGACGAAATCCTACACAAATTGACCTCAAGGCCAGAGATTTGCTATTATTAGACGCCCATCATCGAGTTCGGAAGGAAACAGTAAACCCAACATCAACCGACAACAGGTCGACCAGTATCGATCCCAAACAACCAATCGAAACCATCAAGACCACAACAACGACAGCAACTGCTTCTACTATTAGAATATCAACTCGCATAGGGGCTACTACCAGATAAAGGGTGGTGAAATGGTTGTATTTGACAGCATCATCGTCTCAGAGACGAATCACTTGTAGATAACTAGCACATATAACTGCAATGTTTAAATATATATGGGTAGATTCGCTGTCGTTATGTTGCCATCGAATCTTCAATGAAAGGGTGCTCGATAGCTAGTACATATAATTGCAATGTTAAAATATAAAATAGGTAGATTCGCTATCGTCTTGATGCCATCGACTCTTTAATGAAAGGGCGCTGTTTGAGTAGGAACTTGCAAACCCCAAAGCTGCAAACCTGAAAGCTCTCGATTGAATTTGATCGCCATTATGGATCACTGAGCTTTTGCGAGCGGAGACACGAAACTACGCGTGCGAAGCTTCGGTCCAACATTTGCTTCTCCTTGCTTGATCAAGCGAAAAAAGTTCTCTTTTGACGCCCAACAAAACAGCACGTCGAACAGTATGGCAAAGACAGTCGTAGTGCTAATATCTGGTAGTGGAAGCAATTTACAAGCCCTTATCGACGCATCAATCCCTATCGCCCTGGTAGTATCAAATAAAAAGGATGCCTTTGGCCTAACTCGAGCTGCCAATGCCAAAATCCCAACTCTAGTCTTCACTCTCAAGCCATATCGAGATGCTGGCAAATCTCGTCCTGAATATGACGCAGACCTAGCTGCCGAAATCAAAAAACTCGTGCCTGCACCAGACGTGGTTGTATTAGCTGGCTTTATGCACATCTTGTCTGAAGCATTCCTGAATGCTTTTGCTACCGTCATCAATCTACATCCTGCATTGCCCGGACAGTTTGATGGCGCGAATGCTATACAGAGAGCGTTTGATGCCTTCAAACTAGGTGAAATCAAACACTCGGGTGTCATGGTGCACCGTGTCATCCCTGAAGTCGACAGAGGGGCTCCGCTACTTACGAGAGAAGTACCTATATTAGATACAGATACGCTAGAGTCGTTTGAAACACGTATGCACCAGGTTGAACATGAACTCATTGTCGAAGCTACCAAAACATTGGTGTTATGACGCTGTCATATATAGAAGGGAGAGATCAACGTTATAGCTAGGGACCGTCGTATTACGTAAGGAATTGTCTCACAATTGCATATGAACCTAGTCAAAAACAGTAAGACACCAGTATTGGTTTCAGTTGTTTCATATTTGTTTGCCGACGCTCGACCATTATTCTACGTACATTCACTATTTTGACGATGCAAGTTCATTGGCCACTTCCTTCAATGGATCATAATCGTACAGCCATTGTCGATTTTTTCGAGCAGCATCTTGGCTCATATTCTTCAATTTTTGATCTCTTGTTTGAGCAGGTACATCATCTAGATGGTTGTAGAGACGCATTCTACGTGTACCCGTGAATGCCATGGAGGTACGTGGATGTCGTAGACGCTCATATGTGGTGAGCCTGAACGAAATGTCTTTCAGAGAAACATTCGTCAACAACAGACCAAGAGTTTCAGCATCTTCAACGCCCATACACAATCCTTGGGCAAAGTAAGGCAATAGCGGATGTCTAAAAGAGTTGAAAGTGTTAAAGATCGGTTTGCACCAAGAATGACGACTGCGCGTGGAATGCGGTTGACGAGTTGAGGAGCAGTGAGAGATGCAGTATTGTAACGCGTATATTCAAATGAACGGCTCACGCTGAATCTTCAAGCAAACATGTGTTTCCATTTGTCCAACGAGGCAGTGGTTCATGGTCGCGAAGTTGCCAGCGTTTGACAGCTTCGTTTGGAATCTAGGTAGAGAGACAAAGAGATATAAGGAAACTTTTGATGAAAAGCAATCAACTGAAAAAAACTAGATAAATGATAATGTCAGCTTTCGGTACGAACCTTGGACATGATTTTCAATAAGCGCAGGTCAAACGCTTCAAATTTACCGAGCAACTCTTCAAGCGTTACCGGACGCAGTCCAACTTCCTTCTTCAGAGTCTACATATCTATCAGGTGATATAGCCACTATGTTGAGGAGTTGACCAGCCCTCAAATAATAGAGAACTGCATGATGACCTGGCACTCGATAGATAGTGGCACTGCGTCAATCCAATATTTCGCTCATGACATCCTTGAAGTCTGAATCATCACGTAATTCTTCTACATTCAGTACACCTCGATAAGCGATATCACCAGTTGGAGTTGGAAATGAGGCTCCAGGGACAGGGTGGCGAAGCATGGATTTGACACCGTCAGCAGCCACGATCAAGTCAGCTTCGAAGACTATCCCCTTTTCAGAGACAATACGAGGAGGGTGCTCAAAAAGTTCTACTTTTACAAACTTGGTGTCGAGTTTGATTTCCACACCAATCGCAATAGCAGTGGTTTCCAATATCTTGTGCAGATCAGGGCGATGAATGTGGTAGTATGGTACGTCATCAGGTTGAATTTCTTCATCTAAGAAATATTAAATAAAGAAGTTGTGAGCTTGACGTTTATGATTATTTCAATAAACTGTTGATGTGATATGTCAAATGTTGATGGAACACCACGTACCAAAAATCAAATCTCCCATTCGATTGCGATGGCGAATCGATTCACAGATGACGCCAACTTGTCTGCATTGTTCTAACAGGCCCCATCGATTGAAGATCCTTGTGGCATTTGGTGACAACTAGATCCCAGCTCCAACATCGCCCAATATAGACGCAGATTCTACTACTAATACATCCCATCCAGTACGTCTGAGGCTAACTGAGCATGCAAGCCACTAGTACTAGACCAGCACCCACTATCACAGACTTTATAATTTGCTGTTGCACCTGCGCTGGTAGACGAGTCGCGGTCATTCGGGAACGATTACTCTTGGAACTTTCAGTAACCGATTACCGAGATCGTGCCGTGTGAGACTTTTACACTACTATGTTTTTACAAGAAGCTGACTGCTGCACAAATTTGAAACCGCTGCCTGGGAGCAAGGTGAAACCGTTGATCCTATGGCATATATGGAGTGATGACGTGTTTTTACACTGTATGGTTCAGAGAGAATACCTATTTAAATCATTTGAATCGTGGGGGATGTCGCCGTTCAAGATGGTTGCGTCGAAAAATGAATTTCACTTAAATGCCATTCGCTGTATCTTGTCTTGCTCTGCCATTGATCCGTCAGTTCTGAAGTTGCAAATGCACATTGGTGCTGTCAAATTGGTCAAATTCCCTACAACTCGTTGTAGGCAGTCAAAACATGTACACTCTGTGGCACATTATTTGCAAATAGTAGTTTAAAAAACACAGAAGAAATCATGTTTCCTCAAGACCCAGAGTCGTTCAACCACAAATGGGCATACATCAATGGAATCAGAATGCACTATGTTGAAGAGGTACGAAGGCTTATAGACTGTACACTTGTTGCAAACTGGATTTTCCGGCTTTTTGATTGTTCTGCAATCTGTGGAGACTCTTAAACTTATAAACCGTTATTCCGAAGCTGGAATTGACTAGATAGCTCACCAATACGTGTCTCGTAGGGCCCTGCCGATGGTAACTTGTTGGCATCTTTCTGAATTGTGAAACCTCCAAATTAACATTGAAAACTTTGAAGGCCCCTTAATCGTATTGAGTCACGGTTACCCTGGTAAGTAGAATCATGAGATTGTTATATCAAATCCCTCTGTTGCTGTCTTGAACAGGTCTTGTCAAAACGTGGAACTTCAGTTCTACCATTGCTAACGCAATGACCGACCATTTACCTCGCATCGCCGTACGTTTTCTCATCATGTGAACTGACCATACCACTACTGTGTCCTAGATTTCTGGTACGGCTGGAGAAACCAGATACCTGTAAGTGGCCAAACGCCCACTGGCGACCAACCGATTTTGAACAGTCTGACCAACGTTGGAATTGATTTAGTACTTGGCTGCCAAAGGATATCATGTTATATGCCCAGATCAACGTGGGTTTGGACAGAGTTACGGCCCATACGTCGCTCCAGGCGACACAGAGAATTTAAAACAATATGGATGGAAGAACATCACCAAGGATCTTGCTGATCTTTTGACTTACGTGAGCGGATCCAGCACTAGCAAGGCAATCTTCCTTGGACATGACTGGGGCGGAATTGTAAGTATCGAAAGAAAGTAAAAATACTGCGAATCATTCCGGACATCCAATTCTAACCATGAACTCATGGAATTCTAAACACAGGTTGTTTGGAGAATGGCCGGCTGGTATCCAGAGCGTGTAAGAGCTGTCGCTGCCGTCTGTACCCCATATGATCCTCCGAAGACCAAGTACCTACCACTTCCAGGCAAGCAATGGCCTTTTCCGCAGTAGTCTTCTACATGCCACTCACTATGTCACAACTCCACAATTTTCAGAGCTTGTCAAGATACTTCCTCAATTCCAGTATCAATTGTGAGGTCCTTTCATCTCGTTGGGGGGTTTCTGTATATTTTAACCTTGTATTCTTTGCAATGCATTTGTTAGGTGGTTCTGTGAGCCACAGACAGACACGGATCTGCTACAGAATGCAGAACTATACTTTAAAATGATGCTTCGAGGTCGTAAAGATGGACACGCCCGGCTGTTTGCTACAGAGCACATGAAAGGTCTTGATCCCAAGACATATCCACTTGGCAGCATTGTGACACAAAAGGACATTGACTACTATGTCTTGAACTACAAAAGATCTGGATTCCATGCTCCGTTGAACTGGTATCGAACTCGAGAAATTAACTACAAGGTAGAATATACATGTGGTTGAAATACCGTGAGCATTCAGTTTACGTGATTGAATTTCGTAGGATGAGCTCGTCTTGCCTAAAAATCTCGATTTGGAGTGCCTCATGGTAATTGCTACTCAGGACCCGGCTCTACCACCATCTATGGCTAAGAACATGAGCAAATATGTCAAAAACTGTACCTACAAGACAGTAGAAGCTGCACATTGGATGGGCGCTGAGCAACCAGCTCAATTGAACGCCATCTTGGGCGAATGGTTGGACGTTATCAAAACAAAAGTTCCGCTGAAACAAACAGGATCACATCTTTAAATATTGAGAATGATGTTTTTGGTTGCTTGGTTAAAGAAATGGAAGTTTATGACATCACACACTATTTTTGTTGTTTTTGATTGTTTAAAAAGCACACATACGCACTACTTATAGCTTTGGAATCAACACAGTGTCAATGACATGAACGACACCGTTGCTAGTTTGCACGTTGGCCATGACGACGGTGGCGTTGCTAGTTGAACAAGTGATATTCGTTAGCATTTCGATCTACTTGTTCCAAACCGTTATCTCCACGAGTATACCTTCCAGCACCAATTATAGTGACTTTGCCATCAGCCAACGACACTGTCAGAGTTTGACCCAATACGGTGGTGAATTGCTCTCCATCTTTCAATTGGGTAGAAAACGCCGTGGCTGGAATGACGTGATACTCCAAAACTGACGCCAATTGAGAGGTGTTTAGAGTAGCCGTTACGTCGCTGATAGCATCAAAAGCACTGTTGATTGGTGCAAACTATTGGAAAAAGCAACCGGTCAGGATGGTCAGACTGTGCTCCAGTTGTTTCTCTATTGACACACTTACAACTGTGACGGCGTTGAGATTGTCGATGGTTGAAGTCAAGTTTGTTGCGTCAAGAGCATCAACCAGCTCACTCAACGTTGGAACTTGGGCAGCAGTTGCACTGACTGTAGTTGGCAAAGCCAGGACTTTCTTGACGACATGAATGATGCCTTTTTGGTTATTCAATCAACCAAGTTAGAAAGATTCTTTTGAGTCAACCCCAACAACAAAGCAGAAACACCCAATTACCGTTTGAGCAGACCAAGCTCTCAATAACTTTGCCCTGAAACAAGCCAGCATATTGCACATTTACGGCTGTTCCGTCATAGGTGATGATGCTTTGCAAAGGAGTTTGGGCGGTTGGAACAATCGTCAATGGCACATCCGGATCAGGCTTGTAAACAAAGTTTGGGACTGCGTGGAAGGCAAGTGTCTATGTGAAGAGAGTAGATATAATCAGCAATTTGCCGAAACACCAAAGCACGCAGACCATCAACCAGGCTGCTGGATTGTCGAAAAACCAAACTTACTTCGGTTACAGCGTCACCACTAAGATTCAGACCTGGATTCATGTGGACAAAGCTGTTGAAGGCGACGTCTGTGGGAGCCCATAGTGTCACACTAGGAGCTGACAATGCTGCGATGATGCCTGGTCGTGTAATGGCCAATGCCAACAATGTGTCCAGACTATGAGCTGGAATGCGACGAGAGGAGACGATGGAATCAATAAAGAACGAGATGAAAAATGGAATTGTGATCTTTGGGACACGATATGACTAGTGTGCTAGCACCGATCGCATTGCGACGAAACTTCACAATTCGGCACATACCCCTTGGAGTTCCAGTGTTGTTCAAGGCAATCAACTAAGAGTGAAAATCATTGATAAGTATGCATTAAAACAGATCCGGTTAGATCCTTACCGTATCCGGAATATTTGTCGTGTAAGTCGTGACTTTCACATTGCTCTGGAAGGCCAGATTGCCCAATGACACGTATTTCGGCGCCGCAGATGCATATGCGCACATGGCGATCAGCGTGATTACAACTTTGAAGTACATTCTCGTTCGATTTATGTTCGCTTCAAGCTTTTCGGTGTTTGCAGGGCAGCTGAGCTTAAACTTGTGTGCTTGTTTTCAGTGTGACTTAGCAACACAATGGATCCGCTAAAGCCTGATGAAACTTTCAATCATCAGTTCGCGTATAGTTCCAAGGGCCATGGTGGCCAACGGCTTCGAATTCGTATGGACCGATGTTTCTACTGTTCGAAATGCGTAACATTGAAAACACTCACGCTTACCATTTTGGCTAGATTATGTTGATCAAGGTCCAAAGAATGGAGACGTAATTGTCTGTTTACATGGTTTCCCTGGTCTTTGGTACGACTTCAGGTACCAGGTAAATAAAACAACGCTCTCGTTCAAGCACATTTGATTTAGTGTCAATTCTGATTTCCAGTTTTGCCCTTACAAACCTTCGTAATACAAACATTTTGTAAAATAGATCCCAGCTCTGGTACAAAAAGGCTACCGGGTATTTTCATTTGATCTACCTGGTATGTTCCGGAATAAACCTCTGAGTTGTACTGCAGGCTTGTTGCCGTGTTTCCAAATATATCAACTACGGAATTGTGTCGCAGTTTTGACATCAAGTACCTTAGGATATGGACAATCTGATGCGCCTACAGCCAATGATCACGAATCCCTCAAAGTTGGTCTAGTCGTGGAGCCCTTTGCTGGATTGTTTGCTTACTAATCGCGACCATCTGTGATAGATCTATTCCTTTAAGTCGGTCGGAGCCATCGTGCTCGATATCGTAGAGTCAGTCGCGGGAGCAAAGCAAGTCATATTGCTTCAACATGGTAAGTGCACGTCGTTTTTGTTTGTATACATGCAATGCAACACACAGATGCGGATGATATTGAACGAATACGACCTGAAATTAACTTCCAATCTCATTTGACTTTTGTTTAGATTGGGGAGGTAAAACCTAACGTCAAAGAATGCTGACCGAAGTATCCCCATCAGGTGATAATTTGTTTTATTGCAGGAGCACTTGGGTACAGAATGGCTCTGCATTACCCCGATCGTATTAAAGGCATCATGTCTGTATGCACTCCTTATCAACCTCCATCATCTGAATACATCCCATTGGTAAGAAGTCATAATGCAATTGTTGGGAATCGTCGCATGGTGACCGAACCTCATATAGCAAGTCATGGTGGACAAATACCTTCCTCAGTTCGATTATCAGGTACGTTGGACATCGCTTGTTATTCTTTGAATTGCTTGAGCTGACTTGATCATCAGCTTTGGTACGAGAAACCTGAAACCGACGCCGAATTGGAAGCCAATGTGGAGTTCTTCTTTCGTGGGACTATGAGAGGCAAAGAAGAATCACCTGGGATTATGAGAATTCCTCCCTCCGGTTTACACAATGTACCAAGGGACATCAAACTCAGCAAGTACATTTCTCGTCAGGTAAAACTTGAATTGTAGTTGTGCTGCCATCAGATTCATCATTTGAGCCCATTACTTTGCTAGGAATTGGACTATTACGTCCGCCATTATACTCAACGCAAGTTCCACGGGTCCTTAAACTGGTATCGAACTCGGAAAATCAACTTCGACGATGAACTTTCATTGCCAAAGACTTTGCCAATCCCTGTTCTGATGGTAAGAAAAGTGATGCAGATGTCGATTTGCTGATCTCTTGCTGATGTGACTACTCACCATTTGCTCCAGGTTGTTGCAATGCACGATCCATCTTTGAAACCCGCCATGGCCGAGATCATGAAAGACAAGAAACTTGTCCCGCAGTTGACAATGAAACAAGTAGACTCTTCACATTGGGTGATGTGGGAGGCAAAAGCTGTGCTCAATTCCATCTTGTCACAGTGGCTAGATGACAACAAAGCCAAACTGGCTGATAGTAGTAAAAATAAACTTTAGAAGAATGTTTAATATAAGCAGTTGATGCTATACATGGTTCAATGCTACATGTCTACAAAAATCTCCCCACCATACCAACAGCAATCCATATTATTTATCATTATTCTGAAGTCAGAGCTTCAACCAGATCCTCTACAACCACTTCATCTTCTGGCAGTTCTGTACATATTGAAATCAGCCTCTTTAGTCGTTTTATTCGTTCTTCAGCTGCAGCGCGACTCGTTTCTGTTTCTTCACTCAATCTTTTTTTAGCATCACTCGAGTAATCCAGACGACGTCTTAGTTGTGCGAGTTCAGCAGCCAACTCTTCAGGTGTAACAGATGCAGCTGGTGGAGGTGTTTCCAGATTTGAGATTCGGATTTTGACCATACGTTCAAGTTGCCGTTGTAGAATTCGTACACGATCTTTCACTTCTTCTAGTTGTAGACTGGCTGCTTGTAGCTGATCTTGTTCTTTACGTGCCTGCTCCAGCTGATCTGAGGCAGCATTCATTTCATCTTGTGTAATCCTTATTTCTTCTTCAGTTTGCCTCGCTAGAATTCTAAATTCACGTTGAGCGTCATCGACGATATCTTGCACCACTAGATATTGGAGGTTGAGTTTAGCACCAGGATGGGAAACCAAAATGCATCTGGCGAGGGGAAAAAAAGTCGATTCCATTCCTGTAAAAAGGCAATACCTGAGATGAGTTGAGCACCAGCTCCATTGGCCAATATACGTTCTCTAGCCTCTACACTTGAACCGTATGCAAAGTCAGCATCGTCCGCAATGGGTGGTGGAGTTGGGACATCTTCGTCAACATCCTCAAACTCTTCATCGCTGGATTCCATAGCGACATCCGTGAAATCCTAAAATAAATGCTTGTGGGGATATTGATTGAAGAGAATCACTGCTGGCAGTGACACTTACAGAAATGTCCGTGGTCAATACACGTAGGAGTTTAGGATAGTCCTTTGACAAATCTTCAGCCTTGACACCTGCACTATTTGGAATATCTCGCCTACATCCCAGCCTAACCAGAGATTGTGCTACAGTTTTACAAGAGACTCGACAAGCAATATGAAGAGCAGTATCTCCAGCCTTGTCTTGAGCATCTAGAAATGTGGCATCATCAACTCGGGGATGAGACTCGAAATAGTTGGATACGACGGATATATAGGTTTTAGCTGCCGCTGATCGTCCTCTGACACCGGCAGTACAGGCGATATGATGGAATATGGTTCGATTATCATGATCCACATGTCTGACGGCATCACGTAAAAAGTCGAATGTTTGTTGGAAGGTTTCACTGTCGTAATTATTGGTGACCATGACACAGCGTATCAATGGAGTTTCGCCGTTTATATTTACACGGTGTACGTCTGCCCCGGCAGCTAGCAAAGCCTTCATGACATTAATTCGAGCCAAGGCTGCAGCCCAGTGCAATGCGGTATGGTTTTGATCATCTAGTATAAACTCCAGATCGATTTGGAAGGGTGGATGAGACTCTCGTAAGACGTCCAGTGTAGCAGCAGCATCGTCAATAAATATATTCATTAAGGCTTCTCGTTGTCGTTGTTCGTGAGTCATGACTTCTCGTTGACGTCGACTACCAATTGGCATGGGTGATGGTGACGCAGCTCGTCGATCAGATATGTCGTCCATCCTCCCAAGTTGTTCTTCTTTGCCGTCTGCAAAACCCGCACCCCAATCTTGACCTTTACTTCTACGACCTGATGCACCACCATTATTATAAGCATACGGTGATCTCGGTGAGTATGCCTGATTGGAGCTAGCTTCTTCTTCGCCAGGAGGTATGCCATAATATGTATCCACTAGAGGTATGGGTGCCCGTTTTTGTCGTTGGCTTGCACGCGTGGCAGCACTTGCAGCAGCTTCTGCTGCTCTAATGGAAGCGGGCTTTGGACCTACGGATTGTGTAGTTGGATCAAACAAAAGTATAGGTAGAATGATGTCTTCCACTCCGTAACGCTGAGCCAAAGCCCGTCCTTGTTCCATAGGGATCCTAGAGTTTGTGAGGAGTGATGAGTGTCTGAATAATTCTAGATGGATATAAATTTAACAAGCGGACATCAAGATTTGAACCAAGATTGCATGCTGGGTCATGACTAGACCGCCAAACCTGTTGCTGAAACACGCCCACACACCCAACAACATACCAAGTTCCTTGATATTTTCCGTATCCACCCTGTATTTTTTCGTGCTGGCCTAGTAATACTTCCTTCTCGAGAATCTTTGTTCTTTTCTAATAGAGTGTGAAGAGATCAGCAAGAAATGTTCAAATGTTTTTGAAAAAACAGCATCCAAAAGATAGGGAGAATAAGAGGAATTGAATAGACACGACGAACCGGCTTAGATAACCCACAGATCTTGAGGATCTGCGTGCCGTTCAGCCACGAGTCGCTGGTCCTACGCATTATTGGGATATTGTCCTGGACCATCATCTCATACACTGGGACGCCCGAATATACGGCCTCGTAAATGACGGGTGCTTCTGCCATTATTGGGACTTTCTTTGGTGTGTCGAAACGAGTGATGCGTTTGATCAAAGTCCAAAGTCAAACAGCATTGTGTGTTGTCGAAACAGTGGTAAAACATGTACACAAGCAAAAAATCATAAGCATTTAAAGCAAATTTGGACGTCAAGTTGGCGGAATTTACGAACAATCACGTCCTCTTCGAAACAAGACGTGCGTACCAACAACAACAGACTTGTTGCTTGCCCCTGTTGAGTTCTTACATTAGTTACATTGTTTACCAGTCCGATTAAACTCACACCCAAGCTGATGCAAGCGAGAGGCTGAAGACATGAGTGTTTTGCAAGTAATTATACGTGTTCTACAGTTGATCTAGTGCGTTCCTTGCCTGATGCCCCCACATGGAGCAGCAATTGCTCCATCATCAAGCTTTGGAAAACTCCCGCAAGAACTACCCGTAGTTTGAACGCCGCACAGACGTCCTTGACTTCTGTATTGTACTTCCACTTGTGCTTTACCACTTCACTCTCAAAACAAACCAACAAAACCAAGAACAAACCCAGCTGAATCACGTTCGTTACTAGATAACAAAAGACCCACTCGAACGATAAGATGTCACTCGCTGCTGCTGAGACGGTTCGCCCATTCGATGGAGTCACCAAACTTGCTCGTGTATCCAAGAACCAGTATCGCCATTTTATCGAAACAGACAGTTTTTTGATCCACTCTGGGTAAGTAGCGGCTCAAGTCGGAATTGATTGACTCTTAACGCTTACTGTATTCTATGATAGAGGAACTTGGGGCGGCTGGGTCTCTTTACTCTCTTGTCTCTATCATCACAAAATGCTAATCCATGTTTTGTCGGAAAAATAGGTAAACGGTTGTGCAGTCAATGTGTGTCTGCGATACCTCGAAGATGAATATCCAGGTCGATTTCCTCATCCTCTGATCTCTCACGTACGTCATTCTTTCAAGAACGCTCGCTAAATGGTCTCTGACCTCACTCCTACGTTTATGTATTCATTCAGGTCCAATGTATCGGAGCTCCACCTCCAAAGTCGACCTTGATCATTACGTTGGACGTATTACATGCTGGGAAAAGTGGGTCCTCACTCCATCGTTTGCTTCTGAAATATCTTATGTAGTGAATCAATTGTGCGTAGATTTGGCTTATGTTACCGGCACAGCTCGAATCGAGTCTACTGGAAAGGCAATGTTTACAGTCCAATTGACTGGGATAAACATGTACAAGGACGCCGAAGAGATATTCAAGTTTAATCAGGAGATGCTAGAGTGCCCAACACTACCATCCTACGAGGATTGTGTTGAACGACCAAAACGATCGTCGCTCCCAGGTTCTGGAATACCTCATGGACGTTTACCACAAGAAGATATGGATGCTAGCATGGTGCTCGTCCGCAAACTGATCAAGAAGGACTTGTCTCATGGAAGGAAGGGTGTACATCCAGCTGCGTATTTCGCTTTCGGAGGAAATCGTCCATTCGACTGGGCGCAGCTAGCAGCAATGTGCGATGCATACACTGTACCCCCCGTCACCGCTATGTGGCAAACGAGATACTCTGGCTCCATCTGCTTCTCATGTCACTACTTCTCGCCGCCAAAGGCAGCACCGGAAGGAGAACGTAATTACATTATAGCAACCACCCTAGAGCGCGTATGGAGTGGTCGTGGAGATGCAGAGATGTGGATATGGGATGGTCACGACAAAACACCCCTGATGGTCGCTCGGCAAAGTACGTGTAGATTTGCTGGTCTGTCAAGCATTTTTTGCGGATAATCTTTATGACTGCTCACTGACCATCGTCCGTCTGTAGTGTCTGTCAATTGGACAGGCCCACGTATGAGGTCGAAGAAGAGGCCAGCTAAATTATAGAGCCCAGAACAAATTAGAATTACTTGAATTAGAATGCCTGAAACTAGATTGAAGTGAGTGAAAACAAATAGATGGATTTTGCCAAGAGTTTCAGGAATCGTCGCGTTTTCCTGTTTCCTTTCCTGTCCTGATCTGTCTTGATCAAGTCCTCGAGACAACCTTAATCAGGTTCTGTCGCGTATTAGCATGAATCCTCTTTCGTTCTAGCTCGTTCAATTGAAGCAGATAGACGGGTTGATTGCTTGATTTTTCGTTTCGAGAAGGCCAACCAAACAGCAACAAAATGGCAGACGAAGTAGCAACCAACTTGGCCGGAGTTAAGCATATAGTACTAGTTCTATCGGGAAAAGGTGGCGTTGGCAAGTCCACTGTGTCGACAGAGCTAGCTTTATCGTTGCATGCAAGTGGCAAACGAGTTGGAGTGCTTGATATTGACTTAACTGGCCCGAGCATACCACGAATGTTTGGTCTCAATGATCGACAAGTATTGCAAGCTTCTACTGGGTAAGCTCATCGTACTCTTGGATGTCTGTGATCAAAACATTTTGCTGACATTTGTCATCTCGTTCAAGTTGGGTTCCAGTGTATGCCGATGAAGAGCAGAGGCTAGCTGTCATGTCTTTGGGCTTCTTGCTACGGAATAAGGACGATGCTGTTATATGGCGAGGGCCTAAGAAGAATGGTACGAAAGCTTTTCACAACTTGAAGCATTTGCAAGCAACAGGCTCACGAACCAATGTTCATTATAGCTATGATCAAACAGTTCTTGACGGACGTCACATGGGGATCTCTAGACTATCTGATCATTGATACACCACCAGGTACAGCAATCAGAACTATTCCGGGAATCACAAACGCCTTACTCAACTCCGTTGTTACAGGAACTTCGGACGAGCACATATCGATCGCCGAGTACCTAAAAGAACACAATCCAGAAGGCGCTGTCATAGTCACCACTCCACAAGCAGTCTCACTATCAGATGTTCGCAAAGAACTCAGCTTTTGCAAGAAGGTCAAGATACCGATTCTGGGAATAGTTGAAAATATGAGTGGCTACATATGTCCTCACTGTGCTGAACATCATGACTTGTTTTCCTCTGGTGGTGGAGAAGCTCTTGCTACCGAGTTCCAAGTGCCTTTTCTTGGTGAGTTCTATGATGACCTGTCACTTGTATTATTGAAGTAATGAGCTCGAGTCTCGATTAACTGATGTTATGTCTATTTCAGGTCGAGTACCGCTAGATTCCAGCTTGACTACAATGGTTGAACAAGATGGTGGTAGTTTTGTGAATCGATTCAAGGATTCCAATCTCTACCCTGTCTTTATGGGAATTACTCAGAAAGTTGTGTCGACGTGTGAGCCTGTAGTAGCTCCCAACGGTCATCATGAAAATGAGGTTGTGAAAGAACTTGGGAACACGGGCCACGATTCGCAAAGTGGAGATCAAGTGCAGTAAATTTACGCGATATGTCGTGATATAACATAGGATTCAAGATTCAAGTCACTGTTCACTGTAATATTAGTTTCCAATATAGACCTCTCAGCCTGTATTTGCTTTGTCACATCTTTGTCATCATTTGTTCAGACAACTGGCAGTTAAGCACTCCCATCCATCCATCGCTGTTCCAACAAGAAACCAGGTAAAGGAGACTACCTTCATATCCAAAAGCTATCATCGAGGCCCAGGAATTCTATGAGACCAAGAAACCGTGTCGGATGTCAATCTTTGGCAAAAAAGTCGTTATGAGCAGCACAACATCTTCCCCTTGATTTTGGAAGTCTGAAACGACTGAATAGTGGATCAGAATGTCATGAATGGACTATTGTATGCTACTTCTCTGGTTAGCAATCAGTGATTTTTGTTGAAGGGACACCTATTCCCCAACATTATCGAAAGTCGCTCTCATGAATCCTTCTTAATGGCAAAGAGAAGAGACACTCATGAAAGCAAGCAATATCAATGAGATGAATGGGAATGTCTTGTATTCTTGTACTCTGTTGTTTGGGATGGTTGTTTTGAGCTTTAGGAGCTCATTCAGGCCCAAACGACACTGGTATTCTCAAGAAACAACATTTCAATTCAAAAATGTCTCTGCAATTAAGCTTTTATGAATCGCAGTCGTGTCAAAAGATGTTGAGCCTCAAGTCCTTTTCTGCCAAACGACATGACACACGCGACACTCATATGAAGCTGGCATCCAACGATGATGGCGGGGGTATCATTGTGGCGTTTTGGATGTAGAACCTGGCATACTCACGCTTTTCATTTTCCTCTAGAATATCCCCTTCTCCCACTGTCGATTAAAAACTAGTTTACAATCATGGTTCGCATGTCTGTATTGGTAAGGCAATGTAGGCCTTTGTACCAACTATGGATTGTGTATTCATTATTCTTGAATTGTCTACAGGCTGACTGCTTAAAGTCCATCATCAACGCTGAAAAGAGAGGAAAGAGACAAGTCTTGATCCGTCCATCTTCCAAAGTCATCATCAAGTTCTTGTCTGTGATGCAAAAGCATGGCAAGTATATTTAAGATGTGTTTGCAGATTGTCGAGTCCATGGATGCACTGTTTCTCGAAGTCAGTTCCTTGATTGGAACTTGAAAGACGGTCGGTTTGCTACCTATCATGATGTGCATTGGCCACATAAAGCTTCGATAGAGCAATTAGAGATGAGGACTTACACCCCCTTTATGTTTGACCATGATATTGTTGGGGTTTAATCCGTCGTCACATTTCACCTGCATATGCGTTTTACTCTCGAACTAAAGATGGGTTGGCAAAATGTTGAACTAACAGGTCACTTCTCAACACAACAGGTTACATTGGTGAATTCGAAGTTGTCGATGACCATCGATCAGGCAAAATCATCATTCAATTGACTGGTCGTCTCAACAAGTGTGGTGTCATTTCACCACGATTCAATCTTAAATTGGTTGAAGTTGAAAAATGGGTCAACAACTTGTTGCCAAGTCGTCAATTCGGTTTCTTGGTTTTGACTACATCAGCTGGTATCATGGATCACCAAGAAGCTCGTAGAAAGGTGTGTATACGGGTTTGTATTGGACTTGTGTGGTTTGCGCAGTGATTAACAAATATCTTTTATAGCAAACTGGTGGTAAAATTCTAGGATATTTCTACTAATCTAGTAGTGCTGGTAGTTTGTACTATATAAAAAAGTCATCTTGCACCTTACGTGGAACTTTTGTTTGGGGCTCGCGTCGCGTGTCGTTCATTGGCGAGAACTCAGCATATCAGATCGACCATCGACTAGGTCACTAGGTCTTAGTCCTTGGAACTTCTCGCGCAAGGCTTCGCCATTTCTTGAACACTGTTTGGCTTGAATTCCTTGAAATGTAATAATGTAAAGTATATTCCATTTACAAGTCCAAATTTTGGCTGCAACAGCATGGCTGCCTGCTGAGCTGACTGACAAGATACTCGAATATATAGAAATCGACGGATTGATAGATGTCAAGACTCTTGCTCACGTTGCTCTTGCATCGAAACAATGGAAGGAATGTGTAAGATGGTGTTGTTGCAGTCGATGACGCTCCAAACTAAAATTACCTAAATAGGCTCTTCGTATACTTTACAAGGCACTGTCTCCAGGTTGTTTTCATAGTTTGGACGTCATTTTTGCAAATGAAACATCATTTGGACAAGATGCTATAAACGTCTCAAGTTACTGGAATTGGAAGAAATACAACTAGAAGAGCATACGAATGATGTCGCCTGTGACTGGTATGTGTAAACTTTACCATGTCGATGGAATTCCAACATGTTTTAACTAACCTTAACGCAGCTTTAGCGTCCTCATCCTTGATGAGCAACGCATCACTCGTGTGCTAGCGCGCAGCAGACTCCGACAAGTCACGATGATCCAAATTTGCCCGAGCATAATGAACTATGCCCGACAACTAGATACCATTGAGCTTGGCCATTCAGATCACATGGCAGACGTCGACGAAGAACTCGCCCGCTCATTTGCCAGACATAGTCCTAACTGTAAACTCAACATTGAAATTCGTGGATACCTAGACTCAGCCTCATTGGTGAACCCCATTCGCCACATCAAAATTAGAATCTCTATTAGCCCTTACCGTCTGAATATGTCACTGCTCTTGCAAGGACTCCCAAAAGTTAAGCATCGACAGCTTGACATCATTCTTTTCAGTTGGTACCGATGATATTGCTGGATGGAACCTTGCCTCAGAGGATTGGGACTTGTCAGCGTATCGAAATCTCAAGATAGTAGCTGTAGATGCCTTAGAGGCTTCAAATGGCACAATCACTGACGACTCCAGATGCAAAGTCGAAGCTTGAAGAGGTCACGTTTGGCCAATGTCTCGTACCCGAACGACAATCAGGGATCGCAACAAATCTTATTGAACGACATTCCAGCTCTCTTATCAAAATTAATGTAGGCGGCTATATCTTGTTCCAGCCAGAGGTCACATTCCCAATTCCAAATCTTGAAGCCATCGGGTTACCATCCAACAAGACACAAGCTGTGTCTCTTATATCGAGATATGGTAGCCAACTCAAAGAGGTGACAATCTACCATCCATACGATGAAATGAATTCCCTAAAAGTGGCTGACTTGTCCTAATCTGGTATCAATCTTCATCCCCTTCAACACAAACCACCAGTACATTGAGCTTGTACCCACCGAAATGAGCAAGTTTCAGTATTTGGATTGTAATCGCAATAGAGTGTCTCGTGAATTAGCAGAACGTATTGCCAATGTGCGAGTGAGAAAAATATGAAAGTTTGTCGGAACATATACGGAACAGGTGATTCTCATCGCCGGAAGTCACATTGGCATCGTATGCAATCTCTACAGGAAGGCTGCTATTCAGTACCGATAAGGAAGTGCGTGCTGCTATAAATTGAGAACAAAACTTGCTATAGAGCAATAGTTATCACGTAAGGTTGAGGAAGACGTATAAGTCGCTTCACAATTGTCAACTCGCATGTTTATAGCATATAGCTATCTTTTATTTACCTTTGTACATCGCTTCTAGATATAGATAAAAAATCTCACTCACGAACGCGAAGAAGACGAATAATTTTCGGTTGGCAGATATGGCTAATGTCAAAAAGCAAACCGAAGTTATAGTCCAATAGTCTTTCGCGGTTATTTCCGGTTATTTCTTTCTAGATTTCTTTGTTGTTGAGTCTTTGCCGAACCACTCAACACGACGAATCACTGTTCCCTCGAGATAAGAACAACATTAGCTCAGGAGAAGGGCGCACCAGGACATTAACTGGCAAGTACATACTATAACTCTTAGTTTCGATGCAAGCCATCATCGTTCTGGGCCTCTTGCTCTGACAATACGAACACAAGAACTCACCTAATACTCGTTGCTATTTAGGAACCAACCATGCAAGAAGAGACCTCATCAGCTCCAGTGCCAGCAGCTTCTGCAGCCAGTGGACGTTCGGCAGCTGCAATCAAGATATTAGAATATTTGCAAAATCCTGAAGAAATTGTCCAAACCTCTTCGACCAAACCAAACCCCTTTGGAAATGCCAAACCACAAAAAATGACATGTGAGTACATTAGTACTTGATCTCGTATCCACCCTTGGTCTTGTTTGGTGTGTCTCGGGTGCATCTACCCTGAGATTGTGTTGCAATTATCATGTGGTGTTTTGTGCCTCCTCGACCTCGGAAGGAACGAACGATTCATTTGACTCGTCAATTCTTCTTTATTTAAATGTATTTGTACATGCCTGGTCATTCGCTTGCAGTTTGTCCAATGATTCTTGTTTCGCAAACATACATCTCTGCAACACTCTAAAACATCGACTCACTCTTCCGCAACGCAACGCTGTTATAGCTGACATGGAAGAACGTCTTGCTAAACGATTTGAAGCCATTGACCTCGAGCGTGAGGAATCCATAAAAAAGAAGGCCGAAGCTATTGCAGCAAGTCAATCAAAACGAGAACAACAACAGCAATCTCAACCTCAACAATCCCAACAACAGCCAAGCCAACATCACAACAATAATAATGGCCAGTCGTATCAACATCGTCAACAACGTCCTGGGCAAAATTCTCGACCTCCACAAAGTGCGTATTTTGTGTCTTTGAGACTGACTTGCTGCAAATATGCTGATTACTTTCTGAATAGCTGGATTCACTGGTGTCATGACTCCTCGAAACAACTATGTACCTCAACAACGCGCTGACGAAGTCAATTCTATTCCTCATGAAGGCTACATATGCAAACTATGCTACGTACCTGGTCATTGGATGAAGAGTAAGAAATAATTACTGTTCTCATTATCTCTATGTTTATGCACACGTTTAAAAATCGAAACCTTCATTTCCAGACTGCTCAATGTTCAAAGCTTATGGAGATGGACGACCTCAAACTGGAAACGGTACCTCTCCTGCTCCTGGTGGATATCAACGTCCATATCAAGTGTCCAACGGTGGTGATTCATACAACCGAGGCGGCGGTGGTGGGCAAACATATCCTGCATTTGCCAATCCTCGTCAACAACAGCAACAACAACACCAGCAGCCATATCAACAACATGCCCCACATCCACCGCCCGATCGAAACTCAGTTCCCCCAGAAGGGTATTGCTGCAGGTACGAAAGGTTGAGACTCTTTTGGTTTTCTTGTCTCTCACGCTCAAACATTTGTTTTTCAGATTGTGTAGTCAACCTGGACATTGGATCAATTATTGTCCAGAACAGAAACCTCGAGCCCCTCCAGCTGGATACATATGTCGGTAAGAACGCCTTTAGGTTGTGTTGTCCACTTTTACAAAGAAGATCCGCTCACATACCTTTTTTTCTCATTGATCCAGTCTTTGCCAAATCGAAGGGCACTATATTCAAGACTGTACCCAAAAGCCAAATGGCTCTACCCCGGCAAACGTCGCTTGAAAAAAAGGGGGTTATAATAGCAAGATGTAGGAAGAGATGATGTAGCAGTTGCGCTTTGTAATTTTTGTAGCACAATAATGAAACGAATTACCAAGATCATGATTTTTTGAAACAGTTTTCTTCATATTGCTGTAGCAGAAAAAAAATACAGAAGACTTTTAAGACATTTTGGCGTTAAAATTTAAACCTTTTAAATGAATGCATTATATTATTTGCAAACTCCTCCTCCTTCAACCATCTTCGTAATCTGAATCACCATCCTCCTCATCTTCCTCCGCATCCAATTCCGCCGTGGTTCTCTTTCTATCTTCGGGTTCTGGTGTTTGTTGTATGTGCCCGTGGGACGAAGGAAGCAAGAAACTACCATCACTTCCTAGCGAATTTCCGTAATCTCCATACTGATAGTTGTAGTCTTCCATGGTATGCAGACCGTCCATAGATTTGGCTCTACGAGTTGGTGCTGAGCTACTTCCACCATTGTATCCTGATGGCGAAGTACTCAACGAGGATTCAACACTCCCACCCATCGATCTGACTCTACTGGTACATGCAGATTCCTTGCCTGGTTCAGATGCTCGAGTATGGCGTCTCAAAGCATCAGATCGAGCAAAGGCTTTCCCACAAACTGGGCAGACATACGACTTGACACCACTAAATGGTTTTGCGCATGTGTACTGTTAGTGTTTGGCATTAGACAAAAGAGTCAGGAATCACTTACGCATGGAGCTTTGCATGTCTTTTGAGGTCATGCTTCCTACTGAACTGTAGTTCACAATGGGGGCAGGCAAATGGCCTCTCACCCGTATGAGAGCGATAATGCGACTTTAAATTATATGGTCGTGTAAATGCTAGCGGTGTCATTTAGTAAGGTTAGACAATCAGTCTTTCTGCGCACGACCAAAAAGCATTACGTACTTTTACCACAGCCTGGATGTGGACATTGATAAAGCGTGGTCTTCATAACAGGTTTGCCATCAGGCCCAATCGTGTTGGTGGGTGCAACGATTGGTATAGGTTTTGGCTGTTCAGCAGGCCTGGGTTCGTCAAAAGACCTCTTCGGCATTGCATCAGAAGACTTGGATCTTTTGCGATCTGAATCTGCCGATACTTCTCTCTTTACTGATTTACTAGGTTTGCGTTGATGTTGATGTTGCTGTGGTTGGATTTGGTTTGATGATACTACTTGCTGAGCGACTTGATATTGTTGTTGACTGATGACGTGTGGGTCCATTACACCTTGTTGTTGTTGATCGGTTGGTACGAGTGGTTCGGAATGTAGAGCCATGCGATACTGTGCGATTATATCTTCAAATGATCTATCTCCTAGGAGATTATTCGTGCCAATCGGATTATTTGAATATTGGTATTGTCGATGCTGCTGTTCCATATTTGGAACACCTCCCAAACCACCTACAGATCCTGAAGACTCATGCCCAACGAAACCCATTCCGTTCATTGTACTGTTATCTAGTGATAATCCCAAGTAATCCTCTGTCGGTGGGTACGGGTTGTAAAGGTATGGTTGTGGCATTATTAATGGTGAAGTCTCTGGTGACGGTATAGCTCGTATCAATGGTGATGGGATTGGCAATATTTCAGTACTAGAATTAGATGGTGATGTAGATAATGGTTGTCCTAATGACAGTGTATTCAGTTGCAACCTCGATAAAGACTCGTTACTATTTGATCGTGGTCGAGGACTAGCTCCACGGCGCTCTTGTAGCTGTATATTGCTATTAAGAGGTTGGCTGCCGTTATTATAGCTTGGTCGTCGTGACAAACCCAAGAAGCCTCCATCTTCATAGACAAAGGCAGTGGTGTTGTTTGTTGAATCGACACCATCTCCTAGATCCGAGTCCGAGTATATAGATGAGCCATCTTCATCGGACTCTCCTGACGAGTAAGCGTATATAGAGGGTGGTAACATGGCCTCGGCGTGTTGGAATCCTGGTTGTAGTACTGGTGATGCGGACTCTACAGATAGCTGTGGGACATAAAAGTCGTCAAGAGTAGGCATGAAAGGGACATTACTACTGCCAGCAGAAGATGGATCAGGAGTTACATATGCAGTATTCGTCATATAAGGTGATTGTTCGATTTCGATAGATACTCGGCGGCTAGTGGTGTTTGTTGGAGAGTGGTCGGACACTACAGAAGTCCTTCGTAGCTTTTCACTAATCCTCCTCGTCAAATTAACCTGTTGGGACTCGAGCTGTTCTTGTTCAGCCAGCAACTCCAAAAGGCCTTCCTCTTCAACAGATGTTGTCGAATAGCCACTAGTGAAGCCGTCCGAAGGGCTACCATTTGCATTGTATGATATCTCCATTACGTCTATATACGGGCTGTCTCTTGCATTGGGCTTTCCAGTGTTGTGACTCTGTTGTTGTTCAATGGTTTGGTGATAGAATTGCTCATGTTGCTGCAATGCTAGAAGATAGTCAGCACCATCTGCAGGCAGGGCTGCATTTGGAGCTTCCATCTACTTCTTGAGTCGAGTTGTTATTCTTTGACTCAACCTCTATTCTCTTCAGCCAGTGGTTGACCGTAGATGCAAAGGTCGAGCACAAGGGATTTCAAGACTTCGGAAGCACGTTGGAATAAATTGGACGGTTTATCATATATTTTGAAGCGTGTACTGCTATCAGATACTAAGAATCTTGCCGTAAGGGAATTGAAAGATGGACTGTAGAATTGACTGTTGGATGGCTGTGTAATTGAACGGCAATAAAATTCGAGGCTTTTTTCATATCGAGTCAGTCAAGCCAGTCCTGAAACCGAGTTGTACAATTATACTGAGAGGATTTCATACTGCTAAACTCTGTTGTTACCTATCCCTTCGCACCTATCGATTGACCAAATTGTATTGCTAATTGTTGGCTACAAACCCGACATATTAAAAAGGTCGACTAATAGCACAAGACTCTGTGAATCATATTAAACGGATTTCCGGCACTATACCGTCATAAAAAGGTCACGATCCAAACTGTGGCAAAACGGTGGCACTGCCGTTTTGTGTTTGTGCGGGCAACAGGCCTTGTATTTATGGACAGATTACCACTTGCTGCTCCTTCAGGATGGCTCCACTAGTTGATGGCGAGCTAATATCACCACCATTGTATCCTGACGTGAGGTATTAACGACCTACCTGTACAAATACTATCACACGTTAATCTCAATCTAGGGCAGCAGTCTTCGTTCACATCCTCCACTGTGACATCTGAACGCAGCGGATCGTGCCATGACCTTCTCACAACCAGACTCATGACGTGGTGCCACGAATGATGTTGGACGCAATTTCGGTTGGTGTTTGATACCACAGAGTCAAAAGCGGGTTTCAAATGGAGCACGGCATGACTTTTGAGGGCATGTTTACTATGAAATTGTGACGCCAATTACAACTGGCATGTCGCCTTTCACCCATAGAAGAGACAAGGCGAATTGTTTGTTGAATATGCACGGGTTGTCTCGAATACGGTCTGGAATGATGGCGGAGGAGAAGTTGCGAAGGCCTAGGAGAAGGATCTTTGCATACGAGATAAACCAAACACTACGGTTCTGCGTCACACTGACACATCATCAGATCGACATTGTCTTTGCAAAAGCGAGTATCAAGCAGACATAATAAGCCGATCGAGCACGGCAAAGCGACTGAGATAACTTAAACTGACATTCATCGATGTCAGCGAAATACTTGAAGAAGAGTTCTTGCTCTTGCGGACCGACATAGTTCCATGACACCGAGTGGCGAGAAATTGACTGTAAGTCAAAACAAAATGTACTGCTACTGGTGCGTTTGTGCTGCGCTGTCGCTAAAGTGCTCCCCGTTGATATGGAAAAATGTTGCTTTTATTTTCACTTTTGCTCCAACTCGACCTTTTGATGCAAGACGAAGAAAAAATTAGAAATGAGTCCATAGTGAATGTTCAGACCGACAGTAAACCTTACCAATACACCATTACAGTCTTTTGGATGTAAAAAGACGACGGGTTTACCATGAGCTCCAATCTTTGGTTCGGGATTCAGAGCACGGATCTTTTTAGCAGTTAAATCCTTGATGGCAGCTCGAATGTCATCAACCTTCGTGTTTGGAATAATAACGTTGGTTAGATTACTCAAAGATGATTCCTATTCTCGACTTGATGAAACCTACTTCAATGCAAACGTGGTGTATTCCACCATCCTTGTTCTTGTTCAAAAAGTTTTGAATAGGGCTCTTGTCACCCAATGGATGTACTAAAGTGATGAGTTATCGGTGAAAATCGAGAAGGAGGTTTGTGTATTCGATTCAATTTACATAGTTCAAACTTGGTGTTGCCCAACTCCACGAAGACAGTGTATACACCATGTTCAGGTAGAGCCTAGCAGTAATAATGAGGTGTATTAGACTAGGATACATGAGATGATGCAATCTCGGCAAAAGTGAAGGATGAGCTGCATTCAAATTTTCTTCGCATCATCCCAAGATTTGGAAGTCTGATCCGATGGAAGCAGTCATTTCTTCGATAAGGATCCCTTGCAGCTCATTCTCTCTTGTAGCATACCTCTTTTCCAGAAACTTTGGCACCCAAGACATTCTTGTAGAATGCAGCCGACTTTTCAATGTCTGGCACGGCAATTGCCACATGATTGAGAGCTCCTAGAGTCCATACTGGATGTGACTATTAAGGAATTGCGTTTACGTTAGCTTAATGTATACCTCGTTGCCTGAAATTGTAACATTCTCAAATATTGACTGTTGCTTGCCTGGTCGACAGTAGCGAGCGAACGAGCAGATTGCACAATTGGAGTGGCTCTTGCGGCCCGTGTGCATGTGGTGGCGACGGCTCTGAACATTGTTGTCTCGTCCTTGTTGTATTGGAAAATTGCAATTTTGTGTTTTGAGAGGTTTTCAAGACCGTTCGCTCCAAGCAACGCAGCAAGCCGCAAGACTCCTCTCTGAATGTCTTAAAAGCTACTGTATTCACGTGAATTCAAGTTAAATCGCATCCCGTTTGCCTGCTTTATGTTATAAGGACTCCACAGGTAACTTGCCTGGAAACCTTAAATTCAATTAGATCTGGCTTACAGCGGTCACCAGCTCATCGTAAGCTGTATGTTCTCATACATGAGTTGCATTATTTCGTACTATCTTTGCTAAAGCACTCGTCTTCATTCTAGAGATTATATCAAACTAGTCATCGCACGAGCAAGCACGAACATCCGCGAATGGACTCTTCTCCGCCTCCTCTGCCAGAGCCCACATCGAAGCCAAATGAAACTACCCCTATACTGTCAAGTCCAACGAAACCCGCTGATGAACAAGTATCCGTCGACATCACAGACTACAACACCGCAACATCCGACGATGCCCCAAAAGCTCGGAAATACTCACTAGGCAAAGCTCTATATGCTGTCAGAAAACAGCAACAAGCTAGTGTTGCTACTGGATCTGCTCGACCAACCGTCGAATCACCTGAACCAATTGTAGTCGACGACGACTATGTGCCTCCATCACCACATAAGTCTCATCATTATCCTCATATGCCTGCATCACCAACAAAGTCCGGTACCACTCCTCGTGGCATGAGTGCATCCGATAGATGGGCTGCTGCTGGAAAGAAGGTCGTCAATGTAAATAGGATTGGCAGTGCTGGTCGTCTTTTCAACGAACCAGGCGTAAATATGAGGTGTAAGTGCTTGTGAGGCTCTCATTCCGACTGATTGATTGATTTTGTCGTTCTTTCTTAGCACCACCAGAACACTTGTTGAAAATCCGTGGCCATTGCACGATCACAGTGTGGCAATACGATGAACATCGTTGCTCGACCGAAGTACTTACAAACGATGATCTACCCAAATTCCTAGAGACTCCTGTAAGTCAGCTAGTGGATTCTTGCCACGTTCGTGTTGCAACTAAACAAGCCTTTTTGACCGGTTTTAGCGACCATCATATAGCAAAGTCCGTTGGATAAACATTCAAGGCATGGATTTTGAAGTCATTCGTGCTTTGGCTCACACATATGACTTGCATCCGTTGGCTATTGAAGATGTATTTCATACACCACAGAGGATAAAGACTGACCAATGTGAGTGAATTCGTTGCAAACAAGCACATTAAATCATGAAATTGAACCTGAACCTTCGAAACATAGATGAGAACTCTCTCTTCGTATCCATGCTGGTCTTTACATTATTACAGCAAGGAGACCGTAAATCGTTAGACCACGCCAACCAATTCGAGACTCGACTGTTTACAAATAGGCCTGACAGATTGAGTGATCCAGATATACCGCTGCCTGAAATCGTAGTAGAACAGTGCAGTTTCTTCTTGACAAAGGACGGAACTGTCATTTCTATATTCCAGCATCAAGGGTCGACTATATCGTCCTTGTTGCGTCTTAGAGTAGAGACGCCCAAGACTCTATTACGAGATTCATGTGATGCCAGTTTCTTGCTACATGCTCTCGTCGATGCTGTAGTAGATCATGCACTAGTCATACCTTCTGCTTATGAAAAACAGATTGGTATCTTAGAAGAGATGGTCATGCAACGACCAAGAAGTGCTCATACTAAGGCACTGCATCTCATTGGCAAGGAGCTGAGTTTGCTCAGAAGGATGCTGGGACCTGCGAGAATTACGATTGATTTTCTCGCTGGAAAGGTATATAATCATAGCTTTGTCATGATACTCTTCTGGATTATTGATCTCACCTTCCGAATTATTGATTTTACCTTTTGAACTATTGTAGGGTAGAGATTCGTCATCCAAATTCATCCTGAACCATGGTACTGGAATATACTTTGCGGATATTGCTGATCATATTGTCAGTGTGCTTGAGAACCTCAGGTAGCTTTTTTCATTGACAAGGAATATGGATACATACAGCATTATGAACCCATTTCTTTATTTTTTCTTTAGGTCAATGGAGGAAGAGACTAAGGTATGTAAAGTCAGTAAAATAGAAAGCCGTGAATACTCTTTGTTGTGCGGAGGTTTCAAAATTCCAAGACCTGGCTTCTAACCAAATTCTCCCTTTAGGAATTGGTCAATTTGATCTTCAATACAATCTCACACAGTACAAATCAAGTCATGAAAATCTTGGCGGTGAGGAACCAAAGAAAGAACGAAAAGCACTCGACGAATGCAACCCAGGCTTAAAAGAGTCAATTCTAGGTTGTGAGTGTCGTCTTCCTTCCTCTGACATTTATAGCAGGCTACTTTGGTCAGAACTTTGTTAACTTTGTAAGAGTCTTGAAGGATCAATTTCTAAAATTAGTTGGTCCACGCCTTGTGATTCTTTCTAACAATTTAACGCCTCGTGATTCTTTCTAACAATTTACTTATGTATTTATAGCCTGAAATTCACTTTGACCTCGGTATCTGGTACTTTTGGCTCTGGACGGCCTTCACAATCGTATGTGATGGCACCAAATATGAATCAATTCTTGAAGGCAAAAAACCTCACTCCATCTTATGACATATCCCTTCTGTTGTAGGTTGTCACATTCATCTTCTTCTTCTGGGCTCGCCTCTTGTCTCTTGATAGTATGGTGAGAGCGTTTCGTCGTAGCCGTTAAACTGAAAAGCCACTCAACACCAGTATTTTTATTCGATGTATTCCTTGTATATTCTTTTGTCTGAATAACTACATTTTACTGTGTAATCTTTTGGTTCATGATGGATGGTAACTTTTAAATATGATGTGTGTTTGTGTGTGCTTTCTGAGAGGAACCCCAATCACAAAATGCGAATACGAATAGTGGAGCTCAACATGGCCAAGTTGGCGACTAAACAAAGCACAAGCACAATGTGTGAATGATTTTGCTCACAAGAAGCGCTTTAATCAGTATTGTCATGCTTAGTATGCATACCTATTTCTGTGGCAACATTCTCAGTAGCAACGTCTGCAATCAAATATCTACAAGGGAAATTTGAAGTGAGGTTAGTTCTCATCCAGATGACTTGGGCTTTCATGTTTTTACCCCAATCCATTCTGAGTATCCAAAACTTGTTTCTGGACATTGTAGGAAGACAGAATTCCATCAATCTCACGTAATACACCTCGAACTGCGTAAAAGGAAGACAGAGTGTCACGCCAATTAGCCGTTTATCACAAGTGTTGTCCAAACTCCTTTTCTCACCATTGCGATGCATGTTCAAGATTCGTCGTTGGCCAGATTTGATGGGCCATGCAATAACAGATGGGAAATTGACTGATCCAAATGTGCTTCCATCTTTGATATACCTTTTCAAAATCGTGTGTTTAGAGAACATCTGAGACTGTTCGTTTTGTGCATTTGCAGTCTCTCTCGTTTACCTAACAATACTGTTTGCGACTTCTATTCCAATCCTTAACTTTGCTTCCACAGTAGAGTCTCCAATTGATGGCGTAAGAATGACATTTTTCAGACCATCAAATGGATTTTTGAAGGCAGCCTTTGCATTTTTAGGCTGCGATGGGAAGCTGTCTAGTGCAGCACCACCCAAATGACCTGACTTGAGACCATCAGCCAGGGCTTCAACGTCCACCTAAATTTATAAATCCAAGTCAGTCACTAACGTTCGCTGTGAAGAAAACCACATCATCAACAATAAGCTCACAGCTTCTCCATATGACGTGTTGATCAAGTAGGAACCCTTCTTCATCCAAGCCAGCTGTTCTTTTCCAATCATTTTCACATTATGCGGTCCTTCGGATACACCCAAAACGACATAATTGCTGTTTTCAAGAAGATCCTTGATAGTTGGAACAGGTTTTGCTGAACCAATTGGCATCACTGCATCGGCGTCATAGAAAATTACGCGTAAAGACAGAGCTTCCGCCATGACCCTATAGTTCAAAAACGATAATGTGTTGGGTAATCGTGGAGTAAACGAGCTTGCATATGAACAGTATAGTATTTACCCAACTTGACTGCCCACATGCCCGTATCCAATTATGCCCAGCGTCTTCCCTCGTACTTCAAAACAATCGGCAGAGACCTTGTTCCAGACCTGCTGATGGACTTCTGAAGAACGGTCTAGTAACTGTCGAGAGAGCAACACTATGGCGGATATGATGTATTCTGCCTAATGTAATGAATCAAACACGTTAATTATCAATCTTTTACTAAATTTTGAGACCATTTAAAGCACACCATGGACTTTTGATGTTGGTAGGGAGCCACAAAGACGGGGATGCCTCCTGTTTGAGCTGCCTGTAGGTCGATTTGAGTGGTTGCTCCCGTTCTATTCGTGTTTCCGATACACAGCAAGCGATGGGCGCTCTTCAAGACCTCATCCGTCAGATATTCTTCTTCTCGGTCTTGACTAGGTAATTGTGGTTGTTTAAAAGGAGTCAGCGCAAATGCAATGGTTTGAGTGGCAGTTTGTCGACCGTGTAAAATCAAAGGCAACTTCGTACCCAATACAGACAATATGATAATCAGACAATTTTTTGCTGAGAGCTCCTTCAGACATTGGCTCGAAAGACTCGTCTATTTCGTACGAGTTTTCCTGAAAGATGACCTTTGCTTCGAGTGGTATCGGATCTAATAGTAAGACACGAAGTCCTTTTGTTTGTGGAGAGAGCATTTTCGTCCGTTCCTAGTCTGAAAATTTTGGAAAGTGAGTCAGAACTTGAATCTTTGAAATGAATTCTGTGCGAATACGTGCGAACAGGTCGAAGATGAGAAGATCATTGTGTGTTGCAAATGACTGAAATGCAACGTACTTTGTTAGGCTGACCTCTCTCTTGTCACTCTATTTTCAGTTTGCTCCACGACGACGCACAACAAAATAAATGAGTTTGATCAAAGCTGAACAGGGAACTTGATGGCTGAAATTCAGAGCTCGCTTGGCTTACCAAGAATTCGTGTAAATCTACGCGATTAATAACGGGGACCGTGTCATAACAATTATAGAACTACGTCTTGAAAGCTCGACTGTTGTTTACGTGATTTGCCTGAGTTTTAGCTAAATGTACTTGATGCATCACTCGTAATCCAATTGTGCTGGCACCCGAATACGTTCTCCAACTTTAGTAATGACTCATGTCTTTTAGTGTATCAAGGTCATCTACATTCCTCACTGATCATCACAAAACATCAAAAATCAGATAACAATGTCCTTCAATACTCCTTCAAACCTGGTCCAGGAATACGCTAACGGCCACGCCAACGGCATAAATGGCAGGCCAAAGACTGACTTTGCTCTCAAGGCTGGTCTCGCTCAAATGCTAAAGTGAGAACTGCCAACTTGTTGACACTTATTGCATTGTAAGCTAACATGTTATCGCCAGGGGCGGAGTCATTATGGATGTCACCAATGCTCAACAAGCAAAGATTGCCGAAGAGGCTGGTGCTTGCGCTGGTATGTCTTGCATTTGACCTTCATATCCAATCTGTCATCAAAAAAATTTGAGGCAAAAAAAATGTTGAATCTATTGGGCTGGGAAAACAACCATGCTAATGGACATTCTTGCTCATAGTCATGGCTCTTGAACGTATCCCTGCCGATATCAGGAAAGAAGGTAAACTGTCACTCTTGTTCGATTTTTGTGACTCCGATCTAAATTGGACCTTGGTGAAAAACATCGCATCGGGACGTGGAATCGCTCGCAGTTGAGAGTCATCATGGCCACTGCAGTATCGATTCGTCAATACGGTTGAATGTGGGCCAAGAACTGGTGTTATGGCAAAATGAAGGAAGGATTGTGCTTCAGTGGCCTTGAAACACGTCCGAGTCAATCCCCTCCTGTCCATTATCACCCACGAAAATCGACATATTCACAAAATAATTGATTCACGTCAATCAATATAGGCGGTGTCGCTCGAATGTCTGACCCTCAACTAATCAAAGAAATCAAACGATCCGTCACAATCCCCGTAATGGCCAAGGTCCGAATAGGCCATTTCGTAGAAGCCCAAATCCTAGAACATTTGGGTGTAGACTATATTGACGAATCCGAAGTATTGACTCCCGCTGACGACATACATCACATTGATAAGTCACAATACAAGGTACCCTTTGTATGTGGGTGTCGTGGCCTAGGTGAAGCCTTGAGAAGAATCAATGAAGGTGCTGCCATGATTCGAACAAAGGGTGAAGCTGGTACTGGTGATGTAGTGGAAGCTGTACGACATGCTAGAACTCTGTTTGGGGAAATTCGTAAAGCTCAAGCTTGCAGTCCTGAAGAATTATATACGTATGCTAAGGAATTGGGTGCTCCATATGATGTGCTCAAGGAAACTGTACGATTGGGTAGATTGCCGGTTGTCAACTTTGCTGCTGGTGAGTTTCGGCAGTGCGATGATTGATGCATCCTTTTTTGCATCTGGTCACACTTTCACAAAGTGCCTTACACAATATAATTGTACAATTGTGCTGAACTCAACCCTTCGTTGCGCAGGTGGTATCGCCACTCCAGCTGACGCTGCATTAATGATGCAGTTAGGTGTCGATGGTGTCTTTGTTGGATCAGGTATCTTCAAATCTGGAGATCCAAGCAAACGTGCTAGAGCCATCGTACAAGCTACTACTCACTTCAAAGATGCTAAAGTGTTGGCTGAAGTATCAGAGGATCTGGGAGAAGCTATGGTTGGTATCAACTATGACAAACTACCGGAAGCTGAAAGGCTGGCTCAACGTGGATGGTAAACATAGCCGTCATCGCCACACACAACAAACATACGCAAACAAACACATTAAAAGTATCTTTATATTGGGCACATGTATGCTTTTGGGGTTGATAGTTGTCTGAGAAACAATTGTGTCCTTTTTTTCAAGCCTCTTTATAAATTCTCCCTTCACTATAATTTTTTCTTCTCGTCTCTCAAAACACTGTGGAAGGCTGCGATGCGATCAAGTTTTATCTTTTAGAATACTTCACTATATTTGTTTGCTTTCTATGTTACAACAGGCCATACGACAAAGATGCAAATAATAACAACACTGTTCCTTCTATCTATTGAATTGCCAACGCAGCACTAGGCACCAAATTCAACTGCTTCAAAGTCTTCGAGCCATCAACAGATACATCCAAGACCTTGCGAGGAAATGTCTGTACAAGTTTGAAGCCTGCGCCACGTTGCGTAGCAACCCATTCATACACATCTGCTAGAGTTTGAGTGGCTTGGAAGGTTTGTACAAGTGCTGGCCCATCGGATGGTCGAAGTTGGAGTCGGGTTGTGTCATATTCGCCTGTTGGAGTAGCTATTACAGCAGGTCGTAATGGTTGTTGAGGTTCAGGAGCAGGTTTTATTCCTTGTGCTGCTAGTTTTGCAGCATCTCGCTGGTTAAAGCGGGAAATTGTGGTCAGAAAATAAGGCATGAAAAGAAAACCAACAGTAGGCAAATGACTTTGAGAACCTGTTCCATCACACTCAATACACACATACCTGTTTCTGACGATCCAACTTGTCTTGTTCAAGCAACGCCTTGATCCTGGCTTTGGCTTCCTTGTCAGCAGCCTGTTCACGTTTCTTTTCTTCAAAAGCCTTCTTCATCTCCAATTCTTTATGCTTTTCTCGACCTTCTGCAATCTCCTTGGCTGTGACTCGACGAATCTTTTCCTTTTCTTTGGTTTCTTCCAGTTCAAGAGCTCGTTTCTCTAGATGTAGTGATGGTAGAGATTACTCGAAAAACCTTTGAATTTTCTTATACACACTTGATGTTCTGGCACACACCTTCACGTTTTGCAGCCAATTTAGCTTGCAACTCAACCAACTTTTGCTTCTTTTCCTCATCTGTCAATGGCTTTATAGCTTGAGTAGACTCAGAAAAGTTGATATGGCCGCTTTTTGCGGCATGTAATTCAGCTCTGGCAGCTATAAAAAATAAAGTCTAGACTGTTAAATTATAAAATTGATGGTAATCGGCGATACTAGCCACTGTATGAGTATCAACTACTTCAAAGGGATCATAACGATGGCCCATGACTTACAATCACGGAACAGCTTCCCACAATCATCACAGACAAGAGAATTGGCCGTTTGCTGAGCAGCAGTGATTTCACCATCTTCCTGTTCATCACTAGCTTTTGTTGCAGCAGAGCTTGGAGCATCCGCCATTTCAGTATCAGGATCCTCTGCGTGTTCAAACAACTAGAAGACGTTATATTAGTAAGAAAAATGAAAGACGATAGTGGGTGCGGGCTGCCTCGATCAAATTGAGTGATGGTTGCGAGATACATATTGATGTTGCAAGTTACGTACCCAATCCCTAGTAAACATAGAGGTTAGCAAAGGAGAAGTTAAATCTGCGACAAATTTGCTTACATTGCTGGCTGTAATCCAGCATTTTTCGTCACTTTGAGGGCCTTGGTCACTTTGGCCTACAATATGGGAAGGTTTTGAGCTTTTTCGAATGAGTACAACAAAAGAAAGAGGGAGATTTTACGTCTGAAAAGCCCATCTCTAGGAGCGCGTCTCTGTCCGAAGGCATCGTAAACCGTCACTTGTATGAGAAGTCGATAAGCTGTAAAAGTTCGAGTGACGTGTCGACTGGAGAAGAACATTGAAGAAGACAATCAATTTCGTGATTATGCATTTCCGCAAATTATAGATATGATTTATTTTGGTTCGCTCGCCATCTTCAAAAGGGATGAAAATAGCTGAGTGGATGGAGTTCGCATTCCCGAGCAGATCTGAATGATCTGAATCGCAATCGCAGTATAATTGCGTAGATCTGCGCCACAGCGAGTTTTCCCTTTCCTGCACGCGTTTCATCCCAGTCCATCCCAGTCGGGATCCCAGTTTCTCGCTCGCTGATCTTTCTGTTCTCTGACTTCGCATCTTCTCATCAAACAAAGCACTTGAATAGAGAATTTCAAGGCAATTCCATTCAAGGCAAGTTCCATATCTATATTGCAGTATAGTCGCATTTGCAATTATATGCTGCCAGTACTGCATATTGCTTGCTTCCATTGATTCGACAATCATACGATATTCGCCGATGTTTTGATCAGTTACTACGTTCGCACCTAGTCTAGCATGTGCTTATAACGCCATTTCATATTCATCATTATAGAAAAGAAATGATTTCTGCTCAAATGGCCCAGGAACCGTCTTCAAACGCCGTCCCACTGTCTATGGCATTCAAACATCCTGAAGAATACTATGCTGACAATGCCGTCATTTGCTACTTGCCGACTGGTGCTGGTGCTTCTGGAATTGATGCCATCAAGGACTTTTATGCCTCCTACAATTCTCAAACTCGAAACCTCATGTCCGAGGAAGTCATCTCGTCCTTCTCTTCTCCTGATGGTCGAACGGTCATGCTCGAGTCCATCTTGACTTGTATTCATGAAAGTGCTATGGATTGGGTACTTCCAAATGTCAAGGTGAAGAATGTTGTTGATGATTGATCTGGAATTCTATATTGTAGAGCCAACACTGATACTTTCTGTTTTTTTGTCACTTCAGGTCACTGGCAAGAGGATCCAAATTCCAACGGTGAGTTTGCGCGTCTGTATTTGATTTTGAAGAATGGTCAATCTTTGAGAACAAGAAGGGTGATGTGCTTCAATGAGAGTCCTACTTTTTGGTTTGTTTTCGCACTGGAAAGAACATATTAGTTCTTGAAGAGGGAATGATTGATCTACATTCGAATTGAATGGAGGCAGTATATGAGACATATAAACAATTGAAATATCGCGGAATGGACATTGATTGGATGTCATTGCATGTGTTGACCCTTTCCCAGAACTGCGCATAAGAACAGGCTATGAGTACTCACACATGTTTATCTTTCTAGGTCACTATTGCCGTATTTGATGAAGAAGGAAAGATTGAACAACAACGAACCTACTGGGATCAAGCTAGTGTATTGAAACAAATCACCGTATTGCCTCAATCTCTACACTGTAAAGCCAATGGAGCGGAAACTACCCTTCCAGTACTCAACGGTCGAATTGCTGATCTCGTAAGAGGCTTTGGCAATATGAATACTCTAGGTGCAGATCGTCAAGTCGCTGCTGGAATGACTTCTGCACAAGCAAATGCAGACCATGTAGTAGCTCAAAATGCTAGGGGCAAAAAGAATGTCGCTCATGGTATCTTGCCAGAAGGTGAAGACGACTTGACTGCTCCTCTCCGCACCCGTAGTAGATTAGCATCAGCAAACCCAACTCAACCTTTTGCACAAGACGATGATGAACCCGAACAAGTAAACAATAGTGTTGAACGTCGTCATCCAAACTCTATTGTACCTCAAGGAGATGTACCCGTATCAACCCATCGTCCAACTGCAGCAACTGGCCAAGGAGTTGCTGGCGTATTTGGTGGTGGCAATGACGATTCAACCTCTCGTCCATCTACTCGTGTGCATCAGGCACCAGGTGGCGAGACTCACTTCAACATCTTCTCGGGTAATAATACTCGTGAACCCGTACGCAGCTCAGTCGCTGTTGATCCAACCCGAAACAAGGGATCCGTAGACCTCTTTAAAACAGCAAGCAATCCACCACCTCGTCAATCTGCAAACGGTCGTCGTGATCCCAACTGGTCTTCTATTGGAAGTATGGACTCTGATATATCCGCTGCTGGAAGTGTTACAGGTACCCCCGCTCATACTGGTCGTCGTCTCGTACCCGGATCCAATAAATCTCACTTTGAGTTTGGAAGCGACAATACCGAAGTTCCCATCCACCATGGTCGTAAATTCTTTGCCGACTCCAATAGTAGCAGTATCTCGTTTGGTAGTGATCTTGATCATGTAGAAGATCAACGTAGTAAAAGACCTTCATCGGTACGTGATCCCAATGCTCGCAGCACCGAAAATACTACTCATCAACGTCCCTCTTCTCGGTAAGCGTCGTATTTAGAGTTTTGTTTATTGATCCAAATAAAGCTTCAGTTTGATTTGGTTTCCGAGTTTCTTACGATAATCCTTTCTTTAGTGTATTGAATGCTCCAGGTGGAAAGTCGAACTTCCAGTTTGGATAAGTGGTAATGATATGAATCCGAAATGTTGTTGTGTAAATATTTCACCGCCATGAAGCGAGAAAAATGGATTTCCTTTGTCGTATTTTTACCGATTCACTGAATAGATAAATGGTCTATGTCCATAGTTCTTCAGTGTTCTCAACGTTCCAGTATGTAAATGTCCTGGAACTGTGCTGTGGATGTAGCTGTTTAGGATGTCTTGTTGGTGAGGACATGCTGCGCGCATGTAAGCTTCGTCATCGAGTAGTTTCACGTCATTTTGGCTGTCAATATAAATTCATATGAATGTGTCAACGCGTATTTGATCTCTTTTTCATCCTTAGTAACTTGACTTGTATCGTCCTTTCGGTTTGCACTTCTCGAAAAACCGTGTACGAGAGCAGAAGCGAGTTGAAGATGGCCACAAAGCAGGCTCCCAGCTTTATGGAAGCTTCTCAATTTGCCAGAACGGTACTGACATTCCTTCTTTCACTATTGTAAAGCTTCCTTAGTTTCTGATCAGAACATTTTGTTTCAAACTAGACTTTTCTCGGATTCGGCATTGAAAAACAAGTGCTCACAAATCGGAACTATCATTCTTGGTCGTGAACTGGGTTGATGCTTACTCGTCATCCCTTCTTCATCTACATAGGAATTCACCGTCCAATCATATGATCAGAATATCAAACACAGATACGTAAGTTTGATGAATTTGATTGTTTATAGCCCTCCAATATGTTCATTGTACTTGCAAAGTGAGAACTTATGATTTCCGAATGCTCTATATCTCTCATCAAACCACATAGGTCGACAGCCTCGACGAACTCGCGACGATGTGCCTCAAGGTGAACCAGGAGATAGTTCAGGAGCTGCATTTACTTGTTCAAGTAAGTTTCAATCGTATTCGTAATGCAGTCTTCCGTTTCCTCTCGAACAAAACAAAAAACACATGTCAATTCCTTCCCCTCGTCATTAGAATCTCAATATATGCGCAGAAGCCACAAAGGACTCTGATCTTGATGGGCTATTGTCATCATTGCAAGCTTTACTGGAAGCAATTGGTCCAAACCCTGTTACATCCATTCATCATCTCGCATCGTCCCTACCCATTCAGCAAACCGAGTTATACGTCTCCTCCCTCACAGCGTACAACCAGCGAATCTCCTCACTACTTGAAACCATTCCACATCTCATGACCAATATGAAGAATGTGGCCAAGAACATGTATCTTCCGCTCAAACACCTGGTAATGGTGCACTATTATATGACTCGATGGTGTCGAATATCAGGGGATACCACTCTCGACACTTTCCTCATGCAACTGTCGGATGTGGTAATTGGCTGTTATGAAGTTGCTGGTATTGAGATGGAAGATCATGAAATCATCTCGCTGGAAGACTTGTTGCAGACTACAACCTGTCTGGTACCCACTATCAAGGACACCGTCAAGGTATTCCCAACAATCAATATTACCCTTTTTGGCTCTGCGTTTGATTGATTCTTCATTTCAAAACAAACACTAACAAACCCTTCGCTCCTTTTCTATTACCTATCTACCACAACAAAAGTCAATCATTACCTGTCTGACGGCTCCTGCTGACTTTGAAGACTGCCCGATCCCACGACCACCAAAATATAAAGGTTCTCTGGACTGCGCCATGCTTCAAAATGGAAAGTTTTCCGTGAAAGCATCTCTGGTGGTCTTAGAAGAATCTCTCCTTGTTCTAGAGAAACAAAAGAGCAGGTTGCTGTACGTACCTTACAAGACCCATGATATACAAGTCATGATGATAGACCTCGATGATCATGGTGAGCTGAAGTTTCGGTTATTTATAAAAAAAATCGGTTTGCTGACGTCTCAAACCACCTTTTCTCGTCAGGTAAAATGGCCTTACAAATCAGGATGGGAGCACGTGTTATCCTCTTCGAAGTATTATCTACAGATGTCGTATTTCTGAAGACCGCTTTTCCCCATTGTGAGAAGAAGTTCTCAGTGAAGGTGCCTTTGTTTCAAACACGACTAATCATATATTGTCTTCACAGTTCTTGCTAGTGCTAGCCATGGTAACAAGACTCCTACTTCAACAGATGATCCAGCTAGAGGCACCTCTTCAAGAATGAATCCATTTCCCGTAGTGCATGACGGCCTTGCTAGCGAGTTTGAGGCAAGTATGGTTTCAGGCGTGAAATGAACTCAATGTTTTAACTTAGTTCCACCTCCAACTTCCTACAGCCAAATAGGTTTTGCGGGCGATTATCTGATCTACCACAAACCATTGCCAAAACTTCAACTGGTATCGACTTGGTTGTGCCATTGGTCCTCGTCAGGTACTTGGAATATTTGATCAAGCATGGCTGTCATAGCGAAGGAATATTCAGGTAATAATCCTTTACACAAATCCGTCTCTCTCGTTACGTTATTTGTGAATGACACTCTCAAACTTGGAAAGGCTTCCTGGCAGCATTGCTCTAGTTGCATCAATCGAAGCTGCTTTATGTCGCATGCGATGGCTTAGTGTATATTCAAGCTCTACGCCAGTCGAAGATCAGCCAGTTGTAGATATTCTGAAACTTATTCGCAGCGAGAAAGCCTCATATGAAATGGCATACGAAATTGCCGACATTGTTACGAGCTGGATTAGGTACATCCAAGGGTCCCTTATACCAGAAACAGTGTCGGAAGAGATTCAACGACTAGGAAATAACGTAAATGTAGCTACGGTCGCCAACGTCTTGACCAGTCTCCCTTTACATCGTCGTCGTGTATTTCTCTACATCTGTGATTTTTTCGGCCAAGTGGTAAAATGCACTGAGTTGAATGGTATGACTGCTAAGAGTCTGGCCAAAATCTTCGCACCCATTTTTCTCAATGAGAAGACTGGAAGCAATATCAATATCATCGTGGCAGAGTATATAGACATCGAAAAATTTATTGAATGCTGCATCGAAAACAATCTCGCCATCACAGAGAGATTGAATGTCGGAAAAGCATTAGAGCCATCAATCGGAGATCAAGTAGCAAACACTGCCGACATAATATTCAGAGCATATACACTTCCAATTCACCGCATTCGCTCATTAGAAGATGCCTCGCTAGGCAAGTGTCTCGTCTCTATAGTCATTAGCAACCATATCCCTTACATAACCCTCACTCTGGAAGCTACCCACGCTTCCATCTTCGAGACACGCATCACGCCATCATTGATGGTAAAAGTGGTACATGCTGTACAAGTACTTCTGGAATTCGTGTCAATGGATAGAACACGTCAAACATACTACTTGCAACTCAAAACGGCAGAATTAGCTCAGATGTTTGAGACCGTAGTCAAGCAGAAGCGATTAGACTGCTTGAACTCTATGATTGATTCCTTCATGTCCGAACAGTCTATTTTTATCTCAGATGAAGTAGGACGCCAAGAGATGCGTCAAATTGAATCGTGTGTTGTAGATGTGATCGTGTCAAGTCGACATCATCTAGGACGTGCCAACCTTGTGGTGTCGAAAGCTGAAGATAACAAGACTTTTGTGTCTTTGGTAACGACAACAAACTCGCTCTTGCTCAACACAGCATTGGATGGATCCGTCTCTTGTGTTCTTGATTATTCATCTCGTATGCTCATTCTGAGGAAATCGGTTTCTGCTCACTGCATCGAGCTCACTGTATGCTGTTGACTTTTGTTTTCGATTCATCGCGACACCCAAATTGTCTCAATCTCAATTAGTTGATTGTGGCCAACTGCATGGAAGAAGCTGCCAAAGTCTATGAAGCCATCCGTGGATCCTTACTTGCTACTTCTCGTTATGACAATCAATTATCCTCAAACGCTACAACAGAAACGATCGAGTCCAAAGATGCAGATAACTCGAATGACAAAGCATCAGTTATGGCTCTGTTCTCAAATTCCTCAGTCGAGTCGCTTCCCGATCTTGCAAAGATAGTTCAGGTAATTTTATCAGTCTTACCACACTTTATTGTCTCGTTTTTTTGAACTCCAACTTTAGAAGACGACGACAGTGTATAGGTCTTCCTGGGCTGCGCAAGTCTTGCCTGTTGCTCGCAACACCGCATTCGCTACGCCAGCATTGGCTGTAGGTGGCTGCTCATCTCAGCTGGATCGTTTTGCATTGGCCAACGTGTTACGTCAAGGCAACAGTCCCCCTGCCTTCAAACTGTCAGCAGCAACATCAATCGAAGCTGCAGTATCATCCAAACCTGTTGAGGCATCTGACAACTTCCAAGGAAACAATACTGTCGAAGTACCTCAAAACGTAATCTGGATTCCTCAACCTACTATTGCTGCAAAAAGGCGCTTTTCTGGTTCACCAGCATTGCCACGAGGCTTTGGCTCGCAACCAGCTGGATTTCCCAAGTTTGCCAATACAATGCCGTCATTAAATCTGCATCCAACGGAACTCGAAACCCATTTCACCATCAGTAACAATAATACCCAAAACACTGACGAGGGTGTTGCAACCCTTCCTTCCTCGCTTGCTGATGAGAACCACAAGACTTGTGACAGGTGTCATAACGAGACAGACGTCGAGTCTGCGCCTCATATACATCGTCTTGTTAAGGATTTGGTAGAGCATACCCCCAGGGTGTCAACTGGACGAGTCTTGTCAGTATCGGAGAAGGCAGAAGAGTCAGCACCAGTGCTAGTCGAAAAAAACAACGTAATATTGTGCATCGCACACTTTTCGATGTGTTTGCTAAAACGCTAACTATTGTTTCTTCTTTATTCTAGGTCGGTGATGCAGAAAATGAAAGTGTAGATGAAGGAGCTCAAGATATGTATGAGGATGACGAATTCATAGATGATGAGGAAGAGGACATCAGAATGTATCAACAACAGGCAGAAGCCTCAAGGAAGCAACGTATCGAGCTTGAAGATAAGATGAAGAAGATGCGATTGGAGATGCAAGAGATGAGAGATAGCATTGATTTCAAAACGAAAGATTTATTTGAAAGAGGTCTATAAAGCTTTGCTGTCTCGTCTTTGTACAAAATATGTTGTTGTTGTAGCCGCTTACATAATAAATAAAAAATCAAGGCTTTCAAACAGAAATTGTGTCTTAAAAGGAAACAAATTTATTGCGTGGTGTACAAATGGAACCCAAAGTTACTTGAACTTGTTACAGTTCTTTATGTTGATACTTCGGCTTCTTATCGTCCTCGTTATCATCATCTAGTGAAGAGTCACGAGATGGCACTAGCAACATCTCGTCATCATCATCATTACCATCGAATTCATCTTTTGCTAATAAGTGATCCAAAATATGGTCCACCAACAGATCGACTGTGCCTTCACGATCTCCTCCTTCATCATAGAAGGCATCCTCGGTCATAGCCATCTTCTCCTTTACATTTCCTACAACCTGCTGTTCTCCATCTTTGATAACTACTACTTTTACATCGACTGGTTCACCATTAGGTTGCATTCGGCCGGCCGGATTAGCAGCACCTCCAAATGCTTGCGCGACAGCTCTCGATAATGTTTTGATAGCTTCAGAATCTAGAGCTGCTAGAGATGGTGGTTGCTGTGACGGCGGAGGAGATGAAGCGTGTTTCCGTACAACTATTCGAGAATCATCTCCTCTCTGCATATCTACACGCGTCCAGGAGTATGGATCAAGCAGTTCAGGTACCAGATAATAGCCATATCCATCACCTAATTTCCGAGCAGCTGCGTAATCGAAAATGGAATGAGAGACAAATCCGTCCTGACCTTTTTCCTGGACATTGCTATTATCTATATCAGATGATTTTGCCTGTATGCTGCTTTTTAATCCAAGTGGTGGTGGCATTGGATGGCATTCGATTTTGACTGGTCGTGCGGATTGTGGTGCTAAGAAGGCTGCGTCACGACATAATCGAGGGGTATGTACTACTAGCAGGTATTGACATGTAGCTGTTTCTTTTATTAATGCGATTTGGTCGGTCGGTTGAGCACAGTGGAACTAGAGAAGCAAAATAAACTCAGTGTGCTAGCGAAAAAAATCTGTCGAAAGTCTGAGGAATCGTTTACCTGCACTTCGACAGATCTTGGCTGGTTTGTCAAATCACACATGGTGCCGTCACCGTAATGTTGTCTTAAATACCGTTTTCCTTCTTTGGGTAAATCCATAAGATCCGAAGCAGGTTGGGTAGTTTGCTGCTGTCTAGTATCAGCTAATGCTAAAACTTTGAATCTACCCAGTATATATTCAGTTTTCACTTTTGGATCCTGGGCTTCTTGAGGTTGAACTTGATGGAATTGTCGAATGTGAGAGCCTACAAAGTGAGTGGCTTGTTAGGAGTTTTTCAGTTCCACGGCAAGTATAGATAGCATCTTCGGTATACCGTAGCAGAACTCAAAAGTCCACCATCCTTGATTCTGTGAAGAAGCAGTTTGATTAGCTACGGCGCGGGTTGTGTTTCTTTTTTGCTTGAATATCCTGAATGGAGCTTACATAGTACAGACAACCCGACTTTTTTAATGGTTCGAGTTGAGCGAGAGCATTCGTAACAGTTTCCTTTCTGACTGAAGGGTCGCTGAGATTCACGTCTCGGGAAGTAGTGTGAACCTTTGAAGCTTGAGTATCTGGGTTTCCAATGAGACACTGGAATGTGAGGCCTGTACCAGGCAGCGGTAGTGTCACCACCGACGGATCAGTCTAAGACAGGCAGGAAGTCAGCAAATGGGGAGAAATATCAATGTGTTGTTTGAGATCATGCCTCATCAGATGTTTGGAATTTAGTTGATATTACTAGCTGGTATGCAGGAGATCGATGCAAATCAGCATGTATAGAGTCCATGTGGAGGCAGAGACAGCACCCGCTCAACAAGAGAAGGGAAAGGAGCTTCATCTTGACGTGGTGCTTGGTGGCCATTTCGATTTTTGATCTGGAGAGGCTATAGAGATCGAAGAAAGTCAGTATCTTCACATATCCCACAAATAAATTGATGCGTTCAAGTTCTCGAATTGCCTGTTGCCGGCCCTCTCCTTCCTCTCACTCGTTGGTCAATTCGCCAAACACTGGAAATACATAAAGATGGTATCTCAAGCGAAAACACCCGAAATCCATATCAGTCGGTGCTCTTGCAGCGTTCACCCACCAGAAGGTCCATATTCTCCTACGGACTGGACGTGATTCGTTCTGAAAGAAGCGAGCTGTCAAGCCATGTCGCGTTCGTTCAACATTATGTATTGACCTGGTCGTTAAAGCTTTTCGACTAGATCTGTGCATGTGGAAGGGAAAAGATAATCGGTCATGGCACGTATTTTTATTGTCGTTACATCCTCATTTGATCTGATCCAACCTCACCTCCTTCGCATTTTACTACAGCTGCGATTTGCCGTCTTAAATGATCCAACTCTGCCCTCTGGCAGCAAGATTGCCCAGGAAAGGAGTAAAGAAGTCGAGGTAAATTCATTCATATCTAAACATCCTGGCGTTCCGCTATTGTGATCGCAATACCACCGTCATCAAAATCTCAACATTTCAAGCATCACATTTACAGGTCGAGAATGCTCTGGCCGACTTTACAAAGACTCTTCATTCTTACCGACAAGGACGCGTCCAAGAAGCTAAACAATCCTTGGAATCCTTACTCGCTCTGGATTTCATGAATGATGCACTACCTCCTGTGAGAATGTCGAGTCTTGCTCAAACTTCACTGGTCCAAAGTGCTTTATTACTGAATCATATGCCATTAAACACTCATAGACACCAGATATTCAAGGATCACACATCCATGCGATACAATACCTAGTGAGGAAGAACTATGCTGCCATACTAGAGTCTGAAGGTCGTAAGCAGGAAGCAGCTGATTACCTTGCTCACGTACGAGAAAATAGTTGAATGTTTAATCATTATTGCTATTGTTCCTCATGTTGCTACGTATTAGGCCTTGACGATCGATCCAACGGACGTGACTACTTGTTGCAAGTTGGCTACACTTGCTAAAGATTTGAAAGACCTGGAGCTTGCTCAATTCGCTTATGAAGAAGCTGTTCGTCATGCTAATGGATATCAGAAATTGTCATGCTTGAGAGATTTGAGTGAGGTCAGCGTCTGTTCCTATATATACCGAGCAAGGTCTTTTTTTCGCTGACTCCTATTTTTGCAGGTCTTGTATGATCGAGGTGACTATTCAGAGTGTCTCCGGCGAGTCAAACAAGTCTTGAAAGTCGAGTCGTTCTGGGCTCGTGGAATATGGTTGAAACACGACATTGTTTCATCATTTGTGCAATCAGCTCAACAGTCACAGTACGTCAACTGCTAGACGGTCCTCTTCGTGAATTATTAGGTAATCTTCTTGCTTGTCTCTAGTGCACTTGAATCATCCTTGGATGCTTCTGATATCGTGGAGTTTCACAACTATCCGAATACAGCTATGGATGAACTCATCGCCAAACATCCAGAAATTGCTCGACCACGTAATGCTATTATCCCAACAAATACTCCAATCGAACGCAAGGCATACGTCTTGGATGAATTGAGTTGGAATACTCTTGGGCGTTTACTTTTGCAGATTCTTGAGGAGAGAATGTGAGTTTGGAAATCCACCACGCATGCGGAAATCGCAGGTTCCTTTTTTCTCATCTATTACTTCTTCTGCAGAAAATTGTCACCAAATCTACACACTATGGTCGGAGGTCCTATCGTAATTGAACTCGCACCAGAAATTGCAGTGATTTCGCCCATAGTAATTGACGACGACGTGCCTCCACCACCTATAGTCATTAATCAAATGCCTCCAGATCCAGATGTAATGATCGTAGGAGAAGACGATACTTCCGATATAATGAGTGCTATGCAAGATGGTGCCACTGTCTCTGGCGGTGAGCAAAAACGAAGACGTACCACCACCACTGGAGATGAAGATCGACGGTATGTTCGCAGTGCAACCAAGTTATCGAATCAAGCTGCACCTGCTTAACCCTGTATCAATCTCAAAAACAGAAAATCGAGACGTATGAAAGAAAAAACCGTCTTGAATGAACCATCCGAAATATCTGTGGACGATGAAATGAAGGATGCTTTGGAGAGATGGTTGCCAAAACCATGGACTATATACGGACTATCAGATGATATTACTCCAAGTCCTGTACCAGACCCGGACGTATACGTTTCAAGAGTTGGTGGCAAGTTGGGTGCCCTGTTTCCAATGGATTTTGCGTTTAGTGGAAGGTAGTTTGGTGATAACAAATGTCTATAATCCTACCTTTTTCTGACTTCGTTCATATCTGCAGGGCTACGCCAGCATCAATCTCTACAAACGATGATCCATACTTTGGCTCGACAGCTCCAATACGTGACTTTCTAGCTCACATTCCCAGGAACGCAGATATACTCGATATAATGCGTCAGTTTGTCATTCATTTGATTGTGGAACCTGCGTTTTCGACTAGAGCTTGGCCTGTCGAATTACGTACAACCATATTTGAGACTATTTGTAAAGTTGAAGAGCATTCGAGTTTACTCTCATATATTCGGAACTCATATCCGATCTTATGGTGGTCTGATGCTGATGTGATGGAAGTTGAATCTGTCGAATGGAATGATTCTATGGTGCTGAAGGTAATCGATTGGGTCAATCACTTGCAGGTTTATAAGAGGTGACACTTTTAGCCTTATTTTGCACCTAGATATTTTTGACTGTCGGAGAATTAGCGTTGGATGCATTACCACCAGCTCCTAGAATTGATTCCGGGCGTAAAGTCATTCCCGCCCCGCAACTCGCTGTCCCTGCGACAGGTCGTGGACGCCAACGAGCAGACAAAATCGGAAAGGATGGGCCTGTAGCTCCTGCTTCAGTGTCTGTCTTTCATAACACTCTGGCATACTTGATTGCTCTTAATTCAAGAATATTTGCTGATCAAAGTATTGAGTCTGATATTGTCGTCAGGTAAATGGTGCATCTCTCCGGTTTTTTGGCTCAGTGTTTGATGATTGATCTTGTCTTTGGTCCTCTAGGTATCTATGTTTCTTGGGTCGAGCTGAGGAGCGAGCAGGTCGAAATGAAGCTGCTCTGAACTCTTATGAGCTGTGTCTGGACTTGTTGGATGAGGGTGACGATGTTAGCTTGTTGCATAGGTAAATGTCAGCAAAAGCGCTCAGTCTTTGTTTTGCTCAATGAATAGCTTTTACGGTGTTGCTCATACGCTTTCAACGCTCTTCTCTAGTACAAGTCTCTCTCACATCAACAAGGCTACAATATTGACCAAAATACGTGCCATTCGATCCCAAAGTCACGTTTGGCAAGCCTTGCGTGATTATGAAGCCAAAGATTATGCAGCAGTTGCTCGTCGTCTTGTACCCATTTTGCTCTTTGAACCAGAGCAAGGTACTACTGTCGAGCCCGTCACAAATCATATCGACGAACAAGAATCATTGGAGCATGATGTGGTTTCAAATGCCATGAAGTATGTGAGAGCAGAATGTACATTTGAGCAGAGGTTTAAATTGTATCATATACTTGAAAGGGTAAGGTTTTGTACGGGTGGTTTTAGTGTAGATTTTCGAAATGCAAGCGATTTTAACCTGTTCTCCCTCATGACGTAGAGTCTCTTCAAGATTGGGCAGAATGGAGATGGATTGATGTGTCTCATGAGAGCCCTTATTGACACAGTGCGTAATATTGAGCAAATTGATGCTTCCAACGAGGCCATGAATGCTGACAAGGTATATTGGTATTTGGAGTGGCTGACGTTGCAGCAACACGGCAAACCGATTCATATTGATTCTTCCAACCCTTTTGACAGCTTACGATGATACTCGGGCAAATCATTAGATTCTTTGAAACCCATTCACTCTCTGATACACTACTACTATTTGCAAGCAGCTCTAACGTCACATATAAATCATGGTCATTCACAATGACGAAACAAGTCCTATGCACCTTCTTATCCTCTATATTTTTACTATTACGACTATCTTGGTATGTTGCCAAGCACGAAATTGAGATTCTGAGTAGTTCTACTGCACGTAATCAACCACGCAAAGAAGCCATGAAGCTCTTCTTGACACATATATGGCATTTCTCTATTGATTTGTGGACATTCCTGTATACTGATGAAGGTCGTAGATTCACAAACTTGTTGGGAGCTGTGGAGCCAGCATCAGTCGCATCAAGTCAGAATATATCTGAGGACTTGTCGACAAGTGACGACTCGAGAGATCCTCTTGCTGAGGTGATGAAGGTTATGCATGATTTGTTGGGTCTTCATGGTATCTGCTGTTTGGATGACGGTGAGTTCCCATGGTGGTTTTCTTCTCTGAGCTCTTCTGGCCAATGGTTCTGATATCAAATAATTTCTCTTCAGCTGCATTGATGCGTTCCTCCATGGCGCATTTCAAATCTCTCACGAAATTGAACTTGTATGAACGCGAATTGTATCAGATCTTTTACTGCTTGTATGGTGTCTTGATTCAGGTTGGTCCTGGCCATTAGTAGTATCGACGAATTTCCTTTTTTGGCTTATTTTGTTTTGTATATTCACAGGTTGAACAAGATGCTAACATTGACGAGCATGCAACTATACCAAAAACATTCGGTAGAGAAGCTGCCTCCGAATGTTTTGATATCTTGTCTGAACATTTGATGCGAAAACTTTTCAATGGTGGAACGAATTTACGTACCTCCATTGAAGTACGTGCCAATTTGCAACAGATTGCTGATGCTATTGGACCATTGCCTCAGAATGGTAATCAAATCGCAAAAAATCAACTGTCTGGCCATCAAGTCACATCTTTACATTCTCTTTTTTTTTAGTGCGACTTCTGCTCAATAGGGAGGCCATTGACAAGTACCTCACATCGGATATTGATGTGTCTGCCATTTCATTTGGTCGATCTTCATCGCTTTATGTGTGGGATATAGAGGAGAAATCTATGTCACGTATGTTGCGCAATCCTTTTGGCTGCATGTCCGTTTTTGGCTGAAGATGTCTTGCTGTTTAGATGTCCACTTCACAATACATGGTCTACAAGGCAAGCTGGCATGGTCTCAACATAAAGGTAAACAGCAAAAACACAAACGTGGATCTGAATTTCTTGGAATATGCTCTGCAGAGTTTCTGGTAAGCGAATTGCTTCTTGAGAGGGCCTATAATACATTGAGTGGTCATTACTTATCAACTTTTTTGCGTCATAGATCAACCTGCAGTTAAATCCACACAGTCGAGATGCTTGGATTTGTCTTGGTCAAACATTTGCCGCTGAATCGTATGAAGCCCTTGCATGGTCTGCTAAGGAGATTATAGAGCATCGCAAGAACATTGCGGATCTTCAAAAGGCAAATCATATCAGTTGAGATTCTTTAGCATCAACAGTCTTAATGTTTTTTCTTGTCTCTAGAAAGCATTCCTATGTTTCGTCCAAGGGTTGAAGATGAAGAGAGATACATCTCACCAGAACTCTTACTCACCATGGGGTGAATTGAGTTTCCTAATTGACTCCATCATCTCACAGCCCATGAGTGGATATGCACTACGATCTCAAAGCTTACGAGTCAACAAGATTTGGGCTGATCGTGAAAAGGCCGTACTAGGGACTGGTCTACAACAACGAGATATCAGTCCACCACGTCTCGTCAGTGGCGATTTCGAAGATCATTTGCAGTCATCACGAGCTGCTTTACTTCGAGTTGCTGTTTGGACATTGAGGAAGCGTATGCACGAAGAACCTATTGAATGGCATTGGCCATTTTTGATGGGTAAAATGTATGAGAAGCTTGGAAAGGACTTTGATGTGAGTTGAGCTCCCTCCATGCCATCTACCGGGGGCGCTTTTTTGGTGATTGAATTTGTTTTTGTCCGATTTTTCAATGTAGGAAACCTTTGCTTGGTATGAAAGAGCCCTTCAATTGGTACCTGAAGAATGGACAACCAAAGATCAGGAGCATATATTGGATGTCAAAGTCAAGTTTCTCAGTTATCTTGCTAAGAGCTTACACAAGGGTCTCATTACCGTGAGCAATGTAATTATTCTCTTGATGGTTGTTGGTCTCATCACTCTCACCATCATAGCCTGAAGCCGTATGGGAAAAGCTTGCATTGCTTGGAGTAACGAAAACGACAGAAGCTGAGCCCATATCGCCAACACATTCGGATGATGCTCGTTCTGAAGCATTCTACAAATTGTGTACGCAGCTGCGTCTCATTAAGTTGATGGACAAGAAACGGTGGCAGCACAAACCGTATTATCGGGTAGGTACATTACTTTTTTTGAATTGAATAACGTTGAACGCGATGCTGATACTCAGTCCTCAAAATAGCTTGCTTGGATTCTTTATCACGCATTCCATGATGTCCAAGCTGCTAGAGCAGAGATTTCGATTCTGTTTGCAGTCAAAAGTGAGCAAGATCACCCCCACATTGGTCTGTCCATAAGGTCGTTTTGAGGTTGTGCTAATGGTCTGTCTGAACGTCAATAGGTAAAAGTTACATCAATTTCTGGAGGTCTGAATTCGAAAGGTATAGCATAGTTGTCACCTCTCGTTGTTTCATTCTTCATTCTCATTTCGGTAAACGGTTTAGACCTGGCAAGCATTACGTCTATGCTGAAAAGTACACAATCTTCTTCATTCAATTATTGGATGAGACGGAAGATTATGAGACATTACTATTACTTGCCAAGAAGATTCGCAAGGCTGATGATACTCTCTTGACATGGAATAAAGTGTTTGCTCTGGCGTTCAATGCTTGTCTGAAGGTATGTTGTGAAATTGCTAGAGTGTTGTGGTATTACATCACTGACGGGATTTTTAGGGAATGAAAAAACAAGCTATAAACTTCACATTTGGTCCCACCATTGTCGGTCGAATCAAGAATGCCGACTTGGAAAGGAATTCTGCCGTACTTCAAACCGAAGTGTTTAAAGTATTGGAGAATCCTACAACCAGAGAAGCAGCAACAGACTTTGCGTTACTAGTCAAGTGCTTTGAGCTCAGAAAGGCCAATGATCGAGCAGTCGATGATTCAGAATTGGAAGAAATCATGTTTGGCTTGTATTCCAAGATATATGATAATTTCATGGCAACATCCCCAGCTGCTAGTGTTGTTGATCAGATCGGAGTACCTGCTGCAGCAGGGGAAGGTAAACCGGTTACAGCTGCCGCTGTCATGAAGAAGGTATGATGAATCTTCCAGAAGGTGATTTTTTGTTGGTAAAGGTTGTCGAGAGGGCTGAAAGATTCTTGTTGTGAATTTTCGCATAGATAACACTTCTGTGTCGCAATCCACCAAAGGCTGTAAATCCACAAGCTCCGGCAGAGCCTGAACCTGCAGAAGCTGATGAGAATACGCGACAAGAAGAAGGCCCAGCTGGCGGAGAGCAACAAGAAGATTCAACGGCAGCACGAGTCGACCATGAAGGGGATGTAGAGATGGGGAAACAAGATGATATAAAGCCTGACTCGCCAACGCGTGAGGAGCATACTGCAACAAGTCAACCTACTGTATTGAAAAGTAGTAGACTTGCTGCAAAGAGGGAAGCTAGTAAAAAACTGTAAAGCTTGATGTATAACCAGTTCTTTTATAAATTAAATTGCTTCTATTTGCTACAGTTTGAATGGTTTTATATTTTCAGAGACCGCTCCTCGTGAAGAGACAGACAATGATGCTGCCTTCATTCCTTCAGGAATGGCACGAGTAAAGTCCATATTGGTTTGCGTCAATACATGCAACATGACGCCGAGCAGCGTATCTCCGGCCCCTGTTGCTGACACCATATTTGACACTGCTTGTGCATCAAAGTGTCGAGCTTCAACTTCGTTATTACCCAAGTCACAGAAGTATTTTACACCATGGATACCATTCTTCACCACCAAGTGAGTAGTAAGTTGCAGCACTTGCAACAATTTAATATCTCGATCCCACATATTCATTTTACTGGGGCCTTTGAACTGCCCGGCACTATAAATCAAGCCCAATTCCACTCCTGCCTGGTGCATCTCTTCAAGTTCCATCAGGTTTGGCACCATAATATCGATGTGACGTATAGAACAATCCTTCATTGCATTAAGTAATCGTTTGGATTTTTCAACAGAAGTAGGCTCAAAACAGAGCATTGCTGGGAGAACGAAAAGTTGTAAGTAAATGGGACTGAACTTTGATTTTTGCAAACAAAAAAAGAAGGAGTGAACTCTACCCCTTGGATTCACAGACTTGCAATCTTTAAAGTCTGTGAGAACTCTCCGCATGGCAGATGAATCCAAATTTCCATCAAAAGCCAACAATTGAGGTCGAAATTTAATGAGCAGCGATTCCACATTGACGGAATTTAAAGCCTTGTTGATCCTCATATCAGCGACAGCCGTCACCAAATCACCCTTTGAATCAAGTATGGCGTTATACACTGCCGTTGATTCCGTCGCAGAAGTTATTATTTCAGTTGTGTCCTAGTAATAAATTGAGATCAATAACTTGAATCGTGGTGGAAAACCCCCTAATCTTTTACCATTCCAATAGAATTTAATTTGTCGAGACAGTGTCTGCCAACCATATCATCACCTACAGCTGAAACAAAGACTGGATTTCCACCACTTCTGAGACATGCTTCAGCGACATTTCTTCCAACACCTCCCAAAGTCTGGGTAGCGATTCCAGGGTTACTCGTATACAGTGGATTTGTGTCAGCATCTATTTTACCAGTGAAATCCAAAGCTGTGCCTCCAATTATCACGATAGGCCGACTGTTTTCTGCTGATTGACTTCTAGCCGTACTATAGTTACGACTTGATTGCGATGATGGATTATATAAATCGGCCAAATGCTTTGCAATTCTGCTACCAACACGTGCATTGTTTTCGACCAGAGCGATATTAGCCTTTAGCGAAAGACCTTTACTCTTTTCAGCAACGCGCTTCAATATGAATGGCGTTACATGTTTTCCGTGTATGCCTTGTGAGACTGCAGCTTGTATAGCTTCTTCAATAACAGACTGCAATAGTTTGGCGTCAGGCGCCTTGTCTTCTGGTATCGGCACTGCAATAACAAGCCCGCTTTGCAGATCTAGATCCAGATTTGCCTTTACGAGTTGAGCCATTTCGAACTCCGTTGGGAGAGTCAGAGGACTCTCGATACCTGAGTCTCGTGTATAAAAGGCTGGGAATTGATTCGAATTCAGTGTAGCTACCGTGACGCCCATAGTTTCTGTAAACCGAAAGATGAATGAGTAACAGATAGATAATCTCTTGGAGGTTGAAGAGAATAATCAATGGTCCTTGCCTAAGTATTCCAGTGTCTTTGGAATATCCAAGATACTCTTGACGCCTGAACAAACTACAGCAACTGGCGTTCTTCCTAGTTCGGTCAGATCTGCAGATACATCCATGGCTTGATAAGGAGATTTGAAAAAAGTGAGATCATTCGACTCATTGGTGAAACGACTGCTCACAAAGCTCACTTTCAGAGACACCCCGATGTACTCCTCCGATGCCACCCGTCGCAAAGACGTGCACCCCAATCTGATTTGCAATCCACATAGTAGAAGCGACGGTCGTAGCTCCATGCAGTTTCCCAGCCACGACGTGTGCAAAGTCGCGTCTAGAGGTTTTGATAACTTTTGCATCTGGACTGGCCAGTAATTGCAGATCCTGTGGTGTCAACCCCACCTTTATGTTTCCGTTGATGATAGCCATAGTGGCAGGCACGCATCCGCATCCATTTTCTCTGACTATAGCTTCCAATGAGCGTGCAACATCCAAATTGTGAGGAAATGGGAGACCTGATTGTGGTGACGTGAGCTCCAAATGGTGGTGAATGAAGCAGATTACGTGATGTTAGTCATACCATGTGAGATGATTGTGCTTTCAAGAGCAACAATGGGTTGTTTGGTTTCCAAAGCGTGTCGCACCTCTTCCGACACTTGGATGATGGATCTTGAGTGAGTGAATCGGTTTAAGGATGTTCGGGCCGATACAGAATTCGATCCGTATCTTGGTATCAGCCTTGTCAGCATCTCGGGCGACTGACACGCAGTATGTGTTGTTACTAGAGTTTGAAGTGCTTTCAGCGTCGCCCTTTCACAGCAAGTTTGGAGCGCAACGCGAAGGAGCACCACTTTTCATTTTGGCAGTATTATTTATATCCAATATACGCTTCTCGAATCACGAATAGCATTGACTCGCAGGTGAGCGATGCAAGTTTCAGTTTTCGTGTACGCGAGGAGATCAGCTCAGACAACCAGCCGTTAAACAGGAAATTGTCGCAGACGAGCTCATTCATCTTAGTTCTTACTAATCGATGGTGCTAACGGGGTGAGCTTGCTTTGACGATGAGCTCGACTAATCAATGATTTCTAACCTAGTGAGCGATTTCATTCTCTGCCACAGCCATAATACCAGACTTCACCGTTTACAACATTGATCACCTACTTATTTTTGAACTATCTGTCACCATCTTCGCTTGAGCAAACATGCCATCGAGGGTATTTCACGAAGGAGAGCGTAAGCTCATTGCAACCATTTCGTTTCCTCGTATCTTTGCACATAGCAACCAACCAAACACTGACCACCCTCCTCAATTCTTATAGTCCAGCTGCAGCAGATCAATGGTGTCGGCACTGCTATTGATGAGGAATTTGGAGACTGGGTCGGAAACTCACTCAATCAACGGCAAGCTTCGTTTTGGAGGGCTATACCTTTTGTTATTGCCAGCTATCAAGATCTGCAATCGACTCCGTGCACAGTCATGCTTCATAACGGAGGAGGAGGCCCTGTCGTGAAAAATATTGCTCCACAATCTCTGCAATTCGTGTTTGAGAACACGTGCTTTGTGGAATCTCATTTGCCCCAAGTGGGTGGCAAGATTGGAATCATTGGTATTATATTTCATATGAGGAATAGGGTGCGCTTGAATGGCACCATCACTTCGGTTGAAGGGGTCGATGATCGACATTGGAGCCTGCAAGTTCTGGTGGAGCAATCATACGGGTAAGCTATACAGTTTTTTTGTCACATTGTTGTGTAAATGTGCTCATTTTCTCCCTTACTCTCTAGCAACTGTCCTAAATATATCCAGGCTCGTCGTTTGGTTGGCGTCAAGGCACAACCTACAACAGAAAACACGAGCCTTATAGACGCGCATGATGAAACCAGCTTATCTCCAGAAATGATTAGTCTGATAGAGAAAGCAGACACTGCATTTATTGGGTCTAGTTATCGTGGTACGACAAAAGGAGGGAAGGATGGATTTGATTCCTCACATCGCGGAGGTTCAGTAGGATTCATTTCCATTATTAAACCTGGAGATTATGGCTCTGATAGCAACAATCGACCTACATTGGCGTATCCAGATTTCAAGGGAAACAACATGGTACGTTCTCAAAGTGGTCGTTGTTTCTTGTTTGTTTTCTTTCACTAACCTTCCATTTTCATTAGTTTATGACACTTGGCAACATATATACAAACCCTGCATCGTCCATGCTGATATTAGACTTTGACAAAGGATCAGCACTTCATTTATCGGGCGACTCGTATATACATTATGGATCGGACGCTTCGAAAATCTTGGCCGGAAGCCAACGAGTCTTGACGTTTGCTATAAATAATGCCACGCTCGTGCCAAACTGCAATCCGTTTAAATGGGAGTTTGTGAATGCATCACCATTTAATCCTCTCATCCGCTATGGTATCTCGAATCCACAGAAATCGCAAGCCATTCCACTTCGACTAGTAAAAATAAACTCTGAAGCATCCGATATAGCATCATTTACCTTTGCCTTGGCGTCAGATCAAACGGTAAAGATTATTCCAGGACAGTACGCAACCATCGACTTTAGTCAGGATGAGGCCATAAGTGCTAGTCGAGACATGTATTCGCAATCCTTTGGTGAAGATGATCCTAGAGCTCTGAACGAAGATTGTATTAGGAGCTATACGGTTGTAGGAGTCACAGGCGGTGATTGGAATCATGTAAACGAGTTTACTCTGATGCTCCGCGAACATCAACAAGGATTAGTGTCTACCGTACTACACCAGTACTATAAAACAATTCCATCAAAGAGAAGTGACTTCAAAGCATCGCTGCTGGGTATCGGTGGCGAATTTCATCCCTTCGGTCAAGATCAAAGTACGGGTGACAATGCTACTGCTGTTAAGAAATTGTTGATGGTCGCAGGAGGAATCGGGATTACACCTTCTATCGCTCATATACGAGGTATAAGGTCGCTGGCTAAGAGTAGTGTAAAGAAGTACGAGGTAGTCATTGTGGTCTCGTCACAGAAATACGAGGGTCTGTTACCACACATTCTTGAAGAACTAGCCCAACCATCCGATAATTTGAACTTGAAGGTCATCACCACGTTGACGAAAGAGTCTGGCTCTAATCTCATCCTTGGAAGAAAGGTAGACTTTGGTCGTGTCGATAAGAGCTACTTGTCGAGTCAAGTGGAAGGGTTGGAAGAATATGAGGCGTATATCTGTGGTCCAGATGCCTTCATAAGCTCTGTCACAGCTTCTTTGATAGAACTAGGTCTTGAAGGCGACAAAGTAAAGAGTGAAGAATTCAAGTACTAGCTAAGTTGTGGTGCCAATGACGGGGTGTTAAGCAACTATACTAGTCTGACTACGTATTAAATAGTTCGAATCGTAGATTTGGCATATGTGCAATAACAAATACATTATAGGAAGTAGTTGAAAACTGTGAGTTCACTTGGGTAGTGGCAGTGATGAAAGCGACGAAAATGACATAGCGGTCGGTCTGCGAAACCAATATCTCACATATAAGTTCATATGAAGCACGCATGTTTCTAAAGCGATCCACTCAGAACAGGCAGTTGCAAGCCTCCATGCAATTGTTCAAAACTTTTTTTTCAAACACAGAAGTTTGCTCGAAAACAATCTAGAATGACGATCCCGGAGGTTGACGATGCCGAAATGGCACTCTCTCGAATGAATCAAGGAATCCACAACCCATATATCCCACCTCCCAAACCAGCCACCACACCCCAAGCTTCAAATTCAGAAAATGCCGAAGCTGAATATTACGCTGAAGAAGAATACGACACAAACGCTCCTGAAGGTCAAGATCTACCAATGGACGATGTTGCAGTAGCAGCTATGGCAGCTATGGGCTTGCCACTACCCGAAAATCAACTAGAACAGCAGCCAACATCAACTACTGAAGAATGGACGATTGACAAGAAGGCCAAACCACAGAATCTGTATACTGCTAAAGACGAGCCAGATACCGATTCAGAAGATGATGAGGATTCCGATATGGAAGAGGGTCAACTTCGGGAAGTTAAAGTAGCAGGGGTGCAACAACAAGGCATGTCAGTTCCCAAAATTATTGAAAATGGGAAGGCTAAAAAAGTAGAGGAAAGTGAAAGTGATGATGAGAGTTCTGATACTTCATCTGATGAGTACGTATTGAAGGTGTTGTTTGGGAACAATGAGTTACTTTGGCTAACGCAAAAAAAATCTGGTGACGTAGCGAAATAATGGCACCGACTCGCAAAATGACTCTGCGTGAACGTGAAAAGGCTCTCATTGCTGCCGATGAGATGGCTGCTGATGATGATGGCAAAGTCGTTGCTGGAGGATTACATACCAAGAATGAGCTGCTTGTGCGATAGCTTCTGTTTATTTCGAACAACAAATCCATTTTACAGATTCTCCCATTTGTTTTAGACTCTGCCACCAGTGGAACCAGTCAAACTCGACATCCCAGCGCATCTACCCATGATTGAAATCGGTCGAATAGATTCTGTCGTCGAGAATTTCGTCTTGATAAAAGCTGTTGTTTCTGGTGATTATCAGGTTCTCGATTCTGGAAGTATCCTGCTTTATGAGGATCGTACTCCTTTGGGACGTGTAAGTATTGTTTGAGTGGCAATTTCTGTTGGGCGGGGTTTGTTTGATCGAAAAGCTGTAAAAAACCTGTTCTATTGATTCAATAGGTCCACGACACTCTAGGACCGGTAACACATCCTCTATACTCAATAAGATTCAACGCAGCTACAGAAATCGATAAAGCCAAATGTGTGATTGGATGTCCGATTTACTACATTCATGATTTGGCCAAGTTTGTCTTTACTCAGCCTTTGAAAGCGCTTAAAGGGTCTGATGCTTCTAACTGGCATGATGAGGAGCCCGCCGACGATGTAAAGAGCTGATCATTTCAGAACTTCACTGGTTGTACAGCAGCTATTACAATGTTTTTTTTTTTCGCGACACATAGGAAATTGAATTCTCAGATGATGAAAAGGAAGCAGAACACAAGAAGAAAGTCAAGGAAGCTAAAAGGGGGAAGTCTCGAGTCAAGTAAGTGGCAAAAAAGTTAGTAAATGAGGCTTTAAATGGTGCTAAAGCACTCTCATTCGCTAGAATTGACGGTGATGACGGTGTATATAGTTCGGGTGACGAAGACCAAAAGGAAGCAGCCGTACCTATGGACGCAGAAAGCATGCTACAAGGGGGTCATACTCGTGGTGGCAGAGGAGGCGGATATCGTGGAAGAGGAGGTTTCCAACGTGGTGCTGAACGAGGCTCTCCAAGAGGAGGTTTCTCGAGAGGTCGTGGTGGTGCTGTTGGACGTGGTGGATTGTATCCACAGCCTTCTCCTACTATACCTTATACCAATAACATTCCAGGTCAGCCGTACTCGAATGGAACCCATCAGAGTAGTAACGGATACAAACAACACCAGCAGCAGCCACAACAGTATGAACCATATCCACAATCACCATATTACGAGCAGTATGATCCAAGTCAGAGCAACTACAATAGCTACACTCCATCCATACCTCCACCACCTCAGAATAATTATAATCCAATGTATCCGCAACCAACACCACGCCCCATGCCATATCAACCACAAAGACCACAGCAAATGGCCCGTTCTCAACCACCACATATAAATCCAGCATTCTATAATAATCTCGTTGCTGGTCCACCATCACCAATGCACATATCATCGTATGATAATCCACAGCAGCCAAGTCACGCAAGCATGCTACTTCAGCAGTACAATATGCTTGCCAGTCAACCTGTAATGCAACCACCACCACCGAGACCACAACCAATGTATTCACCACCACCACCATTCCAGAACGCATCATATCAAGGTGGTATGTATATGAATCAAAATAGTAGTAGCAGTAGTCCGTATCGAGGAAATCAAAATGGGTATCAGGCAAATGTATATAGTAATAACAGTAATTCGTATCCCGGAGATTATGGATACCATGGTGATAATGGGTATCCAGGAGCCCCCCCTGCAAGGCCTCCGCAACAATTAGCCAACTTGTTGCAATCGATTCAGTATAGACCGCCGCCTCCTCAGAGGTAGTTTGAAAAGTTAAATTATCAATTTGTTTGTAAACTAGCATCTTGTTTTCTAAATATTACACAAATATTTGACAGACATTTTGCGCGTTGGTGCCGTGTTAATGGCTGAACGAGCGAAATATGAACGTCATATGAGCGATAATTGAAATTTCATAATGACTGTTTGTTTTATATTTTTGAAACGAGTGCAAGAAATACACAAAACGAGACAAGCTTCTTTACAAGTACAACCCTACAAAAGGCGGAGGATGGAAGTTAGCACATCGTTCGGAAACCACCACTTCTTTGCTGCTTTCTTTCCAAGGACTACAACCGCAAATCCTTACCTTCAGGTACACCCTCAGTCTTACGGTACAAGACCTTTTCTTTAGCCTTTCTCAAATCTTCAGCAACAACCTTCATTCGTCGTTCTCTCAAAGCCAATAATCCAGCTTCTGTACAAATGGCCTTGATATCAGCACCTGATAAGTCATCCTTTGACATGACAAACTCTTCCAAATCTACATCTGCAGCTAACGTCATTCGTGATGTGTGAATGTTGAAGATTCGTCGTTTGGTTTTGACGTCTGGCAATGGGAATTCGATTTTACGATCAATACGACCAGGTCGAATCAGAGCTGGATCTAATGACTCGATTCTGTTTGTTGCCATAATGACCTAACGAGTCGAGTTGACAGTTAGGTGTGATTTTCTTTAGAATAGGTTTTCTTATCCAATGTAACATCAAACCAACCTTGACATCACCACGAGAATCAAAACCGTCTAATTGGTTGAGCAATTCCAACATAGTACGTTGAATTTCTCGTTCACCTCCCGAAGTAGAGTCGTATCTGTTTCGCAAGAAATAAAAAGATACTTAGCAAAAGAAGGAAAAGATTTTTTTCGGGACAGTTGACTTCTCAACCCATCCCTCTCACCTTTTTGTTCCAACAGCGTCAATTTCATCAATAAAGACAATGGATGGAGCGTGTTCTTCAGCTACTCTAAAGAGCTCTCGCACCAATTTAGGACCATCTCCCAAATACTTTTGAATTAACTCCGATCCAACTACTCTCAAGAAGGTAGCTGATGTTTGGTTTGCAACAGCTTTTGCCAATAGAGTCTTTCCTGTACCGGGTACACCGTATAGGATGACACCCTTTGGTGGCTTGATACCCATTTCTTCATATAATTCAGGATGTGTCAAGGGTAACTCGACAGCTTCCTATTGTCAGGAGGAAAATGTACGTGTCAATAATCATGATTGAGCGGCACTATTCAAAAATATAGGGTTTCATCTCAAACCAATTGGCGTTCACCGACAAAAAAAGGTCCTTCTAGCACTACAAGCATACAAGTCGTACCTTGATTTCTTGTACTTGTTGTTCCAAACCACCGATATCAGCATATGACTCGGTAGGAGCCTTTTCCAGCTTCATGACAGAGACCATGGGATCAGTATCATCCGCCAATACACCTACTACCGATAGATTCTTGTGGTGCATTAGGATTGAGCAACCCGGCTCCAACAAGTCCTTGTCGACAAATGATAGGATGGATACATAATATTCGGGACCAGTTGAAGCAGATACGATAGCGTGATCGTCATCGATGATTTCCTCTAGCGATCCGACGTGCATGGGAGAAGACCGTAAATCGTCTACACGAGTACGTTCTTCTTGGTTTTTTTCTTCCTGTGGTTTGAGACGTTCTTGGTTTTGGACGAATTCTTCTTCCATTAGCAAGTAGTCTTTAATTCGTTCCAATTTGAGTAGCTTTAGTTTGCAACGGGTGTTTGGGAAGACTGTGGGATGAGTAGAGTGACAAGTTAGGAATGATAACATTTGACGGTATGATCGATCAGCACTACATATTCAATACTCTACCTGCAGGTAGTTTTCCAGCCGCATCAGGACCCTTCCTCTTCTTCTTTCCGACACGAGTTGGAAGTGGTGGTTCCCATTTCTTCTTTGCCTCCTTCTACGTAAGGTTGAGATATGAATATTAGGGAGAATTGAGATAATTACAGTGGGAAGATTCAAACAAGAGAACGCTTCTTGAGATCGTCCGAGTTTGGTACAATGTAGGAAACAGGTTGATGTTTGATGGACTTACTCCTTTGTCATCGCCCTTGCCGTTCTTGTTGCCACCAGGGCCAGCGCCTTCACCTGGTAGGCCTGATTGACCTTGTCCCTATGTAGATTGAATGGGTTCAATGTTGGTTGATGCTTCAAACAATCGTGTTGAATATGTGTGCTCCTTTGCATACCATGATTTAGTGACTTTCTAGTCAGCAAAAGAATAAGTAACAGTATCAAATTATAATCAAGAATTAATGCCTTGTCCTCTGACTTGGCCTTCTCCTTGCTGCTCTTGTTTTGTCAGGTTTGAAGAAGAAACGCGTCGTCACCAAATCAACCATCATTCCTAACGGGACTCTGTCCCCCTGTGGCCCACTCTGGCATTGGTTTGGCATTAGGAAAAGAAGCGGTTTTCGACGCGTAATTTCACATAATCCTGAATTGCCTTGCTATCGGATCCTGCTGTGCATGTTGTAGCATGCTTGACTGCTGGTTTCAAAGAATTGGAACCAAAGTACGCTAGTTTTAACCAAGTGGACCATGAACAATCTTTCTACATCCTGCTGGGGAGTCTTGCACTTCCTGTACCTCGGTGGCCACGTTGGCGTCGCTTCAATGGACTCAACATCAGACTCGAATCTAGTAATTCATTCAACTTGACAAATAATCTCGCTCCATTGCATGAATCAGCTCAACAAATCTGTACCAGCATCATCAATAGCCCCTGTAGTACCTCCAGATGCAGTCGCAAACCTGTCATTGTACTCTGATCTCCCACCACCAGAACTGTTGCTCAAGATTGCCCAACACTTTCCCTCCAAAACAATAGATTTTCAAGGAAAAGATTGAGTAAACACATATTAGCAAGAAACTCCTGCCATGCACCCTGTCTAACAAGTGGTTGTCTGATGTATTGATGCCTCTGACGTGGCAGCAAGTCTCCATCTGTGTGCACTACGGCGTCTACGACATTAAGCACTCCAATCGAGGTTAAATTTATAGGAGTACCGTGTAAGTATCGAAATGCTAAAAGTCATGTATCTACCATCGTTGCCAATGCTCCAGGACTTGACTTGACTAGTAAAAAGTCAAGTCACTTTGGAAGTTCGCATTAGCACCTCGTTCTGCCACGATTGAATCGAATATAGATCTAACCAATATAGCATTAAAATCGAGTGAAAGTTGAAAATGTTGGGACCATGTACATGAGTCGGGATCTTTTTATATCAACTCCAGAAGACCTTGCAGTATACTCTGAACCATCAGCATGGGACTCTGACGATGTGGTTTGGTGCCAAGTCATAATAACAAATAGGTAGATAACGGATTAGTTGTGAGATTATTTGTTAAAGGTTGTGAGGGTGAAGAGTGCAAGGTTTGAGGTGTTGTAAGGGAACATTGTAACCATTCCACGCGTTTTGGTAACGTCAGTCAACATGTAAAGCAATTCATTAGATTCATCATTTCATTGTTGTCGTTACTGTTGCCACTTGATATTCAAAGAAACTTTCAAAAGCTGGTTTCACGTCCAAAGAATGTCGAAAAGAGGACTCTAAGTGTCAGCCTTCACGAGATCAGCCATGATCTTCGAGAAATCGAACAGGTTCAAACTCAGTCAGCTCCCTCACATTGTGCGACATTGCAAAGAAATAAACTCCACCGACACTTGCCAACATATTTCTATGAGTCTCGAAGGGAAGGTAATATTGATCACTGGGGCCGGCAGTGGCCTCGGGGCGGAATTGGCCAAGTTTGTAGCAGCAAAAGGGTAACGTTCATCAAGTGCTTGCAATTGCGTCCAAACCCAAACCTCACGAATTTCCGGCTTCAACAGAGCTAAACTCGTGCTATCCGATATAAATGCCACCTCAGGTCAAAAAGTGACCGACGAACTAAATGCCAAATATGGCAACATTGCTGGTTTTATTCAGTGTGATGGTATGTTTAGACATCAACATTTGGCCAACGAGCTCAAGTAACAACGGTTGGATGGCAGCAATCTCACACTGATTTATTTCATGATGAAGTATCCGACACCGTGAGCCATCGAAACCTCTTCCAAAAGGCTACAGAGGTGCATTCCGGACTAGACATTATGTAGGAGCCTGTGACGTATTACATTCAGACTTTTGTCCGTTTTTTTGCTCTTAGTAATGTAATTCGCAAACATCATAGTTGCAACAATGCTGGTATCCTATACTCTCCCCTGGGAGAAATCAAAACACCCGGTGACGTTCTTCAAGATCTAAATGCAGACTGGAAGAAAGTTATGCATGTCAATGCTGACGGATGCATTGATGGCACTATTCTCGCAGTACAATATTTCAGAGGTGCCAAGAAAGCTGGTGTCATTGTCAACACGGCATCAGTTGCTTCTTTTGTCGCTACGCCGTTAATGCCAATTTACGTGAGTTTTGTAAAACACCATCTAACCTGCTTTTAGTGTTTAAAGCAACAGTTTGTGGGAGCTCATTTGTAGCTTGTACATCCTTTGATCGATTACCTTTGCTCCTTCGTATTTAACCATTCTCCAAAACATTTCTGAATAGTGTGCCTCCAAATGGGCTGTGCGATGCTTCACACACTCACTGGTGGGACTGAAAGCAGAAGGAATCCACGTAAACTGCATCTGTCCAATCTTCCTGGATACTCCTATGGTGGTCCAGGCTCGTCAACAAAGCAGTGACACGGATCAAGGCGTTGCAACTCTAGGTAAACATTTTCTTGTACCATTCCCGTTTTTACGAACAAGTAACCCATTATGTTTCATCAGGCTTTGTACAAATGGACGGTGTGCTAGCTCAATTTGAACGAGCCATGCTTGACAAGGATTTAGCAGGTGCTGCAATAGTCATTAACAAGGATTTTGCAAACCCTGGTAAACCGGACTTGGTGGAGGTTGTTCCTGCACCGATTCTACCAAACATATTAAATCCTCTTGCTGCTATATGATTCATTCATGTAGTTGGGTTGAGTGTTTCAGCCTAATAAAAAATTCTCTCATCTACAGAACGCGTGTTTATCCCAGAACCATTTTTTGCGCCTTGGAATTCCCCGTCCAGCTTAACGTCACTGCTTCTAGAACATTGAGAGACCATGTGTTCTTTACAAAATTGTTGATTCCTTAAAAATTATACATCATTGAAACAAGTACAGAAACGTGAATATTCTAGCCCTCCTTAGCAGAACTATATTTAAAAGCGAAGATTATAAGTCAAGCGAATCGTTTAAAAGGTAATATCATCTACCTTACCTTCCAATGGTGACCACAATTCAAACATTCACAAAAGGTTGTCTTAAAAACGAAAAGATACGAATGAACGAGTGAGAAATAAATTCAATGAGTGAATCTGCATAGCAAGGGACTGTCTTACCATGGGTTCATCAGCACTCCTAGTTTGCTTTTGAAAATACGAAGTTTTGCGTTGTCTGCATTTTCCACAAGGTAATTGATCTGTAGTAGCTCGAGTATCTGCAGCAGCAACAGCCCAATGCATAGCTTCTTTGTTGTATCGCTCTTCTTCTGCCTTCCTCTCTTCTGATGCCATATCCTAATTATTGCGGTGAAGTGTAGATATAAGCCTGGGACTTTGGCACAAGAGTCCCTTTAGCTCGCAAAAAAACAAGCTGTTGTGGCACAATGTCTTTCCTTCAACAACGACATATCTCAAACAACACTCCCATGTCCAGACTCTGCTCGATATACTTTACTTACAGCAACACTCATTGAAGCCAAAGCATCAGGTTTCACAGATCCATTCAACACGTTTTCTCTCAGCGCAAAGTTACTCTTGTTTTTCAGGTTTGAATACAGTGTCCGTATTCTCGCCTTGTAAACTTCCTTGTTTGTTGATCCTTGATATTGATTCCATACTTCTTCTTCTAATGCAGCAGCCTTCTTTGCAACAACGTCTGAATCTAGGTATTGAAGAATGGGTAAGGGCATATTCGGGGTTAACCCAGCCAAACAAAAGCGACGGTAATTGTAGATCATCGAAGAACGATAACGGTTGTTCTCGTCACTCCTTCTTGTTGACTACCTCGTTTCCTAAACTACTCACCAACAGTCGTATCAGTCACAAGAGCATTATACAACATTTCGAGGCACTTTTGACGAATTTGATCCTTGAGAGATTTGAGTTTGACGTTGTCTGTAGCAGAAGATCGTTCTCCTATGTGTGGTGTTGGTGTAGGAGGTCCAGACCCATTATTTGAATCTGTATTATTGGTGATGTTGCTGCTCTTGACATCCACTAGGGAAGGATTATAAAAACCATGAATTTAGACAACAAATTATCGTTGAACACAATCACAGATATCATACCACTGAGTTTCCTGCCTTTTAAATCCGTGGTTGTTGCTGATGACGATGAAGATGAGGTCGTGGTGCTAGTCTTTGCTCGACTAACATCTTGCTTCCATTTGTCGACTACTTGCTTTGCCTTTTCAATGACTTTTGCGTGGTTTGATTGTGTAGCCTTCTTCTTGACATCGTTTACGAATACTCCAATGCGAGTACTCTAAGATTGGTAGTGAGTTTGAGTATGAGTCCACGCAGTTGGCAATGTTGTGTGTATCTTCACAGGTTTTCAAGCAATTTGAATCAAAGCAAACTAGACGCATGAATAATTACACGTAGTATGTCCTCAGTAGCTTTGATTGTAAGTAATTGCTCCAGTAGCTCGACAGTGACCTGTTCACAAATTGTCCGTGATTTATGCTCAAACGACAAAAGCAAGATAGTGCAGCATACTGTATGAGTTCCTTTATCGACAGATGTCTCCAATGCCTTCCTTATTTCTAAAATCTCGGGCTCCTTGACCGACATTTTGTCAACTACCTGCCAAATCAACCTTTCACTGGGTTTTTTGGATGCAAAAAGCACACGAGAGTAAAATGCACGAATAATCGCGCAAATCACGCTATTAAAACGGTCAACACGTGTAATTCTTATGTACGAACTGTACGAATATATCATATGCTTGAACTCGTTCGTCAATTACTCGTGTGAAGCTCCAATTGTCCAAACTCCAAAAAGAAAAAAACACTCACAAGCTTCATATAGCTGCAGAGTCAAAAAGGAAGATGCCGGGCCTAATATCAGTCAGCGAACGAGACTATATAGTCAATGGAGTAGTAGCCAATATCCGAGCTGATGGTCGCAAAAGACACGAATTCCGTCCAATTGTATTAGAGACTGGAGTCATTTCTCAAGCATCTGGGTCAAGCAGAATCAAACTAGACACTACTGACATCCTAGTTGGAATCAAATTCGAGGTCGAGACATTCGGAAGTCGCTCGGATGACGAGGATGCGTCTCATGAAGATGGTGTGGAAGCCAGTGCAGCTGCTACTCTAGAGGAAGATCTACAGGATGATGCAAGTCAGGATCGTGGAAGAGTTGTCTGTAATGTCGAATGGTATGTGCCTTGTGTGTGTCTTGATGTGGAGGCAGATAGCTTGATAATTGTTGGTTGCAGCGTGTGAAATTTGGAGTATGCAACCATCCCTACGTAGACCTTTTCTCAATCTATTATCTTTTTTCAACTTTTGTACAGCTCTCCAAGTGCATCCCGCTCATCTGATCGCAAAGAATTGGACAATATGGCTACAGAATACTCAGAATTCATGAATCGAGTATTAAACGCTCCTCATGGTGGTATTGACTTAAAGGCATTGCTGATTGTGCCAAAGACTAGTTGCTGGGTCATCTACATTGACGTCCTGGTAAGATGCAACCTATGCTTATCTTTTTTTCGGTCCCTACTAGACGTTTTCGCTCACACCTTTGTCAACTCTCTCTTCCCATCAAGGTCTTGGATATGGGTGGCAATTTACTCGATACAATCTTTCTGGCTACACGGGCTGCACTGCAAAACGCACGTATGCCTAAAGTCATGTTGGAACAGGTCGGTGGCCGATACGAATACGATGTATCGGATGAAGAGACGGAAATCGTTAAAGGATGGGAAGATATACCAATTGCTATCACTTATTGCAAGGTTCGTTTATGTGTGGCGCGTGTGTTGGTGGTTGAGTTGACTATTCATGCTGTAAAGGTGGAGCTTTTTCTTTCTCATCGTTTGTCCTCATACAGATTGGAGATCGATTCGTAGTGGATCCAACAATCATGGAAGAAATATGTACAGAATCCAAATTCATTGTTGGTGTGAATCGACATGGAAGATTATGTGCTGTACAGAAAGGTGGTTTGGGAAGTATATCACCTAATCTCATGGTTTCAATACTACAGGTATAAACTCATTGGTCAATTCCTTGTGGTTCAATATTTGTGCCGTCTAACACACCTCCTGTGATTCGTCTAGAGTGCTCCAAAAGTAGGCCTTGGACTTTTAGGTGATTTAGAACGATGTCTCAATGCGGAATCACAACGCATCAATAACAAGCTTGACCCAATTGGGTTTTTGGAAGAGCATGGATTCATGCAATAGCTTCAACAACGCACTTTTGTTTTTTGTTGGATGCATAATTTTATACTAACAACCAGTGCATTGTACAAATGTGTACACTATTATTTGACCTCACAAACTACTTGTATATAAATAAAGAACATGGATATGATGGAAACGTCAATCTGCTTTCCTACTCGACTTTCTTTTATGCGCAATGCCATTGGTATTTGAGGGCTTCTTCTTTCCTTGTATGAGGTTTCGATATGCAAAATATATACCTAATAGTAGGCCTAGTGTGATGGCCATTCCTTTTACCCAAGAGGATGATAATGCACTTATAGCATCAGATACTGAAGATGAGTTCACAACCGGAATTGGATTTGTTACAGTTTCCTTTGGCTGTTCCTTTAGTTGCTGCTGCTGGGTCTCAGCATGGTGTTGCTCTCTAAACGTGCCAATAGCAGCTATACTCTCTGATATACGACCGAATGCATTGAATAGTGCTACGATCTCTTGTCGTGTCAGTAATATCTCTGATGGCCTGTTTGAAGAACAAAGGGAGGAAATATGTCAGGTCTAGGCGGCAAAACAAAACTACAAAATTCATCGGCATATTGAAGCTTTACGAAATCAATCGTTCTTCCACTGCCAGAATTCCCGTCAAAACATGACCAACAACCAATACGTCTCCCATCATTCTTCGATCATAGTTATTCAATCTCTACCATTACTTACGTATCAAAGGAAAACAGAATCTTGAGGGCAGTCCCCAACCCAAGAGTTTGTATCTTGCCCCACAATCTACACTTTTCACATCCAACACAATCCATTATTCCAGTTATATTCCTGAAATGGTCTCTGAATTCCTTTTTTAGTGTCACTGCATCAGGACCTCTAAATAATGCACTCTCATCAAATGGTGGTGATGCAAGACATGTCTTTTTTGTAATGGATTTCAACAAGGTCTAATTATGAGTTGGGTAGTGAGAGTAAGAAGGTTGATAAGAATTGGTCGGGAAGCGTGAAGCCATTCAACAAAAATCCAATAGTGTTGGGAGTGAATAATACCTTGATGGTTTCACTATCTCCATTAGCTCCACTAGCACATAAATCAAACGAATCTAAAACTGGTCCCAGTTTTCCGATAGATCGTAACAAGACGACATAATTGAAGTACATATTTTGTACACGGTCTGGGAACATGCCCACTCGCTCCATAAAGCAAGTCAGGTTTGGAAACTGGGTGGAAATAGCATACAAGAGAGTGGAGGTATAGTGAGCGTTTGTGTTTGTTATGGTAAGCATCATTCAGGTTTAATTATGGGATGAGTGCAAAAAAAGGCATAAGTGCACTGGAGACAGAGCCGACGTCGACAGAACACTCACCCAAACACCAGTCTTCCTATCCAAATACTCATTACATAAATGTGTTGATATAGAAGAATGAAGTCCTAAGAGAGAAAACACTGTAAATATTTTTAAGTGGGGCGGACAAAAAGTTGTCTGTTGTAACAGAAAAGACGGGTGACACGTCAGGTCTCCTTTTTCCCCACTCGTCAACAACTCATCATCAGATGCCTCACCTGATATAAGTCTATAAAACACCCGTTTCTCTAAACACTGCTCAGAATCCCTGGCAGCCTCTAAATGATTCTTCAAATCCGATTCAGCAACATTAAAACAATTCTCTTCATATATAGCCTTCCACACTCTAGCAGCTGAAGCGCCTGTATATCCAGTGAAACGTTCTGGATTTTGTAATAGGTTGACGTATTCTCCATCTAAATTTGAATTGACACGTGTTGTTTGAGTTGGATGTTTTCGTGTTTACGGATGACAGCGAGCACCAACAAAAAAACGGCAATTGTATGGAGCTAATACCATTGGAAGTCTCATCATCCCATAAACAAAAGTCCTTGTCAGTGCATTTGGAGAATGGTTTGAAACTATGGCCGTTATTGAATGTGACGGTCGATAATTGTTTGCTCTTCCATTCATCAGGCACCTCATCCTACGAGGACGTGGAATGAGGAAAGATTAATAAATCGAATAACATGATGATAGCAGCATGTCCTTTTTTTGTTTTTTGAGGTCAATGAATACCTCGTCAGTAGTTTCAACTTCACAGTCCCGCTGGAAGCATAACATATTTTCAGCCCAGTGGGGACAATCTTTATGCAGATTGATCTAATATTAGACAACGAAAAAGGGAGAAAATGGTCAACTGGGATGTCTTTTTGGATCGAAGGACTGACTGGATCAAACATGATTCCTCCACTTCCAACCAACTAGATCACACTTCCAACAACGACAGCGTTACCTTGAAATAACGAAACAGTGAAGTGCCCACTAGATCCTTGAGATCACCAGCGATTGTCGAATGGATCGTTTCCACCAGCTCAATGTTGCACCTTGACTCGACAACCAGATTATCAGGCTAGGGAGAAAATGGAATCATATTAGTTAAGATGATATTAAAATTATGATTCGCATAGAAGAATCCCTCCTGTCACATCCGAATACGACTCACATTACAAATGTCTAGCGACAAGTCTTGTTGTAATCCTTGATCCTGTGGAGCTCGTTTAGCGGTAGCTGCCACCAGCAATGCAATGAGGGTTATGAGCAATGTCCATATTGGGCGGTTTGCCTTGCACCACATCATCAGCGTCTCGTTGTGAAATGTCGAGCTGTGTTTGAAATTTCGAGACAAGTGAAGTGATTCTGCAACGCACGCGGTGAACAAGACTTTCCAAAGTCATCATAAATTATAATGGTGAGGACATGTATTGTGTTATAATTTTTAGTTGGCTCGTGTTTTACATGTTTTTTATAGTATTGACATACACATTATAATATGCTAATTTCTCTTCCAAACCACAAAGCTTCAAAAGTCTGAGAACAAGGACCTATAAGGGTCACCGGTCTTGACTTCTTCTTCGTGTTCTGCGGCTGGATATCTCTCAAAATTCCTGTAATCCCCAGCAAATTCAACTTTGGGAACAATTGGGGCGGTCACCCTTTTATGTAAAACAGCATCAAAATCCACTCCCTTGAACCATTTATGTCTTTTCACGTCTTCTGCTCCACCTCTCAAGTTGCCTAATCTCTTGGAACGATCCAGCGTCAAGAGATGGCGGATCAAGTCCTTTGCATTAGCGTCAAAGTGCGAAGGAAAAGATATCTTATTGGCCAGAATCTTTTCATAGATACCAAAAGGGTTGTCGTCAAAGAATGGTGGGTACCTGTTTATATGTGTGTGAGAGTATTCAGTTTGAGTGCCATAAACAAGCTTTTGCACATTCTTCTTCTACACATACCCAGCAAGCATCTCAAATATCAATATTCCCAATGCCCACCAATCAACAGCCCTTCCATGTCCTTTAGATTGAATGATCTCAGGGGCCAAGTACTATTATTAAAGCGCACGCTCCGGTCAGTGGAAATCCGAAAATGCATGTCTTAAGAAAGGGCTACCTCTGGAGTTCCACAAAGAGTCCAGGTCCTATCATCCACCACTTTCGCAAATCCAAAATCTGTTATTTTTATATGTCCCTTCTCATCCAGCAAGAGGTTTTCAGGCTTTAGATCCCTATACACAATGTCTTGACTATGCAGAGTCTCCAAGGCTAGTAGGATTTCAGCAGCATAGAATTTCGACACATCGTTGCTGGAATAAAAGAATATGTCAAATGTGAGAATTTTTGCCCGGCATAAGTTAATGGTGCAAAACGTTCTCACTGCTTACCTGAAACGACCAGCTCTTCTGAGGTGCGAAAAGAGCTCTCCACCAGGAACGAACTCCAATAGCATAAAGAGGTTGATGCTGTCTTGGAAGGTGCAATATAGATTGACTATAAATGGGTGGTGTATTCTGGACAGGATTGCTTTTTCAGAGCAAATGTGTTCGACTTGCTATAAAGGGAAGAGTTGTAAGGGAAACGTCGACAGTTGACATGTAAAATCTCACAGCAAGATTAAGATATATACCTTTAGCCTGACAACTTCAGTCTTCCTGAGTATCTTCATAGCAAAGAAGTTACCGGTGCTGATGTGTTTGGCGAGCATGACTCTTCCAAAAGTGCCAGTTCCTGTAATCAAGCAAATTAAAACGTCAATAAATAATGTATAACATGGGCTCTTGCAGGGTTGACTCGACAGTGTTGTGAGCCACTTTGATTTGACACGAGTGAAATGTCGACCGTTTTTGCAACATTGTTGAATAGGAAATGAGGCCGACTGAGCGCACCTAGAGTATCTACCAATTCGAAATCAGCTAGCTCTGGAGTCAGGACATGTTCCTTGACCAACCTTTGCGGTTGATAAGACTTCGCTGAATGTTGAGTGGTCTGTTGTGAGTGGCAGTCGGCAGGAAGAGCTAGAATCATCATGACGGAGGTCGATAATAGACTGCCAATGTTGTGTCGGCTCCAAGTACCAATTCCAAAAGCAGTCAGGCTCGTACTCACTGCCAATCCAATCTTTCGTTTTTTCACGGTCCAGACTACTTGACGAGGGTGAAGAGCAAGAGCACGATCAATCTGCCAATCTACGTCATCGTTTTACGCGAATCGATCTTATATTTCTTATATGAACGATGCAAGCGGACATATGTTTTCCGGGAGCTGAAATTGCTCACGAACTTGAAGCTCAATCTGGACCAGGGACTTATGTCAGGAATCAAATAGTTTATTCTTCATTGCTGGGTCAGAAACAAATCACCTCCAATCCCATTCATGTAAGCATCTTTATGATGGCCGACATCTTTTTTTGCCCATCATCAACTTATTTTTTAGCGAGCCTGAAAGCTACGTGCAAGCTCGATCTAACCCCACCATGCACGCGTTATATAGAAGCCAATCGTCTCTGTAACAAGGAACAGAGAAACTTCCATAGTACCTGATGTCGGATTTACTGTCATTGGTCGTGTCGTGAGACTAAAACCACAAGAAGCTGTGGTCGACATTGTCGTCGTAAATGGAAGGACTACTGCTGAAGGATTCCAAGGTATCATTCGGAAACAAGACATTCGAGCTGCTGAAAAGGACAAAGTACAAGTTCACAAGTGTTTTAGACCGGGTGATATCGTCAGGCACGTACTAGACAGTCGAATACAACGTCGTCCTTGACGAGTCGAATACATCGTCTTCTTTGACGTGTCGAATACAATGTGTTACTTGAAGAGTTGGATACAACTGATCCTTGAAGAGTCAAATACAAAATGTTCCTAACACACACTAAATATTTAGTGCTGAAGTTATCTCGCTTGGTGACGCCAAATCATACTTTTTGTCAACTGCAAAGAATGAATTTGGTGTGCTACTTGCTACTAGTATAGCAGGATACATGATGGTGCCGGTTTCATGGGATTCAATGATGTGTCCAGTCACAAAGGTACTACTGTCTTCATAGAAGGTGAACTGGCACATTTTTGCATGATGACTCATGTAATTCGTTTTGTTAGGCCAAGGAGTTCAGGAAATGTGCAAAGCCAAGTCAATGAACATCCCCATGTCCGCAAATTCGCGCATCTTTGGCAAAAACAGCTAGTGGTAAATTATGTAAAGGCAGCATTATAATATATTGGTATAGTCTCTATGTGTTGGTGTCATTGGCCCCACGGTCCAAGCCCATTCAGTTCTCTGCGAATGTTAGACACTTTTTGCCGAAGATCTTGATCTTCCCATGTAGCAGGGTTATGGTGATTAATTAATTCATTCATGAGGTGTCCATCAAGCAATAGGTCACGTAGCAGTCCTACCCTGTCCAAGTCACGGAGTTCTGATTCGACGCCTGAAGACTCAGCCCATTTATCAATGATGTCTAACAACTTTGGTCTTAAAATTGGAATTAAACAATCTTTCATGAGGCTCTTCAATGCGGGACAATCGTCTCCCCACTGAATCTGCGAAAACCGATATCCACCTATGTGAGCACGTAGAATATCAGCGGCAGTGCGTCCATTACTGTCTCGACCGTCTGTTTCAAGGGCAAGCTCCTCCAAAAGTTTACCGAGTACAGCCCAATGACCCGTCTAATAGAGCAGAGTGTAAACCACATACCTATCGAACGAGAATAAGACCTACCTCCAATTCAGTCACCTCACAAAGAACATGCAGACAAGTCCTTCCTAGTACGTCTACTGCCTTTATATTTTGAAGATCATTATCCAGCAAGAAGGTCACAGATTCAGGTAAACCCATTTGACATGCTCGATGGAGTGGCGTAAATCCTTGTCGTTCCGGTGGTGAAGCATGCTTATTCAAAACAACTTTAATATCAGCGCCATAGCTCAATAAAGTTGTAGCAACATCTATATGAGACATTTCACCAATTGAAGAGTAAAATGGCGTTTGCCCTTCCACGGTGGCTTTATCAACCACGGCATCGCGATTGATGAGACACTCTACTACAAGGATATGGCCGTTCAAACTGGCCATGTTAAGAGGGGTGAAGCCTTTATCACATTCGGCATCTTTTTCTGCATTAACTGCTATCAAGAAATTTACCAATTCGTGGTGACCTTCTTGAGCAGCCAGGTGAAGAGGGGTACGTCCTTGCATATCAATCGCATCTACTATTGCACCCTGCGAAACAAGGTATTGTGCAACGGACAGCTGTCCTTTCTGAGCTGCAGAATGGAGAGGAGTCTCCTTTCTTCCGGTAGGCGAAGGCACTAAGACATTCCAACACTGTTGTGTAAGAAGTGTGGCAATATCGGAATGTCCATGAGTAGCAGCATATTGGAGAGGAGTTCGACCATCAGCATCAGGAATGTCAACCACCGAGCCATGATGGATGAGGAGAGCTGCAACGTTATATCGCCCATTTTCACAAGCTCGGTGCAGTGGGGTTATCAATTCATTGTCCTGTATATTTACGAGTGGGATTCTGCTATGCTCAAGGAGGAGATTGACAATCCTGTGAAATCCACCGGCGGCAGCAAGGTGAAGGGCAGTGCAACCACTAAAATCTTTGGCGTCTATTTTAGCACCCCGTCTCACGAGCAGATTTGCAACATCAAAATATCCTCTCGAGACAGCGTAAAACAAAGGAGACCTCCCTCTAGCAGATATATGACTAGTAGTCGGCCGATTCACAAGCATCGGATCATCATCAAGAATCCGAGTAACATTCCCAAGTTCGCCATTAGATGCGGCTCGATGAATTGGGTCCTAGAAAACCGAAAGGTCAGCATGTGTTTGACAAGTGTGCACAGTTTTAGAAGACTTTACCAGGTTTTCTCCCAACTCCACGAAGAAGGCTCCGCCTGTATATCCAACAAGTTCTGCGATAGCTTTCGTAGGAACGAAACTTTTGACATCATCATCATGGGCATCACCCAACGTTTTATCCGCTCCGCCGTCCAGTAAGACCTTTACAACCTTAGTGTGTTTGTTCATAGAGGCGATAATTAACGCCGGGCGGTGACGTTCTCCTTCCTGGAGGTTATCACCATACGAGAATCCTCTACAGTTTACATCGGCACCACCATATTGCAGCAAGGCCTCACACACTTGATCATGCCCAGCTTTTGCAGCCTCGTATAAAAGAGGCGATGGAAGGTATCTTGTTTCGGCATCGTCAGTCCTTCGTAGCAACTCCGGTCCTCTACCATAACGTAACAGTAATTTGACAATCTTATCCGAACCACGTTGGACTTGTTGTACAAGAGCAGCTGATCCATACCACTCACAAAATGCCCTAAGCTCAGTAATTATGGGTTCGTCTATTGTACCTGCTTTCTCGAGATGATCAAACCAGTTCTGGCAAGCATAACGGATGTGAGATTGCTGATTGGTTGGGAGGTTGAGTCCTATAAGGACTGTGTCTGGATCATCGATAATGTTATTGTTTAATGTCCTGAGAGTTCGAAAGGCAAGATTCTTATGGGACTGCTCAACGTTTATAAGGAATTGGCGAGTTGTACACCGTTCAGTGTCAGTGAGATACTCTAATAGCGAGTGGTGGATTATACAAATCTTGTCATCAATCATTTCAAATAGAGAAGCTAAGCGACGTAGGACTTCTCGAATAATTTGTTTCATGCGATTCAAGGTTTTCCTCGAATCAGTATCAACATCACAATCCGCCCACAAGGCTGCCATATCATCCACAGACATCTCTTCATTCAAGACAAGAAGATTACCGACTACATAATGGAAGCTCAATAGCCATTCGGATCCAGGATTTGCGTCCTGGAGTTTAACACATGCTCCACAGAGAATACGTTCATACATGGGATCCATAACTATCGTCTCATTGGCTAACACTAGACCATCGCTAATACCCTCAATGTACCTATGTGAAGCTTTATTTGCGGACGTCATGGGAGCCACTATTAGTTCACAGATCATTGCAGCCCATAGAAAGACACCTTTGGATCTCTCTGTGAGCACCGTCGTGACCCTCTTCACACTCACATCTTCGAGTGTAAAGGCTAGGCTTTTCACTTTATATCGGATATAGCTCTCAATGTCTCTCCTGTCGCCTGTTGTAAGGCAAATTCGGTATGTCTCAACATCTTGGAGGGTGTAGTTGATATCTTCTTCTGTTCTACTAGTGACTATGAGCTTCATGTGTTTCGACAGCTGGAAAAATTCGGATTTCAGCACTTCCAGTAAATGAGCTCGTGCAACAGAGTTCTGCGGAACAGCTTCATCTAAGGCATCAATTATTATAACTATCGTTGTCGATGTAAGGTTCAGTTTCTTCAATGGTCCCAATATGAGCAGTTCGAATTGTTTGGATTCATCTAATTGATGCCAATTCGGATTTTGCGTCAATGCTCTATAAACTTCAGTTGCAATCGTGTCCGAAAACTCAGCTAGAGAGAAATTTGAGATATTCATAAGTTAGAAAGGGAGGCACTCAAAGCTGAGCAACTCAGCACTCTTACCAAGTTGGAAAGCAATCGTGTCCATCATACGATTAATTTCATGCTTGCCTTCTCTACAAAAGAAGGCAATAGGAATAATTTGATTGTCTTGTATCCTACGCCCGTGAGCCGCCTTGTATATTGCAGAGGCGAAGACACTTTTCCCTGTTCCTGTTATACCAGTGACAGCAAGAGCACTCTCAACCCCTGCATCAACCCAATTCATAACTTGGTCTATGAGCTCGCCTCTACTACTCTCCTTCGGTTGCAGTTTAGAGTAGAGTGTTTCGATAATAGAGGTGACTCGTTCTGGCTTTAACAGCGTCCGAAGCTTTTCGATAAGCTCATTTACAGGCGTAACCGATAGAGTATCCCGTTGATGCACCGTCAGTTCGCGTTCGTACAATAAAGGGCTTCCTGGATGATTCTTAACTACTTTGACCAACAACGATGAAAATGCCTGGTCGATTTGGTACTCTGCTGGAGAATCGGGGTTCAAATAGACTGAAACCTCATTGATTCGTTGTCCAGAGAGGGCTCTGATTTTCAAATGCAGGTTCGGGCATCCGTTTGCGCGGATCTCAAAATTTTCAAAGGGACCTGCTTCCATTCGAATCACGACTATGGGCTTTCTACAAAGTATAGCTTGATTAAACTCATAACCGCAATTTCTCGATTCCTAAAAGTTTATAACCAGAAGAAGGTTGGCATTGTAGAACGGCTGGTGTCCGTCCACTTCACCGAAAATAATACAAACTTAGACTTACGACATAGGCTTTGGAGGCACACACAATAATGACTTTCGACTTCTTCACGGCTTCATCCATTCTTTGAACCAGGATTCCACGCATTTCTTCAAGATCAACCCAGACTTTCAAGCCAGCTGCTCTTAGAGCGTCACGAAGTTGAACGACAACAGGCTGTTGAGCCCATCTAGAGAACAGAACCTTGTTTGTTAAGTACTTCAGCATAAACCCTCCCATAAAGGTTACTTACGAGTAACTCAGCATCACATCAAATTCCTTACACTCATCTAGACGCTGGGAATCTCGTCCGCGATGAAGGCTTCGAATGTCCTGAGCCAGTTCGGTGATCTTTGAGGTATAATGATTACGGTCACCTGAAAAATCCACATACTTCATCCCCGCGAGTCTAGACCTAGATGATACTCAGGTTGACTCTAGTAGTCGAGTTCTTCCATAAAGTAAAGACGAACATACCAAGCCTTTCGAATCCCACGATCTAAGATTACAGGGACCACAGATTTGCGCATTTCTAATGCGTGATCTAGTGCAAGCAGAGCCATAGAAGAAGCCTAGATAACGGAAAACAATCGGTTTTAAGATGTGTTCCAAATGAAACATTAAAAGCAACTCAAACCTCAAACCACGGAGACAAACACGGCACAATCACCGTGGCAGTCTCAACATAATGTTTGAAATCAGTGATGAATTGTGCCTCCCGACCGTTTCTATCGTTGGCAGGATATGCAATCCGATTACATTGAATGTTCCCATCTTCATTCGTTAGATCTTCGCTAATCTGGAACACAGTGGCCGTCTCTCCTTCTTTGTCACTACATTTGAGAAGTTCGGAGATATTAAACCCTCAAATTCCATTCATTAGCGACACTTGTTTCTCATGTCTTACCTGAGAAGGAATACAACAGAGAAGTCCTCAGATTCACCAAATGAGGTGGATGCTGAAGCTTTGGAAAACAGAAAACTTTAAAATACGAGGACGAAATGGTAGAAACAGAGAATATAGCACCTTGAGATGAAGACACCGACGATGGAAGCTCCAGAGATTGATTCTGCGTCACAGTGGTAGATGTTTCACTAATCACAATGCAGATTAGTAGCAGCATTTGCATGATAAGCAGGCTTCTAAATTTATCTACTAACATTTCATTTCTGTCTGACTGGTCTAGTCTCGTTCTTCGTTGTTCAACTTCACCAATATGCTGCTCTGCTGGACGTTTTCTTGATGGACCTCCTTCATCAGCCATTGAAGGCTAACCGCAACCGATACAATCGATTGAGACTGACAATCCCAAATGGTGAGCACTGTGACGGTGTTCGTCGTGGCTGTTGCTTACCTGAAAATAGAAGAGAAGCTTATGTCTTACCAGTGTTGCGACTGAAGTCACAAGAAATCGAAGCAATAGATAAAGGCCATCAAAATTTTATCAAATTGCTGGCACAGTCATTTTCCTTGATATCCTAAATCCGGTGCCTGCCGTGAAATACAAACGCGTCGACTCGACAATCAGAAATCTGTGCCACAAAACGGCGAACCTCACAAGAAGATTCCTATAATTTATAGTATATTTAGATAAATTAGACAAAATAACAAGTGATCCTCCACATGAGAATGTCTTCCAGATCAAAGATTACTGGAGGAAGACTTCAATGTGCAGCGAACAATTGCTACAGGGCGCTTCAACGGGCCCATCCGCCAAATCCTCTTCATAGACTTGATACGACCCGCCACATCGACACGCATACGAGTAAATCCCTGGAATAATGTGGACAATGTGTTGTGAGAACTCTGAAGATCTGCAAACATTACGATGTTGTTGATACCTGATTCCGCATCAAACGTCATGTCGTCAGCACGGACTTGTTCATGAATGGCAGCTCTTTGCCTAGATTGCTCTAAATATCCAAAACGGTTGTAAGAGCACGACTCTCCCAAAATCCAAACACTGTGACAAGATGCTTGTCCCAACCTTGCAGATTTGCATCATATTGAGCTCTTTTGACAGGATCACTCAATGTTTCCCATGCCAAAACAATCTTTTGGAATTCAGAATTCGATGCATCATTGTTTGAATTGGCAGATTGCTTGTCTGGATGATGCTGCAACAAGAAAAAACACGTTATTAGATAAAACTTGACGTAGCGATCACTATTGGAGCGATACCTGAAGCACTAGCTTAAGATATTCCTTACGGATATCGTCTGTTGCTGTACTAGGCTTTACATTCAACACGTTGTAGTACATGACAGAGTAGTCTACAGTTTGGTATGAATTGAATACTTGCAGCCAACTCACAGGAATTGCAACTTATTACGTATTTCTACCGCATTTCGATTTCTACACGTATACAGAAGCGTAACTTTGGGTATTTAGCCCTGTTTGCCCTCTGTTTGCAAGCTTGTACCAAATCCAATTGTCGCATTGTATTGCTTTTCATTTTATCGAAACATCGAGTAAGACGAGAAGGTGGTCATATAAACATGTCCTTTCTATTGCCGCCAGTGGAGCCTTATAAAGAGCATTTTATACCGGTGACATCAATTCACACTCTCTACATTTGCGAATGTGGAAACCCAAATGGGAAGCCGGTTGTTTTTCTCCATGGTAAGTGGACTATACAATTTCAAAAGGTAGTCAAGTTTGTATGAAAATACAGTCCAATTTTTACGTCTTTGGGAGCTTAAGTTTGAAGGTCCTGTGTCTGTCGTGAGCTGTCACATTTCGCAACATTTGACGCTCAACGTTCCTTGCTATTAGGTGGTCCAGGAGGAGGAGTATCTAGTGACGATAGAAGATACTTTGATCAGAGCGTGTATCGCATCATTTTGTTTGATCAGCGCGGAGCTGGCAAATCAACTCCAGCTGCGGAATTGGACGACAATACTACATTTGCACTCATCGACGATATTGAACGTATTCGAGTGCTTTGCAATGTTGATTCCTGGGTAAAGTTAGTATCGCCGCTATTTCGATCGTGTTTCTGACAACTACATTAGGTCGTCTTCGGTGGATCTTGGGGCAGTACGTTGGCACTCACATATGCCATAAAACACCCTACACGAGTCAAGGCACTCATACTACGAGGAATTTTTACATTGAGAAGGAAAGAACTCTTATGGTTTTATCAAGAAGGGGCCAGTTACCTATTTCCGGATGCTTGGGAAGAATATCTAGAGCCTATCCCATTTGAAGAACGAGGTGACATGATTGCTGCCTATTACAAGCGCTTAACTGGAAGTGACGAGAACGAGCAGCTGAAATGCGCAAAGGCTTGGGCAGGGTGGGAAGTAAAAACGTCCAGACTGCAAGTTGGTAATTTGTTACGTCGTTTGTGAAGGCAGACATATATGTCCAACGTCTGACGCCATTCTTGTGATAGATCCTGATCTTGTAAAGAAGGTGGATTCGGACGTATGGAGTCTTCAGTTCGCTCGTATTGAATGCAGCTATTTTTTCCACGCTGGATGGTTTGAAAGCGATGAATGGATACTAGAAAACATTGACCTCATACGCCACATTCCAGGCGTCATAGTGCAAGGCCGTTATGATGTAGTATGCCCAGCATTCACCGCCTGGGATTTGCACAAACAATGGCCAGAAGCCGAGTTTCATTTGGTGGGTCTCGAAGCTAGTTTTCAAAAGGTATCTCATATCTAACCAGCGCCTGAACTCTCTAGATACCTGATGCGGGCCACAGTGCCAAAGAGCCTGGTATACAGAAAAAACTGGTCGAAGCGGCTCAGAAATTCAGTACACTGTGAAGTGATATGTTGCTTCGAAAACGGAAGGCGGGAGAAGGCGGGGAGAGTGAGTGATTAAAGAGGAATCACAGAGCCATAGGAGCCTGGAGCACCACCGCCAGCATCTCAATAAATATCTCTCTAATCATCCACCCAGTTTTCTCCTTGTTTTCCCTTCTTCCTGCGCCAGTCAAAACAGTCGCGGAAGAGAGAGCGGCAACGAGCCCAGAAGAGAAAGGTAGAAACAAAGACGGAAACGAGCATATATCGTGCAATCTATTATTGATTTTGCCTAAGATACATCTACGGAATGGAAATATATGAAACAGCTTATCTATGATGGTAGATATGACTTGAGGACAGACGTCCACGAAGTCTCTGATGCCGAGGTCGTGACAATCTGGAATGGAAAGGGATAGGTATCCTGGTTGGTGATGGGCGGTATATGGTCTTTTTCTTCATTCGTTTTCCCCGATATTTTGAACAGGCAATTGAGGAGTTGTCGCTCTAGTGCCTTTCGAGACTCGATTTGTTCTGGTGGCAACAAGAGTTGGGTTAGAGTACTGTTCGCCAAAAACCACCCTGTGATTTCAGCAGGATCACTTTACCTCGTTCAGATCTTGCAAGTGTCACATTGACCGCCAATGTCCATTGCTATAAATTCAAAAGCATGTATTCAGCCCAGCGAATGCTAGGGAGCAAACAATGTCTCCGTACATACCTCCCAGCACACTTCCTCTTCAGCTTTCGTAAACCAATACTTTTTGGCTCTCTTCTCAAAGAACATGACATCAATCTATGTAAACATAAAACGTAGATTGAAGTGAATGTCGAGAACGGATCAACATGCAACACTTGAAACGGCAGAATGCGTGCTCAAAGACCACAAGTTTCCGTTTTAACACGATTCCACACACCTGTCCTTTGACTAGACCAGTATATGAATCCAATGTTCTTGCAAAAGTAGATATCTTCTCGTCTACTTGTCCCTCGATCTCGGGATCATCTAATCTTATCTAATTTACCAAATCACACCGAATGTGAGATTGATTTGTCACGAATATGCGACAATTCCTTGTAGAATAGAATGGACACTTGCATAAGTTACGTCCAGTGCTTCCAAGTTGACTTCATATGGCCTTGTCATGCTGAAACTTCGGTGGTAGATAATCGAGTGTAATAGTGCTTGGTTTGAGAGTGAGTCAGTAAAAGAGGCGTTCAGAGTGAATAAGAAGTACAGCATACCTCTTAGCACCTCCTTGAGATAGAATCTGTCCACATTCAGTTCGAGCCTGTAGGGATCTGGCATTGCTCTACCATGAAAGATTGTTTGGTCAGTTGCAAGTTGCAACGCGTGCAAGTAGATCACCACATTCATTGAAAGTTGAAAGAGTCCGACGATGCGATTGGACGCCTCTGACGCGTAGCAAGTGATAACAACGCACCTGGTGTTCGTTGCTTCACTGCTTCCTCCTCGCAACACCAAAACTTCAGTTGCAATCCGCTTTTCACAAAACATGACTGTGCAGAGGAAGAAGGTAAAGTGCTCTCCTGCCTCTTAATTGTATATTTGCACCAACGCTATTTCTTACTACCATCCGTTTCAAACCAATCCAGGGAGTTCAAGTTGCAATTCCGATCGTCTATGGATCAACATCAGTGCCCATAAACCCAAAAAAGGAACAAGTTCCAGACGCTCATACTCACAGATGGACTGTCTTTGTACGTGGCATCAACGGAGAAGACATATCCTACTTTGTAAAGCGGGCTTCATTTCGATTACATGAATCATTCGTTCCTCAAGTCAGAAGTAGGTGTCAAACTGTGGTATTACTGGTATTCATTCAACAGACTCTACCTTTAATTTATAATATTTCATCAGATATCGACAGGTTTCCATTCGAATGTGTCGAAACAGGATGGGGTGAATTCGAAATCATGATCAAAGTCTATGTTCAAGATGGGACTGAAAAGGCCGTGACGCTCTATCATCATTTGCAACTCTACCCTAAAGACGATACTACTCTTACCACGAGAAAGACGGTCCACTTGGAGCACTATGATGAGATTGTATGTGTTGACTCATAGCTTTTTTTGTCTTTCGTGCACACAGTCCTACTCGCTGCTCACATCATCCGATTAGGTATTCAATGAGCCAACTGAAGACATGTATGAATTATTGATGGCACATCAGAAAAACTCGATACCTCGTCGACCTGCTCAACAAATGTTTAGTACGCGTCGCAAATGTGCAGATGCCATGTGTCTTAGCCAATCCACCACCTTCGTTTCAATGTAGGTCAGCAAATGGAAGAACAAGAATTGCGCAAAATCATGAGAGCCATAGATTCCATCCAGGCCGAATCTCATATCATGAGAAACGAAGTCATACGATCGGAAGCGGAACTCCGAGACTTGCAAAGCGACATACGCTCATTAGAAAGTGGTGCGTAATTGCTTGTTTGTCTATAGTCACCTTGCTTGTACATACACATATTGGTTACAAACGACGATTGGCTGTTGGCTGTGTTTTTGTATATGAAAGACTCTGGGCTTTACGATGACTGCATCACTGAAAATGGCGCTAGACGCGAGAATTTGTTGCAGTGAGATGTTGTACCGTGCGAACAATTACCACGTGCTGAAATTTTGCCGTTTGACGAAACTTAGTTCGCGAATGATCGAAGGCAACGACGAGAGGCAAACACCAACCAGGTCTTTCTTGCTATTCAACAGCCAATTCGGCGAGAAAGTATTATTGCGACTTCTTGTTTGTTCATAAGCCTCTCCGAAAAAGAGAGAAAAACGGCACACACACCGAAACACAACCCAAAAATCCAAAATCACATCCCAACCTATAAACAAGATCAAACAACCTTCAAGCAATAATCAAATGGCACAAGTGATGCAACACATCAAGGATTTATTCGCCCCAAAGAAAGCTGCCGCAGCTCCGGTCGCAACTGATGAAGTTAAGCCTGCAGAAGCTGTAGCCGTCAGTGAAACACCTGTTGCTCCCAAAGACGATGGTACCCTCAAGCGACTCCAGAAACGAATGTCTACCTTGATGATGAGTGCAAAGAAGCAAGCTCATGCTGCCTCAACCGCTACTTCTGACTCCATGGTATGTGCAAGATCTTGTCACCCATTGGTGGTCATGTGTTTGCAGAAAAACCGCAATATTCTTGCATTGGTGCTATGTAACCTGAAGCTAATATACGTAATCTTGTCGGAACACTGTAGAAAGCCGCTGGTGACAAGGTCACCGAAACTACCGTATGCATATGTTACTATGTTTTATGTTAGAGTGGCAATGCACACGTACTTTTGGGGCTAACACAACACCTATTCGGACTCATCTTATAGAAAGCTGCTGGTGACAAGGTAACCGAAACTACTGGAAAAGCCAAAGACGCTGCCACCAACATCACTGCTGACGCCACAAAGAAGACCAACGGCTTGATTGAGAAATTGAAGAAGAAGTTGTCTTCTATGAACATGAAGAAGGCTACTCCTGCTACTGCTGCCCCTGTTGCTGAAACTGCCCCTATCGTTGAAGCCGCCGAAAAGGTGAGAAAAACAAGCCTTGCATATCACGTTGGACGTTAAAAGTGTGTGTGACAACCGAGAAAGCTGAGCTAACCCAATTTTCGTGGTTGTAGGATGCTCCAGTCGTCGCTCCAGTCGTTGTTGAAGAAGTCAAGCCCGTCGAGACTGTCGCTGCACCAACTGAAGCTGCCCCTACTTTTGTTGCCGCTTGAAGAGGTCAAGGCTAAAAGTCAAACCACGCCTTCTTCCTCTTATAAATAACATTAGCATGGCCGTCAGTAAATAATTTGATCAGTAGTTAGGTGTCTCTTGTTGCTCTTTTTTTTCTTCTTTTTGTTGCTTTTCAATGTTTATTTCTTTGCAAATGGGGTGTGATCATGGGCCGTTTGGGTGATGATGATGGAGGGTGATGGAGGAAGTAGTTCCCAATATAATGATTTCAATAAAAGCAGTTTTTATAAGTCTTAAGCAAGATTGTATGTTGTGTTGAGTAGTTGACTTTGCCGAACCGGTCTCTTATTACTACACAGTGTTTGCAAAATGTACTGACTTTGTGACTTTATTTACTATTCAAAAGCGGTTTATGTAAGCCCCATCTTTTTACGTTGAGCATCGAGCATGACCTTTACTCGTTCCAAAAGCCCAGCATCGTGCTTCTTCCCATCAACAAACTTGCACCCCTCGACTATATACGGCGGAGGTATGACGACCTCGTCGGCGACAACTATAGAGTCCTTAATCCATTTTGTTTTCATGGTCTTTGCGAATGTATCGAATATAACCTGTCCCTGCTCTCCAGCCCCTACATTGATTCGTGATAGTTTTTGTTGTTCGGCACGTAAGGCAGCTGCTTCCCGTTGCTGTATTTTATCGAGAGGGATTGGGGTGATGGGGGCGAGTGAGAATATCTGCTGTTGCTGTGCTAATGTTTTACTGCCACTATTAGCAGGTTGTGATGTTGATGCATGTCCGTTTAACAGTGCAGGTGCTCCTACTATGATATGAGATGGTGGCGACAGTGGAGTGATTTCTTTGATGAAGCTTATTTTAAGCAGATGAAAGTCGTATTTCATAGGAGCCAGGACATTTGTGACTGGAGTAGTTGGTGGTGATTGCAATACTAGTAATTTCGAGATCTCGTCAAAAGAGAATATCAATCCTTCATATAGTTGGCCGTTGATAGTTGTGGCCTTGACCCACGTGCCCTCCATCTGAGCCTGTTTGACTTGGTCCTCGTGGGATTTGGTCATGTTAGCAAGTTTAGAAGTACCTTTCGAATTTGAACGAGTTTTGTTGGCACTTATGGAGACAGGAGCTTCTAGTCGTTAGAGAACGTACAATGAACAGAGTCTATCAATTATCGTGTATCTTTACGTGAGTATCGGTACTGCACGATCAACCAAGCAATGTTCACACATTCACGCAAATCCACACATCAAATATACCTGAAAACTAGATGATTCGTTCATTATTCACTATTTAAACTGTAAACTATGTCTACTCATCAGTCTTCTGCCCGCTGTTTGGTTTCCTAGTGTGATGCGACAACCCATAGCGAACGCTTTTTTAGAGATCGATGAACAGGAGCTCGGAGATAGAACTGGCCCACAAAATGTCGAATCCAAAGACGCGTATAGGCCCGCGTTGTCCTCTTCCACGGCACTGTTCAATCGTTGCATCGAACGGTGCCAAATCGTCTTGTTCTTAACATCCCATTAAAACAGTGCGAGAAAATCTCAAAAGGAGGCTGACTCGGCCAAAGACAAGGTGTGTTCACACTACAAGTTGCATAAGCTGTATGTTGCGACTATCGAATGATTTATTGAGCGGGAATGAAAGCACCAAACTCTCTTTTTCTGACAACTCAATCTCACACACCCATAGGCACCCCTTCTACACAATCTAGCACCATTTTAGGCCTATAATACGCATATCAAGTACAAAGGTCCCCTTTCTCGAGCTCGTGCCATACAATTCCGTTGTTTTATCCACATCCATTCAATTTCACCACTCACACAACTTCAGCCATCACCCATTAAACCCAAAGGCACAACCAAGCTCATTTAAAAACACACAACCTATATGAAATGCCCAGTTCTAGATCATCAACTGCATCTCCAGCCTCTCGCTCTCAGGAATCAGTCGCTGGCTCATTTGCTGGTCCTGGGATGGAAGTCTCCTCGCACGCATCAAACTCACCACAACATAATGATCCAATGACCGACGACGATCCCGACAACCAATCACCGCCTCCTGATAGTAAAAATGCTGCATCACAGCCTGCTGATGCAGGTGAAGAGGAAGAGGAACCACAGATTGTCGTTATGATGGAAACTGCAAACTCACCAACTATACGTCAACGTCAATCGCTAATAAATAGTGTCAAATCACCTCATATCTCTAGACAGCCTTCTCCCTCTTCCGTCCGTGCTGAATCTCCCGCTGCCAATATGGTACCTAAAGGCAGCAAACAGCAACAACCGTCTTCATCTACTGGTGACGAAAAGGCAGCTACTGGTGGTGCTGCTCCACACGAGGAAGACTTTGACGATACCAGTAAATCAAAGAAACGAGGTCGACCACGACGAGGTGAAGGAAAACTGACGCGACCATCTACAATCACCGTCGAATATTATGAAAGTCCCGATGACTATGCTGAAGAGCAATTACCTGCCAAACGTCGACGCACCAAAAAGGAACATGCTGATTTTGGAACCGGTGATGAAGGACCACCACTTCCTACTACTAGTACAACAACAACAAGTACAAGGCAAAGATTGCCTCGTGTTGCTGCTAATGCTGCCGCAACTGCTGCTGCTTCGGCAGGTACAGCATCAACTAAACCTAATACAACTCAACAATCTAAAAGTCGATTACTTGTCAATACCGCCAAAGATCATGAGGACAAGCGTCATAATGACGATGACGATGCTCGTTCTCAAGGATCGCAACATACTGGATCACATTTCTCGAATGGTGATACTCCTGTAAATGAGTCGGATGAAGATCATAATGAAGAGGAAGACGATGAAGGTATGGGAAGTTTGAATTGTTTCTGTGACGCAACCAAAAAAAAAAATCTCCTATCAGAGGACCTTTTCATTGTATTATCATTAAACACTCACCATCCTTATACTCATCTAATAGGAGCTGCTGAAGCTGCAGATGAAGACGACGAAGAAACTTTAGAAAGGAAGCGTATTGTTCGTTCAGCTCGTGCCGAGTCACTGGATTTGAGACGTCGAGTAGAGAATACTGTTGCCAAGTATTATGATCTCAAATTACAGGAATTGGCTATTGAAGAAGAACGAATCAAGTCTCGTAAGTTACATGTTGTTTTGATGACATCGTTGGTCGGCGTGTGAGTCATGCGATTGTGAATAATTTTTTTTGCGTCTTGTAGGCAAACATCCAGACTTTACACGAGGATTGCAAGAGATTGAAGAAAAGAAGGAAGCTCAATTGAAGATGGCTGAAAACAAGTTTCAAATGGCTAAAGCTGCTGCCATTGAATTGTTTGTATCAGCTCAAAAGTCTGCCAAGGATACCTTCATTGTGAGTGCATCCACGCATTCCGACATATCAGATGCCTTTTTTTGTCTATTCTGTGAATCGATTCCACCAAGAGACTAACTCGTCTTACCAAACCAGGGTCAACGTCGTAAATTACGAAAAGATTTGGCCGAATTCACTCAACGACGAAAATTCCAATTACAAAATGAGTACTCTACATTACTGTCACGACATGCACCAGGTGAGAATAAAAACAACCCAAAAAACGGTGTACGTCAGAGTTACATTATCAGTATTAACACTACTTCTCTAACCCATCTATAGCGGCAGTTCGAGAACCTCGAGAAGATGTTGTTGAGAGGCAAAGGAAGCGAGAAGAAACTCTAGAAGAAGCTCTTGGTCAACCATCTGGATTACCACCCAACTCTGGTAACGTGCCTGATTGGGTACGCTTGGAAGCCAGGAATCAACGCCGAGTTGGTGATGGGGTACGTTTTGGGCAAGAAGCAAATACGTTCGTCTTGTTTTCGGATTTGCCAAAAAAACATGACATCAGACCTAATACCTCTTCTTTTTTTCTCAAAGCTGCTAGTTCCTACATTCTGTGGATCATTGACCGAATTAGAACAAGAGCAAGATATGCTGGTTATTCGATCCAAGGTTGGGGAAAATGGATTCTAGGAAATCATTGGAAAAATTATTTTGTGTTTATTCTCTCTCTCTCCCTCGCTCCGGAACGTGGAAAAAAGGCCTCTTCAGAACTCTTAATATACGTATCTATTGCTTTGTCGCTTTTTTATATAACAAGATTCTTTGTACGCAGTACATATAGCATACATCCTAGTACAGACATAACACATTTTTATGCGGCTGTTTCGCGACGAAGAGTTTTACTGAACAGAGAAGTGACTACTCCATAGCTGTAAATAAGTCGGTGAAAAAAAACGACGTAGCCTCGTCCCGAAAGTGGAGTCATCATCCTGATCTAGTCATTTCGCAATAGCCATTGATTTTGAAGCGCCATTTCCCTTTTAACTCCACTTGATCCATCACATTCTTCAAAACTTGAAACGTCAACACAAATGTGCTGATTCTAAAATGTATTGTAGCCAGATACTAGACAGCACTCTCTCGTTACGATCTGTAATCCGCATTGACTAAAAATGAATGAATTTCAGTTTTCAAATCAGTAGAGCTTTCTAAACATCAGGCAGTTTCTGAAAAGGGACCATTTCAGGCATGGCCTCACTGAAATCAATTTCAACACTCACTCGATATGTAGTCATGTGAGAAATCACACGTATAAACTTGTGCCTTAGCCTTCCCCATCCCCAAATCAACACGAATGGATATATCCTCCTGACTTAATATTTTAGCAGCCACCTCTTCATTGACTTCAAAAGGTGCTCCATTCTTAAACAAGTGCAGCGAATTTGATCCATCACATGCTCCAAAATGCATATTGACTTTGGTTGGGTCAATATCCTTGATTCCCGAATATCCCACCGCACATATTATACGACCCCAGTTAGCATCACGGCCGTATATAGCGGTCTTCACGAGCGGTGATTTGGCGATTGTGTTTGCTACTTGTTTGGCTTCTGCGAATGTTCGTGCTCCCTATTAGATTTAGGGAGAAAAAATTTGGGTAGCGTTTGGGGTAGCTATGTCCGAACTTTGAAACGTAATCATGACAGCTGGTTTGGCTAGACCATCCTTCAAGACATACCTGTACAAGAATATCCATAAACTTGGTAGCTCCTTCACCATCCCTCACAATCAATTTACTCAACTCGACGCTAAACTCTGTAAACTGATTTCTAAAATCTATAAATTCCGTCGAGTTGACATCCCGAATCATGGCCGATTCATCATTCTTAGCATACCCATTAGCAGCATTAGCCCCTCCATTAGCAAATAGCAAGAATGTGTCATTGGTACTACTATCTCCATCCACACTAATAGCATTAAACGACCAATCAGCAGCATGCTTTATAGCGTTATCCAAGCATTCACGCGTAATACTGATATCTGTAAACACCGACGACAACATGGTTGCCATATTGGGATGAATCATTCCAGCACCTTTACACCATCCAGCCATTCTATACGTGTATGGTTTACCGTTTACAGTAGTCGTTATTTCTTTTGATCGTAGTTTCGGGAAAGTGTCTGTAGTCATGATTGCGGTGGCAGCATCACTCCATGACTGATGCGAAGAACCTAGTATGGGCACGAGTGACGATATTCCGGAATAGATCTTGGGCATTGGCAAATGTTGGCCAATGACGCCCGTTGACATTACCAGTGTATTGGCATGCGGTGATGATGTGCCTTTTAAGGATTTGCCATCTATTATAGCCTGTTTACCACTACTTTTGAGAGCTGCATCAACAGCCTGTCCCATCTTCCACGCATCATCTAGTCCCTGATCACCAGTGCATGCATTAGCACATCCAGCATTGACAACGACTCCACGAGCTCCCGTTCCTTTCAGGTGTGTTATGATGGATTTATCGACTTGGACCGATGGTGATGCAAATGCATTCGTGGTAAAGACTCCAGCAACGGTACAATTATATTCGGGGGATATTACCATGGCCATGTCTTTGACTCCTGCCTTCTTCTTGATTCCAGATGCGACTCCGCCTGCCAGAAATCCATGTGGATAGACGCCAGATTTCGAGACAAGGTGCTGCTTGGATGGAGTAGCAACGCTACTCATGCACCGTCCATTCTGCTGCTTTATACACGTCCTAAACACTGCACTACTCAGAAAATTCATACTTGCTTGTTGCGTCCGATTCTAGGTCGAATTTTGTGCGATCACCCAAAACCCCAATAGAGTGAAGCACTGTATCTGCGTGTCAAACGTATTGTAAACGCGTTCAAAACCTTTGCAGGATATGTTCCAATTTAAGTATATTTTGCTGAAACTCTATCTGCTTTTTACTATGAAACATTGCCTATTGAACAATTACCGACAACTTGTCTCGCTCTGAAGCGCTCAAGAACTGTGTACATATGTTTCTGAAGCCATGGGTATCTTGAGCATAGCACGTCTTGAAGAATGTGACGAGATACTCCTATACAAAGTGAGGCAAAGAAGTTAGATAATCGTCGTGTTCGCAAGATTCAAACAATAAATTTTAATGAGAAGAAACAACATACCTTGAGGTCCAATTGATAGATAGGATCTGAGCGCAGATCCAAATCATCCTCATCTTCAAAGTCGTTCCTGTCAGCGAAATCTATATAATTTTACCAATGAGTGTTATGTTGACCACCCCTTCAATTTTGCATATTTACCAGAGAGTAACCTCAGTTCAGAGTCGCCATTCTTGCCTTCATCAACGTCTTCCCAGTCGTCTTCGCCTTCCTCTTCACCTTCATCCTTGAGATAGGTCAAAAATTGTCAAAAGATTAGTCAGATGAGAGAATCTTCCAAGCGTCTGGCCTTTACCTCTTCATCACTATCCGAGGTCACATCGTCAGACTCTCCAACCATTCCACCAATTGTACCCATCATGGCAAGTCTGAGTGCTGAGGGTTTCCCCATGTTTGACTCGACATTTTGCATCAATTCGGTGAGTAGGAGTTTGATGGCTTTGGCAGAGAATGGAATCGTCGTAAATTGATGCGGCGCTACAAAAGCATAGAGTGGTGAGCAAAAACAAAAATCCAACTAAAATCTGAGCATTTGAGACTCTTCGCCACCTTTCTTTGTAGACGACCTTGTTCGGATTCCTATGATAATCACAGATACGAATGTCATCGGCTTATTTGTTCGAGGAGGGAGAGGATCAATAATGCGAACTTACGCTCATCAGTCACAATCTCATCACCCTTCACCATAATAGAATGCAATCGTGGATCGGTACTTTGGAAGAGTTGAGACATGGCTGTAGCACTAACGGGCCCATGAGGAATGTTAGTGCCTTAGGAGGTCACATTACAGTGATCCCTGTTTGTTAGAATGTAAAACTTACTTGAGTTTCAAAGGGTAATATCCTGTGAACTCCGAGAAGTTTTCGCACCAAGCTTTGACAAAGATCTCCAAGGCAGATACTCCTTCAATGTTCAAAGCAGCAAGGAATATTACAACATCATCGCGTTGAGTCTTGATGAGATGAGCAAACACCAATACGAGTGACTGGAATAAATGACACTGTCAATTTTTTGCACTATTGTGCCGAATGGCTAATACAAGGCCACATTACTTGAATGAATGTCGGCAACTGAGCCGTAGATAGTCGAAATGCGATAGCGGATAAGAGTTGGTGAAGCACGGGTGCGATGTGCTGACCAGCCTAGGGGATGAACTCGGCTTTAGTGCCAATTATTACCATCGCGCGTTTTGACAAGGCTATTATTACCTTTTGGATGAACTTGATGATCAAATCCCCCAGAAACAATCCAGCTGATTCTGATGCATTTGGATTCAACAATTTTGCCAGGAATGACATGGCCAATTGCAATCCATTGGCATCGGGACTTGACCAATCGATTATGACTGACATATCTCGTTGCAATAAGGAGCGTAAAAAGCCAGCGGCATTTTGCAGAATGGCGGTATCTTCCGAATGCAAGAAGAGCCCCATCAAATCAGGAAAGAATTGACTATACAGCGGCGAGACTGGACCACTGTTTGGACCGAGAAGTGCTTTGAGAACATCGATTCCAGTCTGTATGTCTTTGAAGTTAGACAATATACATGCCAACCAAACACGACACAAGTTTTAGTGATTACCGCTTGAATTCCAGGTAATAAGAGCGCCTTTTCACTAGCCATGATCTGCATCACACTTGGAACCATACTATTCTGAAGAGCAATCGTAATTTCCGCGTTTGACGCCAAGACTTCGATGATTTCTAATACGCTTTCAGACACTATGGGATCTACAAAGCAAGATGAATTGGGGCTTCAGTTGAACTTTGATTGTCACTTGCGATGAGCGTCGGTCTACCTGTTTTGTATTGTTTCCAGACCCGTACCAGGAATTCTGCTAACGGTGCCACAATTTGTCCAGCTCTAGATATGTCGATCTGCGAAACATTGGACATTAGTAACATTGGAAATGGACAACAGTGATCGTGACACACATACCTTGATGGCGTAGTTCAAGCAATTCAGAATCAGCGTCATAGTATCTTCGCTTGCATCATTCGACAAGGCGACCAGGCCTTCTAGGATGCTTTGTTGGAATGGCTTCATCACTGACACGTCATCGACATCATGGCAGAAACTAGTACGACGGCGACAACATTAGAGACGTGCTTTCAACCACCAGGAACATAACAAACGACGCGTACTTGTTGATAGCCTTCAATGCAAAGATCTGGACAGCCACTGATGGACTACGATTCAATGCTTCCACTGCTGCAGATATATAATTTGGTAGCACATTCTTGGGAAGAGACGAAGCCAATTGGCTCGTGAACCACAATGCACGGCCTTGTAGGTATGGGAATTCACTTTGGTTCAAGTCTGGTAATACTACTTGATCAAGGAATCCAGCCAAGTCAAATTGCAGGGAATTTGAAGTGAACCCTTCGACGAGTGGTTCAGCTATGCGTCCAAGAGTCAACAGACATGATTCGTGGATCTTCCACCTAGTGACAGTCATCGTAATGTGAGTAAATGTGCGTCAAATTTTAGGGGGTGTGCATACCATGCGGGAGAGCCAGAATTCTTTCGTTCGTTTGCGATATCGATTTGATATACGACAGCTGCCGTTATGGCTTGCGTGGTTTCTTCTCTGAAAGTGTCCACCAAGTTCTGAGAATAACAAAATGGTGAGCTGAGGACGAGACTGACAAAACCTATTGAGCTTACGAGAAGCAGCTCTTGTATGGCGACTCGAATAGTAAATGAATATGTTTCTTCCTCATCATCTTGCACAAATTGATTGACATCGTTCTCCCAACTCTCCTCCTACAGGGACGGATGTTTATGAGAACGAGCTCCGATTCCAGCGCTATACTGACAAGTTTCATACCTGGCTCTGAGTGATTTGCATATAAGTCAACATAAACTTAGAAAGCTCCTTCAAGAAGGGTGCAGCTGATGCTCCTTGGCTGCCCTTCTTGGTAGACGTGGTAAACATTGATCGTAGGACCTTCTTTTTCGAGACTCCTTCCACGAATTCAAATATGGAATGGAGCAATGTGGTCAATCCAACGACTTCACCTTCTGAGTCGACTACTTCTGGGCCTGTGCCTGAGTCATTTGTTGGATTGACTGTCTCTATTACGTATTGATCACATAGTGCTGATATGTGATTTGATACTAGACCCATTATAGACGGAAGGTACGGAGACATATATTTTGGAAACAGCTCTTCCATCTTGTCGAGCGTCTAGATAAGAAAATACGTCAGAATCGACAAAAAGAGTTTAACTTTGGTTGGGGTGCCATGCAACTCACTCGCATAACCTCCAACTTGAGGAATATTTCTTCAGTTGGTGTTGACGGGTTTGCCAACAGGTGAGCAAAGCATTCCAACCATCCAGTCGTATGAGTCGTCAGCCATGCATCCACTCTACCTTCTTGTTGTTGCTGTTCATACACAAGGTAGAGTAAATTTACCAATTCACGAAAGATGACGATTGATCTAGCTCGAACTCGTGGTTCGTACACCTGTTAGTAGTGATGCGTGTCAGGTTCGCAAACGTGTTGTTTTCAACCAAGAAAACTTGCGTCGACGTTGGTGAGAACCCTGAGTAAAGGTGGTAAGAGCAGCGGCCCAAGCGTTGGAAATTGAGCGTCAATGGTAATATCATCTCTGACAAACTCCGTCAAGACTCTCATAGCACCATGCACACGATCAACGTGTCCACTGTCAAGATGAGCCAAGAGTTGCTCAAATAGATTAGGCCATAGTTCTGGCCAGTCGACGTGAGCTATTTTGGATACCACATTGGCCTAACACATGATTTTGTGGAATGAGAATGAGAAACAACGGACTGTATTGAGTGAATGAAAAACAATCACTCACGACTGCAACTCGGATTTTTGTTTGAGGATCTCCTAATCCGTGAATCAACCCATCTCGAAGAAGTTGCTTGACCTAATTGTTGGAGAGTCGTATGAGATAGAATGTACAGTGATAAACATGGCAAGAAAACATTGTAGCTTTTTTTTTGCACGAGCAGCAAGGATTCATCGAACCGAGCGATCAGATGATATACCTCAGGAGATGTCTCTGGCTCGACAAAGTTGTCTGCTTTTGAAGTCCAGTGAACATCTACATAGTTCTTCAATGTGACTGCTGCGAATTGTCGTTGAGCCAATGGAGCATTCTGAGCGACAGCAATCTGTCCAAGTAGTTGAGGAAGCTCTAAATTCGATTAATGTATGTATTTAGTGCATTGAAATAATATGATGTAGATCATCTGCTTTGATACATAGAGGCGTTCAATTCATCGAGATGTTTGGACACTTGCCTGGTCGAGATCTTGTCCAGTCCTTCAATGCCAATTCAGCCTTTAAGCGATGATTGCCATCAGGAGACAAGCATTCTGACAAGCAGTTGAACACTTCCTCCATTGTTGTCCTTCTCTGATGATGGGATTCCTTTGTTCTCCTTCTGTGTGGACAAGGAGACACAACTCAGAGAGGAAATAAGCATAGTTCTTGTCAAGGCTCATACGGTGCTCACGACCAGTTTACGCGTTATTTAAGAGATCAATGAGATCAACAGCAATCTAGAAGCAAAAGCAATGAACGAGCAAATGTTTGAGACACATCCTTCTAATTGATAATTTCCGTTATTGTACTAAAAACAATATCTGCAATATACAGTATGCTACGTTTGCAATTAGGTCCTCTATTTTGCTGGTTCACCACGTGCCGAACAAATCGACCTGCTGATTTCCATCACTTCGAGCTTGCCCTCGATAAGTCGCTGTTGTCATATCGACTGAATTTGAAGTGACAGAGACAACCTTCACACGAGGCCTCTTTCCCTGTGACCAAGAAAAGTCAGAGCAAGTCTTTTGATCGAGAAAATAGCAAGGCTTACTCCACGACCACGTCCATAAGTATTGACAGCCTTGGCAATCTCATGCGTTTTGTTCAATAGAGCACCAATATCACCAAGACCACCACCATCCTCAGCATCATCCTTACTGCTTTCGTGGGTCTAAATGTAAAGTTGTCCTTTGAGTTTTGCCCTTTCCTTTCACACTCACTACCTGCTGTGGTACCTTCTTTGCAGATTTGAGCCTAGCTGCAGTACTACGAACAGTCTGCTTTTTGCTATCGGCAACAGTTCTTGTATTGGTGGGAAATTTTGGTGGTTGTTGAGAGGCTGTTTGAGATCGAGTAGCTTTTTTCAGAGGAGGGCTCGTGCGTTGGGGAGCTCCTCTCAACGATTGTGGCTAGTTTGAAAAGATAGAAATATCCAATGCGTGTCTGTTTTGGAAATGCTCGTCCGCGCTCACATTCATTGTTGGAATCTTTGAGCGAGGCTTCTTGGCCGCACCACGATCATCAAAATCATCGTCGTTGTCATTTTGAATCTGAGTGTATGCTGGAAGTTTTCCAGAGCTACCGATCAGTTCAGCCATTCCTGATTTGTAGCGACGATGAGAACGGTGTTCTCCATCTTCAGAATCAAAAGAATGCTCGTCATCTCCTTGGGAGATGGTGCTTTTAATTTGCAGCTTATCTGCACCACGACGACGTTTCAGGTTTGTGGCACCAACTTCCTGTTCGATATGTTTAGGAAGGCTGGCAAACGTGGGTGGACCAGGCAATTGCCTCATAGGGCGATTGCTGGCGTGACGTTTGATGGCTTGTTCTTGGTCGCGAGATGCAGTCTGAGACATGGTCTAATGACGAGGAAACGGGTTCACATTTATGGAAAACCCTATCGCTGAATTCATTAATACAATCTCGCCTCGATCAAGTCATCAATCATCTCGCCATCAGTCAAATCATCATCACTGACATGGCCATTTCGATCAATATCTTGCAGTCGTACTCCTATGTCAGAAAGATTTGACTTTGACCCATTGTGGTCTTGTTCAGATGACATGAGTAGTCCTGAGGTTTGATTTCGTGATGATCGTGTCTTGCTGTTCTCTCTCGAAGACAGAGGAGACTTTGCTTGAAGGGCCTAGATCAACATCGACAAAGTCACGACATAGCTCACAACAACCTCAGGAAAGAAAGAAGCATCTTTTTTATAAGTTACGACGGACCCTCATTCGTTCAAGCTCCAAACCAAGAGAGGCGAGGTCAGCTGTCAATCGACTTGTGGAGTCATTCAATTCACGATTTCGTTGAGCCAGCGAGTCTCGATTAGCTTCTGCACTCATTTTCTGTTCTCGAAGACTGGCAAGCTGAGCTTGTAGTCCAGCAATGACTTGAGTTTGTTGGTCTAAATTCCCCTGAGAAGCCAGTAACGTTGCCTACAACAATCATCTTTACGATTGGCATCTTGTAAGATGGTGTAATGATCAAAACAATCGACCTGTAGCTCTTCCGATTGCTTCTTCTCCATAGTCAATGATTCCATGCTCTTTAAAAGAGTTTCCTTTTCCTTAAAGTATTGTGCTTTTTCTCTATTCGCTGCCTCCAACTTTGCATTGACCTTGGCCATATCCGCATTATGCTGAGCAGTTCTATAGTTGATGGCTTGCTCGTACTTTGACTTGTAGTCAGATTCCAAGTCTGCTTTGGCTTTGGATACAATGCCAGTAGACTGTTCTTTTGCGTGAACCTCAGCCTCAAGAACAGCAATTCGTTCCTACAATCATTCACTCTTAGGACTCGTGCTCAAATTCAGGTACACGAGACGGTTCAACCTGCAATCGTGAAACGAGAGACTGCGATTCAGCATTCTTCTCTTGAAAGACTAACACTTGGTGTTGGAGCTTCTCAGTAGTAGCGGTGGATTCTCCAGATAGTCGAGAGTTATCCATCTCCAAGGTTTCATAGCGATTCTGAGAAATAACAAACAAAGGTAGAATATCAAGGTTATGTCGAATACTGAGCAGATACTTAGTACCTCAAGCTGTGCAATGAGATTTTGGCTCTCGGAATTCTTCTCTTGCAATGTCGCCACTTCAGATAGAAGAGAAACAACACGAGCTTTCGACTCAGACACTTGGAGCGACAATTCATTGTTTCGTTCTTGAGTTGCTAGGATTTCTTGGGAAGCATCGTCCTTTTGCAACTGTAAAGAAACAACAAGAGCTTCCGACTCGGAGACTTGACGCGACAATTCCTTGTTTCGTTCTTCGATTGCTAGGATTTGTCGGGATGCATCGTCCTTCTCCAACTGAAGAGAAACAACACGAGCTTCCGACTCAGAGACTTGGAGCGACAATTCATTGTTTCGTCCTTTGATTGCTAGGAGTTGTCGAGATGCATCGTCCTGCTCCAGCTGAAAAACACATGGTCAAAATTTGGCACGAAAAATCGTTCAGATTCAATTAGCTTACCTGAATACGTGAGACCTTGTGACGTTCTTCCTCCAGAGATGCTTGACATGCATCCAGTTTGAATTCCAAATCACGGAAGACCAGCAAATGTTGTTCCTTCAAAAGACAAGATTAGTTGGAGGCAGATAGAAATTAAGGCATTTTTGCTGGACTTATCGACTTACAGCATTGTTGGTTTTGATAGCAGCCGTTCGTTGAATCTGTTGTTGTAATAAATGCTCCTTTTGTTGACAAAGATTGTCAAGACGATCACATTCAGCTTTGGAATCGGTCTTGAGCTTCTCGTAGCTAGTGCAAAATACATTTAGTAAGCAGAAGACGGTGAGGCAAGAAATTAAATTCACCTTTCACAATGTTCTTGTAAAACAGTATCAAAGTTTGCCTTTTGACCTTCAAAGGATATGGATTGACTTTGAACGGATTTTTTGAGAGAAACAACTTCCTGCTCAAGCGATAGGACAAGTTGCGTATAATTTGTTTCCTGATTTTGGGCAGACTGCTTGACTTGCGCAAGTCTGAATTTTTGATAGGTTTCAGAGCCTGACGATCATGCAGAAATTGTGTTCTGCTTACCTTTGTTCAGTATCAGATAGAAGCCCCTCCAACTTCTTTATCTGATCCACAGCCTGACTCAATTGAGCTTCAGTCCATTTCAACATCTGATCTTTATCTTCAGCAGCCCTATCAGCTCTATTCGTCCAATACGAGGTAATTGTCAGAGAACATGGATATCAAATCGACGCGACGCTTACATAGACATTGCATTTTCAGTATCCAAGGTCAATGCCTGCAATGTAGCTTCCAAGGCACGTATTTTCTCGTTTGAAGATTCCTTAACGTTGTGAAGTTCTTCAGCCAAGTTTTCTTTTTCAACATGAGAACTACGAAGAGCAGCTTCGCAATCTGCCAGCGAGCCAGCAGTAGCAACGCCTTCTTCTTGTGATTTCTCGAGATCACGTTGCAATTCGTGAATTCGTTCACGATTTTGCGACAGTGCTGATGACAAGGTTGTGCATTCCTCCTCAGACTTCGATAATCGTGCTTCCAAGTCAGTAAGTTTGGCAATATGTTCTTCGGATAGTAAAACATTCTTGGCTATATTGAACGAAGTGTTAAAATATAGCCAGTTGCTACCACGGGAGCTTAAGATAGTTTACATTGCTCTTCTGAGGCATGCTGACGAGCGGCTTCCAATTCTTCCTGCAAAGCATTTTGAAGAGCTTGAGACTCATTGCTCAATTTTTCATACTGATTCTGCAGTCTTTGTCGCTCTTGAAGAAATTGATCGAGCTGAGCAGTGACGGATTGAACGTGTTGAGCATGAGCTGTTCCTTGCTGCTCTAATGCTGACAGTGCAGCTCGAGCTAAAGCGAGAGTAAATGAGCGATGAAGAGAGAATAAGGCGTACAGAGCAGATAATATACCCTTCTCTTCTGCCAAATCTACTCGTTTTGACTGCTTCTCTTGGTCTATACTCAGAGTTGCATTTTCTAACAGATCTTTCTAGTCAGCATCGAATCAAAGAATCATACATAATAAAGGGACTAACCTTTTTCTACTTCTTCCAACTTTGTTACAACTCGCTTGTGAGACTTTTCGGATTCTTCAATACTTGATGCCTGATCTTTGACAACAAGCTGAAGCATTTGCATACTCTTCTTCAGGCAATCCAATCTGTATAAAAGTTACGTACGTGTGACCATCTATTCTTGCAAGCAGTATCACATTGGACCCGTACCGAACTCTGTTGATCTCAGCCCGTTTCTTGCTCACTTGAAAGAGCTCCATCACCATAAAGGCGTTGTTGCCTACCAAGTCCATGGTATCAGCTTGGCGTGATATCAAAGCTTTTGCTCCATGCAGTTCTTGGCTCTGTTCAAGAAATAAGATTAGCATCGCTTTTGGCAACAGGGTACCAGTAAAGCTAAAGACTGACCAGCGACTCCATATCCGCATCACGTTCTCGCGACTTGTGTTGCAGTACGTTGGCAATCTGTACCAATGTACCAGCGAAATGAGCATCATTTCCGCTTCCGAGGCCTGATGCCAAGAGAGCTTGCAAGTCTTGAACTCCGTTCTTTGGCGCAGCATTTGTGGCGGGTACTGCTGCTGCGAATACATTCTGCCATCCTTGTGGTACTAGGGCTTGCTGCAATGGTTTGGCTTTTGAAGAGGAAGCAGGTCCATTAAATAAGGACGGTTTCGGAGTGAAGCTACTGTTCGATGGTAGTTGAATGATGGACGAAGTGTTGCGATTCATTCGAGGAGCTAAGGCGGATGAAACGTGTTACAAGCACATTTTAATGAAGCACAACAGTATGAATCACCTGTACGAGTATTAGACGACGTCTGTTTGCTTGTAGCGTTAGGAGTGTTAATATTGTCCTTCATATTGTCAATGGCTTCGAGTGCTGGTGATAGTATTGGTGCACTGGTAATATTGATTTGCGGAATAGCTGGCTGAATACGATTTGGAGTATTGGCACCGTTGTGAAAAGTAAACAAAGGAGTGTTTGAGGTTGACGAGTTGTCGTGAGGAAGCAAGAACCCCGCCATGTTCTATAAAAACGATGTCTCATCAGCACGAATAGATATCAAAAAGGTTGAATTGGCAAGAGAACTGCCTTGATAGCCTCCATTCATCAATGGAACGGGACTATCTGATGTTTAGTCTGATGTTCGCATCTCAGGGCAGTTAGTGGTTTTAACAAGGCTCGAGTAAGAATGCGGATGCATCTCCGCATCAGCATCAGTCAGTACTCACGACATCCATCGACTCTTGCTTCATGAGAATGTGCAACATCGTTCACGAAACATTGCAACCTTTGATCAGCTTTATTAACAGCTTGAAGCTTACCTGGTGCTATAGCTATAAGGATTTCACTCTATATCCCTTGTAGGAGCTGCCAGTCTCTCTGGTCTGTAGCTCCTTGAGCTGATTTATTATACGCAACAATGGAGGAAGCTTTTTTCGTCGGAGTCGATGTTGGAACAGCTTCTGGTAGGCTTACGCGCGCTTACTGCTAGATACTTACACGTCCTAACTCTCCTCAACTAGCAAGAGCCGCTGTATTCACGTCGAGTGAGTAATTCAAGTCATCACATTTCAACGCTGTTACTGGTCGCTGACGCTCTCCATCGTTTGAATAGCTGGTGAATGTAAAGGATTTGGTGTAAATGCTCTAATAATTTACCAAGATGCTGCCAATTCTGAGTATTCCCAGGCCACTGACCAGATTTGGGAGGCTGTATGTCAGTCAGTGAAGGACGCTCTGAGAATATCAGGCGTACCTCTGAAGGCGATAAAATGCATCGGATTTGACGCCACTTGCTCTCTGGTGTGTCTATCAGAGGCATGTCAACCAGTATCTGTTGAAAGTCAACCAACCACAATATCAACCTATGTACCGAACGTTATGATGTGGATGGATCACAGGGCTCAAGCACAGGCAGAGGCGCTTTCTAAACTGATAACGAGTCCCGTCCTGGCAAGAACTGGGCGGAAGATCTCGCCAGAGATGACTGTTGCGAAACTAGTATATTTAAGTCAACGGCTGCCAGACACTTATAGTAAAATTGGGCACTTTATGGAGCTTCCTGATTTCTTATCATGGAGAGCTTCAGGCTCGCTAAAACGTGGAGTTTGTTCTGTTGCGTGCAAATGGGGGTTTGATATAGACATTGGATGGGACGAGCAGTTTTTGAAAGATGCTGGCCTTCAAGATATGGTCAACGACCATTATTGCAGAATTGGCAGTGAATTCAGCAAGCCTGGAGAGGCATTGGGTCAGGGATTGTCGGAAAAGGCAGCTGAGGAACTGGGTTTATTACCTGGAATTTCAGTTGCGTCGGCAGTGATAGATGCCTATGCGGGTGCTCTGGTAAGGAGTTTCGCATGTATTAATCTAAAATGTCTCAGTGAATGAATTCTTCATAGGCTACATTCGGATATCAATTATCAGAGCAAGATATCTCTACACGGTTGGCTATGATTTGCGGTACCTCCTCTTGCCACGTAGCTTTGAGTAAATATCCCGTATATGTTGACAATGTCTGGGGCCCATACAAAGACGTATTATTCAGGAATATGTTCGCAGGAGAGGCGGGGCAATCCGCTACAGGCAAAGTGATTGACTTTGTCATTGATACCCATATGGCTAAAGGTGAAGCGGAAGCCAACAGTCGAGCTTTGGGTATGAATTTGTATGAATATTTAGAAATTGAAGCTGCCAAGGAGTCTCCAGCTCTACCAGAAATGGCAACCAAGGACGTTCACGTCCTTCCAGATTTTCATGGTAATCGATCACCCTATGCTGATCCCACTATGAAAGGAATTGTCGCTGGTTTGACACTTGATTCAAGTGTCAAATCGCTGGCTTTGTTATACGTCGCAACTATACAGGTAATTGAAAAGAATATCGACAAGGCTGAGAGCAATTAAGTAGTCTGACACCTTGGGCTTAGGGACTTGTGTACCAGACCAAGCATATTATCGATAACATGAATACTTCTGGTCACGGCATAAAATCCATTCACATGTCGGGAGGCCTATGTAAAAACACTCTACTTATGCAAACGCTTTCCGATGTTACTTTGTTGCCCGTCGTTCTTCCGCTAAATATTGATGAGACTGTCACGTTGGGAGCAGCAATGACAGCTGCGGCGTCATCGGGACTGTATTCGCTGGAAGAAGCTTCAAAAAAGATGAATCAAACTAGCAAAGTAATGTACCCAAGTTCTTCCCTCGATGTCCGCAACTATCACATACAAAAATACGCTGTTTATCAAGAGCTTTGTAAACTGCAGCTTACTATAAAAGGAATAATGAAGTAACAAGTAGTGATGCAATATAATCTATAGTAAAGAGCAATATTTACAATAATTGTTTACACTTCAATCGTCATAGCCTTGAAAGTCCTCATCCACAATTTCTTTCGGCTCAGCATCTTCTCCAAATTGGGTAGCATGATCAATATGCTGCAAGATCAAAGCTACCGAGTCTTCATCTGAATTATCTAGCGGTATAAACCCAACCATATTATACTCATCAATGACTCGCACTATGGCTTTATTCAATTCATGAAACTTGGATTTCGTAGTAGGATTGGTACTGTCTTCCAAGAGGTCCGAGTCTGCTTCATAAAATCGATCCATTTCTAGCGTCTTTCCTCGTTCACCCAACAAGTCCATCTTGGTCATTATATTTATATGAGGTACTTCCAGTTGGAGCATGGCACTCATAGCGCTCAGTACTCCAGCAAAGAATTTGGGTGTATCGTCTATAAACTGCGAGTCAATCAAGTATAGACCACAGACTACGTATTCGTGCTTTTTCATGAATTCCGTGAATTGTCTCATGATGGGTATATGCGTGTATAGTTCGATTTGTCCAGGGCAGTCTATAATCAGATAATCTTCTTCGTAGCCGCTTAGTTCTTCTTCAAACCAATCCAGATTGTTCATCAGGTACCTAAACAAGATCTTTGGTTGGTACAAATGGGTTCACGCTTCTTTCATGAGGATACTCACTCCATGCAATAGATCAATCCTCCATTAGGTCCAAATTTGAGTTCTTCCATGACATCTTCCAAAGTGATGAGACTTCGAATGTCTGAAAGATCACAAAAAAAAAGTAAGATCTAGCTCATGTAATCGGGTCATATGTTCTAATTCAGCTTTCGGATTACCAATTGTAGGCTTATATTCAAAATTCTCGGCAGCTGGATCCAGATTGACTAGATGAACAGATCGTTTGCTGGCTTGCAAATGTGCCATCATCGTTGTGCAATAAGTTGACTGTTTAATGATAAAAGTCAGGGAGAGCGTATAGGAGAACTGATCTGATTCTTACTTTTCCAGAGCCTGCCGGTCCCATTACTAGTTGACAGATTCTGCCCATTATGTCTGTCAGAAATGGTTTTGCTTTTAGGCGTAAGCTTCAACTTGTTGCCATGTAGACTGAGCAAATATCGATGGAATCCATGACTTACATCGCTCTTCCCAGTGATGAACTACTCTATCCTGTCTCTAGCCACGCACGAAGAGCAAATTGTCATTGGTGTGCGAAACAAGAACGAAAACAACCCTGCATCATACTACTTCCAACTTCGTTAACCACGTCGAAACAAGATGATTCATCATACTAATTCTATATTTTGTTGTTCTATAACTCTAATCACTACGAGACAAGCAGGGGATTTACGCAGCAGGGGGATGTATATCTATAGCTTGGCGAATTCGCCGTTGAGGATTGGCTTGATATATTCCTCGTAACCGTCGACAGGGTTTGAAGCGTTTAATGGTTCGTAAGTGGTCTAAAAAGTTTGTGGTTAGAATTCATTGTAGTGTTTGCAAACTTTTCGACTCCGACAACACATACCCAGTTCAACATGGTTTCGTATACTTTGCCATCTTTACGACCAAGAGCAGATCCAAGGTAGTAATCTGCGTGTGTAGTCCGTTGTTAGTGAAATGCCTTTCAAAAACGTGCAGACGCAACCAGAAAATTATCCACTGAGGAGCGACTAACACTGTGTAGCCATTCGCCACTCACCAGAGAATGCCCAACTGTCCACCAGCGCTACGGCTTCCTTTCTAACGGCTAGTACCAACTCTCTAACCAACGGTCTCAACCACTTTCGTTGTTCCCTGCTGAAGTATCCGGTGGTAGCAAACTCTACTTCGGTTTCAATGGTTGACAAGGCATACAGAGCTACCAGATCCCTCAAAACTTTTCCAGTGGCAAGTGAGACTTTGCCCTGATGGATGGCTTCTACTACACGAGTATGGAAGGCCTGCAATACAGTGTACTGGGCATGAGCCATAGCGAGTCGGTGAGACTCAACCTGTCTATCCTGAACACTGCTACCAGCAATGTCATCGGCAAAGTCCTTAACCATATGCGCCATTCTGTTTTGGAAGGCTGCCAAAAACAGTTTAGGTTGGAGCAAATCGCTGGGGCTAGTAGCAGGGCAAGTATAAGAGTCCAAATTCTTGTCCAAAGACATTCCCAAGTACGATGACGTGGCACTACGGTTGGCCAAACTTGGCGACAGTTTTACATCGGCCAAAGTCTTCATTAAGTATCGAGTAGTCTGCATTGAGATCATTCGATTTTCACCTATAATCAACGACAGATGTAAGTAATTGATTTTCATTCGATATGTCGTTCAATGAGTATTCTACCTTCAACGGTGATGCTTTGTACTCCGGCCTGGAGGAAATCCGTGAAGCCAGAGAAAGTTGAGAAACCGTGACCACCTGCAGACAAACATTTCAATGATAAGATCGCGCTCTGTGCCAACTGCAAACGTTAGCTTACCGCAAGCTTGTCGCATGTCCTCGCCGACAGCGGCTGCCTCAGTACTACTGAGGGCCTTTAAGGCTGACGAACTAGCATGCAATTCAGGCATAATGCTCTCAGCTGTTTTGTTGTCGTTGCTGATAAGGGCTTGGATGAGCCTGTCGGTCTCCATCTGCAGATCAACACCGGCAAAATGTAGTGCAAATGCCTTTGCAATAGCAATGGAGATTCTGTTTTGTTGCTGAGGATAATCTAAAACTGCCGTTTCTGTGTTTGAGGAAGTAGCCAAAGCATCTCCAGCTCGTCGACTGAGATCTGGATTGGCGAATTGACGTCGAATTGCACTGTAACGAGTTGTAATTGTTGCTGCCCTAGCAATACTTCGGCCAGATCCTCTAATGTAATTTGTGTGTGAGATCCATAGAACTAGCAATTTATTCCGCTTAATCTCTTACCTAGCAATAGAAGCTCGCATAGCTGTCATAGCCAAATACGACGTCTTCTTGTCGCCAGCAGGAGTGTATGTACCATCTGCATCAACACGTACGGCACGCATAAGTAATGCGTCAAGGGGTACGGTGTAGTGGTCGAAGAGCATATATCCGTTGTCCATAGTCGCAAAGCCGAATTTGGGCTGTTCAAAACATTGGCGTCAGGTTTTTGTAACAGTCAAAAAGGATGACCATCTTGACTTACGCCAATATCTCCAATGGTGATTCCTTTCAATGGCATATGATTGTTGAGGTCACGGATCTGAATGAGAAATGGATGGACACCGTAGTTCTTGCCCTTGATGACCAATTGAGCCATAAGAACAACGTGGGTAGCCACACGTCCGAGTCCACCAATCCACCATTTCGAGGCAGTTAAAGTTGGTGAGTGGATATCCCATCCACCTCCCTCAATGAATGTAGCAACAGTCTCAAGTCGTTGCACATTGGAACCGTGTCCAAGTTCTATAGTAGCGATAAATGTTAGAAACGTATTGTAAAAAATTGGACTCCTTTGCATACCTGTTTGAGCGTAGACACCGATGAGCTTCTGGCCATTTAACAGCGGCAAGTAGTGCTTTTGTTGCTCGGGAGAAGCAGATGAAATAATCGTATTGATGAACATGGTATGGGCAAGTAAGATGTAACTGGCTTCATCGTTCTATATATGAGATAAATATTAGCGATTTATTGTGAGATACTGAACCTGTCGAATACCTACCAAGCCGTAGGCGCTCCAGAATTCCTCGTTGCTCCATCCATGGATCTTCTGCAACTGCATCAATCTCATAGTTTTCGCGAGGCCCGTTTTGAACTTCTCTGTGCGACCCTTAAAAATACGATCTCGCTTGTCATGTTTGAAAAGTGGGTCTTTGAGCAAGATGCTCAAAATATGTTGTTCACGGGCGACCACACCTATTGCAGACAAGGTAGGGATAAGCCGATGATGCAGAAAAGGTAAAAAATAAGCCGATGATATAGATGTTGAGCTCTTCGTTGCGTTTATGTGTAAACCGTGAAATTGTTGCCGAAGAATTTGCAGAAAGAGATCGGGCAGCTACAACCGACTCTGCAGCGTAAAGAAGGAAGGGAGACTTTTAAAAGTACATACCGGGCCCATAGATTAGATTCGTCAACTCCTCAACCTGTTATTCGACAAAAATGTTTAGATCCGTGATGATGTCATGACAAGAAGCAATTTGATCAAACCCCAATACATAACCAAGAAGCTTTAGATCTTTCATGCTCTTACATTGAACGAAGCTTTAGCCCTTTCTGCTTTCAACGAGTCGGCTCCACTGGGACCTCCTGGCTTCAACCCTCTTTCGATCCAGCTTGATGGAACTCTTGGTTCAATGATGAAAGTCGTATCTTCGACAGTAGCTTTTGGTTGCTGAGATACAGCTTCTGCAACTTGGGTAGACATGATTCGATCTGTGGTCTTGTTTGGATGGAGTGCTGGCGTTTTGGGGTTTCCAAAAAAAAAAAGCGGAAGGCACTTCTTCCAACACTCGGGAAAACAGTTTTTGATAGACTATTAACGTGACCTTCATTTTTGAACTAGAAGGCGCATACACTTGTAATTTGCAATATTAGAGACTATTTCGGTGGCGCTAGTGCGCTTTGCTGCTGTTCCTGATCTTTGTCGTCTTTTTCGGCAACAGCAGGTTTACTAACTTCACCATCAATGTTAGCAGTTTTCGTTCGTTCTTTACTAGCATGTTCACGTTTTGAGGAATGTGCATCTCGTTTACCGGATGCACTCTTGGCTGCCGCTGTTGTTTCATGAATTGCGCCAAGTGAGGTAACTCGTTCACCATACGTGTCAACGGGGCCCAGCTGTGATTCAAGCTGGCTTATGATGGCAGCCTCTTCTGTCCTTGACTGAAATATTTGATCAAGCTTGTCTGCGACGGCCGTCATTTTGCTATTGACTTTCTTACAAGTCATTTTTTCCAGTGCTATTTTCCTCTCTCTCTCAAAGTGAGTCCATAAGGTTGGCCTCACATACCAAGCAGAGCCGTACTATTGGAAATAGAGTTCATTCAGACTTTTGTCTTCTGTGTCAAAAACAACATTTCCTTCAAACCTGAATCGTCGTTGTAACGGACCCTGATAAGGCAATTCGAATATGTGAGATTTGGACGTAAAATGTGATTGGGCACATGTTCTTTACCATCATTGTCACTTCGGCCCCACTTTGGTCTGTCGTGTTGCTCATCAATATGTTTCTTGGGGACGATCTCAACTCCCAAAGTCTTTTCTAGCGCAGTGACAAGACTTTTGGGTGGCCGTTGTTCCAATACAACTTTCAGTCTTGGTGCAAGCTTGAATTCCAGAACTGCTGGTGTACATGCTCGTACAAGTGCCTTCAACTCTTGAGGCATATCTATCTCAGAATCATCACCAACCAAATAGCGATTTGCACCTGTATATCCAATTACAGACGAATTGACGGAAGGGCTTCCTAATATCAGGTTTTTGGTTTTGCCATCTTGTAACAGTTCTTGAAGCTGTTCTGACAGGGATTTCTCTTCTACGTCTTCGACAAAGTGTGGCTTGTAGTCCAAGTTTCCTCGAATCCAGTCTGCTAGATCACGGGTAACTACATGGTAAAATCGCAGTTCAATAATTGATCAAGGTGCTCAAAACTATGAATTCAACAAAACCTTCTCGAATCTCTTTGAGCAAATTGTTTGAACTCCCTGCGGATCCAGATTGATGATCTTCCTCCTTCATCCTCTTGTTGGCATCAATGAACTCAGCGTAAAGAAAGGCGAAATCTTTTTCTTGATCTAAGCTCTCATTGGAATGAGCAGGACTATCTGCGATTGCTAAAAATTGGAGGTGTGAGTACAGGGAACAAGGTCAGTATCGCAGCAACCCAAACACGTACTATCTTCCGACATGGGACCATGATGCTGTTTAGGAGTCTCTGGGCGAGGATCTCTTACGCCAGTCTCTATGATTTCCATTTTACCAGCCCCAACTATCGCTGCCGATGGTCGATGTGCTGCACTGGGCAGGATGAAGTTGTCATACACAAGATGATTTGCTGAAGCGAGCTCCAGGGGTTTCTCCATCTCGGATTCAAGAACATCTCTTGCTTCAATCCGTTGCACCACATTGCGTCTAAGGCACTTCCTGACCACCACTTTCTGCTCATCATACAATCCAGGGAATGCCATAACCTACAAATGCAAAAATGAATTTAATTCCATATGCGATAAGCGAATTGCAACAATTTCTTCCAGACCATGTCAGAGTTTACGTCTCGTTCTAATTCTGCGGCATGTTTTCGTTGTTCAAGTACACGAGGGAAAACGCGCATTCGAGGATCCTCATCATTGTTCCGTATTCTATGAAGCGGCCTAGCCAGAGGATCCACCACCTTCTTCAGCTTTGTATAAGGAAGCCTGTACGAAAACCAAACTAGGTTAGCGTCCGAAGTCACAGTGCACTCTGAAACATTTTGAAAACAGGCCCGTCTACATACAAGGCAGACTGTCGAGTGGTAGGCATATGTACGATTCTAGACAACGGTGCCAAAGTGCGTTCGTGTGAGGGCTAGCGCGCGCTACATAAAATATCCGAAGGAATTGATTCACCTCAATCAGAGCATAAGAACTTAGAGAATGAAGAGAGAGAAGATAGCAAGTGAGACACTAGCTTCGAAATACTGAATCCTCCACCTATCACTGGGCGATCGATACGGAAACTCATCAAAATTTCAACAAGACACAATATGGCTCTAATCGTGCTTTAGGAAGACCGCACTATGAGGCCACATATGAAAATAGCGTCAAAGGGACCATCACCGCCGTTGCCGTTGCTGAACGTCAGGTATGCTGTTGTGACAGGGCAGATTATAACGCCCCGAATTCTATTTTTGTGGGTACAATATATAGAATATAGTAGTAGTAGTTTAAAAGAAGCTAGTTAACTTTTCAGTACGGCCGTGGTATACTACATTATGAGACAATCCTTCTTGTCCCGAGGAGTTTCATTTCTTTCAGACACCTGAGAGTCACTTGTTGCATGTCCCAGTTTCCTTCTGGCACGTTCATCGCCTGCAAAACACCAGTTCAGAAAAAAGCGAACGATAACGATCAACGCCACAGCGAGCATACCATTTTTAGCAGCGGCAATGTACCACCTCCGAGCTTCATCAGCATCAGCTATAGTCGCGATACCCATTTCATGAAAGTATCCCATAGCATATTGAGCCTTTGGCAATCCAAATTCAGCAGACTTTTGTGTCCAAAAGAGTGCATCATATTCACTCGGGTCCAAATTACCAGGTGATCCAGTCAAATACCAGCCAGCTAGACTGAATTGTGCATCTGGTTCACCAAGAGTAGCAGCCATCATAAACCACCGTATGGATTCTCGTTCATCCTTGTCTACACCATATTGTCCGTACTCGTAAGCCATACCTAATCGAGACATTGCTGGTGGGAAATCTAGAGCTGCAGCTTCTTTTAATAAGCGTAGAGCATATGCTGGTTCAGCGTGAACAATCGGTGGGTATCCACGTTCGTATACTTCGGCAAGACGGAATAGAGCATGTGGGAATTCTCTATCTGCGGCAGTAGCTGCTCGTTTGAGCCACTTCACACCATCTCGTACATCTTTGCGTAATGCTAATTCCCCATTCAGTAGGGCCAATCCTGTTCTGTACATGGCAGCCTTGTTACCAGCAGTAGCAGCGGTACGGTAAAAGTGCAGAGCTTTATTCGAGTCCTTTTTGGCACCCCATCCATGTTCATAGCATCTAGCTACAGCATACATGGCGTCCTGATGTGAACGCTTGGTCGCTTGATAGAAGAGAGGGAAAGCTCGATCCCAATCTCGATCATCAGCATACGATGCACCCAAAAAGAATTGGGAATCGGCGTGGCCACTGGACGATAATTTTCGCAACCACTGGAATCCTTCATCGAGAAGCTACAAAATACAAATGCAATCAGAATTTCATGCAGCAAGTGAAAATGCAACGTGAACCTGGCCGATTTTTTGCCAAACGTACCAAATCCTTTCTTGCAGCAGCATCTTCATTTTCATTTGCTGTCTCGATCAACCACCTAAGCATAAGTTTAGAATTAGTTTGGAGGATAGGAGTAACAAATCAAATTTGATTTCATTCTTACTTGGCAAACTCAAATTGAACATTCAGATCTGCGGATTTACGAGCATTAAACCTAAACAAATCTGACGTATCAACCAACGACATTCCATCCTTATATCCATTATACATTATAGCCTTGGGCGTTGGTTGTCCAACCTCCACAGGTTTAGCAGTAGCACCGGCAGTATGAGCTGTAACATCAAGCTGTCCATCTCGACCCATAGAGTAAGTATAACCACCGCGATTTGTTGTTCCTCTCCTCAATGTAAACGTCGGTCGAGAGTTTATCATTTCAGGAGCTTGCGATGCCATTTCATCTGATAATGGAGCCATGGCTTCCGATGCGTTGCTGATCATGGGTTCACTAGTATAAATCAGTTGAGGTTGTCCATCAGGGCCTACTATGTATGTATATGGTGCTTGAGTTACAGGAGCTTCACTTTCTGGTTGATAATATGATCCCTGGTCTGCTAGTGCATTGACGGGCATTGGAAAGTCTGACATAGATACAGGTGTGGAGGGAGGCGTTATAGAGGAAGCAGGTGGCAGAGACACTATAGTAGGTGTAATAACATTATTAGGTGCAGAAGCTACTGTGCTAGGAGGTGGTGGAATGGCAGGAGTAGGTGGCAGAGAAGCTGGAGCTGCAGAGTTATTAGCGGCAGTGGCTGTCTTTAATTGAGCAATACTAGCCGATCGTGTCGGGAACAAGGCGTGTTGAGGGGCTGTTACAGGAATAGCAGGTGGTGCTACAGTAGGAATACTCGCTTGTGTACTTGCAATATTTGACAAAGCCATAGAGGTAGGTAATCGAGGAGGAGGTATCTGTGGTGGTCCGGTACCTGGTAGCGATGACGTACGAGGTGTTGCCATCGATGGAGCTTCCATTGTTGGGGTGGATGGTGGTGTGGTCTACAGGACAACAAAGGTAAAAGCCAATTCAAAATTATTTGTTTGAGCAAGAAGCGGGAAACCGACAGCATTGAAGACACACCTTCGGCTTCGACAGGGGTATATCTACAGCAGCTGAAGCTGGTAGAGGCGGCCCAGACGGTGTAAGAATTTCTGGAGACAAGTCACCAGAGACCGGTACGCTACGTTCCACTTGATTCATCACTTCTTCATTCTTGCTTTCTATATTCTCCACTGATGGAGGTCTCACTTCAGGTCTTGATGACACCGACGACACAGACTCAGGACGAGATGCAAGATTTGACAATGGCGGAGGAGGTGGCAATGAGGTCGGCAGTGGCGGGATTGCAGGTATCACTGAAGCGACAGATGAATTAGCTGAGGAAACAGATGCTAGAGATGACGTTGATGCAGAATTTGAAGGTATTCGATCTCTTGTCTTTTGAGCCGGTTTAGAACCAAAGCCAAGACGACCCCATATGCCTGGTCCTCGTTTTGGAGACTCGGGCGGTGTATTGGGCGTCCTGATAGGCAGATTCGGTAGTGTGTCTACCACAGAGTCCTATACGACAGAACGTCGAGTAAGAAGTGACTAGTGAGAAACCTGATTTTTAACTTACAGCTTGTTCAACTGCCCGTTCATCTACAGTTTCATTAAGCTCTCGTTCATCTACTTCTACCGCAGGATCTGGTGCTCCAAAAGTATCTTCAGCAGACTCAACCACAACTGGTTTAACGTCCTTCATCTGTAGCATAGATGGAATAGCCGGTAAAGTCTTTGGCGGTAATATGGGTGCTACTCTAGGCTGCTCTACTCTGGTTTCGACTATAGGTTCACCCCTTTCTTTACCCTTTGTAACAGTTTCCAAAACTGTAGGTTTAGGTTGTTCGTTGTGTACAAGGGGTTTCAAGCTCTGTACTGATGACGTACGAGGCTGTACAGGTATCGGTAGTGGTGGCCTTGTTTCTGGCTCTGCTTGCTGCCTTAAAGTTATTATTGGCGCAGCACTATCGTCTGAAACCGAAAAGCCCTTCTCTGCGAATGCCTTGGTTATCCTAGATAATCCAAAGTCGTCTTCCAGCGGTTCTTCATGCAACGACGCACCCTCTAGTATCGGCAGTGGCTGCTGTAACGGTAAGCTCTTTGCGTCTTGCCGCACTGGCACACTAACGGATGTTTCACTCGTAGCTGCAGGACCATTCAGTATTGGCACTGGCGGAGGCCCTATATCATGTGTAAAAGCAGCTGGTGCTATAGGTGGCGAAATGACCCCGTTCTGTAATGTCGATGGAGAGCTCACAGCCACGTCACTACTATTGATTCCTCTTGGTAATGTGGCATCTGAAGCTGGCGCCATCCATTTCCTTAATGGTGGCGGTTGAGGGATTGATATAACAGATGAAGCCTGTGTCTGAAGCGAAGCGTTTTAGTTTGTGCCCGTGGCGTCCATTTGTGAAATCAGAGGAAACGAATCAAGTACCATCTCGGTATCCAGATTGAGCCCTGTATCTAATTGTTCCATCGGCGGTAATTCAGGAATTGACCTAGCAAAGTACATAGCTTTAGTGATTACGATAGTGCTGGGTTTCAAATTTCTGATGAAGCACAGCAGTGAGGACACTTACAAGGGCTGGAGGGTCGGAGGTGGAACCGCACTGGACAAATCGGCCATGTTAGTTGGAACTGTGGTCTCTAACCAAGCAGGTGGCAGACTAGCTGTGGGCGAGGGTTGTCCGCTTGAAGCTGTGATCCCACTAGGTTTGGCCAGGAAGAGCCTAGGGCCTCTAGGAGCTGGAATACTAGTAGCCATGCTATAAAAGTACCCCGCAACACAGGCTCCAGGCTTGATTCAATCTGTTTTATACCAGCTTTTTAAAATCGGAGTTCGTAATTGTAAGCTCCACAGTAGTGGGACACAAAGGATCAGCAAGATAAGGGACAGTTTTTGACACTTACAAGCCCCACTTTGGATTAATATCAACGTCTGCTCACGAACAAACGGGCTTGATCACCACAACGTCGGTTCGCTACCTTTCTTGTCTTCTTTTCTGATCGTCTTCGTTTTTGCGATTTGCGGTGGGTTGTCAATCCTGCCGTTTGAAAGTTGATCTAAGACGCGAACGATTTGATTACGTGCGTAGATCCACTTCCAGTCAGCTTTTATATATCTAGATCAACGTGAATTCTTGCAATCACCGAGTTCTTGTCGCCACTCACCAAAGGGTCTTTGCAGAGCAAATGGCTTGATAAATGCTGAATTATTATTATATGGCAAATTCAAATCTCAAATACAAAATATTTCTCATAATCCTTGTCTCCAATTTGGAACGTGCCTAACAAAAGGAGGAGTCAGCGATCCCATTCTGTCACCCAACCAGCATCAAGCAATACCTTCTAGGTATTGCCACTCCATGAAATACAGATTGACCAAGATCCGGCCCTTCATCCTCCTTCTTTTCATGTTTCTTGAGAAACCCTTCAGTTGGTCTTAGCAATCGTTCTGGATCTCGTAGAACATGGACCTCAATCTATAAAAGTAATGGTCAGCCCTCAATTGTTTGAGTATCCTTTCCTGAATTGCTTACTGATGCTCTGAGCTTATCCAATCGTTTCTCCTTCTCTTCTTCTTCCCGCTTCTTACGATCTTGCAACTCTTTTCGACGAGCTAATACTTCTTTATCACGTAACTGTAGTCTTTTCAATTCTTCTTCAGTTAACGTGCTCTGACTCCTTTTCAGCTTTTCGGCTTCTTCTGCTACTCGTTTACGTTGCTCTTCTTCGAGCATTTTCGTATGAGCTCGTTCGAGAACTAGGACCTTGATCTTTTCTTGATGCTTCTTTTGTTTAGCTGCTTCATCTGCAGCACGTTTTGCAGCAGCGTCACGATCTCGTTCCTCTTCTTCTTGCTTTTTTTGACGTGCGACCTTTTTAAAACGGTATTTAGTAGTGCTTTATACCTTAAGAGTGCAACAAGCAAAATACACACCTTCCATTCCTCAATCTCTTTCCTCTTAGTCTCTCGCATACGAGCTTCTTCTTCTCGATCACGTTCCAAGCTCCTTGTATCGTGCTCGGTGCTCAATTCAATACCTTGCACTTGACTCACTTTTAGAGCCTAGTAGATTAATAATGTTAGCGAGAGACACAACACGATTACGTATATGATGATCTGCAAACATGCATTTTTCTGTTCCTTCCATCTTTGCAATGCCATCTTTCTAGCTTCTAACAGCTCTATGTATTTGGAATACCACCGATGATGTGTCATGGCTACTTCAACGCTGATTCCTGGTATATTCGACATGACAGCCTCAACCATCTTGAGATTGCTGCTCTACAAAAGAATTGCGAAGGGTAGAAAAAACGCATTAAGTTCTTTGAATAAGTACTTACTTGATGCTTCTTGTACAGCTTGACAAAAGCGCTATGTGTCAAATCATCCCAACCACCGTAATGTCCACCGTGTTTGGCCACATATTCCTAAAATGGAAACACATCAAATTCAGACCTATGCAAAACAGTGGTGAAGTCTGCGTAGCTTACCTGAAAGACTGCAACTTCAGGTAAAGATCCTTGACTATCCAAGAGTGACGCCTTGATTTTAGATACCAATTTAGCTGATTTTTCAGATACATCATGACTTGTATCTGGACGTGAAGCTTCCTCATGAGTGTCCCAAGCCATGATTCGTTCTTCATGACTGGCTAACTCTGATTGTAATCGCTTCTCGTCTAGCAGCAATCTCTCGAATCTGGTTTGAAGGGCAGGTGTTGAAAGGTTTAAGGAAAATGATTGGGATTGCAAAAGTATCCTTTACGTGCTACACAATCATACTTGTCTCGTTGAACCTCTTTGAATGCCAGTAGAGCTGATTCGATTCCTTCCATTAGAGACTTGAGTTGCTCAATATCTATAAATTTACATGTGATTAGTTCACACGGGAAAACACAATTGGACCAGGCAAGGCTTACATGTGTTTCCACCTGTAACGTGTTTCACATGCCCAACCAGGGCAATCACCATGTCTCGAATGCGCCGTATATTTGTAATCATTTTACGTTCTAAGAAGATCCAGCTGCATAAGAGCAGTAGCAGAAAATAAGAACTTGTGTGATTCTTACTCTCGTCCTCCACCATAGCGTCAACAACAGTGTAGTCAACGACCTGCAGCTCCTCCTTTAGATGAGCTGTTCTTGATGTAGAAATCCAGACATCACGTTGTAATGCTTGAATCCTAAATTAAGGGTAAATAATTCTCAATGCTTCAACTGTTAGGTTTACTCGTTTGCATGGAGTCTCACCTTGACCGAAGCTTGATCAAAGTGTCCATCCATTCACGTTTCTCTTTACTCTTGAGAGTATCTGGAGTCATTGCCTTGATCTTGGCCGGATGCACAGGAGGCGGTCCCACACCTATGGAGACTGGCTTCTTCTTCATAACGCTGCTCTTGAATTCCGGAGCGTGGCCTCTCACAAACTACAAGAATAGTATAATATTTGAGTTTATCAAGAGAAGAGGACGTTATGCGATCGGTTGCAGCACATGCCTTGACAATGGGATCTGCTTTGCCTGCAACATTCTTTGATTTCACAGATGATACACCGACCAATCCACCCTTACGTATCTCATTGGTAGGCAGTGAGTTTAAAGAGTCATTTATGTCGTAATGACCGTCTTCGGTTTCCTCTTCCAGCGTGAACATTTCACCATCAACGACTTCATCATCCATTGTAGGCCTTGTACTAGCTAAATTGAATAGATCCAAGTGAGGCAGCTACTGCAAGCAGTCTATAAAGAGCCCGCAATTCCTAGAGTGCGTAGATCTGCCTCTGATCGCCTAACAGATCTTGACGCCTCTAGCTGTTGAATGTGGTTTTGGTTGAAAATCGCAAGACCCCAGCAAGAGGCAGCCAACACGGTGCAAACGCTGCAATTTACAAGTTTCGCGAAAATTATTACTTTATTAGCACGACGGTCCATTTCTATATAATCAGATGGCTCTTTACACTGCATCGTGTCAACGGCCATCAAAACCAACATTCGAGTTTGAATTGGTCCGAAAAGCCAAAACATGCGACGCTCTTTAGCCTCAAGCTTCAAGCTAGTACATTCTACCCGTCGTACCGCACTGCTATCAAGTCTCTCTCCCTGTCGATGCAATGCTCGAAAGTTTAGCACTCAGCAGCCAGGAGGTTCATCGTTGTCGACCGATACTTCATCAACCACTCATTTTGGGTTCAAAACTGTCCTCGAAAATGAAAAGGAATCGTTAGGTATGTCTTTCGTGTCGTGTGTCTGTCAATTCGCCAACATCAAACACATCTAACCACTTTTTGAACCATAGTTGGCCAAGTTTTTGGAAATGTAGCTAAATCCTACGATGTGATGAATGATGTAATGAGTGGTGGCGTGCATCGTTTATGGAAGGATCATTTCATCAGGACTCTAGCTCCTGGACCTGACACTAATCTGCTAGATGTTGCTGGAGGAACTGGTATTACTTGCGTGGTCCTTGTTGATTTTACGGCTGACCACTGACGTACATCTTTGTCACGTAGGAGACATCGCATTTCGATTCTTGGATTATGTGAAAAACATACATGGACTGAATCACGACGCTCATGTTACAGTCTTGGACATTAATCCAGCAATGCTTGCTGTGGGACAAGAAAGAGCGCGTACATTAGGTTTCTCTGATGGTTGGTTGCCGTTGGTCTGGTTTCTAAAAGCGATTTCTTGGTCTGAAACTCTGGGTTTTTTGCTGTAGAGAAACGGATAAGATTCACTGAAGGCAACGCTGAAAAACTGGCTGCCATTCCGTCGTCATCAGTGGATGCATATACCATTGCATTTGGTATTCGAAATTGTACTCATGTGGATGCCGTATTATCGGAAGCCTTCAGAGTGCTGAAACCTGGAGGTCGATTCATGTGCCTCGAGTTTTCCAAAGTCGCGTTGCCCGTCATTAAAGAGTAATTCCAGCATTGCATTCTCTCTGTTCTTTCGCAATAGTTTCTGACCTTTCTTTTCTTGCCTTAGGTTATATGACGTGTACTCATTCAATGTCATTCCAATGATGGGAGAATTGGTAGCCAAAGACCGTGAATCGTATCAATATCTAGTGGAAAGCATTCGACAGTTCCCAAATCAAGAGCGATTTGCAGAAATGATTTCAGAAGCTGGTTTCAAAAGCGTTGGTAAACCTTACGAAAATCTGTTTATGGGAGTTGCTGCGATTCATTCTGGATTCAAGATATAAAAGTACATTTGTTGATATAAATACTAGAATACATTTATAACATTTTGCATTTCCAAACAGCAATTATTCTATTGGTGGCATTGCAGTACGAGGCAATGGCGTGGGACTTCTGTTTGGTAGAGAGGATAATCCATGACTTCCCTCACTAGGATGGTCATCAAAGTCACCATCAGCACTCTCCAACATGATTGTAGGCACACTACCTATAGCCTCTCGTCGTAGTGGCCATATAACCTCCCCACCGCCAATTCTAGTTCCAGCAAAGATACTACTTAATTCCCTAGTGGCACCATCATCCTGTGAATCTGACTGCAGTTCAGAATCATCTATAGATTCAGCAAGGACACTTGTAGATCGAGCTTCCAATGTCGATTCATCCTCGTAAGCCTGTCCATATATAGATGAGAATTGCGATGCAGTGCCAGTACTATCATTATCGCCTGTATTATGATCTAGAGAGAAGGTTTCTTCGTTCATGAGCTCGTGCCATACATCGTGTAGTTCAGCGTGTCCGCCAGCAGATGGACCTCCTTCCTGTATCTGAACCCATCCTACAGGTGGTGATCCAGGCGGCGATAGTAAAAAGTTCTTTTCGGGATGAGGTACTTGTAATCGAGATATAGTTGGTTGTGTCAATTGATCTAGATCCGTGTGCTAACAAGCAAAAAGGTTTTCAGTTGCGTTACCGTTCAAGAGCAACATTCACTTTATACCTGTCCAAAGTAGACACGTATGGGTTCATTTCCACAGAATACGGTATCATGGAGCTCTCTTCTGGCATTCAAGGCGGCTCTTGTGACGTCAAATGTGCATAAGATTCGACCAAATGATTTGAGCAATGTGATCCGCCTGACGACTCCAAAGCGCTCCAAGACAGTTCGAATGTGTCGAGCCGAATCTTCATAGCCTTCTGGCGGTATTCCTACTAGAATAAGCGTATTCGTGGCAGTTGCCCTCACGGGAACAGGAGCAGGATGATCTGGTAACGATCTGTTATACGGGATTGTCACTGAATAAGAAGGAAGGATACATTAATACGTGTAATATTTGGCAAGTAAATTATTACTTACTTTGTTCTCAGTGGATCTGTTTGCAATGTCGTGTTTTCTAGCTCTGTTGCTTTTTTGACCAACATAAAAACCAAACATCAGCCAAAGCTTTGTCGTTAGATTCCCGCGCTTATTTAAGCTAGTTACAGTCACGTATATAGATCTTTTTCACAGGGTTTAGAGTGTACTAGCGTACCAAATATGTCACGCTCTTCTTCGGATGAGGAAGAACAAGACGAAAATGTAGAATTGACTGATGACGACGTCGAAATGGACGATGTAAAGGACGGAAATGATAATGAAGACGATCAAAAACCAGCCACGGAAGATGATAATGACAACGATCAAGCTGATGTAGCTTCAACAACAGATGAATCAACCACAGATCAAACAACCACAGACAATGCTTCAACAGACGAATCTTCTGACGATGAGGAAGACGAGGATCTCGTTGTAGAAGAATACGATATAGTAATCACCGATAACGTCTTCCAACGCCTCGCATGTCTCCAATACTCTACTCGTCACAAAAGCTTTACAAAGGCTCCCGTCAAGGCAATGATTCGCCCAAGAGCTGATATGGTGTCCATGGAAGTCCCTCTCGAAACCAAGGAAGCTCACTATGAAGGTGATATGGCTTTCACGCTAGGTGAGGGCTACGCAAAGGATGAATTGCAAACTGTCAAAAAGAAGGCCAAGAAGGGTAAAGCAGATGATGTACACTCTTCTAAAAAGATCCGTACCGTAAAAATGGAGAGTGTGTCATTGCCTATGCCTCAAAACAATTATTTGGTGTCTATACCTTACAATGGTAGGCCATGGTTGGCATGGGCGAGTGCTGGTTTGCGATGCTTTTTTTGCTGCCTTTGAAACTCACTGTCGTCGCTACCATCAACTTAGGCAAACTCTACTTATCACCACTTGACTCTGTGTTGCAGATGCGACTCAATCTCAAGTATGTCGAGTACGCACATGAAAAGGACCTCAAGGCTGCCGACAAACCAAAAAAGACTGGAGACGAAGATGATGCCAATACCGGAAGGATTATTCAGGTGGGTATACTGTCAGTCAAGAGTTCGGACTGCACGCGGTATCCGCAGTTTCTCACTACATCTTTTTTTCGCATCACAGCAAACATCTGGAAGAACTGAAGACAAGGAGACTTTACGAAGGTTTCAACAATTGAAACTTTTACAAGAAGATGAAGATGAATCATGGTTGGACTGTCACATGAACAACTGGACTGTGAGTCACCCTTCCAAAACTGGACTGTCAGAAACCCTCGTTTTTTCGTTTTGCTTGTACTGACAGATCACCCATTTTCTTAGGACCGTCGAGTCAATGAACGACTAAAACGAATCATTCGAGAAAATGAAGCAGATGTCATACCTCAAATGGATTATGATACGTATTTGAAGAATCTACATGGCTATGCAAATGAGGGTGTCACTTTCATACAGTAAGATCTCATGTTGAATAACTGTCTTTTTTTCTCCAACTCTCTGATGACTTCTTTGGTGATTTTAGAGACGATAAAGAGGCTGTCAAAGTATCTGCAGCTCTATCTCAAGCTGATATGCGTCTGATGACTCCAGAACACCAACTCAGAGCCTTTATGGTCAATGGTAATTGATATAAGAAAGAAGGTTATAGTTTACCCGCACATGTTATTGATTCTCGTCGTTCCCTCCTCTAGCGCAAATTGCCCGATTCAAGATCATTGCGTCTACCATGAAAGGAAGTGAAGTACCCGAAGTCAAACTGGTCGAGATGCTTCAAAAGATTGCTTATCTCATCCGTGGTATTTGGATTGTTAAGAGGTATCTCTGTACAGTAATTGCCGCGCACTTTGTTGTCCTCTCGTATTGAACACCATTTTCCTTTCATTATTTCAGCGACTTAATATACCGAGGTCGTATGAAAGATGGACGTACATACCTCCTTGGCATGCTCATACAAAACGAATACGTCAAACGGGAGCAGTTTACAACTCGATCTCGTTTGCCCAGCGAAATCGCCGTTGCTATATTGTCAGAACTCTGTGTTAGGGAAAAGGGACTAGGCTGGATTCTGAAGGAAAAGACTGATCCAGTCTTTGACCATAAATATGCCGAGGTTGTTGAACGACAGCGAACTCAGCTCAGAAAGGATGCACAACTGTATGCTCATACATAAGCTATGCGCGTTCCTTTTTTCCGCCCCGAGTCGAACTAACCTGTTATCCACTCTTATAGTGCAGAAGAACGTCTCATTGCAGAAAAGGCCACACGAGCAGCAGCCGCAGGCTCTTCAAGCAAAGTTGGCCCATCAGGATCTTTATCAAAAGATGTCTTGAAAGGAATCATGTCAGGTAATGTGTGGCTGTTGCGCACAGATTTCTGATTTCATTCCTGACTTGGTTTCCTCTCCAATATAATAGAATCAGACATGACGGCCTATGTCGTTGCTATATTTGGACAACATTCAATCGTCTCTTTGGACTACCTCAAGGCTCGTGTCCTGAAGTATTTGACAGAGATCAAAAATGTCACCAATACATCACCCATACAAGCTGCTGCCTTTGACTTGCTCAAACAAGTCATGGACACAATATGTACTCCAGCTCGACAAAACTTTGCATTGAAGAATATTGGAGATGAAAGGATTGACAAGGTACTTGTCTGATCCATTCTTCGTTGCACTGGTTTTATTGTTGTTGTCATGTTCGACGTTTGACACTTGTGGTACTCATCTTTTCATCATTCTTTGCATAGTTCCGATTACCAATATTGGGCATGTTTGCCAGAAGCGAAAAGCTCGCCAAGAGAGATGTCGTAAATGCCATGAAAGACATGTTCCCAAATGACGGGCTTCCTGTCAACACGTATAACAGAATTATGAAGGAAATTGGAATGACGATTGGTACCAATTGGTCGTTGAAGCCTTCGCCAAGCATTTAATAGAGGTGTTTAAAGTAGGGTATTGTAGTTGAACAAGTCGTGTACTTTTGTATAGCAGAAATACAAATCCTCATTATTTCATAAAATTATTTTGCGTGGCACAAAAAGAAGGATCCACCAGCGGTTTGCTTTCGTGGCGAATGGAGTTGACTGCTTTCGAACAAACGATGAGAGAAACACACCACGACGCGTTATTATACTTTCAAGGCGCGTAATCGAAGTATAAGGCAATAAAGAAAAAGCCTCCACTAGTCTTTATTCATTCCTTGTGCGTCTACAACACGTCAAGAAAGCAGCAAGTAAACGAAACAATAAACAATTTCAGTTCTGATCCAAATAGTCTGGTCCAGAAGGAAGTCTAACTAGTCGTAGTCATGCAGTATATGGATAGACCCGCGAGGAAACAAGCGTCTGGCCCCAAGGGAATGAAGACTGGAGCTGGCGAGTACAATGTTTGGTATGATAGATGGAGTGGAGAAGATTACAAGAAGGGGTACGTCTCATCGCTGTCTCATCGCTGTTTCATTGCTTCCTATTCTCTCTTGTCGACTGTGCTTTGCTACGGGCCCCCATCGTCAAACATCAGTCATTCACGCACTCCCTTTCTCCAATAGAGGTGTCGACAAGGCATTAAGCAGATGCAACATTGCTCGAGATGCAGGCCGTACAAAGGGAAACTGGAATAAAGGTGCTCGCTTCTGTCTCTATTTCGCTCGAGGTGCTTGTGATAAAGGAGAAAACTGTCTGTATCTTCATCGTCCTCCTGTAGCTACCGACGTGGAAGATACAGGATTCGATTGCTTTGGAAGGGAAAGATTTCGTTTGCATAGAGATGATATGGGTGGTGGTACGTATATGCAGGCAAAAAAATTACGCGAACAGCCAATAGATGATAATAATCACACTTGTCATAATTTAGTGGGCTCTATTGAAAAGGATTCAAAGACGCTTTATATTGGTCGATTATCAACCTCAAGAGACATTACTGCTGCAGTCAAAAAGCACTTTGCGGAGTGGGGTGATATTGAACAGCTAAAAGTGTTTCCTGAAAAGTGTATAGCATTTGGTATGTTGTGAGATGGAGCAATCGGTTTAAATCTTGTCACGGTTGCTCAATCTTTTCAAATCTCTTCACTAGTGCGATATGTCAAGAGAGGGATGGCAGAGTTTGGTAAGTACCACATTGTCCACTTCTACTTCCATTGTTGTGTTTTGCTGTTGCCACTCTCCTTTACTAACATCTATTTAAAAATAGCCAAAGAAGCCATGTATGGACAATCACTCGATAGTAACGAGGTGCTCAACGTACGATGGGCAGAAGATGATCCAAACCCAGGAGTCGTTGAAGACCTCAAACGAAAAGCAGAAGTAGCATTCTACGAAGCTGCTAGAGCAAAAATGCCTGCAATAGGAGATAAAGGAGACGTATTTGCATATGAAAGATATTACGAAAATCCTGATAATCTCCAACAGCAGCAGGACGGTCAACAGCAACAACAACCACAAAAATACCAAACCGCTGAAGAATACTATGCTGCCTATAACGCTTATTACGCATCTCAAGCTGCTTCAGGTGCTGGTACAGAAGGTGCCTCATCAACAGCAGCACCACCGCAGGGTATGAATGACAAGTCACAGGAATATCAAAATGCATATTGGTCTTGGTATTATATGATGATGAATGCTCATGGAGGAGCTCCGCCACCGCCTGGAACCATTGTCCCTGTAGATAGTCTTCTTGCTTCGGCAGGTGAGAGGCCGAAAAAGAAGGTCAAAGTTGGTGGCAAAGGTAAAAATAAGAGTGCTGTTGCTAGTTTCGAAGCTGGTGATGATGCTACTAGTGGGCAAGAATCCGCAGCTGATAATAAAAAGCAAGAGAGGCAACCGCCTGCAGTGAATGCAGCCAAGCCAATATCACAAAAAGCTACAGCTCTGTTAGCTGGATATGGTAGTGATGAGGAAGAATCTTAGAAGCATCTTTGTATATATGATCTCTTGAGGTAAAACATAAGGTAGCATATCATTGCAGAATATTGGTTGGTGGCAGGCGAGTATTGTGGTTGATTGTTCCTGATTTACGTATAACGGAATCATATCAAGTGTTGCGCTCCGCGTTACGAGTTCGGCCTCGGTGGAGCGGGTTTCTTGGGGTGTCTCTCCAAATATCAAATCTCCTGACTTTAGTGTAAGAGCGGTGTTTCAAACCATGAGATGCGACAAGGACAAATAATGAATACATGCAAGTGAAGCAAACTCTATTCTTTTCCATCACACTACGGTCAAATTCATTTACAACACAGTTGCGTATTCTGCAAGAGCCTACGAAAGAAAAAAAAGGACGATCAGAATATGGGCTAGCGATACCTCACAAAATGCTCTTTGCGGTATGGCCAATTTTAGCTTACAGCATCAAGTGAAGCAGCATCTCCACGTTTCAAAGCACCCATGAAAACATCAACGACAGCAACCGACTTGATGATTTGATACGTCAAAACCAATAATGGATTTGGGCTTGTGAATTGACGCATTGTATCCTTCACATTGGTCGAGATGGCACGTTCCATTTCCTAAAACGAGTTCATAAGATGTTATCCAACAACTCCTTTCGTTAAATGGAGCAGTGGCAAAAAAGCCATACTAGTGAACCAGTACACTTACCTTGAAATGATCTGCAATAGTATCTGCATCCAAATTGCTTGTGTTCCTGCCATCATTTTGTATTGTGAATGTCGGCAGGACATCTGGATATCCCAAGTGAATGGCAATATCCATAGTCAAGAGGAAGTCTGCAGAAAAAGAAATGCTGTTGAGGCAACTATTTTTTTTGTTTACTCAACAGTCAAATTACCTTGCGCTTCAAACGCCATGACAAGTTCCTTCAATCCAGGCATATTAGGTCTCGGCGGCTTGTCAATAATTTGTCGAACCTTGACAACACGAGTGACGGGATTTGGTGATTCGATAAGGAATTTAGGTCGATATCCTGCACAAGAAAAGAGGGCAGAAGCAGTGCAAAATGAGCCAACAAAATATAGTTGATTCTGAGTGAATAAGTAGGTACTCACCAATCAAAGTCGACAATTGAGCGCCCAAATTCCTTAATGCTCTATGTCGATGTCGAATCAAATCAGAGACTTTTGACAAGTAAGGCCTGGTTGATCCAGTTTCAGCATCAGACCACCATCGTGATCCTGCTGTAACGATGTTCGATGGGAATTCAAGAGCACATAGTGGTTGTGCCCATCTAAAGGCACGCCCATGAGCAAGAGTAGGATCGAATACGAATCTGTCAAAACAGTAGAGGGACATTGTCAGCAAAAACGCAACTGCGGAGTACGCATGGAACTCACCCTGGATGTATGAATGCGTTGGAGGGATTGGGTGACTCTATTCCTGCGTCATCAGGGAAGAGATGAGCGGTATGAGCATACGGTGTCAAGGCAAGTGGATTCAATCCTATGGCCTGCGTGACTTCTTCGGATACTGTCACGATTCCTAGATTGACGAGATACGAGAAGCTGATGTGTATGAAGGGAGTCTTGGTGAAGTCGGCACCTGAGAATAAATGGATGTTGTCAGCATTGACCAAAAAAAAAAAAAAAAAACAGCACGGATTGCACATTATACCTATAACTGCAGTACTCGAGTCACGAATAGATATCACGACTTGGAGAGGATGACGTGTATATAGCTTGGATGTATCTGGACCCTTGCTGGTTGCTGTTGAACCTTCTTCACCTTCGTCAGCAAGTCCACGGAGTCCCTTTTCACTACTATTTGATAGAGACTGTCTGGCAGCATCAAAGTCGCCAGTCACCTCCATAGAGAGCGAATCGTCTAGATTTTGAAAAGCGTTGGTCAGTTCAAGCTTCTCACAATGAAAGCTGTGATTGGTGCCCTTACCAAATGCTTCAGCAAATCCAAGAGCATGGAAGTACAGGGAATACAGCGGTAGTGGTAATAGAGAAGCACGTTCGTTTTTTTCTCGGGGTTCTGTGATGGTCGTTCCAAGCTTGGTTTGTAGGACTTTGGAATTCTGTTTTCCGAGAAGTAGCAGTCAGTATCTTTGGTCTCGAATAAGATAAAAAACGTCTTTTCAAGATGCATACCTTGATGAGCACCTCTGCGTCTGATTCCAATTTACCAAGATCATCCTTCTTCTTTAGATTCTGCTTTCGTAACTGCTCCTTGATCCCCATCAGAGCCCTTTCTTCTTCCAACAACCTAGAATATTCGTAGTCAAGGTATTAGATTGTGTCTGCAAAAAAACCCATGTCTTGAAGGGGATAATGCCTTTTTCTCAGTACGATCTCCCATTTGAGTTGATTGGCCAATAATGTATGATCGTCGGTCACGGTGAGGAATTCTGGTAGTGCAGTGCTTCGGAATAGTTGCTCTGGAACCAGATCGATATCTTGATACACGGTTCTATAGGAGGGGCGAGACAGTAAACATATTGCTTTGGACAGATACAGCACCAGTAGCATGAATAGTGGCCGTACTCCAAGTCTTGACATTCAGCGATTTCGCGTTGCAAATGCAGTTTTTGATAGTGCAAGTTTTGCAGGGACAAGAGACCTTCGTTCAGATTTTGTTTGACATTTGTCGTGTTTTCTTTTGTATGTCGTGTTTGCAAGTAAGCTTCACGAGAAGTCTGTTCCAAATCCAATAGCAAATCGAGCCCCGAATCAATCTTGGATTGAGCTCGTTTCTATTGATGAAAGGCAAGAAATGTTGGAATTTGTCGATGGATGCATCACAACAGTGTAATGTGGAAACTAGAAACAATGGAGATACGTCGAGTCTGTCTTACTAGAGGTATTGAGCCTACGACATGTTCAGCGACCAAAGTTGAAGCCAAAGTGTAGAGCTTCTCGCAATCGCTCTTTCCATGGGCAACGCTGGATAATCGTTGCCTCTTTAAAGAAGGCGAGCCCGGCGCTGAGCTGGCAGTAGAGTCCATTAGACAATCTACCAAAGTTTGCCAAGCGCAACGATCCTGGTGCGATCCCTAGTGCTGTTTGCCGAAAAGTAAAGCAAATGGATTGGAAAATGAGGGCATCGCAAGCAAGAAGATAGTACGGAGAGGCTATATATGAATATTTATATACAATAAGACTGTGATGACGCGTCCAAACACGTCACGGAAAGATCTACACTGTCATCTGATTTTGCGCAAATGCTCTGACAGAACTTTGACACGCTTCAATATTGACCGTCAACCATGCAAACTGTCGACGAGTTAATCGAAGAGAGTATCTGGGGTGGCTCCGTGTCAGACTCGGAGCTGTCCTCAAAGTCAAAGAAACTATCGAGGCCAAACCTTGGACGAGATGCTTGGTTGTAGGTCTTGAAACCAAGCTTCTGGTGCAAGATCGGCCAGAGATTTCGCTAATTATTCATCGAATTATAGATACGAATACACTGATCAAGTCGACGTTACACTGGAATTCCTCTACAGACCGAGATCTGTCTTGCTCTTAATTCTTGGACTTTCAGCCCTTGCCGTTTATTCATTTTACGATGTAGGACCCTCATCATCCAATTCATTTGAACATGTCTTTGATTTTTCTCGCCTTTACATAGCAAGAATCGCCTGTCGCAAACACCAAAAGGTTTGCATCAAACGGCAACAACTATGAATCTGATCTTGACCCCAATCTCGTCACTTTAGAGGGCTCATCGCTGCATTTCTGATCCTGGGACTTGTCGGAATACTGCAATTTCGAGACTCGCCTTTCGTCAGGCCACATCCTGCATTTTGGAGACTTGTATTAGCATGCTCAGTTGCATACCAACTCGTCCTCGTCGTCATCTTGTTTCAGGTACTGTGAAGTGAAACTCTTTGGCATAGGACCTTTGCTGGCGCATCATGAACGCACTGCAAGCGAACTGGCGATTTAGTGAGGAAGCTCTTTGAACTCAAAGCATCCCTCATTAGAATAAACACGACGCTCGAGCCATGTTGAAATTCCTGGATCCATCTCTGGGCGTTGAACCATCTGAGCGCTCGTACGCTGAAGCTTGTGATATAACATGGGAGAATATTTATGTAGATGCATTTGCAAACATTTGTAGTTGTTCTTGTTTTTGTGCTAAGCAACCACGTTTTTTTGGTAGAATGGCCTCGACATATTCGTAGTAGCTCATAGTATAGGATGGTTTGCCAAAGCTCTCGTCATTAGAGACTATTGGTTATGTTGGATCATGTCTGTATTGTTCGAAGTCCTTGAATATTCTTTAGAGCATCAGTTGCCAAATTTTGCAGAGTGTTGGTGGGATCATGTAAGATTGATTGACAAGACATCTGTTTTCAGAACTGCAAGAGACTGACAACATATGTCAAATCTAGTGGATTTTGGACGTGTTGCTGACGGTATGAATTCAATTTGTCAACAACTGAACTCCCTTTTTTGGTCAGCTTTAAGAATCTGATACTCACAAAATCCGACTTGATAACTTTTAGAATTGGGGCGGAATATATCTTGGAATGAAGGCTTGCGAATGGCTACAAATGAAGCAATACTCGTGGAGAGGAGTTGCTCAGATACCGACTGTTCGTGGCAAGCTGAAACGAACACTTCAGCAATTGACGCCGCACAGCTATACCGGCTTTCGTTGGGAGATGACCAAAACCTTGAAGAATTACTTGTCTGTAAGTTTGATGATTCGATTTGTTAAACCCATCTGACACGTGTCTTAGGTGGTAGCTATGTTATACGTTGGCTCCCAAGCTGAATTGAATGCCTTCTACCTCAAGTAAGGCCATGGTTGGGTGGACATATATTGCATCTTTCCATCTCACTGACATTTTGCTTCTTTAAATTTAGGTATTTGTTATGGGTACCTCCAGAGAACTCATTGAATGCATACAGACTCGTATTGTTCTTCTTTATGGTCTTGCCGGCAACAAGAGAAGTGTACCAATACGTGCATGATCCGTACGTATGATTTGAGAGACGTGCTTTATTCACTTGAGACCCGAAGACTTATCACGCCAATCATGCCTCGTTATCATGATAGACGCTGCAAAAGGCTTGGAATGCATGCGTGGATGGCATGTGCCAACATCGGTACCGAGTTGTTAATATGTATCAAGTTTGGTCGAGGAGAGTTTCCACAACCCTTCCCATTACCTGTAAAGGTGTTTTGGGCTATCGTGGTCTTCTTGTTAATAGCGTACCCTGTATACCAGTTTGGTTATAGACCCATGCGGCTGAAGACAAAGGCTTCATAAAATTTTAAATATATACCCCCAACATATTTTATCGCAAACGAAAACTGTTTGAACCATGATTTGAATTGTTCTCAAGTTACGAAGCAGGTACAAAGGCTATTAACAACAACGCTTTGGACCATAGACATCCGAACTGCTCACCCTCATCATTGCAATACAAATAGCCGCAGCTTCCACTTTCCTCACTTGCGGCCCTCTTGCCGTAGCCCCAGTCCTCGGTCTGAATCGGAGCGCAGCTGAGAGAGAGCTCTCTTACAAGTTCCTTCTACACAAATGACAAGCAGTCGGGAACCTCGGTATGCTTTAACTTGGTTGTCTCGACCACCGATGTTCCACTAAAGTGGAACAGTTCCAGAGATCTTGTTCTCGCTCTGTTTTTATCTCTCCTCTACCAATGAGGTGCTTCGGGCTTGCGACTGACAGAATCTCCCACGTGCTAGAAACAAGGGATGAAGTAACCATTGACTACTGCACATGTAGTGGCGTAGTGTTCTAGTGTGTAGTAGGGTAGTATGATGGTTCTGGGTAGTCCTTTACTATACAATTGTGCGAGATAATCAAGTCAGAAAATGTTTGGATGTCATTGCCGCAAGTGTTTGACTGCGGAGAATCCAATAGGATTCAACCAGATTTGGTATATGCTCGACATTGGCCCTAGAATGAAGGTATATGGGTCCCAGCTCACCTACTGCCTTGCAAATGTCTGCTTCTAAGTTGTCAAAGAACTTTTTGTGGAGTGCAAGTTGAGGAGTTCGCTCACGTTTGAAGCAAGGCCGTCAAGCAAGAATTACGAGCAAAGGGGCCAGTAGACACATCAAAATCCCAGATCTAACCTTCTATGATGTTCCCAGTCCCCAGTAACAAACGCTGAGCGAAGAAAGCAGTTTGTTGGTATTATCAGACACCTTTGAGCGTATTCATGAGCAAGACACGCCTCTAGCAAACAAAGCCAATATCCATACTCGTGAAATAGTACTACTGCGATGTAGTTAAACTTGGCTGCTGTAGTTACCTTTCTTAATTTTGCTGAATCAGTGAATAGCACTAGACCCTGGATATTCTCATACAGGGACAAGATGGCAGACGTACGGATCGATGCTTTACCATATTACGACAAGTAAGATCTTGTTACTCGCCCGTTATAAGTCGTAATCTGCACATGTACTGATGACATTTTGTTCAAATTAGGGAATATGCTTCAGAAGGTATAAACAGACCACCTACGAATGGATTCTGTATTTGCAACGTCGATTATCAGCATCCGTTCTCAATTATGCTCTACTACTAGATACCAAAAACCTCGTCGCTCGACTAATTGCTCAAGAAGCATCAAAACAAGCACGACCACCACTACCAGCCAAATCATCTATATTAACAACCACCACACTCTTCCCACAATCTGAATTGACTCGTATATCACGTAACGAGCTTCCAGAAGGCGGCATCGACAAGTCTCGGTTTCGACTCGAGCCTCCTTTTTCTGCTGACGACGAAGATGTAACTTCTGCACAGTGGAAGACGGCCGTTGATAATGCTCATTCGCAGCTAGAGCATCAACGAGACCGTATATTGAATCTAGAATTGGTGAATAGGTTTGGTCAGAATGGATGGAAGTACCATAATTTTGAGGTACGTTCGCTGATGTTTTTAGCTTGTTGGTCTTGACAGATTGATTCGAGTCAGCTGCGATGCAAGTTTCTAAACCTTGTTTCTGCGACTAGATGGAGAGTGCTATAGCTGGCATAGAGGCAGAAATCCAACAATTAAAAGAATCAACCACGGAACTGAATAGACAACGTAAAGTAGATCAAGTAAGTCAGAAATCCCTATCCACAACTTGTGTTAATCTCTCTTTTGCTCACTCACTCTCGACATCTTCTCAAATAGACCAAGACGGGACATCAATTACAAGCATGGGAAGCACGATACTCGGAAATGATATCTCGAGTTCTCCAACTTGAACAAGCTACAAAATCACTCGAAGCTGAATTGGCAGACAAGGTCGAACAAGCAGCTGAATAAAATGTATAATTAATCCATGCAACTTTGTATTTAAAAATATAATCACTTGGTCAGTTATGAATCAAAAGTTGCGCACAGTATACAAATGAGATACATTAACATGCTGCCGGCATAATGGACATTCAGCCTATGGAAACGATTGGTTTAGTACATCAAGAGTCATGCAGCCACCACGTTCAAAATCCAAATCACCTTATTCTGACACCATTCTGTAATACAAGTCCAACAAAACAAATGTCCACAGGGTGTAGCAGTTGTTGTCTTGCGTGGTTCAAGACACAATGTACATTTCATAGCTCCCAGTTGTTCAGCCGACATATCCGCATAGTCGTATTCTTCTTGTGCTGTCCCGTTACTGTGCCAAAGGGAAACCCCGTATTAGGCGAAAAAAACTTATGCATAATCATGTTCGTATGACTTACTCATCAGCCATAGCAGCAGCAACCTGTTCAGCAGTTTCCTGTTTAATCCTTTCTTGTCTCTTTAAATAGAATTGCATTGCAAGCTGCATCAATATGAGTGCTCCAATGACTTCATAACCGACGAGTTCTTCGCCTTGTCGTAACTGTCTCAAGAAGATCTAAGACCAGAAAAATATCATTAGTGCATTAACCAAAACCATTGGTCTCGAGACGTTTCATCACACATACATATCGAATGCCAGAAATCCGTTTAGCGACGTGATAGAATGATCCAGTGAAATAAAACCATGCCAGATGTATGGATCGTAGGTATTCACTCCACATTGATTTAATGGCTGGTATTATTTCACTGGATTGTCGTATGAATCGAGCATATGGAGTGTTTTCTACAATAATATTCAAATGAGGGATGTAAGATACCGCGGAAAATGGCAAAAAAAGGAGATAAGTGGATGGTATGTGTTATACCTAGTCCCAAATGCCTCGATTGCAACCTGAGCCACATGGAAGCTTGTTCTACAGCATAGGGTAGAAAGACATGGGCTACGACCAAGAAGGTTTGCCTCTATGTAAAGAAAGAGGATGATGTGCGTCAGCTGTTTGCTCTAGCTGTGATGATCTTCAACATTCGTGGGTTTACCAGTCGAGAAGGCACAGTCAAAGATCCTTCAGTGATTTGCATGATATCACAGTATTCTTCTCCGAGAGTTTGAGTTCCTTGAAGAGAGACCAAAAAAGGTCATGGATAAGCACCAGCGCACTGTCAAGGTTGACAAAGAGGTCACGACACGTCACATACCCGACAAGGTTGTAAGGGCGTAGTAGCAGAAATCGGCTAGTAAGCTGACTTCAGTTTGATATTTCATATGTGTCCGTATTCCTGTTATGAATGTGAGTGAGCTACAAGTAACAGGCAATGACATCAATAATGTTCTGGCATACCCAGCCAAGTTCTACATATAGAATGGAATTGCTCCTTTAATGAGAGTATTGACATCATGTCCTTTTGATTGGCTCGTATAATATCCGGCTGACCACCAAATGGGAAGGCAACGGATGGAGGTGCTTGTTGCTGTGGTATTGGAGTTGTGTTTAGGACGCTTGTAGCAGAATTATTGGGCGTCTGAGTGGTCGCCATGACGAATAAATCTCGTCCTATACTCTAATCTAGTGTTCCGTTTAGGAGAAACGGTGCCGGTTTCGTTATTGTCGATTTGAAAAACGTTCAGCAACGAATATGTTGGAGGCAACAAACAAGGAGTCCGTGGTAGTCAGCATGGAGGGCCACAAGTGCGAGACAGAGGGATGCTCAAATCCATCACGTATGGTCTGTCCAACTTGCAAGAAACAGGGATTGCCGAGTGCATACTTTTGCTCTCAAGAACACTTCAAACAATCCTGGAATACTCATAAACTAATACATAAACCGTCCTGTAAGTGTCTGAATTATATCCTTATTCAATTGCTATTCTCTTGCTGTCTCTTCTATGACGAAACATCAACAAACCTTAACACACTCTCTTATTCGCATCCGTAGCAAAGACATTTGATCCATTTCCTGCTGATGCCTACACTGGAAAACTACGTGCTGTTTATCCATTGACTCCCAGACGCCCAGTACCATCACACATTGCTAGGCCTGACTATGTAGAGTCTGGTAGGGCGAAAAAGTGTAGAATAAAGCACTCGTATTGTCTAACAACTCTGTTCATTCTTTAGGCACTCCATGGTCTGAACGTGAAACTGGCCACTTGATACGGCAGTTGTCACCTGCAGAGATCGAAGGAATGAGAAAGGCTTGCAAGGTACAGCTTTCAATACTCGGATGGTCTCGTTTTTTGGCACTCTCATTCTGGATTCAAACTAACGCATATGTGTATATAGATTGGGAGAGAGGTATTGGACATCGCAGCCAAAGCAGCCAAAGTCGGCGCCACAACTGACGAAATAGATCGAGTAGCTCATGAAGCTTGTATCGGTATGCTCATTCAACGAGTGAAACAAGCAAAAAAGGCAGGATAACGACTTATGTCCTTACTCGATTCCTTTGCGCTCCTCCCACTCTAGAACGAGACACATACCCATCCCCACTAAACTACTGGAACTTTCCAAAATCCTGCTGCACATCCGTCAACGAAGTCATCTGTCATGGAATACCAGACCAATACGAACTACAAGACGGTGATATTGTCAATATCGACATTTCTACCTACCATAATGGATTCCACGGAGACTTGAATGAGACATATCTTGTCGGGAATGTGGATGACGCTGGTCGCAAACTGGTCAATGTTACTCGGGAATGTATGAATAAGGCTATTGAGATGGGTAAGTTGTGCATGACGTTGATTGATATTGTTTGGGTTGGACGTCATCGATGGACTTGTGTGACAGGGCACATCCATTAATCAAATTGGATTTGTAACTGTTTTGGGAGGACTTTTTTTTTTATCTTACCTTCGTCCCGTCCCCAATAGTCAGACCAGGAGTCTTGTACAGAGACGTTGGAAACATTATACAAAAGCACGCTCATGCAAACGGACTATCAGTAGTCAGAACATACTGTGGTCACGGAATAAACAACTTGTTCCATTGTGCTCCATCAATACCGCATTATGCAAAGAATAAGGCTGTGGGCGCTATGAAACCTGGTCACACTGTAAGTTTTTACTGTGTAATTGCGGTTTCTAATGCGGTTTCTAAGCTTCACACTAACTATCGTCTCTGTAGTTTACGATTGAACCAATGATTTGTGAAGGTGAGAAAAGCAGTCATTTTATTCGACTTACATTGTACTGGGTTTTTCCCCACACGAACAATGTGTTCATTCTCAACAATCGTTAGGTAAATTTGATGACAAACAATGGCCAGATAAGTGGACGGCTGTCACACGGGATGGGAAAAGGAGTGCTCAATTCGAGCAAACCGTAAGTACTTGCTCAATTTTCATTGTTTGTTCTTTTCGGTCTTTGGCAAAATAAAGAACGCCGACCTTATCGTATTCCAACTCTCTTCATAGTTGCTGGTTACTGAAACTGGTGTTGAAATTCTTACAATATGAGCTCCACCTCTTTGCTTTTATCTTTTTCTTGTTTTCGGCATGGGAATAAAAAGTATTTAGAAACTCATGAAGCATTTTTGTTTTGTTTTTGCTACACTATCACGTTCTGTAAAATCTATGTTCTTGGTTCGAATTGGTAGGTGTGTTTGAGGGAACGTAGATGGTTTTGGTCGTTGGATTTATATGAGTGACCAACTCCGGTGATAACCTTGGTTCTGCAAGACGAGCATGGTGGCCATTTTTTTGTCCTCGCTCGTTTATCCCATATTGTCAGACCCTATTGAAATCAACATTGCGAGTCAGTTAACTGAGTCTTTGTCTCGGTACTCAGTGTGGCGGATGACCTCACGCCTCTTTTTCGCACACACGCACAAACGGTTTTCGGATTTTACAAATCCAATCCATTATATATATATTTTAAAGTCAGAGTTCAAATACCGTTTTACACTGCAACGTAGATCGTTACACCCAATTCCACCAGTACAATAGCAGGTAGGTTTCAATAGTTCGTGTTCTGCCCAGTCTTTGGCCGTAGGTCGAAACCCTCCCAACCACCACTACTCGAGCTACTATTATCCTTCCCGTGCATTGACGACGGCACTGGCCCACCAGGACTAGGCATCAACGGCACCCACGATGCGGGACCCACACTAGTAACCGGATTACCCTCCAACACGAAATCTTCACCAAACGGATCGTTAGATGAAGATGATGAATTCGTAACCCATGATGCTCGATGATTTAAACTATTCCCTGTATACTGCAGTTGCTGTTGCTGAGCCATCATTGTCATTGCATTCGGTAAGAATGGGTTATTGGATGCTGGTGTACCTGGTGCCCATGATGCTCGTGTTTGATGGTATGGATCAGCAGGTGCTATGCCGGATGGTGTTAGTGATGGTGCCCATGATTGTCTTGCTGCACCACCATTGGCGCTACTGACACCAAGTCCAACATTCCCATTTATATTATTCGGCGAGGCCATATTGCTGGTATTTATTGGTGCAAAGTTGGCAGGACTTTGTGAAAAAATGGCTGGACTTTGTTGTGCGGATCCACCATGTATTGATCCATGTGTTGAGGAACTCGATGACGACGTGTTACCACCACCCATTCGAGCATTCACTGCACCTAAAAATCCAATCATTTGATTCGGATCCACTCCAACTACCCCAACCGCTGATCCCATCCTTGATGAAGGTGCTGAATGTGTAGGTCTAAACGTATTTAATCCACCTACTAGACTACTGTTGCTACTGCTGTTACCAGTGTTCATGTTTTGCTGCAGTTCAGGAGGTCTTGTTGGTAATGGCGGCGGTATCTCACTCAACGGAGTATTATGCTGCGATATTGATAATGACGGGCGATGAGGTTTTATAGGTCCTGTTCCTGATATTCCTAGTGGCTGATGATTTATATCCACAGTCTGCACCGTGACCCATGAATTACTGTTATTATTATTACTGCCAACACCTTCACTACGACTATAAGCATGTCCCGATGTCGACGGAGTTATAGTCGACCGTGGTCTACCAGACTGACCATTATACGCATTTGGGCCAGAATCCATTGAATGAGTCCTTAAATGTCCTCTTGATGTTGTCATTTGCTGAAATTGCTGTTGTATGTGTAGTTGCTGCTGCTGCGTTATAACTTGTAGCTGACTGGCAGTAGATTGGCTGTTGGCTGCCGTTGGCGACGTCACCATAGACCCAGTAGCACTAGTATAGGCTTCCGTCGGTGGTACATTGGTCGCCACCTTCAGATCGGGTATAGACCTTGTCGTGTTTTTTTTCAATCCTCGGAATGGATTGAAGGCATCATCATCGAACGGATTACTGCCACTTGCTGTACTCGTATTACTACTTGAGACGTCACTACTATAAGGTTTACCAGCATCGATAGAACCCGATGATTTACGTTCAGGTTTGAGTGGTGGTTGTGGTGGATGGCCTAGCACTTGAGACCCCCGCCGTTGTATTTGACCACCAGCTGTAGCATAAAAGTTTGTTTCACCTGCACTATTCAGAGCACTCATGGAGTTACTCTTGGCACTGCTATTGCTGCTACTCATGTTAGAATCAGATTCAAACGATGCTAGTGCTCCATTTAATGCTCCACTCAAAAATCCTGATAAGGTTTGTGATGAGCCACGAGATGATTGTTTTGGCGGCCGTCCTCTCCGCATCTGATTACCGGCATCAGTTAATGCTGGATCTGGAGGCAAATCTGTAGGTGGTAGTGGTATTGGGTACTGAGAAGTTACAGGTGTTCGCGATTGGAAGAGTGGTACTTGTTTCACTAGTGGTGCTTGTATATCTGCCAGAGGTGGTGCATCTGGGTATTTCTAAAATGAAATTAAAATTATTTTTTGGTGAGTTTGTTCTTGTTTTTGGAATTTTCCAAAGCCTCCTCTCACATTTTGCAGAAAGCAAGGGCCATTCCTCAATTTACACACAGCGGAATAGACCTGGAAGATATTTGCACGTTTATTTACATCGACCAGAAGCATCGAATCTAAATTATGGTGAAGTGATAGTCTCAGTTTAGGGAAAAAAAATTAGAATAACATGTGTGTCGAATACCTATGAGTTTGATCAATCCTTGAGAGTATACAGGATAGTTGGGCATTGTATATCGACCATTGAGAATCGCTAGCTTTCCACCATCTTCAAACGGTGTGGTCTAGATGCAACGTGGTCAATATCTGTTTTCAAACCCTTTGATATCAATGACAACTTGACTTACGAAATAACACAGTTTATACAGCAGGACACCCAGTGCCTATTTTCATGTAGTGGTAAAGGCTCAGTCAAAACTATAAAATACATGACGAACAGACGATGCAAAAAAACCACCAAAAGATACTACGCATGACAGTCTTCAAACTCTCATCGACCAATACTCACCCACATATCTGTCTTCTCCGTCAGCCCCTTTCTAGAATACAAGTCACACATTTCAGGACTCCGATACTGCAGCGTAGTATACTTGTTGATTTCTTCTTCCAACAACCGTATCTCTGAAGCAGGCAGCGCTGCATTTGGCAATACCATCCTAGTGGTGGCAGATCCGAAATCACATACTTTATGTTTACCATTGGTAGCAATAAGTACGTTTTCGATTTTGAGGTCTCGGTGTATTATGGGAGGATCCGCATAGTGCATGTGAGCTACTGCCTCACAAATGTCTGAGAATATTGTGAGGACTTCGGCTTCTGTTAGACGACTGCTTAATCGAGTGTTTAGAAAGTCCACGAGATGACCTCCTGCGAAGATTTGAACTGGGTCAGACAACTAAAAATATAGCATCGAAATATCACAAGGTACCTGTACAGTACTCCATTAGAATAAACACCTCATAACCTCCTCCGCCAACAGTCAATGGTTGAACATCTGAATCATAGTATGTTACGATGTTCTTGTGCCCCGACAATAGTTTCTACTCAATGTTTGGACTGAGTGATTTCGCATATTGTACGATCGTTCCTTAAGCAATAGACTGACCATCCATGTAATCTCCTTCCGCATGTCCAACAAGGAGTCCTCATCAGGACATGCAATTCGTTTCAGCACTGCCTGCTCATCTGGCAGGGATACTACGACATATACGTGAGCATAGCCACCTATATTCGAAAGCCGTGTTAGTATGCAGAAGCGTAAAAACAGCATGATACATCAGCACAGAATACCTTCAGCAAGGAACTTTTCGACCACGACCTTCCTTTCTCCAACAGTCAAGATCGTATTTGGAGCATAGGTTCCTAAATAAATCAGATGTAAATTGGGATTGTCAAATGATCCTCTTGTCCAAACACACAGAAGTTTGATGACAATGTGTTGCCACTCCCATTTCAACCAGGATGCAAAGACAGCAAATGAGTGTATATCGTACCTGGAGGTCCTGGCGAGATGCTTTGTTGAGGTGCTACTGGAGGTGGCTGCAACGGCCGCTGAACAATCTGGTGTTTGTTGGTTGTGATGTTTGCACTCAGATTCTTATTGAGGGAAGACAGAAAGTTCATTCTGTCTCGTATATAATCTAGATGCAAAGTATCTGACTGAAAATGCCTCTCCCATGCGCTATGAGATGCTCAAAACAGAGGTGTTGTCGCCAGTGTGTGCAATCGACAATCGACAGATTTGACAGACGTTGACATTCGTGAGAAACGGGAGAGCCTAAATTCAACGCGTCCAATGCCTTACAAAAACTATATGCAAGGTTTTCTATTTATTTACAATTTAAATTATAAGCAAAGTACAAAATGGGCTAGTTCTTGCTAGTTAAAACTGATGATCCACCGTTTGCAGCCTCGCTGTTCCGTTGTATGTCAACTCTGGTGCACACGATCCTCGTGGTGGAAGTTGCGAATGGCGTCAATATTGTGGGAGGTGCAGGTCCTTGTTGTTCTTCATCGTCTTCGTCGTCGTCTTCATCATCACCAGCATTCTCTATAGACAGTATTATGGTCAGCGTCGGAAGTCGAATAGGCGGAATCACTATATATCTCTGATCTCACCCATTCGTGGTACTGGAGCCTTTCGCAGAGCATCTAAACCTCCGTCAACAAGCATCAGGCAATCTGTACCCATGGCTCGATCCACTTTGCCTTGAAAGTATAGATTGCCAATCCGTATAAATGGTGCAAGTGTATCCATTCCCTAAACACATGAGTTGTATAAGAGCAGGATCCAACATGTCAAATGTTTTGCGACACACGCACTATGAGTTGAATTCCAGCGAATCTTTTGGCGAGACTCAGCATTTCATGACCCTTATAGTCTGATCCCAAGTCCACAACGATATAGCTGACCTAGAAAGATAGCGACAATGTCAGTTCAATGTTTCCAAACACCATCAGAAGACGGGTGTACCTCTTGCTCAAACTCATCGTCTTCGTCATCGGTAGTGTACTCTGTTCCTGAAGATTCAGCAGCAGATGCTACCGACTTTTGGTCTTCGTCCATAGTCATGATAGAGCAGAGTATTGATGTTTGACGGTTTGACGGTGTTGGGAAGGAAGGAGATCAAGATCAGTTTCATTACTGTATATTTTACGCGTCAAAGACCATATGGACAAGTCGCAATCGCGTCCAATCACTCGTAAGAAGACTGTTTAGTTGTGTTTTTCTCACGCGAAAAAAAGAAGACATTACTTTGTATATGAACATTGCCGTGAATCTATCTCGAGGGAGCCGGACAGCTTTATTTTATAGCCATACACGTATTCTTCATTATAGGAGGTCTATACAACCATACCATCGCAACATGTCGTCAACAACCGACACTTCAAATGTATCCACTGCACCTCCAGTATCGCATGCCGAGTCGGAGGCTTCATCTAGTAAAGCACAAGTCGTAACTCCCTGGGATGTACAGGGCCAAGTCGTCGATGGAAGGCAAAAGGCTATCGACTATGACAGACTCATTGCTGATTTCGGAACTCAGAGAATATCCCACGAGCTACTTGCCAAATTGGAGAGACTTACTGGCAAAAAACCTCATCGCTTCCTAAGGAGAAATATGTTCTTTTCTCATCGGTATGTATTGGATGGGTACTAAGGAAGGATTTGAATTGCTACCGGGCCTGCATCCCTAGCCCCAGAGCTTGCCTTTTTTTCGTTCCTCTTTCGTATCATGTATTGTTCATAATCATATCGTTTCCTTATAATAGAGAGCTGGACGTGATCCTGGATCGGTTTGAAAAAGGAAAGCCATTCTACTTATACACTGGTCGTGGCCCAAGTAGTGATAGTATGCATGTGGGTCACTTGGTGCCATTTATCTTTTGCAAGTAAGTATCCGACAACAGGAGTGATCTGTTTGAGCATGTCTGAAGCTCACCGCCTCGTTGAAAGTCGAGAGTCTATACAATTAATTGATAATTTCGGATTTTGTTGTTGCATCCGCTTTTCTCACCCCATACTTCATAAAATATAGATATTTACAAGAAGCATTCGATGTACCACTCGTCATTCAAATGACGGATGACGAAAAGTTTCTCTTCAAAGAAGAATTGAAACTAGAAGATACATATAAATTCACAATCGAAAACGCTAAAGACATCATATCTCTTGGATTTGATCCTTCAAAGACATTCATCTTTTCAAATTTGGATTACGTCGGGTACGAACATTGGTCTCGCACTGACATCTACGTGTATACCCTCTTTTATCCATCCTCAACTAGCACCCTCACACGTTATTAGGCAAGCATTCTACCGAAACGTCGTCAAAATATCGAAATGCGTGACCACAAGTGTATCCAAAGCTACTTTTGGATTCACGGATAGTGACAATGTCGGGAAACTACATTTCGTATCAGTACAAGCTGCTCCATCCTTTTCAAACTCATTCCCACAAATATTTGGGCCAAAAGGAGATATACCATGCCTGATTCCATGTGCTATAGACCAAGATCCATACTTTAGAATCACGAGAGATGCTGCAAAGAGGTTGAAATATCCCAAACCTTCACTCATTCACTCGAAATTCTTCCCTGCATTACAAGTAAGGAAGCTTCCAGGTGTTTTTAAAGTCAGCAAGTGGTCCTAACACGCTTTCAACTCCAGGGTCCAGGAACTAAAATGTCAGCATCAATACCAAACTCGGCAATCTTCATTACTGACACTCGCAATCAAGTCAAAAACAAAATCAATAAACATGCATTCTCTGGTGGTGGAGCAACAGCTGAAATACATCGTGAATTGGGAGGAAATGCTGACGTTGACGTTGCATTCCAATACTTGACCTTCTTCTTGGACGATGATGAGGAATTGGATGATATCGAAAGGCGATATAAGGCTGGTGAATTGTCTACCGGTGATTTGAAAAAGAGATGCATTGACGTTGTTGCCGATATGCTTGAAGAAATTCAGAATGTAAGTTCAGATGGCAAGATTGGCGCTTGGATTGACAGCTTGCTGACGTGCCCTTTGCTTTGATAAAATAGAGGAGAAAGGCAATATCTGAAGAATTGCTCAAGAACTTTATGGATGCGAATTTTACTAGGCCATTCAAAGCTCCAACTCCAGTTGCATCGTCTTCATAGAATACATTCTGTAAACTTAAAAACACCATAGTAGTAATAGACAGAATGGCCACAAAGCAAAAGCACACACAGCCGAAACTCGATTTTTTCGCTTTTATATACGCAGGTCTAGTTGGATTTGGAGGTTTATATGGGTACCTCAAAGCTGGTTCAACAACATCAGGAATTATGGGTGGCAGTTTCGGAACCTTGCTACTAGTAAGAGGCGTTTGATCATTTTTCTTTTTTCTGTTGAATAATTAGTATGCGCAACTCCTCCCTTTTGATCTAGCTAAGTGCCATCTATGTGTCTCAGAACCCATCACGAAATTGGCTTCCAATGTTTATACTCGCTGCTGTACTCTCAATTTCGTTTGCAAGCAGATTCATTCGATCAGTAAGTTAACTTCAGCATGACCTTTGAAGAAAAGTGTCAAAGTTGTACTCGAGAATATGGTTTGAATGTCCCACTGGTTTGAATGTGATATTGACTGGTGAATTGCGGAACTGTGGGCGTGATGCATGTAGCCATTACGAAACTTGAAACTATTGTCGTCTCATATCGCGGATCTGCTATCTTGTCACCCAGACTAGTCTGATTCCTTTTGCGATAGGGCAAAATCGTGCCATCTGGAGGTCTTATGGTGATATCACTTGCAATGACAATACGCTACATGATCAGACACAAGGGCTTTCAGAACTAGCTGTGTCTTCCCTCTCAACTCTCTCTGGATCTTCATATGTTGGTGGACCAACGAAAACGGCATTTTTCCTACACGTGCTTTACAGAAACTTGAGCTTGTCATAGATCTCGATTATTTATGCGTGGTATATGTTGAATGTCACCAGGAATGTCACCCTCTTTCAATAGTTCGTCGTGGTTTCACTTGTCTGTTGGGGTGCTTGATTTATTGAATCTATTAAACTGCGACATGACGTGTGAAGCTTGCACAACTGAGCTCCCAGTATCTAGGTACGCGAAATTACCCTATTTCTAACAGCTCGCACTTATAAATTGCGATTGACACATGCCAGCTCCAGGCTTTCTGCAACTTTGATCTTGCAAATATCAAACGACAGCGATGAGCGGCCTTGGAAGCGCAAGTCATGAGGTAGAAGACGAAGAAGACGACTACATGAGGTATGAGCTCAGCTTTCAAATGTCCGCCCCCAACTGCATCAAACTGATTGCAAACTATTTTTGAACATTAGCTCGTCGATACTAGAAGAAGCAACGAAAGTACCAGTCAAATCAAAGCCAAAGACATATTCTGAAAAGAGGAGAGATCAGCTATTAAAGCAGCAACTCAATCAGCCTGCACCATTACGAGTTCGTGAGCAGGAAGCTAGAAATCAGGGACTCAATAAAACGATCGATGAATCCAACAAGGGATTCCAGATGTTGGCCAAGCTTGGATATACGTGAGTATCCTGTTGTTGATATGCTGTGTGGGAGCCTTGATTGCTTTGTTGAGCGAATGGACTTGGGGTTTGAAGCATGTTGACAGACCTCTATTGTCTTTAGGAAGGGAATGAGTCTGGGAGTTGCTGACTCTTTGCTTCAGCCTGCTCGTACGGATCCGATACCAATCGTACTCAAAAATGGTATGAGTGTGTGCTTGTGTGTTAATTTTGACATTGGTCTTTACTATACATTCGGTTTTTTTTCCTACAGATCGTCTTGGTATAGGTGCACCTACTGCCAAACGCCCTGCATCATCACTAGAAGACGCAGATAATGAAGAAGGAGACAACCAAAAAACACAATCAAAAACACGCGACGAATTCCGTACTTTGAAAAACCAGGAATTCATAAACCGTCACATATCAAGTCTAGTGAAACGTGCTCGACTGTCGTGTGAGCAATTAGATGCAAAGCTTGGAAAACTCAGAAACAAGTTCTGGGTTAAAGAAAAAGTCAAGAATGATGATATAGATGGTCGAAATCCTCAAGAGTTTGATTCTATTGGTGGTGTCAAGGAGGTTTATAGTAGAGTTGCATATGAACCGGATGTGGCTACAAGTGATGATGATGAACCAGAGGAAGTAGAAGGAGTGGATGAAGATTTTGATGGTTTAGAGGTATTTCCTGTATTATAGTAGTCTATCGGCTTTTTTTGCTTATTCCATGTCTCCTTTCATTAGCCTTCTCAACAACTAGAGCAAATCATAGAATATTTGCGTGCCACACATTTTTATTGTATATTCTGTGGTGACGTGTTTGCCAATCAAGATGATTTGGCTCAAAATTGTCCAGGACCTAGTGAGGCTGAACATGAGGACATGTAAAGAAACGAAGACATAACTAGATACTCGCATGGCACTGTAATTTTATGTGTAAATAAAGCAGAAATAATCTATTCTCAACTCAACCGACTTATGAAGAAACCCCGTTCTGTCTATATTGAGATCATAATTATACAAGACGAAATTCTCTATATTCCTGATTACAGCGACAATTCAGCTTCTTCAGCGTCTCTTTTGCTTCTTGTTAGCCACACTTCGTTCGAACTTTCGAGCATCACCTTCCTGACCACCCAATTGACCCATAATTCTCTTCATTTTAGCATTATAAACTTCAGAAGCTTCCTTTTTAGCTCTGAGACTCTCAGTAGCAATGAAGGCAGCATCCTTTTTAAGTTCTCGTACTGCACCGCGGAATTCTTTACGGTGCAAGAATTCTAGTTTCTTTTTTTCTACAAAGGCACGTTCTGGATTGTAGCGACGGTCCAACGAGTATCTATTGGTTTAGGTATTTAGGAAATGTTAGATTTCAGTAACGAACGAAAACAAGAAAAGGCAAATATAGCACGACCACATGGCTTACCCTTCTTCGAATTTAGGCATGAATGTAGGAATAGCGACTGGTTTACGAGACTTGAATTTCAATGGCTCTCGAGATGCGACAGCCTTTTCAATTCCTTGTGACAGCGTAGTTGTCAACAAGAATAATGAGGACTCGAATGACGCGTTCTTGTTGAATGGTATGGAATCACTCAATGATTCAGCGAATTTATGTACAGATGAAAAGATTTCCGGATGTGCTGGATTTTCACTCCATAGCTGACTGAAAGCTGATATTAAACGTAGCGTTGTCTCGACTATTGTGACACTAGACAGGAGGTTGAGGTTAGTGGCCAAAGAAAAACTGGCACGAAACAAGACGTCGTTAAGACGATCAGTACTCACCACATCCCGTCAGGTATATCACGAGTTCGCAAATCCAAAGGTATTGATTCAGCAGTCCAATCCACATTCTCAAAGATACTAGAGTCTATGGATGCCAATTCAAACAATCCAGCTCCACTCTTTCGAGACGATACTTGTTGCAATGTACCAACAAGGAAGGGCATAACCTCTGGCAGATATCGTTTAGCTACCGATTGGAACTATATGGGCAAGACAGGAAATTTTTGTGGGGGTCAGCAAAAAATCCGAATGTTCCCCATTGAATATACTCACGTCGAGGAGCAGATTACAAAGGAACAATCCAGCTATCACATCCGCTCGTTCATTAACACGAACAAGAGATAAGAATCGACATAGTAGCAAGACCATGGGAGTGATGACAGGATGGTCGAAATCAGTAGTTGGGAAGATTAGACCGAATAATCGTATCAACAACAAGTCTTGACATGATGGCCATCCTGTATTTATGAAAAATTCGGAAGGTGTTAGTATTTCCAATTGGAACCAAGCAAAAAGAGCTCTCCAGAGAAGGATAGGCAAGTCAACTCGCCTTGACCTGTTCTACCATCCGACAAATACGACTTGAGTCCATCTTCCATTCTCGTTAATCGTCGAAGGGCATCTTCCATAGCTACAGAAGGACACAACCGAGCAAGGACTATGACATGTTGAGCCAATACATCAAAGGACTTGAATTTTAGAGGTGTTGCTTCAAGTTGGTCAAGAATGCGAAAATAAAGAGTCTAATCAGAAAGGTATGGATAAAACATGAGCCAGAAAAACACGAAAAACACGAAAAACAAATCAGAATATTGGCAGTAGTACCTCTCTGATGTTAGCTGGCTTTCCTTTACAAGCTTCTCGAAGCTGTGTCAACTGCTTTTCAAGCTTTTTAGGCTTGAATGACAGAACAAAGTCATCCAAATCAATAGAAGGCAATGATGCTACGTTTGCTTCTGATGTCATGGCGGCTTTTGCGACAATGGTTTTAGGTATTATCGGAGGTACTGCTACAGCTGAAGCAACCTCTTCCTCCTGCTCTCCTTCTATGGCTTCCTCTTCTACTTCTTGATCTTCGATCATACCATCGGCATTTTCCACATCAGCTACATCATCCACATCAACTTCAGACTCTTCGAATTCAGCCTCTTCCCCATCACCTTCCATATCTTCATCATCCTCTTCTCCAGATTCAGTTGTTGCAGAGCCATCATCCTCGTCAGAGGCATCCGATTCCAACTGATCTTCACCTACATTTATGTCGACATTCTCGTCTTCGTCGTCTTGTCGTTTACGTTTTTTCTTCATAAAGATTTCATTATTGACGAGTTTACCATCAACATACGTCAATGGCATAGCACTCATGGCTCGAATCTTTTCAGAGTCTTGTGCTGTATCGTCACCATCATCGTTGATGATCTCGTCGTCATTCATGGTATAATCTAAGTCTAAATCGTCGGCTTGTGTTTCACGGCGTATGGGTATGCCTCCATCTGGTTTCATTCGTCGTACACGATCAGCCTTATTGGTTGAAAGAAAAACGGAGGCAGGAAAGTGTCAGCGCACAAAAAGGAGATAATGGTAGCTGCAGAAGTTGACCTCACCTCTAATTCTAACATTTTACGGTCATGAGCTATTTTAATTTCTTCAGAGCTCTTTATACGATCTGATGGAGTAGCGCGACTCTCAAATACAAGTGACTTGACTACTTGATCATAATCGTCAGATGCCTGTTTTTGTTTTTCAGATTCCTATTGTGGGAGAATAGTCAGCAAAAAAAGGGCATCAAATTAAATCAAGCCAAGACATTTCTAAATCTTGCCCGTAGATGATTCTTTTGAGGTCCTAATAAAGCACGAATATCATCTAGCTCGGCATCGACCTGATCCATTAAATCTATATCATCCTCATGTTCCTTTTGTCTCAGAGCCTAGCATGCGAAAAAGGAAATTACATTCAGCGAATCATTACAATCAGCAGTCACTTCAAATAATACCTTGTGGTGCTTGCTTTTGGCAATGACTTCCTTCATTACATCTGACTTGGATAGACGGGCATCTTTTTCCTGTAACGAAAACAAAAGAATCAGACCCAAAGTTTATCCGAATCGAACTCTATTCAGCGAGACAAACCTTGTCAAATCCACCAAAATGAAAGTCCTTGACAAACTTCTTATCGACCTGACCATCGTCTATGAAATAAGTATAATGGCTATTGAGCAAGGGGCACCTTTTGAAGCTGGAAGCCTATACATATAAAAAGTTTGGCTGCGGCTTTTACCATCAGAGTCAACACGTTCAAAACCACCATTCAGATCCTCCAGATCATCGAGTGACTGACCAAGATGTGTCAAGTTCTCTTCTTCGAGATTGAAGAGCGAGCTCTTTTCATTTCGTTGCTAAGTAGAAAAGGGGGAGTGAGATACGAAGCAACCGTCTGTTTATGTCCTAGCTTACATACCTGTTTTTTTGCAGTCTTGGTCACCTTATCTTGCAATGTCATATGAGCATCGAACTCTCCAAATCGATTATCTATGAATGCTGTATCCTTTTTACGAGACTTGAGTTCTTGACCCAACGTCTTCCTTCTCTACAATTGTGAAATTGGAGTGAGGCCAAGTTTCTCGTTTGCGATCACAGCAATTTGCGTACCACTTCACCAGCCTTTTTAGCAAATGCCGCTGGTCTTCCAACAGAACCAGTGACATGCCTGTTCAAGACGTGATGTTTTGCCTTGTTGACCTGAAGCTCAAACAAGTTGGGGAACGATGGTTGATGGCCTGTTGGAGCAGCATCAGTTGGTAGTGGTCTCCGTTTGTTTTTGCCTTTGCTTCCAAGATTATATTGACTTGTAACAGTCTTTTTATAATCCTTTAGTCTATTGATTGTCAGGAATTCACTGTCAGCTTTTGTGTGTTTGAAAAAAAAAAGAATTCGTATATGACGATCGCTCATATAAAAGAGTAGGAAGGTAACCACTGAAATGTTTGTGCTTACTTCTTTAAGGCAGACGGGCCTCTTTTGGTTGACGGCATGGCAACTCAACGAGATCAAGTGCTGTCTGCTTGAAAGTTTGGAAGGAGCGAGTAAGTCACAAGTATCCAAAACACGTCTTTTGGATATATGCAGCAGCAAAACGACAGAGGCAAGTGCACTTAAAAACCTGATCCCGTATCATTCGGGGCCTGTTCGCGTCTTTGAAGGAAAGAAGACGCAGCTGGACCTGAAATATGGCAATTTATCGCCTTTTGGGACAGTACAGTGGTAGTTTTCGTGTTTAACGCGTCGCTAAGAAGTTCCAAGTGAGCGGTCACGTCTTTCTATGCTTCTCTATATGTCACGACTAATGCTCGCTCTCCCTTCCTCCACATCCCCAAATCATCGAAACTATCAGGACATTCAAGCTCTTAGGACACTCAAGCTCACTTACATAATACATAGACATATAGCCATGGCCAGCAACAACGCAGTAATAAATACAGATGGTGATATACCCACTCCAACCCTAAGCAACATCTTGGAACAAAAGACATTAAAGTGGATTTTCGTCGGAGGAAAGGGTGGTGTAGGCAAGACAACATCCTCATGCTCCCTCGCTGTACAATTATCCAAAGTCCGCGACTCGGTACTACTCATATCCACTGATCCAGCTCATAATCTATCGGATGCATTTGGCCAAAAATTCACAAAATCACCTACTCTCGTCAATGGTTTCAGCAATCTGTTTGCAATGGTAGGTTACAATCAATCTTGTCTGCTATTTACTGTAATATTTATATGTTGCTTGAGGAGGCGTGGTTGTTGAAGGACTCCTGGTTGACAATCCAGATGCTACGTGGCCTAAACGTGTTGACAAACCTCGAATCATCTTTCTAGGAAATTGATCCTACTGGAAGTCTGCAGGAAATGCTAGAGAACTGTACGTCTCATTGAATTGAATGACACCGCATTCTTCGACCTCGAATTCTGACCCATCTGTCTCTCCTTCTCATTCCAGCTCCAGATGCATCTGGTCTGCAAGCAAGCATGCAAGATATTGCGTTTGCTATACCTGGAGTCGATGAAGCCATGAGCTTTGCTGAAGTCATGAAGTAAGCAAATCGAGCCAAAGCATAGGTTTATTTTGTTTTGGGTCGCGCACCCTTACCCTTCTCATCCTCTCTTTAGACTCGTGAAATCAATGGACTACTCGTGTATTGTATTCGATACAGCACCTACAGGCCATACATTACGGTTCTTGTCTTTTCCAACGGTTTTGGAAAAGGCATTGTCAAAACTATCTCAATTCAGTGGTCGTTTTGGACCCATGATTCAACAAGTAAGTTATGAATACCGTGCCTTCTATGTAAATTCCGCTTATACGTTGGAAATTGAGTGGTTGTCGCTATGCTGGTCATGACTGCTGTGAATTGACTTGAACCAACATTTTTTAGATGAGTGGTATGATGGGTGTCAATGCAAACCAGGAAGACATGTTTGCCAAACTAGAAGGAATGAGGAGTATTATTAATGAGGTCAATACTCAATTTCAAGATCCAGTAAGTATTACAAAAGTTTGATTTGAACACCACCAAAAACGCATGGACATTACCTTCCACAATTGAAGCAAGCTTCTAACACCTCCATCATTTAGGACATGACAACCTTTATCTGTGTATGCATTGCTGAATTCCTGTCCTTGTACGAAACGGAACGAATGATTCAAGAATTGACATCATTCCATATTGATACACATAACATTGTGGTCAATCAACTGTTATGGCCAAAGAAAGGTAACTTGAATCATTTGGAGAAGCTCAAAACTGCTTCACGTCATTGCCTTTTTTTGTTGCTGAAGCCTTCTTTTGCACAGATTCAACCTGTGAGCAATGCAACGTTAGGCATAAGGTCAGTCAATTCTGACCATCACTGCCTATTATCTCATTTGGTATACTCACATCCTGTGTTTGTTTGAATGTTTAGATGCAACAAAAGTACCTGGACCAAATCAATGACTTGTAAGTGTTTCTGCACGCATCCTCCTCTATACCAGTTTTCTTCGCCACATCAAACTGACGCTCACATCATACCAGGTATGAAGACTTCCACGTTATAAAACTACCGCTCTTGACGAATGAAATTCGTGGAGTTGATTCCATCAAGACCTTCAGCAACTTTCTCATTCAACCATACGTTCCAGCACAGTAGACCATTTGTAAAGCTGGTGAAAGTGGCGTTTAAATATAAAAAATGGTTTAGTCTCGTCGCATTCAAACTCAAAGGTGTATCTCGTTGTTGGTAAATACAGGTATTAATTGAATATCTTTGCGAGATGGTACCGAATGGGTCTTTGTTGAGTTTCGACTGTCTACTACGGTGTTGGAGACAGCATGCGTCGATGAATGGATGCGAGGTAGAGTGTGCTGTGCCTTTTTGCCTACCACAGATCTGCAAAGAAAAATGGTGTTAAAGCGACTCCCTGACATAGCTAGTCAAAAATATTGGATGTTACAGTTCCGTTAGAGGTTAGGTCGCAAGAAAAAATGGCGGCTTTCTTGGGAATCGAACGAAGCAGAAAAGAAACGGGAAGGAGGTCCCTGCTTCCAATTTTTTAATGTTTTTGTAAGGACTGTCTAGGGTAGTAATATAGTCAACGACCCTGACCGTGGTCTTTGGTGAAGGTAGTTCGCTTGAAGCTGACTGATTCCTTAAGCGACATTGAAGCTGTTGCAGAACTCTATTTTTTCCATCTATTGTCACTGAGGTTAACGGACGGCCATCGAGAAGCAGCCTTTTAAATAGACTCTGAGGAGAGGTCCCTCGAAAAGTACTAGAAAACCCATAAAAATGAATTTAAACTAACCATGCAAATGAAATACCACGGAGAAGGCAACAAGAATGAGACAGTTGGAAATCATTGGTAATTATTACAACCATTCATGCCGAGAGTCCTCTTTTAATCTCTTCAGTTTTATGTACTTGTGTCGGGGCCAACGCCATTTGCTGCCTGTTGCATGATCCTCCAATCCCCTTTCCATTATCCATTCCAGATGTATTTACAGGGCAATGACTCTACTGAGCTTTTGTATGCGATTGAGCAATAAATCTCCCTGTTTGATTGCAGATTGATATTGAGCATTCTTGGCATCAGGACGATTGGTTTCAACAATACCAGTCACTTTGTCAATGACCGCATTCAATCGTCCTGAAGCAATGAATGATGAGAGGTGGCTAGATTAAAGAATTGTAAACCACATTAGAAAATGAGCGAATAAAACTAATATGGCAACGACAATAAAGGCCTTAAAATTTGAATCAATGTTTTGAGGTGGCACTTACTGATCAATGCAATCTTCAGATACTCCGAAATGATCAGCAACAGATGATATAGTGACTGATCTGTATGATTCCAAGAGCTGAGAGTACGCAATGATTTGCATTTCACGGACATAGTATTGATAGTGATCAAAAGTCCATCGATCCATTTTCAAATCTTGCTCAATAGCAGCTAAAGATTGTGAGTAAAGAAGAGTATATCAGATTGCATGTAATTCGCTTTCATCAAGGAAGAGATATTTGACAGAGACTCCAGCATATGCATATATCCATTAATGTGTAAATAACTTTTTTGGCACCTACCCAAACATTTGAAAAACACATCATATTCACCCTTGTAGAGTGAATTGACGTAATCCTGCAAGTGAGGAATTTCGTGTATTACTTCCAATACTTCAGGAGCGTTGATGACCTATTTGTGGTTTGGTGGATGTTAATGCTATCTTCAAATTGCTATGACAGAGCAGAAAATGAGGCAACAAAAAGCTAGTTCTTGTAGGAGATGGATCTCATTTTGTACCTTCTTCTTGAGTTCAGGTCTTGGTAGAGTAATAGTAGCAGTCAAGACTGTATACTTTACGAAATCCTTGTACTCCATCAATTCAGTGGATGTGAAGGTAGCCAATGAATCCAACAAGAGGTTTACAGCACCCTTGAAATCTCGAACAGACATTCTATGTATTCCTTCGTAGACTTTCAGTCTGTTTCGACGATCCCAGTCTCCGCCTTCTTCAATCAGACTATGAGGTAACAATTGTTATCGCGTCGAGCAAAAAAAAAGGGTTTTCAAACCTGGGATATACTAGCTTCTATCGAAGGCCTACCTCTTGACTTTCTCAATATTACGAGTAATAAGATCCGTATCATTGTAAAAGAAGCCTATTCTAATCTGAGTAAAGACCATATCGATACGAGCACCTAGAGGACCAGTCTTGTCGTATGCAGCTCTGTATGCTGTTAATGCTCGTTCCTGTGTATCAAAGAAAAGGTGCTTGAGCAAATTTCTCCAAGGACGAAAAAAACCAGGAACCGTTTGGAGTGCATGTGGTCAACAAACCCACACATCATTACAATACCTTGTCACCGATTTTAGTTAGAAATTCAGCTTTAGCGATCAAAGCATCACTGATTTCAGTTTCTCCTAGATTCTTTGAAGCATCATCTAATCGTTCTTCCAGTTTGGCCAATTCAGTGTCATTGGCAGTTTGCATTTTCGTGAGGAGATCGTTGTTTTTGGGTAGTTGAGTGTGGAATTGTTCAGTCAGTGATTGATATAGATGTGACATGTCTAGTACATAATAAATAAAGTATGTTAGGTCATCCTTTGGTATTGTGGAGGCCCTTAAGATTGAGACAAATCGGGAGGTGACGCGTTTCAACAAAATGTCAGTTTAATGCAGGAGCCACGTACTGGCTTCTTTGATGGAAGCGTCTAATAAATTCCTTGCATGATCTTTTAATTCGGTAGAGGCAGCTGGATGAGCCCATATGAATCGAGCTAGAAGAAGGCCAATGTGTTAATATTGGAATGTTTGGAATTTACGATTGCTGTTTAGGCAAGAGATGTGAATGGTAGATGGGCTACCTTGGGCTAGTTGAAGATTCGGTATTTTTGCTATGCTCTCCATTATTGATGCCTGTTCTGCCTTATTCTCTCATCAAAGATTGTGAAAAGTGGAACGTTAAGCAAGACGTATAAATTCCTCATTCACAACCAATTTTTTTGGCGTTTCGAGCCTTTAGCATCTACATTACCATTATTACGGATTACGGTTTAATTCGTCTTTGCATTCGTTCTTGAAGTCGCTATAGTAACGCGTCAACAACAACACAGGAAGCTCTAATGATCAACACTATATTCAATCTATGTACAATCAATTTACAATGTCCTCTTACGCCTAAATCATACATATATACATCTAGGCTGCTTCAGGAGGTCTATGGGATTGAGGAGGCACCGTGATCTTCTATAAACGCTCAGGATTGATTGGCATCACAATGGTTTTTTGGGGCCAATACGCAAATCGCTCCACTTACATACTTTTTTCATTGTTGGTACCGGTGCACGAGATAGGACCTTCCTGGCTACAACGGGCGTCGTTTTAGATGGTGTTTTCTGAATGAATAGTTGAGTGTAAGCTTTCTAGAGGTTTATTCTTGACAAGAGAATGATGAGCAAACTCACCTCGGCATCTCTAGCAGGAGCAATAGCTGCCACTACTTTGGGTTTACTTGTTGATAGCCGCGGAGATGGAAGAGGTGGTGGTTGCTAGAGAGGATGGGGGGTTTCTATCCTCACTCTCTTGGAAATCGAGAACAGGCGACAAAAAGAGCAATATCGTCACATGTGATACCTTGTCAGCCAGGTTAGCACGAGACACCTTCGTACTCCTTAGATCCGTCTTGCTTCGGCCTCTACAATGTGCGATAGCTTTAATGAGATTGCTAAACCAGCAAGAAATCAGACAAATGCAGTGTCCAGAATAGCAACAACATACAAGAATGCCATGGATTCCCCAGTAAGTGGTGGAGCCGGCACAATGTTCTTCTCTGGCATTTCAATGACGGGCAATGCACCTCTTGCCCAAGAGTCAATTCTGACTGGTTGAGGTTCTAAAGAGTTAATAGTGGCGTTGAGCATGCAGGGTCCATTAGGAGTTCGTTTGTTTCTTCCACATCGACGTCACAGACAGGATTCAGACTACTTTGTACCTGGATCTGGATCCCAAGTAGATAGATCCGTCTCTCCAGGATCCATTTTGAAGAATTCCCACTGGATTAACGATTTAATCAGTTATTGATTTGTACATTCCCTACAGATTGCAACACTGATCAAATCAATAATCCACAACCGCACCCCACATACCTGTATTGATTTAAGCATTGATTCCCTCGCATATTGTATAGCATAGGGAAGGACTTGTCTGTCTATATGTTTTTGGAAGATGACATCCTGTGATTTTTGTAGAATGTCTGCCACGAGTTTGGTGCATAATAGCGTTCCTTGCTGTCGTTCTATAGCGGTAAACCAATCGGCTCGTAATTGTTGAGCATTCGCGGATGCTTGTTGTCCCTGCTGTTGAGAAGCACTAGCCGCACTCATAGACATCCTTCACCTTATTGCACTAACTTGTCAGAATCATTTTTTGCTCTCATTGAGAATAGGTATATTCACGTACAGTAAAGTAGCTAAAAACGCGTAAATCTATATCAGTTATTGCATTCCAACTCTCGTATATCATCGTCCATGCCTATAAGCTATAACTCTCGTCGGTCTACTCCAACATAGAACATCTCACATCTCGAGAGACGAATAGGACTAGATAATGTTTAGAAAGACATTATCAGATAACAAAGATGACGGATCTAGAGCTGACTCCATAAAAGGTAGGTTAGATCAAGTGCTGTCATTGAATTACATTGTGACTGAAGTTGAAGCTCACTCAACATCTTCCCTTTCTATAACATAGTCGATCTAAAGAGAAAAGCACCTCCGGATCTGAATAATAATGAATCTGAGAACACCCTCATCAAGGAACACTACTCTGGACTGCGCCTAAAGTGAGCACTCCCCTCCAATGGAGTCGAATGTGCCAGCTCACTCTGAACACGAATACTCATCTCTATACTCATGCATCAGGAATCAACTAGTAACACCTTCCCAACTCGCATCTCACATGAACTCTCGCCGATACATTCAACTTGCGAAAATCAAATCAAGCATTGACAAACACGAAGGCGATATCATCGGAGATTGGGTCACTATAGCCCTAATAGCTGAGAAATCATCGCCGCGAACAGCCTCAAATGGGAAAAAGTACTGTGTCATGAAGATGACGGATTTGACGCCATTCGATGCTAGTCGCTTGGGTACAATCACTGTCTTCTTGTTTGAAAAGTCATTTGAACGACACTGGAAGGAAGTTGTTGGATCTGTTGTTGCTTTGCTGAATCCTAAACTTGTGCCGCCTAATGATGTATGTTGACTTGGGGATTTTGGTTGTGTTATTGGAACGCATTTTTCTGCGCACACGAAAAAAATGACCACTATGCGCTTTGGATCAACTCACTCCATAGCTCTCTCTGTCTTCTCTACCTATAGACGAATCATAGCTACGCTTTAGAGATAGACCATCCCGACAAGTTTCTCAAGATTGGAATGTCAATGGACTTTGCATTGTGTAGGCATGAGACCTGTAAAGGTATCATCAACAAGTACGTAACTGGAATGGCAGGGGAAAAGAACGATTTCCACATGAAAAGTCTCAGCTTCATTCACTCGCACGTAGGGAGGCTGGCGAATACTGTGAATTTCATGCTATAAAGGCTTACAAGAAGTCAAAGCTACATAGAGCCGAGTTTGCTGCCGCAACTAGGTAACTTGGTCTTCCTGTTCTCCCTTTCCTTGGTTGGTCAACAAACTCCTCATGGGCATACACTGACACAGTTTCTTCTCCAAACAGCAACTTTATTATTGGAGACCCAACTCAAAAAGCCAAAAAGAAAGCAAGCAAAGAAGCATCATATGCCTTCCAAAACACGACAGTCTTTGTTGGAGCCAAGATTGAAGATGAATCCGAGAGACTGGATTCTGGAATGGCTAAATTCAAGGCCAAATATGCTTCATCTAATGGTGAAGAGTCCAAGGAAGCATTGTAAGTTAGGTTTGTTAGTATGCCATTATGAGAGAATGTTTGTCATATTTTTTTTGTTGTGGGGTGTAGAGATCATTTGATGGCACAGCCAACCGCTGGAGCTAAACATCTAAGAATTGCAAGGAATGAAACAGGTATGGTGATTGAAAAATTGCAGACGTGTTGGATTTGGCTGTTGACGTCGAACCCTACAAAAGAGCTTACACTCAATTGGTATGCTATGTAGCTCGAGTGAAACGGCCACAAAATCTATTCACTCCTGAACAGCTTCAGAAGATGGGGTATCTACCTACTGGATCAAGGCAGAAACAGGACAAGAAGAATCTTGTTGAGAAGGGTGATGATGCGGCAGAAGAGAAGGTGGAGGGGCAAGTGGAGGGGCAAGTTGATTATATTGAGTTGACTGATGAGGACTCTGATGGGTGATAAGTCGTCACGTACCTTGTCTGGCGCAGCATCAAGTTGAAGGACAAACACGTTGTTGAAATCATTGTAAAGTATGGATCTCGCATTTATTTGCATTAAATTTGTATGTAAATTTAGACGCTGGTTGCATCGTGATTTTTCAGAGCTCAGAGTTGTGTGGTGTTGTCCTACCATGTAGAACCTGTTGTTAATGAGGTTGTGTCGCGTTAGAACTTTGAAGCATACCGAAATACACATAAAACTATCAGAAATGGAATCTTTTCTCGCATTCTCTTCTCCCTTCCTCGTGGGGGCTTGATTTCAAATCAAGCTTCACATCTTCAAAAAACACACACAACATTTCTTAACATTCAAACAACGCAAGCAACTACGTAGTTATCCAAACGATGGCGGCAGTAATGATGCAACCACCTCAACAGCAGCACCATCATCCAAACCAACACCGCCTATTATTCGAAGATCTAGTCTTTCCCGAAGCCCAAGACATTCATTTCGAATTTGAAGATTTTTTACAAACAGACTTGAATTTGACCCTTACACATGACAAGGCTGGAGCTCTAGCTGCTCGTCAACTACGTCTATCTCGTGGTAAATCCGTAGTATGTAAACATTGGTTGCGTGGATTGTGTAAAAAGGGCGATTTGTGCGAGTTTTTGTAAGTGCCATGTTCTACGTTGTTTTCAATCTATTCATACGTATTTGCAATCTGTTACATCCATATACTAATACACACTTTAATATCCAGACACGAATTCAATCTTAAAAAAATGCCAGAATGCTGGTTCTTTCAACGACTCGGTGAATGCACAAACCCAGAATGCCAATACCTTCATATCGATCCAGCTACCAAAATGAAGGAATGCACGTGGTATTCTCGTGGATTTTGTATACATGGGCCACAGTGTCGTGGTAAACATGTCAGGAAGGGTGTGTGTCAGAATTATTTGACTGGATTTTGTCCCAAGGGCCCTGAATGTCCTTTTGGCCAGTAAGTGTCTTTATAATTCTATTATGGTGGTTACTTAGATGTGTGGTGGTTGTGATGGATTGTCGAAAAGTCAACCATCTGATGGCGCTGTTCGTTTTTTGTCCCTCCAAATATATCTACCTAGCTTACTAACAATTTTCCTTTATCATCATCATAGCCCCAAATTCGAAGTCCACACTCTAAACGCAGTCCTAGCACCAGGTGAAATCCAACCCCAAATACGTCAACACAGGTCTTTAGACGACGTGGTATGTTTCAAGTGTGGAGAAAAAGGCCACTATGCAAACACGTGTAGATTAAGTGCTACGGCTATGAGAGGTGGCAGTAATGAACGTGGTGGTGGGTTTGGAGGTGGTCGTGGACGTGGTCGCGGAGGAGAGCACTCACCCTCACCTTATGGTGGTATGGATAATATTTCTAGGCCTATACCAACCTTCACTTCTTAAACGAGAATTGGGTGCCATATAACTAATCTGTTCCTCATATAAGCAGCGCATTTTGCTCGTACCTTTGCAAATAACAATAAACCTTTTGTACATAACTCTTTAAATATATACAAGCTAGAAATATATATTCATTATTCAATTATCTGTACAAGAACAAAGATACTCAACGTTTTCTAGTACTATGGGTATCGCTTTGGGTTTACTACGTTTCGTTCCTTGTCGTATTTTTACACCATCTTGATTCCATTCAACAGTCCATCCTTTTCACCTTCACCCTGTCTCTCATTCAACTCATACAAATGAGAAATCCGACTACCAGGCTCAGGCCCCTTCCAAAACCCAATACAGTTTTTTAAGACACCCTTATCGAAGGGATTGAACATTCGCTTCATGTACAGCGGTTTGAGTACATCTTCAGGGTGAACAAGGTAATCATATCGATGCCAGTTAGCAGTTTCGTTCGTTGTCTTTGCTACAGACACTTGATATGATTGGACCATGAAGAGTATGATTGTCCATAGCGAGTTGAGGATGCACCACCAGACATTCCACATTGTCCATGCATCATATGTCATCCATGTACAGAGTGTTCCACACTCAGCCGTCACGAGAGATTCTGTTACGGCCGAAACATCTGCAAAGGGAACTCATGTCAGCGACAAAACAAAAAAAGCCAGCCGTCCGAGACTGCCAATTGCTTACAGCTCAAACCAATATATGCAAAAGTCACTGCAGAGATGAAGAATAGCACTAGGAATTGCATAAAGTATCTATGGTTCTTGACTCCAACTAAAGTGGGCAACGATTTATCAAAGTCAGTTTCGAGTTAAAAGCAGTTGAATAATGGATAGTTCAAACTTACTGCAATCTATCAAAACATTACGTAGGGTAATCGAAAATCAATTTAGACAAAGAATCAACAACATAATATCTTGTTTCCAATACTCACTATTTGTCCATGGACAATGACTAAGGTCGAGAAAGAAATGAGTTAGAACGAGCAACAAAAAATGAACGCATGGAAACATCAATGCTTACTGGTCAAACTGTGCAACACATTTATCGCAATGCTTGCAATGCTTTGATCGTAATGGCTTTCGGATCTAAGATAACCAAAAAAAGGAATAATGACATTTTGGACGGATTGAGAAGTGGAGGAAATTCTTCCCGCGAGATATCATTCCAAAACGTTGCATTTACTTACGCAACAAACAACACAATAATGACGATGATCCAACAATCCGCTCTCCGCAAGTGTTATAACCAACTATAAGATTGCTTTTGTGTTAGAGAAAAAACTCCTCGAATACTCAATAAAATTCGATCTAAAACACACCTTCTTCTTGTCTTCTTCAGATCCAGTGTACTCGATATATCCAGGATCAGTGAAAATAGCCATGTAGAATGTATACATCATGCACGTGAAGAGACATAGGAAAGCAATATGATAGAAGGTCAAGAAGCCCGAATCTAGCAGAATGAGAAAAAACGGTGAAGTCAAACGCTCGGATATCGACGGATATCGACACACCCTACGAGATTCGTCTTTGACTTACAAGGTAGTACTCGAAATATCCAAGTAAAGCCAACAATCCAAGAGCTCGCTTGTGGTATGGCCGTTAAGAAGGGAGTCCCAATCAAGTCAGCATCGCGTCCGATAAGTCCATTCGTCACCACTTGATGAAAGACCAACAAGGCGAAAGCGAATGATGCAGGGAAGGCGATGTACCATGAGTAATAAGACAGAATGCCCATAATTATAGGTTGTGCAATAAACGGAACCAGATATAACATAGTGTTTACACGATCCTAGCATCCAAAATATTGTGGGTTTTCAGCCGGGAAGTCAGTAAATCGTCATATCTTAAGTCTTTTGAAAGCCTACCTTGTCTAGCATTTTAAATTGACTGGCAAGCCAACCTGTCTGTCTAGACCGAGTTACAAGAGTCTTCCATTCTTTTTCCATGTTACGTTCTTTGGCCCAATCACCAGGAGTTTGCCCCTTTGGATCAGGTATGTCTGTTCTGGCTCCAGCGACAAGTAGTCTGCGAGCGAATGCCATCTTTTGTGCTACGACCTAGAAGACAGCAGAGTTAGTGGAGAGCGGAGAATCCTTTTTTTTTAGCTCAATCAAAACTCTCTGCCTTCACTTTCAAGGAAGGCCCCGTCGTTCTACAAGTTTTTTTTGCAGACTTACAGCCCAATGCAATGGCGTAAACCCAGTAGAGTCCGCTTTATCCAACGAAGCCTTGTATCGAATCAAGACCTCCAAACAATCTAGCGATTTGCCTTGGTAGCAGACCCAGACTAGGCCAGACCGCCCATGCTGATCCGAAGAGTCCACGTCCATTCCAATAGATATGAGGAAGACCATCATCATTGGATGAGCTTCGTGGGCGGCGAGGTGCAGAGCATTGTAACCTTGATTGTCGTATTTTGTTGGGTCGGCACCCTTCTTCCACAGGAATGTGACCATTTGTACGTGGCCTGTACGGGCAGCCCAGTGTAGAGGTGTTGCTTGTAAGTCGCCTATAATGGTTTGTCAAGTTACTTGCAACGCTCGTTCAAACTTTGTCAATGGAATTACCGCCAGGAGCATCCACTATGGCTCCCTGATCAACAAGATACTTTGCAGCAATCAATTGATTGTTCTGATCAGTGAAGTAGAGATTGTTAGGTGGGAAGAATCATGAACAAGGACTTTTTACACCAACACACTATGGCAGCCCAATGTAGAGCAGTACACTTTTCAGCATCCAGATCCGTAGCTTTGGCTAGACCTTGTTCAATCAACTGTGCGATTCGATCAGTGGCTCCTCTCTGCGCGGCCTGAAAGAGGTTCAACTCTGAATTTGGTTTTGATGACAATGTTAGTTGCCAACACTCCAACCTGTAAGACATACAGCAGGTAGTTACCATCTACGGGCACGACAGGAACGACAGAAGGAGCAGCTGGGTCTGTAGGAGGAGGAGAGGGGGAGCCATGACCATGACTGTGATTGTGACCATCGTGATGTGAATGACCATGATGTTTATGGGAGTGGGAGTGCGAACTGTGGTCGTGCATGGGTATTTCATTCATGACCTCACTTGGATCTAGGGCTCGGAGCATCCTCCTTTACGAGAAACTATGTTTCGCACACGTTCGTAATGTTTTTGTCGGAATTGGCAGCAAACGGAGACACACAGTAAGGACAATAACAAGAAGGACTCGATTACAGGCTAGTTACGCGAATTTTGAACTCGTTTTCCTTCTTGGTTGTTTGATAAACAAGATGCTGGCAGATTTACAGCGCGCAGATCACAACGATACTAATGTCTCTCGCAAAACACGTACGAGAATAGGACTAGATGTAGTGTTTGTAAATTTTACACGTCCATGGAGCAACTCCGGTAGTACCGTGCTCCATTTTTTCCCTTTTGGTGTGGTGTGGTAAACTTGCCATTGTGTCTTTCTTTCGATTCAACGCAACACTGTTCGCCCCAACACCACCGAATAGAGAGGCCTGACTGCCATGGCTGCTTAATATTCCTGGTCATAGCCTGGATTTAATAATAGTCCTACCACTACTCTGACTGTCTCCCAGTTTCTGTTGATCTACATTTACAAGATGCCCGAAGAATCTGAACTGTGGATTGAGATATGCAAAAACCTGTATGCTCTCGATTCTCTCCGGCTAGTATCAGACCAGACCATCATTAAAATCAACAAGGCCCACCAGAAACTCACCTCGAGAGAATTGGGTACGCATTGTCTCGTAGCGACCATCACATCAATGTGTACTAACTACCCTCGTATACAGAGACTCTCAATTCAAAGAATGCTACAAAGCTCCTAGAGTTGTACAAGGAGGCCGAAGATCAGGCTGTATTGGAAAAAAAGTAATCATCCCATACTTCAACATGTCGAATCACATGTGCTAATTGCATATACCACTCGGTCAATTTCATTTAGAAAATCGCAAGAATTGGTAGATCAATTAGCTGCCCTGGTGTCTTTGCGAGAAGCCTCTGAAACAAGTATGCGTACCCTCGACCGCCGTGTCTTCTGGTCTCTACATCCTCACATCTACTTTTAAATAGGCGATTCAAAGAAACTGAAGCGCAAAGTCGACGATATTAAAGGCAAATCTGGTGGTCCAGTGCAGAAAAAGGCAAAGTCGTAAGTTTGGGGCGGTATTTGTTACAGAACTTTGAAGGTCCCCAATCTCACATAATCAATACTATCTAGTGAAGCCTCCACACCAAATGCTGTTCCTGTTGGAGGACTGAATCCTGGTGACAAGGTGAGTTCACTGCATTTCTTCGCCAAAAGATGATAACGCCTCCTCTCTTAACAATCTTTTTTTGGCTGAATAGGTCGCTGTTAAACCTCAAGGCCATGATTCTTGGATTTTAGCAGAGCTGATAAAATGGGACACTGAAAAGAACAAGTACGTTATTACATGTACTGCGTTGCAACAAACACACGATCTGACACAATCACGTTAGGTGGGAAATTGAAGATGTGGAGGCTGATGAGGACACTGAAGTGAAAAAGTATAGGGAGCATAATCGTCTTGGTTTGTTTTCCTCATTACTTACCGGTTTCTCAATTTTTCAAACAGGCACTACTACTTCCACCCAAAACGCTTCATACCAATCCCAAAAGACGTTTCGAAAAAGCCGGAATTCCAACTGGGTCAACAAGTTTTGGCATTGTATCCTGGTACCTCGTGTTTTTACTCTGCATCAGTCATGATACCTCCCTCACGAGTAAGAGCGTCTATCACATTCGAGGCTTTTTCTGCCATGACAAACTGATACCAACATTCTTCATTTCACCAAACAACAGAACAGGGATGGCAGCTCGTTTGCTGGCTCATACGTTTTGAAGTTTGAAGATGATGACGGATACGAACGTTTTGTTGATCCTTCTATGGTATTGGACTTACCAACCATGAAGAAGTAGGAACATTTTTGACCTCTTGTATAAATACTCCCACATTTGTCATAAACTTTAAACAAATAAGACTTTTGAGCTTGATTTCGAATGATGTTGTGAATCGCCTGAAAGTAGCGATTTCAAGTGAATCATCACCAAAACTTTTGGAAGCGTGCTAAGCGAACAGAGTCGATATTGACGTGACGATTCAGATACCGAGCGAGATCTTTTCACGCAAAGGTAAGTGAAATTGAGCAGATCTCTTTCCAAACTTGGCAAAAGTTGTCATCGAGCGAGTTTGACATGGCATTTTTGGTTTTTGATCGTTTCAACATCTTACAACCACCCAAGTCTCATCGCAATCAACTTATGAACACCAGAACTATTCAAATCGTTGCTTTCGTCACCTAGAACACGCACATGGAGATTCCATCAACACATTGGACTCCGACATCTTGGAAATCAAAAGACGTCCACCAAGACGTTCTATATCAAGCATCTGATGCTCCACGAGTAGAGAAGGTGCTTGATCAGATCTCCCATCTCCCACCTATCGTGGTTCGCGAAGAAATTGGTCGACTTCGAAACTTGTTGGCTGAAGTCAGTGATGGGAAACGCTTCTTGCTTCAAGGAGGTGACTGTGCTGAATTGTTTGCTTATTGTGACTCGAATATCATTGAGAGGAAGTTGCGGTATGTGTGTGTGGTGTGGTTTTTGGTAGCTAAAGTGCCTCTATTTGATACCTGCGTTGGCGTTTTTCGCTCAGTGTCTTGTTACAAATGTCTCTGATTCTGGTCTGGGGAGGTCGAACTCCTGTCGTCCGAATTGGTACGTTGAACTCCACGTTATTGCCATTGGTCAAGTATCCGAATACCAACACGAAGACAAACCCACAGGACGTATCGCAGGTCAATACGCAAAACCAAGATCGAAACCAACTGAAATCGTTAATGGAAAGGAACACATCGCATGGAGAGGTGATAACGTGAATGGAGTGGATCTAGACGAACGCAATCCAGATCCAGAAAGACTTTTACAAGCCTATTTCCACTCTGCCGCTACAACAAACTATATCCGAGCCTTATGCGTGAATGGATTTGCTGATTTAAATCATCAGCAGTCGTTTAATCTGGGGTTTGTCAAGAATGAGCATCTTAAGAAGGAGTATTCTAAAGTCGTGAGCACCCCAAGATAGAGATTTGTCTTTTTTGGGGCTCGGTCGGACAAATTGCTCATGTCCCTTCGTGTTTATAGGTGGATCACATGAACGATTCGTTGCACTTTATGAAAACGATTGGAACGGAATCTGCAGAATCTAAAACAGGTCAGATACAAGCATTTTGTTTAAAGTGCCCGTCTTAGGTAGTTCTGAATTGTGTTCTATTCATCCAGTGGACTTTTTTACGTCACATGAAGGCCTTATGCTGGATTATGAGTCAGTTCTCACTCGAGAATATAACCAACAACATTATAATGTTGGAGCGCGTAAGTTTTGTCGTTGTTTATTCTTGAATTTGTGATGCAGCCATGAAAACCTCCTTTTTGGGTGCATGTGCATTCCATTAGATTTTCTCTGGATTGGTGACAGAACACGACAACTGACTGGTGCGCATGTTGAGTATTTCAGAGGCATACACAATCCAATCGGTGTCAAAGTTGGACCATCTATGAAACCACATGAGCTTGTCGAACTGCTTGATATACTGGATTCGAATTTCGAGAAAGGTCCAGGCGCAGTATAGTAACGACAATGCTTCTGCAAGTTAGGTAACGAAATATTCCCCCACAGGCAAAATCACACTCATAACACGATATGGTGTTGATAAAATTAGTGATTACTTGCCATTGCATATTGAAGCTGTGAAGCAAACCAAACATCAGGTCGTCTGGTGCTGTGACCCGATGCATGGAAACACAGAGCAGTCTGGAAAGTTCAAGACTCGACACTTTCACAAAATACAAGGAGTGAGTAATCTGGTCTTTGTATTAAGCACGCTATAAAACGGTTAACCATGGCTTTTTTTCGTGATCAGGAACTATCAAAGGCCTTTGTAATCCACAAACAAAATGGATCTCATCTCGGTGGTGTACACTTAGAACTCACAGGAGATGAGGCTGTGACTGAGTGTGTTGGTGGATCTATGGATGTATTGGAGGCAGATCTAGCGACGAATTACGCAACATTTTGTGATCCAAGGTTGAATTATGAGCAGTCGCTTGATATCGCGTTTCTGATAAGTAAGACGTTAGAAGAACGACGTAAATAAATAGATTTGAGTATCTGAAACTCGAAGTATTGAAAGTTGCGAAGGATGTCATGAATGTGCGTAACATGGAGGAACGACGCAAATCAGTAGATCTCAGAATCTGAGGATTGGAACAGTGAAAGATGCAGAGGATTTTGAGTCTCATACTACATTTGAAGAATTTGAAAGTGGAAACATCTCGATCAAGAGTGGGTTCAGCATTGCTAAAAGTTTCAATTACGATATTTGGCGTTTTACAAAAACCAGTCACTTTGGAAGCGTCTATATGACACCCAAAATTCAACAAACAAGTCCTCTGTGTTCGCTTCCTCTCCCCCTGCGTTCCATTTCGTCGGTTTGTCAAGATCGTTGTGTGTTGAAAGTGAACGTGTATAACATCCTTGCACAAACACATTAGACAGCTTTTCGTCAACGAGGTTGTTTAAAGAGCAAAGATGGGAACTCCTCACAGGTATGCTGCCAATGCATCATCTCTGAATGCTCCTCGCCCTTGTTCGCTTATCAAATATGAATGGATGGATGCGATGTCTTGACCTTCAACTTTTTGACAACATGAACATTTCTCGAAATCTCAACCTGTAACATCCCAAGTACCAATACTAAATATCATTCTCCCTCCAGACTATACGCCAAAGCCCGCATAATGGGTCACAAGAGGGCAAAAAGGAACAGTACAGAACATACATCACTCCTCCAACTGGAAGGTGTGAATACTGCCCAAGATTCAGCCTTTTATCTAGGAAAGCGAGTCGTATTTGTATACCGCGCCAAAAAAATCATCAATGGATCCAAGATTCGATGTATTTGGGGCCGTGTTATGAGGCCGCATGGAAACTCGGGAATTGTCAAGGCCAAATTCAGAAGCAACTTGCCACCAAAGGCTTTTGGTGCTAGTGCTCGAGTGGTATGCCGTTGAATCTTGTGTATGTGCTTGAAAGAATTGAGTTTCTAATCAATATCGCTTCGCTTCCATAGATGTTGTATCCTTCAACTGTATAAAACAAATTGCCGTGCTTGCTCCCAATATAAACTTCAACTTCGACACTTACATAATTATGCTTTATTTGTGGCTATTTACATATCAGGATTGGCACCAGGACCTTGAACTTTACGTATCTTGTCAGACACCATTTCCTTGAAATCTGCAATAATCTTGGCCTCTCTCTTCGCCTTCTCCTCTTGGTTGAATGACATGAGAGCTCTCTTTTCTTCAGCACTAAATAGGAAATGGAACTGTGAGAAAAGAGGTGGAAACAAAAAACTTCGAGAAACAGAAGCATATTCACCTGATGACTTGATTCTCCTTCCTCACACGTACAGCATTCATACGACGATGCCTAGATCCACTCATGACAAATCCAGCCTTTTCATAGTTTTCAATTTCACCTGAATTGAGACCAATTTCACCACGACGTGGTATACGTTTTCCTGCTGCAATATATGCAGCCATAGCTGATCCTTCTCCGGGCATGAGTTGACCGCCATACGAAGGGTTGAGACTGCCATCATCCATGGATGGAAGTGGTGCTGGTCCAACCATAATATCGTCGTCTTGTTGTACTAAAGAATCCTTACAGGTTTTCTTTAGCTTCATGCGATTCAGAGCAAACCGTCCAAACTAGACTAACCTTTCTTCACCGCCCAATAATCCTTGACTGTCTCGTCAGCAGATCCAGATTCTGATTTGAATGGTACATCTTCTTGATCTGAATCATCATCGTCCGAGTCCTTGTCGTCTTCTTCAGATCGCCTCCTCTTCTTGTTTTGCTTCTTTTTCTTCTTGTCTTCTACATCTTCTTCCGATCCAGCAGAATCAGCTCTGCTACGCTTCTTCGAAGACTTTTTGTGTTTGTGTTTTTTGGATTTCTTCTTTTTGGACTTTCGTTCGTCATCTAAATTTTGGTAAATCGACAGTCAATATAAATGTTCACTTGGAATCCAATCGCAGCATATTCCTAGCGCTCTAGTTGAAACATACCAGACGCATCAGAATCATCTCGCTTTCGTGAAGCTTTTGATTTTCTCTTGACATCTGAATCATCACTATCTTGCTGCGGAGAAGGAGATCTTCTTTTTGGAGGTGGTGGCGATGCAGGCCATATACTGAATGTGTTGTCCATGCGTTGTTGTCGTCGTCTGTAACAAATTCAAAAAGTGTTTAATGTTGGTGTAAAACGCATGTAACTTATAACCGGCTTGAATCAAATAAAGAGCTCACTGTTCGAAATTCACTGCTGCTGAATGGCTTCCATTATATCTTGGACGAGATTCATTGTGTTGGTCTCTTGAATCGTCTCTCCTCGATGGTGAGCTTCGTCGTTGCTGCTGTTGAGAATGACGATCTTCTGAGTAGTAGTCTCTCCATGGACGTCGCTCTTCATCATGATCTCGAGGATCCTGCCGCCTCTCCTTGTCTTCGTCGTATCGATCACCCATATTGCTATAATTGAACAAATTCTTGGTGACGAGCAACGCATGCTGGGATGCTGGGACACCCTGCATTTTTTTTGCTTCCGATTCGCTTCCACTCTCCACGCTCCATGCAAGGTAAACGTCAAAGCAAGAGATTGTTTATGTACATTTACAAATCAAACAGACGTTACAGCTTCTAAAAATCTGCGTTGGTAACTTTCGTCTTATTCTTATTACGGCCCTTATTCCTATTGCCCTTGACTTGAACTTTAGCCCGTGAGGAACTAAAGACGTTACGGGCTGGGGCGGTAGTAGTATGAGAGCGAGCAGTCGTGTGCGGCTCTATACTCTCAGAAGGCGTGAGCTCTTCGTGGCCTTCTACCACCACTGACTCTGGATTCTCCTCCTGCGCATCACCTTCATCTTCAGAGTCCGTTACACTCTTCAGAGAAGGCTCGGCAGTTTCTCCTTCCCCTATCACAGCCTCTTCCTCGGATCCACTACCTTCTTCAACCTGACTTTCAGAATCCTCTTCACCGGATCCTTGTTGACTTTCAACATCCTGCAGTTCTTGAGCCTACGGTGACGAGTGTGTCTATACGGGAAGCATCACATTATTTGGCTCTTCGAATTCTTACCTGCTCTAGTAATTCTTGCTCCTTTCTAGTAAATCCACTAGCAGCAACTACAACATCAAGCTGCATTTCTTTGGTAGCAGCATCAACCGACAATTTAGGAAACAAGACAGATTCGTAGTGGAACCGTCTCTTGAAGAATGTCCTTATACATTCAACGTCGCGATTGAAATACCTGCAAATGATTACAAAGAATCAGATCAGTCAGGCAAAAAAAACTTAGAATTTCATGAGACGCTCACATTTCAGCATTTCGATGCGATGTAGACACCATTTGTGGGAAATCAATAATTATTGGGTCTCCATTCGAGGCAATCAAGAGATTGAACTCGTTAAAATCTCCGTGTATGAGACCGTAACGAGCCAATCGAACAATCAAATCCATTAGTGTCGAATACAGCTTGCCAGCATCTCCAATCTCCTTTACTTGATATCTAACGCGTGGAAGCGTCAGAGGACGTTATCATAAAAAGCTGAGGCTGCATTTTTTCGCTGTGTAACTTACAACGGTACAGCATCAATCAAACTCATAACAATACAATGTCGATTACAATCAATTGGTTGAGGGACTGGAAATCCATGCTCATGCAGCACCTGAATAGTTGAAAGAGGGATAAGTAAACAATTTCTGTATAGGATTCCACTCACTCTTACCTTCATAAAAGTGAACTCTTTGGCAGCAGCCAAACGAGCAAGATACAACCATGATGTAGTTTTGCGATTTTTGAGGTAGTCACGTTTCGACTTGACACTGCGAAACGATATTCGACCGAGCCTGAAAAAATTGAAAGGCAGCTTTAGAGAGACGCAAAGGCCAAAAAACCTCCCGTTTATGATTCTGATTACCTATGCAGCTTGAGGACTCTCTGATTCCCTTCCTCATCGGCGACAATGTAAATATCTAGACAGGTTGAATTGGTGAGCTCCTGACCGGCGAATCGAATAGATCTTGGTGATGGTACCTGATTCTTTTCCTACACCTATTTGGTTGCCGACAGAATACACAGTTCCTCGTTTAGACAAGGATTTTAGAGCCAAATAGTCATATCCTCCATAAGTCAATCGATATCCGTCATCTAGTTTAAACGAACTGTTAGTCTTCAGTTGCAGGCTCCTTTGGCTTGCTTGTACATTTTGTGTTTTGAACTTTGGCAATGAGGTTGTTCTTTGCCAGTTCCGAAATAGCTTTGTGGGCTCCACCAGTTCTGAGTCCAGCAATAGAGGCAATGAGTGAAGTAGGGACCACTTCATGATTCCTGCTTCCCATTTCAGTCTGTAAAAAGCAAAAAAAAAATGTTAAGCACTTTGCTACTAGTTCAATTCAACGAGCACTTACAGCAGTGAGAACTCTGAATTCTTCTTGCGACATGTATCGCAGTAGCCTGGCGTCGAGCTTCATCCTGATCCTTTCAGATTCTTTGTCGAGGTTTTGTGTTTGAAAGTTCGAAAGAAAACAACGTGATACATACCAACACAATAAGCGTGCGCTCCAATTCTATAGATTTGATTGCTCAAAAGTATTCATAGTGGACATTGAGACGTGAAAATCGCGGAAATCAGTTCTTGAATCTACTGTATGAACGCTCACGTTTTCCAAGTTTTGCAAAATCCCAATTTCTGCCATGATTTGTCTATTACGACAAGAGAGGACGTCTTGCTCGTAGCTTCCACAGTCGCGACCTATAATTTCGTTGGTCGAACATGTCTCATTCTTCCACAAGCATGCCTTCAAAGGTTTCGAAATTCAAGGAGAAAATGGAAGCTTTACTCAAGAAGCCTGATGCTCAAGCTTCCGGATCTGCAGTCGCCACCGCCATAAAGTCAAATACTACTGCTCCACCCCGTGTATCGCTTCCTGGAGGTGATTGGACATCAAACTTGCTTATTGGTCCACTTCTCGTTATCAAATACTCTCGTCAGAAAGCTATAGAACTTGTCGTCTTACTTTTGCATTCTGCTGTATATAGGTTCTCCTGCTGTCTCGTCTAATGGATCGTCTGGAAGAACTAATAATACAACGTCGAAACCGTCAAAGTCAACTCAAGGCGCTGATGCATCCAAACCCGCAACATCTCCTCCTTCTAATATACGCAAGAAAGCATTATCGTATCGTGAGCTCATGAAGATCGCTTCAGGAAAGATGGAGTATCCGGACGCTGATGAACCAACCACATCAAGTCCACCACAATCAACCCCTATTACAACAGCAACTAAAGGCAAACCAATACCAAAGACTTCGACAAGCAAAAGTATACCACAACTGTCTCAGAAGGTTCGACATGATCAAGTTAGCTCAAAGTCTAGCACTACGAGTAGTAACCATCGCATCGCAGCAACTCCAACTCCACCTATATCATCGTTGGGTAGACCAACACCACCATTACCATCCACAGCAACATATAGATCGGGTTCTGTCTCGAGTAATGCTAGCTCGACGCAAAACACCAAGACTCTTAAAAGGATCGAACATAATGATTCGAATGACAAGAAACGTGACGAAAGGTCTGCAAAACCGTCATCATACGATATTCCAGCTCATAAAAAAGTGAAAACTACGAGCGAAGAATCTTCAAGTAATAATAAGAGTAGTAGAGATTCACTGGACAGACCAAATGGTAGTGCCAAGTCAACCAAGGCATCTATACCTGCATCACGAGACGGTTCATCATTATCCATATTCCAGAGAATGGCAGATCCATCTGCTCCAGTTACCATGACGTCTGAAGCAGTCAACAAGTCCTCGTCATTGTCATCTCGAGCATCTGAAGGAGTCAAGTATTCAGATGCTCGAGTGTCTGAAAAAGTCAACAAAGTTCGAGCCTCAGAGGCTGCTAGATTATCGGCAAAAGTGCCCTTGCCTCGTAGCACTATTAAAGGATCTACAATACATCCACCTAGACCCGCAACAACACCACGGCGACCACCTGTGAATACAGATGATCCAGAATATATACAAAACAATGTGTCTTCTGTAATTCAATCCTTGTTTCGAGGTGGAAAGAGGTAACGCTTGTGTTGGATGTCTCCTAGAAATGCCAAAAGCTTGATCTTGACATAACTCTGTATTCATGAACAGGCCATATCTCTATGACGACGAGGACGACGATGATGATATGGAAGCTAGTGCTAGTGATATGCGACGAGAAGAAGCAAGAAGGTATGCCTCTGATCGGAACTTTGTTGAGCGTTAGTACGCATCACGTAACCATGTTTTTGTTGGACATAGTGCAAGAATCGCTCGAATGGAAGATGAACGAGAAGCGAGAATAGAGGCTGAAATGGAACGTAACGCAAAGAAGAAGAAGAGGAAAATTGAGGATTGAACAAGGAGGCTCCATTTGTACACAAAACAACATACAAACAATAATTATTGTAATGCATTGATCAAAACCGCATATACACACGTGAAATTTCGCCCGCAAATGTCAGATTACAAGGTAATACCACGTTAGTTCGATGTCATCAAGTTGACGACGCATTTTTCTTGCAGAAAATGACGGCGAGTCCATAACAAGACACACCGATTGACGTTATTTGCATGGATACTAATTGCATTTTCATTTTTAGAGTGCTCTATATCAAGAAAAAGCTTGTGGAATTGTACGAATCACAGACATTTGAAGTGTTTCGCAAAGCTTCGTGTTTTCATGGTTGGGCCAAGGAATTGCGCCGCTCCAATAACTTTCGGAGTGCTTGCTCTAGACTTTTCAAGTGCTTCTTTGCCACGGAACATGTCGCTAGAAGGTGTAATTGCTCATGAAAAACACCAAACCCAGCGTTTCAACGCTTGGCACAGTTTCCGTCTAGATACGCGCTAGGCTCGCCACGTCTATGAATTGTGCATTCCTCGCACTATTTGTTTGGCTGAAAGTTTGAGTATCGTTTCAGAGGTTAAGTTTTAAACCCCCACAAAACGCCTCTGGCTCTCTAATCAGCCTTGAAGTCGGCTCATAATGGCGTTAAGATGCTGTTGATCCTATTGCAGTCTGATCACAATTAGTCTGTGGGAACATTCGATAACACAGAACTCTTTTGCTGCAGAACGTACAGAATAAACTTGATGAAATCATCATTCTATTCTCCGTCCTAAGCAATTCCTTTTGAAACGTAACGACATGGTTGTGGAGTGAGTTATGACACTCTCATGAATGTGTGTCGTGTTTGAATTTGGTGCCTTGGGCCTAGAATATCAAAAATTAGAGACTACACGTCAATGAGATCATTCATCATTGCTCATGCGTTCTCGAAAGCCTCCCTGTCTCTCTCAGTTCTGGTCTGCACTCTCTTACGAGTCCTCTCAAACAGTCACGCTCTCAACGTCGAGGTTTTGTCTGACACATTCACATCGAGACAAAACTGTGCAAGGAAGGCCTGAGAATCCGCTAAGCTTAATATTGGCATACATAAATTGACTACTCCTCTAACCTTCTTCATAAACTGAACGCTACATTCTATGTAAGTGCTGTATGTTGTGATTGTGGTTACACCAAGGCTTCAAATATGGATTAATCTGAAGGCAGAACAAAAGTTATGGGCTTCACTCTAGCCCTTCCAATCTGGTCGAAAGTTGTACTTAAACGTGTTTTATATTAGTTCTTGCCACCCTTCTACCAGGAATTCAATCGTCTAAAATACCGAAATATGAAAAAGATGGTGTATGGGCTAATGTGATTGCTGAGAATGTCTATGATTTGGAAGGCATTGTTGTCACAGATACTCCAACCGTGTAACGTTCATGTTAACTTTCAAGCGGTAAGTCCTGTTTATCATCTTGGATCTGTGCACATGAACTAATATTGGCTGAATATAGGGTGCATCATCCAGCTACAATATGCCACGTGTTCTCAAAAACAACTTTAACGTCATGTGTTATATTGCTTCTGGTGGTATGAGTCCTTGCAACCTTAGCAACGTGGAATCCGCCTTAACAATCTCATTCCGTAGAGGGACATTTCGGTGGTGATCCAAAGGACTCTGAAGGAACTTTTGCTAACGAAGCCGATCTAGTCCAATTCTCTCGAGAAGATAAAGAGCTGCCGAGAATGAGAGCTCTGTTGTCGTATATAATATAGACTCAGCTTCCGAACCTCTATCGTTTTTTCTACTTGGTGGACAACCATGGGACGAAACTGTCGTCAGATATGGACCATTCGTGATGAAGACAAGAGAGCAAATTCAGCAAGCATTTCTCTATTACAATGACGGCAAAATGGGATTGATGAAGGCAACGGTAGTCTCTTGAGCCGTGTTTTGTATGGCTAAGGTAGTCTCGTGAGCTGTGTTGTGTATGCTATCCGAAGTTTGAATCAAGCATGTCTAAATTTGTGATGAGGTGTGAAAAACTAAACTTTGAATTCCACCTGTCGTTCAAAAGACAGGACAAGGGCTAAAAGTAGTCACCGACAAACGAGTCACTTGTGTTACATAATAGGCACGTTATCTAGTAGTAACATTTGCATCAGTCACTTGTGTCACATAATGGGCACGTTATCTACCATCAATTCTAGACTGCTGAGACAACAAACGAACAAGAAGACTGTTTAGAAGGCTTTCCACATCTTTACCTTCTTCTTTGGCATACTTAATCTAATTGGCTTACAGATGTACACACACAGAGTAATCCTCGCCTTGGGTTGGATCCTAGCCTCCATGTCTCTAGTCATGGCCAACAGCTGCCAATGTATTAACCAAGGCGGTGTCTGCTATAACAACTATGCCAATTGCATGTCTGGTTTTGTTGCCAGGTGCGGTGCCGCTCCAGCTTGCGGCTGCCAATGTGCCATCGCCACAACCACCTTCAATCCGGGGCCCATCCAAACCAATTGGAACGTTTTGCCGGCAGTACCTCAGAGTGGTGATTGTTCAATGTAGTGATGCAAGGAAAGGTGAGGATATTGCACAAACTCTGGACATCTCGATGACCTTGGTTCTTGGTTCTAACAATCTCTCCAAAACAGAAAAGAATTGCTTTAAAATTGACTTCCAGACTGTTTTGTGGTTTTGCCATTGGTTTGATAGTAGTAGGCCCTTTAGTAGGATTCAATTTCGTAGTTTTAGTTTTCTATAAAGTGAATTTAATTCTTAGTTAGCCCTCGGTGTGCGGTTTTGAAAGCCCCAACGTATATGACCATGTCAGATTAGGCTATTTGCATATGATCTGATTATGTGAATGTGGTTCTTTCGGGTCTGGATTGAGTTCAAGTGGTAAGGCGTTAGTCCGCCAAGTGGTAAGGCTATCAAGTTCTGAATCGTAGCTCTCTATTCCATCTATTGTGTAATATGGACCAAGTGATGATGATGACCTGACACTCAACCTTCTTCCTTTTTTTGGTTTGCAGTAATCGAGATTGAATCATCAATAATGTTTGCGGTAAAATCATCCACTCCTTCAGCAGCAAACAATTTGATCAGTTCAAGCTGTGGCTATTTTCGCGTCTCTAGACTCTGCTGTTGCAAAGCCATCCAAATCATCGTTTCCTGAAGAAATGACGTCCCTTGACTATTTTCGAATCAGAAAGAGACGTCAATAAGAGCATCTCGTATATCGAGTTGGCTTGCCGAGGGTTACTTGTAAGGCTGGTCGTAAATGAGATTGCGTTATGCTCGTGAGGTGAAGAAGGATGGAGGGATCAAACTCAATATAAAATCATTCCAGAATTTAAAAATCAAGTTTTGGCTTGTGCTGGCAGTGAAAAAAAACACCCATTCTCGGCAGCAAAAGGTACATGTACTTTAGATTCATCATCTATTCTTTTCATACAACATGCTCTTGCTCTATCTTCCCTCAGGACCATCAAGAGGTTTAGGCAATCATTGACTCTTCACGGCTCATTCACCACGTACTGAATGAGTTGACCTCCTTTATATATGCGTTTCTTTCTTGTCAAACGTGAAAAGAGGCAGAAACACGACGAGACCATTTGGTTCAAATTTTGTGACTCTAATGAATCAAGTGATGATGATGAATGAGTTGACGGCTTTTCTGCTTTCTTGTCAAACGTGATAGAGGCCGAAAACAGAAAGGTGGGTTGAGTGTGATGAATGTGATTGATTGTAGGTGAATGTGATGAATATCGTGAGTGTAGTGAATGAATTGACCTCTTTTTCTGCATTTATCTATTTTCAAACGTAAGAAGAGGACAAAAACCACAAAGCGTCCATTTGCGTTTGGGGTTGATAGATCGAGTGATTAAGGTCCTCCGTTTTTGCGTTTCTTCAGTGTCAAACGTGAAACAAGGCCGACACCCTCTAAGCGACCATTGACTTTGAGGTATTTTGTTGAGCATCATCCACGATACTCACCAGATAACGACACGTCTTGTTTTCCGCTCTGCGTTTACTCATGTCAATCACGAGCTTTCGGGCTTGCGACTGACAGCATCACCAAAAATGCTGGCAACATTAAAAACATATGAAGTAATCATTGACTGCTGGTGGAAAATTTACGTAGTGAATGGGTTGATCTCTGTTCTGCGTTTCTTTATTGTCAAACGTGAAAAGAGGCCGAAAACAGAAAGTGACCATTTGAGATTTAAGGCTGAAGATTACGAGAGCTATGCCTAAAGAGACGGAGGTGTTGTGCAAGATGATCAACATTTGTTACACGGCTCCTCTCCACATCAAACTAGACACGCCGCAACTGAGAAACTCCAGTTGCCAAATGACCCAAATGTTGAAATGTACGTTCAAGATTCCGACTATCAAGCAAGACAAGAGAGACGTACCTGCCTTGTTCTGAGCAATCCAAGGACGCTTACATGGTTCTGGCTAGTCCTTTACTATACAATTGTACGAGATAATCAAGTCAGAAAATGTTTTAATTCCATTGCCGCAAGTGGTTGACTGCGGAGAATCCAATAGGATTCAACCAGATTTGGAATATGCTCGACATTAGCCTTAGAATGAAGGTATATGGGTCCCAGCTCACCTACTGCTTGTAAATGTCTGCTTCTAAGTTGTCAAGTTGTCAAAGGACTTTTGTGGAGTGCAAGTTGAAGAGTTCGCTCACGTTTGTAGCAAGGCCGTCAAACAAGAAATACGAGCAAAGACGCCAGTGGACATATCGAAAACTCCCAGATCTAACCTTCTATGATGTTCCCAGTCCCCAGTAACAAACGTTGAGCGAAGAAAGCAGTTTGTTTGTTATTATCAGACACCTTTGAGGGTATTCATGAGCAAGACACGCCTCTAGCAAACAAAGCCGATATCCATACTCGTGAAATAGTACTACTGCGATGTATGTTTAACTTGGCTGCTGTAGTTACCTTTCTTAATTTTGCTGAATCAGTGAATAGCACTAGAACCCGGATATTCTCATACAGGGACAAGATGGCAGACGTACGCATCGATGCTTTACCATATTACGACAAGTAAGATCTTGTCACTTGCCCGTTATAGGTCGTAATCTGCACATAACTGATGACATTTTGTTCAAATTAGGGAATATGCTTCAGAAGGTATAAACAGGCCAGCTACGAATGAGTGCTGTATTTGCAACGTCGATTATCAGCATCCGTTCTCAATTATACCCTACTACTAGATACAAAAGCCCTCGTCGCTCGACTCATTGCTCAAGAAGCATCAAAACAAGCACGACCACCACTACCAGCCAAATCATCTATATTAACAACCACCACACTCTTCCCACAATCTGAATTGACTCGTATATCACGTAACGAGCTTCCAGAAGGCGGCATCGACAAGTCTCGGTTTCGACTCGAGCCTCCTTTTTCTGCTGACGACGAAGAGGTGACTTCTGCACAATGGAAGACGGCCGTTGATAATGCTCATTCGCAACTAGAGCATCAACGAGACCGTATATTGAATCTGGAATTGGTGAATCGGTTTGGTCAGAATGGATGGAAGTACCATAATTTTGAGGTACGTTCGCTGATTTTTTTAGCTTGTTTGGCCTTGACAGATTGATTCGAGTCAGCTGCGATGCAAGTTTCTAAACCTTGTTTCTGCGACTAGATGGAGAGTGCTATAGCTGGCGTAGAGGCAGAAATCCAACAATTAAAAGAATCAACCACGGAACTGAATAGACAACGTAAAGTAGATCAAGTAAGCCAGAAATCCCTATCCAGAACCTGTGTTAATCTCCCTTTTGCTCACTCACTCTCGTCATCTTCCTCTCAAATAGACCAAGACGGGACATCAATTACAAGCATGGGAAGCACGATACTCGGAGATGATTGCTCGAGTTCTCCAACTTGAACAAGCTACAAAATCACTCGAAGCTGAATTGGCAGAGAAAGTAGAACACGCAGCTTCATAGAGACCGCACCAGTATATATCATCTGTACAAAAATACACTGCCATCGCATAGTGAGTCTCAAGGGTTTGAGTCCAGGTTTCTGCTTTGTTCAACAGGCATGTAATACGCTAGATACTCGGTTAATAGCTATTCTGCAAATGGGAAGAAGTTTATTTATAGAAAGGGTGCGTTTATAGAGAACACGTTTAATCGAAGAGACCTATAGAAAATACGATACGCGTTACAATGTAATCGAACGACTTTCAACAAAGCAAACAACGTACCACCGAATCCACCATCTTCGTCTTCCTCTTCTTCTTTCGGTTCTTCCTTCTTTGGAGCTTCCTTTTTGGCTTCTTCCTTCTTGGCAGGAGCAGCAGCCGCTGGGGCAGCAGCGACAGCGACGGCAGCTGAAGCAAACTAGAGTGTGATTGATGATTGTTATGAATGTGTTGCTGTATCGACAAAAAAACGGTGGCAGATGGATTACCTTCTCGGCAGCTTTGATCTTGTAGTCTGACACGAGAGATACACCGACCACGTTCTTGTAACCGTGGACAAGCATATGTGGGATTGAAGCCTTTGTTGGGATGTTGAGAGCGAATGACAAGGCAGCGACTTTTCTGGCACCCTGTTTGAAGAATGATACAGCATTCTTTTCGATAACTGGTAGAGAAGCCTTGTTGATCAAGCCCAAAGCCATAGAGATGGAAGCCAAAATCTTTGCACCAGTGCTCATGTTTTCGATGAATTGTGCTGGGTCAATATCCAATACAGACGGTGGGAAGACGGTACCCATATCATATACAGATGTAATACTCATTCCGTAAGTGAAAGGAGAGATGTTGAGCATATTGAGCAATGTAGCTTCTGAGGCTCCGACCTTGTTACCGGCCTTGATGATTGGTACATCGTTTACGATTTCAATAGTACCACGAGCAATCTTTGTAGGGATACCTAGAGCTTGGAAGAAGGATGTTTTACCGGGTTCCATTCCTGTATTACCAGCTGGGATGACGACCTCTACTGGAGCTACGGCACCTGCTTTGGCAGGAGCACGCACTCTGTTGGATAGGATTTTGTCTCGAGTAGATTTCAATTCACCCTTTGTGAATACGAATCCTACGTTTCCTTTTACGACTTCCATCAACTTGTTGAATGTTGGGTTGTCGTCGGCTCCTAGCCTGAGAGCTCTTCGTACCATGGTGTTTTTACCCATCAGGACGACACCTTCTCCTCGCAAATTTATACGAATCTATATTCCATAGAATTTAGTTAGAGAATTTGAGAATAAACGGTGTAGTTTATAGAGATTCTGGATGTCTTGGATGGTGCAATGTGTTTTGTCTGATCATAAACTCGTTCCAGACCAACGCATCGCCACTCTTGCAGAATTTTCAACACTGCCATAGATTTTGATTCGTGGATAGACCTGTATGCTGATTTACCTGATGCATTTGGTTTGATCCGACATTGTCAACATTTACGATGAATATAGTTGGGTAGTCTTCAAGCAATTGCTTTAATTTGTCAAAGTAAGCACCCTTCTTAGCACGAGCTTCGGCCATCTTGACAACTAGTGAGAAAGATTACGTTACTAAATGAGCTTGATGCTGATGATGTGTTCAATCGTCAAATGTTGCAGCTTTTTATGGTTTCTCTCGTCTGATGCGTAGTCTTTCAGAGTAAATTTATATGTGGACATCGAATAAGATGTTATTTCAACAAATATGTCTCTCGTCTGCGTGTCCCATGTGTCATGATGCATGTGGAAGCAACGACATTCAATAACTCGACCCAGTTTCAACAGTTTTCGATTCAGAGACTTGGGCCCAACCAGGATTCATAGCGTACTGTCGATGTTCTTATCATATTTCCTCTCTCTCGTCTTACCTGTCTTTCAAGTTTAAGATGGATGGATGCGATGCCTCGACTTGTCCAACACTTTACCAAGCAACACATACAACATCATATAAACACGAAAAGGAGGGCGTGGAAAGGTTTCAATCACGCGTATAACATTCTTATTAATACAGTTATATATTGATTCAAGAGCGACCGCCTATTCGACATCTTGGAATTTATCAACTCACTAACTTCCTGCTTTGATTCGGTGATGAAGACAGGGATCACGACGAATGTTTACGATTAAAAACCAACTCAATCAATTCCGTTCAGCTTTACTTATTCGCCCTTCCTTGCTTTCATTATTCCCAAGTGTCGCCAATTCATGCTTTTCTAAAATCAAACAGAGACTTCCCATCCATCAATACATCCATTTATTTGTGAGAAGGTAAGCGCAAAGAGAGGACGATTTGTCGATCATCAAGTAGTTGCTGCCCAAAATATTGCTTCCAAACCCACTCTCGTTGTGGTTGTTCTTCTTTTGGTCTAAAGTGTGAAACTGTTGGTTGTGAAAGCTAGCTGCAAATACGAGAGACTTCTAAGTCAGAGGGAGGAATTGAAGCCTCATCTGCGTCAGCTTTACATGAAATCTCTCTTCTGTGATTCGCAGAGCTCAAGAATGGAAGAAATCTGAAGTCAAATCACCAACATTTGATTCACCATCAAATCTAACAACTTTCTACTTCTTTCAACATAAATAGACAGGAAATCAAATATGAAGACTTCTCCAAATGGTAACAGTCCACCATCAAAATTGATGCAGCAAGAAATGCTGTCTTCTCCTATCAATAATGAATCTAACTCTCCTCTGCGTCTGTAGTCTCATCATCACGACGCAAGTCAAGGAAGGCACACTTCAGTGCTACTTCCAATGAACGAAGAAAGATCATGTCAGCTGCCTTGTCAAAGGAGTTGAGGGAAAAGTACCATGTACGTTTATCTGAAATCACAGGGCAAGAAACCCCAGTTAGAGGGATACTGCATGTCTTTACATCTGTTCCCGAGTGTCGTGAAATTATGATTATGAAAGGCTCCTGCTGTTTTCTCACAGCTTGGCTACAAGCATTGCAGAGCACATCTGGTTTTGCTCACCCCATCAATTAATTTAGGTTCGCTCATTACCTATTCGCAAAGACGATGAAGTTACCATCGTCAGAGGAACAGCCAAAGGTCGTGAAGGCAAAGTCATTCAAGTGTACCGCTTAAAATACTGCATCCACGTTGAAAAGATTACAAGGGACAAGGTCAATGGTGAGCTCTTCACAATCCAGCTGTGCTCATTGTTTTTGTAATCGTGCTGTCGCTCAACACTCTTACTTCTATAAAAGGTGCCCCTGTTCAAATTCCAATCCACCCATCCAATGTAGTCATCACCAAACCAAAGTTGGATAACGATAGACGAGCACTCCTAGCTCGCAAAGACAGAGTCGCTGCTGCTGCCAAGAGTACTGTCGCCATGAAGGAATAAGTAGGAAATGTGTTTCTTGTATAGTTTCCTCCTAAAAATACACATAGCATGCCTACAAACAAAAAGAGCCACTTTTTGCAGTACTCATGCTCATGGTTGACGACGTCAAGATTTGATTGGTGATGTCAGATGAGTAGTCGGGAAGGGCTGTGTTTGGGATGAACGGTGTAAAATCTGGGAGGTCTCTTTGGAGGACGGTCTCTTTGGAGGACGTCTCGTAGGAGGCGATGGGCAACATGCAACAAGTTGTCGACCTGAAAGGTAGTAGAAGGACTTATAGTTGCAATGGTACCTTTGTTGGTGTGGTAAACAATTGTTGTTGACGGTTGTCGTTGAGCAGGGTGTAGAGCCTTGTTTAAAGGTCAAGATACTGGCAGAAATTGTGAGGAAGAGCACGTTAGAGCGAGAGGGCGGTCGAAGTTCACCTCTATGTGGAGAATCCGAAAAGAATTCGGGCATCACATTTCTAGTTTGATCAACCGACGCCATTCGGACGATGAGCGAGTCTAACTACTTTCAACGTTCCATCTGAACATAGGATATCAAACATGAAGAAATCTCCAGGGGATCTCAGTCAAGATTTAGAATTGCTATAAAAAATTAGCCTTCCACCCATGCATCTAACACTCTGCCGCAATCTTTAGTATCATTACCGCAATCCAAAGAAGGCACACTTCAACTCTATTTCCAATGAATAGAAAAACAATCATGTCAGCTGCCAGCCAAAGAAATGGACGGAAAAGCAACATGTACGTTTCGCTGAATATCACAGAGCATGAACAAGCAATGTGGTATCATCAAAATCGTATTGTTGGTGGCCAATTGGCCATCCTAACAGATCTGAAACTATCCTGCCATCATGAATCTGAGGATAGATCTGATCCTTTTCTCACTCTGACACTCCTCTACTAGTTGAAGGAGCTTCTCCATATCAACAAAACTTTAGGTAAGATTAATGTCTACCTATCTCCAAGGAGATGGTGTCAACGATAACATCAGAACTGTATGGTCATGTCGTTTGTGAACAGTCAAAATTTGACACACAAGAGAGTGGTTCAACTTTTTACCATGTATCTTTGTCTGAAATCAGAGGGCCAGAAACCACTGTTAGAGGGATACTGCATGTGGTCATATCTGTTCTCGAGTATCGTAGAATTATGATTATGAAAACCTCCTGTTGTTTTCTCACAGCTTGGCTACAAGCATTGCAGAGAACATCTGGTTTTGCTCACCCCATCAATTAATTTAGGTTCGCTCATTACCTATTCGCAAAGACGACGAAGTTACCATCGTCAGAGGAACAGCCAAAGGTCGTGAAGGCACAGTCATTCAAGTGTACCGCTTAAAATACTTCCTACGCATTGAAAAGAATACAAAGGACAAGGTCAATGGTGAGGTCTTCACAATTCGGCAGTGTCACGTGGGTTTTTTTGTAATCGTGCTCTCGCTTAACACTGTTACTTCTTTAAAAGGTGCCCCCTATTTAAATTCCAATCCACCCATCCAAAGTAGTCATCACCAACGCAAAAATGGATGTTGATAGACCACCACTTCCTTCCTTGAGAGGTGTTGCTGCTGTTAACGGATTGTCTCCGTGAAAACGTATATCAAGTGCAATTTATATGTGTGGGTTTCCTTTTGAATACACATAGTATGCTCACGCAAGACGGTATCGGAGCGATTACTTCTCTAATCGTTGCCTGATATTGTTACATCACTTTGAACAAGAGAAAAACAGTGAGACAAGGCAGGACAGGAAAATATCTTAGACAACGACTTGTGTTCCTCAGCTTATGTTTGATTTATTAAGGATGCACAAAAACTGTTCTATACATGTGACTGAATTTGCTGATATGCCTCACTCCACCGTTCTGAAACCACACACCTTATTGCGTTGCATTAGGAACAAGACTTACAACATTAGCCAATGTAGCAGTCTTGTTCTTTTTCTTCTTATTCTTTTTGTGTTTATTGGCTGCTCCCGCTCCTCCGTCCTTCCTGACGATATTACTCACGACAGGGCTCATTGAGGTTGTCTTTTTCAAGACTCCTTTAACTACTGGACTATTCGATGCAGGACCAGTTGCAGTACTGACAGGTGATGCAATGGCTGATACAGGTTTGGCTTTTAAAAACATTCTTACTTGTTGAGATTTGTTCCATGTTACATGTTTTTTCGTGTTTGGTGACATTGAATCAGTTGTGGCACTTAATGGATCTAGTTGTGGTTGATTATTAGGAGCATCTGATGTTGGATTAGATGTTTGATTATCAGGTATTGGGGCAATAGCTGGCAATTGAGTATTGATAGTGGCAGGTTTTTTCTTGTCGTTGATGCTTTTCTTCTCTTCAACGACAGCTGGGATATCTACAGGTGCCACGGTCTCGGATGGAGCTGGAGATAGTGGCAAAGCTTTCGCTTCCTCTAAAACTACTGCTTCCCTCTTCTTTGCTTTCTTGTTGGATGCATCTGTGTGTTCAACAAAAAAGAATGAGTTACTGAGTGAGAAAATGGGGTACAGGGCATTTCATACCATCTGCATCGTCCCTAGCACGCTTCTTTTTGGACTTCTTCACACCATTCACAGGATTCACGCCATTTGGTAGAGCATCGGCCTTGGCACCATTTGATGCTGGTTCATTGACGACTGGTGTTGGTGTTGTCGAAGTACCATTTACAGCTGGTACATCAACATCCATATCATGTCCATTAACTTGTGGCTCTAGAACCTTCTCAGTATGACCATTACCATTCATATTGATATCTTGATGACCATTCACTCCTGCCACATCATCAAGCAAGTCTTCCACGCCCAATTCCTCCTTCATTTGAGATACGAGTTCATACATGACTGTTCGATTATCTGATCTAGCATCTGGATGAGCAGCTACTTGGAAGATTACTCGTACTAGTTCTAGTGGTTTGAAGGGCGAGCAATTGGTATGAATGGAGGACTGGCATTTTGCGTCAATGCACCAGTCGTCCTGAGTTCTTTTAGCCAATATTGGGTCGATGATACCATCACGTATATATTTACAGATGACCGGGTTTCGAGTTTTGCTCATGAGGGTGATGAATGGATGAATTAGTTTGTAAAACGTGGCAGCGTCGATTCCTTCGCACTGTGAAATAACATGAGTGGTATTGGTGTGAGATACGGGGCAAACTATTGACTAAAACCCCTTGAATAATGTGACAAATGTTCACCTTTGGGCCACCTAGAGCCTTCTCAAGCTCTTCCAAAAACACTTCACAAGTATGGTATCGGAGAGAGTCTTGAACTTTCATGTTGGTTGGACTGTGGGAGAGAAGGCAGTCAGCGATCGTTGGCTATAATTACGGATCAGGGACATCATGTCTTACTGTAATGGACCATCCGCCAAGACACTCAACAATTTATCGACAGAATCATCGTCCCAGTCGTGTTGTGAGAGCCACTTGAATGCAGTCATATGGAATTGACGTAATAGATAGTAGAACTTGTCCAATCTATGAAGACGGATTCAGCTTATTGGCCTGCTCTCTGATCCCCGTTTTTTTGGTTCTTGTCTATTACCTGAGTAGATCAATTTTGGACCAGCTGTTTAGCATAGTGAGCCAGAAGGTTTCATAGTATCTCCAAGCCATTTCCGGCTCCATATCCAGCATGAGGGAAGCAAGTTGTTCGGCCAAGTGTCGTTGAACTGGAGCCTTGTCGGAGAGCCAAAAACCTAGTTTACAGATGCGAAAAAAAAGACGAGTTAGATTTGGAGAGAAAAGCACACGATCCATAAGAAGGTAGCGGTCATCAGGCACGTTTGATGTATGCACGTTATAAGGGATGGCTTACAGTAAAAGAGAGCTCTCCATAACTTGAGCAATTCCATGTTTCCAACAGTTTTTCGAGACTTTAGAAAAGTCTTTAGTGCAGTTACAGCAGCCTCCCGAACCTTCTTGTCGACATGGGCCAGCTTGGTTCCGAGTCCAAAGTTGGAAACTTCCTGCTGAACCATGGCTTTCTTGCGCTAGATGTCGTGTTTGGATGTATCGACGCCAAAAAAAAAGACGAAGGATCAGATCACACAAAACGCTGCCAAGTAAGAGTAAATAAAGATATCATATTTTGAACGTGATATCTACAGCTGTCGAGCCTGGATCTCCTGGAAAACACGGTTTGAAAACGATACATTCCTCTTGCAACAACGCGTCACCCATTGAGTTCAATTAAACAGAACTAGCATAAGAATGGCAGTCGAGGCAGTTGTAGAAGAGCTCGCAAGAGCTGATGAATTATCTAAAAAGTCGCCAAAAGAAGCAGTGCCTTTACTCGAAGGAATATTCAACAAGACAAGAGGTAAATGAATGTTTTGACAATCTATGTCTTTTGCGAGTTGTAGGTGTTTGATGCATTCACGAACGTATCTAATTTTATCATTGAATTATTTAGGAGGAGATTCAGACGGCGTCAAGCATGCCGAAACCGCCATATTAAAGCTGGGCGAATTGTACAAGAAATTAGAGTATGTTGATTGACCATTGAACGTGATAAAGCACCCAAACAACTTGAAGACTAACTCTTCCGGAATCGCGGCATTTAGGAGAGCAACTGAATTGGCTACCTTGATTCGATCGTCAAAACCATTCTTCTTGGCCATACCAAAGGCTAAAACTGCCAAAATTGGTAACAGACAATCACAGACTCACTATACGATGAATATATATTGATTCCATCTTATTACCATAGTTCGAACACTCATTGACTTGTTTGGAGACATTCCAGGAGCACTATCGCTCCAAGTCCAAGTCTGTAAAGAGTTGATTGACTGGTCTATACAAGAAAAGAGAACATTCTTGAGACAGGCTCTAGAAACCAGATTGGTGGCATTGTATGTCGTGGTGGAACTGGATGTTATGTTGGGAGGTCATGATTGCCAACTCTTACCATCATACTAGATACCTCGACAACAAGATGTACTCGGACTCTTTACAACTCATTGGATCTCTTCTCAAGGAATTGAAGCGATTGGATGACAAGAACGTATTGATGGAAGTACAATTATTGGAAAGTCGCGTTTATCATGCTCTGAGAAACGTGCCAAAGTCACGAGTAAGGGCTTCGTTTGCTTCCGACATTGTCGATCGGATTGAATGAAAACGCATTTTTTTGCTAGGCTGCATTGACTTCAGCAAGAACATCAGCCAATTCAATCTACTGCCCACCTCTGATGCAAGCTCAATTGGACATGCAATCTGGTATCCTCCATGCCGAAGAAAAGGATTACAAGACTGCGTAAGCGGACGCTACGTAACAACCTTTGTGCTTTGTTTTGCTTAATTGGATTACGTTCAACAACTTAGATATTCCTACTTTTACGAAACTCTCGAGTCTTTTTCGTCACAAGATGATAAGAGAGCTGTATTGGCACTCAAGTATATGCTGTTGTGTAAAATCATGCTCAACTTGGTATGATTTCAGACTAACGTAATTTTTTTCTTGGCGAATTCACATCTTCGATTTTTTCTAGACGGATGATGTACACAACATCATCAATGGAAAGCTCGCTCTCAAACATGCAGGGCCTGAAGTTGAAGCCATGAAAGCGGTAGCCAAAGCACACCAAAGTCGTTCTCTTCAAGATTTTGAACGCGCTTTACGAGACTTCCAAGATGGTAGGTTTATTACTTGTGAGGCCTTATCAGTTGGTTGAAGCTCGTTGAAACTCTTTACTGTATATACGTCCAAATCAAACGCAATTGCACTTTTGGATCGAGCGACAAAAACCATTGAAGGTCGACCGTATCTGACTTCCAAAAATATTATCTAGAATTGCAAAATGATCCGATCATCAAGACCCATTTGTCTGCACTATATGATACTCTATACGAACAGAATCTTTTGAGAGTCATTGAGCCCTTCTCAAGGGTTGAAATTGCTCATGTGGCCAGTCTGGTCAAATTGCCAACACGAGATGTCGAGTCCAGGTATGTAACAAGAAAAATCCATTCCTATTTCTAGTGTATCATTTGCGAGACGATGACGATGATTCAAACCCAATTGATGTTGTTTAGATTGTCACAAATGATTCTGGACAAGGTGTTTAATGGTATTTTGGATCAAGGTGCTGGATGTTTGCTCATTTTTGAGCCTCCTTCAGCTGATGTGCGTGACCTTTTGCCAGACGATATGTTGATTTCAGTTGTTGCCGTAGTCGAGAGAGTTGCTGATATGATGAATCTTTAGAAAACTTATGAGGCTGCTTTGGATACTGTCAAACATATGGGTCATGTCGTGGACTCTTTGTAAGTGATAGAAAGTGAAGTCCTCAGCAATTTTTGCTAACCATTCTTTTCGGAAAACTAGGTACGACAAGGCGTCACAGCTCTCGTGAGAAGCTTCTTTGTATAAAACTATTGTATTGGAACGGACAGATCACCAAAATGTTCAATAAAAACGTACAGCCAAAAAAACTTGCAACAATCGTCCTACATTTTGGATTGCACCCAAAACTTGTAAACATGCCTTTATATGAACTAATATGCATCGTGAGGGCTAATGCAAAACTGATGGTAGGCAGCGCAATGGAATCTCCTTGACGATTAATGCCTTTGCGCTAAAGCTTGGTCAACTAACAACCTTTTAAAACACTTACAAAAAACAGAGCCGAGGAATAAAAGCAAGCGCCGGCATCGACCACACCAATACCGAATATGCAGCTAAAACAAAAGCATTAATGAAACTGGCTGCTCTCCATGTCCTTGATAGGAATGGAGTCGTCCGAAAATTGACACATTCAAGACCTGATGCTCTTCCATACCGAATGAAGAGATATCGAGAGGTACACTCCACTGGAAGGTACTGGATGCTCATTTAGTATCAAATGGTGCTGAAAGCTGATACTTTGTACTGCCTAGTTATATGACGATGGAGTTTGATGCCCATCCTTCGACAATGGAGTCGTTGCTAAAAGCTGTTGCTTTCGAGGAACATGTTATTAGGCATAATGTTATAAAGCTGGGTGATTCGGTGAAGAAGACAGCTTCGTTACGGCCTGAAACTATAGGTGCATCATGAGGGAAGGTGGGGTTGGAAGCTCCTTGTAAATATCATCAAACACGTTCGCATTTTGACATGGAACAGTTCTGGACGCGAATGTATTTGAAATTATCTTGTAAAAGCGTGAACGTGTTGTATCTATCTCGTCCTCTTTTCTGTGACGAACGTGAAAGATCGAGCTTGTCCAAACATCTTTTGACCTTCAAAAAAAAACAATGGATTCAAGGCGGTCGAGTGCAGCTTCGAGCAACCTGGGAAGCTCTAATAACGTGTCTCCAAAGCAGACAATAGGCTTTCAACCCTCAGTAACTATAGCTCTCAGATTGCAAAGTCTCGTTTTTAAACAAAGTGACTAACTCGTATTTTTCGCAACTAGTCGCCAACTCAATCAGACTTACGACCAGGCTCGTATCCGTCACGAAACAAGTCCACATTACCAGGATGGGCATCAGATTCAGACCAATCTAGGCGTTTGTCTGATGACGGGAGCGATTCATTGCCAGACATTGCAATCTTGCCTGGATCTCCCTCAGCTTCATCACAGCCGACAAATATTGGACATAGGCCAAAGAGACCGTCTATATCGTCTAGTGCCATTACGAGATTTGGATCACCGCCTGTGAGTTGAGAGGAGTGTGTTTGGTAGTGAAAACAATTGCGTTGCGCAAAATGTAGTGTTTTTGGTGCTGAAACTTGGGATCGTCGTACAATAGGGAAGAGGATCATCTTTTGGAAGGTCGTTTGAAGAGAACTTATTCAGACCTCCAGACCACATGTCACCACAACGTGCATCGTCACTCTTAAGTCAGCAACAACCACAACACCCATCACAGTTATCAAGCCCTCATTCATCACTATTTGGAACACCATTAAATGGATCTACGACTGACCTAATGCCACCTTCAATCGTCTCAAAGCCTCTAAGTGCCCCTGCCACGTTACAGAATCGAGCTGGTAGTTTAGGGAGCATAGATGCGTTGCCACCACCTGCACCAAGTCCCAGTGCTGGATATAGTTTATTGGCTGCTGGAATACAAGCTAGTAGTGGGGGTGTCAGTGGTAGTCCTAGTGCCGCTGCAAAGGTTGCTGGTGTTGTGGCAAAAGAGCCCAAGAAGAAAAAGGACAAGGGAGCATCGCAGCCTGATGCTGGTGGTATAGAAGGAGGTACATCGGATGCTTCGCACAAGCCTCAGAGTGGGAAGAAACCACTTAAGGAAATGACGAGAGCTGAGAGACGAGAGTTGCAAGTGAGTGTTACTACCAAATCGTTCAACATTTCACGGGCTTTTTTGTAACATCCGGCTTGCAAAAGGATCGTCAAAAAGCCGAAAAGGCAGCCAAAGCAGGAAATCCAAATGCATCAACAAACAGTAAAGCATCAACGCCAAAACCTCAACAACAACGAACAAGTAATCCCTCTACACCAACAACAGGAATGCCGTCAACTCTAACGCCAACATCAACCCAAACGAATTTACGAGTACCCGCCGAAATGAGATTTGATGATCCAAAAACTCGGTCAAAGACTGGCAAGGCTCAACCAGTACATCGAACGTTGGCTCAGAAGCCTGTATCACTGTTTTCCCACTTGACGCAATACGAAAGGGAGAATAATATATTGGCTGAATCTAAGGCTGGTGGTTATGTACATCCTGTCGTTCTGTCTCTGGGATTACAATATTCAGAGTTTTTGGTCGTTGGTGGGAATGCGAGGTGTACACATATGTTGCATGCCTTCAAGAAGGTATGGGATACCATTAAATTCTGTTTTTTGTACTTCACTGAAGCAAGCCAACTTTGTTGCTGTACTCTTAAAAGGTTATTTCGGATTACGTGACACCACCTGGAACATCCTTGTCTAGAAATCTGACCTCATATATCGGAGACCAAGTGACGTTTTTGAATGCTACAAGGCCGTTAGCCGCTAGTATGAAATCAGCTATACGAGCACTCAAATCTGAAATCACTGCTATACCCCTTGATATGCCGGATCATGATGTGAGTTCAAACTAGTCTATTGTAGCATGCAAAGATCGTTTCTCATTCCCCTTTTGCTCTTACGTGAACAGGCCAAATCTCAATTGACTTTATGGATTGACTCTTATATAAATGAAAAGATTACCACAGCTAGGATTGCCATTGTTAGTAATGCACTACCATATATGAAGGATGGAGACGTGATTTTGACTCATGGACGGTAAATGAATTGCTGCCAAAAAGGCGTATGGACTTGGGGATATGCTGAAATGTCTTTTTTCTGAATTTAGGTCATCTGTTATTCAAGACATGCTGATATTCTTTTGGAAGAGTGGTATCAAGTTCCGTGTCATTGTAGCTGATTCAAGGCCAAAGTTAGAAGGTACGAGGAGGTCCGACTGAAAAAAAGCTTAATTTGTCTGAACCCATTCATGGTGTTAAGCATCCAAGACCTCACTTTCGCTAGGTCGAGAAATGCTCAAGACACTAGTAAAAGAAAACATCCCATGTACATATATATTGACTAGTGCGGTATCTCTTGTGATTAAGGAAGTCACCAAGGTGCTGATGGGAGCTAGTGCAGTCTTATCTAATGGATCAGTCATGTCTCGTGCTGGTTCTGCACTGGTAGCAATGACTGCGAATGATTTCAAGATTCCAGTACTTGTATGCTGTGAGACATACAAGTTTTCGGATGCCTTCAGGCTAGATTCGTTTGTGTGGAATGAAATTGGTAAGTCTTTTTCAGCAAAAAAGTGTTCTTGGCAACAAAGTATGGTTTCTCACAAACCACTTTTACCGTTCTTTTCATGTAGGTGATCCAGATGAACTCGTAGACATATCCAGTCGACCACGTTCAGAATACGGATCATTATGCTCTGATTCGTATGTACAAGGCAAGGCAGATTCATCGATTCTGACGGATTGGCGAGATATTGGGCAGTTGAAATTGCTGAATCTCTTGTATGACATCACACCAGCACAATATGTATCCATGCTCGTATGTGATACGGGATGTATCCCTAGTACATCGGCTTTTGCTATTCTGAGGGAAAGTATGGTCTCACAGTAAAAGCAACAACCACAATTTAAACTGAACAATCGATGGAAGCAAAGAACAAATATATTCTTTTGAATATGAAGATGTCTACACATGCACTGAGTCTCCAATTTTACATGCAGGTTGAATGAACTTACAAAACGCAGTTGAATCTTCGTTTTTCTCCAGTGGACAGTGACAAACAACCTATAAAGAAAAATTAGTGTTGCTGCCAAATATTTTCGTTCTTCTCTCTTCTCGAATCTTTGAACGAAAGACGAAGCGAATCTTTGAACAAAAGCCTATGCGCGAATCTCGTCCTCAACCACACGCAACTGGCGCAGCGTGAGTTTTACCTATGAAAATAGGCGTGAGTTTTATCTATGAAAATAGGAATTGGTTGAGAGCATTTGTACGCTTCATGTTGGCAAAAGAAGCAGTACGCTGAGCACAAGATGCATTCCGTTAGGGACAATCGATTGCTCAATCCATTGTTTTGGACATGGAAACAATCCAGCTACAAGAGGTGCGAGAAGGGGAAGCGACTGCCGGCTCTCCCAAAACTTTCTTTTTGATGCCATTATACCTCTATTCTGACTGCTCCTCTCTTTCTGACTTTATAATATTTCCGTTTCAACAAATACAAAAACACTACACACCTGCCTTTTTGCCCCTCCTCTTTCTAAAACGCAACCCTCGTCCTCGAATCCTCCAACTTCTTAGAGACCTCCTGTGCCGTCCTGTCCAACTCCTCCGCAATGCGTCGTCGTGTTTCAGCAGGCAGCAAATTAAACTGCTCACACAAATCTCCATCAATACATCCCCGTACAGGCACATACGACGATCGATATACAAGATGATCACGACCACATAATGGTGGTGCTTCTTGCCTCATGTGCATTTCGAGAGATTGGAAGAATTCGACATCTTCTTTGGATACGAGGGGGATGAAGACTCCTACAGATCCAAAGAGGGTTGTGTAGAGGATTACTTCGCGGCCTCCGGGGACGAGAACGGTCTTTTGTACTGATGTGATTGTGTCTCCTACATAGTATTCTACAAGTCGACTCAACTAAACAGGAGAAAAAATAGTCAGCGGCAGGTATCGAACGACACCAGGCTGTCCAAGGACACCACTCGTTTTTTACCTTGTGAGCAGCACCTTGCAAATGGGGTTTCTCAAACAGCAATTTAGTTCCAGTAGGATCATCATCAACTTCTTGCGATACCTCCAATGGTAATCGCACTATAAAGAAATTACCAAACTTGTCTCCACCAGCCATGGTATCATAATCAACTTGAGTAGTACATGACAACCATCGTGGTGTAGTGTCATCTGCAAATATAATGATTCGACTATCATTGGGTTTGAATGCGCAATAATGCACAGACTCTTGAATGTCACCGACAATGATTCGATCTCCTTGAGTGTGTAGAGTTATTATACAGTTGGGGAATTGCTATAGGAAAATTGAGGATCAGCAAAAAACAGATATAGAGAACCGATCGAAATGCTGTTGCCTACCCGATTTTCACACTTTCTCAACAGCTTCTTCTTTCCCATTTCATATATACGTAATATTTTACCCATGCCAACCAATACACGACCTTGGAAGGGTGTTAAGGCACTTGGAATGTCTTCAACGGCAGTCTATATGAACAAACGAGCATGAGCAAAAGTACTCGTACTCTGTTTCACCAGACGAATTGCATACCTTATGCACAAACGTCAACGACGTTCCATCCATCGCAATACTATATATCCTCAAGAAGCCTGAACTACAGCTGCGAGGAGACAAGATAGTATCCTTGGCGGTTCCAACAACAGCAAACAATTCAGTTGGTGAAATAGCAAATCGACATACAGTGACACTAAACAGCGAGGCGAAAAAGAAAGGAGTCAAGAGCCAAAACGACGACGTTTAGCAATCAACACAATCCAAAAACACACCTGAAAGCAGCTTCATTTTCATCTAATTGAATAACTTGGAGAGTCTCTCCAGTCAATGGATTCAGCAATCGTATACACGATGCCCATTTCCCAGATTCAGCTCGTGGCAATCCAAATTGATCCGGTGGTAACTCTTCAGCTGGCTCTGATCTGATATTTGGAGCTGCTGCTTGACCATCATCACTTTCAACATCCATTCTATCATCCTGTTGGAAAAGCCAAAAAGGAGTTACTCAAGAATGTACAAGCAGCACCGCTTAGAAAATGCTAATTGATTGAAATACGTACGTCTTCTCCAGACAACAACTTGATCTTGTCAGATGGACACCATGTGTTATGATCAGCTTCGACTATAATGACGTTTCGACTTGGTTCATGTACAGCGAATTTACGTGGTGTGTATGATAATGGAACGACAGATTGGTTGAAGACGTCCCCCAGCTTCTCAACCGTCAAGATTCTACAAGGTGCGAAACAAATGGATTAGTGAGGAAAAAAAGTCACCACAAGCGGTCAAGTACCTCAATGTATTTTGAACAATAGCCACGACTCCTTCTGGACATGGCTCAGAACTGAAACTTGATGCGTATTCCAATTGCTCATAACTAGAAACATGAAAACTTATTAGAGCGACAATCACACATAACATTGAGACCTGAACTGGACAATTCAACAGTCCACGAGCATCTTGCTTGACTAAAAGGAGTTCCTTTGCTGAGTACACACCTCAACGGTATCAAACGAGTCCTTGACTGGAAAGTATACATCAACCACGGCCGTGTCGACAAAGCCAATACAGCAGAAGCACCCTGTATACTAATACGATGCAATTTGATGGCTCGGGCACCCAAGAATCGTAATCGAGTATCACTCAATTCACCAGTAGTCGGATCCAATGTTGCTCTCGTCAGTACACCATTGTTGAGACCGGCATTCAGATATAGAGTGCCTTGAGCTCGCTCAGCTCCTGTATCCATCAGTTCGGCAATACAGAGGGATTCCGGGACTGCGGATAGGGCCTGAAAAGAGAAGTCGTAAGAACATGATCCAGATAGAGCTTTGCGCATTTTTGGCATATGGGGAGTCCACATACCATAGTAGCTAGAGGCGTCAAACAGGTATCTGGATCCAATGATAGAATTCGCACACTAGTATCAGCACATCCAACCGCCTAGATCAAGGGGTGTCGGTCAGCAGAAGGCACAAACGCAGAAAAAAGAACTACTAAACACTCCCAATTTCATTCAACAAATGAACGCCTTATGTGAAAGCACAAACACGGACATACCACAAACTTGGACCTTTGACGACCTTCAGGAATAGGCCCCAATGCAAGAGCAGTAACAGGCGACAGCATTTCACGTCGCTCTTGAAATTCATTCAATTGACCCGTCATGTCCAATTCGAAATACACCAATTCGCCACTTGACAAGGCAATAATGACCTACAACGAAGTTGGTTGGAAGGGATGAGCCAAAAAATAGTCAACAGATTTGAAAGAATGCATCCACGTCTACCTGTCGCTGATTGCAAGCAGCACGAGCAATAGCCTTATTTCCTGGTGATTTCCATTCACTGACACGACGATTAGATCGAATGTGACGGATGCCTTGTGGGTACACCTGTCAAGGAAATGACGGATGAGAAGGTTAAAAAAACTCATTTACTCAGGCCAGATGTACCTGTACGAGCGCATCATCTCCCAATTGACCAGCAGTTAACGTGGGAGTAGTAGCCAGGAACCCAGTATCCGTAACCTCCTCCACAGTCTCACCAATCGACAACACCAACGTGGCATTCACAAACGATACAACAATATACGAATCGAATTCATCTCTTGAAGTAGCTCGTACAGTCCATACTGCATTAGGATTACCAGGTAATTCAGCAGGATCTGTAACTTGATTGACTTCCAATCCGTGTCGCAATATTCTGAAACTGGATCGCGAGCCTCGTCCACACAAGCCGTATATCTGCGGAGTGTCTTCATCCCGTAGGTTTAGTACTTTGGCATCTACTAGCGGACTAAGAGACTCAATCTCGTCCACTCCAGTCAAGTTACGTAAAGGTCTTGGTCGGAACGTGACTGTCACTTCAGGTGCATCTTCACCTTGTGGGAAGTCTGCTGTGCTAAATTCGGGTTGTTCGTCGTCATCATCACCCAAATTGTCAACTTGATATAGCATTCTAATGGTTGGATTGGGATGTTAGTTGTCAGAAAAACTATGAGTGTGGATGAACGCGAAGTTGAGTTTTTTTTTTGTTTTGGCATGAACTTACTGATTGCCAAATTCACTACCACAAAACAGAAACCCACTCTTCAACAAACACATTCCAGCAGCAACTGGTATCGTATCAAAGAATTTAACCCTGAAACTCTCAACGGGCCCAACAACCAAATCCGCTCCAACCCTATAATCCATCGTCAATTTAAACAAGTCACCTTCTTCAGTCTGCAGCAAGAAGAAGAATCCTCGCTTCAATTTATGTACTACGGATGATACGATTATGATTGACTTGGAAGACTCGGCATTTTCACCGTTAGCGCCGGGTTTTAGTGATAGAGCGTCCTTTCGTCGAGGTATTGGGATTCGTAGGGGTGGGTTGTTCTGATGTCTCCATGTAATATAGTTTTCAGAGCATACTAGTATGCCACTTGGACCATCTACGCCGCCTGGTACTGTTATAAGGAGATTTGATGTTGGGTTGACGGCTTCGCTCCACTTTCTCACAACGTGATTCAGACCTAAATCCAACTCGTAATACACCAATAGCTATCAGAGAGATTAAATGTGTCAGTACAAAACAAAAAGACTATAGAAGATATTCTGGCAACCTTTTCGGTATTATTGAATGCTTCCCCCGTTGGATCTTGATCTGAATCAGTATAATCGACTTCGAGACACGCAAATATAGGATTCTCAAATCCTACATCTACAGGAGCCATATGATGTACAATAGTATTCGATTTATGTGCTTCGAGAGGCGACGAAATGGTCAATTTGGCAGCTGAATCACGATTGAGAACGTATACAAGTTTTTGTTTTTCCATAGCACCTGTATGAAGCAAACAGTCAGCATTCTGAGACAAAAAAAGTGCGCTTTTTTACGAGTTACCTATCATGACGGCACGACCCTTTGGATCAGCAGCCAAGTGTTGACCGGGCACTATTCGTCGAACCCCACTTTTACCATACGTCTCCTGATGCACCTTATCGAATACATTCTTTACTGGATTGTATTCTAGAATGACTATTCGTCCTGAATCTGATCCAACAATCAGGTAATCTAGTATGATGTATCGAGTCTTTAGCTTCCTTGTCGCAAACCCACAATGTCCAAGCATCCAGTTCAAGTACCTTTTGAAGCACCTGTCAATCTAAAGGGAGCGATGGAGCGTATGATGCCAAATACTTGATGCGACAATAGGGTGTTTATCTTTCCCGTTTGTGAATCGAGTTTTAGTAATTCCAAAATGCTTCCCTTTGCGACAATGATTTCCTGCTGTTTTGTGCCGGAAAAGTTGCCCAGCACACATAGACTCAGGCCTGTCGGAGGCTGAAGTGTCAGAGCATACGTGAACATTATTTCCAATAGTACCAAAGGGTTGATTGTCGACAAAGTCTAGGTTGCAAATGTTTGAAAAAATGTGAGAATGGTTCAAAGCTAGTGACTGCAATGGCATTTGACAGCCATCCTGATGCTCTTCACGCGTAACGGGATCTGATGATGTACCTTGAACCACCTTCTATTGCACCGTGGGCTTACGTAGCAAAATCTGAAACTTTGGAAGGAGCTCGTAGCGCGTTGAAGAGAGAGTTGACTACGCGCTCTCCGTAAGCTCTCGTATTTGGATCGCGAATATAACAGATAGCAGTAAAGACCGTAGTCGTGTTTCTATTGTATTTCTCGCTAAAATAACCAATTTGTATTTGAGCTATATATCTATAATAAACCCCCACCATCTTGCCATACACTATCACAAAGCTAGAGGAGGAAGACCCACTTTTCGTCGAAGTTTTTGTACATGATCTTCTTCATCTTCATCTCTATCATCTTCCTCAAAATCCAAAGGATTATTCTCTTGAGACCTATAAACACCACGGCAAATACTCAACTGAAACTGTACATTGGCATACGTAAATGTTGGAGCCTAAAAGGAAAAATGAGTGAGGACGCGAGGATGTGAAGGAGCTCCAATCCACAGTTGGAACATCGTAAAATAATCGAAGCCAATTATTCAGGTGATTGTATGAGAGCACTCCTGGCTTTTTTGTATATGGACAACCGCTATTGAATGGATGCCATCTATGCGATACGATGAAGATCTACGAATCGAACTATTGAAGGCTGCACACTACTACGACTTGGATATACTCTATGCAGCAGTCATCAAGAAAATAGCATCCGTAGACTTTGAGCCTGAAAGCGTTCTCGACTACTTGAAACTCGGGGCTCAGTATCCGCGAGATGATTATTTTCTCAAACGTGCTAATGTGAAGAATCGAAAGGAAGTTATGGACTCGGAGGAATTTCCGTATTGAATGAAGGACCCAGCCTCTTCACTGTCTTGCGCGAGGTTTTGGTTGCAATGACTCGAAGCTAATGCGGTGGGGATGATTGTTTGAGAAGGAGGGTGTGGTTGTGAAGCTATATCCTCCAGGTTCAACTCTACTGGGTCATAGTTGTTCTTCGTATCGAACATTGCACATTTTCTATGTAAAGAGCCCAACAATTGTGTAATCTTGCATAAAATATAGGTTACAGATCTCTTCTTTAACAAATGTCACGGCTTGCAAACATTCACCGTCACAGAAGTAAGGGACTCGATCCTATGGCGACGGTCTTCATAGCGAGTATTCGGGAAGCCTCTCACCGAAACTTGTCTCTCTTTTTATTGCCCTGCCTTGCGCCACTTGTTTGTGACGCAACTTGGAAAAACAGTGCAGCAACATGTTTTCTATAGCTTGCAATACCCGTAATCCTTTCAATCCTGTCTAGATTCGCAGTCCTGAAATTTTGCAGTAACCGCCCGTTTTGAATTTTAGCAGTCTCGTGAATCAGTAGATCCTCCAATCATGTTTAATTACCCAATGTTTTGGGGGGTGGCCCCTAACCATATCTGGAGATACACACGGAGAACTTTCAACAAAACAGTTTTACGTTAGTTCCACTAGAATTCTATCGCTATGGCAAGGTAACCTTTTACGTTTTCGGAATCACGCTTCCAGAATTATTCTATTTAACCTCCTTGTCCGGTTTAGCTCCATTATAGCGGCCAAACGAAGATGCACAATCCCGATTTGGGTCCTTTTGATGGCAGAAACCATGATAGTGTCTGCTGCTTTAGCTCTTGTAGTTAGTCTGGTCATTACGAATGCCACGACCATATCCTTAAACACCTTCGGAACAAGCTTAAGAACCTCGTTGATCAATCGTGTCATCGGAAATGGTTTGTGAAACTCAATTTCAAAATGCGTTATAACTAGCCCAATTTACTCAATCACTACATTGTATATTTAGTAACCTCCGAACTGGTGGGAATTGAGAGAGCTTTACATGCAGTGACAGAAAACGGTGCTATGAGAACGTTTGTGAGCTCAGAACCAGCTATTGCCACCAATGGCGGTGTTTCGTCCATCAACATTACTGCCAACTCTTTGATCCTGTCCTTGTTACCAATGACAGCAGCCCTTTGCACGGGTATTCCATCTTGTGCGGGCCTAGGCTTTGCTACCGGTAATTACTTGAAATCGCTTTTACTTATAAGAATGGAGAATATTGACACCATCGGATTGAATCTGTATTATGTATTAGGTGAAAATCTCTGCATGGCCTTTGTGAAGCCTGCACATTGTGAGGCTCTTCCTTTGAATCTCAATTTCTCAAGCAATGTCCAACCTGATTTCTTTCATTCTAGATGTTCTACAAGATATTACCACAGGGAGTGGGACCTCGCAAACTAGTCAAATGTATGCCATCAACCAAGACACTTCCTACAATGCTATTCTGGACTCGACGACGTATCTTGGCCCGTTGAACTTTCGTTATAATTCAACTGCGTCGGTCATTTTGGGAGGGTTTACGTTGCCAGCCTTGACTTCGCAACCGATGTGGTCTGACGATTACCGAATCAATCAGCCCATTGCCAATTCTTCACGCTTTACACAATTTAGTATGTATTGTGATTTCCATGTGATTTACAAAAGACGCTTCAATATGTATGACTCGAACACCCCTTCTCCTTTCGTTAGTCGCAATAAGAAGGATATCGTATCTGAACATGCCACTAGACACCGGCACAGCTGGTCAGCGATTCACGAGGTATGTGGCGATAAAAGTGGTACAAGATTCCATATTGTTGGCTAATCGCATCCTCGATGTACTAGCGTTGCTTTTGCGAGCTTCTCGATGGGGTCCTTGGAGGGAATTCTTGCCTCATTTCCGGTGACAGCAAACGGACTTGTTTACATTGTCCATCCATCAGGCAATATGGTCAGCTCATCGGTCTTGAATGTGAGCCAGATCAATTACGGACCAATGACTTACAATGCCTCGAATTCGCCAAACCTCTATATTCAACAAACGACACTGTCACTCCTTTCCCAGTACGGTTCTCTGTACTTTGTACCGGCCGCGGGGGTATCGTTGACTGTCACCACATTGACCACGTCTGAAACTCTTCTTGTTGATGTTCAATGGTTGAATCGAACAAATCTAAACTGGCTGGTCGTTACCGTCATCCCTCGGTCTGACATATGGGGAATCGTAGATATCAGCAATCGAAACGCCGGAGTAGCAGCGGGGGTCGTGGGTGTAGTTGGTGCCTTGATTAGTATTGCCTTGGCATTTTTCCTCTCTCGACCCATCCGTATTCTTCAAGAGCAAATGGCCAAAGCTGGTGAATTTGATTTCAATGGGTTGAAATCCGGCTATCTGAACAATTTGTCGCTCTTTACGGAAATCAATCTTATGCAAAAGACTTTCGGTGACATGCTTCGAAAGTTTGCTGATGGCATTCAAAGGAACAAGGAGCTTATGGTACCATCAATGACAAAAGCAGCGTATTCTGGAGGGAGATACTCCGTCTCGTAGTTTCGAATGGATATTGTGTTTGGAATGTTGCCTCGTAAAAGGAAGACCGAATGGTAGTCTTGTCTTGTAAGAAAGTAGTCAAATTTAAAAAGAGAGCACTTGTAGTTTCAGTGTTTCTGTGTGTTGACGTGTCTTGGCTCAAAATGCAGAATGCACCAAACTTGTTGAGGTTTTTTTTTCACAACACCACATGTTGGCTTCAGGGTGACTACTTGCGATCGGAGTAAGTGCTATGTGATAGAAAATCGTGTTTGGCAAGTTTTTTGGATTACTGTGTGTAGCTCGCGTCTACTCAGAGTCACGCAACGCAATAGCTAGCATATGATAATACATAGTAAGTCCCTTACATCATTGGCTTTATGGTGAGTTTGGAAAGATTTACGCGTTTCTGAAGGTCTGCGTGACTAACGAACGGTTGTTGTTGTTTCAACGTTTATCAATACTCGGCCTCACAACACCCAATCACCTACATTCAGGTCATCTTAGTGAATCACAAAGACTTGTTATATGTCTCATCCTATCAAGGGAGTCGGATCGCTGTCTGAAACGAAATGGACGAGCTTCAAGTGAGAACTACAACGGGATTCTCACGTTGTTAGAGAAGCCATTGAAAAGAAGAAGAGGCGCCCCGAACGAAGTTTGCAATGGCTCTAAATTCCAATCTGTACCAACAACAGCTGAATCATCTCCTCTTACCCCTTTGTTTCGCTTCTAGTCACCTATTTTCAAATTCGAAGACATAGAATTGTATCCGTTGGGCGACAAAGAAGACAACAAGAGTGTAGTACTCAGTAAGTGAACTCTAGGCACGTCATCATCTTGCTGCCAGCTCAATGTGACCTTTGTCATTACAGGGGTAACAAAGCTCACCAACTATCCGAAATGCAGGAGACAGCGAGGTGAACCATCCATCCGCGGGCATAGCATACGGCCAAATTCAGTGTGCTCCGTTTACGTGAGCTCCGAAAAGAGTCTGAAATTGAGAAGTTATGTGACAAAAAATAACAAGAGAGATATGAGACAATGGCTCAATCGAAATTCTATAGGCATCGCAGTCAACGAAATGCGGTCAACTTGACAAGGTGCTTCAAAGTGCAAGCGGCGCTTCATTTTATTGCTTCTCTAATGAAAATTTACTCACATGCATCCGTTTGCTACTCTAGTGCCTCTCTCTGTCTCTTGTCTCAGGTGGGTCTACCTGTTTTCTGATTGTTATGAACTTTTCACGGGGATTCCTCTCTTGTCTTTAGCTATAGCCCTGCAGCAATATGGAGACTGTAAAACCTTTGGAAGTGAGAGAGATGTGTCTCGCAGGTTTGGATGGGCTCCCGGGAATAGCGTTCAACTGCACCTCGAACTCATCTCAACAGTGGTCGCCAAGTGGTTGAGTATCCTTCGGCACTGCTCAGTTGAGAAAGCAATGATCCCGGGCTTGGCGACGCCACAGTGTTATTTCCCATTGGGACAAGGTAATGTTTGCTAATCCCGATTAGCTTTTCAAGTTGGATTTGGCATGAAGTCTAAAACATGACATTGACTCATATTTACTCCTCAATCGCCTCTAGGACTCGGAGAAACAGCCTACGTTCTCCTTGTTGCCGTGGATTCTCGACAGTGAGGTGTATGTATTGTTTGGGCATCCTTCGGTTCAGCCCTTACAAGATAATGCCTCATGTGGTGAGAAGCGAATCTTATTTCTCATTTGGACAAGGTTTGAGGAGTATCGATTCTCCTGTTTGAGCATCCTTCGGGACAGCCCACTGCAAGAGGAAAGGTGTCTCACATTTGAAGCTTCTTACCCCTTTGAACAAGGGGAGGGATCGAAACGTGGAACTGATACCAGAAGAATCGTTGTGGCTAACACGTTTCTCACACCGTTACAGACTATTCTTGCTGGTTTAGTTAATTAGTCCTCCGGCCAACAAGAGGACACACGCAATTGTATAAGGCACTTAGAAACTGGACATTTCCCTTGATCTGCTGGGACTCGTGATGGGCAAAGCATCGGACAGACTCACACAGAGACACTGACATATCGCTCACAGTCCCACATGTAATTGTAATGGTCTCAATATATTATATATGATCCCTTATAAAATAAAGGCGCTGTGAGATTTAACATTCTCACGTTGAAGCTTCGCGTCAACTCAACTGGAATGTTTGGATTCGATTTCACACTGCAGCAGATTCTTGAGAGATGCATTCAAGAGTGAGCAGCTTTCCGGTGGAAGGCTTGCTACCAAAAGAGGTAAGATCTCTATACTTTTCATAGAAGCGCGACTGTCTTTGACATGCAAGTTAATTGACTATTGATTTGTAGGAACTTGGAGCTCAAGCATTCGTCGACAAGAATCCTAAATGGGACGGTCGCGGCGTCGTTATAGCAATTCTTGGTACGTTATTTATCGCAAGAATTATCGTCCGTCCGCCATTATCCCTACATCAAACTCTTGCTCTTGCACGACATTAATAGTCAAACGATTCCAAATATTCAACTTCAACTTACCGTTCAGCTGGACGCGAAATTAACCACGAATTTGGACCCAATTTCTATTATAGATACTGGAGTCGATCCTGGTGCGCCTGGTCTGCAAGTTACGCCCGATGGTCGTCCGAAAGTAATTGATTGCATTGGTAGGTGCTAGTTGCACCGTAGTCTGATACCAGAGCTCTGATCTGTGCTAGAACAGGCTCCCACAAATAGCAATCGTCGCTTTGATCCGGTTTTCCTCTTCGCACTAATACCCAGGGTAAAGCAAACTCGAGAATTGACAAATGTGTCTGACGAACCTTTCGGTTAGATTGCACTGGATCGGGAGATGTAGCGATGTCTACCATCGTAACTGCGCAAGAATCAGACGGCTTAAAATCTGTAAATGGAATCTCTGGTCGCAAACTGATTCTCAACTCATCGTGGAAGAATCCATCTGGCTCTTGGAAGCTCGGAGTCAAGGCCGCTTACGACGTCTTCCCAAAACCACTTGTAGATCGACTAAAAGAATCCCGTAAAAAGCGATTTGAGCTAGACCATCATGCCCTTCTCGTATCCGCCGAACAAGAATCCATCGATTTCGAAAAGGCTCATCCAGGACCTTCTGAAGACGTTGAAACAAAACTTGATCTCAAAGCTCGAGTTGAAGTATTACGAGATCAATTTAAATCTTTCGAAGAATCTGGATGGTTGTTGGACTGCATTGTTTGGCATGATGGAAGTAAATGGCGAGCTGTAGTTGATGTTGATGAATCTGGAGATGTATCATCGCAGACTCCATTAAGCAACTTTGCTGATGAACGTCAGTTCGTCAAGATTGATACTGAAAGTCAGCTCAACTTTTCAGTAAATATATATGACGAGGGTGAGATTTTAAGCATAGTCAGTCTCGCTGGAAGCCATGGTACACATGTAGCTGGTATATCAGCTGCCTATTATCCAGATGATCCATTAGCTGGCGGTGTCGCTCCTGGTGCACAGATTGTATCTCTGAAAATAGGTGATACTCGTCTAGGATCCATGGAAACTGGAGCGGGATTCACTAGGGCCGCAATAGAATTGTGTCGCTTGAAGTGCGATCTGGCGAATATATCATATGGAGAACCTGCTGCCATTGCCAACTTTGGTAAAGTGGTCGAGCTCCTTAGAGATGAAGTGATAAATAAGAGTGGATGTATCATTGTTAGTTCTGCTGGCAACGAAGGACCTTGTTTGACCACAGTTGGAGCTCCAGGTACGTCAATTTCAGAGGCTGGCTAGCTTGCACTGGATTGAATGTGTTGCGTTTTTTTGGCAGGTGGAACCACTGCAACCATCTTGGCAGTTGGTGCGTACGTCACAAAGTCGATGATGCAAGCAGAATATTCAATGCTAGAAACTGTCGCAGAGACTCCTTATACATGGTCATCTAGGGGTCCGACTGTCGACGGAGCCGTCGGTGTTGACATTTATGCGCCAGGTGCAGCAATTACTACCGTCCCCCAATATAATTTGTATGGTAGTCAGCTCATGAACGGTACAAGCATGTCAAGCCCGTCGATGTGTGGAGGTGTTGCTCTGCTCGTTTCAGCTCTCAAAGCAAACGGGATTCCATACACACCATACCGCGTCAAGGCGGCGTTAGTGAATACCTCTAAAGACATTGGAGATCCACAAAAGGTTGGATTTGCTCAAATCATACCAGCTTGGGAATATTTGAAGGCCACTAGTAATTATCAGTTGGATGTGTATTACGAAACTAGTATTTTAGAACGAGGAAATGCTCGTGGTGTATATTTACGGGAGCCTGAAGAGACAACGAGTGTGTCCCAATACACTGTACAAATCCAACCGGTCTTTTCCAACAAAGAGGACCCGTCGTCCGCTGAAGCCAAATTGAAATTGGAGGTTCGCATGACTTTCAAGAGTGACGTTCCATGGATCAGGTATGATGAGCCGATCGTATTCAGTTTCCTCTCCTGGGGTTTGTGTCGCTTCACCGCTGACTTAGTGTTTTGTTTAAAACACACTCAGCACTCCCGAATTCCTGCTACTGAATAGCGGTGGCCGTACTTTTGCCATAAAAGTAGACCCAACGAGTTTGAAACCAGGCCTTCATGTTGGACGTATAAATGGATACGATACTTCACGTCCGGAAGCTGGTGTCTTGGTGTCTATACCAGTAACCATCGTGAAACCTATATCTGTAGACGCTCAATCGCCGACGAAAGATGGAGCATTCTTTGTTAGATATTTAGATTTGGACTTTATTCCTGGTACTATAGAACGTAGATTTATCGCTGTGCCGAATGATGCAAACTTTGCAGGTACACTTTGGTTGCGAAACAATCTTTTAACCAAGCAATCCACTAATGATATGACTCCTGTTAGATGTGACTTTCAGATCAGAAAACCGTGAAACGTCCGGCCGCTTTATGGTTGATTGCAAACAACTGGTCCCTCAAACAAGACATAATCGCTTTAACAAGGACTGGATGTTTTCGTTTGGTACTACGAATAGTGGGTCATCAACTGAACACAATGTACAAACCAAGACGTTCGCAGTTCAGCCAGGTGTGACTATGGAATTGTGTATTGCTCAATTCTGGAGCAGTTTGGGCAAAACTCGATTATCGGTTGAAATCAAATTCCATGGTATATATTTATCTACTTCTTCTAATGTTGGTGGTAATGCATCGACCCAAGGAAGTGGTGTTTTGTGGTTGAATTCAGGCAATCACGGATTTTCGAGATTGGAAGTGCGAGCTCCCATTCGAAAGGAGGACGTGCAGATATCTATATCGCTAGGTAGATCATAGACATGCCTTATTTCTTTTAAGTCAAAACGGCAAACACTATTAACACACTTTTTTGGCAGACACTCTGCAGAAGTCCATTCGGCCAGACAGTTGTGTCATCTCTCCATTGAAATCCCGAGACGTTTTACCTGATAGTCGTCAGATCCACCAAGCTATCTTGACTTATATTTTCAAGTAACCTCGCCATCTTTGATTGCCAATGTGTTTGGTACATATTTATAAATTAATATTGATAGGGCTCCCGAAGGTGGTGGAAGTGTTACTCCTCGTTTCCCACGTCTGAATGAAGTCTTGTATGATTCTGTATTCGAGGGATTCTTTGGTCTTATATACGATGCAAACAAGAGAGTTGTGTCGTCACAAGATATTTATCCAAAGGTGAAATTTAGTGCCGTTTTCTTCGCTTTTTTCGGCTCTTGACACGTCTTACGCGGTATAACTCTAGGTCATCAAAGCAACAGATGGAACATATACCTATAGAGCACAACTCATGTCTCGCTCTGTGGACTTGTTGGATCGAATCTCAAACATGCCAATGATTCTCGACATCGCCATCACAAAACCCATTTCATTGAGTATATACCCTACGTTGGGTGATTTAATGGCAGGATCATCTGAAGGCTTTAAGAAAAAGACTTTGGAGGCTGGTGGAAAGACATTCTGTTGGGTTTTGGCAGCAGACGGCTTGCCAAAGGATAGCAAACCTGGAGATCTAGTAGTAGGAAAAGTAGAACTAGGTCAAAAGATAGAAGGCACTCTATTCAGTGCTGTTTATATTGTACCGTCTGAAGTCAAACCTCCTGCACCAGCTCCAACAACTGGAGCAGATGAACCATCGAAAGATGATCAAACGCTCATGAAGGAAGAAATAAGAGATTTACAAATCAATTATTTAAAGAAATTGCCTGAAGAAGCTAGAAAAGAAGTCTTGGCTAAGCTCGAGCAAGATTACCCGACTCATCTACCGCTACTTGTTGCTCGTCTTGAAATATTGGCTGACAAGGAGCAAGCGCTCATTAAAGCTAATACGCCTGTGCCTCAAGAATTGGGTCAGGAGATCGTTTTGTCTGCTGACAAAGTCCTAGGTAAATGCTTATGTTTTCAATTTTGTTTTCGCATTGTATGACTATGCGATAATTTAACAGATTTCATTTACGAACGTCCGTCGTAGAACGAGTAAACATCAAAGAACTAGCCATGTGGTTTGGCGTCAAGCATGATTTGACACTAAAACCCGAAATCGCCAAAAACAAGGAAATGGGCAAAGCGAAAGAATCCGCCATTTATGCTTTACAATGGAAGGCTACTGGATTCCGTGATATTGTACAGGCACGAGAAACTGCTTCTCCTTCTACATCTGCTGCAGATGACGCGTTGATTGCCTTTGATGCTGCGATGGTTGAATACATGCAATGGTTGCCTGATCCTGCTACATCTGATGGTAAGTACTTGCTATTGTGGGTATGGAGGCAGCGCAAGAAGGGTCGCTTAGGCTCCTCTATCAAAGGTACGTTCTCGTGCTATTTGATTGCGTAGCTCTGCATTATTACTTACCCATCTGTAAAACTCATCTACGGCAAACCCAAAGCTATCAACAAGTTTTTGGGTGAATCAAAGAATGTGTCTGATGCAAATTATAGCAAGTGCCTTGATATCAAGAAGAGTCTGCTTGTTGATCTTGGTTGGAGGGTAAGTACACTGATTTCTTTTCCGTAAATTATGGCTCTTTAGAGATCATTGACACTTTTAATGCTCTGACCTGTAGGCATGGCAAAAGTATGAAGAACGTAAATTGAACCCGACAGATTGGGCACCATTCTAAAACCAAACACACACTATAAGTCAACGTCGAATACAAATCTGTCGATTGAAGAATTAGGTCGTTTTCTTTGGAGTGTGTTTGCGCTGTTTTCTAAGTTCCCTTTTTACAAGAGTTTTTGGAGGAAAACCAATGGACTCGAATTACCAATTGCTTTAGAGACAGTCTCCTGCTGACTGTCATGCTCATCAAAATGCTACTTTGTTGCCTAGGATATCCGCTTGAATGTCAGAATTTGAAGCCCAATCTGAAACAGGTTTCGGCGTTACTAGCTCTACTACAGTAATGCCACACTTATGAGCAAGTGTTGATACGTATCATGCCGTGATGTCGATATTTCGGTCGTATGTGGTATCGTGGAATAAAAACCCTTTCATTCAAAGCCACAATGCCTTCAAAGCACTGTGCCAACAAACATTAATTGCTTATCAACGCAACAAGCTGGACCATATACTGCAACAACCCACGTACAAACCAATGATTTCAGCGCCAAACTATCACTGATTTGCAGCAGCTGAAATTAATATTCGACTGATAACGCCATGGTACCACCACAATTACTGCCTTTGAACACAAACTTGACGAGCATGTTTCAGCCGCTTTTGAGGCATTCTAATGAGGTATATGAGCTCTAGAATCTCTAAACTTTCATCACGTATCTCATTCAGATGTCGCTGTTTCATATAGGCCGAAAACCCAGATTATGGTTTGCCTGAATATGCATATAACAGCTTTGACGATACGTCTTCCTTGACTGATGAAGACAGAAGTTCATCTATAAACTCACCATTCAGCTATAACGATCGCTACTTTGCTGACTTTGGAAGTCTGCTGTCGACTTCGATAAACGTGGCCTCAGTCCTGCCGATGCAGACCGGGTATGAGATGTTACGACCAGAAGGAGATGAGCTGCTAAATCCTGAGGATGTAATCAAGGCGTCTTCCTCGTCGTCTTCGGATATGCCACTACCAGCGTTGAAGCTTGATGTTGGGTTGCAAGCGTATGATAATGCAGAACCGATAACACCACCTTCTACTCCTTTGATATCTACAAAATCGAAGTTTCTACACTCTCGCAGTGCTAGTAGTCCAGGTGGCAGCAAACGAGGGAGGAAAAGACGTGAAGGTCGATACGAATGTCCTGACTGCCATAAGGGATTCAAAAGGTTGGCGAAGCTCTTTTGATTCTTTCTTGGTATTGCATGCTTAATTGACATTTCTGATAAATTTCTCTCTTCGTTAGGCCTTGGAATCTCAAGAGCCATAGGATCATCCACACGGACACTTGGGATTTCTTTTGTGAACACTGCTCAAGAGGTTTCAGAAGAGCCAATGACTTGAAGAGGCACTTGAGGCTCCACACAGGTATGCTTGTGATGGGTCATCTGAAGCCACTTTAAGGGAGTAATCACACTTTCTTGTCGGATAGGAGAACGCCCATACCAATGTAACACATGTCTTAAATCATTCTCGAGACCGGACAATGCTAGTACTCATGTATGCCATGGACCACCATGTAGAGAGGGAATGTAAAGAGTCGACTGCTCACACAATACTGTCAAGTTGAATTTGTTTAAAGTGCTTTGCCAATGACTTTCTCGGTTGTTTGAATATTGTCCATTTTGACTGTACTTGAATCAAATAAATGGTTTGTTACATATCATCATTCTACTGTCACTTGTTTCTGAAATAGTAGAACGACCAATCCAAACTCCATGTATTTTCAGTGGATTCGCGGAAGTCTAAACTGGATCAAAAAACCGCCCTCTTCGTTGCTTAAAGATTATTATAGATGTCACGGCAAATGAGCGGTTATTCGGTCGGGATAGGGAAAATCGCCGGTACCTTTTCTGGTGATCCAACAACAAAATCCCATCGACTTCAACACAGGCCGCTCAAGCTGACAGGCGTCACAGCATTGGAGAACACTCTGTCGAGTTTATCTTAAGCCTCAGCAACTTACTTACAAACCGCGGGATTTCTCGTGTTGCGTCTCTTTTGTCGCAAACAGCCAAAGTGTCAATATAGACGAGAATTCTGGGTCTGGATGATGACTATAAGATGCTTCTCATGATTCTATCATGGAAACAAATAGCATCCATATATCTAGTAAGTTCCATCGAATCTACCATATCGGTTGGAGTGCCACGTATACAAAACGTTTGCACCCTCGCCTCTCAGTCGTCACCAGTTGTCACATCGCACAACTGTCTATTATGCCGAGCTTCTTCTTCTCAGTCCCTTCTGATGCTGTCTGCACTGTACTTCGTGGTTTCATTTCTCTCATATCGTATCGTATGACTACCAGTGATTTGATGTTGTTCCTGTGCTTTGTGGTTTCAACAAAGGATCCTGGAAAGATCGCCCGTCCCCGTCCTTTACCTTATACATGCATGCGAATCTGGCCCCAACTAAAGCTTCCATTGCAGTACTCTCCTTCAGTCAGCGATAGCTTAGAAAATAATTGTCCTTACTTGGGCAGGGACATCGGACGTGTTGTAGGTATAGAGCTCGTGTAAGACCAAGGTTTACATTATGACTTTGACTATGAAAATCATCAATTTAAACCAGTTTAAAGTAGACATGCATGCCAAAGTCGACGTTTCCGACCGAGATTTTCATTTTTAAAGAATTCGACCAGATAGTTCTACACGGTCGCTCAGCAACTACGCACGGAATCAGTCTAAAATAATAAATTGCAAGTGATGGAGTTGTAATATCACGTTTCAATAGCGCTCATGTTCGTCGTCACTGTCTGGTCTTTTGATTTTTGTCATCACCCATCATCATCCATCAATATGACGGTTCAATCAGCCATGGACGTCGAGTTCTCACTGATACTCGGTATAGCACTACCAGAAGACGGCATAGCACTACCAGAAGACTGGTCGCTTCTTCATGAGATTCAGGAAGGAAACTATTCAAAAGTCATAAACTCGGACTGTGCCGACAAGATACTTAATGTCAAGGCAAACAAGGACCAAATACACTCCATTGAAGGTGTGTGCATATGTTAAAGTGATCTGCGTGCCTCTCCTTAGTAGATCTGGTTTGAAATCACGGTTTTTCTGTCGATATCAAAACATGGCAAAAAAAATCATTTATTAATCAAAGCTAACCTATAGACTTGTCTAAGCGCATCGAGTCACAATCTGAACGCTATATCAACGATTCCACATCAGAAGAAGATAAATTACGGCGTGAATTGGACGTGCTCGCTTTGGGAGTTGGCTTTCTAAGTGTTTATTTGCAATCGAGTTGGACTGGGCCAAAGTTTGAGGATGCGCTATACGATGAGCTAGTATGTATCGATAAATTGGTGTGATATTACAGTCATAATTGACTCTTGCGCTCATGACTAGGACTCGTCAATACGAAAAAGCACTCTCAAGTTTTTGAGTGAAGATGACGAAGATGTGTATCATTTGATGCCACAGCCTCTTTTCTTGGCTATTGCCAAGATGATACTTGTCGACAATTCAAGTTTGCTGAAAGATCTTAATGTAAGAGCATGGATCAGGGACGAAAACGTTTTTTGCTTAACTCGAAATCATTTCATGTGTAGACATCTCCATGGTGGAAGTTTAGGTGTAGTTTCATTCAGCAACGAGTATTAGCCAATCCAACTCAGACCCTGTTTGATATCATATTGGAGTGTATCGATGAGGGTGAGACTCGGTGATTTTGAACTCAGCACAAAAGTGCTAACATAGAGCTTTTCGAATAGCTCGCACCAGACTACCAGCTCTCAATGACGACAACAGGTACGAATGGCATACAATGCACATAAACGTATTCGCCATACTGATGCTACTATTCCCAACAGGGATTTACATGTAAAGCTGGATTTGGAAGAAGGTTTAGTACATTCCTTCCACCGTCAAGACCTGAAAGCATATGTACGCCATACAATACCCAATCGTATTTTCTTCTCCGTATGAACGTATTATTCCTCCTTTTAGACATCATTCACGTCAGCATCAACAACCTCAAACCTGAAATGGTCCATGAGTGGCGCTCTTGGCAAAAGAACCAAATTCCAGTCATTCGATGTAGCCCAATTAGTTGTAGTTGCCGAAAGCGCTCCGCGTAATACCAGCAACAAGATGCTATCAAAGGAAGATGTCTCCAACCTACCAGACACGTTGGCATTGAATGATGATACCTTATTGGAAAAGATTTCGTTTACGAAAATGGAAGATGCTACGAAAAAGGATGTGTCCAAGCAAGGGTCTTTGAGGATTATGGATCAGTGTATATTGCTTGCTTTCTGGTAAGCAATTCATCGAGCGTTTGTAACTGTTTTTCTTTTTGGCTCACGCAAGTTACTTGGGCATAGTTTGAACGTCAAGAACACGAATCCAACACACGGACTGACGGAGGAAGAGATGGTGCCGTATGTCACGGTATGCGGCCAAAACAATGGTGTACTTGATACGTTTGGTGTTGGCGCCTCTTTACTCACCAAGCTTTGCTCCACACTATAGCGAGTGTTAGAGAACCCCAATAATTGGATGGTTCATACAATGGGACTGCTATTAAGATCAAGGCTTGAGTCTCAAAAGTCGAGAACTGTAGAGAGATCGTGTCTGCAGATTCAGGTATAAATCATGGAGAGCCACTTTAATCTTTTTTTGTCGTCTAATAAAACTTTCATTCTCAGGCTCTAGTAGATCAGATTCCAATAAAGGAACCATCCCCGGCTGAACGATTACTTCACTTTTATGACTTGCTGGTGCCGTCAAAATGGGATTTGGAGGTATGTCGTGTCACAGCACCAAAAAAGGAAGATTCCCATTGTATATGCAAAGTCGCAGCGAGAGAGTGGATCAGCTATACATTCCAACTGATTCTCGACATCTGCAGTCACGTTTTGTGACTCTCTTGCTGAATGCTCTCTCGTTTGCGCCAATTTCAATTCATTTTGAGTTGGATTTTCAAGACTTTTGCAAGAATGAAGAAAAGAGTGGTATCATAGTACATCATGATGTTGACGTATTGGGGTTTTAAACATTTTCAAGGAAAAGGTTTTTTTCTTTGTTGTGTTGAAGATTCTTTGTCAAGCAATCATTGTGATGTCTCCAATCGCCAACACATTTGTCGCTTCTTCTATCGCGTTATTTTGTTGGTGTTGAAAGGCTCACAAACCTTGTCAAACCAGCGTGAATTAGGTGAACGTCTGATATCTCTGGGTGTTATGAGATCTGCCATGGAAATATATGAGAGACTAGAGTTATGGCAAGATGTTATCTCGTGTCTAATGTCGCTGGGTCAAGACAAGCAGGTTTGTGTCCGTTGCCTTTCATGCTCGTTTTGGTCTCACTCATCGTCGACTTTCTCTCACAGGCAGAAGAACTTGTAAACAAACGCCTCGCAGAAACACCCAAATCGCCACTCCTACTCTGCATCCTCGGCGACCTGAAAAAAGATCCCTCATACTGGCAACAAGCCTGGGTAGCATCCAATTATCGATATGCAAGAGCAATGAGGTCACTAGGATCATTTCATTTCACAAGAAAAGCATATGCTGAAAGTGTGGCATGTTATCATCGAGCGTTAGCAATCAATCCACTATTTGAGAATTCGTGGTTTGTGATGGGATGCGCGGCAATGAGGATTGATGAATGGGATACTGCTGCGAAAGCCTTTAATCGGTGTATTAATATCGATTTTGAGGTATGCCATAGGCTGTGTCTGAGTTTGAACCATAAGACAGCCCGGTCTCATTGATTTTTTCTGCATTCTCGCATAGAACGGAGAAGCATGGACGAATCTCGCATCCGTTTACATCAAACAAGGACGTAAACGTGATGCATGGAGAGCACAACGTGAAGCCCTCAAACAAAACTTTGAGTCGTATCGAATGTGGGAGAACTTTATGGTGTTTTCTATTGATTTGGGAGAATTCGACGAGGCTATACAAGCTTTGAAACAGATTGTAGAGCTGAGGTGGAAGCAGGTTGTCGGGAGCGGGAATGCGTTGGGTGATGAAGAGAAGATTGTTGATATTGAGGTAATGAGTTTATTGCGTTGGATGCGATTGTGTGGAATGCTAACAAGGCGCTACTCAATAGGTGCTTAATATACTGGTGGGTGTTGTAGTCCATGAAACACCAGATGCTCGGGGAGTACCAGGTTGGTTAAGACAACCGTGGTTGCACATCATAACGTCGTTTGTTCTCGTTTCTCATCTCACTTCTTCCAACTAGCTTCCCGACTGGCGCCAAGAATGGAATCCCTCATTGAAGACATATGCTCCAAAATCGCAACATCATCATCCATCTTTCGAGCAGCAGCCAACTTTTACCAATCGCAACACGAAATACGCAGGAGTCTGGAATACCGTACTAAAGGGTATCGAGTCGGACTCAATCATCCTAGATTGACTCTTGATGAACATGTGTTTTTGGAAGCTGCGACTTCAGCTATGGATTTGGTGGATGCGCTTGAAACGTATGGCCCGCAGGCTGTGAGTGATGGGAGCGACGAGGTGTATGTTAAGGACTGGAAGTATCAGGCCAAGATGACGTTGAGGACTCTGGTTGGACGGACTAGAGTGGGTTTTTGTTTGAAAGAAGCGTTCGTTTGAAGTTTTGTTTATTTATTTTTCTGCTTGTTATTAGGATGTGTTCGAAAACCAAGAGAAACATATTCTGATGCGCGAGAAGCTAGAGACGCTCAAGTAAGCATATGCCATTTCAGTAGTAATCTAACTTAAATATATTGCATTGCCTGTGTATCGATGCCAAAAAAAAACCCCCAGCGGACAGTAAAGATGATACGGCGAGTCTTGCGAGCTATGAAACGCGCTTGCATGTTCAACACGTTCGGAATTCCGAATCTGCCTTCCAAAATCTCGACAGGCTTATGAAAGTCTTATATCTATCGAATGCAACTTTCGTCGATTGTACAAAAAGGTATGATGCGAACGAAGCGGACATTACGAGCACAACACTAACAGTCTCTACTGCCCTAGATCTTGTTCTTCTCTCATTACAATCAACGATGCTGTCAGAAGAACAAATGTCACCTCCTCCTCAGAGAGGAATGATTGTGCTGGATTTCAATGATGACTTTGATTTTGGATACGAGTAAGCAATTCCATACTCTACATCATATTTCAATCCATTCCTTCCTTCCAACCGTTTTAGTCGGTTTGCTAGGATGCGAAGTCCAACGCCAAAACTCATCAACATTTTTACATAGTTATATAAGCGACGAGGAAGAAAACTATGTAATCCTCGCAAGCAAAGAAGACGAACAGCCATTCGGTGATGACGATGATATGCCAGCGGACTTGCCGCCACCTGGATTCTTTCACCAAATGAAGGGTGAATCAGCTGCACCACCTGAACTCAAGGTTATAAACCATTCAAAGAATACCGTTACTTCGCTCTCTACTGTGAAGGGTGCTACGCCGATAGCAGCAGGAGCAGGAGGAGCAGATGACGGGCCTCAAATTATTCGACTTGCACAGTGGACTTTGAAGAGGAGTGAGTTGGGTGGATCGTTTGAATCAAAAGTCAAGTCTGACTTATTCGTATGATTTCGTTTGTTTAGAGGACAAGTATAGTACTCGTGTCGCTTTGGCTGGCATGAACAAGGATGTTGAGGTCTGTTGCAAGACTATCATAGACGATGCTCCAAATGTCAGTTTTTTGCTCACATTCCGAATCTAAATTAGTGGGGCACTAGCCCAGTGCGTGATCGCATCGATGCACGAACCATTCGTTGTGTTAGTGGAAACATTTACTTGCTGGATGGTCCTCCATCAGTCAGGCATATGAAGGGACAAGGGTTTGATAAGGCCTTTGTTCGCAAATTCACGTTTGGATTCCCGTCTGATTGGAAACAGGTGATTAATGATTTCACGTCTGGGAATTCAACAGTGGCAAGAAGTGAAGTGACGAAGAATGAAGTCAAGATGGAGGGGGTTAAGAAGGAGAGGAAATCAATTGCATAGTAAAGGGGAGATATGTTTTTTATTGTACAGTGTGGTAGGCCATATATGTGTATTAGCTCGTTGTTATATTATGCTAGATTAGGGACCAACCTTGAAGGCGACGTTCTCAAGGTCGATATAGTGCGTAGGTGTTTAATAGTGGTTTGTGCGCGTCAAAACAGATCCGACGGCAGCTGTGTCTTGAGTAATCAGCCTGGCCTTTCTCCCTGCATCCCTTCGCAACATTCACAACTGTCCAAACTATCACAAGGAAGAGTGATTAACAGTCAGCAGACCTAGTTAAGCAAAATCTGATGTTCTATCATTGATATTGTTCTAATTTGCATTGATTTCACTCTGCCATTGCTCGCTGCCGGTAAATCTGAGTCAAACTGTCAAAACAAGAAGCAATGAAGATTTTTCTACTCTTTTGGATGCTGGTTGTGACTGTTCTGGATCAGGTCTCATATGGTCTGGCCGTTAGAGACTACACCAACATCCCAGGATTTCACATCCAGCAAAGCATTGACAACATTCGTCTGTTAGCAGTATGTGTTTTGACGCAAATGCCCGCATCAAGGAGCCTTTGGCTAAACCTGACCTGTTTATTAGTGGGGTGACTTTAATCCAGTGGTAGAAACCACACCTGAAACTGTTGGATTGATAATGGTAAAACTTGATTGATTGGAATCTTGCTGGCCTGGTGCTCGGTGTTTGTTGTTTGCTCAAATTATTCGCTTCACGTTCATCAGGCAGATGTAGATGGAAAACGTCTGAGAGCGTTTCCAGACTTGCTTGAGGCTTATCTCTCCTTGCAGGATGTCATGTCAAACCCAGATCCTGTGATGCCTTCTTCTGTCATGTTTGCTATACAGTGTGTATCCTTTGAAGCACATGTCAGGTTTAGGTTTCCTCCCGCCTACTCATATTGGTTCCTTCAGGTCTTATCATGGTCTCATTCTAGACAAAGCTGTACGCGACGAAAGCATTCTCAAGCACTACATGTTACGAATACCCCATTCTGAAACAGACCAGAGACTCAGAATAACAGCAAGAGTCTCCTCGATTCGTGAAATGGCTGTAGGACATAGAGACTTGCAGAAGTTGTATACTACAAGAGGAGACTTGAAATGGGCGGAGGAACTGAATATACCTTTTAACGATGATGGGATACCTTTTGATGAAAATGAGGATATAGAACAGAATTCAGAGTCTTCGACGTCAATACCTCGATCTACTCAGTCGGAACTCAGTACTTTGGAGGATGGTATTGAGATTACAAGTCCGCCATCCGTGCAATCTCGTCCTGCCAAAGATAAGGATGACGGAAGTGTTAGTCGTTTGAAATCAGCGTCTAGTAACAACAACAATATGGGTTTTCCAACGATAGCTTTGGATGCGGATGGTCTATTGTCGGTAAGATATGGTCGTGGAAAGGAAAAGGATGCTGGTGGTGTCAGTTGCGTAAAATCAAACGCTGGTCCGCCCGATATTATTGATTTTGTGGGCATATGGGATGCTCCTGACGATCGAGGAGATGCATCTATTGAAGGAGTTGCTGTGTCGATCAATGAGCATACACAGCAAGAAATGGGAGGTGTCTTGAGTCGAGCAGAGGTCTATGATGCTGGTAGTAGTAGTCGGCTTGATGTAGACCGTGGTACCCCTCATCTTGATCTGGAACTTGGTCTATCCTCACCTAACAGTCGTTTTCAATCTTTGAAGAGACCAGGATGTGCTTTTGATATAAGCAGTCAAGGTCATGTCTCTTTATTGGGAGAGTCTCCTAGTCATAGACCAGACTCTGACCATAAAAGTTCACGTTTAACACATATACGAAAATGAATGACAAATATGATAGGTCAAACATGGTCAGGAATATCAACTTCACTCTATAAGATAGCATCACAAAAGTTCCCAAGAGATCCTTTTGCAAAAATATATGTCATATGTCAGTTGTAATTTGTTAGGCATGTGTAGCTATTTGTAGCACTTCCTAGGATGTACCTGACACTAATGCAATACACAAGAACGCCATGTTGGTCCAGTGTCGTTTTATAAGCGGTCGGCCAGCGAGAAGCTCGCATAATATGAGAATACAGCTAAATTGGATACTCGCGAGAGGAAGGATAGTTCTTGAGCTTTTCACTTGTCAGAGACGCGAAAACACCTCGACCTGGAAACTGAACTGCAGTCCCAACCAATTCTGATGAAAACGATTAAGATTACACCATACACTCGCGGTATGAATCCTTTCATGAGGTTATGACACATGATTGTTGCTGAACGGTTTATCATCAACACGTTCACACGTTCGTTTTGAAGACACAAATTCTCACTTCAAAACTTGAACAACGACCAAGACGGCCACGCAACGCAAGTCACAAAATTGGTTAATTTCATCAATTTGATATTTTAAAAGTTGTATAATTCGCCTTTCTTTATTAAGTACTAGGTCTCTCTATCTTCGAAAGGCGAAAAAAAATGTCAAACATGATGAAGCTAGTTTTGGTGCTTCTTCTCGCTGTTCTGGATCTAGCTTCGTATGGATTTGCCGCGAGAGACTACACAGGCATCCCGGTACTGGCCATCCAACTTGAACTTGATGCCATTAGATTGATATCTGTCAGTGTCTTTGAACCAAAAGCGTCGCTTGTCAACCTGACACGGCGATTTTGCTAATGGTATCTAATGGTTCAATAGTGGAGCTATTACCATCCCTCGGTTGACACCACATCTCCAATGGTTCAGTTGATCTTGGTAATGTATTTTGTTTTTGATTGAATCTTGACTTGCAAAAATTGTAACTTGAGTTTTGTCCTTTTCATTATCAGCAAGAGAACGTGTGCGAGCTCTGCCTTCTTTGCTTGCGGCTCATCTCACATTTCAGGAACTCACGTCAATCCCACATCCATTGATGCCTTCTGCACTCATGCAAGCTATACAGTAAGAGACTTTGGCTCGTCATTAACATGAAATTTAATCTCAAGAACGATCTTCTCTCTCATTTCTCAGATCTTACCATGGCCTCGTCAGAGACACAGCTTTACGTGAACAAATCCGTCTCGCTGTATACATTATCCAACGACCTTATCTTCATATGAACGAGCGACTACGACTATTGGCACGACTTATGTTTGTTCAGAGCATCGGTGCCGAACATAAACAGTGGCAGGAACTGTATGCTGAGCGAGCCAACCTGAAGCTGGTAGCTGAACACCACATTCCTGTAAATCATGATGGGATGCCCGATGATGAGAATCTCGATATAGAATATGACTATTCGCCCTCTGGATCTCGGTCTTCACAATCGGTAATCAGCGGGTTGGAGGAGGAGATAGAATATCCAGGGCTGCTGCCAGGTGTGCAATCTCGTCCTGGAACAGAGAAAAAGGCTGGTGGTTTAAGTAGCTTGAAATCTACCGCTGACTTTCCGATAAATGGTTTGGACATGAACGGTCTGCTGTCGTTACGATATCATCCTAGCATGGAAAAGGAAGTTGGTGTCAGTGGTGTCAAAGCTGTTATTGATGATAATGGTATTGACTTTTGGGCAGCTGGGATGATACTAGTAAGGTGGCTCCAGCTAATGAAGGACATGTTGAGGCGGGGAGTGATTATACATGTCGAGCGATGTAAACATGCCTAGACGAAGACACAAAAGCATGACTTATGTATACTCATAAATCCATACCACACATAGAGTGATGTTAACGCATTCACACTTTTTAGAACTTCAGCAGACAACAAACTCACATAGCTTCAAATTCGGTACCTGGTGTATCTAGAGAGTTGTCACGAGCAATCTTTGTTTCAAGGTTCTGATTTTACATCGCATCCTAACGGAAAAATTTATGTACTCGGGATCGTAGGCGGCTTTTGTTCCATTCAACAGTTTTGGGAAGGACGCAACTTCTGAATTGACACTGTTCTTGATAAGCGATCGGCCATCAAGGAGTGCAAAATATATATTTATAAATAATTTTTGATTATATTTCCTTCTGGGAATTGTGGTTGGTTCACCACCTGAAGCACCAAATTTAAAAGTAAGAAGTAAACTGTTGAAGGTCATTTGACATCTGAAGATGTGATGCATATGCCAGTATATGAAAATCAGCTACCTCATGATAATGAAGGTTTAGAATACAATCCAGAGTATGGAGGGGACGCCGATAATGAGGTTGTAGCTGGCTCTAGTACCGAACGTATCGAGTCAATGAATGGGTATGCACGTTACAAGCTGGACGGTGCCTCTGGTCTCACACAAGGTATATAAAGATGTTATTGGTCAACCTGAAGCAGGATTTGGTCTACCACCGACTCATGACAATCAAATGGAATCCTTAAGTGGCTCAATGACATTTGCAAGTGATTGTGATACGAGCATTCGATCTCGAGAATACTCAGCTAGAGAATCTCGTAGTCGCAGCCCAAACTCTGAACATAAACGCACCCGAGCTACAACGAGTATAGCTACATGGAACGAAGAGACAAACACGGTCATAAAGATTATCTTACATATAGAACTTATCATGGATCCAATGGTTTTAGATACTTTGCAAAATAAACATTTCAGATGAAGCTTCAAAAAGTGCAATACCACATGAAGAATGATGTTAATCTCTTGGCTCGTTTTGAAAACTTGAGCAAAACTATATTATGGTCCCATAGCTTCGATGTCTGGTGACAAGAACGATGTCCTGAGAGATCTTTGTTTCAAGGTTCTGATTTCACGTCACGGACCAACAAGAAGGGTCTGTGCACTTGGGATCGTATGCAGGTACTGGGGGAACGTTTAAGAGTTTTGGTGAAGTACGCAGCTTCTGAATTGACATTGATCTGGATAAGCGGTCGGCCGTCAAGGAAGGCAGAATGTAGGGTTGTGAATATTCAATTGATCAATTCTGAAGTTTTTATAACTAGAAACTGTAGCTTGCACACAACCTGTACCAAATCACCAAATTGACAAGAAGTAAAGTATTGCAGGTCACCTTGCTACTACTACCGATTCGACATTGAGTCTTTGATGATATTTGCCTTCTCAATTGTATAAATTCACGGATTTTCGGACGCCTCCTTCGTGTCTGCCAACTTGGAGAAGAATAGTGTTTTAAGACAGACATCGCCATTTCAGGTAAGCTACGTAATGCATCCATATTTCTGTATGGATTTCATGCGCTAACACGCTTATTTCCTCGCACTGTCATTGAAATCTGAAACAAAAGCTGTCAAACCGAGCTTCACACTGTCATGAGGTCCATTCTAACTGTCTTGATATTGCTTTTGGCTATCTTTCTTCACGTATTTGCTGTTAGAGACGACTATGGTCTCGTTCCAGCTGAGGAGATTCGGCAAGAAATCGATGTCATTCGAGACACATCTGTGAGGGGTTTTTTTCAACCAATTCCATCAACAAGATGATCTGCTTCATTTTCTTACTCATGAAGATACTGCTCTATAGAGGTTTGAATTTGATGAAGCGCAAGTCTCGCTTGATGCCATCCCAGTAATCTTGGTAAATGTTGTCGTCGTTGAAACTTGACTTATCGTGTTCCTGCCCAGACAAACCTGCTTATACCATTTTGGCTTGCTATTCAGGGAAACAACTATCTCGAACATGTACAGGCGCTTCCAGATACTCTCCAAGCTCATTTTACCTTGCAGGACGTAGTGACTTTGCCAGACCCTCGGATGCCGTCGTCAGTCATGTTTGCTATACAGTGAGTATCCTTTAGAGAACATAAGTGAGCGAGTGTGTACCGCCATTGTCTTGATTTGTCATTTTTCACTTCTTTTTCCAGGTCTTACCATGGACTCGTGCAAGATAGAGCTTTACGTGACGAAACCCGTCTCAACGAGTTCCAGATGCGAGTGCAAGACTATATGGGGCCACAGGAATCACATGCAATAGAACGCCGAATCCACTATATTCGTGAGATCGAAGCCGCTCATCAACAACTGCACGACCTGTACTCTTCAGGTGGTCTTTTGAAATGGGCGGCTGAAATGCATATACCAGGGAATGATGATCAGCTGCATCAGGTTAATGTAGGTACAGAGAATTATTTAGAGCACGGATGGGAATCCGATGCTGAAAGTGGGCTAGACGAAGAGCTCGAACCTCCATCGATAATTTTGGCCGTTGACGATCTGCCATCTGTAACATCTCGTCTTAGAAAGGGAAAAGCTGTATTATTGCATGAAGGGAAGAACGTTATTGGAGCCAGTGGTTTGAAGTCAGCCACTTATGAGATGAATATCGACTCAATAACGACAGCCTTGGAAGGTACTAGTCGATTGTCTGCTAAGTACCGTAATGAGAATGATGTCGGTGCCAACGGTGTTGGAGCTAGTGGTGTCAAATCACCCCCGTATGCCATGAATATCGACTCCATAAAGATAGCCTTGGATGCTGCTCGTTTATTGTCTGTAAAGTACCGTAATGAGAAGGATGTTGGAGTCAGTGGTTTGAAATCAGCTACTTATGACAAGAATCTTGACTCTTTATATATAGCATTGGGTGACAATGGTCTTTTTTCTGTAAAGTACCGTACTGAGAAGGATGTTGGTGTCAGTGGCGTAAAGTCAGACTCCTACACCAATGGACATGACTTCTTGGGCAAATGGGAAGCCGATGAGAATCGTGTAGCTGGCTCTAGTGGCGGACGTATTGAGTCACTGCATGATTATGCACGTAACGAACTGGATGGTGTCGCTGGTCTCCCCAAAGTATATGGTCACCTTGATTTAGTACTTGGTACCAACCATCTTGATCTAGGACTTGGTCTTCCGTCATCTCATAATAGGGATATGGAGCCATTGAGCGGATCAACACCATTTGCTAGTGATGATGATAGGAGCATTCGAGGTCGAGAAGACTCATTGAAAGAATCGTTGAGTCGCGGATCAGACTCAGACTCAAACCATAAACATATGCGACTAACCCTTGGATAAGGACATATTGAAAAGAGTTGAGCATAGTCACAACTATTATCTGTCGCACACATAGACCACAAAATGTCCATTGTTTTTAGATACTTTGCAGAATACATATATATCAGTCAAAGCTTCAAACACTCGCTTCCTGCTTTTGTGAGAGTCTGGTCCATCAAGGTAGAAGCCTGAAAGGAGCACTTAGGGTAAGAATGCAATTGTTGGCCTAGAAGACGCCGTTTTCGTTAGGCTGTCCAAACTCTGACTTCTAAGGGCTGGCATCAAAATGGCTGCAATTTCCGACTATAAAACTCCACTTTAGGCACATTGACAGTGCGATGTAACAATTCGAATGAAGCACTGGGCCAACATGTTCAACAGTACCCCACCACGAACGAATGACGCATTCACTTTTTGAAAACTTTAGCAAAAGACATCTTCGACATAGTGATTAAGATTCGATTACTGGCGTATCTACAGAGTTTTTATGTATCGTCTTTGTTTCACGGGCTCTGATTTTGCATCATGGCTCAACGAGATCAACTTTTGACGGAGGACGAAACCTCAGAATTGGCTTTGTTCTTGTTAAGCGGTCGGCTATGGAGGAGATGAATTTCGTATTTTAATGGATGCGACTGTAACTCTTCCATGAAATCGTGTATTAATGAATGGCATTCCTCGACTCATTTAGTCTCTACACGACGACCTAAAACGCCAAATGGCCCACAGGTAATGCTGAGATTGTTACCTGGCTAAAAAGCAGTTACGTAGCAGGGCTTGTAGGTTTTGCCATTAATTTGTTCAATTACGAGTCTACAGACACTCCCTTCCCTTTCATGTCTCTCTACTTGTAAACACATTGCATTTTCTACAGTTTTCGACGCAGATAAGAAAACAAGAAGGACAACATGCCAGCATCGGAACGATTAAAAGCTATTTCGAACGCCATGAGTGGGCTCACAGTGCCCATCATCGACTTTGGTCGCTTCTTGAACGGTAGTGAGTCAGACAAGCATGCCATCGCTCAAGAACTTCTTGAAGCTGCTAGGGACATAGGTAAGAAATTCGTAGAAACCGTTTATTTACGTCCATTTTATCGATGCGTTCGAATCGCTTACAAGTCCACCGTTCAGGCTTCATGTATCTGGAGAACATTAACATATCGGACAAAGACATTCAAGACATGTTCAAATTGGTACCGAAGAAGCCCAATTCGTCAACCATCGCATCTGAAAGTCTTATCAATCATACATTGTAGGCTGCAACCTTCTTCAATAAGCCATCCGACTACAAGAATGCATATCCATATTCCGCAGAAAAGAATTCTGGCTTCATACAATTTGGACAAGAGTAAGCTCCAAACGGCAACAGAAGCATCGACTCTCATACTAATATGTTTCTGTCAACTAGAAAGCTCAATCCGAACTCTGAAAAGACGGATCCAAAGGGTACGAGCATCGAACTCATATCCAAACACTCTTGTGCTCACCACAACGATCGGCATATGTAGAGGGATTCAACATACCGAAATTCAATGGGCTCTATGGAAAAATAACCGACCTGCCACCTGAATTCCAACAACAAGGGGAACTAGTGCAACGATTTGCCCGGTCATGCTCGAATCTAAACATTGCCATTCTGCGAGCATTTTCAATGTGTTTGCAAATCCCTGAAAAGGACGGCGGACGAGAATACTTGCCAAATCGTCATCGATATTCTGAAAAGAGTGGAGATATTTTGAGGTTGTTGCATTATCCACCGACCAATGTTGATGGTGAAAATCGAGCTGGAGGACGTAAGTGTCTTTGGACAGCAACAGTGAATTAGAGGATTCTCACAGCTTTCCTCAATCTAGATTCGGATTATGGAACTATTACCTTGCTGTTTCAACAAGATGTTGGTGGACTTGAAGCTTTGTAAGTCGGTGAGACCTCGCTGAAAGCTGCTTGAGCATTTGGAAACTGATTTTTGTTTATTCACGCACAAAGACTAAGAGCGTCTCCACAAGAAGAGCCAAAATGGGTTCCTATCCCACCACGAAAGAATGCTATTGTTGTCAACACTGGAGATCTACTTGAATTTTGGACTGCTGGCTTGTTTAAATCTACAGTGCATCGCGTGGTCTCTGTCGCTAGCTCTGTGTCGAGGTAAGGAATAGCTCAGCTCGAAGTTGAAGCCAGGCTCTAAATGAAAACATATGAAAACGTAGATTCTCCATCCCATACTTTTGTCAGGTGATAGACCGAAACCGCTTGAAGGTGTACACAAAGACTAACGCGGAACATTGATTAGCCTGATGATGATGCACCTTTGACACCAATCCCGTCACCTTTACTTGCAAATCGAGAAATACCTGATGAAGCGTTGGCCAAGATTGAGAGCGAACATGGATTCGCTGGAGGCAGGAGAGAGACCTTGACTGCCGCTGAGCATTTGAAGCTACGGTTGTCACGTACATACTTGTATTAAAGGGTTGAGAATTGCAGAGGTTACGGAATTTGATATATAAGTATATTCAATGAACCTTCCAGATCTCAACTGTTCGAACAATCGAATGCTCTCCGAACATCATGATGTTGCATCTAGTCTCGATCCACCTCTCGCATCTCCTACTAATCGCGAAAAACTGGAGAAGGCAAAATACTGAACATGTGTCCCAGTCAAACTCGCCAGACACTTCTCACCATTCCACTCGACAAACACTCCTTTCCAACAACTAACTCGTCCTCACAAACCAAAACTCGACAGCAGTATTAGTTACAAGTAGTCATTGCTCGACAGGTTCAAAGGCTCTTTTTTGGAGAGGGGGCGCCTAAAGTGAAAGTGAGACCTGTCGAGTGGTAAGTTAATCAAATTGGTGGGTGTTGAGTTCCACCTATTCCCAGATTCCTTCCGTCGAGTGCTGACTGAAAGAGTGCGTCGAGCACTCACTAAATCACTTCTTTGATGTTGAGCGTTCACTAATTCACTTCTTCGATGTTGAGTCTTTTAGTAGGCTCCGGAAAATTAAAATCGGAGAATGTCACAAGAAGAGGATGGACGCAGTAGATAAGAACAGAGTGAAAGCGCTTTCATTTTCAAAGCTAGTATTCTCGATGCACGCAGTTAGCATGTATTTTACTACGGTCGTATGAGTAATCTTTGTTCTGGGTAATACTTATATAACTTGTGATTTTAGCAGATGGAAATAAGCAAGGTGAAGTACCGCGTCGATGGCCTTCGAGAGGAACAGAAACAACAACAGTAAACTGTTTTCGCAGTAAGCACTTTTTAACAACCTCTCTATAACCAATGATGTGACGAAGGTCCATTGTTGGAATGGATTCATATTCCGCAGCGAGGATGCATGGAGTCCAAATGATGAGGATTACTAGGTGTAGCTGTAGCAGCAGATGCTTGATGGTCATCTTGTTTCGATCTAGCAAAAGATAAACAGTTAGGCATCAATACGAAGAATGATGAATTTAATGCCGCTGAATGTAATAAGCACTGCCGGTAAGTAAAGTTTTTTGCTCAACTCATTTTCAAATGTTGACGTTAAAACAGCTACTCACAAAACTGTTGGTAACGCACGAAACGTCTACCAGTATGTGGTTTTGGCACCAACGGCTTGAATAACAAGACGCTAAATGCACATTTTGGAATCAGCGAACATAGCGACAAGAGACATTTTATTTGCCACAAACAAGATACCATCCAACACTCAGTATATCATAGGGAAAGGTGAAACCGAGTTTGATCTGCCCTCATACAAACGGTTACAGTGTCTCTCTGCAAGTGATATTGAAACCAAAATACCTTTACATTCACAAAGCATGATGTTTCGGATACACGACATCCCTCTTACTAACAAAATCACTCTTCCCTTTATGCATTCTGGGGCCCGCAGCCTTCCGAAGGTCCTTTTCTTTAGACTGCAACACTTCCCGTCCAGCATTTGCAACCAACGAAGGATACTTTTTCATAAATGCCGGTGCAATAGTGCTTGTTCTCTCATAATCCTTGTATAGTGCAGGTGGCGATAGTATCGGTGGCGTGTTTGCTTGATGCTCTCGTGGGTTTACAGACGGCAGTACGGGATCAGTCCATGGTTTAGGATGCTTCAATACATTAGAGGTAGACGTATCATGTTCTCGATTCGATGTGGCCTTCTTCCATTTCTGAAATGCGGCTTCGGATTTAGCTGCTTGTTGTTTCTTGGCTTGCTGTGCCTTCTTTTGCGCTTGCTCTGCGAGATGTTGTCGTTCTCGTTCCCGTCTAGCTATCTCTAGTTTCTCCTTCCTCCATGTTTCTACACGGTGATCTGATTGTTCTAGACGCTTTATACGTTCAGCGGCTTCCCGTTTGTGACGTTCTTGCTCTTGTTGTATTTGTTGAGCTTCTTCTTGAGCACGTTTCTCGAGTTCTTGGTTTTTTTTGGTAAACCATTCGCGGATGTATAGATCGGCTTTCTCTGAGTTTGATCTGTGGCGAGATATTCCTAGATTATCTTGCAATTCTTCATCATCGTCTTGATCATCCTGTGTCGGTATGTCCATACGATGTGTTGGTATGGACGAGAAGAAGGCGTAATGCGACGATGATCTTGATGATGGTCTTGAATGTGCTCTCTGATGGTTTTGCTGATGCTGGTGGTGGTTGTGACTACTGCTACTACTATGCTCTTCACGCCTCTTACTCATCAACCATGCGTTGTATGCTATATCATTTGCAATCACATCGTCTATGGCATATTCACGTATCAGTTCTCCGGTAGATGTATCTCGTTTTAGCACATATTGGTGATCTACAACGTTAGTGTGTGAGTGCCTCGTCATCAGTTCAGAACGTATGAAGTTTCCAAATGCTGACGCAGCTCGATGATTCGAGTGATGCCCTATGAATTGAAGTACATTTGACTACCTGTAGAATCAAAATTGAAACTAGTCGAGGAGCGACGGTTTACTATCGGGGAGCTGTCTGGCGAGATTGTGATTCTTTTCGCGATTGATTTCGGTGCGTGGGAAGGCCGGGTGTTCTATATAGACACAGGGCGGATTAGAAAGATCTGTTTTAAATGAGTGCGCAAAGATAGTCACTTACCTTGGTTGCCTCATTCATCTCTTTCTTGTCGTCACCAAATCACACAATTTTATTTTCTGTCAATGAAGTAATCAGTTTGAGTTGCTATCGCTCATATAAGATCCTTTCAGGGAGGTGCCAACTAGCAGCCAACACGTAATAATGCAACTATAACCAAGTCACTTTGCTCGTAAACCACCAGCAGGCTCTCCTCATCCAACACGGAAAACAAATACTTTTTTTTTGTTGGAACGAAAGAAGCACACATAGTCCAACAATGTTGTGCTGTTTCAGGCCATGCTTCCGAAACTTGTTACAGGAGCAGCCTATAAATCATCTTCCGGAATCAACAACGGACGAACACGAGGCTGTCTCATTGGCTGCTTTTGGACCAGCTCAAGCTTTCTTTGTCCTATACGAAGATGGTACCAGCAAACATGACAATCTACCGCCTGATTTGCTTGAAGCATTGTCGAAAACTGTCGATGCAAAAGGCCAGCCGTTAGAAAGAGTCGTGTATCTCTCGATGAGGTACATGTTGTTTACTAATGTTGCTGACGATCTCCAACTGGTTTCGTTTCGACATTCCAACTGATACCTCAACCATTCCAACCGTTTATAGTCATCGTGGAGGCTGGTTTATTCGCAGGAAGAACAATGTCATTGATTGGGGACGAGTTCCATCAGATCTAGCACTAGAACTAGCACGTTCGGATGCTCCACCTGTAAAATGGGTTACATTCTCGCCAGGAGATGGTTGGATTGCTGGTTATGGAAATGGATCCGTAGTGTGGGAGGCACTTCCAAGAAGTCTGAGTACCAAAGTCAGAGCTGCCGAAAGCTATGGATGGGGAGTATCGAGGGTCGCTATAGGTCATGATGGGAGCTACTTTCTTGAATATGACGATGATAGACAGGTTCGTTTTCTATGAGTGTATTGGGAGAGCATTTGCATGTGAAATCATATTACAGAACGACCGTATACGTGAACTAGCACCATCACTCTTAGTTGCTTTAAATGATTCACCCACCTTTTTTTAACCCTCGTCTACCCTAAACCAGGTGTGGAAGGCCCTCCCAGAATCCCTCGAACGAATACTCCACGTCTCAAATGGCGCAAACACACTCGCGCTTTCCCCAGTAGACGCATCCTACTATGTATCCATCGCCGGCTCAGAATACTGGGATTTCGAAGCTCCAAGCTTTGAACTTGCTGTACGTGGAAGTTCTCAATTCAATAAGCAAAGGAAGGGCAAAACACCTATCCGTGTGCATTGGGAAGATAGTAGTAGTGGTAACAGTACGCTGCCGACAGAAACGCAACCCTTGTTGAGCTCAAGTTATGATAGAAAGGAAGAAGGGTTTTGGGTGGATGCTGTTGATGATTCGAATGATTCGAGTGTTATATTCTTAAATCCAAAGCTCGTTGCTTATACGACCGATGAATTGCCGAGTGAGTTGTGCACCGTCCTGTGTATTGGTTAAGATTCGTTACTTCGTTTTGTGCCATTTTTGTTAACAAAGTCTATGTTTCGATGTAGACCGGTTTGATGATGGAACTTCGGTACTCGCCACCATCAAAAGGTTGCAAGAACGGACACTATTAGTGGAAGAATTACCGCCACTCCAGGTCTTTGTCGATAAGGGTGAGTTTCGTGTGGGACAAAGAAATCGCGATAATAGGAAATGAATTGAGAAACTGCTTTGTTCGAAACCGTGCTAAATACTCTCTCTCCCGCGTAGGAACGTATTGGACTGAAGACAATCACTGGTTATACTGCTTCAGGTATAGAAATCGGACTGCTTGTCTTAACTTCAATAACTTATATCCTGTTTTTCGCCTGACTCTCAAAGGCACGCTGACATAGGCAGCATACCAGTAACAATCATACCAGCTCCAAACTGGTGGACAGAGGACTCAACTGACGATGAAGACGATGGAGATATCTCAGATTGATTGTTCAAAGAAAAATCGCCAGCATTATAGGAGGATTTATCTCACAGAAAATCCTCCCAGTTTGAGGAAATTGCAAAGACGAGATAGAAAGGAAGCTTACTATTCCTGTATATATATTATAACTCATATTATTAACCCCTTTAAGATATTATTCATCACTTAACTCATTAAAACATCTAGATTATCAGAACCTGCAAAAACAAAAGGGCTTTCGATTTTGGACTGTATGCGTTGTGTGTGGAATCGAGCGAGCGATCAAGTACGAATTACTTTGCAATGGCAGCCTCGGTGATGATCATGCTGACAAAATATAAGACATTCAAGGTCTATGGCTTTGTTTCTGGACAACTTGTCGTTTTGTGTCGGACTTGTTGTAGGTGACATTGAACAAGATCCAACACTGACTCCTATACAAAACCGTGGAAAGTCAACGCTTCTATCTATAGTCGGCCTGTAAAACACTCGAATACGCTTAGCACGGTTAGTAAATGGACCTCACTCAATTCAGACTTGCCCTGCTGCAGCAAAAACACGCTCATGCGTTATACGCTGCAGGCGAATACAAGAATGCATTTCTCATGTTTACAGTAAGTTGTATTTACAGTAAGCTCAACATACGTGTATTTCACGACCGATCACCCTTACTAACATAAATCCATTCCTTTTTTCTTGTTAATAGAGCATTCAACCACCTACCTCAAAAACACTCTACAATGCTGCCATGGCTGCTCAAATGAATGGAGATTTCGAGCGTGCTGTTCAAGCACTTGATGATGCGTTGGAACGTGATCCGTGGTTGGGAATTGCGTATTTCAGGAGGGCTAACGTACTGTCTCAGATGGGGATGTATACTGACGCTTTGAATGATTTCAGGAATTGTATGTTGGTAAGACGCGTCTATGTGTCGTTTTGTGAAGAGCACTTGACACACTCTCTGACATTCCTTTGTAATAGTGCTTTCGCGGCCTCGACTTTATCGACTATCGAGCGTACGGTTTGGACTACATTCTGGAATCCAGCACAATCCAAGAACGCTCTCGTGTCGCGATACTGGACGACGACATACCATCATCCGACACTGAATCCGTTATATCATTCAGCGCTTCCATACTACCGGATACCACCCTCCCCATTTTCAGCCCACCACAGTTGGCTAACGGGCTAGCGTTAAAACCATGGCTAGAAGTAGAAGAATCGTTTGTATTGGGACTACTTGAAAAGGAAGCTGGGATCATTCGAACATCGTCGCCTACTGGAGATGCTGCCGCTGACGAAGACCAGGATAGTGATATAGTAGACATGTCTAGTGATGACTACGAAGACTTGTCGTCTATATCGTCACCATGTAACCAGGTATATGCAGACGCCAACGCCTTGTATGGAGAGCTGATGATGTTTTCGGCATCATCGTCGTCGCCACTTCGTCGTGAGGGATCTATCTTCTCTAGTCAGTCAACAATGTCGCTGCATACGAATCCTGTTGCTAGAGCAGACGAGTTTGCCAATGATAATAGTACAGTGTATGAGATGGGGAATGAGGACTTGAAGGCTTTGGGAATGGTATGGGTATACCTGGTTTGACCGTTTTACGATGGTCGATGGAACTAATAATTTTCTCTGGACATAGACCGAACAAACAGGTTCCTTCCGTGACAAACTCCGCAAACTACGTACAGCAGACGACACCACTATCGACTCTGACAAATCATCAACCATCGCCTCAATCCATTCAGACACTCACAGTCTAGCACGGCAACCAACTCTAATACGTCTCTTGAAATCAAAACCGTCTCTACCATCAATCCGTAAATTAATGCAAAGCAGTAATGCTAGCACGACCAGTCTAAGGAGTTTGGATACGGGGTCTATCAAGGATGAGGCGATTGAGCTGCGTAGGGTTGATACAAAGATGAGCATGTATGAGAGGATTCAGCAGCTTGAGGACAAGAGCGGGGATTTGGGGTGTGTTGGTGAACACGATATGGGTGATGGTGAAACTGTGGTCAAAAAAATGATGCAAGAATCTGTTACAACTGATACCGATACAAGGATTGAGCGTCCTGCACGACGTCAATCGCAGTCTAGACGTGGACAATGTAAAATCATTGCCTAGAAACTGGCCTAGAAAAGACTAATACGGGCGTTTTTAATATCTAGTTTTCTTTATTGTTTGTACTTGATTTCAAAATATTATATACATACTTGGATTTTATTGTCAACTTTACCATACGCAAGTCAACTTGTACACGTTGTGAACGGAAACAATCTCAATATGACGCAAACCATCCAGATTATACCAATGATAGCCGCTCACCACGACAACAACAAGATCTACGACATCCAAGCAGCATGCTACGCGCCCAACAACGACTGGTATGAATCCGTCACTGTGCAGCGAGGGTACATGAATCGAACATCAAACAACCCCAAAATACCAAATTTAAGTTATACAGCACTAGTAAACAACACCGTGGCAGGCTATTTACTCGCATATCCGATTGACAAGCACGCTGCACTGCCTAGCCTTCACACAATTACATATGAACTGCCATCGCCATTGGACGTTGCGTACTTGCATGACGTTGCTGTGCATCCCACATACCAGGGACTGGGATTGTCTCGCCTGTTGTGTGAAGAGATGTTTAAGAGTGCCCGAGAGGGTGGATTTAAGAGGGTATGGGGTATTGCAGTGAGTGAGAAGGCGCTTGATGTTTGGTGTCGGATTGGGTTTAGAAAGGTTGGGGCTAGTATTAGTGGTAGTAGAGAAGATGGTGGTGGCAGTAATATGCTGAATGATGATGAATGGGTTGCGATTGAAGGAGAGAAGGTGCTGCCTGTTGGACTGGAAGCGTATACGTTCATTAGTTTTACGCTTTGACAGAGAGTGCACATATTAAATAGTTCTGATACGCGTCACATTATACGAATATTAATTAAATACACGTGAATTTGTATAGTAGATGAGGGAACTTTGACGTATTCCACTCTTCCAATTCTTCTATAGTTTTTTTTTTGCTTGACACAAGACCATTAACAGCAGAAGAAGAGATAGCCAGTTAGGAGCTTCAAGATGGCGTTTCGAGGAGCAGCTCGATTTGCATGTAGAATACCACGTAATAATAGCAGCAGTGCCGGTAATGCTTCAATACGAAGCTTTACAACATCACCATCAACACCATCGATATTACGAGCAAACACTATAAACACGCCCACATCCAGTAATTCAATTCCATTACGATTCGCATTCGCTGCTGCTGCTCCCTCATCTCCTAATATACGCATGTCTTCGGTATGTGAACAAGGACATTTAAGGATGAATTTTGCCATCGGTGTTTGGATTCAACATCGCATCCCAATCCCATTACGTTACCCTTTTTTAATGATAAGCACCCTGACATTAACGCAGTTTTCCACCTCCTCTTCTCCTATATCACCTTCCATGGATGGACTCATACTGTCTACAGACTCAAACGCAACAGCCATCACTGCTTCCATCGCTGCAGTTACAGGCAGGCCACTCGTCGACGCTCTCGGCACGTTTGTTGGAGGCTTCCGAGATGACTTCTAGGTATGTCACATGTCTGTTTTCGAGTAGGATGCATCTATGCACCAACAGGATGTCTCTTTTTTGCTCACTCTACTTCAATCTTATCTACACAGCGGGGAATCAGATACATTAATATGCTGCCCCCGCATTCCCGATGATCTTTAACGACATGGAGAGTTCTTTACTCCCCAGCACATTCTTCTCTAATCTCGATCATACACTTCCACCCAAAACAACCTTATACACATTTCCCATTTTTACACACAACACGGAGGCTTCTCAAACTCAAACATTATATATATAGAAAGCAACAACAAAACACACACACCTTTTTTTGGGAAATGGGGAACTGGAAACGTGTTTGAAACGGATTTAAGAGGAATGGGGCGTGGGGGGAAACTCTTCACAATTTGAATTGCATAAATTTTTTCTTTCGGATAGCTTTGATATCTTCTTCGGGGACGGAGGGTGTGGTTAGATAGTTGTAGTCTTTGGGAGCTGTAGGCTCAAGGGAAATCAAAGTTAAACGAGAAAGAAGGGAAGAAATCAAATTGTTAAAAATGTCGTATATGAGGTTGGCGGGAATGCGGGGGCAGTGTATCAAAACAAGTTTTTTATAGTTAGTGAAAAAAAGGTGTACGTGTGTGTGAGAGAGAGCCTCTTCAGATCAAAATATATAAATCCAAAACTGAGAATGCCTTTTTACAGTGTTTCGTTATATGTGCGTGTGTGCCATTTACCAAACATTTGAGTGTTTCACAGTGCGTTCTTGCCATCTCCATCCCTCTTTCCAGCCTCTACAGCAACCTCCCCATCTACAACCTCCCCATCACCATCACTCGAATACCCATCTGCCTGCGTATGCCACATCTCGGCATACACACCACCCTCAACCTTAATCAGCTCTTCATGTGTCCCTCGCTCAATTACTCGCCCCTTATCAAGCACAATGATATCATCGCAGTCAATTATAGTTGAGAGGCGATGTGCGATAAAGATTGCAGTCTTGTTGTGGTGTGCGAGGTATTCACGCAGTGTCGACATTATGGATGCTTCGGTTGTAAGGTCGAGGGATGATGTTGCTTCGTCAAAGCAGAGGATTGGTGAGTCCTAGGGAGTTAATAGAATCGTTGGTTGAAGAGGAATGTAACCGTTGGTTTGGTGAGGGTGAGTATCGAGGAGACAAAAAAATACACTATAGCATTGGCCTTGAAATAACCGATATACCGTTCTTAAACTCGGGAGGTGACTAACGACGCAGTCCTCCTCGCCATCTCATTAATTTAGTCAAACTTACTTTCAGAAAGACTCTAGCTAGCTGTACACGTTGTCGTTCCCCACCAGACAATTGCAAACCTCGTTCTGCCACTCGAGACTCGTATTTTTTGGGGAAGTTGTTTACAATCACATCATGAATCCTACAGAGAAATACACGGCCCTTTAAATACGTATCATGGTGCGTTCGTTGAGAAACAAACAGCAAACTGTGGCTTCTGCCCAATTCTGTTGTACTTTCAGACCTTTTTTTCTCGCTCACCTTGCCATCTTGGCAGCGTCCTCAACATCCTGCACCGAAGCACTCGGTCTCCCATATACAAGATTATAATATATCGTGTTATTAAACAGAACAGTATCCTGTGGCACAATCCCAATAGCCTTTCTCAGCGAATCCAAAGATACATGTTTCACATCCTGTCCATGAATCCTGATACTACCATCCTGCGGATCAAAAAACCTAAACAGGAGCCTAAGCACCGTCGATTTACCACACCCTGATGGCCCCACAAAAGCAACACGCGTTCCTGTCTTGATACTAAACGACACGTCATCAAGGATTGGTCTATCAGAATGGTATCCGAATTTCACGTTGTTGAATTCAATCGTGTTTGGTTGTAGACTCGTGTTTAAGGGTGGTGCGTTGGGGATTTCGGGGATGGTTGTTTTGACTCGTTGTAATCTAAACATGGTGTCCATATCAATGAGGGATTGTCGGGTTTCTCGATACACCATGCCTAAAAAGTTTAGTGGCACTGAAAGTTGGAAGACAAGACCGTTGATCATTACGAGATCCCCTACTGTCAATGCACCTTCCACAATCCCTTGACTTGCCATCCACATCATGGCAGTTAGTGCGACACTGAATATAGCGTTTTGACCAATATTTAAGAACGCTAGTGAGGTGTTTGTTTTGAGTGCCGCCTTTTCGTATTTCGATAAGGCAGCGTCATATTGCTTCAATTCCAATGCTTCGTTATTGAAATATTTCACAGCTTCGAAGTTGATTAACGAGTCAGTAGCTTTCGTCGCAGCCTCATTATCAGCTGCATTCATCTGTCTCCTGAATTTCGTCCTCCAAGCCGTCGTAGCAAATGTAAAACCCGAGTATGCAGCCATAGTCAATATCGTGACTCCAGCATACGAAACACCATAATTATACGTTAATATACCACACACAAGTCCAATTTCTAATGCTGTAGGTACAACATGAAACACCATACTCGATAATATCTGGTTTATACCCTTTGTACCACGATCTATAGCTCTAACTAGCCCGCCCGTCTGTCGAGCTAGATGGAAATTCAAATCTAGATAGTGCAGATGGCTGAATATGTTTGCAGCTGCTTGGCGGATTGCTCGTTGAGCTACGAGACCGAATATGGCGTTTCGTAATTCGGAGAATACTGAAGAGCCGATTCTGGATGCTCCGTAGCCTATGAGGACTGTTCCTGCTACCGCCATTACAGATAGTGAGGCTGCATCGGTAGGTATTACTGAGAGGGCGTCGATGGTGTGCTTGAAGAAGATGGGGACGTAAATGTTTAAGAGTTTGCCACCAATTAGAAGCGAGAATGCTAGCACAACTCTACAAGTTGCGGACGAGTGAGTTACGTGAGAGAATAGGATAAAATACCAATGTAAGATAAACACATGAAGAGCCTTGAGCATGGCTCCTCCTTTACGATGGTATGGTCGTTTTTCTGTGGCCTTGCTCCTCCCCTACTCGCAACCAAACATCAACCAACCCTACCTTGTACGTATACCCCATTCTCCCTTTGGCCATAGATACGCACTCAGCTCTTTGATGATTGCCCAATCAGCCCTCCACGTTGTCTCCTTGTCTGATGATTTACCAGAAGCCAGGTCGACAAGAGCCTTGTCCTTTGCATCCATTTTGGCTTGACTGGATTGAGTGGGAGCGGTATTCGTACTAGTACTAGCTTTGGTATGAGGTTTTGCAGTACTGCTGCTGTATAAGCGAGTCAAGTATAGTGAGGATCTGATGTAATTGCATGATGTCTAAGGGGTTGAGTTGATGTCAGTGAATGAGGTCAACGTAGGAGGAGAAACAGCAAAGATAACAATAATATGCAATTGAACTGCTTTCTTATGGACGTACCAGTCTTGTAGGCCGTATTATACTCGATGCGATACCACGATGAGCAACACTAAGATTGAATCTCAGCGACAAGAGCTTACTAGATATAACAGATTTCGAGCAATGCCAGCTCATAGCTGGTATCAAACTAGACTAGAAACTGTGTGTTCTCTATTATAGTGGACTCGCGTTCGTGCTTCTTTTGCAATCTGCGTGTAAGTTGCGACGTGTTGACGTGAGTGACTTGCTTGAAGTGGACAAACAACTGCTATTGAAACACGCAAATTGATGGATTTTCTACTACAGAAAGGGGGTCTACTTGCGACTACTGACTTTGCAAGTAAGTTATTTGCATATGTTTGATGCTACTATTGCTGCTTTTCATCACGTCTTTGCCTGCAATTGGACGGCTATTTGTCTCTATGATTATCAAAAAGTGGACTATTTTAAAGTAATATGAGGCTGGATATGATGCGTTTAATATTGGTCGTGGTTGGTTAGAGCAAACGTGATTGTGTCATTAATCTTTTTCAAACTGAAGCACAAAAGGAGAGGAAAACGTCGGGAAGGTTTCAATTCCTACTTTCGAAGCCAAATACTACGCTCTGCGATTGCTGGCTCTTCTCCGTTGCCCTGAACTCTGGTCATCTTAAGTAGGATGTCAGGTGTGCTCGTTACGCTACCAGCCAGTCTAGATGTCAAATCAAGGGCGCTGCTATTACCGTTACAGACTAATTCGAGTCCTTGATCTGGTGTCTCTGAAACTTTGGTCAGTGCTCTGTGTGTGTTGTGCAGGTGTTTGGCCTCATGGGAACACCAATACAACAGTTGCACCTGTTGTATCCAAATGTTTCAGCTCTACACGCTCCACTCTCTGAAGCAACCCTCCAAACAACTGCAACACCGTTTCGTCTCTAAGGACCTGTTTTCCTGATGTCTGAGGTCTGGCCGTCAGTCGCAGCAGCCGCTATCTCATCCATTTTGAGCACCGCATTCACGTTCCCTATTGATACCTTAAGGACATTTACTCAGCTCGACAATGAAGTTTCAGACGATGAGACCTTTGATCAGGACCAACAATATGGAGTAATGCAAGTCTACAATGCTAGTAAAGAATTACTGGCGTCTTGGTGGGGTCGAAATGGCCTTGCAATCGTGCACCATTAATATCTGGAGGTTTAGCTGAGATTGTCGCGTAAGTGCTCGGCATCAAGCAACAAAAACATCAACTAACGCCATCATCACTCTGTTTTTCCAAAGTGTATTTCTATTTACACCAATAGAGATTATCAAGTCAAAGCTCCAAGCATCGTCGTCATCCTCATTCTAGAACTGCTTACTTCATGATGAGTCAACTGTCCACGAGGTACGCAGGGACAGCTGGAATAGCAGCAGTAGCTCCTCTGAATCAGCGGAGAATAGGATAACAGATAGCTTGCTTCACCAACCAGCCAGCAACCCTGCATCAGCCTTCACCGTCATAACTCAAATAATTCAAACAGACGGCATACTTGGCTTTTGGCGTGGCTACACCCTCTGTCTCCTAGTTGTTCCATTCACTCCTCCCGCTGGTACTTCTGGACCACTGAGCGTATGTGCACTAGTTTCGTCAGGATCAGTTTTGGAGTCTGTCGAAAATGAAATCTAAAGAGATTTGACGCTTTTGTAACTTATCAATAGGCCAAGGACAAGGACTGCGAGAAGAACAAGAAGGTGGCAAAACCCAAACGAAAGCTCTTTTAAAGCACGATAGCTTTCACCTCTCCCTTTGTGAATAGCCAACTGTTTAGGCAATAAATTTTGTTGGTATAAACTTCAACGTACCGACTCAATTGTGTGGGTATGTGAGGTGAGACATTCCGCATCAAGCGTTACTTGTTTTCTTGCGTGGATTGAATGTGGAAGCTGTACTTATATAGCACCTATGCAAGCGAGGCGAGTATAATGGTGGTAATGTAATCCAATATGGTGTGTGGTGCTGTGACTGTAATGTCATTAGTAAACACGGAGAGTTCAAAGTATAACCCTACAAAACGGTCTCAGTACGCAGTTACGACTAGCCAAGATGGCATAACAGTCTTGGTTACTATATTGGTTAGTGCGATACCACTACAATTGACCAACGATGAAAATCAACCTCAGCGACAAGAAGTTCCTATGTACAACAGATTAAGAGGAGGGCCAACTCATAGTTAGTATCAAACGGGACTAGAAGCTTTGTGCTCTCTATTCTAGAGGACTCGAGCTCGTCAATCTTTTGCAATCTGCGTGCGAATTGTGAGAGCTGGTGTTGCTGTTGCTAGAGTTTGCCGTGAGATGGACACACGAGCATGCTATGGAATACATACAGCGAGGGGGTTTCCATCTAAATAGACGGCATAGCATGATAAGGCTTGAATCGATGTCACGTAGTATTCACGATCTGCTTACGATCCGCTTACGTTAGTGGTTAGTCAGCCAGCCAAAACCAAACACTCCGTTTCTCCGAATTCATTTCATAGGCAGGGAGAGTGTACCCATAGGAGAGTGCATCCTCATTCAGGCTGCCATACCGTACATCCCGGCTCCCTGTTCCCTTCTCTATCTTGTTGGAACTCTTGCCCTCCGAGTGCTGAAATCCATGCGAATGACAGCAACCAGGGCAATCATCGTTTAATCCCATTTCCAGGCTTATTACAGATAAGACACACTAGTAGCTAGCAGTGCTGTTGGAAGAGCCGATACTCCACCATACATACCTAGTGCCATAGTTGGGGTTGTAGCCATCACTTGCATCAAGTCGCATTCTTTGCATCATCACGAGTGCAACTTACAAGAGCTGTAAATGTCTGCCGCTCAGCCTGTGCATCAGGTCCCTGAGGTATGTATGTGATTGATTCATGTGCTATTGCTCCAGCTGGCTGCTTGTTGGTGGTGTATGCATCATTGGCTTGCATGTGCTTGCATCTTGCTTGGCTCACATATGTGAAGCCTACCCCCATCATTCATAATGCACTGCCTGCATGTACTTGCATGCGCTTAAACTCGTACTCGCTACCCACCCTCGTTCTCTCCCCCGCTTCATCCACTCAACAACCACTCACAATCTAACTCTCCTCTGACCCAACAGTTCTTCCATCTCGCAGACACTGCAGACATTCTCCAACTAGTCGTAGACATGTTTAATCGACTCATCACCCACAACGATGCAATCCCCGTCACCCCAAATAACCTCACTCGCTTCCACTCTCGTGCAAACCCGGCCATATCCATAGGCGACTATCTTCGCAGAATTGTAAAGTACGCTTCCGTCGAAAAGAGTGTATTGCTCCTACTCCTCATATACATTGATCGCTTGTGTGAGAGGCACAAGACGTTTACTATTAGTAGTCTCACTGCTCATAGGTATGTCTAGTATAGGGTGCTTGGCATATTAGTGGGATCTGTGACATATGTGATTGTCGTGGGATTGTCATCTGGATGTGTTTTAATGTGTTTCATTAGTGTCTGATGTTATGGATTGTGAAGCAACCTCGCTAACAGCCCCACCCCAAATAGATATATAATAACAGCTGTAACTGTAGGCTCAAAGGCCCTCTCTGACATATACCCCACAAATACCCATTTCGCAAAAGTAGGCGGTATATCCGTCATGGAATTAAACCTCCTCGAACTCGAAATGTGTACCATGATTGGATGGAGACTTGCTGTAACCGTCGAAACTCTACAACAGTATTACATCAATCTTGTCAGGACTAGTAATCTCTTTGCGCTTGCTCCTAATACAGGTGGTGGTAACAGTCCAACAACATCAAATAACGATGGAGGAGGAGGGTCCAGCAGTGGAATACCGATACGTAACCTTATACCGGAATTCATCATACCGTCACCTCCACCGGATAGAAAGTAGAGGGCGCTGACGATATACTAAGAGCCGGTATATGGATATCTTTTTGCATTGCAAGAAACAGGAATGGACTCGCTTTTAGCCCGTATATTTAAATGGTGACATAGAGGCACATGAGTGTGTCTAGATATTAAAAAAGGTGGTTGTATATATTAGGTTTTTAAGAAACAAGGGAAGTGTGGCAGATCTAGGCCATCTCTTCTGTCTTGTTATAATGTCTCATCCCTCAAACTTGAGGTGTTTAAAGCATCATCATAAGCATACCCCCGAAACATATTATCACCATTCTATATTGTGGCATCCACTTTTCTTCACGGGATTTGGATTCTTTATCTTTCTCATTGCTCCTCGGTTTTTACTTAATCTCTTTGAACTATTGTATATATATAACCTTCTTTTTTGCTATTGAAGAGTGGCAAATAGAACACTATCATATCTCGTATATGAATTGGAGAGTGGTTTCCGTGGTGTGGAGGTTTGGATTGCAGGATTGAGGCTCGCAGGTCAACCAACCCCTGTTTTTTTACCTTGAGCCTTGTCATAAACAGACTCTCAGCAGTAACTGTAGGCTGAAGATACTTTCAGGAGCAGTTTGTTTGTTATGTGATTTGATTGACTGAATACAGAGTTGGCATCGGGTGAGCTGTCTTGTTGGGGCTCAGACTCATAGCGGTCAAGGCTCTCTATAGGGGCAGCACGAGCAGATTCATCGACACCATCGGTTACAAGTCGAGAATCTGTGATATGATGGCTCGAGTGGACGACATTTTTGCTTCTAGTATCTTCCTCACAAGCTCGAAATGATTCTCCTAATCCTGCATTGGTATCTATAGCATACACACTACCATCTTTATCAATACTGAAGTACCGCTCCTAGCTGACACCTTCGGGCACCTCATGATTAATACTAAACCTGCCTTCCAAATCGAATCGCTCAACTCCTTGCTAAGTTCTATGGGAATCGGTTCGACTGTTATTGGGTGGCAACCATTCTGTTGACGCAGGTGGTATGGCAGCTTTGGTTTATCAGGGTTGGTGCCAACGTTCTAAAGTATAAACAGTTGTTGACGACATGCTTAGAAACTATTGGAATTCCAGCACATACCAGAATATGATTGATTATTTCTGCATTAAGGTCCAGCTCGCCCTTGACTATTTTCTACGGCGTCACAGTACAAAACAGGTCAGATCGACTGGAAATGCACTTAAAATAAGAACGAATCTTTCTTTTCTTACATTACGAACATGAGTCAGCTGCTTTCCAGTACTGGCAAGAAGTTCCTTTGCTGGCACACTTGAATAGTCTATAGCTTTGACGGATGGCGTCCAAACAACGAGCAATGTCGACAAGATGAAGAATAAGATGCGCAAGACATCCCTGACACTCATCTTGGTGTGAGAGTGACTTGAATCTGGTAGCAAGAGGCAGAATGATAATACGTTGGAGGCATGTGTCAGATCAAATGTTAGTCATTTCACTAACGTGAAGATTTGATCCATACTAGTCCAATTGGAGGTATGCCTATAGTCAGGTCCTGAAACATTCATATGGGTTTGAAAACTGTCCAGCTGCCTTGCTCCGAGTCTGGCTCCTTTAAGGTAGTGAACATTGCATTGAAGATGTCAAAATTGTGATTTCGATGATGCGAGTGAATCGATATGTAAGAGTCGAGACAAGCAATTAAGCCGTATTGCGATAGTAATTTCTTATTCCCGCCGTTAATGTTAAATTGGCCATGACATGAATCCAAGAATGAAGAAACAATGACTAAAGTGTTCAACGTGATGAATTTTTGCGGCATTCGTCTCACTTGCAAGTAGAATAGAATCTTCTTATCCATGCGTTAGATAAAGATGCCGCTGCACAGCGTTACGAAGTCTTGTGCGATTTGTCACAATAATGGACGCAAATACAGTTTGAGAAGCTGGTTACTCAGTAGCCCGGCAGAGAGATGCACTCTATCGAAGGAAATTTCTACTTTTTAGATATTTGGAGTGTATAAAGTCCAACCTTTCGATACAAAGAAAGATTTCTTTGCAAAGTTCAGGACAAAAAAAAACTTGAGCAAAAAGAGAGTCAAAGTAATGAAGAAAAGTCCAAAGCAGTATAAGACCATTCAAGGCATTTGCAATAGTTTTAGGCTTGAAAATGCGATTTATCAGTGTTGAACCCGATTCAAGACACTTGGCATCAACTTCATGTCGTAAACACAACACTCTGACATTCTCAAGGAAAGGGATCGCAGGCAGCTAAGAAATATGAGGTTGGAACAACATCCAAAAATTCATCATTTGTCAGTAATTTATATTGGTAAGCTGCCGATGGACCGCACATCAAGCGCATTGTCTTGACACTCGATCTTCACATGACTAATCGCGGATTTGACAGCTGCAACTGACTCATTTACATCCTAATTACAGTTAACTTCAAGTTGGTTCACTCACAAGATGAACATCAATCAACTGTTGCAATTTCTGCTGGTCATCAACTTTGCGGTCCTTGGTATTTGGGCTCCATATGTTTGTGGTGTAGACTATGAAAAGATACCAACAAAGAAACTTTTGGAAGCTATTGCAAAATATCGGAGTCAGCTCGATGAGGTGAGGAGCATCTTGCCTTTAAGAATTGCAACCCTTACTTCATGTTTCCGGTTCTAAATATCGTTTGTCACAGAAAACGCGCAATGTTGAATTGGACTTTAGTGCAGACACCATCCATCAGATGCTGGTATTTGCAATCTTCTTCGTCAAAGCCGCATCGTTTTCCTGCACCTCACCATTACGACTACTGATAGAATGTACCCGTCAACCCCGATAAACCAAATGGTGCAGCTCCAGCTATGGTACGCTATTTCCCCATTAGTGAAATCAATTGCGAGCCAAAGGATTCGCAGCCTGCCTCCGTATTAGACCTTATCAGGTGACTTATGAGACTTCTTATAGGCATAATGATGTAAAGCAACGTCAAATCGACTTGACTATTGAAACTTTGATGTTTTTTCTGTAGGGATTATCATCTTCTCGTAGCGGAAAAGGCAAAATATGATGTTCTTCGTATTCAATATTTCGTGGGAAAAGGACAACCAATGTCTGCTGACCAATATTGTCGCTCGCGTTGGTGCCCTGAATATCCGAACTGATCGTCACCGTGAACTGGCTAGCATGTATGATATTGCTAGAAAGAAGAAAGATGTCCCAAATGTTGAACGTTTGGAGATCCCAGCACCAGCACCAAATGACAAACAACATGAGGCTCTTGCACCAGTCTTACGACCCAGAATAGAAAAAGAAGGAAGCGAATGGATTATGACGCAGCCTCTTATGCGGTACCGTGCCATAATGGAGAAGGAGTGGTTTCATGTGCAAAGGGTAGACAACGATAATTCACTCCTCGACCAACCTCGATTTCACCATTTGAGGCATTGAATCTTTCATCGTTTTAGCAAATAAAACCCGCCTGGTTGCTTTCTCCGGAAGTCATGAAATCTATTCGGGTAGGCTCTGGCAACCTTTTACTACAACATTCTTTCGCAAATCACTTATGACTGATATTGGTTAGTCGAAGCGTCGACTTTCCGAGTTGGCAGACTTTCATTTGAGCGGTATACCTCCGTCAGTTGTAAAGGAATTGCAATCAACCTCTCAAAAAAAAGTACAGGAGCTAAATAGAAGGTTTCCATCTGTTACTGCGTAAGTTTACGACCAACACTTTCGTAAAACAAGATGCAATTTCCACCTCACATGGGCATATTCAAGTGCATATCATAATTTGGTGGCGGCAATGTCTCATCTGGATATGGCAAGAGTCGAGCATTTGCTGTCTACTCCATTGGCTCAAGACACTCGAAAGATTCTAAAGGCTTACAAGAAGAAGCTCAAAGAGTTTGCTTTGAATCACCAGAGACAAGTACCAGATAAATATTTGAAAATTTTGGACGAAAAACAGTCTTTAAAGCTCGCAGATCGACCAACTGGACTCGAGATTTATATCATGGGACTGGCTGACGAAAGGACGAGACTTCGTTCGGTATGAGCTTTGTCGAAAATATTTCAGTGGGACTCATGTTTCTGATACGATATTGATGTTTAGAAGATACACCGGTCTTCTACTCCCATCACAATCAGTACAACACTGCAGATATCAGTAAGTTCCTTCAAGAATCTACCAACTTTGGCGCAATAACCTAAAACCACTTCAGCGGGTGAAAAATCTTGCATCGATTATTCCATATGAGAAACTTTATTGGCATCCAGACCAACTGACTGATGAAGAAGTCAAAGTGGCAAAGTGAGACACATTGCCAACAATTTCGTGCACTATATGATTTCCAGAATTCACCACATTCGCCTTCGTAGTGAATATCATGCTCTGGTGCTCGTTCGGGCCAAAAATGTGGTCTCAGAGGCAACTTCTGTGCTCGAATCTGTAGAGAGTAAGAGAGATTTAGCCTCTTTGAAAGAACGAATGAAGGATGCAGAAGATATGATATCAAAACACCGAAAACTTCATCGTCTGTATCTTGAAACTCTGAAACAACGTAAGGTTGAAGTTGATGTTAGTCAATATGAGCAGGAGGATGAACCTGCATCACTGCCTGATGGTCGTCTAGCAAGCAGCCCTATTATCGTACCTGATAGGCCCGTATCTGACATATCATCACCTCCTTCAACCGCTGAAGCCAACGAACCGTTAATGGAGGCAGTATCAGAGCAACCATCTTCCCAAGTCAATATGGAATCGGACAGTGCTTTCAAAGAAGTGCTGCCAACCGATAATAGTCTGTGCGACCCTCATAGCACTGATCAAGAGGCTGGTGGCTTCAATTGGGAACGCTTCTTTAGTATTGATCGTGAGGAGGTCGATGGCTTCAGCTGGGAACGGTACTTTAATATTGATCACGAGAGCAATAAAGCTGATCCTAATGCAGAATTGGGAGAATCCTCTCGAGCTCGCGAAGAGCACGCTAGAAGCAAACACGTCGTTGAATTGAGCCAGAGTATCTCATGTTCGCAAACCGAGGCCGGTGGCGTTGTTGGTGATGATGACCAACCTTATAGTAGTTTGAAAGAGATTTGGAATGCTGATTGGGAGACTACGGTGCCAATCGATTCCAATAGTGATAATATCGAGCTAGGAGAATCGTCTAAAACGCATAGAGACGATATTCGAAACGTGGAAGTCCATCGTTTGAGTAATGACTGCATAGCTCCCGAATCGAATTTAGATATAGAAAATTACTGGAGCTTTGATTGGGAAGCATATGTACATAGCGTCGAGGAACGAGAAGCTAAACACCGACAAGAGAGGACCAAACTAGTAACAGGATTAAGTGATGACCATGCTGTACATCATTATGAAGCTGGTAGTGCTGCCCATAAAGAAGGCCCTGACCGATATGATTCTCATCTCCGATATGATGATCTACATGACGTCAATCCTGTATTTGATCAGCTACAGGCATATAAGGAACAGATTCCTTCTATTGATCTCTTCAGAAGTACCAATGATGATATTAATCCTCTTATAAATGCTAGAATGCAGTCTGCCATAGATGATTTTGACTTTGCACAGAGATATGACAGCTTTGACCCACCATCATACGCACCATTCGACTTTGGAGACCATTCGAATCGGCTTGAAGAGAGCTACCCCGTAGTTGCTCCAACTCTTGAACCACCATCAATGAATCACCTAAGTCGTATAGAAGTCAGTGCTAATATGGCCGCATCACATAAAATGATGCTAGGAAGCTCACGAAAATGGATGGAAGGATCTAGCTCACATATTGCGGATGTCGAATCTGTAAAAGTGCTCCATAGATCACTCTCGGAAGACGATAGAACTGGCAAAAGAGGCCGAGAAGACTCGCGAGATTATCAAGATCATCGCGGTCGTTTTAGCCCCGCATATGGAGGCCGATTTTCAATCAACAAGTAAGAGAAGTCCGAGGGCCCAATGTACACATATGGCAAACCAATTGTATTATTAAATCAGTAGACATATATATTATGCCAAATAGAGCTAATCGTTGTAATTCACAAGTTATACAAGTTGTCAGTTTCAGGAAGCAAACGGGAGAATAGAAGTATGGATTTGAAGCACATTTCGATATCTGATTTTGAATACAGAAGCAGAATAATGATATAAAGTGAGACCACGCTCTACAAAACTACTGTTCTTACAAGGCGGTGAGTATGCAGCTAAAATTTATCAATACATGGCCTAATAGACCCTTCAATACACCCATCATTGACATCCCTCGACCAACCTACATTATGCGTACTGTATTCATGAGAGCTTCCAAGACCAGTGCAATCCCGGTCTTCTCTTAATTGCATTAAGCCCGAGACCATTGATGCAGGGCTACTAGGTTCGTCTAATGGTGATGCTGTGGATGAAATAAAAGAGCGCAAGTCTCCTCTACTTCTATACTCCAAAATGGTATCCGAGTCTCTTCAAGCAAATGCGCCAGACTGGGATGGCCTGTCTAAATCCACCGTGATATCCAGAAGTACGTCATTGTCGTCTGATGACCAGTCGAGAGCATAACCTGTTTCTATAATTTCATCTTGATCAACACCGCCTGTAGCTGCATTCTGAGCTTGATCAACTCCATTCTGACGGAGATTCTTTCTCGACGATACGGTTATTTTCGAGACGTACAGGTGATTCAGCGAGCAATAAAGGACTACGTTCTGCTATATCTTACTCTAGGAAAATGTCACAATTGTCAAAATTGTTGATGCGATTCCCTCTTGTAAAAAGGTTGCATACGTACAGAAGCAGTGACTCCTGCCATCTTTAGCATTGTTTTCATCGTCTTCGTTAGCTCGTGATCTGTTGGTGGTACTGGCATCCTACTAGTAGTGGTGAAGGCAATCCTAGCGAGAATGAGCAATCCAAACAAAAGCTGAGGAAGGGTCAGTGCCAGCAGTTAGTGTTCTACAATAATCCTCCAGAGCCTATAACCGAGTCACAATCACTACGATATAATGCTGAAGAGTTGGCGCATAATATGCCTGAAGCAGCATCTCCACCATTTGTTGTAACTGGCGAGGCTTCAAACAGCCCACAGTTCGATGAAGAGGAGCGTAGGTTTCTGCTATCGATATTTAGGGCAGATGGTGACGATGACATCACAAGTGATGTCCTGTGTCCAATGGCATCCAACGCCCAACAAGACGTAAATCTTACTGATGCTACGTATGGTACATGTCGAGATCGATCTCAAGGCGATGAATATTCATCTCGAATACGATCACGTCGATCCTGCTAGACATGGCATAGACGCTACAGAGTCAATATTAGGCAAAAGGACTCGAGAAGCCACAACATTTGACAGGTTTGACAGTCAGGAAGACCGTCTACTAGAATGCAAATTTCAAGACCAGAGTATGCAGCGTATCTGCACAAGCTTATTGAGATATCAAGATAGAAATAGATGGATTTAGCTCTAGTATTGCCGTTTCTTGGGTCAGTTGTGAGATGCCGGCAAAGCACAGAGAAGTTGTACCTTTGGATTTCACATGACCTCCAATGAGATCGGTGCCACCAAATTACAAAAACTACAGTCTTACCTAGCTTCCGAAAATAACTCTAAGTTTGATAAATCATCCTATAAAAATGCCGACGATTGAAGAATTGCAAATGCCCCAAGTTAACACAATCACTCGACTACCAAAAACAAACAAAAATACATGTATATATAACTTTTACTTGTATTCTCTTCCTTCCAAATCCAAATCAAACATGCAATATCGTTTTTTAAGGGTGTGAAAAGAATGGGAGAAGCTCCTGTCTGAATAAGTGATGCTTTCTAGGCCGCTGCATGAATGGCTTGCTTTTGAGAAAGAGTGATCTAGCAAACAGACGCACATGAGTGTTAGCATCCGTCACATACACAGAGTTCCTTTTTTCTCAACAATCCTGTCACGTACCTTATCACCCAAACTCAACGCAATTCCTTGGGTCTTGCTTCGAATGCGGATATGTCCAGTCACGGTGTCTCCTTGCTTTTCGAGACAAATGTTTGCTAGTGCGTCTTCACCTGTCGAACGAGTGTTAGAGACAAGCCAAAAAAAGTTGTGCCAAGTCAAGAAATTGTTCTGATCAAAGGAACATACCAAAGATACTCTTAGCATACATATTAGCAGCTAAAAATCCACATTCTCCGGATAACGCATGTTCTGGTGTCAAACATGCCATGTTTGTGCACTTCATGACGTGATCCAAGTATGGTCTCAAGTCACTGGACATTGAAAATGGAGTGAGCGAGATGGAAAAAAAGATGTAACATAATTCGTGAATGCCCAACATTGTAGCAACTCACGTTATATTGGTATTCACATTAACCTTGTTCTCCCACTCAAACTCAGTCCACATTGCCCGGAACTAGATCAAAACAGAATGTGAGTTCGCGAAACTCACAAAAAAAAGTGCTCTACCATTCCAGAAATGGTTCATCGCCACACCCTAGAACACTCACTTGAGTTTCAGTACATGTTGCAGGATTAATATAATCCATAATGTCAATATGAATATCATTCAAAATCACACAATTCGTATCCTGTGATGATGAACCATCATACACAATGTTGCCGAAAATGACTCCAGTTTCGGTAGATGACACTTTAATGTTTGCTTTGATGCCGTGGTATCCACGTGGTCCGAGTGTATGTGGTGATGGTCTTTCGACAAGTTTCAAGTCTCCCAATGTGGAGAATTCGAGTGTGAGGTTTTGGAGGGTGTTTTCGGTTTGGTTGACAATTAAGACGTCTGGTTGAATAGAGGTGATGAAATGTTTGGTGGTGAGAATGAGATGTGGGCGAAGCGTGGTTGGATTTCATTGAAAAAACCCCCGATTTGAACAACAACGGATCTGCTTTGACTGATGGATGATCTTACCGAGTAAAATATCATACTGATGGACATTCACATAAGCTTCAGCATACACGGGATCCGAGAAACCTAATGCATGCGGTCAGCGGTTTAGTGCCATCGTTGAAGACCAAAAAAACTTTATAACAAGCCTATCAATACTCACCAGTAAGCTGAACAACCCGACTCAACTTGGACATCAAATCATCCCCACGATCCGTTATGCCAGTTGCTCTCGTCATATCCAATTCATACTGTTAAATATACAAAGAATAGTGGTCAGCAACAGACTACAAAACCTATGCTGCACCAGAGCCATAGACCTCACCTCATCGCTCATATCACCCGTATTCTTCTTACTCTTCAACTGTCTGAAATTAATCACATCATCAGCTTGTACTGAAACAACCTTCTTTGATGAGACTGATTTGGCCGCTGTCCGTTTCTATGAGCCCACAGAAACGAAGGTGAGAACAAAAGGCAACGTCAATTCCTCAATCCTACATCATGGAACTGGTCAAACATACCTCTTCTTCAAGCACCATCTGTGCAAACGCCTTGCGAGCTTCAAACAAAAACGCCTTCCTGACAGTCGAATCTTCATCCGCAACAGACGACAAGAGTCGTAAACATGCCATGATTCGATCATGCGAATCTTCATCGATTGGTGATGTGGGGAATTCGGAACGTCCAACTCGGATGATGGATGTCATGATCAACATGGCCTTGTAGTTTCGAAAAAGAGTGAGTTCGAAGGCACGAACAAAAAATCTCTTCAGAAAATGCGGGAAAACGACAGCAGGTAGGTCAATCTCACCTCACATCGGTACGTATTAACCTTGCCCTTATTCTTGGATAAAAGTGCGTATCGCAACACCAATTTTGTAAGAGTCGTGGCCAGTACAGATCCAACAAACCAATCAGCATTCAATATCAGAGCTACAACAACACAAACAAGACTTCAGACATTCATCTTGATTAGAGAGTCCACCTAAACACTCATACCTCTCAACGGTGGCTTGGAAGCAGCCTTCAACGCTTCCAACTTGGACTGCGAAATCGATTTAGCTCCAACCGAAAACGCACTCTCGGTGGCATATGTACCATCAGCAAGCACTCGTTGTGATGTTTTATGATGGTCTGGTACAGCTGCTGTTGAACCTGGAGATGATTTGCTATCACTATCATTGGGAGCATCTTGTTCTTCGAGTGCTCGTTGTTCTGATGCTAGGATGGGTAGCTCTCCTAATGTAACTCTAATTTGTTTCATTGCTTCTTCCATTGCTAGAAGGCGAAGAAATGTTAGCGAGGATTGAGATTGAGCTGAGAGGCAGCAAAACCTAGCAAAGTTCAGCAGAATGTCACAGCAACTAACCGGGTTCATCCAAAGCATACTCTCCAATAATCCACAATGCACCTCTAAAAACTCTGCCAGTCTTCATTTCTGTAAACGATTCTAATAGTCTGTTGATCAAGTCTCCTCGTAATTGAGGAAACTTCTCCATCACCTCACTACATAGTTAATTGGTCAGCTTTGATTGGGGTTTCTTAACTCCGCACAATCAGCAATAAACGTACCGAACAAAAGCAATAACGTCAACAGCAGACGTATTTCCAGAATCAGCCAAGAACTCCATCAAGACATGAACTACACTAGCAGCCACTTCAGAAAATTTGATGGCGCATTGATGTATAGCGTGAATCAATAATTGTCGGTATTCGGTGTTCTGATAAAGAGACGAGGAAGATCAGCCGTCAGGAAAAAATAAATATAAAGACATCCGCAATAGCATTACCTTTTCGTATTCTTGATCATGAGTCTTGAGCAACTCCTTCTTCAAAAACCCAACTACTTCATCTACATTACGAGTAGACACCATCTCCATTGCAATGTTGAGACATTTTCGTCGGACTTCGATATCGGGACTATGTTTGAAAGTAGGTGGTGAAAAAGGACTTATCACCGACGCTTGATTAGGCATACATACCTGGTAAGAACTCTCATGATATCCATCACCAAATCATCTAATACTCGTTCATGCTTTTCACGTAACTCATTCAGTCGATCCAGGACGATTAGTTTCACATTGTTGTCTGGTTCCTTGACAATGAGTTCAATGTATGCTGTAGCAGCAGCTATTTGTAGTATATTGAAGGTCGGTTTTTTAGACTTTAAATCGTCCATGCTTCAACATACCTTTAACAGCAGATGTATGTGATGTCAAAGCAACCAATGTAGTAGCAGCTTCATATTTCACTGATGGTGAAGAGGCATGCAATAACGAAAAGATGCATTGTATGAATTTGCCCTAAGCACCAAAAAAATCAGCACTCCTTAGCGCGAATCGTGCTTCAGATTCATGTTTCAAACCTTGTCAGCGGTATTAGCTCTAGCCTCCTTTCTAATCAATTCAATCAATGCTAATTGCAACAATTCATCAAAGGTGGTGATTTGAGCAAAGACTGAATTGAGGTATTGGACTGCGAGTTGTTGTTTGGTGTTCATTAATAGTACGAATGCGTTTCGTTTACAGTTCATATCTGCTTCCTGCAAGTGACGACAATGTTATAGTCAGTCACATATCATCTGTGGTGGCCCAAAAAAGCACCACCAATAACTAAAGGAACTGCTCTTACTGTAGCTAGACATTTTTCAGCAAGTTCAGGAGCATCTGGGATCAAAAAGTCGTGATTTTTGTAAATACTATATACAGCCAATAAGGCATTCTTTCGGACGTATGCGTGTCGATGTTCCTAGACAAAACACCAACGTGAGAAACGGCATGATAATGTCATCCATATAACTTGACGTTCTCACCAGACACTGCCTAACACTAGGTATCAATGGTTCCAACAATTCAGCTTCTCTAAGTTTGCACAGGAAGCGTAATGTCATGCCTCGTATGTATTCGTTTGGATGTAGGAGATCGTTTCGGAGTGCGTTACTAAACAGAGTCGGGTCAGTCCAATAGTAAAACAGAACAGACGGAGCGAGTCAATTCCTGTTCTTGGCAGCTGGTAGTAATTCACTTCCAGTACTATCATCCTCTCTTCCACGTCTAATGCCCAACACTTCCCAATACACGTACCAAAACAGCACCATCTCCTGCTTCAACTTCCCATCCGGATTATGTTTAGGACATATTTCCCAATACACAAGCAAAAGTTTCTTTAGCGACTTGTTCTTTGAGGGCATGATGAAACGAATGACATGCATCAGACATCCTAACAATGGATCACCATTCAACATTATTAGGAGAATCTTCTTCATTGTTTCAATCTTGACATCATCGCGGCCATTTTCTAGTTGATTTTTCAGTTCCTGGACTGTTGGTTGCTCCTTGTCGTCTGAGATATAATAGTCGTTAAATTGGTTTTGGTGAAAATGTTTAAATGTTTTGATAACAAGACATGAGACACGAGTAATTGTAATTGTAGTTGTTACCTTCTTGCTGTATGACTGTATATGCTATTGAATCTGTGCCTGTGGCAGCTGCAGCTGCAGCCATCTTGCTTGTCTGTCTCGCAATCGTGTTATGAGTGGTTTGGGAATTCAAAGCAACGGAGACTCAAGACGACAAACAAGGCTTCGGCGAGGCACGTTTCAAGCTATATATGTTCTTCCCTTATGATAGCATGTTTTCCTGGCAAAAGACACGTCAAGTACGGCGTCGAAACACGTCAAGTGCACCAAATTGCAATCACAAACTCTGCACGTTTTACATATACTAGGTACACTACAAAGTTACAAATCACATATAAAGCCTATAAGTTTGCATTCAAACGATCATTGCGGCAATATAAACATCCGGTTTTTTATGATTTGGGCTTCTTTTTATCGGGTGATGACGGTGGTTTGTCTGTATCATCAGCTTTACGTTTAGTAGCAGCACCAGATCCTGATCCACTACCAGATCCAGCTATCTTTTCATTACTACCAGCAGCAGCATGTCTAGACCGTTGTTTGCCAGACCGTAATCCTACCACCATATCTCCTCCGTCGCCCATCTCTTCAGCTTCTTGGAAGAGTCCCGCGACTTCTAATGAGGTAGATCATCAAATCAGTTATAAATATGAGACGAATATGGTTCATACGCGGAAGCTGTAGTTCCAAAAGTTATGTGAAAGATTGAACAAATCAACACACACCATCTTCCATATTATCATCATCTGCTTCTTCATCATCTTCATCATCATCGTTCTTTGCATCATCGTCTTTACTACTATTCCCAACAGGTTTTTCGTCCTCTTCACCAGATGTCCATTCATCTTCTTCCTCCTCGTCGTCATCACCAGCAGTGAATTCCTCGTCTTGAGCTTCATCTTCTTCTTCCTCTTCATCTCCGAGATTATCGTCTAGAAGAGCAGCGAGTCCCCATGCTTTACTACTGCTCTTTGGCTTCTTGTTTGGCGATGGATTTTTGGCTGGTTCCTCTACGGGAGGAGGAGCTGCACGGCCTTTTCCTTTCTTGGATGGTGATTTATCATCTGCCATTATGTATACTGTTGCTCGCTTTATATAATCAATGGATTGTTGCCTGTTGTGAAGAGTTAGGAAGTTTCGGTGCATAACAAAGCGAGACATCATGGATGGAAGTAGGCCAAAAGAACGTGAATATATTACATGAATATGCGACTTGGATCCCACTCGCCTCAAAGCGCGTAAGCAAGGTGAGATTCACTCAGTGAGCTCGAATTTGTTTTCACTGGTTTCGACTGAGACGGGTTTTATGTCGATCAGCAGACTGACAAGAATAATTCTTGCATCTTTCGTATATAAATCACGAGAATCTACTCGTTCCCACTTCTAATTCATACATGCATCATAGAGCTTAAGAGCATTTGTGTGAATGTTTGGACTACTAGCTAGTACAAGATTTTGGACTACAAGACATAGAGAGAGACGCAGTGCTGAATCAACCTCAGGCAAGTGGACAGTATATGTCTTTTAATTTTGTATTCCTGTTTTGTACCAAATGATTACAATTACGATTCTGTCTCTAAAATAAGCCCAACCTTACACACTTCTACAATCCACCAATAACAAGGCGTCCACCCATCGACCCTCCTTCGTTAGACTTACGCATTGCATCGTTTCTAGAGTTTGAGCTCTCAAAAGTATCATGACTCTCAATCTCTGAGCGAGTTCGTTTACCTAGTATCGCGTCAGTATCAGCAGCATCAGATTCATGACTACCTATACTGCTATAATACATATCGTCACGTCGAGATTAATCAAACTTATGGCATGATATGTCAATATTACTGGAAGATGGGGGCCAATCAATTACAGTGTTGCCTGTGATCTGACCACCATTGTTGTTGTTTGAGTGATTATTAGGTTCCAATGATGTGGTTGCTCGATTGACTATGGCACCTAAGAGAGCGTTATGGCCGTTGGAAGCACCATCAAGTTCAATCTCGTCGGCAGTTAGGTCGATTAAATTATCTTGGATCCCAACATTGCTGCTTTACCCACCGCCAACTTCATATACCTTGATCTGAGGAGTCTCATCAACATGCTGTGAAGTGGCTGATGGCATCCATTCGTAGTGCTGGCGTGCCAAATCCTTGAGCTCTTGAACCCGACTATGGATGGCAGCAGCTGCATCCAGTTCAAGCTTTCCATAGATTCGAAGGTAGCTACTGGCTTTTGGGATGGCTCTCAAAGCTCTAGCAGCCATCAATCTGTGATGGGCTCTGTGTGGTGATTGTGTTGAAACCTTGTATCAGCAGCTTTCTGGCGGAGCAAGGGCATTAAATCGTAAAATGCCCATTGGCACGAGTTTCGATCGGGTCACCAAGTTACAACTCACATGAGAGTCAGTGGGAAGCTCCTGATCACTGACTTGCTGGGATTTATGATATGGGCGGCGATTGGCCGAGAAAATCCTTTAATTCTGGCATCCAGCAGCTGTTCCGCATAATTTGGGTCCTGTGTTGCTTGTTAACTTATACTACAAGTGGAAAAGGTACAGAGAACAGCCAAAATTCGTCCAGGACATACCAAAATTTCTGCAATCTCAGCGGGCGAAAGAATCTCGTAGGAGAACTTTGAAGAGGCCGCGTCCTATCAAAAGAAGCATTTGATTGCATAAATGGTACAATGAAAATGTCGATTTTTCAATTCATACTTTGAAAATGGCTTCAGGCTGTTGATCCATAGCTTTACGATGCAGGCTGACAAAAATGCATTCAGAATTCTTTGCACATACATCATGAGAATCCACTCTTTCCGACTTGTACTTCATACTTGTATCATGAAGCTTAAGGGTATCTGCTTGAATGTTTGGCTACCAAGACATCTAGAGAGTCTTGATGCTAGATCGAAATAAGTGGACGGCAAACGTATTTTCATTCTATATACCTGTTTTTGTATTTCTGCAAAAAATTTGACATTTGATACTGTCTGTGTCTTGAAAACGAACCAACAATAGAATGTGCAATTGGTACGAAATGAATTTGACACAAACAGGCCTGAAATGATGATAACTACGATCCTGATAATATCCTCCGTAACTACACACCATACAGCATTCTAAAATCCACTGACAAAAAGCCCCCCGTACTTTCGACGTTCACCCGTTGACCCTGCGCTAGAGTGGCGCATTGTGTCGTACCTAGAGTTTGACCTCTCGAAACTATCCAGACTTTCAACCTCTGAGCGAGGTCGTTTGCCCAGTATCGAGTCAGAAGCAGTAGTAACCGATTCATGACTACCTATGGAGCCATGATACGGAGGGTCGCCTCGAGATCTATCATGGGAAGCACGTGATGCGGAGTTATCTGTGACCTCTCCTCCAGTGTCACTATCAGGTGAGATGTCACTAGGGGCCTTCGAGCGAGCATTTACGTAATTGGTATGGACGTGCTCAATACGTCGACGAGACGATTGCTTGTTGATTTGAGGCCTGTCTGTATCAAAGTCTTCTACAATCTGGAGCCACAGATCATCGATTTCGGTTGTCAGATCAGAACCCGGAAATGTCGCCTCGTCTGCTACAGGCTGGAGTCTAGTTGAGGCGTCAAACATCCCATTCATTGTGTCGACCTGTCTATCGAATAGTGGCGATGACTCTTTATTAGCCGAGTCGCCAGTGACATCCAAAGTTTGCTGAGCCAATCGAGATGCCCTATCACTATTGTCCATAGGCGTTGAAGCCTCTAATGGTATGGGTGAAAGGACTGTCGATGGACCAAGCACGGCTTCCTTCCTGGAGAGATCCGGGTCGTCGTCTAAAGATGCTAGCAACTCGTCTATTTCGTTTTGTGGTAAAGTTGACTCGAATTCATCGATCTCAATAGCATCGTCCTTTGAATTACCACGACCTCGATGCTGTAAAGTTGGTTTGACTTTAGGCTCCATTCTATCGGTTTCGATGAGCTCACTGACTGGCTGTCTAGACGATTGATAATCTGGACTCTCATATTCGAGACAGTGATTGCCTATATCTTTTAAAAGCCCATCTTTGTTGTTGGAGTGATTATCAGGTTCCAATGACGTGGTTGCTCGATTGACTATGGCACCTAAAAGACTGTCATTGTCGTTTGAAGCACCATCAAGTTCAATCTCGTCGGCAGTTAGATCTATTATATTATCCGGGATCTCAACATTGCTGTTTGACCCACCGCCAAGCTCATATGCCTTGGTTTGAGGAGTCTCATCAACTTGCTGTGAAGCGGCCGATGGCTTCCACTGGTCATGATGGCTTGCGAGATCCGTGAGCTCTTGAATCCGACTTTCGATGGTAGCAGATGTCTCGAGTTCAAATTCTCCATAGATTCGACGATAGCTGTTGGCCTTCGCGATGGCTCTCAGAGCTTTGGCAGCCACCAATTTGTGATAGGCTCTGTGTGTTGAAAGCTTGTATCAGGACCTTTCTGGGGAGGACATTGGAGCCGATTACCGCGTGTTCTGAATTTACAACTTACTTGAAAGTCATTGGGAAGTCCTTCATCACTGATTCACGAGGATCCTTGATAAGGGCGGCGATTGGCAGAGAAAGTCCTTCAATTCTGGCATCCAGTAGCTGTTCAGCATAAGTTGGGTCCTGTGTTGCTTGTTAACTAATACTGCAAGTGGCAAAGGTACAGAAAACAACCAAAAATCGTCCAGGACATACCAAAATTTCTGCAATCTCAGCGGACGAAACGATCTCGTAGGAGAACTTGGAAGAGGCCATGTCCTATCAAAAGAAGCATTTGATTGCATAAATGGTACGATGAAAATGTCAATTTTTCAATTCATACTTTGAAAATGGCTTGAGCCTGTTGCTCCATAGCTTTACGATATTGGTCAAAGATGCTTAGCAGCACCTTCGATACAAGCTCTACGTGGTTATGATAACGATCATGCAAATCAAGATGGCGACTACGTATGGCGTTCAGGGCTCCAATGCGCGAGGAATAGAGCGTCTTCTCCTGAACGGTCAATTTACTGTTTTTCGAAAGACCAATGCCAAGTCGAAGGATGTCAAAGTGGGCTTGATTCGAAACCCATAGATGGTAT